AGGATATCTATATCCTTAAGGATTTAATTAATCTCTTCGTCGTTAAGGGTATTAATCTGTTAAGATAGATTAGTTTCCTTATAGATTTAGATACGTTAATTAGGTAGCGAAGGATTATAGGATTCTTCCTCGTTAAATTAGACGTCTCGTGCGCGAATTATACGTTATTTAGTAGGTATCTAGATACGCTAGATATTATAGGTTTTATAACCTACTAGATAGCTAATAGTAGCACGTGGTACTAGCTTAGCTAGTCTAGGTAGCTTAGTAATATATATATAAGCTTTATATCTAAAGATTCGAATATATAAGAGATCTAGCTTTACCTATAGCTAATATAGTGCGTTATTACTAAGGTAGGTAGTAAGCGCTTCGTGTAGGGATTACTAATTTAGGGTATAGTAAGGTAGGCGGTTTTAAATATAGACGGTAGTTCTAGCTACTTTATACTAGAGATAGCTTAGTAGGTATAAATCGATAATTATCTACCTAGCTATCTTTAAAATAAATACGCTATAACGCTAAGTATAGCTATTTTAGTTAGGTTAGTAGGGTAGTGTGGTTTCTAGGTAGATACTACGTAATTATACTTCTTAATCGAAGAATTTAGATAGAGATCTTTCGTTATCTAAATAGATAGTAAATACGCGTAGATTAAATTAGTTATTAATAAAATCGATCTAGTCGTAGAGAGATTATATTAAATCTATCTTAGTAGATAGATCTTCCGCTAGTTAGTATTTAGTGATAGGATCTATAGAGTAAGATAGGTAGATCGTTTTACCTAAAGATAGTTCGAAGTATATAAGATCCTAATATAGAGATTCGAAAGGGCGATTATACTATATAGGTAGTTAAGAGATTTAACGATATAAATTCGCTAGTTTATATATTTTGTAGTAGTTAATAGGCGAAGATATATCTTTAATAGTAATACTAGATAAGTACTCTAGTAGATACGATAAGACGTCCTTACTAATATATCCTAGTCGTCTATATTATAGGTCGATTATCCTATCTAGCTATTTCTTAGTATATAAAGATAGGGTAACCTTACTAAATTACTTAGTAATAGGTATAACTTAATCGTATAAGATAGAAGTAAGAGATAAGTAAGAGCTAGATAAAATATAAGTATACTTAGTAGTATATCGGTTAGTAGTTAAATCGTCCTATCGAATTAGGTAGATACCTAATTTCGTGTTAAGCTTATAGATAGGTATTCCGTCCTTCTCTTCTAGCAGGTAATCCTTATTATTTAGATAGAGGCCTACGCTAGTAGCTCTTTCTATAGAGATTAGGTTAATATAGAATCTAGGATAATAGGTAACTTATTTTAAAGGGAAAGTAGTTCTATTAAGAGATTCTAATAGTTTAATAGATAGTTCGCTATAACTAAGGATAGTAGTTTCGGTATTTCTAACTATAATAGAGGATATAACGGGCCTATAGTTTAATAATAAGTCCCTATTATTCGTGATATAGATTAATGCTTCGGTATTATAGTACTAGGTATTATTCTTCTTAGTAGGAATCCTAATTATACTTATCGTAACACTATCTTCCTCTCGAAATAGAGTCTCGATCTATTATTTTAGTATATAGATAGAGAAAGCGTCTCTAGTAGTTAAATTAGTCGAATTAGTCGAATTAGTTAAATTAGTCGAATTAGTTAAACTAGTTAAATTAGTCGAATTAGTTAAATTAGCTAGTTAGTAACGTCGAATTATACGTTAATAGGCTATCTTAAATCCTCTAGATTTATTATATTATTTTTTAAATCGCTCTTAGACCTCTAGGTTAGGTTACTATCCTCTAGGTCTTACCTTAGGATTTATATAACGATATATCTTAAAATCGTGGTTACTAGAGTTAGGTATACCCCTATAAGGATACTTTCTTCTTCTAGTTAATTATATAGGTCCTTCTTTGTCTAATTCGTTAGGTTAACGTCCTTAGTAGGTTATATAGGTAATAGATCGTCTTCTACTACTACTAATTAGCGTGGTAGGTAGTTAGTACTAGTTAACGAATTAATTAACTAGTTCGGTTAGGGTAGGTTTCTTTAGACCCTATAGGATTGTATTATACTAGAAGGTATAGAATCCTTAGTCGCTAGGTTAAATTATCTCTAAGAAATCGTATACTAGAGATAGATAGTCTTAGAAGTAGATAATTACTACTTTCTCGCCTTCCGATTAGCTAATTAGCTACTTCTAACCCTATATAGATAGTTAAGATAATTTAGTTAGTAGAGCTTATTACTTTAGCTTATCCTAATTACGTAGAATTTAATAATTCTTTAATTAGTCGGATAGGGCGAAGGTAGTACGTAGTTTTACTATAGCTTCGTATACTAATAGGCTATTAACGATTTAACGTCCTTCTAGTGTAAGTAAGGATTAGATACCTTACTTAAGAGATTCGATAGATCGAAGATATTAAAGGTAGTCTAATCTTAATGATTCGTATTCACTTAGTAGTATCTTATAGATAGCTAATTAGTTAGATATAAAGTCGATAAGCCTAAGTAGCTATTTAGGAAGATTAGATATATATATATTAGTAGGGTTTCTGATTATATTAGATATCTATAGTTTAATTAGTTCCTAAGGCGGGGTAGACGGAGTGGCTTAGTCCGGATTAGCGTATTTCTATAGATCGTGTGCGATTATATAGTCTTTAACCGTAGTAATCTAGGGAACCTAGTGTACGTGAGATTTTAATAGGTAGTTAAGCTAGGTAGCTTATAGAGTAGTTAAATCTATCACTTCTATATAGGAAGTAAATCGAGAGTGAGAGTAAAGTAAGAGAAGATTAAATTAAATTAGTTAAATAGTTAGAGCAGAGGCGTTAGGCTTATAACTATCGGACTCTAGGCAGTAACCATAAAGTCGTGGTTATATATATAAGACGATAGTATATATAAAGATTGGTAAATACTTAATAGTGTCTGAATACACGGTTATGAGTCTATCGGTCGTGCGTACTTCTTATAAAGAAGAAGAAGTACCACGATTATGGAAGAGTACCACCGATCTAGAAGAGAGATCAAAAGGGATAATAAACTTGATTTAATTTAACTAGGAAATATAGTAGTATTTATATCACAAGAAACATAGCAAAAGGTCACATGATAAATCAACAGAATCAGAGTGTTAAGAGTCTCTTGCTTAGGTAGGTAATTATATGCGAGATCGTTGAGGATCAATCTGTGAGATCTTTATAGAAGAAGATCTATATGTAGAGAGGGGTTATATGAGTGGGTCCTTCGTCATGTGACCCCACAACATCTATATGTTGACAATAAGCTATTAGACTAGTTAACTAGTAATATAGGCGTACTGGAGGTCCCTTTTTACTATATAGTTATACGTGGAGATTGCTAGAAGGCGATAGAATTAGTAGATTAGGTAGTCGTGGTTAATACGGTAGAGATAGTCTTTTTAAGACCGTCGAGTCGCTTATAGATTATATCGAGGGCTATAAGTACTTTATTTATACTCTCGGTGTCGCCCTTTTAGGCCTTCTAGGCGAATTTCTTAATATTCTTAATAAATCCACGTACGAATCTATCGACTTTATAGTTATTATACTTAATATAGTCTAAAACTAACTAGGTAGTTTTTGCGATATCGTCTATATTAGTTAGATCACGCTTATTCTATTTATTATAGTCGCGTGTCTATCCGCGTTCTCCTAAATTAAGAGGTCTTAGCACGGAATTTGTACCGTGGAAACCTCGATTCTGGGGTAGCGGAATGCTATTCGGGCTCGCCACCAGCGCCATTGCGGTCGGCCCCGGTCAAAACCGGTATTGATCGGTAGCGCGTGAAGTTAGATATAATTTGAACGTATCCATAAGGCTGCACAAGCCCTGGATCTCGAGATAGACCAAGAAATCGATTTCGCCAAGAGATAGTCGTTTTTGGCAACTTTAGTTAGCTAGTTTCTGCTACCATCTTGCTTCTGTGTCTGCCGCTAGAAAGGCAAGATGACAAATCCCCGCATAACACCTGTAAATAAAGGAAGTTAGATCGGGTCTATGAATATTGATTGATTGATTGATTGAGCGGTCTTTTGAATACGGGGGATCGGCAGGCCGCTCTACTATGTGCGCCGCAGACCTATCTATTTTTAGGGGCCGTGTTATATCAGGAACACGAGCTTTCGGCCACGTTTAGAGGTCGAAAGGAGGATTGGTGAAGTGCTTCGGCGAGTGTACAGGTAGATAGAGGATGATCCTGGGACGATCTTAGTTATTTTTTTTAGTAGAGATAGATCGTACCTAAGTTCCCTAGGATTTCTACCTACACTCCAAAATCTACCCTAGTCACAGTGTTCACAGGGCGGGCTCTCCGACAAGAAGACAAGAAGATAGCCTCAACTTTTGCTTTCAAAATCTATGGAAGAGATAATTTAATAATTTATGTCCCTGACTACCATATTCCTTGTCGTCATCAATCCTGGGCTTCTTCAAGATCCTCAAGAGCATCCCCGGTTTTCGCATGCCTAGTGCCGCATCTCGAATTTGTATACGAGATGAAACTTTGTAAAATCCCACCTTGGGGCCAAAATTGGCCCACTAGTCACCGGATAACCCTCTTAAATTCTTGAGTATGAATACGAATAGGGTGTTAGCTTCTGGATACGATGCAAAAATAGGGTCGCGGCTTGGATTTAGCTTGGCTCGATTCAAGCATTACGATGATCGTCACTCTGATGCTTGTCATCAGCCTCCAAAATGCAGAATGAAACCTCGTTGGGTTAGTACGAATTTTGTTTGACGGCCAGGAAGATCTATCGTTGAATGAATTCAATTTCATTTACAGACCATCGATAAGTATAAAGTGGACAGATAATTCCCTTGATGGTTGATCTTCATTCCATCATAAACGACTATAATCTTCTACTTCTCCTTTGGCTAGGCAAAATAACAACAGTCTCTCCTTCCAATTCTCTATTCTAAAGGCCTTCCTTCTCCCTAATCTACTTTCATCATGTACTTCTCCGCCGTTGCTTTGTCCGCTGCCATCGCTCTGCCCCTGGTCAGCGCCTACCCCGTCAAGACCGATAGCCTTCACTGCCGCTCTGGTCCTGGCACCAGCTACAGCATCGTGAAGTCCTACGCTAAGGGTACCGAGCTTAGCATTTCCTGCCAAACCCCTGGCACCGACGTCGACGGAGACTCCCTCTGGGATAAGACTTCCGACGGCTGCTACGTGACCGACTACTACGTCCTGACTGGCACCAGTAACTATGTTGCCCAGCGCTGCAGTAGCTCTGGGGGTGGTGGTAGCAGCGCCAGCGGCTCTGGTGTTGACGAGGCAGCCCTTGAACTGATCGGTTCTTTGGAAGGCTGGGATGCCAACTACTACACCATCAATGGTCACAAGACCATCGGTAAGATTTTGCACACACGGAAGAATGAAAGCAGACATCAAACTAACTTCCTATCCAGGTTACGGCCATGACTGCGTTGAGAAGAGCTGCGCCGGCATCAACCCACCCCTCACCAAGGCTCAGGGTCTTGCCCTCCTGAAGACCGACATCGTCGGCTTCGAGGAGTGTGTTTGCAAGCTTCCCAATGCTAAGGACCTTAACGCTAACCAGTACGGTGCTCTGGTCAGCTTCGCTTACAACTCTGGTTGCGGTGGTGTTGCCAACTACTGGCGTGGCGCTATGTCCGAGAAGAACTTCAACGGTATCTGCGAGGCTCTTCCTCATACTAACACTCTGAATGGCGAACTTGACAACCGCCGTCAGCAGGAGGGAGGGTTCTGCTCCCGTGCTACTACTCAGAAGTCTGGCTGCTAAATAGGAGCCACGAGTAGCATTCCGCTCTCTCTCCCCCATTTCTTTTCCCCAGCTAGGAGTCTCCAAGAATAATTATTTTCAGGATTGCCAGGTTTGGGGTCTTCCCTTTGTTGGACGTGTGATTACCTTTTGTGTCTTGATTCGACTCAGACTTTGTTTCTATCTTTGTATTGTGTGATATATTGACCCTCTTCATTGCTTTTCTTTTGGCTATCATTTGAATAGAAACTTTAAGTATACTTCATTCTCGAAATTTCTGGGCCCGATATAGTAATTAATTTCTAAGCAAAAAATCGCGTAGTTGCGTATTATTCTTTCCTATATGGATATACTAGTATCGATGTAACCCTTATCCCGAAATGGCTTGTGTGATGAAACACCTACTAGGTACTTGCACATTCTAGCACCCCTCACTCTTCCTAAGAGTAACAAGAAAAGTAACCTTTAAGTTCTTATTCGATACGTCGTGCCAAATGAAGAATATAAACCGTTAAATAAGCGGATTACGGGACGACACGCACTACTACAAAATCCCCTGTTTACTACTATAACGCCAAGATCATCCAAAAAATGTCCGAGATGGATAAAAATTCAGCCTTAGAGCATTTAGTTTACCTATTTACCTATGTTATTTAATTACGTTACCTAAGTATATACCAATTTTGGCGGAGTTCTTGATAGCAGAAAGGTACATAGAGTGATGTTTCGTCAGTCTTCGTCCGCCTAGTGATGATATAATATTATGCTGCCGGCTAAATAATCTTACTATTTCCTGCATTAACTACATGAATTAAATAGTTCTTAGGACACAGATAGAGGCTTATGATAGAACTCAAATTGATTTTATACTAAAGTCACTCTAATGGTAGGTTATAGACCAGTCAAGTTCACACCAAGAGCGGAAGAATGGACGGTAGAGCGAGGGTAGACGAAGACTTATGGAACACCACTATAAAACCAAAATACCGATAACGTGAATATACAGGTTAATTAGGTTATGAACAATGGCACTTATCGGACGTCGTACACTTAGGCCATGAGCGGCATATAGATTATAGTCCAGTAAAACAAGATAGCAGTCTCCCATTATATCAGACCTTTGTATAATATATAGATAAAGTCAGGCTATTATTAGGTCTATGAGATTTGACCAAGAATGATCATTATTGATTAGGTAGATCGTTTATAATGAGTACAGATATCCGAGTTATAAGAAAAACGTGGCCTTTCCGACCTAATCGGGTTAGGCGGTGTTGTTGACGATAACGATAAGAATTCCCCCATAGATCGTCATTATTGACAGTATTCCTGTGTTGCCAACCTCACCCCGGACCTACTCTTTCTCCTGGCTCAATCCCCACCACAATGGTAGGTCTTGCTCTTTCCATGGCTCTCGCAAGCCGATTAATCTAATTCATCCAGGCTCAAACCCCTCAACAACGCCGTGCAAACGAAAGGTTTGCGAAGAATGAAGCTGCTAAGCGCGGAAAAGGGCCATCCGTCTCTAAGCCTAAACAACAGAACAAGTCGCCCATTTCCACCAGCTGGGTTGGTATGTAGCGAGCTAGCTCATTATCCCCAAGTTGAGCCACCAAGCTGATCTAAAAATCTCCAGTGATCCTGGCCTTCGTTGTGTGCGGTGGCCTCATTCTTGAGCTCTTCAGAATCGTCCCCGAGATCTGGAATACCGTGGCCTCGATGCTCTCCCGAATCACCGGGTAGAGGAAATTCATTACCTCCACCAACCCTCTCCACCCTCCCTTCGAAGATACCCTGGGAATCTCGACTTCGACCTCGTGTCCGTACTGGACACCCAATACCAATACACTCCCATCGCGACCGGGCGTGGCTACGGCCCCGGTACTGCTTGGACGAGCCCCCCAATCCCTGGGCCCCTTCACTGTACTATACTCCTACCAACGATCAGATATCGCATTGATAAACCGCAATGCCAGAGAAAATACCTTGGTTTGCTGCCCTCAAGTATGGTATTCTATGGACGAAGTTGTAGATCGCTATGATCTGCCTTGTAAAACTTGTAGATAATCTTCTAACCCTCCGATCGCTGCGTACAAGAAAGATGCGAAGAGACTGCTAGGCGAGAGATCCTGAGGGTTTACCTGCAAGCTCTTCTGGATCTGTTCGCGGCTCTTTCTGTGTTTTCTCTTTCTTCTCTTTCTTCTCCTTCCGCTTCTTCTTCTTCGCCTCTTCTGGTTGAGAGGAACCATCACCCAGGGTAACCTCCTGGGTCGACGAGGATGCGCGCTTCTTCTTTCCTTTCTTCTTCTTGATCAGAGTTCCCTCGGTGGGAATCCCATCCAGTTCAATTCGCTCCGAGGCCCGTTGCATGCGTAAACGCATCTGCTCCACATTTCGCATCGCCTTCTTCATCTCCACGTCGCCCTCATCCTCCGCCGAGATGGCTCCTGGCCCGTCGTTGCTTGCCATTGACAGATGCCCGAGCCCACTAGAGTCCACCTGTAGTAGTGAACGCTTAGCGACAGCGGAACCACCGACCTGTCCTGGAACCAGGTAATCGCGGGACGGGATCTCCTCGCTTCCGAATGTCTCATCAGCCGCAACTTCCATTTTTTTGTATCGACCTTGGCGGGGGTTAGAAACATCCCGCTCTACACGGTCGGGTTGACCAGAGTCCAACTTCAAGTCAACGATGGGGATAGCATCGATGTCTAACACGTCAGCGTTGGCCTCGTTGCCGAAAACGGGGGTTGATGTGCCCGAATGGCTATCCAGGGAGGCGATGTAAAATGGATCATCTTTGTAGCGTTCTTTGCGCTCAAGTTTTCGCCTTTCCATTGTACCAGGGGACTCCGTTGGGCCCCGCAGAACATTTTGGTATGAACTATCCGGGTGCATCTCAATAGAAGCGATACCAGGAAATGACTTGGCGGGGGGTGAAATGAGGTCAGGGATGTAGTAGAAGTCCTGCAGAGAGCCACGCTGGCTTGCTTCGAGTTGAGAGTTGTCCAGAGTATGGAACAGGGTCTGCAGATCATCATTGAATGCTACATCCAGATGCAAAGTTGCAGGCAAGACCACCTTCTTTTGAGCACTGAATGCTACCGGATTGAGTTCCAGACCCATGAAGAGACTGGGAAGGACGGAGGCGAGAAGGGAAGGCATTTCCTGTACATCAGAATGCAGCGCTTCGGCGCTCAAGCGAAGGACCTCCAAGAACTCGATAGCCCGCTCCTGCACGTCCAAGTCTGGATGAGCGGCCAGCGCTTCGAGAAACTCCACGACTCTCGCCAAGAGGAGAGATGTTTCAGTCTTCCACGTCATGCCCAACCCCGCATCTTGATTCACGCGTACAAAGACCTTTGGAATGGCCTGTAAAAATAGCTGAAGTGTCCTCGCAGGCAAGGTGACATTGGATAGGTCGATCAATGACTGAAGAGTCCGACTCGGCGATAAGAGATCATTTGCATATTCGCCCGCGACCCAGGATATAGGGCCTAGGACATCGTTGCCAACGTTTGACCCAGCGGGGAAGAAGGTTGATCGGTTATCGACCAGTAAAAGCGACTCTGCGGCTCTGGTCGCCTCTAACCGTACACCTCTTACACGCACGGCGACGTTGCGGATTTCGGATCCAATTCGGAAGGCAGTGCTCGATTTTGAGAGTGCTGCAGCGTCCTGGCTCGGAGAGTTCTGGTTCCAATACTCATCTCCCTCTGACGGTGGCAGGAGACGGATAAGCTGGACTAAAATGTTGACGTACCACTCAAAATCCACAACCTCCGAGTAGTTGTTTTGCGAGCAGATGTCCAGGATGCGATGAACAACCTCACTTCGGTAGTCGTTTGGTAAGGCGACCGCAGTGCTCGTACTAACTTCTGACGTCTTTGACTCTTCTGGGTCCTCGGTCTCAGGGTGGACGGACGAGCCAATCTCGAGCTCAGGTGCATTTCCCGGGGAGGACAGCGTAGCCAATCGGAGCTGATCAAGCAGGCGTTCTACCACCACCTGCAGAGTCTCACTTGTCACCATACCAGCAGCAAGCTCCAGTGCCTGCAGCCGAATGGAAATGTCCGGGTCGTCCAAACAGTCCATAATCACATCCTGCTGCATTGACACCAACGTAGGGTGTGTGGTTACAATACGGTTCAATGCCAGAAGAGCGACATATTTCACTTTTGTTCGAGATTATCAGCGGGGGCACTAATAAAACAAAACAAACCATTCATTGGGGGTTGGGGGGTCTTACGATTAGGATCAGAGTCGATGACGATCATTCCTCTGAGTTTCCCAACACAAAGAGTTGCAACGTCATCTCTTTCCTGAAGATTGTCCTCTCCATCAAGAATTCCTCCTTGAATTATCCCATTGATACACTCATAGAGCAGGGACATTGCTGATGTGGTCTGAATTATGTTGACCAACGGGCGTAGCAGTTTTCGGGTCAGCCTTGGCTCCAAAGGTGTCAAAGTGGCAAACTGAACAAATTAGCAATTCCATGTCAAGGAGGAAAGCAATGAAGAGACTGACAAGCTTAATAATTTTAATAGCCATCCAATTATTGCCGCTGTCGACGAGAAGCTCGAAGAACCTCGGTGCGAGTGGTAGGAAATCATGAGGTCGCCGCCATCCTAATTCACAGACAACATTAATAGCAGCTGTCGTCACACTGCTATCTTCTTGGTCATCCATCAACCGATCTTGGATTTTGGGCCATCCTAGCTTGAGCGCTTCTGGGTATACCAACGCAAGGCGGTAGAGGCACACGATTGATTTCTTCCGAACCACTGGGCTTGAATGTGAAAGTCGAGAGAGAATATCAGGCAATAGTGACATGGCCAGTGATGGAGTGATAATGTGAGGCAGAGAAGCCAGCGGTAGTGATAGAGCGGGGATGTTGGGAGATACAATGTCCTAGTCATATTGTTCAGTCCTTGTACAATGGAGAGAGCGTTGAGGAATGATCTTGAGCCGATAGATTTTCGAGCAGATGGTCAGAACAGACCTTCTTTAACATGTTCGTTGCCAACATCAGCACTTCCGTGTCGGGGCGGAAACTCTGTACCGCTCCTAAATATCCCACACGTTTTTGAAGGTATTTCGAAGAGGACATTACTTCTAGGACGTGGAAGGAGGCCCATGACATGTCGTAACCGAACATTTCCAGGTATATCAACTTCAAAAGTGCAGTTGCCTTTTTATCTAATCGAGATTCAGCATGCGAAGCTGACCGGGGGAATCCAATATGGAGCGCCTACCCATGTCCTGGGATTTGATCTCCGCTTTGCACTCGCGAAGGCAGCTTTGGACATATTCATCCTCTCCACCTTTGTGGGTTCGAAGACCCTTGATCAGGTCATAGAGGGATTTTTCGAACCTAGGCCATCGGGATGGATCCGTCAGTTTAGTGGCCACAGCTATCTTGGGGGGGGGGTGGTTGTCGGTCTGAAGTACACTCACATTGTGTCTGCCTGTCACCAACTGACAATGCTGTCGAATTCCAAAATGTCAAGATCACCTTTTAAGCAGTTTATCAACCACGCAGCATAGTCTGTACAGCCTGCACGATGCACCGCGTGGTCCTGATCGTCCCGAAAGCTGAGCTCCGAATGCGCCGCAATGCCGAGTTTACGTGGGGAGCTAGGCGGGCGGACCGATAAGGATCACGGGACCTCGTATCTTAATCTCCGGGGGTGAAGGTGAGGTCTCCACCATCTTGCCGTTGCAGGTCATCATCTTCTCAAACACGTAGCCTTTTGCGCGGTGAGTGCATTGCTTCAAAATTCTGCTTGCACTCCTTTCAAGTTGATTTTACAAGGTAAACTGCCTTCCCACATTCTCCTCAATTGGCTTTCGTCGTTCTGGATCTGCCTGCAAAGGCCCTCTCCCCCTTTAAGACTGACCCTAACTGATTTGATTCCTTCCAGCTTTATCTCCCCGCCACCAGTCTTCCAAGTGACATCGGACACACTATGGGTGGTCTCATAGATGCAGAAGTCAATGGGTCTGATGTGCTCTCTGCTCTTCGACTCTCTCAACAGGCCCCGGCAATTCTCGGACATGGCCCAGCACTAAACACGCACTCGGGTTCGTCCAAGGCCTCACGGGACACGGCCGAGGAGTATGGCCGGATTGAACAGCTTTTTCTTGCATGCCTGCAAACTGGAGACGATAAATCTGCACAAGTATGTCTTGATCGGTTGAGTCACCGCTTTGGTCCCTCAAACGAGAGAGTCATGGGGCTGCGTGGCTTGTACCAAGAGGCTATTGCGAAAGACCAAGCGGCTCTAGAGAAATGTCTGGCAGAATACGAGACGATCCTCTCGGAGAACCCTGTCAATGTGGTTGGTGATCCATTCTTTTCCTCTTTCTTTTGTTCTGGCTGCCCTCATGGGGGTAGGCAGTTGTCGCATGATCTCGACTAACCACGTTTCTGTCCATGTGCAGCCCATCATGAAACGCCGAGTCGCTCTGCTTCGTTCCCTTCAGCGGCCCTCCGATGCCATTTCCGCTCTCATTCAGCTTCTCGATGCCATCCCCACTGATGCCGAGGCTTGGGGTGAGCTAGCCGATCTATATCAATCCCAAGGACTGGGCTCGCAGGCAATCTTCAGCTTAGAGGAGGCACTGTTGATCGCCCCAAATTCTTGGAATGTATGGCTTGTTCCAATCACAGTCGACTGAATCCCCGCCGGTTCATATAACTGACCTCTTACAGATTCATGCCCGGCTGGGCGAATTGCTCTACGTCTGCTCCTCCGCCTCTTCCGAGGGGGACCCAGCTCGACTTGCTGGCAAGTCGGTGCAACATTTCTGCCGGAGTATTGAACTCTGCGATGATTATCTGCGGGGCTTCTATGGACTGGTCTTGGTATGTTCACCCCTATGAGAACTGACCATGTTTTTCAAGGGTATCATCTACTGACTAGATCGTAGGCCACCTCCCGCATGCTTGATCAAAAGTATGCCCCCGAAAGTCCCTCCGACCCGGCCGTTCCATCCCGGAAAACAATCCAGCAACTGCAGACATTTGCACTTGGGCGGCTTGAACATATTGTTCAGTCCCGCTCGGTGGACGATCAACATTGGGCATCCAGTCGGAGTGAATTAATTGCGGCCAAGGAGCTGCTGAATCGCTTTGCGTCGCCCAAATGATGATCGACCGTTATTACTATGCTTTTCTTCGGATACCCTAATCAAACCTTATCAACACATTTCTCATTACGAGGATATCAAGGATGTCTCTTTGTCTCTCTTCCTGTAACATTTTAAAATATACTCTAGGCTTGGGATCTCCGCGAGGGCAACACGACTGGTATGACGTACGTGGTGGTGGCTGTACTCTGCGGGCAGGATTGTTGCTTCGTTGCTGACGATGAGCTGCCCAATGCTATTCATGTGGTCAACTGTGTTCCAATTTCGGTGGTGGATGACATGGGAATTCTACAGGATCGCCCTCGATAGGCATGGTTGCATTTATGAGCAGGGATTGTCCGTTGAATGGCCGTTTGTGGTATCTTGATGCCATCTCTGGGGGTACCATGGCTCTTTGAGACTTTGAAGAGTTTTATTCGCCCAAAGGAAAATGACAGGCGACTGATTTTGAACCAGTCTGTATGTTAGGAGGGTCCTTTAGTACATCCGTCAAAAAGACCTATAAGGAGTTGACCCGACGGGCCACGCTGAGGCTCAGCTCCTCTCTAATTCTTTTGGCGCCAAGCTTTGATAGGGTGGCCTTCCTACCGTTTGATGTGTACCCAATGGAGCCTGGATGGACGGAGATCGGGCTCGTTGGATGCAAACTGAGTCAGATTGGTGGTTGCACGATCGAGATTTGGTGAGATAGGAGTATCATCTATTATGTACTTGAGTATTTATCCTAGACTAGTAGATCATGATATATAGGCTGGACAAACAACGGTAGTATATACTATAGATATACTGTACTCCAATTTAGGATCGCGTCGCTATCCGTTGTCCGAGTGCGAAGATCGGGGCTGGTGTGATTGGGCACAAGCATCGGGCAGCAGATCGACAAGGATCTAGCCGATCCACTCCTACTCAGGCGGCTGAGTTGACCCAATCCCAAATGGAGGAGAAATGGTCTTCCCCATGAGTCAGAGAACCAGACTCTCTTTCTCCGTCTCTCCAGAGCCTCTCTAGTGCTGACTCTCGAGAGAAGAATATGTAGGTTGATACCTAACGAAGCTCTGGTAGGGTCGACATAGGGCGGGCACAGGGGAACATCTGGTGGCGTCTCGATCCTAGAGCCTACGCTACGCGCCTTGCAGACTGGTTCGGATTCTAGACTGGGACTTAAGTTGCAGGGATCCCTTTGACGTGTCGGTAGATTCTTGTGTTACCCTGATATTCCGTACATGGTACTACTGAATATAGTCTCTGAATAAATTATAGTTTGTATGGAGAGTTGTGTTGTAGAGAGTAGTTTACGTATACTACTAGGATGTGTATAGGAGAATTATGCTTTACTGAGTGGTCAATTGACGATACAACATGCCCAATCTTAGGCTCCAATCGTTACACATTCATCGCATTCTTCTTTACATTTCAGGCAGGTATCGTTATTCAACCCAAACACACACCACAAAACCCTCCTTCCATCTCCCGTTTTCTCTTTTCTCCTCCCCTTCTTCTCTTTGCGACTATCGACTACTTACTATATACTACTTCTCCTACTACCTAGGAGTTACTAGTATTATCGTGATTCTGGCTAATCATAAACTAGGCTATCTTTGATATTCTTCTACTTGCCGATACTTTATCCCCCCCCCTTGTCATAAACAAGAATTTTCCTCTTGTTTAACTTTCCAAGAAATCCCATCCCTTGCCCAAAGGACTTATCTTGATCGCCTTCCAACTCCACGCAAGGGGATCCCTAAAAACAAAAGCAAAAAGTCTCCCCAAAAATCCTCCAGGCCTAAAAGCCTTCAAGCCTCAATTCAAGCGGGGCCAGTCAAATGCCAGGTTCCTATTCCCCCCGCGTCCGAACTACTTGATCCTTGTCAACAAAAAAACCCAAAAAGACTAACGAAGAGGAAAAAAAAGTGCCCAACGAGACTTCCCCACCAAAGAAGAAGCAGCCCGTCGCCGCCTGGAAAATCCTCCGCCCTCTCGTCCACCTCCTCCACTTGATCCTCCTCCCCTCTCTTCTTTCTTCCTCCGCCACTTTCCCACCCTAGAATCTTCCTCGCGTCCTGCGAGTCCCGAGAGAGAGAGAGGAAGAGAGGGTAAACCTTTATTCCTTTCCTCAACCCCCCCTCCCCTCTCTCATAGTCACCCTGCAATCTCTCTATGACGTATGTTTACACTTTCTTAACCTTTCTGATCGGCCCCCTCCTTCCCCTCCCTTTTTTTCTCTTCGTCTTTAACATCCCCCCTGGTTCCTCTTCCCACCCTTGTCAAGGAAAACTCTTATATCATAATTTCCCGCCCCCCCCCTTCTCCTCCTCTCCTCACCGCTCGCTCACCTCAGCCTCTGCGCGCGCGAATCATTCGCTGACTCTTTCTTCCTTCTCTTTCCCTTCTCTACAGGCTCAGCATCTCGATTGATCCCCAAGGTCCGCACGGCTCGGATTCTCTGTCGGACGAGGAGGACTCGTCGGGGGTACATGTGAACAGCCATGACTATGATGAGGACTATGATAATGAGTGGGCGCATCTGTCATATCCGGATGAATTGAAACCGTCTGATTCAGCCTCTCGACCAAGGACATCGCACCGTAGCCGCTCGCACCACGGTTCCCGCTCCGCTTCGGGCCGCCCAAACCCAGTGCATCGGCGTATGGTTCCCGAACGCGATCCTCGCGAGTCCTATGGGACTCGCTCCCGCCGACAGCCTTCTCCAGATTCCCCTGACAGCGGGGATTCGGAGGAGTATGCTTATCCTCGCGCCCCTGCAGAACGCCGGTGGCCACAGGCCCCGCCTGCACCACCGGCGGGGTATGCTCCAAGCAACTCATCTGGCCCAACCTTTGGCGCATACCCTCCTGGACATGCCCCTCCTTACCAGCACCAAAATGGCCAGATCCCATCAGATCAACTAGTTTCCCTCCGCCATGCCGCCAACCCTGGCGCTCAACCGTACGGTGCCGGTCACTACCCATACGGCGCACAATTCCAAGCCTCACACGGAGCTGCCGCCATGCATCAGTACTATCCCCACGATCAAATGCACCCTCGTCACCTCTCCCGCCCACCGCCGCAGTCACGAATGGATCCGCATCATCCCTCTCAACCGCCCATGCCACCCCACTTGGCGGGGCACGTCTCGCCGCAATATCCGGGGTCGCCTTTCCATCAAGAATTGATGCATTATTCGCCCCAATTCTACAATTACCGAGACCCGTACTCGATGATTCCCGGCATGGTACCACCATACTTCCAATATTCTCAGGCGCCTCCCCAAACGCAAGCCCCAGAAGCGGCCGCGTCTCCGGCGCCGGCACCAGCGCCAACTCCAGCTCCAGCTCCCGCCCCCGCGCCTGCGCCTGCACCCGAACCCGCACCAGCACCCCCGGCAGATACGGCAAAGGATGAAGCCATTGCGCGACTGGAGAAACTGATTATGGATGAACGCGCGGAGCGTGAGGCCAAGGAAGCCGCGCGCGTAGCTGCGATCGAACGCGAGGCCGCCGAGAAGGCTGCGCGAGAGCAGCAACTCGCCCACGACCGCAAGATTGCCGAGGAAGCGGCTTTCTTGGCCCGCGCAGACGCGGAGAAAAAGGCTGCCGAAGCAGCGGCGGTCGCGAAGGACGAGGCAGAGAAAGCCGCAGCGGCAGCAGCTTCAGAGGCAGCGGCAGCAGCAACTGCAGCGGCCAATGCAGCCGCAACCGCAGCCGCCGCGGAGGCAGCCAATGCCGTGGCTGAAGCAGCAAAGAAGCCTCCCCCAGAGAAAAAGAAGCCCATCAAATTCAAAGACGCCGTGGGAAGAAAGTTCAGTTTCCCCTTTGAGCTGTGTGCTACCTGGCAGGTAAGAGATATCCTCCTTTTTTCCCCCTTTCTTATAACGAGAATGTAACAACTGATCGCTGGGGTTTGCAGGGGATGGAAGATCTGATTAAGCAGGCCTTCCTTCATATTGAAGTGATTGGACCGCATGTTGCAGAAGGGCACTATGACCTTGTAGGTCCCAACGGCGACATCATTCTTCCTCAAGTCTGGGAGACCGTCGTCGAGCCGGATTGGACTATCACCATGCACATGTGGCCCATCCCTGAAAAGCCCAAAGAACCCGACCCTCCAGCTAAGGAGGAGGCACCGGCTGCGGCTGCTCCCGCAAAGGCCGATCCACCTGCACCACCTGCAGAGCCTAAAAAGAAACCTGAAGGCATGTTCCATGATTGTTCACATAAACAGGGGTCGAGAGAGACCCCTCGTTATCATCTACTTAATATACTGACTATCTCTTTTCCATAGCTCCCAAGAAGCCCGTGCGCAAAGGCGACGGAGGTGGATTTGCAAAGTGGATGATGGGTGGCCGGCCCCCTCCCAAGTCAGCCAAGGCCGCAAAGGCAGAGAAGAAGCCCGAACCCGCCCCTCAGTGAGGTGTATATGTTGGATGACTGGGGTGTGGCCCACTTCTCGAGGGCTTCTCCTCTTTCCATTCCCCTAAGATACAAAACCACGCTCGTCCCGCACCATCACTTTACGTTGGTTGGATTGTTGGACCTCTCATCGTTGAGCCTGAAGTTGGGCAGACAGAAAACGGGCATCAAGCCTTGAGAGAGAAACATCGGAGAAAGAGCTGGCCCTCCAAGGACATCAGGCTGTGCTTACCCAGCTGACGGGTTCAACCTTTTGCCTTTTCGAGTTACTCGTCTTTACTCTACTAAGACACATGAGAACTCGTTCTATAGGGCATCCCCAGGCTATGGCTCTTCTTGTTGTAGCCTCTATGGTCTACACGAAAGCCTTACGACCTAATTACTACCCTCCCGTGAACCCTATTACCATTTACTCATCGCTATAACCGAAATTTAAATACCAATGAAAATCTTTGATCTAGATCTCGAACGGTACCTTTTGTAATCTGGCTGGTTGGACTTGTGATGGGCGAAAGTACGGCCTTTTCTTCATTTTTCTAGCTAGACCTGACCCCTAGTCTCGTTATTCCGGTCGCCATTATAGTCTCACATATTGTTCAGCGTAAAGAACATTCCTCATTCATCGTTGAGGAAGTAGAGGCTTCCACCCAATATTCTCTCCTGGAGCGTCCCCAAGGAGATCGCCCGTTTCGGCACTAGATACTCCGGATACTCCCCTTACCCCATCTGGGCTCTGGCGGAAACTCGAACTATTCTGCCAAGTGGCGCTTCGGACCGGGCCAGAACTTGCAGAGGGAATCCGACCGCCTGTCGCCTGAGAGCTCAAGGAGATCGGTTTCCTGGGGACAGCAGGCGGGGACTTTTCAGCGGCAGATTTGTCTGCCACTGGAGACTGCATGTTACTTTTGATTGAACCCGAAGTTCCCCGTCGTGGAGGTGGTAGCGGCTTTCTATCAGCACGAGTCTCGGGACGCTTCTCCGTGAATCTCGAGCTTGGTATCCAGTCAGGCTCATGATCCATGGAAAAGGGATTGGATTTGCGTTGAGGGTTAGGGACAAGTCCCTCTTTGGGTGGTTGCACCGCTGCTTTCGCGGGCACGCCTGTCATACTATAGATCAGTAATGAAATCTAGCGGTAGATGCGAGAATCTAGCACTGTGTTACATACCGTTATCAAGCCACCATTTGCTTCGATCAGAGCTCGCAGGTGGTAAGCCAGGGGCAATGGGACCGGGGGGCAGGATATCCTCGTCGTCCAAGTCCAACAAATTGATAGAGTCGGAAAGAGCATCGCGCTGTTTCTCTTCATATAGCAAGCGCCTGAGGTTCTCTTTGAGTCCAAGGTCGATGACGTCAATCATGCAATCAAACTTGGCATAGACTGGGCGATGATCTGAACATCTTAGATCGGCGGTATGGTACTGCGTCTGTCGCAAGTTGGCTCCTCGCCATAAAATGCGGTCACACCAGGCAGGAATCCGGGATTTATCACTGTAGAGAGATCAGTTAGAGTTTGTACCTCGCGATGAAATGGAAAAAAGGGCCTCTTACGAGGTATCATAAATATCCGTTCCAACGTCGTACTTATAAGTCGGAGGGAACGTGATGAGACCTTCAGAGTAGAATTGGAAAACTCTTCCTGCAACCATGTGTAGATTCAACTATATTCGTTAAGAGAGGGAAGCGAACCACGGACGCAATTATTCCCTTACCTGGTCATTGTCATAGAGCTTGTGGAGATCGCCCTGGGAGATGAGATCGCGTACGATGTGGTTCCCTAGCCCAATTCGGTAATTGAAGTCACCAAGCCAGATGGTAGAGTCATGGTCGGCGATAGTCCGATTCTTTTGGAACCGCAGACCACTGTCAATAGTCTCGTAGTCTCGGTCTCGCTCATCGTCATTCCCGAATCCAGCAGCCAAGTGGGCAGTAACGAAGCAGATACTCGTGTTCGAGAAATCGAAACGGATCGCGCAGCCTCCCTTGTTGCCAGCGATTCCCGAAAGACCAGTCTATCAATCTATTAGCTCCAAACACACGCACGGCCGGCCGTTTCAGGCAATGACATGATAATGAAGTACCTTTTTGACAGCTCCTTCAACATTCTTGATCTCCTTTAGCGCATCTGCTTTCACGTAGATCATCAAGGCAGCGCCTACAAGCTGCCCGCTCCGCAGCAACACATACTTTCCGGTTCCTTTTGCGCTGGTGTGTTGATTCAAACAGCTTTGGACGGCCCTTTCCCAGCCTTTGCGGTTACTTGGATCAGTTGACATGATCTGCTGAGGACTAAGATCAACGATTTCCTGGAACCCAACCGCGAAGATTGTGGGATCTTCCTTGGATTGATCCTCGTCAGGGAAAAGCCATGATGAGAGATCTGCGCCTGGCCCTTCATCACGGCCGTTCACATTGAATGTACCGACCCACATCCGAATATTCTTGCTAGAGGAGTACTCAGCTGCGCGTCGACCAAGATCTTCGGTGACCAAATCGTTCATTGGGTCATAGAGGTGAACCGGGATCTGATTTGCCAGTCGACCTAACAGAAGATCAATCGTCTTTTGTCGCGCTTTATCCGTAAAGTTGTTCACGTAGAGCCTCGTTGCGCTTTTGCGGGCATCCGCCAGCGCTCCTGCAAGAGACATTTTTCCGTGGCGGGTGAAGGATGACTTGAGAGCACCGGTTCCTGCATAGATCTTCGAGAGTGCATCTCCATTATCGGCCCAGAGGGTGGAGTGTCGCATCTGTAGATCTGAAGTAAGTCTTGCACCTTGCTGAGACAAAAAGGTTCCCATAGCCATCGAGCTGATGATTGTTTGAACGAGGTTTGTCCGATCAAGACAATCAAGACAGTTAGTTCGAAAGACACCTTCTTGCTGAAGAAGGATGGACGAAGTGCTGGCCGCATCTTCTCTGTCCACGATAGAGGATGCGCGGTTACTGTCCTCGGATAAGAAGTAGGCAAAGCCGTCCAGAGAATCGGCCAATTCATACTTTATTTGATGGCTTGCTTCATACCCAGCCGGGCCTCGAGTTTCAGCATGGAAGTCATAATCTGTCATTCGCAAGAGAGTTTGGTGGGAGGATTTCGGGAATCCCTCTTTCTGCCTGACCGAGCTCCGGGCAATGTGGTTTCGATATTTGGCCGATAACTCCGCCTCTCCAGATTTGAGTTCACTGAGTAGATTGACCACATGAACAGCTCCGTACTCCAATTCCAGGGTCTCAAAATGTTGGTCGAATGCATGCTGCGTTGCTTCGGGAGAGCGTGTGATCTCAATCTTCTGCTGACCAGGAATCAGGCCGGGTGTTTGTTCCCAGAAAATGGGCACCGAGCCACGAATTTGCACATATGAGAAACAGATCCCTGGAGAGACCCACAGAACGATTTCCGTTTCTACAAAGTTGGCCACATTGCCGTCATCATCAATGCCTCGCGAGTTGAAACGAGTGCCGGCACGCCGAGAGGATTGCCGCGATATGATGGTCAATAGAGCCGGCATATTTGTCCGTACTCGTGGCAAGATTGGAACCGTTGCAGGAATCTTTAGCGTACCGGCATACCCTCGAATAACGCACGTCAGAATTTGAGATGCATCGAGATTTGCCTTATCGGAAGGCGGCAGGTGACTCCGGAACAGAAGGAGAGGGTGAATCATATACGAATTCCACAACATGTCCTCGTCTAATGAATCAATGTCAAAAGCAGCCGATTTCTCCGACCTAGGATGAATCTTCAGTTAAATGTAAATGGATTATCGGATGTATGAGTACATTGGCTTACCGATCCTGCAAGCGATCTGTCAAATTAAAATCGAGACTGTAGTAGAAGCTCCCATCTCCCAGAAGCTTCTTCAGGGCCAGGAAAGGATGATCGGTGACCCCTTCTGCACCAGCCCGTTCCTCGACCGCGAATTGGGAGCTAGTTTCGTAGTCTAAGCCATACTCATATTCGGATCGGTTGAGACAATCTGAGAGTGCGTTAGAAGAGAAGAAATGGGAGTATAGATATTCATCAAAACCATACAAAAATCTACATTGTCAATCCTGGACACAGCTTCTGCGGGACGCACGGTAGCTGCTTGCGAGGAGCCGGTAACCACGCAAACGAAGACATCTTCGTTTAGTGTAACGAGACCCAGAGTACCGTGTCCAGCACCCAAAGATCTGTATCCCGCGAGGTCCACGGATGAAGCCTCCAAGAATTCGACCTGACAGCGGGGGGCGGCGGCTTTAGGCCCACCTTCGGCTTCACTGTAGTGGAAGATCAGGACATGGTCGGAAGCAAGTAATGCAATTGTCCGTCGTGGTTGATCTCGACAGAGAACACGGAGATTAAACATGGCCCGTGGAGTGATTTTAATTCGTGCGTCGCACTGTCTATCATGAGCACTTCTAGAGGCTAAGCCTCAACTGCCCAACGGAAAACAGTTGGTCTTGCTGGGTCATGCGCGGTTAGAACACTTGATTGGGAAGAAGCCGGCCGAGAACCGATGATATTCCTAGATCCACAGCGAAAATATCGCTTCTCAAGAACAGTATGCGATTTGAATCGTTCGATCTGAGTGAGCGGTGATGGTTGATGTGGTTGATGTGGCTGAGTTGGGGAGTTGTATATGTGAGAGGCGCGATTATCAGGTTTATCGGGCTTATCGATACGCGGGGGATGGTTCCTTATCGCCCGCTGACTCAGCACCGCAAGTTTTCAATTTTCTCCAAAACTTTCTTTTCTTCAGTTCCTGGAGTACCAACAAAAAAAGTCCTTCTTTTCATACCCACTCTCTTTCTCCCAGCAGTCATGGGTCTGGCCGGACCCAAGAAGTATGCGCATATCCTATGATTCATATCGCACCCTTTCTGACATTTTACAGCAAAACTAAGATCTCCCATGATCCGAACAACACCAAATGGGCCCGCTCCACGTCCGGCTTCGGACACCGGATCATGAGCGCCCAGGGCTGGACCCCAGGTAATCGCTTGGGAGCCAAAGACGCTGCGCATGCCGATCTCTTGACCTCCGCGAGTGTCTCCCATATCAGGGTCACTATCAAGGACGATAATCTCGGATTGGGTGCCCGTGTCGGACGAGAGGGCCAACCCACCGGTTTGGATGCTTTTAAAGGGTTGCTGGGCCGGTTGAACGGCAAGAGTGAGGAGGAACTTCATATCGAACAGCGCAAGAGAGACGACGTTCACTTGGCGCGTTACGTTGCCCTCAAGTTCCAGGAGGTGCGCTTCGTTCGGGGTGGGCTTCTGACCCAGGAGAAACTCCAGCGGTTGCCAAACCCGACACCCAAGGAAGACCAGGCGAATAAGAAATCCGAATCCTCCACGACCAGCGACAACGATTCTGCCGATAACACCGAGTCCGCGACCGAGAAATCATCCAAGTCCAAATCCAAGTCCAAGTCCTCGAAGAAGTCATCAAAGAAGTCTCGCTCCCAGTCAGACGAGGCCGACAGCTCGTCATCGGTCTCTGATAAAAAGAAGAAGAAGAAGTCCAAGAAGAGAAAGGCGGAAGAGGACGATGATGAGTCTGAGACTACGGCCAAGCGTCGGGCGTCTACTCCTGACGAGAAGCCCTCGAGTGAATCTCAGCCTAAAATTGCCACGGTTCCGGCCCCAGTGATAGGGGAACGTCGGCCGATTGGCAGACAGGTCTTCCGCGGACGGCATATCGCGCAAAAGAAGAGGGCTCTTATGGACGACAAGTCGCTCAATGAGGTGAGTCTAGGAACACGGAGGATCAACCCCTCCATTGATTTTCACATTGATTAATTACATTGCTAATTGTGGCCTCTGGGAACAGATCTTCATGGTTAAGGCATAGACATTGGGACTGCGTTGCATAGACATACATTATCGGGATTCATGGGCAAGGTGTTTGGCGCAAATCGGTTGTTCGTTACTCACAGTTGAATACACTTATTGTCGAGCGGGGCCAGGACAGTCTATTGACTGCTTTGACCGCTTGATTCCTTTCTGAGACAACTCTCTCAACGGCTGCTTGGCCGCTTAATCTTTCTTGGTCAACGTAGTGCATAAATATCATAACCATTTCCCCTCGATTGAACGGAGGCATAAGTAAACTTCCTAGATGGCTAGGTATGTATTAGATGCTATTGCATACTCGACCATGACTATTAGCAACGCATCAACTTCGGAACTATCTCGCGGGCTACTACTGTGGAAACTTGGTCAAATGACTGAATTATCCAAGTAGCATGACAATCTAATAATGTTTGCGATAGCACTGCATACAAACTGCCATATAAACATATCCGTCCTACTAACTTGTAGGACAAAGTGTAACTAAAAAAAGTAACTCAAACGGCTCGGGGGCCTCGGTATTACCTAAGCCCGGGGCACCCGACGTCATCTGGTCTGTCGTTAAGAACGCTTCCTTGCGACACGCGGGGGGATTATTCTTCAGATTCTCCCCTCTCCTCTTCCCTCCGTGGTGCGAAAAGATGAATGGGGATACTCCGTCGAGAAGCGATCCAAGTACCACGGCCACCACGGCCCGTACATCATCGACTCGGCGCGAGAATGCTGAGAGGAAACGGTATGCGCCTGCTGCCTATCCAGCCTCCCCGGATTCTTCCAATATTCTCTAACTGACGGAACTCTTCAGCATCCACTGGGCACCACTAAATGTTGGCCTAGAGCGTCGCTTGCAGACGTTAATTGTGCTCTGCCACACGCTTACCATTGCAATCTTCCTAACCAGCTTCTTCTTCACATGTGCCATCCCCTTGTTCTGGCCTCTCCTACTGCCGTATCTGGTCTATATCTCACTATTCTCCACGGCACCCACGTCAGGAGAACTCAAAGGCCGGAGTAACTTCTTGCGATCACTTCCTATCTGGAAGATCTATGCATCTTACTTCCCCGCCCGTCTTCACCGCGAAGAGCCCTTACCCCCTACAAAGAAGTATATCTTCGGCTATCACCCACACGGCATCATTTCCCACGGTGCCTTCGCCGCCTTCGGCACAGAAGCCCTCGGCTTCTCCAAACTATTCCCAGGAATCACAAACACCCTCTTAACCCTGGACTCGAATTTCCGCATCCCGTTTTACAGAGAGTATGCGCTTGCCATGGGCCTAGCCAGCGTGTCGCGGGAGTCATGCGAGAATCTTCTGACCAAAGGAGGGGCTAACGGAGAAGGAATGGGCCGGGCAATCACCATCGTCATTGGAGGAGCTCGCGAATCACTCAACTCCCAGCCCTATTCCCTCCGTCTAGTCTTGAAGCGACGAAAGGGGTTCATCAAGCTGGCCATTCGCACGGGCGCTGACTTAGTACCCGTGCTCGCCTTTGGTGAGAACGATTTGTACGAACAAGTGCGTTCCGACGAGCATCCGATCATCCACAAACTGCAAATGTTGATCAAGCGTACGATGGGATTTACGATCCCGCTATTCCATGCGCGCGGAGTATTCAATTATGATGTTGGGTTGATGCCATATCGACGACCTCTCAACATTGTAATCGGCAAGCCGATTCCAGTGATGCAACAGTCGAATCGGGATAAGATCAATGACAGCTACATCGATGAGCTTCATGCTCGATACGTACAGGAGCTTCAGCGATTATGGGATCAGTGGAAAGATGTCTACGCTAAAGACAGGACGGGCGAACTGGAGATTATTTCTTAATCCAACCTACTAAAACTCTACTGGTCGTGCAAGGGAACTTGATGAGTTTGAGAATCTGTTCATGTCCACATATCTATTTTTCTACAGATAGCATGCATACCCTGCACCTGAATTAGGCATCGAAATGAACATCGCAAAAAATGAGACACGCTCAAGAAAGGTAAAAATAATCAATAATACATTGTTCTCTCTGGAAAAATACCAAAGGAACGTAACCAAATTCTTTAACAACGATGAAAAAAAAACGCATGGACATGGAAAAAGGTAACATCAAATAGATAGACGGGGTATCAGATCAATCAGAAAGAAGCATGAAAAAAAATACTTAAGGGGGAAAAAAGGAACATAACAGTGTGAAACCACAGTAGCCTTATCAACTTGGCGGAGAGCCTGGAACAGCCTCTGCTGGAACGGTGGGGGTCAACTTCGGCACCTCAGCCGAGCTCGAACCTCGACGGCTATCACTCGACACACGCTTGAAGTGGCCAAGGGAGTTTCTGTCCAGATGACCGCTTTCAACTCGGCCTTGGATCATCTCATCCAGCATCCTGGACACTTCGTCCATGTTCTTTCTCCGGTCCTCTTCTCTCTCGCCGACTTTCCCAGGAGCGGTGTGCCTTGAGGGACTCGTGTTCTTGTCGCTCACTTCACCGGGGGCTTGGAGTTGAGGACTGCTTGGACCAGAAGTGCTCGAGTCCATCTTGACTTTCAGTTCTGGAGATTGAGAGTCGCTGGTCACAGCGGCCAGGTCGCGGTGGCGGGCAGCAGATCGAAGTGCTGCCAGCATCCGGTCTTTATCATCGAGCTGGATACGAAGCTCGTTGATCTCCATGTCTTTTTCACGGAGTAGGGTCATCATGTCCGGGTGCTCGGAGATGGTGGTGGTGGAAGGGGCATTGGATTTGACCCCCACCGACATTCGAGAGTGACTCGAGCGACGAGCTTGAAGCAATCGTCGCTCCAACGTGGAGATATATCGATTCTTGTCGCCCAGGTCAGCCTGCAGGGCGGTGATTTGTCGCTGCAGGCTTGCTTTGCCATCACCAAACTCGCCCATATCCTCGTCGTCTTCATTGCCAAACGAGGCGTTGGTGAAGGGCATCGACACCGAAGGGTCATTGCTGTTGACCGACATATACGACATGGGCCGAATGGACGAGTGAGCTGCGCCCAATGTGGACTGACTAGCGGATGAGCGAAGGGAACGGGTCCCAGAGTCGGTGGCGGACATTCGGGAAAGTCGACCAAAGGCAGATGAGAGACTGCCGTGGTTGTTCACACCGGTTGATTTGGAGCTCAGAATCAACCGATTTAGATGCTCAATCCGTTCCTTCAAAGCAGTTCGGGCTAGCTGCATCTCCAGCACCTGCTCTTCGTGGCGAGCTTGGGCTTCCTTTTCAAATTGTTGCTCATCCCACTTGAGCTCCTTCTCTGCCTGCGCCTTGGCCTGGGTATCAAGCTGGCCACGAAGAGCTTGAATCTCCATACGGTAGCGTTCAAGGAGAACCCGACTACCGGCATCACCGCCGCCACTACCGTAGGCTTCCTCGGCCTTCTTTGCATGACTGACAATGCTGTTCTTCGCTCGTGCAGCAAACTTCAAGGTGTTCAGGGTCTCACCCGAGTGTGCGTTGATACCAGCGACTAGCTGAACCGTGCAGAGAATACTGACAAGAGAGTTTCCTGATAGAGCGGGCTGCAGCAACCTGGTCAACTTGGAATCACGGTATGGCAGATGCCTACCATCTCGATCAATCGGATTGCCTTGCTTGTCCTTGTTCTCCGAAAGCTTGGAGATAATGTTACCCAACGTAAGCAAACTCTTGTTGATGTGGGCACCTTCAGTCCGGCGCTCTTTATCATCGGCCGCACGCTCCGAACCAGCAAGATCGATCAAACTCAGGGTCGACACTCGGACACCACCGGGAGCAATGCCAGACCGCTTATCCTGCGAATCTCCGGCTGGCACTCGCTCTCGACTTTCGACGACAATCTGAACGACTGCGTGACTTCGAGAACTGCGCGCGTTGAACTGGGTGCTGCTGGTACGTCTGGCATGGTCTCCTCGCGCGATCACTCGCAGAAGCTGTGTCGGGCTCTGCACAATCTCTTCCTTCAGTGGCGTTGCATACACCCCACGTTTACTGTCTTCACGTAGCTTGATTTCTTCCTGTTGAGGTGCCGGGACACCGTTGGTGACTGAGGTCGAAAGAAGATCGTGGATCTTCTCATTATAAATCTCCAGATAACTGACTCGGAGCAAAAACTCCCGATGGGGCGTTTCCCGAATGAAAGAGAAGATATCGGTGATGGCGAGTGGAATCACACCGGGAGAGGTGGCAGTACCCTGCATCGAGAACGTCTTACCAGTACCTGTCATACCGTAGGCAAAGACAGTACCGTGATATCCTTCCATGACTCGTCGCACAAGCCGTTTCGCAGCTGAATCGTAGACCTTGGCGTTGTTTTCTTGTGGTGTAAAGACATTATCTATTGGCGAGGGGTTAGCGCCGGTTCTGATTACTGTGGGTGAATCCAGACTACGTACCATAATAGTAATCGCCTCCATCTTTACCGCGGTGGGAAATCAAACTCCGACGCCCATCCAGCCCCCATTCACCGTGATTTCGCGGGGTCTCGCCTCCATTGCTAGTGTCCGGTCGAACACGAACACTGACAATCACATTACCCTTGGACTCTTTGGCCTTGCCACCCTTGACAGTTCCCGTAGCGTCGTCCGTGTCCTCAAATGTAGTTGCACTGGTGGAACAGGACCCCTGGGCAGAAGAGCTCCTACTGTGAGACGGCGAGGCTTCCGGATCCCGTGCATCTGCCAGGATCGACTTTCCATCTGCGCTCCCATTCAGCAAGGATGGAGTTTTGGAGCTGCGGTAGCTGCTGGTGGTGCCTGTACTGAGCCGCGAGCTTCGCTGAGGCTTCGTATTCCCAGAGGAAGTGGGGCCTTGGATGCCCGATACTGAAGATGCGGAGGTGGAAGGGCGGCTACTAGCCTTGGGAGGTTGTGGGAAAGAAGCGATGCTGATGGTTCGGCGTAGAGGCTTTTCGGGGCTGCCTGGCGTTCGGCCACTGGAGACCGACCGGACCGCACTCAGATTCGATGTCGAGTTGGAACTGGATAGTGGGGACCGAAGGGACGGGGGTCTAGGACTGGACGGTGTCCGTAGCTTGGACGGTTGGTATGGAGATGCGGATCGAGGCGCATCGGGAGCCGGGGTGCTTTTTCTGGCTTTGGGAGTTGGTAGCGGGGGTAAAGAGCCGGTTGGAGGGTTTGTTGATGGCCGTGACGGAGTTGGAAGGGTGGACATGGAAGCCATGGTTCGTCTCTGGCGCCGGTCACCGGAGAAAGTAGTAATATCCCAATTCCCCTCCCCAGAGTGTCGATTCAGTGGATGAGTTACAGACGAGAATGCAACATGCGGGCGAGTTTGGAGTTTGTCGGTGTCGCGTTAAGAAATCTCGAATTGGGCGGCGGCGGGGGGTACTGTACAGGAACGCGCTATGATCAGTCAACTGGTTTAGATGCACGACCCGATAAACACCAGCCTTTTCCCCCGTTCTCGGCGCTGGATGCGGGCAGCAGCGATTATCCTTGAATCAGGAAGATGATCTGATCGGTGCTTAAGAAATGATCTCCCAAAAAATGTCGCGCGCCTTGAGAGATCTTTAGGAGAATTGTGGAGGGGGAGGATCGGATACTTACAGCCTTCAAACAACCATGCGTTGCGATCGCGACGGGGGGACGTGAAACTCGGATGTCCACGAAGCGCCACTGCCGCAGTGTTTAAGGAAAGTGACCGAAGGGGAGAATCGAGAAGTTTGGACTCGAACCGGGTTGCCGATCAGCGATCAGAAGTGGGAGGAGAGAAGTATCGGAATAGCGGTAGAGAGTGAAGGAAAAAGAGAGAAAGAGTCCAAAGTTGGAAATTGGAGAGACTCGAAAGATGGAACGGACTTGGATTTCCTCCCCCGCGCAACGCGGAAAGGCCCCATTTCTGATTTTAATCCATTTTCTTTCCCTGAAGATTACGAAAACTAGGCACGAGTAAGAGAGAGTCTGGACTGGCGGGAATTGGAATGGAGACTAGCTGGACGTTGCTTAGACTCCTCGAGTATATATCTACTCCTTGTCTCCTCTACTCCTTGTGTGCATGCAACTATACTCCCTACTCCCATATATTGTCTATTTACACTGTACCAGAATACATACAGGAGGACAGGAGTCCATAGTAAGTATACAATCCCCTAGTCTTCTAGTTCTCCCCCTGGTCACTCGGCACTCGACTTTTTTTTAGGTCCTTTTGTCCCTTGTCTCCCTCCCAACCCATCCATTCACAATCCGCGCACCGGAGAAAAGGGGTAGACATGGCGTGGTGCTAAAACGAGACAATCACAGTCTAATGCTCGAAGGAGTCAAGGCGCGAGTTCTAAAGGAGCTCGACAGGACCAATCATGGTAATGAAATGGACAAGCTGTGGAGGAGCTCGTTCGGGACCCAAAGGAACTTTGGCAAAAGGAAAAAAAGGGGGGACGAATGAACATGTCCGACTGGCTTTCCAGTGGAGTCTCCCGGGGCCGAATTATTGTGATGATAATGATTGTGATGATTTGTGACCAGAGCAATGCGAAACAAGCAGCAATCTAAGGCGCAGCACTCGGACGTCTGGGCTTGATTTTTTTTTGCTCCAGTCCCATCTTGAGGCTGGACGACGAGTCATGATGCTAAGAAGCGAAACAAACTCGGGCCCCATGTGCGAACCCAACGTTGATCCTTATTTTGATCTTCGCCCCATTATTTACCACCAGACCCACTCTGTTTTGGGTTCTCGACTCCTCGAGAAGTTGAGGGACTACTCCTCAAGGCCCTTTGGAATGATCCTCTCAAGGCAGAGGATCAGATCTCTCCCATTTTTCGCTCCTCTAGGAAAGTCATTACCGAGCGAGGGCCAACGATAGATCGGCAAACAACGCAAGGGGACACCACGAACGGCTGTCCCCTCCCAAGTAGGACGGTGGAGTACCTCGTACTCCATCCCGATTTGCTTGGATGGGAGAGATTGCGACATGACAGGTAGCGGCTGACAGATCGGATGTCCCTAGATCAATGTCAATGTACAGTCCACTGTGGAAGTCCCTGGCTCCCTATCAATGGCTACGGTACATACCATCCCCCTTGTACAAGGATCCTTTGACCCAATGCGTCGGGTTAGAGAGCTATCAATTCTGATCTCTTGGTCTTATTGCCGCGACAAAGTTGGGCAGAGACGATAGTCACTCTTTACCTGCATGCATGATGCAAGTCGAAGGTATGTACTATATGCGTTATCCTAGCATCAGGGGACTATCATTATGAAACATCATACGTTCTCGATCTCGGGGATGCATGAGATCGAAAGAAAAAAAAAGATTTACAATGGTCAATGAAAATGCTCATTAATCATCAAATTTGTCATTATTTCATGGCTCCAAAGTCCAACTGCCGGGCCGCATTCTTAAAGGGACCGTCGTCAGTCTCGCCCCCGCGTCGGGCCAAGTCATCGCCCATTTTCTTAGTCCCTGACTTCCGCGGGAGATCTTCATTCTTAGTCGGACGCGGTTCGGTAGTCCACCACTTGTGCTGCAAGACCTGCAGCGCAGTAGCGCGCTTGCGAGGGTCCAACACGCACATCGACATGAGCAGATCAGCGCCCACCGGACCAGCCGTAGGGAACTGCCGAAGGAAGAAGTCTCGTCCTTGCACCGGCACTGCCTTGTCCGCAACGTAATTGGCCAATTGAGTCACCCCAGGCCAATTCTCCTCGGTGGGTGTCCCAAAGGCCTCGCAGATCTTGCTAATTTGGTCAAGATCTGACATCCCAGCCAGCAGCGGGACACGCAAGAGTAACTCTGCAAATACCATGCCCATGGACCAGACATCCACTGCGCCGGAATATTGCTTGGCACCGAAGAGCAGCTCGGGAGGTCGGTACCAGCGAGTGATCACCTGGTGGGTCATATTGAGGTAAGGGTCCGCAAATGATCGCGCCAGGCCAAAATCTGCCAGTTTGACCTCGCCATCGGCCGCGATCAACAAGTTGTTGGGTTTGATATCTCGATGGAGCACAAAGTTCTCATGGCAGAACCATACTCCTCGAGCCAGCATGCCCATCCAGGCCTTGACATCACCCACACCGTAGTGGATATCCCCATCTTTGATCAACATTTCAAGATCTCCTCCCGGAAGGAACTCCAGGACCAGATTGAGGTTCTGATCTTTGGATGAAAACACGTCGTGGAGTGCAATCACGTTCCGATGAGATAGTTCTTGGAGATATTTGACTTCCCGGATAGCATCCATAGTGAGTCCATCTTTATATTCAGCATTGACTTTGATCTTCTTGATGGCGACGCACGAGGAGGGGTCGTCGCGGAAGTGTCCTAGGTATACGATGGCGTACGTTCCTTCACCTAGCTTCTTGCCTATTCTATCCGTTAGTCTCAATGAAAATTCAATGGTGCCTTGAGGAGCTGTGGCTTCCAACGCACCCTTGATGTATTTCCGCCGCACATCGTCGTTGAGCTGTTCCGTGAGCTCACGTTCCGGTTTCGACTCGGGCTTGGCAGCGGCTGCTTGGCCAGGTACATGATGGGAAGCAGCAGCTTTCAAACGTAGTGCAGAGTTAGGCGATGCGACAGTCATCGAAGGCGAGCGAGATGCAAATGGTGAGAGGGCCATCTCGGATGTGAACTGGGCCCGGAGGCTCTAACGAGCTCCGAAAGTGGCGTATAGGTATTAATGGAGATCCAGAGAGGGCATGAAATCGAAAGATAGATCGAAACCCATAGATCTATTGATGAGAGATTATTTTCTGAGGTTGAAAGAAAGAGAGAGCTACAGCAGGTAAATGCCCAAGCTGTACCATGAACGCGCCTCGGAGTATCGTTGATCCCGAAGGTGCTGGGTGGCTCCGAAATTTCTCAGCGCGGCCAAACAGCCACGGGCAACTCGGTCAACTGACGATTAACTTCCCCACGGGTCAATTCCTCCCTGACCTCACCTCCTTCCCTTATTCCTGCTCTGAGGAGGGCCGCCAATTCCTGGGGAAGCATTCTACCCGCGTCAGCCTAACCACACAACCTCATTCCCAGGTAGTACTTGCGGGAGTCAGTCCGCACGTCACACCACAACCCCCATCATGGCGATGCGCAACCCCCAACTCCGAAGTCTCCCATCCCGGCTCTTCCAGACCATCACCATCTCCAGACAATGCCTTCGACCATTGTCCCACAAGGCGGCACCCTCAGTGCCGTCCCCGACCCCCTTCGTCCCAGACGTCCAGACCTTCCTCACGCTGATCGGCCGTGAAATGTCCAAGCACGCGAGCAAGATCTCTTCCTGGGAGCAACTGTTCTCCTCCAACTCCGACCAGCTCCGCGAACTGGGCATTGAGCCCGCCCGGCAGCGCCGATATCTCATGCGGAAGCGAGAGAAGTTCCGCAACGGAGTCTACGGACCCGGAGGTGACCTGGAGCAGGTCGTGGACGGGGTGGCCCAATTGCGCGTGGTGGAGGTGCCCCGTGAGTCCGACAGCGCAGCAGCCGGCGCTAGCTCTGCGACATTGACACCGGGCATGAAGAAGGCAATTGTGAATCTGGCACCGGATGCCACGGAATACAAGCACAGCGCGTCGGCGGTGCTGAAGAAGTTTGCGCACATGAAGATCCACCGGGGCTCGAAGATTATGGGTCCCTTCCTACAGCCGATCAAGGGCTCTCATGGCTCTGCGGCGACGATCTCGGTTCAGGAGGGCATGTGGGAGGATAAGCGGGGACAGAAGGTTGATGGTGGTGAGCGACGACGGGTTGAGGTGCGGGCGAAGAAGAGACTCGAGGAGAGGAGGAAAGCGTAAAGTGGACTCGGGATGGATTGGCGTTTTCCTGCATATCTCTTGAGCCCTTCCTGATGGACTTGTGTGTTCTATTTGCAATGTACTATACTGCTATACTATCAACTATCAACTATTCAAGGGCTATACTTGCCCCTTTGCATTTACATCTCTGGCCGAGTAGGCGAACATTTGATACCATTTGCCGCAGTACAAACAGCCCTGAAGAATTACTTTCCTGTTTGGTACATGAGTACATGGCTAGAAGGAGCCAAAGACTGCCTATAATATATACTGCCAAGCTACTTGCTTTCCAAATTCAATCGTCTTGAAATCGTCTTCAATTAGATAAATATAATAACAGTCACGGTATCAACACAAATGATAACAAGGATGAAAATCGCGAAGCGCGATGAAGAAAAGAAAACACAAAGGTTTAATGTACAATGAGTACGATCGTTCCAAGGACGTCGAGGGCGGGAGGACGAGAGACTGTACAGATGGAACAGCCAATCTGTGGAGCAGTCTCCTTTCTTCGGGTCCCCACCACTCTGATGAAGGTCATTAAATGTAATAACAGGTACCAAATGTCTAGCGACTTTCTTTTGTGGGAGTTGCCGACTCGCGGGCTCCGTCTATTCCTTGGTGCCACGCTTCTCATAGCGGACAAACGACTTGCCCAGAGGCTTGGAGAACAGGGACTATAGACAATGTTAGTTTAAAGACTATTTCTTGGAGGTTTGCACCACTCTCTGCATGAATGACTTACCGAGTAGTCGGTTTCCGGAATACCAGGGGCATTGGGAGGGTTGGAGAACTTGAATTGCCTGACCAGCGCAGCCAGAATTGTGCCCAGTTGGACGTAGGCGAACTGCTCACCGATGCAGCGGTGACGACCGGCACCGAATGGCAGGTAAGGGCTGTTGGTACCCTTGCTGACGAGACCATAACCGTAATCGATCTTCTCGTCATCGTCATCCTCATCCTTGGCAGCGTTGGCCTCGTCCCAACGGTGGGGGTTCCACTTCAGAGGCTCGGGGAAGTACTCCTCCGAGCGAGCAGTAACACCGGGAGAAGACAGAACGTTGTGGGTGGTGGGGATAACATAGGTAGTTCCCTCGACAGGCATGGGGTTCTTGACAGCGCGAATGATAGAGTGGATGGGAGCGTGAATGCGAAGGGTCTCCTTGATAACCTTGGAGTGCAGGTCCAGCTTCTGAAGGGTCTCGTAAGTCAGATCAGGCAGATCCTGACCCAGAACACGGAGCTGCTCCTGGTAGAGTTCCTCGATGATCTCGGGGCAGGTGGCCAGACGCAGGACAATCCAAGCAGCTGTAGAAGATGACGAGTGCTGACCGGCCATCAACAAGGCGATCATCATGTGGGCAACCTCCTCATCGGGGACCGGGGTACCGTTCTTGTAGGTGCACGACATCAGGTTCCAGACCATGTCCTCGGAGTCCTTCTTGCCACCGGCCTCACGGCGCTGGCGAATGATATCCATGTAGGTCTCGGTCAACTTGCGCTGAGCAGCATCACGCTTGCGGTTGTGAGGGAGAGGGGCCCAGGGAAGCATGAAATTGATGGGGGCGAATCCCATATCGAGGTCATGGTACATCTCAGCAAAGGTGGAGTTGAATCGATCACGAACCTCCTTGCCCTGCAGGGAGCGCGACGCAGTGTAGATGGTGATTTCGGCAATGATCTTGGTAACGTCGAAGGTACCCTTGGACTCCTGGAAGGCGGGGGAGCTCTTGACGAAGTCATTGACCTCGTCGGTAATCAGGCGCACATAGGAGCGGAGGGCGTCAGAGGTGAGGCCGAACTTGACAAACTAGAGCGAACCAAACAGATTAGAACTCGGCGCGTGGAGATTGAAATTGTCGAGGATTTCCCTGTTCTCACCTTCTTCTGCTCCATCAACTTGGAGTTGGGGCAGTCGTAGACGACATTGCTACCAAAGACGGGAGTAGTCAGGGGCGAGTAAACCTCCTCGGCGCACACGTCACGCAGCTTGCCGTTCAGAATGAATTCGTTGCCCTTGGTACCCAGGTAGACGGTAGTCTTCTTGCCGAGGAGAATGAAGGTGAAAATGTCACCGTACTGCAGAGAAGACGCATTAGCGGGCGCACTGGATTGAAGGGAATTACCATAAAATGGGGTGCGCACCTTTTCGCGGGCATTGAAGAAGAACTTGTACGGGTCAATACCATAACTGATGGTGCTGCCGACGAAGGGGAACCAGTGGAAGACGACTGGGGGCTCGTGGGGGTTCTTGAAGAGGAGCTGGCGCAGGACATTGATCACGACGGACAAGGCGATGAAGGACAATGCGCCAACGGAGACGAGTGTGAAGATGGACTGGGACGAGCAGTGCTCGCAGAACTTGTCGAGGAAACTGGTGAAGAGACCCATGGCGGACGGATCAGGGGGGGGAGAACAATCAAGGGGACAAGAAGAGAAGCAGAATTCCCAAAGCCTTCAGGGCAAGGCGAAGGGAGAAGAGGACTAGATCAGACCACGCGAAAATTGGCAGTAGAATGGTCCGTAGTCCGCGGGTTTCAAGAGAGGACGTGAAGGTTGGAAGTGGCAGTGTCCAGAGGTGGAAGGGGGCGCAAAATAATAATCTCCGCGGTGATTCGGTGAGGACCCGCCACGCCTCGTCCGATGGTTGTGTTCCCCTGGTTCTGCGAGGAACACCTTACCATATTGTAGTAAGTATATTATATACGATACTACGCATTTGAACCCTCTAATTGACTATTTCATCGGTTTTAATTTGCTACAATATTCATTCTAGGCTCGACAATGGTGTTCTATCCACGAAGGCATGTGTTCATACAAAAAAACGACTCCGGTGCTTCGGCCAATGAGGTTCGCGCAATCCCCAAATGGGCAGTTGATCAGGCCACTTTATTAGTGGAAGTTATTGCTCGCTAAATCTACACTCCTAGATCGCTAGTCCTATATCCTACTACTGATTGGGCTAGTTTTGTATATACAAGCTGTCTGCGCGCCTAGGGACCCGTTCTGCGTAGGTCTAGCAGAGCTATTGCCTCACTTAGCGGCTGAATCTTCTTCGTTAAGGTAGCGGTACGTAAAGGGCGAAGACGAGGGCAAGAGGTAGACATACCGGCAGATGCTATACAGATATATATTGCATCATTGGCTAATGTATATATATATATATGGTCTAGCCCCTTGGGCAAAAGGGAAACGTAGAAAGCCCTCCCTGGAAGACATCTAGGTTGTAACGATGGCCTGATGTATGGCGCAACCAGAAAGTAGCAGTAGAAAGATATTGAGCCGGGACGCTTATGGCACCATGGAAATTGCATTTCAACGCCAGACTGACAAATGACTCTAAACTATACACATCAAGAAACCCCCTTTTGTGCCATACCAGTCCCATTTCCCCGATAGTTACCCCCTGAACCGCAAAGTAATACATACACGCCCTCCTCGGAGCCACACAAAATTACCACAAGTCGAGCTGAGTTAGCTCAATTCAGACAAAACCAGAGGTGACAAGACTTCATCGCTACCGACTAGTCATAGAGGGCAGGATCTCCAGATTGGCCCAGGTTCATAAAGTCTTTGGGATCGCGATCTCCACGAGGAGAAGCCTCGCGGCGCGGTGCTCTGGATGGCCGATTGTGCACTCGCTTCCCAGCTTCATTCTTGTGATAAACCTTGACAGGGGCACTGCTGCCCTCGGCATGCTCGCTGAAGTGGACGTCGTTGACACTGCTCAGCATCGTGCGTTCACGCTCCACCTTACGCTTGGAAAAGTCCAGCTTGTCAAGAGCCCCAGTGAGGCCATCCGTGCTGTCATTGACGCTGGGGTACTTTTGAGTAAGCCACGGGTGCTCGAGACACTCATCCACCGTGATGCGTTTCTCAACGTCCACGGTAAGCATCTTATCAATCAGGTCCAGAGCCGGGTCGCCCACAGAGTCCCAGTAGGGGGAGGGGTAATCGAAACGACCCATCTTGATCTGCTGCGCTAGGGTGTATGGGTTCTCCCGCGTGTATAATTCATCTGAAAATGGAGGGAAGCCGCAGAGACAGATGTAAAGTACGACACCCAGCGACCAGACATCCACAGCCTTGGTATACCGTCGTCGACGGGTCTCTTGTAGGATCTCGGGCGCAACGTCTGCATCAATTAGTCTCGAGATTAATTCTCTCCCTTCATGTATTAATAGTTCTGAACTTACAACTGGGTGTGCCGCAGCTATGGATAGGAAGTGTTAGCACATGTATACGACTGGGACGAGAAAGAAGATCATCTGGGGCCTTACAGGGTTGTGGTGAACGAATCCTCTCCAATGATCTTGGCAAGACCGAAATCGCCCAGCTTGACGGTCAGTTTCTTGTCTGACACGAGAATGTTTTCTGGCTTGATATCCCGATGTACAACTCCTCGATCATGCTAGAGTCAGGGGTTAGCGCTATCTAAATTGCGTGGCAGTCCGGGAGGCAGGGGAATATTTACCAGATACTTCAAGCCCTCGAAGAGCTGACGGAACACATGGCGGGTTTCAGCCTCGCTCAGCTTTTGCTTGGTCACGATCAGGTTGAACAATTCACCCTCGGGGGCCAGCTCCAGAATAAGGTAGGCGCCATCGGTCTCATCAAAAGTATCCTTCAGGCAGAGGAGGTTTGGGTGATTAACACTCATTAGAAGAGCAATTTCTTGCTGCAATGTCTCGTTCTGGGACTGCGATTTTTGTGAATCACCTGGACGCTTTTCAAAGACCTTGGCGGCATACTGCTTTCCTGTAGTTCGATCAGCACACAGGTAAACCGTAGCAAAGTGACCCTTGCCAAGCTGCTGGAGTCTCCGGTACTGGTGGCGGAAGCCACTGGCATCTCGAGTACGAGGGTAGCGGAAGACAAATCGAGCCTCGTTCAGGATAGACACCTCATCCCGATCTTCGAGCTCGCGATGCTTGTTGCGGCCTACCAAGGCATCGTTGACGAAGGTCCCGTTGCTGGAGAGATCCTCCAACATCGCAACCACATCGCCCTTTCTCTTCTCGGAGAAGAGAAGGAAATGCCGGTTTGAGATGGTGGGACTGTTGATGACCAGATCTATGTAAGGGAAAAGGTTAGTTGGGTGTCAAAAACATATGCAAACGAACAGTTGTTTACGAACCACACTCGATATGACGACCGAACAAGTAGCCGCCAGGGACGCGACCATTTCCTTGTTTGCGAGATTGTGACTTCTTGTTGGATTTATCATTGGCGGGTTCATCACGCCCAGCACACCCATCACGCTGCCTCAACACGACCGGACCGCTCACACTGTCATCGAGCGGAATAAGATATCCCCAGACTCCCTCCGCACTCTCGTCGTCCACCTCATCTGCGTATGTCCTCGGGGGATAAATGAACTGGGAGAGGGCTTGTGTGTCTCCGGGAGGCGAAGAATATGCCTGAGAAAAATCATTCGCTGGAGTCTGTTGACTGACGTGGTGGTTCGGGCTGTCTGGGGGAGTGGCCGTGACTTCGTTGCGGATATCGGTGGCCGTCGAGTTGCCGTGGGTCAGCGGCGTCGGCAGATAGTCATGGATGACCGGTGTTTCTAGTGGTTGCTGGTGTTGCTGACTCGAGATTCTCTGCGAGCGCCGGGGCTTCTTCAAGTCCTGCGAATCGACATCCACGCTGTGCTGTCGGAGAGGAAAAGGACGGGTCAGCGCCAGCAAGTCACGAACCCCGTCGACGGACACTTACTCTGCCCCGTTTGAGCGAGCTTTTTTCACGAGGCGCCATCGTTCTCACTCATACCACACAGACCCTCGGCTTGGGAATTTGTCCACAGGCCAATTAGCGGTGCTGTCTAGATGAGGCTTCCTGGGGCATGGACCGTCGGGGTAGCCGGCAAGAAAGTAGAATCTCGGCAGTATCGAGTCTTTCACAGTGAATACCGGACGAATCGCAGTAGAATCGAGCCAAAAAAGAGGGTTCTGAAGGGGAGAGTCGTTTAGGGTGAGCGGGGGAAAGAAGAAACGGGGGGAAGCTTTGGAAGTTTGGAGGCTCAAGGAAGCTACTTTTTCGAGGGTGAGAGCCCTCAGCCGCCGCCCGCCCCAAGTTGGACAGGTCAATTGACATTTTGTTTGCTATGTATTTCCCAGTCAGGGATGTATATGACTTCGTAATAATGGACGATATATTTTAGATTATGTATGATAGTAAAATATATGACCTTTTACCCCGGTCAAAGCATGTTGATCTTGGAAACTCTTCTGATTATTGACTCCCCCCATAGTTACGCAGAAAGCGGGTCAAATCTCCATCGGACCAGGGAAGCAAGTCGGGCCTAGGTTCACGCGTCAACACGTGCCCGTCTCTCATTCCCCAGGAATTCTGAGGAATCTCGAGTCCATCGCAATCCTCTCTTCTCCTTCTCAACATCCCTGGATTGGAGTGAGAATGGATGGGTAAGTAAAGCTGATCAAGCTAATTCAAGCGAAAACTTATCCTGTGCTAATCAGAATTTATGGCGAACAGTCTCTCGGTCGGGATTCGACGCTCTGCTTTCGAGAAGTTGGCGGCCTTGGCCGTCAAGTCTCCCGGCAATGACGATGGTTCGGACCTTGCGCGCCTCGCCAAACAGACCCGGTTGGCTCGACAGCCCGATGGAGCTCTGAATGGAGTATTGAAAGAGCAGGCTCCGACTTCCCGAATTCCAATGGTGCGCCTTGGTCTACAAGTGTCCGTTATTGCGGGGTGATGATATACTAACGTCTAGATCTATAGGGGATTCGCGAACTCGATGTCTTACTCGCCTTATGCAAGGCTGCCTCCTCCGTGAACGATCCCGAACATGCCAACCGTCTGGTCTCTCAACTGTCTCGATACTTGCCGGAATCCCCTACTCAGCTGTTTCGCCCATCCCCGTTCCTCCACCAGGTTAAGCCGTCGCCATGGGAGATTCTCTCTCATAGTTTGACCACAGCACTCTTGTCCTTGGCCACTCAGTTTTCATCTTTGCGCAAAGTGGCCCTCAATGCGGTCAGCGGATACCTCAAGAACTGCTCCGATGCCGTCAATGCGGTCACCCCGTTTCAATACTCTTCATCCGAAGCGGGTGGACGAGGTGTTGTCCACGAATCTATGGCCGTCTTGTCGATTGCGGTGTCATTGGTTGGATTCCTGGAGGCATCCTCCAAGTACACTGTCATCTGGACTGCGGGAGAAAAGTTGCAGATCATCGATCACTTGAGATCAATGCTTTCCGAGTCATTCATGATTGCCGTTGAAACTGCTTCGTCGACAGTTCGTAATGCCAGCCACTCTGAAAACTCCATCAAGGATTGGAGAAAATACACCAGGCGGTATGCAGCTCATGGCCGCCCATTGGGTGCCATGCTAGTTCAAGAGGGCTTCATGCGCTTTGTCAAGTCATGCGCTGCATCCTTGATCGGATCTCAGAACTTGTCTGATGACCAACTTTTGGATGAATACATGGCTGGTGTCGGAATTGCCAAGAGCTACGATGAAGCTGACATTGCTTTGATTGAGCGTGTCACAGACCTGATTAGTGAGGAAATCAACTTGCTGGAGGATGGATCGGATTATCTACAAGTTGGGTCCCCCTCCCAGCAGCGGCTGGCCTTTTCCGTGAAAGGTCATGCTCTGATTGGATTTTTGAACTGCGTCGTTCTCGGTGAAGATGCTGCCAATAATGATGTCCTTCTCTCCTGGCTCGAGAATACCGTTGGCGACCCTCAGCAGATGGCGTGTGACGAGCTGGCCATCACTGCGCTCAAGTGCACGGCGATTCTCGCTAGAATGTCTTCAAACGGAGCCACACTTGGACGGCGCTGCCTCTTGAAGTACTTGGTTCACGGTCGCGCATCAAAGGGCTCCGTTGTCGCTGTGGCCTCTCGATGTCTCGCCCAAATCCTGAGTATTCTCTCTGAGGATTCCGTGATTGCAACATTGTACTCTTTGGGCAACTCACTGAGCCCCGGCCCCATGGCCGACGGAGCATCCCAAGATCATCTTCTTGCCGATTCTACTGGGATTACAGGAAACCTGGTAGCGTATGCACATGCCGTGAATGCAAGCCAAGCAGCACTCTCGGCTCTCGGCGAGGAAGAGACTTTGACCAACCGTAATGTTGTCCATGCCATTGTCATTATTGCGACCAGTTGCAACGATGACAAGATCAGCGCTCTTGCGCAGTCGATGCTTCTTCAAAAGGTTGGCAAGATCAATGTCTCAGTAGATGCTTTCATTATCCAGGAAGCTGCTGTTCTCGCTTTGAGTATCGGACAGGCTGAATTCCAGCTCCTACTGAAATTCTACTCCCGCATCTTCCTTGACGGGGTCCACAAGGGCCTAGAAATAATCACCGATGCTGTTCAGTGTGCCATGTCGTATCTCTCTTTGACACTGGACAGCAATTCTCCCCTGCACAGACTTTATCTCACCCATCTACTGGAGAGTGTTGTCAACAAGGGAGATGTCCCAGATGCGGGCGACTCCGAACGCCACAGGGAGGTTGTTTTCGCTCATAGCGATATCACGCCCCTCTTGAAACCCTTGGCATTGCTTGTGTCCTCTAAGAAGGCCACCGCGGAGACTTGCAATTTGACTTTGGGCTATGACGAGACCATCTGCTCTCTATTCCGGGATGCCTGGTTCAACATCGCCATCCATGGAATTTCGGTCAGCTCGAGCATTTACCAGAAGCATCTCAAGGAATTGAGCCTGTTCGCAAGCCACTCCCCACCCTTGGTTGCGGAAGAGCGTATGGAGTCTCTCGAGAGTGACGTGGAGCTCAACACTGTACTCAGAAGGGGCATGGGACCGCAGCGGGTTCTGGAGCAGAAACGCTCGCTGATCGCAGAGCTGCCAGGTCGGGAGTCTGATATCAAGCGCCTGGACTACCCCAGGTCGGTGTTCCTCAATGCTGTCTTGCTGGTCGAAACTCTCCGCTCCGCTTCTGGTGACTGCACCAAGGTTCTTAGCTACTTCCGGGATCCAGCCGTGGCTGCTCCAGAGATGGTCATTTGCATGAATGCCGTTGCCGACAAGGTCGTGACCGGCTATCTTTCGCGCACACTTTCGGGAGATTATGACGAGTTCTCGGCGCCCTACTTGGCGATGCAGCTGGCCAATTTCCTAACTGCTTGCTGTCATCGCATTGAGAGGATTCAACACATAGCGACGCTGTGTACCGACAAGATCATTCGCGAGTGCCCTTCTGCCCTCTGCGAGAAGCACTCGCTCTTTGCTCTTCTCGAGATTCTGACGGTGATGTGGTTGTCCTGCCTCCAAGGAGAGCTTGACGAATTTGAGTGGAAGCCAACTCTGGTTTCCCCAATGGGCATCGTCAAAGTCGATCTGCCTGATAATTATGCCCTACGAAAGGCCACTTTGAACCGATTCTTGGAGCGAGCCAGAACGTGGGTTACCACAGTCTTGAACATTGCCCCTCTGGATATCAAGGGACTACTGCAGGTACGTGGAGTTCAACGGTCCACCTAGGCGAGTTTGTACTCACATCTATATTAGACATACCTTTCTGAATACGACGACGACGGTGGCTATGGCCATATCTCGCTAGGCCGCTCCTTCGCCCTCGAGATGGGTTCTCTCATTCCCCACAGTGATCCTCGTCTCGGTAAGTTCATCCTTTCACTCGAAATAACAGTGCCATTTCCTTGTCTAACACGTGAAACAGGATCCATTGATAGCCATGAGAGTGAAGTCAACGTTGCGTCTGACTTTATGGCGCTCTATACCACACGCCAGAAGTACCGCCGTCCGGATATCTCGTTACTTGACAGTGCCGATGGCCAGGTCCTTGGTATTGGCGGTTGGTCACCCAATTCCCCACCCTGCATCTATGTCTATACTGACCCGCTGCAATTTCTAGGCCGTAAGCCTGAAGTGGACTTCTCAACCGAATCTGCCAATGCTCTCGAATATTCCCTGGCTCGCCTTTATGGACGTAGCATGAAGGGAGAAGAAATTCCCTTGGGAGAAGTGAGGGATGCTCTGCGACAAGCTGCACGTTTGATCTGTAGTAGTAGCAGCCCTCGGCTTTCCGTTGTCCACTACCTGGTGGCTTTGCCCTTCCAGATTTTCACCAAGGAGACGATCAAGCTGGGCGTCTCGTTGTGGCTTGGTGTGATCCACGAGAACCCAAGTGTTGAACCGCGTATCTTGGCACACGTAGTTGAGGCTTGGGATAAGAGCATCCAGAGACGCCAAGGCTTGTTCGATCCTAAATTCGAGTATGAGCCTCTCTTCCCCGATTGTTACTGCCTATAAGACTAACTTCTTGTCTTAGTTACTTGGATCCGCTGCAGACCAAGATTGAGTTGCTCCCTACAGACAAAGCATCAATGCTTCGGAAGCAACAGGATGCGCAGAACACACTGTCGCCCCATTTGCGCGTGCTTCAATTCTTCGAGAGCCACTTCAGCGCTGTACGCCTAGGCAATCTCCAGGACCAGCAATTGTTCTGTCGCTTGATCAGCAATACTCTCGTGGCACTGACCAAGACGACGGGTCATCCGTTGGCCAGAGAGATCCACTTCCGCATTGTTCTCTTTGGCTTGCGCATTTTGCAACACCTAAACCCACGTAACAGTGCTGCCACCTGGAAGCTCAAGGATCAAATTTTGTCTGCTGCATTGAGCTGGTTCAGGCACACACCAAGGTATGTTTCATATTTGTCTTTCATAGAAGACCTTGCGCTAAGTTATTCAGATGGTCGTTTGGCGGTAATCGCTTGCAGATCAAGGCCGAAGACAAGGTCCTCAGCGATGTGCTTTCCGCTTTGCGGAATGTCGCAGACATCGCCACCCACGTCCAGGGATCGTATAAGTCGTTGCAGTCTAAGCAGGAGTTGACCCAACTTCTCATCGAGAACGAGAGGTCTCGTCTTCGAGTTTGGCTGTTCCCCCTGGAGCCTGAGCGAAAGCACCACATACCTTCGATTGGCGGTAGCAAGAACTCAACCGATGTAGGTTTTCCTATTTTACGATTTACTAAAATTTACGAAAATAGAGATACTAACACGAATGCCATAGGCCACTACGACTTATCTCCGGCTTGCGTGGGCTGAGAGCCCAGGTCTAGCCATTCAGCTCGCTACGCGATTCCCGTCGATCAAGATGCAGACCGAGATCCGTTGGTTAATTCTCAATTTCCCTGAGAAGGCCACTCGTGAGCCAAGCGCTTTGGAAATCATGTTCGACTCATCCCTGCAGGCCGATGTCAATTCCCAGCTGAAGGTAAGTAGTCAAGAAGATATCTTCGTGGTCATTGATCTCCACTTACTGACCGTAATCTAGTATCTCTTGTTCTGGGCGCCTGTTAACCCAACAGAAGCGATCACCTACTTCCTTCCAGCATATGGAAACCATCCATTCATTCTCCAATACGCTATGCGCGCTCTGGAGAGTCATTCTATGGATATCCGTTTCTACTTCGTGCCCCAGCTAGTCCAGGCTCTTCGATACGATGCTCTGGGTTATGTTGAACGATACACTCTTGAAACGGCGAAGCAATCTCAGCTATTCGCCCATCAAGTGATTTGGAACATGAAGGCCAACTCCTACAAGGATGAGGACTCGCAAGTGGTAAGTACCTGCCGTATCCCCTGTATCCCCGATAAAGCCACTCGTCATAATCTGACTCTCTAAACCCGCAGCCGGACCCGATAAAACCGACTCTGGATCGATTCCTTGAGGCCCTGATCTCGAGCTTCTCGATCGAAGAACGCGACTTTTACGAGCGAGAATTCTCGTTCTTCAATGAGATCACCGACATCTCTGGTAAGCTCCGCCCTTATATCAAGCGGAGTAAGCCCGAGAAGAAGGAAAAGATCGAAGAGGAGCTGCGCAAGATCAAGGTTGAGGTCGGCGTTTATCTGCCTAGTAACCCCGACGGTGTGGTCGTCGGAATCGATCGCAAGTCTGGAAAGCCATTACAGAGTCACGCCAAGGCCCCGTACATGGCGACTTTCCGGATCCAAAAGACCCGGCACCGTCTCGGAGGAAAGGGTGATTCAACCAAGGCTATCGTTAACGGGTCCGATCAGCGCCAGCTGAAGACTCGTCCAGCCGAGCCGGACCAGGAAACCTACGAGGTCTGGCAGTCAGCTATCTTCAAGGTCGGCGACGACTGTCGTCAGGATATGCTTGCCCTACAGATGATCGCGGCCTTCCGCAGCATCTTTTCTAGCGTTGGCCTAGACGTCTGGGTATTCCCCTACCGTGTGACCTCGACTGCACCAGGCTGTGGTGTGATCGACGTTCTGCCAAACTCCATCTCCCGTGACATGCTTGGCCGCGAAGCCGTGAACGGATTATACGATTACTTCGTCTCCAAGTACGGCGGCGAAGACTCAATCCGCTTCCAAGAGGCCCGCACCAACTTCGTCAAGAGTATGGCCGCGTACTCCGTGATCTCGTATCTCCTCCAATTCAAGGACCGTCACAACGGTAACATCATGGTAGACGACGCAGGCCATATCATCCACATCGATTTCGGCTTCTGCTTCGACATCGCTCCTGGTGGCGTGCGCTTCGAGCGTGCGCCGTTCAAGTTGACCTCTGAAATGGTCGCAGTCATGAGCGGCACGCATAACCCGGCGCACCATCCTAGCGGAACGTCAGGCATCAGCTTGCCCGGCAGCAACTCGCATAACCCGACAATCACACAGCCATACCGGTGGTTCGAGTCACTGGTGGTCAAGGCGTTCCTGGCATCGCGGCCATACTGTACTAAGCTGGCACATATCGTGTCGCTGATGCTGGACAGTGGACTTCCATGCTTCAAGCCCGAGACTCTGAAGAACTTCCGGGACCGGTTCGTGTTGGAGAAGAGCGAGCGTGATGCTGCGGAGTACATGCGCGAATTAGTGCGCAAGTCGTACATGAGTGTGTCGACTAAGGGATATGATCAATTCCAGCTGATGACAAACGGTATTCCATACTAATTGGATTGGGGTTGCCTTGGGCATGGCAGCTTAGGCTCTGTTGTCTTCTTCGCCTTTCGCTATTTGTGGGTTGTGTTTACGTGTGATTCGATTATCTTTCTTCTCCGCCATGTAATGGCCTAATTTTACTTAATGGATATTATCCGCCTTCTCATCAACTTATTCAGTTTCGAAATCCAGTAAAATAGTCAAAGTGTCTGTCATAATCAAGTCCTAAATCCTCAGTCCTGAATCGCTAAAAAGAAAAGATCATAGCTGTGCGTGTCTCATTTTGAGGGAAAAACAAGCAGACCACCCGTAAACCTCACGCTGAACCCGAGGTAAAAAACGCCGCGTTTGGAATTTTCCCAGCCATAAAGTCAATATCACCCAGTTGATAGCCTGTCATCCGCCAGGAGACTTATCTAGACCAGCTCCTTCTGTGTGATACCATCAATTGTTAGCTTGGCACCTACTGTACCAATCACCGCGACACCCCGAGGAATTTTAATGTCACGGATCTTGAAGCAGCCAAAGACAACGAGTCTTGTCAAGGCTGGACAGCATCGGAAGATACACTGTGCCAAGTAGTCATCCACAACCCCGTTGAATGCAATATCCATGTACTTGAGCTCCGGGTATCGCTTGTGTTCGCCAAAGGCTTCTTCGTATGCAGCATATGAAACGTGGCGACACGAGGCAACATTCAGACTTTGAAGTCTGGCGCCCGAGTGCTCCATCAATGCAACGAAGCCGTCGGAAGCGAGGCCGACGGGCTCAGGTGGGCCACCGGGGTTTGCCATGTCCACATCGCGCACACGATGGAAGTCTGCGAATGTCAAGGCAGGATTGGACCAGCCACGGAAGAGATTGGCGATAGCCTTGTCTGTGAGCTCTGCGTTTATGGCAAGTCGAAGCTTGGTCAAATGTCGGCACTTCTCCCGGATAAGCTCAAGCAGCCTGTCGTCTACGAAATAGAATTCTTCCAGGGAAAGGGATCGTAGATTGGAGCCGAGCTCGGTAAGAATCTGGAGAAGAGGCTCGGGAGTGGTTTCCTGGCTGATCTGCAGTGACAGATGCTGTAGGGTCTTCATGGTTGAGATTGTCTCGAGCGCTTTGTCGCCAATCTTGTTGAGATGCTTCAACTTTAGACGCTGGAGTTGAGTGCAGTTTTTGGCCATGACCTCGACGGTCTCGTCATCAAACGCGGAGTCGAGATTCCACAGTTTCAGACTCCGAAGGCGCGGACCAAGTCGAGTGAAAAGCTGGCGCCAAACTTCATCCGTGACCAAGTTTGGTGAATCTAGGTGCAGGTCTTGGATATCCATGTTCCGATCCATCATGTACTGGAAAATTCGATCTTTCATTGGGGTGACAAATCGCAAGTTGAGCCGGGTTAGGTTTGGCATTGTGGCAAGGATCTTGTGATAGTCGTCGGTACCAAGCTCTATATTCCTAGTCAGGCTTGGACACAAAGGTGGAAAACGAATATAGCAAATGCTGATCGGTGATACGTACTAGCACAGTCATAGATGTTAATCTCCTTATTCTGCGGGCGTAGGAAAAGATCCAAAGTCGTCGAAGTGATCGCCCGTCTTCGGGCTAGAATTTGGCTGAGACGATGCATGACTGGTGGCGGAAGGTCGCCAAACTCTTCCACATCGGAGATGTTTTCCGCAACTTTCTATAAGTATGAATTAGAAACCAATTGTATATCAACACGGCAGAAGTGCTTATCGATCGTACCTTAATGCAGGTCTCCAATAGACTCTGTGCACCCTGAGAAGCAAGTCCATCCAGCAGAGCGCTTTGGTTCTGACGTCGCCCAATGCCAGAGCTGCGTTTCTTAGGCGGAGCCTTCTTATCCCCTCCGACATGGTTCTTGGAACATTCTGCGCAGAGGAGGCCTCCACTGGGACCCGTCTTGCTATAAGGCGTGACGGTGAACCGCTTGCCACAAATCTCGCAATTTTCCAGTTGGCCGGGAGTCGGCCGCTGTTTCTCGTCCACCATCTCATTGGCCAGGGTGTCGTCGTCATCGTCGGGTTCTCCTGTCCGTCGAGCCTTGCGGCGGGCGAATTCCTTGGTCTTCTTGATCTTCTCAATGGCTTGTTGCCGTTTGCGCTTCTTTGCCTTGTCTTCTGGTGAGTCTGGTTCTGGGGTTGGCTCATATTCCGGCTCTTCCATATCAAGATCGGCATCTTCCTCTTCCTGTGCAGCCTCGCGTGCTGCATCTGCCACTCGTCGGCCGTAGTCATCACGAATCTGGGCGGCGGAGATATTATTTGACTGTAGCGAGAATAATTAGTCAAGGAAGAGATATCAGATAGTAGATAGACATCGGCCATGGCACGTACAGCGAGGAAATCAGTCAACGCAGAGCGCCTAAAGAAGGATCCGTTAGTTGCAAAACAAACACCGAGGATTGGACTCGAGGATATGAGGTCATACGGGCCGCGAATATTGCTTGCCTGTCTTCGGCTCGCCCTGCAGCAAATCATTAGTAACTCGATATGTGACAAGCAGAAGGTGGAACCACAGCATACATCTTGATCGGAAAGATGAAATGAAGGTTATAGTGAGTGAAAGAGGGGTGTGGTTGATGTTGATGTTAAAGCAGGAACGATGCAAGAGCAAGTCACGGGATCGCGACAGTTTCGCGTTGCACTTAACGCGAGAAGGAGGCTCAGGCTCTTATCGGGGGGCAACGATAAGTGGCGACTGTAGAGACCCTCTCTGATGAGTCTCGAGAGTAATCGGAGATACTCCAGAGATTCAAGATATCAAAAGCGTAATGGAATGAGGCAAATCCTTTTCCGATAGTAGATCTAGGAATGGCAAAGAGGAAAAGTCTGGCGTCGGACCGACCGAAGAGTTTTCCTGGTTCCTGATTGAGTGGTTCACTCCAGGCACCTTTTCGATCGATCACCGATCATCTCGACTTCTTCTCGTCATCCCCCCTCCTTTCCCTTCGCTCAGTCATATTTCCTTTCTTCTACACACTCACTTGCGAGTTTGGTATTGTCCAACTCGGTTCTTTACTCCTCACCTTCCTTCAACCCCCTTTTCAGTGTTTACCCTTCGGCCCGGCGTCGGGATCTCTCAAATTGGTGAGTGAAGCCTCCGAGTCAGCCGCGTTAACTAGGCGCAGTCTTTATCTCCATCCACGGCAATCTATTTCACAGTGATTTGAGGCAGCTAATTCAAAGAAGATCACAATCTAGATCGCCTTTCCTTACCCTTCTCGATTCCCGGACGATCTCCCAGTCCTCCTATTACCCCATACTTCGACTCTTCAACAAAAGCCTACATCTCCCCTTTCCCTACGTCCGCCACCACAATGAGAAGAAGATCTCAGGCCGTGATTCCCGACTCGGAGGATGACGCATTTCTCAGTGGCACGTCATTGAGAAATTCCTCGCTCCCTCGTCGACAAGAACCCCAGCGGAAGACTTCGCATTCCAGGACACGGTCCTCTCGCGTCATCCCAGATTCCGAAGATGATGGCCTTGTTGGTCTAGATCTGGAACCTTCCAACTCATCTGCTACGCAGAATGACTCTACAATGACCGTGAAGGTCGTCATTCCCTCTAAAAAAGATGTTTCACCCAGTGAGTCCTGCGGCTCGTCAGGCATGCCGTCCACCGATGGGACCACAGGCTGCAGTACCCCGGCGACCAGTGTCGGAACTCCTGCAGAGTCTAGCATCAAGCGAACCCGGGGCCGTGTGAGTGCATCGGACCGCGCTCAAAGCCTTCGCGCAAGCACCATGACCAGAAGAGCGTCTCTCAGAAACCAACGTGGGACGAAGAGATCCGCCGAGGCTGCCGCCCTTTCGGAGGATGAAATAAGCCTCGAAACGTCTGATGCTGCCATAGCCTATGCTCTTCAGATGGAGGAGTATGAGCAGCCTCTACCTAAGAGACAGAAAACTGCAGCTCCAAAGCGGTCCTCGCAAAAGGCTCAACCCGCACAGGAAATCCTGGATGTCTCAAGTGACAGTGAATTGTCCGAATGGGATATCATTGACAAGTCATTGAACTCGGAGGACGATCTTGATGAGAATTCGGATTCGGAATACGACGGGGAAGAGCGACAAGAGCGAGAAGAAGGGCAACAGGATGGCGAAGACGCAGAGGAAGCCGACGAAGAAATGGACGAAGGAAACGAGTCTGAATTGCCCCTGAGTTGGGAAGAGCAGCGCAAAGCACGCCGGGTAAGTTTTAAATATCGAGCTATTTCCCCAGGCGAATACATTGATTGACTCTGTGGTAGATGCTTGCCGACCGGAAAAAGCTGGAGAAAAAGCATCCAGCCATTGTGACCATGTGGGATAAGCTGAAGGCTACACCTATCATCACGCCCAAGGCCGCTCAGCAGCCAGAATCCATTACTCGCAAGCTCAAACCCTTCCAATTGGAAGGTTTGAACTGGATGATGGAACAGGAAAAGACCGAATACCGAGGGGGTCTCCTTGGTGATGAGATGGGCATGGGCAAGACAATCCAAGCTGTTTCGCTCATCATGTCCGATTTTCCTCAGCGTGAGCCGACCCTCGTCATTGTGCCACCCGTCGCTCTGATGCAGTGGGTCTCTGAGATTAAAGTAGGTTTGCGTTGTCCTCTCGATATGTCTGATCGTAATCTCATGCTGATTTCTTTCAGGAATACACCAATGGCAAATTGAAGGTTTGCGTCTACCACAACTCAGATTCAAAGGTCAAGAAGCTTTCGCGGTCGGATTTGCGGAAGTACAACGTCATCATGATTTCTTGTAAGTTCCCGACCCTTTGTAGGAGAACAGTCTTGAAGAAATTGCGCTAACTTCATCTCAAGACTCGAGTCTTGAATCCATTCACAGAAAACAGGAGAAGGGTTGGACTCGTGGAAATGGAACCGTGAAAGAAGATAGTAGGTCTTTCTCTGAAATATCTTGGTAGTTTCGTTGCTTGTACATCCTAACCACATTGCAGGTGTCATTCATTCGATCAACTATCACCGGCTTATCCTTGACGAAGCACACAGTATCAAGGTAATATGTCTCCCAAGTACTTTTCGAGGTCGTGGCGCTGACTTGCACAGCAACGCACTACGGGTGTGGCCAAAGCTTGCTTTGCCCTGAATGCTTCGTACAAGTGGTGTTTGTCCGGCACTCCCGTGCAAAATAGGATTGGAGAGTTCTTCTCCCTTTTGCGCTTCCTACAAGTCAAGCCCTTTGCCTGTTACTTCTGCAAGCAATGCCCCTGTGAACAGCTCCAATGGTCTGCGAATAAGCAGGGCCGTTGCACGCAATGTGGACATACGTATGTTGACGAAGCCCTTCCCCTGAGACACTTTCTGACTCGATTTTAGTGGCTTCAACCATATCTCGCTCTTCAACAAAGAAATCTTGAATCCAAGTAAGTTACAAGCCATGTGCCCTTTGGCTTGACTGCCTTGGAAGAATACTAATATCGTTACAGTCACGGAGGGACGATCCACTACAGAACGTAAGGAAGGATTGGCAAAGCTTCGCTTGATCACCGACCATATCATGCTCCGACGCATGAAGGAGGAACATACATCTTCGATGGAACTTCCACCGAAACGGTAAGCTTTCAACCAGCTACAAGATTTAACTCGTGTGGTCATTCGAAGCTAACATGCCATTGCACTCAACAGTATCACCATTCATAACGAGTTCTTCGGCGAGATCGAACATGATTTCTCCCGCAGTATCATGACCAACTCTTCGCGTCAGTTCGATACCTACGTCAGCCGAGGTGTGATGCTCAACAACTATGCCAACATTTTTGGTTTGATCATGCAGATGCGACAGGTAGCCAACCATCCGGATCTTATCTTGAAGAAACACGTGCAGCCCGGATTTAATATCTTGGTCTGCCGCGTTTGCGATGAGCCTGCTGAGGATGCGATTCGGTCGCGCTGTCGTCATGAGTTTTGCCGCAAGTGTGCGAAGGACTACATCCAGTCTTTTGACGACGCCTCGATGGTAGACTGCCCCCAGTGTCACATTCCTCTCTCGATTGATCTAGAACAGCCAACTATCGAACAATCTGGGGAATCTGTCAAGAAGAATTCGATCATCAACCGCATTCTGATGGATGATTGGACGTCTTCCACCAAGATCGAAACGCTGCTGTATGAGCTCTATCTGCAACGAACCAAGAGCCACACGCCAAAGTCGATCATTTTTTCGCAATTCACCTCGATGCTCCAGCTTGTGGAGTGGCGCCTGCGCCATGCAGGGTTCAACACGGTCATGCTCGATGGAACCATGACACCAGCGCAGCGCCAGAAGTCCATTGAGCATTTCATGAAGAATGCCGATGTGGAGGTGTTCCTGGTCTCACTGAAAGCGGGAGGTGTGGCGCTAAACTTGACCGAGGCATCTCGAGTGTTCATTGTGGATCCGTAAGTTTTCCCTCTTCGTACTTTTATCAACCTGTGCGATTCCTTTTTGCTCACAATATTCTATACAGGTGGTGGAACCCTGCGGCCGAATGGCAGAGTGCGGACCGCAGTCATCGTATTGGTCAACAACGACCATGCGTGATTACCCGACTTACCATTGAAGATTCGGTCGAATCTAGAATTGTTCAGCTTCAGGAAAAGAAGGCGAACCTCATCCGGGGCACTATCAATAAAGACCAGGATAAGGCGCTGGAGAAACTGACTCCTGAAGATATGCAGTTCTTGTTCCGAGGCTCATAGGCAGCCCTGGCGGCCCCGCCGCTGGCGTCAATGCGGGCACACATCGCGACTAGCCACTCTCTGTGGAAGATAAGGCCACGCGGCTCCAGTGATTGTTTACACGGTTCACGATGCGTTCCTGATGTCACGCCAGCTCGACTCTCACGAAAAGCGATATGATCTGACGACCGTATTTGTTACTTGAAACCCCCCCCCCCCTCTTTATCGTTTACCTGCGGCGGCTTCTTAGCGAGTGATTTATTGTTTTATTTGACCCCCATTTGTTCCTTCTAGCAATTACCGTCAAGGATGCTTTTAGCTTAGCTCCAGTACTACCCAAATATGAACTACGCACTATTTCACTTTTTAATTACTCAGGCAGGGGCTTGGCATTAGTCGGAACTCGGGTCTTGATAAATCACCGTATCCGAGGGTTTCTCCACCATGATACCATCAGACTTTCAAGGGGGATGCATTCATGTACCATGGGGTTGCACAGTCATCTGTAGGGCTGGCGATGGTGCCACAAGGCAATATCCATTTTCAAAGAGAACCCGATTCGTGGTTGGGTCAAGACCAGAGACCATTTACAAGTGTGGTGCTTGGTGCAATACGAAGTATGAAATGACCTCATCGGCCTTGAAATCTTGGCATACACTTGGCGCAGCAACCCACTTACAACGAAGATCGCTGCAAGTTGTACAGTATTGCGAACGTGTTTCCTTTTATGCTGTTGCCTGCCCGGAGTTCATGGATAAGGCTGAAAAGCTTGGCTCCCACTGGGCCATTATTCCCCACCTGCCCTGAGTAGTGAGACTGAGATTCGTACAAAAGTAATGACGGACATCTCTTGCCGACCCAAATCTCGCCAAGCCGAGTCATCCTCCTGCTCCAGCCCCCCCCCGCTCTTATTTCGCACCACTTTTGCCGTCATTCTTACCTTTCTATCTCTATCATTACTCTTGGCTCCAATAATCCCATAATGACCCTGTCCGACTCGTATCGCACCCCGATTCATACTTTCTAAAAAAAAGCAAAATTCCCTTCCCCGCCATGGCTGCCAATACGGTGGATCATTATGGCCCCAAATTGGTCGAAAAGGCCGACAAAATCCAGCAACGAGTGAGCACCTCTAAGGATGGCTCGCAACCCGCCGGTGGCTTCGATGCGACACCTATTCCGCACGCTCCGCCTGGGTACACCATCAAGTTCACCTTCCATCGCGCCGTGGACCTCCCCTTCGGAGATATCGGTAGTTTCTCGTCGGATCCCTACGTTTTTGCGCGCCTCGACGTCGATCTGCCCCGCCGTCACAAGCAGGATCCAGCTGTGACATTCCGGACCCCCACGATACACAAGGACAAGAACCCCGTCTGGAACACTGAATGGATTGTCGCCAACGTACCGGCCTCGGGGTTCAAGTTGAAGGTGCTTGTGTATGATGAGGACCCCGCGGATCACGACGATAAGCTGGGCCTCACGACCATCGAGGTCCCCTTGCTCTCGGAGAATTGGTCGGACATTAAAGATCATCCGTTCAAGGTCAAGCATCGCTTTGCTAGCAAGCGGGTCTATGTCATGACCAACATCTCCAAGGTTACAGGTCATCACAAGGAGTCGTTCATCTATATGAGTATTGAATGCCTGGGGAAGACGCCGGGTACCGAAGGGGGTCAGATGTATACCGTCGGTCCGAATATCTGGTTCAAGCACTTCTCTCCTCTCATCGGACGGCTGGCAGGTGTCAAGGATTCAGTTCAGAGCGAGGATGGGAGTGGCAAGGAGATCAGTCGATACAAGTAAGCTGCGCAACTCTTCTCAATGATGTCTCCATTGTGGTGTTTCTATTCATGCTGACAAAATGCCTGCCTCGACCAGTTTCCAAGCCATTCAGATGCAGCTAACCGGGCCAGTCCCCTCGAAAATGTACCACCGCTATGTGGAGTTCAGGCCATTCGTGGCGGGCATGTTCCAGGCGCAAAGCTTGCGAGGTCGGATCCTGCACAAGGCGCTCCATCACCAGCATCAGCGCATCTACAACTTTGATCGCTCGACGCTGAATGGTACCTTCCAAGAGCCCTGCCGGGAAATGACTCAAAAGTTCCTGGAATTCGTTCAACATGGCCAGGGCGGACGCATTTTCACCTACGTGCTGATGCTGGATGGACAGTTCCGATTCACCGAGACCGGCAAGGAATTTGGAATTGACTTGCTGAGCAAACACACCATGCACAGTGATGTGTCGAGCTATATCGCATTCTCCGGCGAGTTCTTTGTCCGCCGTCGCGGACACCGTCACCGCCATCGCTCTCGCTCGCAGTCTCCAGCATCGCGACCCTCTACGTCGCATCATCCTACCGAGTTTCCCGTAGAAGAAGATGATACCGAAGAAACCCACAAAGAAGCCCATCAGATTTCGACCGAGCCCGCAGACTATGAGCTCTTCATCGACAACGACAGCGGTACATACCGTCCGAATGCCGAACTTCTGCCCTTGCTGAAGAAGTTCTTCGCCTCAAATTTCCCCGGTCTGCATATCACGACTTTGGACTGCAACGGCGATGCTGAGCGTATGGGCCAGCTGAAGGAAGAACAGCGCGAGTTCAAGAGGAAGCAGGGCCATATGATCACGTATCTGCAGCAGAGCAGTGTCTCGTCCCTGTCCATCTCCAGCTCGGAGGAAGATGAGCTGAATGAGCGCAGTGGGAGTGGCAAGCAACGCGGTGATCTATCCCGTCGAGTCCATGAGATGCGCGACGTCAAGGGCCAGATGATGCGGTGGGTGGAACACGATGGCCATGCTGATCGACCCAAGAACCGTCATAATTCCGGACGCGATCGAGCTGCTTCGATGGGAGAGGTTAAGAATCCTCGCAAACCTTTGTCCACGGTAGACTCGGCAGTCTAGATGGTACCGTCGTCTGTTTTGGCGCCATGGCCCTTTGCTTCTTGGGGCCTTTTTTTTGTTTTCTTGCTCCCGCGTCTTTGTTTCGACTTTTGCAACTGTTTAATATACTTTCTCCTCGGTCTGGAACCGAGTTTCACGACGTTCATGACTTGGTTGATGTTCACGGCCGCGATGCAATACCTGGAAAGGAAGGATAGAGATGGAGGGGATGAGTGGGAGGAAGAAGGCGTTGTATAGTGATTCCGCGTGTGTTTCACAGGCCTTTTGATGATTCTTAGCCTTACTACTAATGTTATTTTATGATTTTTTTTACACCTCTGATTACTGTTAATCCTGCGCGCATTCTGGTTTTGGATCTTGGGTGTATAGAGGGTGAGCTAGTACGATGCAGGTTGTCTTTTATATTGTTGATAGGATGATCATTATATTTCTTCATTTTGTATAGCTTGATTTTTTTTTCTTCTTCTCTCTTCTCACCGTCCTGGTTTTAATTTTACCCAGCGCCTGGCGAAGGACTCGCTGTTGGAGGCTGAAACAAAGCGCCTGTTCAGCCCCTCTCCTTTGCAATTTCGGACTTCTCCCCCGAACAGAGTTGAGGGGCCGAGAATCATATAGAGTGACTCGACCGACTCTAACAAGTGAATGGAAGATCAAGGCAAGTCAAATTCCACGAATTTTACAAACAAAGGCATGAACTATCAGGCGATCCATGGGGCGAAGCAAGCCCAAGATTGAAGAGGCGCTCCACCGATCCCCCCGAGGGCATCCACCCCCTCCTTCAAATCGACGCGATCAACCAGATCCCAAGCTTCGACTCCACCCTCTTCCGCCCCCCCCTCCTCCTCCCTCCTTTCCTTTCTCTCCTCTCTGACTCCTCCCACTTAACCACCCCCAGCCTCGCAGCTCTTCACGACTGAATGACGGATTCCTCTTGTTCGCCTACTCTCTCCTACGGGCCATCCGACTGTCGCGCACCCTGTCGATGGCCGATTGACTCGGTGCTTATTCCGACTCCTTCCCGCGCCGCAACCTGAATCCTCTGGTGCCTGCGCCGTCATCATGGGCAATGTCGCCAGTCGTCTCGATGACGCTGGAAGTCTATTTTTCAAGGACCAGAATCGCCGTATGTGTGCCTCTTGTTTGCGACTAATCCCTCAAGTCTCGCGCCTAAGCTGATAAAACTTGCGTGTCTCAAACAGTGTCCATCGCCGCCGTCACCATAAGCAACTCCCGCCGCCGCTTACTGACGCTATCACCGAATGCTTTCCCGGCCGCCAGGTTTATTGCAAAGAGGGAAGCTGGCGACGATACTCCGATCGAATATATTCAGGTATGGACTTGCAAGGAGAAATGAGAGACACTCCGGAGAGGCGGAGCAAAGCGGGCTGACCTTGGGGCCGTCAATAACAATATTGTAGGACCCCGATGTCTCTCCCACAGCGCCAGTCCCAACCTTTTTACTGCGCCTATCAAATGAGGACGAGCTCATCTTCAACTTCACCTTCATCCTCCGCCAAACCCAAACCGGGAATGTCGCTGGTTCTACCGTTAATGGCGTCTCAACATCATTACCCGAGGTGGTGGACACCGTTCTCACGGGGCTCACTTTCGCCCACGCGTCCAACTCGAAAGAACTAGATAATCTGATCACAAGAGAGTTCCATGCGAACCCCAACCTGCAGAATAACTCCAACGTTCAGCTCATCGGAAACTACTCCACCGAAGGCACGCCCTCCGTCTCTTTCGATTGGTCCTGGAGATGGAAGCCCCCAAAGGCTACGGAGGATAAAGGTGGTGGCTGGCGGAACAGCTGCAGTTTCTTAGATTACGATCAGAAAACGAATCGCCTGAATACGCTTGCACATTTCTCCTTCTGGGTACATAATTCCGTTCGCCCACTGCCTAGCCCGCTTCTATCCTCGCCGAACCTGGAGTTGCCCGTGCTACCCTCCCGCAGCCGCGTCCCCTCTACCCAATCCGCCATTTCGCATTTTAGCGACAGCGATGCTGTTTCAACCTCGAATGTTCCAGTTACCACTCCTCCCGAATCCGCAGACGGTCCTCCTGCTCTACCACCACCACCCGTTCCAGCTCTACCCCCGCCCCCACCTCCCGTGAAAGTCGACCTGTTGCATTCTCGCCCCGGAGATGATGTGAGTGTCGTCGAGGATGGTCCGCTGTTCCGTGCGACTATGAAAGCGTTGGAGCAGAAGACCGGGAGTATGCGCACAAAAATAAAGAAAGTCTTGAAGAAGGCTGAGGCTGCACAACAAGCGCAAGTGGCCTGTAATGAGTCTATGGAAGCGTTTTTGGGCTCTTTGAACGATGCATCAACGTCAAATGCCAATGCAATCCAGCCTGCGTTGGATCACTATTTTGAGAAGATCGCCCGGCAGATTCAAAACTACGAGCAGACCAATACGGTCCAGTTGCAGAAGCTGGTCATTGATCCTCTTATCAAGCTCTACAACAACGATATCAAACAAGCCGAGTCCAAGAAGAAGGACTTTGATGAAGAGAGTCGCGATTACTACGCCTATGTCAGCCGGTACCTCGGTCAGCGGCAGGACTCCCTCAAGGAGAAGAAACGCGCCGAAAGTGACTCGAAGTATCAGGCTAAGCGTCGAAATTTCGAGTTGAAGCGCTTCGATTATTCTTCTTTCATGCAAGATCTGCACGGTGGTCGCAAGGAACAAGAGGTTCTGTCACATCTGACTAAGTATGCAGACTTCCAAGCACAAGCTTTCTTGGCAGCCGCCAAGAAAGTTGAAGAAATGGCGCCTCAATTAAATGCACTAGTGCACGAGGTCAACCAAGCGGACAAGGAGTTCCAGTTCCAGAGATCCGAACGCGAGGAAAAGCGTAGGGCTTTGGAGAAGAACAGCAACCCGTATATGGAGCCTGATGTCGTTGCTGGCGCGCCATCAACTATTGCTTCAACATCCACTGCTGCTGTCGCTTCTTCCGTCGCCGCCAACAACGGGGGCGCATCCGGTGAAGTGGAGTTGGGTCGAGCGGATAGCACTGGCTCACAGCTCCGTGGAGTCATTAGCAACAGTTCTTCCGTTTCATCTCAAGCCAATGCCGGGTCGGTTGGTTCTTCTGCTGGGACCTCGGCACCAACTGCGAATAACAATGCTGGTGGTGTGCAGAACCAGAATCGCTTCAAGGGTATCCGAGATCTTGAAGAGCGAGACAATCTTGGATCTGATCGTGCCTCTGGTCAGCAACGGAAGGAAGGTCTGCTGTGGGCACTCTCTCGTCCTGGTTCGCATATGGATCCAAAGGGTATCAATAAGCAGGCATGGCACAAGTAAGTCACCTAGTCCATTGTTCGCTGACGGCCTTCATTTGGGGTTTCTTGCTAAGACAAATTCTATTACAGGTTCTGGATCGTTTTAGATCAAGGGAAGCTTTCTGAGTACAGTAATTGGAAGCAAAAACTAGACCTTCACATGGAGCCTATTGATTTGCGGATGGCTTCTGTCCGCGAAGCCAGGAATGCGGAACGGCGTTTCTGCTTTGAAGTTATCACGCCGCAGTACAAACGCATATATCAAGCCACCTCGGAGGAAGATATGGCGAACTGGATCCGGTCTATCAACAATGCACTTCAAAGTGCAGTGGAAGGCCGGGGGATGCCGCCACCCCCGCTTTCGTCCAAGAATGAGTCTTCCAGCGGTCGTGACATCGGCTCAGTGTTGACGGGCAAGAGCTCCTCTGTGTCTGGTCATCATTCTTATTCCAATAGTTCCAGTACCAGTGCCAGCGCCGGTGGTGTCAGTCGCCGCACAACGGTTGGAGCTCGACCCAGCTACGTTAGGAACGATAGCAACAGTTACGAGGAGAACCCCTCTCGCTTGCTGCAGGTTGTTCGTGAGGCTGACGAAGGGAATAACTGGTGTGCCGACTGTGGCTCCTCGTCCAAGGTTGAATGGGTGTCCATCAACCTCGGTATTATACTGTGCATCGAGTGCAGCGGTATCCACCGATCTCTAGGAACTCACATTTCCAAGATCCGTTCCCTCACTCTCGATGTCCACTCATTTTCAAACGACATTGTGGAGATTCTCTTGCAGATTGGCAACCGCGTTAGCAACATGATTTGGGAGGCCACGCTGGACCAGTCGCAAAAGCCAATTTCCAGCTCCACCCGCGAGCAACGGCTCAAGTTCATCACGGCTAAATACGTCGATCGAGCCCATGTTGAGTGTCTGCCGTCCCCACGATCTCGCTTTGCAACCCCCAATGAGACACTACTGGCATCCATCAAGAAGAATGATATACAAGGAGTCCTCTATGGCATCGCCTTGCGCGCCAACGTGAACGTGGCAGACCGTTCCCGCAACACGCACGCTGTGTTCCTGGCTCTTGCGGCTGCCGACCCAGCCTCCCCGGGCTCCACCCCGACCACTCTGTCTGCTCGCTCCAGTGCAAAGGCCATTCCTTTCCCCGTCGCCGAGCTGCTGGTCCAGAACGGCGCGGAGATTCCCCCAGCACCTCCTTCCATTCCCCTCTCCCCGGCCGCGCAACTGTACATCAGTCAGCGCACGGCCCGCACATCTGCCTTTAGTGCGGGTAAGCCTGCAGTCAACGACACTTTAGGCTCACTACCCACCATCCGTGCCTCGAGTAAGGATGGTGCTACCTCGTCTGCATCACAGAGCTCTACTAGCTCCTTGGACACCAAGGAAAAAGAGAAGCTATCCAAGCGCGGGAGTGCCGGAGCACGGTTCGCAGGGAAGGTAGCGTCTCTTGGAATTGATCGATAACTCTGCTCTGAACCCTCACATCAACCAAACCACCCTTTCTGATTTCCCCTCCCTCTTCCCACCCTGAATACTCTATCCCCCTCTCGATTTGGCATGAGAGGCATCTACTCGATTACGCCCTTCTATATGCTAATCTTCTAAATACATCCTTCTAATGAGCTTTGCATGACCATCCCCCCTTCCCCCATTCCCTTTGACGACTTCTTCTTCTCATGTATGGACGGGGGTTATGTTTGAGATCATTGGTGGCTAGCCCTTTTTTCAGTATTCTTTGTGTGTCTTTGGACTACAGTACTTTTTGCTATTCTTCCCTTCTGGAATGGATGGGACCTCGAGACCTTTTACCTGGTCTCTCTGTTTTATGAATGACTTGAATCGTCCGCTTGTTCATGTTTCACTGTACTTCCTGAAATAATTGATTTGGGATGGAGGCTGTGTGTTTCCAGTGTTCGTGCGATTCCCTTTTGGATTGTGTTTGATTCTTCCTCCTTGGGGATTTTGGTTTTACCCTGTTTCTAGGAAGGATTGTTGAATGTCCCCGTTTCTTCGTAGTCATCAGTTACTCTTCAAGGGGCTCATTGGTGAACTATACTAATACTACGATGGAGTGTGTATATCGTTGTTGCTTTGAAGAAGATTTGGCAGTATCACTTCTATTGTATTCGCTAGAGCATCTATCTATCTGGCTTGATTACCCTCTACAGAGAATCAACAGATTAATGCACAATGAAACTACGCATAACTCTACAATGAATTAGTCCATCCCAACCAAGACTCTCAAGTCAACCCTTGGTCACTTGCCAATTCCCTTTCACCAACCACATTTGAGTTTCGAATGTGAGTCAATTGCCCACGGTCAGTCCATAGGTCATCCGGACATTACAGTGCCCTGCGGGGTTACCGGAGGGGTTGGGTCACTCCGAATATCTCGTTGCCTGACAGTGGCAACATCTCCATACTTTTGATGAATCCCCACCGACTCCAGCAGCTGTAGATGTCCACTTCATGTAACGCAGGACAGGTCGTGGGGCCGTGGCGTCGCATGCGGCATCGGCCGAAGCAGCTGCACAGTTCCATTAGTGGAGACCGTCAAACCAAAATCCCAACTCTATGAAGTCTGGCTCATGATCTGCTTGGATTAGAACTGAATTGACTCCGGCGTAGAGCTGGTGGTGGTGGCTGTGGCATCTGTTCAGCCACAGTCAGCTCGGATCAGCCGAGTCCAGTCCAGTTGAATCGAAAACAAGTGCCCAATGTCCAAGGATAAGGCGAGATTGGATTCCAAAGGAATACACAGTCGTCCTTTCGTGCCACCACAACGATCCTCAACGGCGCCTGCCTCAAGCAGCGCAGGGTTCCACGGGCACGCCACCAACCTTGCGGATCCTGCAGTAGCTGATTCCTTCATTTGGCAATGGAGCAACGTTAGGCTGGGGGCCAAGTTCCGTCAGTGTGACTCAGTGCCAATCTACCGCCATATTTGAGGCGATAGATCGACCAGTGAGCGGTCCGGGCCCCCAATTGATCTCCAGTCGATCAGCCACGACGCCTCGTTGACATTTCTCCTTCCATAAACAGAACGGGGCTGTGCATGCCCTTTCGAATAATCACAAGACAGTGGAAACGGTATCGTACCACTACATCGACGGTCCTGCGGCAATGTAAGGCTGATCCCACGGGCCTTGGGGATCCCTGAACCTGTGGACATTCGTCCCACCAAGACCATACAGCGAAGTGGATCAATCCCCTCTCGTGGCGCCTGCAAGTGTTTCCTTTTGAAAACGTCGATCTTCAACAAAGGTACGCGTTCAATTGGATACCCCGGTTGACCACTGGGACCAATATCGGTATACGGAGACCATAGGTCCGAATGAAACAAACAAATAACAGCCCTCCCTTGAACATCACACATCTAACTGGACCGCACATTCATCAGAATATCATCAGCGGCGCTCAATGGCTCTGTTCGAAAGTGGACACCATTTCCTTTAGTCGAGCATCGCATTTGTCGCAAAGTGATGCCCATCAACGTCGGTGGATGTATGATGACGTTTTGTGATTGGGTGGCTTGCCAGGAACGCGGAGTCGATAACCGCCCATGACGTCATGATACCCATGTGGCGCCTTGGCGCCTCAGGCTTTTAAGGCCTGTAAGGCTTCGTCAGGCTTCCGGGTGGCGCCGATCGTGGCCGTGCTGAATCGGGATGAACAAGGGAGAGGGAGAGGGAGAGAGTCTGGGGATGAGCGTTATTCGTTCATATCGAGCGGGTCTGTGTTTGGACTCGGGTGGTTGTCTTGAAGTTTGGATGTTAGTAGCAATTGTTGAAGTGGACACTGCGATCAACGACTCTGTCGACACTGCAGCATTCCATATGCAAGTACTATACTGTAGCTCGGCAGGTACCTACTCTGTGGAGAGGTAAAAAGTACATGCAGTAGATAACCTTATGTGACAATCGATGTGTATGGTAGGATCCTCGTTCTCGCGTTTTCTTGAGCTCATGTAGAGCCGTCATTGGGATATGGGATCCTGCAATGAGCGCAGTCCGGGATCATTTGATATCATGTACAAAGCTCGAGTCGATCTAGCACACAGGGGTAAGGGCTGCTCCTATTTTGATAGCGAGCATCATCGCGTTCCACGGCTTCACAGTGAGGCGAGCTGATCACCTGATTATCCTGGAGAAAGATTCCTGACCAGTCATTCGCGAGGAATACAAAGTCCGAAGAACTGAGTAGGGAGCCACATGGCTGCAGCGACTGATAATAGAAAGCTTCCCGGGCTCGATGGTACTGTAGCCATGAGTAGTTGAGTCGTCGGCCATAGGCCGTACAGTGTATGCGTCAGCGGTGGCTCAACCTTGAAGGGGACTCAACATCCATAGAGATGGGAAAGACTGAAGGAGTCGGAGAAACGTGCTCCTTTCGCAAGAGCGAGATGGCGACTCTATGAATTATTCGGGGAGGCCGTTTGATCGACAGGCTGGTTACACCTCTATTCATGTGATTGCCACCACAAGAAACACCGGCGTATGGGTCTTGTGGAGAAATCCTAGACATATCAGGTAATAGATCAAAGTCAATGGGAAATGAGGATGGAGAAATTGAAATTTCTAGTGTAATAATCTAGTACCTTTGGAATTGGGTTTCTGGTCACTCTGAACACGATGCGTGTATACATGCAAGTATACTTCCCATAGAGGTACCGTATATACTTCGAAGCTCACCGCCCTTGTGATTGGCTGGGGCGTCATTCCGGAAGGTGGAGACTCTCAACGTCAGAAGTCGAAACATTGTCCACTCTCCATCTTCCCACTAGTCCACTTCCTCGTCAAGCCCTCACAAGCACGTCTGACTAAAGACGCCCTTGTCAATCAGCCCTCGTTACCAGAGCCAGCTCCTGATCGTTATCTTCCAATCAGAGGAGAGTTATCATCCGCTCTCTTTTTCCGGGTTATATCATCCCAGTGAGCAATTGAGATCAATGTGACTTGTCTCCTCTCCAAACCCACACGAAACAACAAGGGAAGAGGTCAAAATACAGCTCTCTGCAGCGGGTTCCCGGGTACCCGACAGAATGGTCTGATCGACCTGGTGCCTTGGGTCACCTCCGGGAAACCCAACTCGTTGGACAACGGCCCTCGGATGAAGCTTGCCCGCCCGCAGGGCCGTAGTGCATGAAATAATGGCCCCCGCTTGTGGAATAATGTCTCCATGAAAGCCACCTTTTGGCTTCTGTGGTGCACTGGTGGCGCTTCTGTTCAGGGCGTTATCTTGGGCTTGGGAACATGGATATCATCCACAACCACACACGTCGTCGACTACCGAAATGGGCAGCTGCCAGCAACAACGGTGGTTTTCCGGGCGCCACCGGAATTTGGAAGACTACTACATTCGCCCATTGGCGGGATCATGATCGAGTCTAGTGGGAGTGTACCCAGTGGTCCGCTACGTCTAATACTGTCGTGCCCTCTTTTTGCTTCACTGGTCCATGGTCCTTTGGTCTTGGGGGTGGTTGCTTACCGACCCCAATTTTCGATACCCACCTTTTTCCACTTCTTCCCACAGATGCTTTGCCCTACAGGCGGGTATGTCCACATATTATGTCCACATACCTGCTACTCCCCTTACGGGGTTCCAGGATACGCCGTCGGATCCCATTCAGGACCTTTTCCCTCCCTTGGAAGGAAACAGAAGCCCGTGATCGTGGCCGCCACCACCAACCTTCCACCGAGGTACCATTATTATTATTATTTGTATATTATGGAACTATTTGTGATGATGTCGCTTTTTATTTCCCAATTGTTCAAATTTCCCCCACCGTCGATCCACTTATCGACAGTTCACCCACTGGTCATACATGCATAACCCACACCCCTGACAGTGGCAATTTGGCCTTGGAACCCTCTTCACTGCCACCACCATTGGCTGCCCCCAATCTGTAATTTTGCTCGTCTCCTTTGGTACCCGATTGGCGCACTTCTTTTTCCATTAGGCCCGTGGTCCCGCTCGTTTCTATTCACGATTCTATTGTACTGTAAGAATCATGATTCAAGGCAGACCCAAGGACCTTTTTCATACCATTTTGCAAGTCACCATCAGCCCTCGACAGCTGGCCAATTCCGTTGCCTGATCGTTGGAATTTTTCTGATTATTTCCTCCTTCCTGATACCACTCTGATTGGTTCAATGCCACGCAATCTGTGGCTTCATCACCCCGGGTGGTCTACAATCTCCAATTTGTCTTCTCCAATCGCCAATCGTGTTTCCATCCCCAGCGGATCCGTGGGCCGCTTAAGCCACAACCCACCTGTGGCACGGCCTCTCTGTTCAACGACCCGCTGAGCCGCTTATATTCGAGGAACAACCGACCCAACTTCTTACGATTCTACTAATTTGATTTGAAGCTAAAGGGGAAAGAAAAAAGCGAGAGAGAAGAAAGGTGGTCGACAAGATCAAAAAGGCCCGCAGTTTCTCCACCGGCTGGATAACAAGCATTCGTCAACACAACAATAACCATCCACCCATTTACAGAGAAACCCTCTCAAGTCTTGAGACTCGAAAGAGATCGGCAGATTGAGTGGCGCGTGGCTGAAAGAAAAACCCCGACCACATTGAAGATCTGATACGAAACAGTCTGGTGGTGGACCCTGTGGTACATACCCTCTTATGGGTCATGGTACCTAGTAACTCCGACTTTTGTCAAGGAGGTTATTTTGTTTAGTGTGCAGCTTCTGGCCTGGGCAGGGGATATCCACTTATCCTCCTCGCACAAACACCCACCGTCAATCCCACCTCCCAACAACTCTCGATCAACGGGACTCGACCCACACTCTTCGACGAGGTACTTTCTTTCACGCCAGTCCTCTGGGTGCACTTTTTTGTACACTCTTGCCTTCTGTCTCCAGCACCCGTGACTCAGAAACTCATACTCCTCCTCAGCCTATCACCAGTCCCAAATCTTGCTGGGTCCGATCAAATCATTCAATCGGTTCACGTCGGTTCACGCCCTCTACCCGCCTTGTCCACCTCCTCCACCTTGTTTACTCCGGTCACTCGCCCATTCTCCAGACCTCTGATGTTTCATTGATACCATAGGACATCTGTCCCGCTGTCAGCCACAGCTCAGACGTCTTCCTGACGGCTCTGCTTTATCATCCCTGCTCCTCTTTGGGTGCCCAAGCATCAGAGTCCGCCACAGTGCTCATCCACCGTCGAATAGCTCATTCGTCCTGGTCCCCAGGTGGCTGGTGTCAGCAGGGCTGTTCCGGGATTTTGAATCCCAATTGGATTCCAATTTCTGTCAATTTCCTTTTACTATTCACCTTATTCTTTAGCTTTGCCTTCCTTTTTCCTTTTTTTTCTATTTTGTTATCTTTTTTTTTATTCTGCTGCCTTTTTCTTGTCTCCATACAAGCTCTCCACATTCGCCGTCCGTGAGTAGGTATATCTGGAAAGTCCCAGGTTCCGCTGCGGCTGATTTCTTTCTTTTTTGATCCTTCAAGCACTGCTTTGCTCATCTTCAAGTGCAACAGTACGTTGGCGTGCAGGAAGATCTTCTTCTGTCGTCTCGTATTGATCTTCGCAATTTGAGCCACACCCCGATCCCCTCGGTCCCGCCTTCTGTAGCGATTTTACTCTCTATCCACTAGGTTGGTTCTCGTTCCGCCTATCATTTGCTTATTTTTTTTTCATTTGTCGCTCTGTCTTTTTTTTTTCATTCAGTTCCCCAATTCGTGCTTAGTGCCCCTCTTGCCCCGCGGTCTTTCTTCACCGTGACACATTGTTGACTATATCTCTGTCTCATTCGGGCTCTGACGATTTTGACAGAAAGATCGCGTAGGGCTTTGGGCTCTCGTCTGTTTTCTCTCGTCTTGTCTTGTATCAATCTGCTAGGTAAGTTACAATCTTTTTGTTGGTCTTCCGTTGCTTCTTTTCCTGCTGTCCTTTTGTCCCCCTTGTCCTCATCCGATCCTGTCCGTCTACAAATTTTGTGCGAATCACCAGCCCTACAAGGGCTAGTCGCTCGCCCAATCAGTTTTGGGCCTTCTTGGCGGACTTTGTTTCCATACCCTTTGCCCAGTCTTTCGTGTCCTCAGGATTTACCACTCCCCTGCCTTTTCCTTATACATGATCAGAGCTCTGGCCGAGTTTTTCCCTTGTGGGGAAAATACGTTCAGCACTTATCCCAAAATAGTCTCATTCGTGGCGCTCTCCTGATCATCCTCATACCTTCTCGTTTCATTTTATCTACTTGTCCCTTTTTCACCCCCAAACTCTACCGTCTCATTACGGCCTTTTCTCTACTGGAGTGAGCCTTTCTCTTCCATCCTAGCTTGATGCCACTCCTCGGTCCTCCCCCCTACTCCACAAGCCTCATCAGTGGGTGTACGCTCATCTTCACCGTGATGCCAACACGCCTATATGACTTTCTTCTGAAAGGCCTATGACTATCGGGCTCAGCCCTGCTTTACCGCGGGGCTGCACGCTTGATACATCTCGATGGTCCCTTTGACTTTCTTCTCGGTTCTGCCGTCCCTACTTCCTACGTTTTATATACGATTCTTCCTTTTGAACGGTTTGCTGTCATTCTTTGCGGCTCTCTTTCTGGTGTTATGTTATTCGAGAGTCGTATGGTGACTGGCATCTTCGCCTCTTGGCTCCTGTCATCTACCATCCAAACCTTTCCACTTTGTTTTGGCCGATCCAGTCCTTTGTCATTCAGCCCTTTAACTAGTATTATTTACTGACCATTGCATCTATCAATAGCTCTTTCTTCCGGTCAGTCTTGGGCTTGATTGGGTACGATAGGTCCGATTTCTTTTGGGCGCTCCTGGTCATCCCCTTTCGTGGACGGTCCCTAGAGACCCGAAGTGGCCTTGCACTCTGTTGGGTTCAATATAGGTATGATATCATTTCCACTTCCTCTGAGTTGGTTTTTTATTCTCATTCTAGTCTGCTTACACCGTCCTAGGGAAAGATCTCGCCAAACTCGCCTCCCCTTCACGATAGTCTACAAAACCAGGCCCCATGGGCAATGTTTCTCCCAAAAAGATCATCACATCCCAAGGGACAGGAGATGGGGTATCCCCGGCATCCGAGCCCAACATGTCGCGATCCGACTCGATACCTGGTCAGTGTTTTCCCAGACGATATAGAAAACGCACCATGACGCATATCCTGGAGCCATACCCGTGGGGGACATATCCGTTGATGAGATGGTTTGATGTTGCAGATGTTACAGCCGCCAGCAAGTACGCACAATCAGGATATTCAGCCCACCCGTCGACCTCGGCCTATCCAGGTCCCGGACGCTATGGACCGCCACCTCCCTTGAACATGAGCAACATGGTATACTCGCTCCCGAATCACCAATCGTCATCATCCCCTTTTGAAGGCCAGCATCTCATCCATCAATATCCGCCTGCCCATCCCCAAGGCCTCGTCTATCCGATACAATCAATGGGTCATTATGGAGGCCCAAATTCTGGTGGGAGTGGACCGTATGCAGTACCTTTTGCACCAGGGTACGTGCCTTACTCGATGCAGCACCCTGGAACTGTCCAGCATGTCCCTGGTCACTACCCACAGTATATGGCAAATCACTCGATGCAGAATATGGGTCCGGGTCAGCCCCCCGCGTATGGAGCGGGTTATTACCAGCAGGGTTATACGCCGTCTTCTCGACATGGATCACAATCGGGGCCAGTACAAATGCGGCACTCGGGGGCTCAATCCAGGCAGGGGAGTCTATCGCAGGGAAACTCGGCATCGAATACGGGATCTACGAAGAAGGAAACAGACAAGCGGGTTTTGGAGGGGGAATACGACGTATCGAAGACAATTGTGGATGGTTCGAACCCGATGAAGTTAGCACAACTTTCATCCATCCCTCACGGTATGTGTCAACCTGCGTACTCGGGAATAGCTATCAACACGCCCCGTTGCGAGAGACCTCTTCAAAGAAATTCTCTTGCTGACATATCTTATTTTCGTCTGACAGATTCGACCCTTCCCTCCCAATCAGTGCCAACTGCACCTAGCACCCCTCGTGGACCACCTCGAAAGCCCAAGCAGTCCGGCCATGCCCTCTGGGTGGGCAACTTACCACCCGGGTCGAGCGTGGTGGATCTGAAAGACCATTTCTCGCAGGAGGCAACCAACAACATTGAAAGTGTGTTTCTCATCTCCAAGAGTAATTGTGCGTTTGTGAACTACAAGTCGGCCGCTGCATGTGCCGCCGCTCTTGCTCGCTTCCACGACTCCCGCTTCCAGGGTGTCCGTCTCGTTTGCCGGCTCCGCAAGGGCTTTACAGCTCCAGGGTCGGGCTTGGGCCTTGGTGTGGCGGGTCCAGGCTCCAGGTCCCGTCCAGAGGAGACGACGGATCCCCCTGTCACTGCCGAAGCTGGACCGTTGGTAGAGGCCATTATTCCCGGGCCGCTGGCGGACGGGACGGCTTCCCGCAGTTTGGATCGGTACTTTATCGTCAAGAGTCTGACGGTAGAGGATCTCGAGCTTAGCAAGCAGAGCGGAATCTGGGCGACACAGACGCACAATGAAACCAACTTGAATCACGCCTTTGAGGTAAGTGTAGCATGATTTGAAATCCATATCCTCACTCGATTAGTTTCTTCTTGGGTCTTGGGTGCTATTCATCTTGATCTCCACTCGTATGATACGTCCCCTGCTAACTCTGATCTACCAACCAGAATACCGACCATGTCTACCTAATCTTTTCTGCAAACAAATCAGGCGAGTACTTTGGCTACGCTCGCATGCTATCACCCATTAGCGACGATGAGGAGCTCGCCCTAGAGATGCCACCTCGTCCGGAGCCCCTACCTGGCACGGCCGATGAACTAGAGGTGACCACGACCGCGGCGACCTCGACTGCCCCCAAAGGCCGAATCATTGATGACTCGGCACGCGGCACGATCTTCTGGGAGGTTGAATCCTCAGGAGACGAGCACGACGATGGTAGTGGTGAGAAGAGCGGCGAGGGTCTGGGGTCGGGTGCCGGTTCCGGCCCTCCTGCTTCCGTCTCGGGACTCATTACTGTCGACGATGAGGAGGCTCAGTCATTCGGCAAGCCCTTTCGTATTCAGTGGCTGTCGACTGAACGAGTACCCTTCCATCGGACACGGGGACTGCGTAACCCGTGGAATGCTAATCGTGAGGTGAAGATTGCCCGTGACGGTACCGAAATCGAGCCGACTGTCGGGCGGAAATTGATCGCCCTGTTCCAACTGCCCTGAGGGGTGGTCTGTGTGCCCCGGCGTCATGAGGGGCGAGGGTGATGAGAGGGTTAAAACTGCCCCTCGACTTCTTTCTCTGCCTTTTTCGATCTGGTAATGTTTATGGTGAGTAGTTGCCTAGGTGGGGAGTCGAGAAGATCTATACAGCGCACTGTGTACGTGCCAGGATTCAATTGTTCATGTCAGTGGCCCGTGATTGTGTACTCTAATTGTATACAATATTACGGTTCATGATTCAGGCAATTGATTCTTCAAGCACGCACAGATGTCCTGGATCTGCGATTCTCGATCTGTTTGGTTCTTCTATGACTAACCATTCTATCCCTTTCGGGGTTCTATTCACCAAACATACTGGAAGAGGAGAGCAGCAGGGGAAGCACAGAATCCAAACTCTCCCCACTCGAGGCTGGGAGGATGGAATCTGTAAAAACATTTTATGGGAAACGAGTAATACACGATGTACGTTCACTTTTGAGCTTTTTTTTTTCTAATTTTGATCATGCTTCACTTTTTCTTTTTCTTTCTCTTTTTCTTGGGATTTCTCTCTTCCAATTTCATCTCTATGTGGACTCTGGTGGTGCCACACATACATTCTCATTCTGGGTGGTGCCATATAATCTTTCCGCTCGTGGAATAGTTAGCGTTTCTATGGGTCTTTTTTCTTTCTTTTTCTGTGATATCTTCATCATTTCTTCCGTTTCATTCATTTTTTTTTCTTTTTTGTGGGCAAGTGTATCACTATGACGAGGTATGGAATGTGGCGTTGTGGGGAAGAGTACCCGTGGGTCTTGAGTCTTCTCCTATTGTATGGTCAAGAGAGCAGACTACGACATGGTGACTATATGCATACGGAGTAGTTATATATCACTATGTTTAAAATGTATGGAGTACATAATTTTATAGTATGTTGTACGTATATAGTGATGATGTATTGTGGTTATCTAGATCTGGGGTATTGGAGGAGACCACCAATCATTTCGATCTCCTCGAGGGCGATGACTGAAGTCTATCGGAGGAGATTCCCAATGAAAAGAAATGTGTCGATAATTACACTTTCCTTAGTCAGGATACCTAACTAACTACCTAAACCCATCTCTCGAGTAGTTAAATCAGTAGTTAACTAGTTAACTAGTTAATTAACCGTCGTACTTATGTAACCCCTCCTTTCCCAATGCAGCCCACGGTCAACTTTCTCAGCCACTCACAATCGTCCACCCTTCGACTCGTCAGCATCATTACTCTCGCTATCTCCTCCAATCTGATCTCCATCTCAACCCACTTCTTTACTCAATCTATCGTCTCTTTCCGGCTCCACTTTCCTCCCTGTTGATCCACTGGGCTTCCCCCATTGTGACTTTCGGATACGACAAGCTAATGAGCTAACTCCCCTAATGGGGGGGAGGGGGGGGTCAACTTGGCTAAGTTCGGTAATGAGTGGATGCTGACGGTCGGCTTCTTGACGAATGACTGGTCAACTGGAATTGGTGATGGCGCTACCCCAGATATTCTTCCTTGGACTTGGCCCGAGCTTAGCTTTTCCTACCAGCTCTCTCTCTCTCTTTCTCTTTTTGCCCCCCTCCTCCTACTTCCTGAATCTTTCCTGGTGGTACCATCCCGTCGTCTGCTTCCTTTCCCCATTTCGACTTCCCCCTCCCTTTTTCCACTTTTCCATCTTCCTCTCTCTCTCTTCCTCTTCCTTTCATCCTCCTCCTCCCACTGACTTCCCCACCATTCTTCCACTTTCCTTCTACATCTTACCATCCCTCTTCAACACTCTTCCCCCTTCTACAATTCTACCATCAACCTCATCCACAATCTCCTCTTCTACGCTACAACTGGGTCCCCCCTCCTTCACCCTGGTTGTGCGTACGCTTCGCTTCACCCCATTCGACCTCCATCTCATGAGAAGGGCGGCGAGTCCGTCCAAGACCTGTCTTCTCATCCCCAGCTCGGTTCCCTGAGTTGATTCCTTCCTCTCTCTCTCTCTCTCTTCCATCCTACTTTTCTCCATCCGTGGCTCACTCGTATCGTCGCCCTTGTCCCCAAATCCCACGACTAGCACGCCCCCCCAACCCCATCAGCTAAACCACCATTTATCATCATGTCCGACGATCGCTCCACCTCTCCCATCTCCGTTCCCTCGTCGGAGAATCGTCCCCGCCGTGGTTCCTTCGCCGGTCTCCCCTTCGACCTTTTCTCCAAGCAGAATAGCAATCCATCCGGCCAGCAGACGGGCAACAATACCCAAGCCAATCAACAGCGTCGGCTGTCAATTACCACCCTGGGTCTCTCGGGCTCGCCCACCCAGACCTCCACCTTTGGAAGCCGGGCCTTCCGTCGAGGCAGCCTGTCCAGCTCGTGGGGGTCCATCCCGAACAATGAAGATGCCGTGGCGGAGGATGCGGAGGGATCCTCCCCCGGTGTGACCCCCAGCTCGCCATTTGCCCGGCGAGTCTCCTTTGGAGCTCAGGCCCTGCGTGAGGCTCGGGCCGGAAGTATAGGCAATGGTAGATACCCACCCCCTAGTTCATCCCTGGCAGGGGCACGGCGCACCGCGTCGACCGCGGCTGGCCATAGCCCTCCTTCCCGATCTCCCGCATCTGCAAGTTCTTCAGCTGCCCCTCTGGAAGAGAGATCTAACGCATCACGCCGCCCAGGCGAAGGCTTCAATTGGACCGAGGCGCTCCGTCACCGCGCCGAGCGTAACCCATCCATCGGGGGGCCGGTCTCCCCGCAGAATCCTCGTCCGGCCGGTCACCAGCGTGCCGCCTCGATTGCCACGATGGAGCAACCTATCCGAGAAATCCCTAAGCAGCCTAAGCAGAATAAACCCGATTTCTTCCAGGAGAAGATTCTTCGTGGTGACTTTATGGATTAGAGGGGTTGTGGACGAGAGGGAGTTTTGAGAAACTCAAGTCTGCCAATTTTTTTTCTCTCTTATTGTGATATTTATTTCATCTGCATCCGTTTATGGGTACAGGGTTACTCTGGTTACTCCATCCGGTTATCCTCTTGACGAGAGAGAGATGGACGAGGCCCTGGCAGGCGTCATGACTGTGTTTTTGGATCTTTTTATCTTCATTGTGGAGTTTTGGAATGGTTCCCAAGTTGTCAACCTTTTTCTTATGCAATTGTGATGATTATCAAGAGGAAGATTCAGATTGTGATTGGGATTGACGCATACTGGATATTTATTTAACAAGTTGAACCGGTCCATGTTGATCATTGCTTGGACTGGGTTTTGTCATTTTGCTGGTTATTCTTGTTTAAAGTGCACGATTCCTCATCCTGGTGTTGATGGAATGTGATGATAACTAAATTGACGAGAACAATTGAAATATAACACATCTCCATAATCTTGTAAATGTAAATACATCCTAATGTACTCCTCCTCGTGCCATACTATCTACTTTGTATATGCTCAGTCTCCTCTACTATACTTTCTAGCCCTTTCCCTCCCTCTTTTCTCTCTGTTTCTCAACGTCCATCACGTCCATCTTCTCCATCTTCCATCTAAGCCTGGGAAGGACCTGCCTCGGTCGTATCCTCTGCATGAGTATGCCCCGGCGCCTCAGCGGCCTTCTTCCCAGCAGCAGCCTCTTCTTCCTCACGATCAACACCCTCCGCAACCCTCCGATCCATCAACTGCGCCGTAGTCAACTGCTCCTCCGGCGCAGGAGTCTCCCACTTCGAACTCTCCCAAGGCTTCACCCTCATAACATACATCATATCCATCTCCTCAAGAGTCTTATCCTTACCCTCCAGAACAAAGAAATAAACCACCAGCACCGCGAAAAACAAACACCCAGCAAACACATACCCATACGCAAAATCAATATCCCCCGTAATAAACGGAGTAAAAAACCCAATTAAAAAATTCCACAACCAATTCGACGCCGTCGCAAGCGCCATCGCCCTCGCCCGGTACCGACTCGGATACAACTCTGCAACGATGGCCCAGACCATGGGGCCCCATGTCATTGCAAAGCCCGTGATGAAGAGGCAGGCGAATACGACCATGGCTTTGCCGGCGCCTGGTGTGGCGGGTGGGTTTTGGACGTCCAGCGAGAAGTGGCCGACGGAGGCGAAGACCATGAAACAGATGAACATCCAGATTCCGCCGGTGATGAGGGACTTGCGGCGGCCGTAGTGCTCGATTACGTAGAGGCCGCCGAAGGTAGTGCCGAAGTTTACGCCGCCCAGGATCATTTGGGTTACGTAGGTGTTGCTTATACCTGCGCCGTTGAAGATGACGGTTCCCTGAAGCAGAGAGAGAGAGAGAGGTTAGTTTATAACTGATCCAGGATTGAAGATCTCCAGTCTATCGACGGGTATAGGTTGGGTATCAACTCACGTAGTAGAAAAAGTAGTTAGCACCAGTAAGTTGCTGCAACGCCTGCAAGACCACACCCAATGCAATCCGATATGGCATCCTCGGAGCCTGAAACATCTCAATCCACCCATGCCACCCACCCTTAGCGCCCTTCTCCGCATCAAGTTGTTCCTGAATCTCGAGAATCTCATGGACGATGACGCGGTGGTTCTCCGATACACCGTATAACTTGCTCATAGTCTTCTTAGCAACATCAATCCGGCCCATACGATAATCGAAACGGGGAGATTCGGGGAAGAGTAGGATTCCGAATCCGAGAATTAGGCCCCAGAGGAATGTTATGCCGAGTGGGATTCGCCAGGATGCGGTGTTTGTGATATGTTCTGTGCCGTAGTTGATGCAGTATGCGACGAAGATCCCCAACGTAACGAAGAGTTGATATGAACTGAGCATATAAGATTAGCATCGATCATTCTCTTCCAGCTCGAATAACTTCTTTATGCGAGGTTTTGTTTATATTTGTAGGGGTTGACTTACCAAACCATCGCACCACGAATATGCCTCGGCGCAATCTCACCCTGATACATGGGGACAAGCAACGAACAAGCACCGACACCGAAACCAGTCACGAACCGGCCCATCATCATTTGATACCATTTCCCAGACGGTGAAGAAATCTGAATAATCAGGCCGACATGTAGGATGACACACCAGGCGAAGATGGACCATTTACGACCGATTCGATCGGCGAGTGGGCCTGCGAGGAGTGCACCTATCATTGTACCGATTGATAACTGGGAATACATTAGTTAGCAAGCCTTACAAAAATCACCTCCTAATCTAATCAAATTTTATTAACTTAGTATTGACTCACCATAGAAACAATCAACCCAGACCGAACATTACTAAACACCCACTCCCCACCCCGAAACTGTCCATACCGCTGCTTATAATTCTGCATCTCGAGGAACCCCGAGATCTGGCCCGTATCATAACCAAAGATAATACCACCGATTGAGACGAAGGCGCCGAGGGTTATGGAGCGCCATGTTACCCATGGTACGTGGCCTTCGTCGTAGGAGGAGCTGCGGCGTTTTTCGTTGGTGTTTGTGTTTGAGTCTGGGGGTGTAGGGGGTGGAGAGAGGGGGTTTTGTGCGGGTTTTTTGGTGAATTTCATAGTGTAGAGTGTAAATAGTAGGACTAGAGGGTAGATGGTAGAGGGGAGTATATGAGAGGATGTATAGAGTGATAACCCCCCGATATAGAAGGATAGAATTCCCGTAAAAGTGGCAATGGAAATTGAAAACCAGGGAGAGTGAGGAGTGACCAATTCTACTAATATGAACGGAAAAGTTCTGTTTAAAACATCCCAAGTAATTCAACTACTACAATCCGTCTCCCTCCGAACAAACTTGAAATCACACGCCACGATCCGGCACAGCTCCTGTTGAAATGAGCCCGTCATGGATGGAGCCCCGCCGCCACTAGGGTGGCATGAGTGACTTTTCTGCTCTGAAGATCCCTAAATATTCTAGAAACACACCAACTCCTCACTTACTTACTTATAGCCTCCGGGCTTTTCATCCTGGTACAGTAGTTCGGTGGTGGCTCGAGAATTATGATATAGTTATGGATCGCCCCGAAGCCTTGGGTCTCTCCCGCAGCCACCACCGCACGGTTCCTGTAGATAAGCTGAAGCTATAAAGGGTTATAGATAGTACCTAGTTTTCCAGTTTTAAAAGCCTGGCTTCGTTTTTCACTCTAAACTTATTTTGTAGATGGGGTTTTGGGGGCCTATTTCGAGGGTGTTGCTGCGTGCGGTATGGGTGGGCCTTGGAGTCATGACGTCAACTACCGGTTGTGAAGGTGAAGAATGTTTCCGCGGGTGCATTCTTGCTGGATCCGCGTTTTGCTTTGGGGATTTTATGGGGATCCGGGGAGAAGGGGCGAGATATGGTAGTTAGGGTGGTATGATTTGTATTGGAGGCAAAGTATTATAGTCGATGGAGATTAAAGTCATCTTAAGAGTTAAGAAATTGGTACTAGAAATAGTATGGATGCATTCAAAATATACAGTAACTCGTTAATCATTCAAATCAAGGTATCCCTAACTATACGCCAATCTAGCTGCATTGTACAATCGCAAAATAACAATCAAATCTCTTCAATCTCTTCTTTTCCCATCTTAATGGGCCATCCGCTTGCCAATCTCACTCTGCCAGTTGCGCGACTTCTCAAAGCCATTGGATGCAGTCTGGTAGTCGAGCATAGCCTGGTAAACCTCCTCCTGACTAGTCAGCACGAATGGACCGTACTGCACAACCTTCTGGTCCAGCGGCTGACCAGCCACAATGATAAAGCGCGACTCCGAGTCCGCATTATCCGGCACAGAAGCCTCAACAATGTCACCAGTCTGCTCAAAAACGACATTGTGGAATTCCTTGACAACCTGCGTCGAATCATTCGATCCGAAGATAGTCTTGCCTGAAAGCGTGTAGGCAAACGCATTCCACCCCTGAGGCAAAGTCTGCGACAGCCGACCACCAGGACGAATAGTCACATCCAAAATCCAAACGGGGGTGTATGCCAGATCGCGGACTGAATCAACACCATGCGATTGACCAGAGATAACCTTGATCTCAACACGGCCCTCATCAGCCTTGGCGACCGGGATTTCGCTCGCGCGCAGATCGCGGTACCGCGGCTCGCACATCTTCAGTTTCTGAGGGAGATCGACCCAGAGTTGCATGCCGACGTTGGGAGAGCCGTCGGCGTTCTCGTGGGGCATTTCAGCGTGCATGATGCCACGGCCGGCAGTCATGAATTGCAAATCACCGGGTCCGATGGTACCCTTGTTCCCCGCGAAATCTTCGTGGTCGACACCACCGGAGAGCAGGTAGGTGATTGTCTCTTGGCCGCGGTGGGGGTGATCCGGGAAACCGGCACCCTTGCCGATGGTGAAGTGATCGAGCATGAGGAAAGGGCTGAAGTTGCGGAGCTTGGCGGTGCCGATGGAGCGGCGCACGCGGGCGCCTGCACCTTCGGCTTGTTCGATGGCCAGGAAGACCTGACGGATTGCGCGGGCGGTGCTCATTTCGGTGATGGGGAGGACGATTGGAGAGGGGTATTCCAATGGGAGGTTAGACTTGGTGGTAGTGGTGGTGTTGGTGATGTTGTTGTTGGAGCTCTTGGGCAGGTACTGCGACAAAGTAGCTGGGAGCTTCTCGTGCAGAAAAGTAGTAAGAGAGTCCTGGATGGAAGGACTATAAGCGAAGAGGATTGCTGTGATGCAAATTAAAAAAGGCAGAAGCAGTCTCATGGGCGCGATGGCGGCCTTTTATGCTTGAGCGAGTCAATGCCTCGAATGTTCGAGTAGAGAGTAGTGATGGAAATTGTGAAGAGAAGCTAAAAGTCAGCGTTAGTCAATGGCGTCTAATATAGTTAGTTAACTAAGTTTTATGTTAGCTGCGCCAGTATGTCCAGTGCTTTGCAAGACATCAGTCAGCGGGGTTCTGGTGAAGATCAGCGAATGGTTGGCGTCGGATTTACGGAGTTGAGCGATGACCAAGACGAGAGTCAGCAGCCGCTAAGCGGGTCCACTTGGATGCCTGCGTGCCTTGTGGCCTTGATGCCCATTTTGTAAGGTGTTGATAATCATCTCATCAGCAGGTGACGTGAAGAGACGGAAATATAGTTATTGACTTTTGGTTGACTATAATTATCGTTGCTAAAAATGACTTTTGAGTAAATTGTAGAAGATTCTACATATCCTTGATGTTATTCCAGAGCATTAGAAAATACATCATTGTTGGTACACCTACTGTCAACTGAACTCCCCATATATATATTCCGGACGATAGAGGTGGCGAACCTACGGCTAGCTAGGTAGTTGTAGAGATGAAAGGTATAGAAACTCTCATATTAAGCTGAGGATAGACAATGGCAATTGAATAAACCATATCTATATACTTCTACAATTAAATTAAACCCAAGTTGATAGCAGAGCTCCGGTGGAGATGGCCAGGTTATATGTACTCCCAACTACTGTAAGTCTGACTATCGCTATCTGATAAGGCCACGGAGCAGCTCCCGCACTCCGCTCTCCGCTCTACGCCCAGCTCTCTCCACGCGATCGCATAGTGCGTTGGCTTGCTGCACTCTTGTTTGATTCTGAGATATCCACTTGGCATATATGGTATCTCACTTCCTCCACTGATAGAATCCGTGAATACCCCGACGGGGAAGCGTGAGCGCAGCGAACTCCGTCTCCACCATCACCTCGCAAGGTTGCGTGCCTTACAGCACACGTCGCTGCCAAACCTATTGTTCCACTTCAGATTGCCGGTAGGATGGGTCGATCGCGGTGGAGTCTTACACCTTGGCTCGTCCTGGGCTGCGCTGCGTCAAGTGCCTGGGCAGCTAAGAGGCCTTTCAACATCCATGATGACCTGTTGGCCTATCCGCAGGTACGTCGAGGAAGCAGCGTACCATTGCCCTTATTTGTCGCATGACCTAACAATCCATTGCATGCAGTACCAAGTACTTTTCCCGGAAGAATATATCTTAGAATCCCAAGCCGAAGAGCTTCTCCAAACACATGCCTCGCCCGAAACCCCCGATTCCAGCGTCGAGCGGAATGATCCCCAAGTCTACACGGGAAAGGATCATACGGAAGATACCACGCAAACACACGAAGATGTGATTCATCCGACATACACATACGAGGAAATGATATTGGATGACCGGCGACTTCTCTGTCAGATCCCCCGCGTAGCCAAAGATGAGACCAATAGCACGGCTGGCCGCGCGACTCAAGAAGCCGATGAACAGAATGAGCTAGCGCGGGCCACCGATCGCGGTCTCGAGCTTCTACGTGAGATGGAGGGCAAATGCATGTACTATTTCTCCGGCTGGTGGTCATACTCTTTCTGCTACAGGAACCAGATCAAGCAGTTCCATGCTCGTCCAGCTGGCGGTGGGGTCCCAAGCTACCCGCCCGTGGAGGACCCAAACACCCATTCATTCGTTCTGGGCCGATTCCAAGAGAGTAAAGATGGCAAGGGAGATGAGAAGAAGCAGACGCAGTCCGCTCAGACCGATGTCGCGGAGCTACGCACTAAAGGTGGCTCGCGCTACCTGGTGCAGCATCTACGTGGCGGCACCAAGTGTGATTTGACGGGACGTGAGCGCAAGGTTGAAGTCCAATTCCACTGTCACCCGCAGTCAACCGACCAAATCGGGTGGATCAAAGAGCTGACGACCTGTTCCTACTTGATGGTTATCTACACCCCTCGTCTTTGCGACGACGTTGCCTTCCTGCCACCGCAGCAAGACGAGGTTCACAATATCGAATGCCGCGAGATTCTCCGCCCCGAGGACGTTTCCGACTGGGAGGCCGTGAAGGAGTGGTACCAGGCCCATCAACTAGCCGATGCTGCCGCCGCTCACTCGGAGGTGCAAATCGTCGGGGGGATTGTAGTTGGCGGCCAGAAGCTAGTGGGCATGGAAGGCAAGAAGATTGAGAAAGGCCGAGTAGCATCGGCCGGCGAAAAGAAAGTGGAGGTAGTCGTCAAGCGTGAAAACGGCGAAATCCAGCGCCCGTCCAAGCAGGTGATGAAGAAATATAACCTCGATCCCGAGGGAATCGAGGACATGAAGAAGCGACTCGATCAACTTGCCGAGGGTAAAGATTGGACCTTGGAAGTGGTGGAGAGTGACGGAATGATTGAATTCCAGGGTGCCATTGAGAAGGATGACGATGAACTTGACGAGACGGAAGCCGGCGATGCCTCTTCGCAAAAGGTCGCGGACCATCAGGACGGGGATGAGCCTGCTCCCGTGGCCGAAGTCGATGATGCAGCGGGTCCCGACTCTGCATCTGAGACAAAGCAAAATTCAAAATCGCACCGACAGGGATCCGAGGATGAAGAGGGTGACTCTGTTGGTAGTGAGGAGACTTTCAAAGACGAGTTATAAGAGGGGCGGAGATATGAGATTCGGTCCTGTACAGTAGAAGATCAATCGATATACATTTTGGCGCTCATATTTGCACTCTGCACCAAATTCCAACCATTTGTACATACCAGCACTCCATCAGTTGATTCATGGATCCAAATATATCTGTTTATATCGGGTTACATGTGAAGAAAGTCATAGTCTGGGCACGACCGGGTTGGTTCCAGGAACAGCCGGTTAGCTTCATGCCCAAAGACGTCAGTTGCCCCAGTTGCCGGGAACCGAGTGGGGGCATCAGGAGAGGTAGTTAAAGGAGGTGCAGTTTGGGAGAGAGGAAGTCATCGTGAAGAAGAAATACGGAATTGATCAGATATTTGTTCAAGGAAGTGAAGATAATAGTCAAAGAAGACGAGGACCAGAGATAGATGGTAGAGGCAGAAGTATATGAAGTACCTGAAATCTGAGGTCCAGTCCGGGCCTACGTAAGGAACGTGACCAAACCCAAAACCTCCAACTAGCGATCGCCCCCCGGCCCACCTTCCCACTCCTCCCTGATCCCAATTCCAACCTTCTCTACTCCCCCCCCCCTCTTCCCTCTGGGTCTCTTCCTTTTTATCGGTGGCTCTGTGCTCCTCCCGACCTCTTTCGCATATCCATCCTCCTCCTACCTAACCCCCTCCCCTGGCCCGCACCATCCTAAATACTCGAGCTTGCCAAGGCTGACTGACCCCCGGCAACGGCCACCGTCACCCCCCAAACCCGGCCTCCTCTCCGAATAAACATCTACAACCCACAACCGACCAATTCCGAGCTGGCACTTTGTTTCTGCTGCTGTCGCTAGCAGCGCTCGGACTCCGTCATCCCTACGAGACGAAGGACCCGCCTATCCCGCGGCTTCGCATTAAATCATGGGGTTCCTCGGGGTGTATACGGCTGTGTATGATTACCAGCCTCAGGCAGAGGGTGAACTGGAAATCAAAGAGGGCGATTTGCTCTACGTTTTGGATAAGAACAGTGATGATGATTGGTGGAAAGCTAAGAAGAAGGCCGAGCGAGACGACGAGGATGAACCGGAAGGTCTAGTCCCGAACAACTATGTTGAAGAGGTGAGTCTGCCAAAGTGGGAGATGTATAGGCCGTGTAGCCCACTCTGCGCATTGACTGCGCCGAGGGATGCCTAGGATATGCAATTGAATTGATGCTTACCTCTTAACTCGCATCACACAGGCGCAACCAGCACACCAGGCCAAGGCTCTTTTCGATTACACGCGGCAAACAGACGAGGAGGTTTCATTCTCCGAAGATGCCGAGATCTTAGTCTACGACACGTCAGATCCAGATTGGACTTTGGTTGGAGTCGGCTCGGATTATGGATTTGCGCCGGCCAACTACATTGAAATCGTGGGAGACGCTGCTCCAACCGCTGCGACTGCCGTGTCTCCATCGCCACCAGCTGCCGAGCCCGCACCGCCGTCTCTTCCTACACGACCGACGCAGCCGGCTCCAGAAGAATATGAAGAACCCCCTTCTCCATCTCCCATAGACACCCTGCAGAATCCCGCAGCCGCCGCGATCGCCAATATCATCCATCAGCAACATGCCCCCCCCAGCGCGCAACCCGAGCCTACGCGGGAGGAGGCGCCTCCACCCCGACTGCCAACTCGACCTTCGCATGAACAGGAAGATGAGCGTGAAGAAGCCCCTGCTCCTGCGCTCCCGCGCCGGCCCCCTTCAGAACAATTTACCCCGCCAATGCCCCAATACGATCCCGATCCGTCTCCGCCCCCGCCTCGTCCTCAACAGCGGGCTCCTCCCATGGGTGGACATAGCCGGCCTTATGTTAAGGAATCTCCTCCATACAACCGAGCCGGCGAGATGACGCCTCGCTCGCCCTCTGGATATCATATCTACAACATCAACGAGATGGTTGAAGTAATGGGCAAGCGTAAGAAGATGCCCACTACTTTGGGTATTAACATGGCGACGGGAATTATCTTCATTTCTCCCGAGGGTGACGATCGTCAGCAGGAATGGTCTGCGGAGAAGCTCACCCATTACTCGATTGAAGGCAAGCACGTCTTTGTCGACCTGGTCCGGCCCAGCAAGAGCGTCGACTTCCATGCAGGCGCCAAAGACACCGCTCAAGAGATTGTTGCTGCTCTGGGTGAAATTGCTGGAGCCTACCGTGCTGAGGGCCTGCGTGAGGTTATTGCGGCTGGTGAAGGTGGTGGCGCCCAGAAGAAGGGTCAGATTTTATATGATTTCATGGCACAGGGTGATGATGAAGTTACGGTGGCTGTGGGCGATGAAGTTGCTATCATTGACGACACCAAGGCCGAAGAATGGTGGATGGTCCGACGTTTGAAGAATGGCAAGGAGGGTGTCGTTCCTAGCAGCTACGTGGAGATCACCGGATTTATGCCTACCATTCCCACCCCCGTAGTGGAATCTGGTATGTCGTCCGTGGAGCGAAACCGCTTGGAGGAAGCTCGACTCGCCAAGGCCGCAATGGGAAAGACCAGGACCGATTCGATGGATTCTAGCGAGGTAAGAATACGACGCCTACAACGTTACCCCAGACGTGTGCCCCCATTGGTTATTGACACACGATTCCCTACCCAGCGCAAACGTGATAGCAAGCGCGACAGTAAATCAGCAAAGTCAAGTAAGTCATCCGTTCTTGAAAACGAGGAGACAAGGTTATTAACGGAGACCATCAGAGCCAGATCCCTCCAAGGTGAGGAAGTGGACAGATCGGACTAAAGCTTTCACTGTGGAGGCACAGTATATTGGTCTTTTGGACGGCAAGATTCAACTTCACAAGGTCAACGGTATTAAGATTGCAGTTCCCATCGCGAAAATGTCCGTTGAGGATCTCGAGTACGTGGAGAAGGTTGCCGGTGTTTCCCTCGACGAAGATAAGCCACTGTCAAGTATTCGAGCCCGTGGAGCCTCCGATGCCAAACGAGGCTCTGCAGGTGCTTCTGTACAGCGTCCCGAGTACGATTGGTTCGACTTTTTCCTCAAGTCCGGCGTTGGCCCACATCAATGCGAGCGTTACGCGCAGAATTTCATCAAGGATTCAATGGACGAGTCCGTATTGCCTGATATCACCCCCGAGACACTGCGCAGCCTTGGCTTGAAGGAGGGTGATATTCTGCGAGTCATGCGCCACCTGGATACTACGCTGGGCCGTACTGGTGCCAAGTCCAAGCTTCGTAACGTTAGCTTTGGGGGCGAGGAAGTCATTGGCAACGGCGAAGAAGGCGGTCTGTTTGCTGGACCTGGTGGCATGCTGCGCAACAACACTCGCAAGGGGAGACCCGCGCCGGCTGTGCAGGCTGGTGACGTTGTTGATCCCAAGGCGTTTGAGCAAGCGGATGAGTCCAAGCCCAAGGCTGAAGAGAGAGCCGCAACTCCTCCGGCTCCCGAGGCTCCTGCGGCTCCTGAGAAGCCCGTTGCTCGTGGATTTGATGACGATGCTTGGGAGGTGAAGAAGCCCAAGGAGTCTGCAGCTGCACCTCCCCCGGCGGCGGCGGCCTCGCCACCAGCTGCTCAACCCCCGATTCAAAAGCAGGTCACTGGTGCAATGGCGGACTTGTCCCTGCTTCAGGCTCCTCTGCAGCCCACTGTTGTGCAGCCCACCCCTACCCCCGCTGTTTCAACCATCCCTGCACTCCAGCCGCAGCAGACTGCCGTGCAGAGTGCAACCGTGCAACAGCCCCAGCAGACCGGTGCCACCCCCAACTTCTTCACCCAAATCGCACAGATTGGTCAGCACCAACAGCAGCAAGCCCAGGCCCAGGCCCAGGCGTTCAGTCCCCAACAGACTGGATTCCAGACACAAGCCAGACAGCGCCCACAGGCTCCGCAGACCATCGCCCAGAATTCGCTTCTCCCACCACCTCCGCAGCGTCCATTGTCAGCACCACAGAACTTCACGCAGCAGCAGAGCTCCTTTGGTCCTCCTCCATTGCAGCCTCAGCTGACCGGAGTCCCTCAGCCTGGTCCGGCTCTTCCCGGTCAGAGTTTGACCGAGCTGAACCAGCAGCGCCTGCAGCCTCAGATCCAGATGCAGCCGCAAGCCACTGGCTTCATGGGCCAGAATCAGTACCAGAATGGAATAATGATTCCTCGGCCTACGGGATTCACTCCCCAGTCACAATTTGGCATCCAGCAGCAACAACAGAACCAGTTACCATATGCTAATGGCCAACCAGGCTTCCAGGGTATGGCTCCACAGGCTACTGGCTTTGGTGGATTTGCGCCGCCTCAGCAGCCAATGCAGACTGGCATCAACTCCATGCTACCTCCCGCACTCCAGCCCCAGCCAACTGGTGCTAATGGTTTCGGCACCACCACATACACCATCAATAATCCACCCCCAGTCCCACCAATCCCTCAGCAGCCAACGACCACCCCTCTGTCGCCGCAAAAGACAGGACCTCCTCCATCAATCAGATTCGGCGTCAAGCCAGATGCACCCAAGAAGCTTGCCCCTCAACCGACGGGATTGCGGGCAAACCTTTCTCAAGCTAGTAAGTCCTCTACCTTTTAACCTATTCAAGTGATGAGGAGTTGAGTCAACTAACCTATATATCTAGCGCCCAACAACCCCTTTGGCTTCTAGGTGGACCTTGTGCATTTGAATATCTGCTCCGTCTTGATTGGCATATATAATTTTGTCGTTCTACCCTTTTGAAACTGGCGATTGGCAACTACCTCCCCATTTGTTTTGTGCTGCGAATTCTGTATTCACTGGGACTCGAATCTTACATATCTCAGCTTGTCCTTTTCATACTCCTTCTTGCACTTGTGGAATTGACATGCGTACATACCATATTACCTCCTCATACCATTTTCATGGTCTCCACCCATTTCAGTTAATGTTCTCGTCAGGTCCCGTCTTTCTAACGCAGCTTACGTTGCGATGAGCGTGGTTTCTTTGTGAAATTCTCTGACTTAGCGAGCCATCATCCGATTCGATTTCCTTTCTCCTTTTCTCCCACTTTTGAATTCGACCGCGCCCCATCTGTGTCTTCCATCCCCCTCTTTGGTCCATTTCACGTGTTCCTCGCGTTAGCCTTTGAGAAATTTGCAATGCCGCGCATTTTCATCCCGTTTCCCTCGCCATATATCTCGTTGATGGTTATGTGGTCATGGTCATGCTTTAGTCCCGTTGAATGTCCCCATGTCTCTCTCACTTTCGTTCTCCTTGGTCCTTTTCTTTTGTTGCTTGAATGACCATCCCTGGTTCTTCTCTCCCCCCCAATCCATCTCTTGTTACATATCTCACACGTTTACATAGCTGGCAATAAGCTGCTGGCATCTTCCATAACTTTTCTTTTTGTTCTTGGATCTGGTGCTGCAAAAGGCTCTCGTGGCACTACGACACTAAGCCTAATTAGAGACCGAACCTTACGAGTAGCACCTAGTACATACGATATCTGTCTGTTAAGCCCTTTTGTATGTTAGTGACCCTTCAGTCTTGTGAAACAAGGGCTAGAAAGAAAGGCCTCGCTATATACGATTCAACTTGTTCTATTTCTAAAGGTTTTTCAGAATGTCTTTCGAAATATCTTTTTAGAGAGCCATAGTAAGATCTCTCGATTTATCTTTAAAAGCATAGCTAATAAGATAACTTAGATATTTAGTCACAGGTATATGCCTATACATAACCGCTGCTCACGGATTATCAGCTTAGTCTCTTGTGCCGTGTTATGCTATTCAGGGAGGTGCGTTTCTAATTAGGCTTCTTAGCGTTGTAGTGTCACGAGAGTTTCTTGTAGTGCCAAGAGTATGATCCTTGTTCTTTCCTTTTCCTGTCTAATGTACGTTTGCTATTGGTTGATGGATGGTATATAGGATGATGATCAATGCGTAGGTTCGAAAGATATAAGAGCCATCTAATACTTTGAGTAGATGCTGCTCGAAATCTTCTGAGAGGCTACTTTCAAGGAACAATCACTGCGCCTGCTCTACAAGGTTAAAAAATAAATGCACGTATAAACATTTGTAAGATTCAGTGCCGCTTCGGGGTATAAGATAATAGACAGATCAATTTTGACCTGCCCAAACGAAAAAAGCAAAAATTGTAACTGCATATCCCTAGACACCCCGAAAATTCATCACATCATAGACCCGCCCATTTTATAGAACCGAAATACAAGCGCCAAGAAGCCCGCTACTAACGAGAGATGTGCTAAAGAAACCCGAGAGACCACCGTTGGAAAAGGGGAGTAAACTCCTAAGGTATTTGATTGTCCTCCCATATCCCGAAGACAGGAAGGTCCTCAGCCATGTATAACAGACCGTTCTCCGGAAACATCACATCGGAAAGAGGAGAAGGGCCACCGGACATTGGCGGCTGTCCTGTTGGAATAGTTCCGCCGGGGGAACAACCGACTGGAATGCCGGAGGTTGTCAGTGCCGAGATAGCAGCGTCATACGATAAAGGTGCGCCGTCAGGTCCGTACGAGAGGGCGTCCCAGATATCCGTTCCAGATGGCTGTGGGCCGGTGGTAGCCCCTGGTTGCGTAGTGAACATGGATGACGGGGTGTTTCCGGCCAATTTAGCGGATGGGCTTGGTGAAGGGGCGATGGGTGATTGTTGGGGTTCTCGATGGTTGCCGGCCTGACTAGGCGGAGGAAGATCTCGGACAGCTAGTGGTGATGTAGAGTCCGTACCGCCGCCAACTTGGCCAAAGAGCTGGTCAACCTGTCTGCTTCGGCGCTCCATCCATTGTCGGTTACGTCGTTGGACGTACTCTGCCACGGCGCCGCGGAGGTACTTGACGATCTGGAGGAAACGGTATGCGTGAGGATCGTGCGGGACGAATAGACCCAAGAAACGCTCTGCTTTGTTCAGACCTTCTTCTAGGGGGAGAAGGTTATCGTAGTCGGCGAAGAAGGCTGCACCGAGAACGACTGCCGAGTTGAAGACGGAGTTTATTAGGAATGGGAGACGGCGGGGGAGAGAACCGAATCGGGCGAGGTCGTCTACCACATCCAAGCCGCGAAGAGCAGAGTATACGCAAGCGTCTGCAAAAAGGGAGATGCGAGAACTGCTGTTGCGCGATTCAGAGGAGGAGGGGTCTGCTTTGCTTTTGACGTATTGAGCCACGCGGTAGACGAGGAAAGGCCTCGTTAGAAGGATGATCGACCAGTAGTAGGATCCAAAGACGTGAGCAGCAGCCAGGCTGTCCTCCATGCTCTTGTTGTCTAGCCGTTCCGTTTGCATCCTGAGAACCGTGGGCAGAGTTCGAACCCACGCACGATGTTGGTTTGAAATCGCTTCGGCCACATTGATTGAGATGACTTGCTTCATATAGACATCTGTCAAGATCCGTTCAAAGATGCGGCAGAGCGATATTACAGCAACCGAGAGCTGCTGATCGGGTGTCAAATTCCGCTGTTGATCTCCGGAAACGAGAGTGTCGTCTCGAATATCATAATCATAATCCGACGTTGCTGGGGGCCTGCCCAAGGATGCACTGAGGAATAGATCCATCATCCGCAGACTCTTCCAAACACGTTCTCTAGCCCTCCTTTCACGGCCGCAGAAAAGTGCATTTGCATCTTTACGGTGTATACCGACCGCATAAGCGGCTCGCAAAGCAATGCCGAGGTTCATAAATGCGCCATTGCGCCTGCATGCGCCAAGCATGTACATCGAGACCAAGATGTATGATTGGATAGTGTGGATGCTGGGCGTTTCTTGAAAGGCTGAGAAGGCCAATTGGCGACCACTGCTGAAATACTGTTCTGCCAGGGTCTGATTGATATCGGAGACTTGGGCACCAATCGCAAGGACGAGATAAAAGATCGAGCTGACGGTATCTTCATCGCCGGATGGGTTTCCAACCCAATTGGCCAGGCGTGGATGAAATTCTTCCAGGTCGAAGAGGTCTAACAATGGACTTGTCGCAAGCACAAATTGTTGCGCAAGCCGTTGGGCCTCCTCATTACTGGGTGGTGGAATGAGGGGTCCAGGTTGGGTACTTGGGTTGCTCTGGAAGGCTTCCAACATGGAATGGCGTGAATTGTCTTCCGTAAACTCGCATCGGCCAATAGACGAAGACACAACCCGGCGCACGCTTTGTAGAAATGACAAGCTCGCCGAGTCTCCGATATACATGAACTTCCCTTGCCCGTCACGGAGAAGTCGAGCTACCTTAGGAACAGGCGCCGTACCCTCCTTCTCATCCCTGACCTGTTGTTCCAGATTCATGCCGCGATCCTCCAACGAATTCAACAAGCGATCCATTGCCGTTTCCCGCTGCGGCGAAGGCACTATACGTTCGCTGAGTAGCATTGTGGAGTCCTTGGATTCGGGTTTGAGCAGGCGCGCGGGGCGATCAGAGAAATGGCATTCGGGCTCTTTGTTTCGCTGAATACATATAGTACAGGGTTGCTCGCCGTTGCATTTCTGCTTGCGGCGCTTGCAGCTGTCGCAGGCTCGGCGACATCGGAGCCGCGCCCCTGGAGCCGTACTGGCACGAGGCATCCCGGTGGCAGATTGCACGGCTCGTGCCGGGTTTAGTGGATCGGACGGCAGTATCGAGTGGTGAGGGTCATCGAAACGGGGGAAACGGTATTGGGTATCTGTTCAGGAGACCGAAGAGAATGTCTAGAGTGCTCGACGTTGGTTGGTTAGATTGCGCGTAGCGCATGAATCCGCGGTGGAACGGAAGTGCGGGCTGCTGTTGCTTTCCCCGGACTCGGCGGACTGACTAAGCGCGTTCCGCCGATGCCAAGACGAAGTATAGATAAACTCTGACCGAAGCTAACAAGTTATAAGGCTATTGCTATTTAAAAATCACTATATAAAAGCTGGATAATTTAACATTCAAGTTGGTCTGAAGGTGACGATCTTCCCCCAAGTATCCGCAGTGCCCCAAATACCTGATCGCAGGCACGTCAACTGCACGATCTGGCTATGATCCACAAACAAATTGACATCGATGCCAAACTCCCGGATATACCAGTTGAACACTTTGGGATCCGCCGCTTCAAACATCACACGTTCTGCGGGGAGCTCTTTCATGATTCTTGAGACTACGTCTGTTCGCCACGAATTGACATTCTCGGTGATGCCTTCGGACTCGATCATGAGACGCTTGACCCCGGCATCGAGGAACTTGCGACCCAAGTTGACTAATTTTCCTGGATCAGAAGCGCCGATAGCTTCGAGTTCAGCTGCAGGGGTGTCGCCACCGGCGCCGAATTGAATGCCCAACTCGGGCTTGGGCTCGAGTTTGTATGATTGGACTTTGTCGACTAGTCGAAGCCAGTCGTCTTCGGGGAAGGAGAGGAACCCTGAAGATAACTCGATGACGTCAAAGCTGTGGAAGTGTTAAGCCATAGTACCGGAACATGATAGAAGAAAACGCACCCCAAGTCCTTGCATTTATTAAGATACCGGTCGAAGACAGCATTTGGATCGGGATGGGTGAGAAGATGCTCAGCCCATCCACCCTAAGAAAGTCGATTTTGTTAGACTGAATTGCATGTATAGATTTGTGGAACATACAGTTGAGACATAAACGCCATGATCATGGGCCAGATCAATTAGTTCCCGTAGTTGTTTCTCCTGAAACAGTGAAAATGAACCTAGATAGGTCATCAGCCATATGTCTACATCGAGGGCCCATCCGGCTTACCTCCGGCAAATTTCAATCCATCCACATGCTCGCCCATTCTGTAGAATTTGTTAGATAAAGATATTGAATTCATTGCAGTGCAGTGAATCTTACGTCTCCAGGACGTCCGCTAGGTATCGCTTCCCCATCACCTAGAGGAGAGTGAGTTATCAATAAAGAATACAGGGTAGTAATTCATACAGAGTAATATGGACCACGGATCTCAGTAACGCCACTACTTCTTGGCTTTCCCTGGCGAGGGTTTGACCTCGCAAAATCAAAGCCATTCTGGTCTTCCAATAGGGTCGGGCTTTGGTGTATGGAGCTTCCCGACAAAGCTCTGGTGGGCGTAGCCACCGCGGCCTTGGCGACTGGGGATACTGCGCGGCGAGTGATCTGCCTGGATGCAGATGTGATGAAAGGAGTGATACTGGTCATCATCGTTGTATTTAGACTTGGAGATTCCGAGAGATCAATACAATGTATACGACACGAAACTGAGCAACGATTGATCCATCAACGATGTTCAAAATGTCGACGAAGAGTAACAAAAGTATTTCGACTGTACAGCTATGAAGAGATTGAGAGCAGTGTTCTTTCTATATCCTGTTTCTGTCTATTGTTTTCTCCTGTAAAGCTGTACGAAGGTTGACGTCAATTATACTTCACTCCGCGGAAGCACTGCTTGCTGAGGATGACATCAGAAGCCACCAATCACTGATTCGGAAAATCATTTGAGCTTCTTTACATCTTGAATGGAAGGAATAACAATATTCCTACAGCGCAGACAAGGCCACAGTGCATCTATCTAGAAAATCTATGATCTACTACACAAATGAAGCTTTCAGCGGCGTTCCGAGCCCCACTCGCGAAGTATACGAAGTATACAGAGTAGACGATCTCCTCCCCGGAAGAGACCCACAAGACCAGAAGACAGTCGTACTTTTGTAATCTCCAAATCTGTTGAATACACAAGTTAGCGCGACCACGAATTTATAGCCAACCCCCACTTCTGCCAATGCCAAACCCCAGGCACAGTCTCGGATCCGCCCGGATCGAAAGAAGGTCAAAGATCAGGTCCTGCCAAGAAAACACGGCTACGGGGCTTTTCAACGCGCGATCCCGCATTCTCGGATTGCGGGAGTTCCGCTGAGTAACGAGACGGCCTATGGCTAGGTTTGATTTGGTTAGTTGGCTGTATATAATAGTTCTCTTTTGAAGATATAAACACTGCGAGCTCATCCGCCGTGATCCGGTGAAGAATGGTATGGGAAGCCTGCTTGATTGGGTACAATACGAGTCTCACTCGTACCAAGCGCATAAGCAGGGAATAATGGACATTCTCATGCAGCATGAAAGAAGCCATCTTCGGAAGCCACCCGAGACGTATCAAGCCTTGGCCATAGTATCCTAACCCTCAGGGTTCCCCAGCCTCCAGCCCTGGGGCGATCACATAGAGGAAATAGAGAGACAAGGGAGGCAGGGGCCATAGCGCAGGGCTGACGCAAAGTGTTTTCCGTAGCATAATCAAAATGATATGCATTCTCAATTTTATGCACACAGATCCAGGGCATATGTGACAACTCGTGCTTTGGTAGATTGTGCTTTTGTCCTATCAGATCTCGTTGAGACTCGGATCTGGTGGAGCCGCCGGATACGAAGTATGAGCTGTACATACATTAGTATACGCAGTATATTACTTGCATTCGATGCATATTATTGTATGTATCGAGGCTGCTGTACGAGAACGAGTACGTCAGAAGCACGCGACACTTGATTTCTTTCATGCACATGCTCCTCTACCAATCCACTGCGGTTCCACCAGTCTTGGCACATTGCCCTACGGCCTGCCATGCTTTTTATTCGATATTTATTCCAATTCGGACTCATCAAACGCGGTCCAGCTGGCCAATTCGGCATCCGGTATCTCCGAACATCCGTTTCCATGCTTACCAAGTTTCTTCGCTCGTCGGGTGTGTTGAGTTGGCCGTGCTTTGCACTTTCCCTACCAGAACACAAGCGCCGAGGCCAACCAGAGGAGCCAACCACGGGGAAAGATAGGAAATAATGAGCGGAGACCAGTCCAGGGCGACTGCCCTCGTGCCTGGTTCCCTCGTCGGGGGTCGGTCCCCAGAATCTCACGGCGTTGGGCTTTCAATCTGGTCCAGCGCGATTCTTGGCCTTTTTCTCCATCGCCAGCGCTATTATTACGGTGACGCATGTCCCATTCGTATCATATCTGATTTCATTACTGTCTCTCCCTCTTATCCTCTTTATCGCATCTTCTCTTCGGTGTTGCGTGACCTGAGTTTGGCTATTTGGAACTCGTCATGGGTTCTGGGGCTATTCTCGAGCCCTTGGCGGTCATCATTCTCCTCTTCGGAGGCACCTGGATCAATCGAGTCACCAATACAACGTTTTCTCGCACAAATATTCGTCGACAGTCTTCTGAATACTCACGGCCTGACTCACCAGACTCACTGGAATCGGGATATTCAAGCCCAAAATCCAGAGATGGCCTCCTCAGTGCCCGCTCATGCTCCCCGCTGCCGCAGATATCCGACGATCGATGGCATAAACGGCAGCTCAAACTACTGGGCGCATCCTGGACGGTATCTTCTCCAAATACGGAAGTGTTCAAAGACCGACTATTGAGTCGTCTGCTTCGAAAACTGCCTTTCCTGGTGGAATGCTGGTACTGGGCTCTGGTATATTGGGTAAGTTGACACTGGCTGCAAGAAAAGGATATCGGGGTTCACTTTCATGTCTAACAATCACCTCATACATGCAGACATATCAGCTCGGTCGTGCCTTCACCGCCGTCACCCTGAAGGAAGACACCGTCGACGTTGCCAGAAGCCATGCCCTCAGATTGATCGAGGTGGAGGAACGCCTGGGAATATTCTGGGAATCGCGCATTCAGCATTTCTTCCTTCGTCATCCTTTGGTCATGAGATGGATCAATTGGATCTACTCCTTCATTCATATCCCGGGTACAATCGCGTTCCTTGTCTGGCTGTATTATTATACCATCACTCGCAATCGAATCAACGAGCCTCAACAGGGAAAGCCTCGGGGAACCATGAGTGGATCACCGACAGGCCCATTGCTGTATCAGGCACGACGACGCACATTGGCTGTATGCAATTTGCTCGCATTCGTGGTGTTTACTCTCTGGCCTTGCATGCCACCGCGGCTGCTTAGCGATCCAAATGTTGAGGGTCCAGAGGGTGAGCTTAGCCGCAGTTATGGCTTCATTGACACAGTTCATGGGGCCAATGGCGCAGGAAGTGTGTGGACAGAGAACCGATTCTGCAACCAGTATGGTACGTATGATCTGGCTCATTTTACTTCAATGGTCGAGTGCACTGGCTGATTTACTTTGCGTTCTTCAGCGGCGATGCCATCTTTGCATTTCGGTTACTCCCTCATGATCGGACTTACCATTATGACTATCCCTCTTCCATCAAAACATCGACGAGCTCTCCGTCCCCGCCTAGGCTGGAGTATCGGGCTACGCCTGCCGTCGTGGCGAAGAATGGTCTGTCTGGTCCTCGGCTTCCTATACCCATTCATAATTTTGGTAGCTATTGTGGCCACAGCCAACCACTTTATTGTGGATGCAATTGCTGGCGCTCTGGTTTGCGCCTTGGGTTGGTGGTCTAATGGAGTACTGCTGAATCTGTTGCCGATGGAGGATTACTTTCTCTGTCTGGTTCGGATTCATAAGCCAGAGCCCTCATCCATCAGCATAATTGACCGGCTATCCGAGGATTGGGACTCGGAGGATTCAGAGACACGACAGGCTGTAATTCCGCCATGAGAACATGCACATACTTGATAGTCGCTGACCACCCGTTTGATCGTGTGATTGACTTTGGCTTCCTGATACCCCCAAAGACGAACCGGCTGTTTGCTGGAGCTTGTCGATATCTTGTGAATATGGCAGAGAATTATCATTATATACTGCATTGAGCTTGATGGTAGCCCAATCTTTTGTATGTTTTTATATCGCTATTGTGGATTGGGTGATAGCTGTGAATCGTCGCTCTAGTCCATTCATAACTATATTATTAGTCCTTTGAAATAAATCACAAGACTGAAACATTATTTTGAACATGCTCTATCATCTAAATCACTCTCGTGGGGATAAGTAGGCGTATACTGTAAATGAACTCACCGGTGTAGGTGAAGCTGTGGGGTTCTAGATGCTTACAGAAGCAAAGAGCTGCCACAATGAGACCGCGAACCATCAACTTTCATTTACTTCAGCGCGCACTGACGCCAGTGGACCCTTTCTCTATACTTGGCTGTTGAATATCCCTGATACACAGTATATTTCAAGAATCCTTTCTTCATCTTGACCACCTTGACTGTCGATCTGGTAGCTTGCGATATCTCACAGTATGGCCTGGTGAGCCTCTATTCATATGGGCGGAGCCTGTAGCTAATCCAGCATCAACAGATTCATATACCGGTCACCATATCTGAGATACAAGATATATACTATGCCAACAGGCTGTTATTGCTCCTTGGTGACTCACAAGCTTCATCGTCCCAATAGTTATCCGCGTGAGTAGGTCTAGGCATTGATCGCATCTGCCTTGAGTCTCGGACCACAGATACCACCAAACCTCAGATAATCGCCAAAAGCAGTGGCAGTCAACCATCAACCTTCTCATAAGGCGTCCTTGCAGGCTGTGATCCAGGCAACGAGCTCTTTGCCTTTGGTGACAGCGAGGTGGAGCCTTGCCCCCTCCAGTCAGACCACCTGGCGACCGAATCTGTTAAATATCTGAGAATTTATGACTTGAGAAGACTCTATCTACCTCTACAAACATTTCCTCGGGCGGCAAAGACCCCATCAGAACCTTCGTTGCTGCTGTGGTGAAGCTACCTGAAGTTGCGGCGTCATTGGTGGCCGTCCTCCCGCTCTCAGACCCAACGCGTCCTTCCCGCGATCCGACCTGCGCGACTCCAACCTTCTCCACATCTTTCTCACCCACCTTCTCCTACCACCCATTCGCACCCCCCCAACATCCCTCTCTCAACCAATTCCTGAACCTTTCACCGCGACATACTGGGCACTGCAATCATGGCCGACGATACCCCTGTCGCTGCCCCCGCTGAGGCTGTTGAACAGCCCGAGCGCGCTGCGGCCGCGGCCGGCGACAAGCCTGCCGACCAGGAGTCCGAGAATGTGACTACCACCGACGACAAGAAGACCGGTAAGCTCTACATCCTATCCGCGCATTGACTCCAACCGGCAGTCAAGCTTCTCCATTGAAGCTGGCGCCCAGACCGGGAGGATCATGCCCTCTTGTGTGACCACAGCCCGCTAACCTGACTTGCCTTGGCCCGACCAGAACCCACAAGCGCAAACAACGAGAAGAAGGAAGCCGAATCTGGTGCCGACCAGGCTGCTGATTCCGGCGATGCGACGGAGGCCAAGGACGAGCCCGCTGCTGCCGACGGAGATGCTGAGACAGCTGCCCCAGAGGCGAATGGAACCCCAGCCTCTTCCAAGAAGTCCTCCAAGGACCGCCGCCGGTCCACTGGCACCGCCGAGAAGTCCAAGCTCAACAAGCGCAAGTCCATGACCAAGATCACTCATCTGAAGGTGCAGCCCGGCGAGTACTACCTTGCGCGTCTGCGCAGCTATGCGCCATGGCCATCCATCATCTGCGACGAGGAGATGCTCCCGCAGTCTCTGCTTGATACCCGCCCCGTCACGGCCGCGCAACCCGATGGAACCTACCGTGCCGACTACGCGGATGAGGGAAAGCGGGCCCATGAGCGGACCTTCCCCGTCATGTTCTTCCAGAGCAACGAGTTGTAAGTGATTGCCACCCTCGGAAAGCTCAAAAGAGTCATATACGTCGTTTCAATGGATAGCTAACTGTTGGTCTACACAGTGCCTGGATCCCCAACACCCAACTCACCCCGATCACCCCTGCCGAGTGCAAGGATGTCTCCCAGAAGAACAAGGCCAAGGGCCTGATCGAGGCCTACAAGGTTGCTTCGGAGGGCCACGACCTTGCATACTTCAAGCAGATGCTGTCCGATCACGAGGCTGCCATCCAGCAAGAGATCGAGGAGGAGGAGGCCGCCGAGGCTGCAAAGGCTGCTGCCAAGGCTGAGAAGGAAGCCGCAAAGGAGGCTGCTAAGGAGGCCAAGAAGGCCGCCAGCAAGACCAAGCGCAAGAGCAAGGGCCCGGATACCGATGTCGAAATGGAGGATGCAGATGACTCCAAGAAGGCCAAGACCTCGAAGAAGCGCAAGAATGAGACCGACGGTGACGCGGAGAAGGTGAGTATCTTCTGAGGGCGAGAGACTCGTTCTACAGCGCCGATGGAGTTTGCTGACTTCATGCACAGCCCGCAAAGACTCCAAAGACCAGTACTAAGCTGAAGTTGACTACCCCCAAGGCGCCTGCGGAGGAGAAGAAGACCCCCGCTAGTAAGGCAAAGAAGCCCAGCTCCAAGAAGGCCAAGGCCGCCGAGGAAGACAGCACCCCCGAGGTCAAGGAGCCAGAGAAGCAGATTGACCCCGAAGAGTTGAAGAAAAAGAAGGAGAAGGAGGGTACGTATCATCATGAGCATACTAAGAAAGGAACTATGATTTGCAAAGAAGACCGGCTAATACCCAGTTGCAGTTCTTTTCCTGCGTCACAAGCTACAGAAGGGATTCATTTCCCGCGAAATGCCACCCAAGGAGGATGAGATGGCCACTATGGCTGGCTATTTCGACAAGCTGGAGAAGCACGCTGATCTCGAGGTTTCCATCATCCGCTCGACCAAGATCAACAAAGTTCTGAAGATGATCGTCAAGCTTGATACCATCCCCCGCGACGAGGAGTTCCAGTTCCGCCACCGCGCAATGGGAATCCTGACCAGCTGGAAGAGCGTGCTGGAGACCGACGCCCCGGCTCCCTCCGACAAGGAGACCAAACCCACCGCCAACGGCGCCCACAAGGACGATGACGGCGCTGATACCCCCAAAGTGGAGACTGAGGAGGAGAAGGAGACAGAGAGCAAGACCGCCAACGATGATACCCCCATGCCCGATGCCGAGAAGGCCGACGAGAGCGAACCCAAGGCATCTACCGAGGATAAACAAACCGAGGAGAAGACTGTTGAGGCTGCCGCTTAAGCGCACAATGTTCTGGATTGGGGGTCACAAGTACATGCTCTGGAGTTTCTACGTGTCTTCCTTTTTCCGATCTCATGTCCTGCTTTTTCCTTGTTACCCTCCTCATGATGGAACCGGTCTGGGTACTCTGCTGTTCTCGCTGTGATACTTGAATTTTCTGACGTCTTTCCTCCATTCGACTTCGTCTTATCCGATTGGATTTAGACTTTGTTCTTGTTATGCTATTTCTCCTTTCTCTCTCTGATAATCCACCCCCTGCGTTGCCATATAGTATCGAATCTTGGGTCTGGGGTTAGCGCTGGGCTGGGCTGGGCTCTCTGTGGTTCTGGCCTGGTTAGTTGTTTGTATTTCAAAGGCAATGAAAAATGGTGTCTTTCTTCTAACTTATTCGTTTTTTGAGTGACTTGTATTTGGGAGATGCATGGTTCTAGTAAGCATGATATCTAGGTCCAGCAGGACTATTATGTTGGGAGGTATATCTATTTACATTGTGGCCTACGGTTGACATTACATATACACCCAGCAGCGTAGGAGGTCTCTGTGGAAAGGATATTATACGCCGAAGGACAAAATGCAGTATCTTTACATGCACCGTATCATCCTCGCAATCCGTCGAGCGTCTGCCATATTATATCAAGGTATCAAAGATGATATAGGTTCTCTCTGGACGCTTCTACGTGACACTGATATTAGAGCGATATCAAGCAGTCGCAGGCCAAAAGTCATAAAATAAGGGAAGGAAGGACGAAAGAAAAGGAAAATAAAAGATCATCCTTTCCATGAATCGAGCCCCGAACCTTCACGTTCCCTATATACCTCCCTAAAATGCTCCATCGTCATCCCACGATGCCGAAAGTCATACCATCAGGGACTACACCCACTAAATAATCTCCCTCTACACCACCATACTACCTCTAAAATATCTTATTTTAGATATAGAATAGAAGATATAGAAGAGGTCTATCTATTAAATAAAAAAATAAAAAATAAAAGAAGAAATCGGCGAGCGGGGGGTTTAGCCGCTCGCCCACTCTCCCCCTTGGGGTGTGCCCGGTCATCCGTGGAGCGATGCTCGACATCGGATACCAGTCAACCATATTTCCCATCATTTTTCCTTCACAGGGGCACACCCTTGGCCAACCAGGTGGCGCAAACCTGGCTGACCAACTAGGCCATATGAGGGGGGAGATTACCTGGAAGAACTTGAAGTTGATGATAACCCTCAAAACGCTTAGATTTGAGGGGGAACTGTACACTCTGTATGTCGGCATTAATAATGAAATTGATATTGATTTTTACTCTCGCTCAACCATAGAGCTGGCAATCTTCATGCTAGATCATGTCTCCGAAACAAAAAGGAAATGTAGATATAATAATTTATATAAGCCGTCAAGACCAACAACCTCCTGCCCAAAAAAAAATCCCTGCGCCCCCCAGATGCAGAATGAAAAAAAAAATGCAAAGAACAATCCCAACGAGTCCAAAGTGTATAGACCACAACCGTGGAGTTTATATAAGGGCACCTGTCTGTCTACTTGGTACTCGTACCACCGGCAAGACTCTCGTCTACGGCCACAATAACCAAAGCACAGATATCATCCACCTTGCCGCCGCGGTAGTAGTCTCCCGGATAATAACGCTGTGCCTCCTTGGCGAAAGGACCATCGCGGCGGAAGTCGACACTGGCGACCTTTGCCTCGCCAGCGATGGAGGCAGCAAGAAGGGATTGGAGGGTAAGCGTGGATTCGAGAGTAGCATTCTCCTTTTCGTTTGGTTGGGATGCGGAGGGGTTCTTTGGTGGTGGGAATGCAGTGGCCAGTCCGCCTGGAACAGTCAATCCCGCAAGAGTATCCGAAATGCCCACGCCAAAGTCTTCGGTGGCTGTCCAAGCACCAGTCAAGACCATGCGGCTCGTGACAACCTTCAGGATATCCTGATTGTTCAGATTGTCAAAGACACCGTCCGTTGCGAGTATGAGCACATCACCGTGCTGCATCTGGACATTTGTGACGGCGGCGTCTTTGGGGAAATCTTCCAAATAGGCTCCTCCAAAGACGGACGCTTGAGCGCGCATGCGCGGGGGAATAACGCTCAGCTGATAGGGGGTATTGAACCCGTGGGTTTGCGGGACAGAGTAGTGGTGCACGGCAGCAAGACGGAGTAGTACTGAACCCGAGTCACCCAGGTTCGCCAGCTCAACGCGGCCATCTGGAAGCGCAATGCCGACAGACGCAGTGCTGCCACCCGCCTTGATAGCCGGGTCATCCACAACCTGGTCATATCCTGCCTGCAATAGCTGCTTGGGCCGCAGCTTGTCTGCAGGCGAGTCCCAGGCCAAAGCCGACTGAGCCATATAGCCACAAAGACCATGCGAAAAGTCCGCCGGATCGACACGGGACTCTGTCCAGCCACCGACACCATCGGCCACCGCAAAGGCGACTGCATTGCCTGCATCCGGGTGGCCTGAAACGTGGGAGCCGATCCGGCTTACGAAGAAGGCATCCTCACCACTATCAGGGCGATTGCGCCGGCGGACAGCGGGATTCTTGTCTCGAGAGACACCGATCACATCCGAGATTGTAGGGTCAAAGTTGTATGCATTTTTGAGAGGGTGGAAGCGGCGGCCTTTACCCGACGAGGAGACGGCAACCCGATACGAGATCCGAGAGGTAGAGGGCGAGGGATCGGATAGCCGGCCGGGAGTGGAATGGAAGGACCGGCGAGGGGTGTTATTCAAGGCATATTTGCGAGAGAGTGGTGCGAAGAACGGCCGAGTCTTTGCGAAGGAGAAGGAAAAGGTGCTGGCGGCGGAGAGAGAAATCCTGTCGCGAACAAGGGTTTGTATTTGTAGGCTGCAGGTGGAACTGCAGGCTCTACACTGCACACTTAGCGGGATCATCGCAGGGCGGAAGATCACGACCCTCCCACGTAAGAGAGCTCACAAGAGCATCGGAGGGACACAATGGGAAAAGGGGGACAATAGGAACGGGTTGATTTGGTCGTGAAAAGTAAAAAAAAGAAAGAAAGGGTGAAGAGGACACAAGGGCACAAAGGAAGTTAAAAAAACTCAGGAGCGCAGCTGGCCGAACGGATAAGAAATGAACCCGCGAGCTTATCGCGATTGACCGCCTGGCGTCATTGTCTTTCCTTTTTTTCTGGAATTGTTGGGATTTATAAAATTCAGGGGGAATATACAGAATCAAGGAGTTTTGATTTTCTCTAGTATATCCAATGTAATACTAATCCAGTCGCTAATATATATTCGTAGACCTAATCCAAGCTCGACTCGGTTGTATACTTCTTACTGCTGGACTGTAAATTTCTATCTCCGCCTCTGCTTTATCAGTTCTGCCGCGCCGCAACTTCCACCTCCGACTCGCTCGCCCGTTTCCACCAGCTTCCAGCTTGTCTCTCAACATAGCAGATCTCCTCTTTGCTGTTTAATCTAATCTGTGAAGCGTGAGCTTCTCCGCATTCAAAATGATGCACCCTGCGCGACAAGCCTATGTCGAGGAGGCGGCCGAGGTAAGCGATCAACCACGCGACAGCTTCCACTAGTCAAGCCTTGGACATGGTCTCGCAAGTCATTGCTTGGACTAGTGGCATCTGCGATTCATCCTTTTTCCTCAATACGTATTATCACGCGTTATTCTTGGATATGAAGCTAATGCGACACCTCTAGGAGATGGACACGGGCATTGATCTCGCCAACCTCCGTAAGTGATTCCCTCCAACAGTCTTTGGACCCCCACTAACAACGTGAAAACAGCCGTTGACACAGACTATGAGATCCCTGCATCCGCAGCGGGCATCCCGTCCGAACGGGCATCTGCCATCACAGCCCAATTCGAGCGCAAACGACGCGCCGCCGCCATGGTGGTGCCCACAGACGATACCCGCGTGCGCCTACGACTACGAGAGCTTGGCGAGCCCATTACACTCTTCGGCGAGGGCCCCGTAGATCGACGAGACCGTCTGCGCGAGCTGTTGACCGATCTAGCGGAACGACAGGGCGAGGGCGACGTCGAGATGGAAGAGGCTGAGGAGGAAGAGGAGGTTGAACAACAGGAGGAATTCTACACAGAGGGCTCAGACGCGCTTCTAGAAGCTCGGAAAGCGATCGCTCGCTATTCACTACCGCGGGCGAAGGCGCGAGTAGCACGACTAAAGGAGGAGTCAACGATCCCGCTGAGGACACACGTTAAGCACCGGAAAGCGGTCAAAGAGAAGCTTGGAGGATTCGATCTGTACGGATCGCAGATTGCGGGTGACCGGCCAGTCAGCATTTGTCGATTTGCACCAGATGGACAGACCATCGCTGCTGGAAATTGGGGCGGCAGCATCAAGTTGCTGACCGTGCCGAACTTGGAGGAGAAGGCGAACTTGAAGGGACATAATGACCGTGTTGGTGGTTTGGCGTGGTTCCCGGGGGCTACACTACCCGAATCCAACGTTTCACCATCAAGCGTTAACCTCATCTCCGGAGGTGGCGAAGGAAATATCAACCTTTGGTCACTCGATTCAGACAAACCTCTAGCCACACTGACTGGACATTCAGGACGAGTGTGTCGCACCGAGTTCCACCCGTCAGGACGGTATGCGGCGTCTGCCTCTTTCGATACGACGTGGCGTCTGTGGGACGTCGAGACCACCACGGAACTGCTCTTGCAAGAAGGCCATTCACGAGAGGTCTATACCGTATCCTTTAACAACGACGGATCTCTCCTTGCCAGTGGAGGTCTGGACAGCATCGGTCGAATTTGGGATCTACGGACAGGCCGCACGGTAATGATTCTGGAGGGCCACGTCCGCGAAATTTTCGGCATGGACTGGGGCGTGGACGGATACCGTGTGCTTTCCGGGTCTGGCGATGGATGGGTCAAGTGCTGGGATCTGCGACAAGTACGAAATACCGGCGGCATTGGCGCACACAAGAGTGTGGTATCGGATCTTCGCTGGTACAAGGGTGCTGAATCAGCATCATTCTTGCCCTCTACCGATGGCCAGATGGAGGTTGATGGTACTCCAGCACCGAACGGCGATGCTGGTATTCGACCTAAGAAGTCTGGTACTTTCTTCGTGTCGAGTGGTTTTGACAAGAACGTCAATATCTTCAGTGCTGATGACTGGTCGTTGGTGAAGACGTTGAGTGGGCACTCGGGTAATGTCCTCAGTACGGATGTTAGTGGTGATGCGCAGTGGATTGCCAGTTGTGGTCATGATCGTACTGTGAAGCTCTGGGGTATTGAAGGGTAGATTTGAACTGCTATATTGACCTACCTATGCTCGAGGTGGTAGTGTAGTGTGTTTAATGTGAATGAAATAGGCTTCCAAATTAGAATATCCACTGAGATGCCCAATTGATTGCATATCACTGCCTCTCAAAGCTATCTAGTCCTCGATATTTGCAACTTATTATTTAAGAATTTTAGTATCTGGGTGACAGTTCGAAGCGACTGTTATATCATGCTCAAATGTTCGAATGGTAGATAAACAAGATATTTCGCAATTTCCAAGTGTCATTTTCCAGACTCTGGTTATCATATATGGGTCAGAGAATTGCACTACATCAACCAATCGTCTTCTAGCCATATGTCTTGTAAGTAACTTTTGTTGTTGCCAAGTACAGTGTAAGAACCACCGCGATTGAACATGCTTTGTATAATGTCACGTGCTCGTGCGGGGATGACGTAAGTTGTAGTTTTCCACGGCGGGCTATCTCCGAGTCCGACGCTCGGCTTGAAGCTTTCTTCTATCAACAATTTCAAAATGGCACTCCGCACGCCAACCTTGGCGCGACAACTGTGTCGCTCAGCGACATCACGAACAGTCGCGACATCCAGCCGACAGGCTCTGATCAGCACATCCCAGCGCAATGCGTGCACCCTCTGCACCCATACTAGCCGAAGCCAAACTCTCGGCTCAACCGAATCCATCTACACGCCGTCAAACATAATGACCCGTCGCGCAGCCTCAACAGCAGCCTCCCCCACCCAAACACCCACGGAAGCAAGCGAGCCATCTATCGCCAGAGCCCCGGATATCACAAACCACTATACCATCTTCCCAAAGACCCTCCCAGCCGGTCCACCCCCAGCATCACCCTTCGAAATCTCCGTAGGCGATCTACGCCGCGAATTCCTCCAACTCCAAGGCGCAGTTCACCCAGACAAATACCCCTCCGGCGCTGCAAAGCAACACGCCGAGGCCCTATCCGCGCGCATCAACGAAGCATACCGCACACTCTCAGACCCGCTCCAGCGCGCGCAGTATCTGCTCCGTGAACTACATGGGATCGACGTCACGGCGGAAGATGCCTCGACCAAGCATGCACTGGACCCGGCGACGCTGATGGAAGTGATGGAGGTGCAGGAGACCATTGAGGAGGTTGGTGCGTCGCCGGAGGCGGAGGCTGAGATTGACGCTTTGAAGGATGAGAATGAGATGCGGATTGCTGGGTGTGTGGGTGCTTTGGCGGGGGCGTTTGATCGTGGGGATATTGAGGGTGCTAGGGCTGAGTGTGTCAAGTTGAGGTTTTGGTATAGTGTTGGTGAAGGGTTGAGAGAGTGGGAGCCTGGGAGTACGGAGATTCGGTTGGTGCATGGGTCTTAGATGGGAGATTGAGTGTGGCTGTTGATATTGAGGGTATGCTTTGTATTATGAATTGGGAATGCATGTACTGGAGACGATTTTATGGGTTTAGTATATAGATTTGAGATATCCTCCCCTCTTGTATCATTGAGATTGTTATTTGAGACTTTGGGTATACCCATACGAATCAAGCCGTGTCTAGTTGCCGGCAGAAAACCCTCAAGATTCTGGAGGGTTATGATTTCAGCTCGTGTATGTTTACGTAGAGCCGTCGGTTTCATGGAAAGTATCCATTCCAGCGATATGCATTCTCAGATATCAAATGAATACACCCCGCGACAACCAACTATACTATCTCTAAGGATTGACTCGAACATATCAAGTACTTAGTACCGTTCATGCAGAAGAAAGTTCATCTTCTAGAAGAATGGAACTGTGTATACAAACACCGTGAGATGATAATTCTCCCACCAGTGACAAACCACCGAAGCAGCATTAACATTGCCGGTCCTGTAGCCTTCCAAATTAGAAATTTCTTGTAACCAGTATCTCTCTCTTAAACCATCCCAGAACTAGCAAAATAATGACATTGTCCGCCACCCTACAGCTACATCTGAAGAACTCGCATTTGCCTTATCAGCAGACCAACGCACCTGGACTGCAGACGCAGACCGCCACCAAAGAATAGCGCCAAGGCGACAGAAACTAGGACCAAGGAGCAAAATTTCGCTCTTACAAGACTCGGCAGACAGAGAAAAAAAGTGAAGCTGTCTAGGACGTACAGGCAAGTAGAAACCCAAATTCCAGGGCGATGGACCTGGCCCCACTCGACGAATGAGGCCCGCAGTTGGGAGGTGAGCAGGCGATTGGGCACGAATGGAAGCAAGTCGGGATTTGTCTACCTTATTCGCCAACAAACCCCATCTCGAGTTCCAATTTGAGGGTGCTTGATTGGATATGAGGCCTTGCTGCATATTTGCTTTACTTTTTACCGTTCGATTATTCCTCTTCATGGATGGGATCAATGCGCATGCACGGCGATGAAGAGAATAGGCTCGGATACTCACGATTCATGACGGGGTACTACTACACACGGGATAGCATATCTCACAAAGTCATATGAGAAGATCATAGCGACCGCTTCAAAACTAATGAGGACCCTTTGGGTACCGGACTTTTATACACCGGAAGGCCCCCTGGTCGATCCGAGTCGGTCTGCTGGCAAGGCGTTGGCGTCGATGATGGTACCCCCCCCCCTCTCTGCTCTCCACACCCATCAGGACTGCACACGTAGCCCGCTAACAGGGCTATCTCGACTATCTGGGTCCTGTGCCCGAGTGGTGGTGCTTTTCTGGTGATTTGGCTTAGGCCAAGGATGACAAGACCCTTGTTGGAGTCTGTAATTAGCGAAAGATACTTAAACACTTGCGACACCGTTGTCGCCCATATTGGGGGAAATAATCACCGATTCAACTTTTTCATCATTGAAATATACCTTTCCACAGGACGGCAGTGACGCATTGCGGAGGAGTAGAGCAGAGCAGAAGCAGCTTCCATGGACTCTCGTGATTATAGCAGGTGGGTGCCACACCCAGTCAACATGCCCAACTCACCCCAGCCATCACCACCATCCCAAGCAGTACAAGCACCTCCAATCTTGCCTCCAATCTTGAGACTAAAGTCGCGGGACTTTGCTGACACGTTTGAGCATTTTCCAACCAACAGTATCATCCACTCACCGTCATTTACGTTCCTCGTCGGACCCAAACACACCAAGTTAACCATCCAGTCGGGCCTCGCCCAGCATGTCTCCAAACCGCTGCACAACCTCATGAACAATGGCCACACCCGGGAATCCAAGCATCGCATCGCTGTACTCGAAGATGAGGATGTCGAGACCTTTGTCGCCTTTTGCGAGTATGCTTATACCGGCGACTATAAGGTGCCTCAGCTACCGGTGCCCGTGCCGGCGCCGGCGCTAGCACCCTCGCCTCGAGAGAATACCCGAGTAGAAGTGGTAGAGAGTGTGATGAGCCCGGGACAGTCTTGGAGAGGGACTTATCGTTCGGACTCGGTTTCGTCGGCTGTACCACCGCCAGCTCCGTCGCCGCCACCGGGGAGTCAGACTGATGGTCAAACTGTGAGGGCTGAGGGAGATGTACCGCCAGTGGTTGAGGAGGATGTCTCTGCAGAAACAGAGGCAGAGGAGCCAGCTGAAGCTGAAGCTGGACCTAAGGTAGAAGCAGAAGCAGAAGCAGAAGCAGAAGCAGTCGAGCCCGAAGCTCAGGAGCCAGCATCTACCGAGCAAGCCCAAGAGTCACCCGGAACACAGGAGCCTGTTGAGCCTGCCGAGCCCCTCGAGCAGCCGAAGGAAACAGACTGGGCACAATATCAGGTTACCGATGACACCCCCCGGAATCTGGCGAGCAGATAACCCCAGACGCAGCAGAGCCGGCCGACGAGGCATCCTGGGAAGAAGAACCGGCATATCCCACTTCGAAGAAGTCCAAGAAGGCCAAGGCCAAGGCAAAGAAGGCAAAAAAGAAGTCTACCCAGCAGCCTCTGGAAGATGAACCCCCAGCAAGCTTGACACCTCCATCCACGCCACCTCCTCCAGAGCCCGAGGTTGTCGAAATACAACCCGAGCCTGAACCTGTGCCTGAGCCTGCGCCCGAGCCTAGCCCAGAAGCAGAGCCCGAGCCGGTGGCCGTCGAAGATGAGGCTGTCGGGGCTGACGAAGATGCATGGGAAGAGGATGCACCAGCAGAAGTAGAAGAAGAAGCGGCACCAGAACCCCCCGCCTCTCCCCTACCGTCCCCAATGCCCTCGCCGTCTGCAGCACCCACAGATGCTCCCGAATGGCTTCAACCAACCTCCTATCCTCCCCAGGAAAACGATAACCCACCAGCGCCAATGTCCTCAATGTCACCTCGGACCACCTCTCGAACAAACTCACCAACCATCAACGCACCCCCTTCCCCGAAACCCATCATCGACATGTCTTTCGCAAAACAATCCGACTCGTCCCCACGCACGCCAGGCCTCAGCCTGTGGGACGAATTCGCTGCATTACAATACAACGACGACAGCGCAGTACCATCTACCCCTAAGCCGTCAACCTCAAGAACAACTACATCCACCGACCTCCCGTATCTCACCTTCCACGCAAAAGTATACGTCTTCGCAACACGGTACCTCATCCCAGCCCTGGCCCAACTCTGTCTCCGCAAACTCCACACAGACCTCGTGCATCTACCCCTCGGCGATGACACCAGCGAGGAATATGGAGAGTCTGATGCCGACGCCAATCCCCCGATTAGACCGGGTCTACCCGGTGCTCCAGCGATAGTCCTCGACGTGCTTCGCTACGCTTACACCAAGACCACCCGCCTTGAACCGATTAGCCCGACCTCGGCAACGCAGCTACGTGAGAACGAGCTGCGGAGATTGGTGGTGCATTATGCAGCTTGTCGGGTAAAGGAATTGGCGCGGTGGCATGGTGGGAGTGGGAGTGGGAGTGCTACGCCGGCTGTGAGGGGTGTCGGTGTTGATGGGACGAGGCCGGATAGTTTGAGGGCTTTGTTGGATGGGACGCCTGAGTTGGCGAGTGATCTTGTTTACCGGATGATGTGATGCATTGGAGGAGAATCCAGATCTTGATCTTGATCTGATTGAGATTGTGGTTGGGGGATTCCCGGGTTGACGCAGTGCGGTGTTCTGCTCTGCACTGCTGCCCTGCCCTGTCAACGACGCAAGACTGCACAAATGTATGAAGGTGGATCTGCAGGTCTTTTTCTTCTTGGTATCTTGGCTTTTGTATCAGGTTGCATCATATTGTCGTTCTTGGCGTCGAGAATGTTCCATTGGAGTCTTTTTTGTTTATTTCTTGGCTGTGGCGATGCATTTGGTATACTCTGCAAATGGACCTGCTTAAGAATCTGAATTTTGAGTCGATGTATAGGAGTATTTGAGGGAGCATACGTCATGCATCGGGATTATCTATGCAGAGCCTTGTAGATTTGTTTTGTACCGGGCTCTGACGGCAAGTACCAGGAGCATCCTGTTTGAATTGGTTGCAACTATTATTTTACCGTGCAGGAGTCTTGGATATGGTATAGTTAATTAAAATATAAAAGATAAATATTTGACAATAAATGCTTGAAATTTCCAACAATATTATTGCAGAACCACCAAAGGTTGCCGGAACGACTCCGCTTCTAACTTGGAAGGTTAGAGCTCGTCCTGATGTATTCCGAACTACATACCCTGACAGACATGGATGCATTATCTAGAATGACAAGTCGTGATTGTCAATAGCAATGACAATTTTGTACCGGAAGGTGGCAACATACGGGCATGAACGGAGTGCTAGAGTCACCGCCGAGACGCCTTGGTATAGGAGTGATATATACTGATTCCCTCCACCCGAATCGACCTCTTTCTGGATAATACAACCAATCCACACACCCCGTACCCCTCGCACTCCGCTATTCATTAGGAACTGCCAATGTATAATCCCCAATAGTTATACTCGATCGCATCATAATTTATACATTATTTCACAGTTGTACATCCTCTAGCTCTACTCCGTCATTGACCCACCGACAAGCACTCGCCAAGAAGCAAGGCCTGGGCAGACTTGGCAGATTCTGATAACAGGCTAACTCCCATCCAATCCGCCACTGCTCAAAAAATGGAAAAAATAAGCATGAAACGCAATTCTGCTGGTGATCGACAGCCGCGGATTACTTGGTTGCTTGGCATGTTTTATCCCGGGCTTGAATAATTCAATAGTTCCCCGTTAGCGCGGGGGGTTGGCGAGGAGAGGAGGCTGTGAAGATAAGAAATTAGCTATGAACTACTCAGGGGTCGCGTAATAGGAATTACGCTAGTTTTAAGATTTGATTGACTTAAGGTTGGTTAGTTGATTAGCTGATTAGGAGAATAGTGAACTATATGTATCATCTGATCGGAGCTTGGATCTATCACTTCCCCACTATCCCAGTCAGCCTATCCAAGTAGTGCTGCGGACGGTTTTCTGCCTTGTTCCCCTGATTTGTATTTCTCCTTCACAAAGACACAGGAACACAGCCTCACACGCTACAGCTGCTAAAAAGCTTGGCAGCGGTCCGGCGACGATGCGTCGATCATCGGCCTTGGCCTCCCACGTTGCACAGTTCCTTCCTCCGAAAGGCATACCAAGACTGTTTACCACTCGGGCCGAAACAGACCTGAACAACCTCTCCAGCAATGATACTGTTGACTGACATTGCGTCCAGCATCGAGTGATCCCTCAAGACCACGGTCTCTGTGTCTCTTGATAAGACTTGAAGCAATTCACCCCAGCCCAGTCAGGGGTGGATATCAACAACAACATCCACGACCTGAGCCACGCAGCAAGAATCACAGCCAGTTCTTGGCACTGATGAACGCTCTTCCGGGCCCAGGCAGAGAAATTTCCTTCTCTGCAAAGCATCCTCCAGACTCCTATTTCAGTCTCCCAAAGCAAAGACGTCTAACGTTCCCCCCCTAAAACCCTCTCCCGCCCAGAGTGGGTCACCGCACTGACTCGAACTATAGACTGCCCATCTTCCGCTATTCCACAATTACGGAGTCCATCCACCAGCCAAAACCTCTTCCCGAGTCCCCGTATGGGGCATCCAATCACCCTGACACTCTGCCCCTCCCCTGGCGGCAATGAACGCGCCCAGCCAGAAAGCCCAGGACGATCAATACTCCATTTCTTGGGACTGAATGGGGACTCCTGATAAGCTCCATGGATCTGGTAGGTCCGTTTTGACGAGCAACGCACTCAGTCCGGGTTCCACGACCTAGGCACCGAGCTATACAATGCCACTGCGAGACATGGTGTGTATGAAGTGGTTGTCTGGATGTCGCGGCAGTTCTTGGTGTTTGTCTTGGCCGTGGATCGTGCCGTGAAGATCTGGCTGGGCGTGGGAGGGTGATGATGAATCTGTGGCGGAATGTTTGGGCTATTTGAGATGTACTATTGAAGCATCAAAGCTTTAAAGGTGGAAGAGGGCTTCTTCCTCAGGGGGTTATTCTATTCAATTCATCCATCTCCATTTCAAAGCCATCTCTGATTCTTATTCCAGTCATTCTATTGCATCTTGCCTCAGCCATTGCTATTACATTGCCATCTTTTCTTTCCTTTTTCTCTTGTCATTCTTGAAAACATCTCTTTTGTTGATATCTTCAATTTCCAACTCCATCAAGCCGGACGGACTATCGTAACCGTTCTCCTCCAATCCACTCTCTTTTGATATTGTATCTTCATTGGTCCTATTCGATTACATTGCTATACAGCACCACCTCCTACACAACATCTCCAGCATGTCCGCTCTTTCCAGCCCAGGCCTCCTGGGCCCCGAAAGCTACGAGCTTCCACCACACTCCTCCCACTCCAACAGATCCAACACACCCATCTTACACTCCGATCCGGAAAAGTCCTCAAGAACATACAAAATCAGCTTCACTCAGCGACTCCGCCATTTCACGTGGGCTTGGTATACTCTCACAATGAGCACGGGTGGCCTCGCCCTACTAATCGCCAACCAACCCAACAAATTCCCTGGCCTCGACCAGATCGGTCTAGCAGTCTACATCATCAACCTCGTCCTCTTCGCCGCAGTCAGCTCCATGATGGCAGCTCGCTTCGTCATTCACGGCAATCTCATCGAATCCCTCGCCCATGACCGCGAGGGTCTCTTCTTCCCAACCTTCTGGCTCTCCATCGCAACAATGATCACCGGACTAGAAAAGTACTTCGGCGACGACCCAGCAACCGCCTTCTCCACAACCCTCCAAGTCCTCTTCTGGACCTACTGCGTCTGCACCTTCGCCGTCGCCGCCTTACAATACTCCTACCTCTTCTCCTCCGTGACGTACAGACTGCAAACCATGATGCCCTCCTGGGTCCTCCCAGCCTTCCCCATCATGCTCAGCGGCACAATCGCCTCCGTCATCGCTGAGCGTCAACCCTCCCACTCCTCAGTTCCAATCGTCGCCGCGGGCATGACCTTCCAAGGCCTCGGCTTCAGTCTCAGCTTCATGATGTACTCGCACTACATCGGCCGACTAATGGAATCGGGTCTACCCTGCCGCGAGCACCGCCCGGGAATGTTCATCTGCGTCGGTCCACCTGCTTTCACAGCGCTCGCACTGATCGGTATGGCACGCGGCCTACCGGAAACAATTAGCGTGATGGGCAGCGACGATAGTGTCGCCGATGGTCGGGTCCTCGAGATTCTGGCACTAGCAACGGGCGCATTCCTATGGGCACTGAGTCTGTGGTTCTTTTGCGTTGCCCTGATTGCAGTGGTGAGGGCTCCACCGACGGCGTTCCATTTGAGTTGGTGGGCTATGGTTTTCCCTAACACTGGCTTTACATTGGCGACTATCGTGTTGGGGAACTCGTTTGAGAGTAAGGCTATTAAGGGTGTTGGGTCGGGGATGTCGATTTGTATTATCGCGATGTGGTTGTTTGTCTTTGTGAATCATATTTTGGCCGTGATTCGGAGGGATATTATGTTCCCTGGCAAGGATGAGGATGTCTCCGAGTAAACCAGGTCTGTCTTGGTGTCTGGGATGTCCTTCGTCCAGTGTCATTATTTTTGTTCTGCGTCTTGTATTTCGCGACTTTCTTGGTTTTCTTCCCTTTTTGGTTCTTTCAGCATATGCTTCCATCTCTCATGGCGTTGTGATTTCTTTCTGTGTGCTTTTATGGGGCGGGATAAACTGGCATGTCTTTGGCGTTGGTGCATCATTTGGGAGTCGGTCGCGTTGTTACGAGACGGCTTCATTTCGGTCTTGCATATACAGATACACATACAATAGAGTCTCGGTAGACAAATTCATCTTGAAGAATTAAATTAACAGCATGCAAGCACTCGATCTGTAGCGTATTGCGAAGCTTCTTCGAGGGGATTACCAGAGCCGACTGTTAGACCGAGCAAATGGCCTTCGCATTGCTAGTTGTAGCTTCAACCAGGCCCTTCTCGATGGGCGCAGTCCTTCTCTTGTCCAACCTAGGATACACAGTATTGTGCAGCTCACAGCAGATATCTTGAACGAAGATATCCAACCGTCCCTTTGTACGGCACCGTTCATGGGCTTTCATCCTGCGCCGTCGGATTCGGCGACGCGTCACCGAGTAATGGCGCATACGTATATACCGGATCTTGAACGAGGAAGTCTAGAACTCATTTTCTATTGACTCTGTCAATAGGGGCCTTGTAAATATCCAATTGCTCGTTGCCAGACAGGATGGACATGGGGATGGTTGCATCGCGTCGCGTCAACAGCTCCATGAAGCTTCGAAACAAGGCGGAACCGATTCCAACACTCATCATGTGTACGACTACAAGGAAAAAATCAAGAGAAAAAGAGAAGTCAATTGTTCTAAGTCCAACACTAATCTGACAAGAACCAACTACAAAAGACATACAAAAAGTGAGTTCCTCTTGGCTTCATCCCCACTGACCAAAGGCCAGCAGGGACTACTAGGCCCCAGCACCGCGTCGAGGTGGGAACTCATCGCTGGGGTAAATCGCGAAAGAGTAAATGCAAGAGATCAAAAGCAAAAAGCAAAAAGAAAGCAGAAGAAGAAAAAGAAGAGGGAAGGGGGAGGTCTACGAAAGTGAGAAGGCGGCAGTTTGACATGCGACTAGAACATTGGTGGAATATGCAGAGATGGTCAGGGGAGATGGCGATGTAAATGGCAAAACGATATAAATGGCAAAAGAAGCAGTGAAGAGTAGTAAAAGCAGAACGTGGAAGAGATGATAAGTATGATCAGGAAAAGATGAGGAAGAAAAAAAGAAGAAGGAGTGGGAAGTTATGGGCAGAGATGAGAGGGAAAGGGAATCCTGCGGGCCAGAGTCAGTTGGGGGTGAAGAAGGGCAAGTTTGTTCAGAGAGAGTTGGGGAGAAAAGAGAAGAAGGAGATCGAGGGGGAGAGGGAGGGTATTTAACTCCACTCGCTTAAGGAAAGCTAAGGGATTGACGCTAAGGCTCGACGCGATGGTGGTAAACAGTAGGCCTCAACAAAGTAGGAACAGTGGAAAATCGGTGGCTGGGTCGCGTTGATGCGAACTCTAAAAGGGACCTGAACCAGAGATTGGAAGTTTGGCAGGCCCAGAAGTATGCTGTCGGTGCCGATATACCCGAGCCAAAGCCGGATCGACACTGGAAAGTTTGGTGTTCCTTGGGTCAGCTTGTTTGCTGGGAATATCAAAACACGGCACGGGCACTGAAACTCCTTCCTTGTACAGCGTCGGAGGTCCCAATTCGAGCATGGGAATGTAGAGTACTGCGAATCTTACAGTCCGACTTGTTGATTTGCCCAGCCATTGAGAAAGTATGGCTCTTTCCAAAAGGAGCATTCCCGTGGTCCCTTATTTATTGTTTGTTGATGTTTTATGTGGTCGAATTAAGCTGCGGCGGGCCCAATCTAAACGCGGTAAGCGCTTCCTCTACCACCACCAAGTCCCGTGACTTTGTATACTCGCACAACGCACAACGGGCACGGAAGATAGCATCTGGAGAGGGTGAAGACATGGGCACAGGCCAGGACGGCAGATGCCGATGAGTTTTGCATTCTTACGGCCACGGTGGCCACCACAGACAGTGTTATTGCAGAAGAAAATAAACAAAAATTTCACCAAAGCTAGTTAATTATCTGGAGTAACTGTAACTTCCACAGGATAACATTAATATCGCCATGTCTTATTCATAACCCTATCAGTTGAGTCAGGGTGGGAGTATGGCAAAAACGATAGAGGAGATCGAATTGCTTGGCTTCTGGCCTTTGAGAACAACGGATTACAGGGGTCGAAGGCTCTTTAGGAACTGAATCCCAGCCTGAGGAACCGTTGTGAGACTTTCGCGGGTGGATATACGTTCATGCATGGAGACCACCATGATCATAGTGTCCGCCAGTTTGCCCATGTTTCATTGATTGTCACCTCTCAGTTTCCAACCCACACCAGCTGTCGGAAGTCACAAGTAAAAGGCCCCCGCCCTCGTCCAGATCCACGAAACCTGGGATGGCACCGGTGTCTTAATAGAAGGAATAAAGAGGCGCACAGTAAAATTGCTCATAAGCCGCTTGTCCGTATCAGTACGTCCATGAAGGGCAGCGGATAAGGTATGCATTCTTCGCAAGTCATCAAACGCAGCCTGCTGACCTCGGCTGAATTCGTCGGTAACTCTGTCATCGATATGGAACTCGGTGCCAAAGTAGTTTCGTTCGCTGGCTTTGAATATCCTATGGTTCGTTTCTAATTTTTCATTCGTAGGCGAATTCGATTTTATTTCTCGTTCAATGGACCCTGCGACGAGGAGAGCATTCGCCTTTAATATTCTCGTAATAAGTTCACAGAACGCAAGTCGGACGCTCGTTGCACTAGTAACAGTTCCCAGACCTCCTTCATTGCCTCCCGCTTGATGAACATTTCATGATCTGCGGCGAGAATCTGTTTACGTTTCCGTTATGACTGATATCAAGGCTTATCAGTAACTGTGACAAGTATGCGCGTTGAAGGGATAATCAGCAGAAGTGCTATATCAGTGGAAAGATGACTAGCTGAGCGACATGGAAACGACTGGCAAGAATGGTACGGGGATCTCCATCCAAACCATTGCCAGGAAGCCTCACCACCTCAGTACCAATATACAGTCTCAATATAGCCCGGTCAAGGTGATACTGTAGCATTCTAGTATCCACTCATTAGCATTGCCTCTTCTCAAGACACACACGCAACTGACTTGAATGTGGTCGATGCCCAATATATCATAAAGTAACACGTACATGATGGCATTCTTTCTTTGTGAATATGCATGGACAATATGGACGAGCGAAGATATGAGTTCTTCCAGCGTGCTACAGGTGAGGCTATCATACATCCTACCCCCAGAAAGGCAGATAATCGAGGACGGCGATTCCAAAAGATGCATGGTTGAAATTGAAAAGACATGAACACATGAACAAAACAGGATACGGGGCCACCCATAAAAATTTCAAAGAACTGGCATCTTATATACTTCGGGGCCCTCAAGCCCTCAGGCCATCAAGCCATCAAGGCGGGTCAGCTCCCACGGTTGCCTTTTTAATAACAACTTGGTGGAGTTGGAAATGAATCTTGCACCGGGCGGAAATTGTCACCGGGTCAGCGATTGCCAACGGCAGTCTGATTAATCCAGCGTACAATCAAGGAAGACCAACCCATCCACGCTGGGAAACTAGGATAGAAAATAGATATTCGAGAGGGATCTCGGGAAACATCTGCGTAACCGGTGTAGATAGAAGATCCAAGTCAGCAAAGCTGTGCAAAGAAACCGAAATATCTTCCCTGCCAACCCATAGCCGCCCACACATCTCACCCGGATATTGTCAATGGAGCCCCAGCTGGAACGTGTGAAGGAAAGGGTGTTTGTGAAGCAAGGATATCAGCTGTACAGCCGCTGCGTCAGAAGCCGGTGAGGAAACCACTTTCGCCGGCCAGATGATCTACCTCCAGATTGATCTTGATTTGCTCGGACCAGGTTTGAGGTTGTACGAACTAGCATGCTAAAGGAAATCAGTCCCTGACGTTTTGGATAGGAGGGACAGGGTTATGGATCCGGTTCTGGAGAGGATGTTGATGTAATCTAGGGCTTGGAAGCCTGGGAAGAGGAGGACTCCGATACGGAGGGGAGCTTTTAGTTGGGGGTTGTCTATGTTTAGTTAGTATTTACATTTGACAGGCGTAATCGGTTAGAACTGAAGGCAGAACGAAGAGATATTGAATTTGCTTTCAGTTCTTTTGTAACATTAAATCCGTAATCTATTCTTCCTTAAAAATAGTACCCCTTATAGTCTCAGCACCGGCATAGTTCCCTGCCCGTAGCAGAGCAACGAGAGCATCACGGTCCCTTGCCCATGCCTCTGTGTGGTCCTGTATGTTGTCGCGTAAGAGGGCGGAAGCTGCTTTATCCAAGGCAGAGAGTGCTTGAGGGCATTGGTTGTAGTCTAGAATATTTTAGCGCAGGAAGAATATTAGGAGGATATACAAAAAATACATACCGATGTTGATGACATCGTCCGGGTTAAGGCCATAGATCTTCTCGATCGCTGCCCATTCGGTGGAATTCTCCGGAGGGTGGACATCCAACCTGGATATTTCGAATGAGACTTCAACGGGATCATCTGAAGAGTGGGCATTGAGGAGGCAGGATATCCGCCCTGCAGCTGCTGCGTCAGTAGCCGGCGAGGAAACCACATTCGGAGAGCGGCCATCTCACCTGGAAGAATACCATGAGCATCGGTAGAAGAAGAGTCAGCCTTGCAGCCGCTGTGTCAGTAGCTGGTGAGGAAACCACTTTAACGGAGCGGCCATCTCACCTAGACGAATCCCATAACAATGCGCTCGACCAGCGGCGACGGCTGGACTGGTCAGCGTCGGTACGCTGACTATGAAATTGTTCAATCTCGAGAACAGCGATTTCTCTGAGGATCCCTGAAGACTCCGGGTTGCGGGTCAGATACCGGCTTTGGAGCAGACTGAGAAGCTGGTCGTCGCGGATAGCCCGATTGAATCGCCATTCAACAATGGCGTTGTCCAAATCATCGATGCTGAACCTGCTCAACAATCTGAGCATGGTAATACGGACTTCCTCCGGTGTAGTGAAGGCGGAGTAGTAGGCTAACTCTCGATAGAGGCTGTCTAGAGACGGCGGTGGCATGTTGTAGCTGAAGATGTATCGAGGTTAGCAGTGGAAGAAAGGGAGTAGTTCAAGTGTTGTGACTGACATGCACGGTGCAGGGACGAAAGGTGAGGCCAGTAGCTGTGAGAGGATGTATGAATGTGAGTCGTCCGGTTGCGAAACCTCAGAGTGTTAAGAAGAAAAGATGGGCAGATTTGGTGGAAATCACCTGTGAATTTATACCTTAGGAGCTCCCCTTCTAGCTCAAGGCAGCGACATCATCACGATAGGCAAATAAATCTAGGGGCTTCCGAGGCCTTCCGTAAGTTTGCCTAGGAAGTCTTCTACGGGACTTGATTCCATACTGGAACCTTTCGTTGTATAAATTACCTTGATCAATCCGTAATTGTTCGATTATACAGCAGATGAAGCCTTAGAGAGAGGTATAAAATACAAGTAATATTGATTTCAAAAACTTCACTTACACATCTTGACTGGCCCTTCTACAGATCCCTCACAATATGCAATATGTAGTTCAGACTTTCACCAGCGTTGCACAGCCAGACTTATCAGGAGCTGCGTCAGGCAACAGACTAGGGCAACTAGGACAACCAGACGCCCCCGGCCGGACGGGTCATCGCCCCGCATACACGCACCACCATTGTCGTGGAGATTACTTTGACCTTCCCCAACAGGTCCGTGAGGAGTAGGGTGGAATCGGGAGACATGCCTCTTGGACAATTAGCTTTGGCCCGCACTTAGTGGGCCTCATCCACTCGATTATCTATTCAGACGAACTGCCTATGAATCAACGCGCTTGAATCATCCGTTATGTGGCTGTGCGTAGGAATGAATATCAGGACTAAGGGAAAAGGTATGGCTTGTGGTAGACTGCTAAGCTATTAACCTGGTTGTCCTGGATGTCATAGGGGGTCGGGATTGGCGAGACGGGACGCTTGAGGATGGTGCCACTAGCTTCGAGGCGCCGATTCTCGCGATCTTCGAGTTCGAGTTCAGTGATGTCGGTTAGGATGCTCGGACCGGAGGGACTATGCCGTCTGTACCGACGTAGTAGGACCGAAAGTAAGGGGTCATTCCATTCACGATGGCCGTGCAAACCTGAGAATGGAGAAGATACCATGGAGATTAGTGATGTTATTTTGGAGTAGGACGTTTATCATGGCGACCTTTACGTCCTCCGGAGTGGCGAAGGCGTAATAGTACGCGAGTTCCTAATACAGGATTTCTAGCATGGCCGAAGACATCGTCGGAGAGGAAGTAACAGAGGTTGATGAGTGGTTGAATAGATTGGTTGAGAACGTCGAGTAACGTCCACGGGGTGACCACTCAGAGAGTGGAGAAGAGAAGGCGAAGCAGCGTTGGTGGAAGTTCCCTATGAATTTATATCCTGAAAGCTTTCCTTCTAGCTTAAGACAGCGAGATTATCACGATAGTTCAATAAACCTATAAGCTCATAAGGCCTCTTGTAGGTCTTCTACGGAACTTTATTCTAGTATTCTACAGCCAGACTTATCAGGAGCTGCGTCAGGCAACAGACCAGGGCAATATCTTAGCAGTCTACCACAATTCATATCTTTTCCTTTTTTCCTGATACTACTTCCTGCGTATATTCCGACAACGGAGGTTTCAAGCGTCTTTGATTCGTAGGCAGTTCGTCTGACTAGATAAGCATGTGAATGCGGCCACACTTAGGGCCGAACCGGATTCTCAGGGTGGATTTTCTTCTTCAACTCCACACTACTCCAGAAGAAGGGTCTCGTGAACAATTGTGATTACCCAAGTGGAATTGACATTGATGGTGGTGCGTGTGCGGACTCGTCCGGCCGGGGGAGTCTGGTGGGTGGAGGGGGTGGATGGGGCTGAAGCCGACGAGGTGGGACGACTAGGGATGGGGTGGCTACCTTGGGCCCGCTGGTTTTGGCGCTCTTGAAGTTCAAGGCGGGCGATCTGGCCCATGATGCTGGCAGCGGTGGGGTTGCGGTGGGCGTATCGACGAGCAAGGAGGCAGAGCATATGGTCGTTAGCCAGTGCCATGTAGAAAATCAACCTCTTAAAGGAAGTGTCAAAGGAAGTAATGTTGTTGGCGTTGAGAATACCGCGCATCGCAGCCTTTACGTCCTCGGGTGTCGCGAATGCGGAGTACTAGGCGATGTCCTGATACATGCTAGCGAGCGTGACTGAAGCCATGGCTGTGATGAGGCAATATCAGTCTGTGAAGACGGTGAAGTTGAGTAATTCGGCTGAGAAAGTGGATGGACGAAGAGGGGAGGGAGGAGGAAGCGAGAGAGTTCAATGTGTGTGTGAGTGAATGGTTGGTTGGCGAAACCTCAGAGAGTTACGAAGAAAAGGTGAAGCAGGGTTGGATGGGAAATGCCCTGCCAATTTATATCTGAGGAGCTGAGCTTCCGGACCTGGAAGGCAGCGATGGCTAGGTATAACCAAACAAATCCAGGTCCTTCCGAGAACTTCTGCAAGTCTGCCTAGAGAGTTAAGAAAGTCGGACTCGAATATAGAAAATACCAAAGCAGAATAGCAAACAAATAACGTGATTGATCCGGACGCTTCCATCTAAGATGGAAGCCTACCAAGAGAAATGGCTAGAAACACCCTGTAGAAGTAGCTGGAACAGGAAAATTGAATAAAATGAAGAATAATATTCCGACTTTTTTATATACACCGAACACCATAACAGCCCACCAGGACGGAAACATGCAATGTAGCATATGCAGGTAGAAGCCAAACAACACCGGGTATCATGACGGTCGAGGGGTAGACCAAGATAATGCAAGATTTTTGTAGACGAGGAGGATGGGAGGATGCGTCCGAGGTAGAGAACCCCATGCTCGCTTGGGGATAGGTTCAGGGCCAGAAGCCATTGCCAGGCTCGGTGGTCATGCAAAAGTCGAGGAGCTGAACCAGCCTTGATCCAAATGACCAGGAAGCGAGCAGCTACGCGCAAACTGCGGTAGCTAGCTGGGGAGTCCGTGGTCCAGAGCGAACCAAAGACTAATATGCACTAGAAGCCCACCACGAAGCATTTAAGCAACCTTCCTGCCAACATTACCAATGCCACGACCAACAACACTGATAATCACATCACCATCCTCATTCTCACCAGCGGCATCACGAATACCCCAGCCGGGGGCACCGAACTTGGACAGATCACGGGCAAGCTGGATCATATTAGGATCGGCGATAACCTCACGACCAACCTGCAAACGGCCCACGTCCTCGGAACCCATAGTCATAAGGGTCAACATAGTCGTAGCCGCAGCGGGGGGTACACAACCGCCCTTGGAAATAGTCTCGAGCAACTGGAAAGCACACTTCTTGCCAATATCCTCGGGGGCTTCACCGCCAGAAGGCGGGGAGGCGACATCAGCAGAGAAAAGACAGCCGGTGGAGGACTCGGCGACGAGGGAGAGACCGAATCCGAGGCCGATCTTCTTCTTGGCATTGGGATTGTTCTTATCCGGGGTCGGCACGAGAGGTGCTGACGAGACGTCGGAGAAGATATAAGTGTCTGGGCTGAGCGGGTTGAGAATACCACGGCAAGACTCGATCATACGGGCGTTGTTAGAGCCGGAGACACCAATCGAGTATGCGACACCGCGGACGCGCTTTATACGGCCCGGGTTCATCAAGTGCAGGGTCTTGGGTAGGCGAATCTGGTGGCCGAAAGTGAATTGAACTTCACCACCACCGCCGCGGCCGTTAGGACCGGGGTTAGAGCGTTTCAAGATGCGCAGCTCGACGTTGTTGAACATGCCGAATTGGTTGTACAGCGGGAGGATGGCGGTGCGGACGCTGTCAACGGACATATCGCCAGTTGGGGTCGAGGAGGTAATCACACCGGGTCCGGAGAAGAGGACCTTAAGAGGGGCTTTGGAGAATGGAGCCAACAGGCATAGAGGGATCAAGAAATAACTCAATCCACGGCTGCAGTTTGATGGAAGCTCATGTCTGATCACACCACCGCTAGCACCGACACCGCTGGCGCTACCAGTGATCAAGCCGGGCTTGTAGACAAGAATCGTGCCGGTGTACGAAATTTCCATTTGGGAGCCATTGGTGACAGCTTCGAGTAGGCGCAGGAAAGAAATCTCGTGCGGCGCCAGACCAGGGTTCGTGGGCGAGGAAGAGCGAATCTGCGAAATGTGCACCGTGCGGCCGGTCAAGGTTGAGAGGACCAGTCGATAGACAAGGTTGTGATGCGAGGTAAACCGCAGGGGGGCTTGGGATGTCGTCGCCATTTTTGCGGGTTGCTTGTCCTGGTCTTTTCAGCAGGCTCCGCTTGAAGCTCGGCCTGTCGAAAAAAGAAAAATCGACGGCGGAAGGTTGATCCGGTCCGGTGGATCGGGTTAAGTCCGAGGAGTCTGGGCTTTATCTCCGCCGGATCATTGTGCATGGCCCCGGGACAAGGTTGGACCCTTTGATTTGTGACATCGTACCACCGAGAAATATTCGAGGGACTTGGTGGTTTGTTTAACCTTGTCTTTTGGCGAAGTATACTACGCATTAATTCACGATGCTTCCTCCAGCACTCAACATTCCAAAATGGTATTCACTTCCCTCTACGCCCCCCCATGCTACCCCTCCGACGAGGAATGATTCATCGCGGGGAAAGCATCCACATTCAGAATCACGAACCTGAATCGCCTCAACAGAACTGGCTAATACGTATATCCCATTCCAGGCTCGAGGCCAACTCCCATCTCCTACAACCACCAGTCAATAATTACTGCGTGTACCACCCCTCCTCCCCGGCAACAGCCGGCTACACAGTCATGATCGTCGGCGGACCCAACGCGCGAACAGACTACCACATCAACACGACACCGGAATTCTTCTACCAATACCGAGGGTCAATGTTGCTCAAGACGGTAGACACATCGACGACGCCACCCACTTTCCAAGACATTCCGATCCACGAGGGCTCAATCTTCCTGCTACCGGCGAATACACCACACTGTCCAGTGCGCTTCAAGGATACGGTGGGCGTGGTGATGGAGCAGCCACGGGCAGCGAATGCCGTTGATATCATGCGGTGGTACTGCAGGAACTGTAGTGGAGTTGTATGGGAGAAGCAGTTTGTGTGCACTGATCTCGGGACGCAGGTCAAGGAGGTGGTGGAAGAGTTTGGTGCGGATGAGGAGAAGAGGCGATGCAAGGCTTGTGGGGAGATTGCGGCGACGAAATATGGCGAGGGGGAATTGGAACAACCACCCTCGCATCCTGAATGATGGAGTCCTCTAGACCTAACTGGGCTGTATGAGTAACGAAAGAGGAGGGTATTGTCGTGCGCTACATTTTACTCGATGCCAAGCTTGCACGACGGCGAAGAGAGTCGTATCATGAATGATGAATTCAACATTCTTAAAAGACGATTCCCAAAACGCGCTATTGAGAAGGCCCCTTCGCTTCTCATTGCAATAAGGAACGAATTCGTTACCCGTGGCACAGAACGATCATGGTTGGGGTATGATGGATTAGGTTTATATTATTCTCTACATATGTGGTGTGTAGAAAAAGCAGTAAGGTACGGCCAGGACCGAATCCCTGGTCAGGTCTCAGGTGATACACCGACAATATTTGACAAAATTTGACAGCCATGAAGACCAGCGCAAAGCGGGCAGTAAAAAAGAAGGTTGGGGTTGAGGTGAAATTAGAAAAAGAAATTGGCAAATGAAGGCCGGGCCTTGCAAGAGAAGCAAGTCCCACGAAGCGAAAGGCAAAAAGTGTATAGACACGCTTGAGAACGAATGGAAAGGTCCGAAAAGGGGACAAGAGTAATACATAGGGTTGAAGGGGGAAATAGCAAAGACCAAAAATGACAACTTTAGATCTGATGTCATGCACGAGGGCAAAAATGGCAGAGATGAAACATGTACTAGAAAGGAGTCAAGGTGTAAACAAAAGTAGAAACCAGATGGATCACTCCCCAGATCCTCGGGTTTGCTCATCTTCATTCGATACCGTAGGCATCACTCACATGGTCACCATGGCCCATTATTCATCAAAAGGACAATCAATACTCTCATGGCCATCTCGTTCGCAGAGAGCACACCACTTTGACTCGTCAATGACTCCGGATGTCTTGCCAGCGATAGGGGCCATGGATGAACCCAGGCCGCCAATGCCCTTCAGACCCTCGATCACAACGTCGCGGCCAGTCTTCTGGGAGGGCACGCTATCCGTGTGGCTGTCGGTAGAAGCAGTGTGGTTCAATGGCGCATGATCCTCGGTCGGTGCTTCAGTGGGCTGTTCCACTGGTGCTGCGGGGGTCTTTTCCTTGTTGGCTCCGGAGCCAAACATGCTGGTGCAGTTCAAAATATCGTGACCGCCAGTCTCGCAAATTTCACACCACAAGGCGTCGTCATCTGAAGAGCGCTCCGACTCGGGCATGGGCTCCAAGCGGGGCTGGGAGGAATTGGAGAAGCCGCGGTGGTGTTGTCGCTGCTCGTTGATCGGCAGGTCATGCCAGTCATTCGGGACCACGGTGCGGTCAGAGAGACGGTGAGCATGGTTGATGTTGTGGTTCACGGAAATGTTGCCCGAAGAGTTTGAAGGCTTGTGCTGCTGCTTTGGCGAGAGGGTCACCGTAGAGCTACGGTTACGACCACCACTGACTCGCAATTCCTGCAGTTCCCGTTCCAGTTCCTCAATGCGAGTGTCCTTAGACTGGGTAGTTCCCTCAATTTCCTGCAGACGTTGCTCTAGCTGAGAAAGCTGCTCAGTCTGATCTTTGTAGGTTTCGGCGGAGCCGTTCTCGCCTAGGCCAGCAGCGTTCGGGTGGCCCCGGCTCAAGGAATGGATGATAGCCTTGAGTCCACGGATCTCATCATCCTTCTGTTCCAGCTCGTGTGAGCCTCGAGAGCCGTCTGCAGAATGGGCATGCTTGAGAGCAGTCGCTGACTGATCCCGCTCCTTCTTCAGTTCCAACTTGGTCCGTTCCACCTCGCCGCGGAGGAATTCGACCTCGGCCCTTGCCTCGGCCTCGCCCCGCCTTGCATCCTCGAGGCCTTCTTCCAACTCCGAGACCAGCTCTTCCAGCTGCTTGAGCTGCTGTGCCACAATCTCGACATCTTCACCGCGGTTCTGCAACTCGTTGTTTTGCTGCATGAGCTCGTCCAGCCGCTGTTCATAGACCCGCTCCGTCTCGGATGCGGCAATCTCCAAGGTATCCAGGGTACTCCTGAAGTCTGCTCGATGACCGTCAAACTCGGCAGTCAATTGGGCGATCCGTTCATTCCTTTCACGTAGCTGCGTGCGAATATTCAGTGCATCGGGCCCTTCTAGTTCCTCCATTGTCTTATGAAAATCGCTGAGCGTCTTTGCTTGCTCATCCAGCTGCTTATCCCGGTCGAGTAATTGCTTCTCCAAGCTCTTGATCTGGTCCTTCAATTCCTGTGTTTCCGCGGACGACGGCCGGTGGAAGTCTGAAGGCCTGCCGTACGACGAGGCATTGTCATCATCCAAGCTGATTCGTGAAGGTGGTCGATCAGACAATCGGGAGGGCGCCTTGATTGGGCTTCGTGGATATCCATTGATGGCAGAGGTCCTGGAGGCTGCGGAGGGTGTACGCAGGCCACCAAGGCTGAGTTTCGGGGGAGAGACGGAGGTGCGCGGAGACTCGGGGCGAGGCAGAGACGGTCGGCGGATTCGAGGACGAGCCATCGATGGGCTTGGGCCAACTGATTTGCTGAAGTTTGGCGGGGGTCGTCCAGGAGTAGTAGGCACGGCGAAGGTGTTCCCCGATGAAGATCCAGATCTCCGCGTGACATATTTGCTGTTGTTCATGGGCACGAAGATTCCCGAGCCAGGGACGGAGGTTGCAAAGTACTTTCGTCCTTCCACATCACCGCTATTCTTGCCTCGTTGCGAATGTTCAGGACCCAATTCAATGCCGGCGAAGCGACCAGGCTTGCCCGCGACGGTTCCGAGGTATTTGACGGTGCCGTACATGCCACCAGGCACGTTGACGATATCGCCGACCTTGATGTCGTCAAAGGCCGCCATTTTTGCAATGTAGATACCGACCGGTACGCGAGTCAACAGGGGTGATCGGGGTTCGACGAAAAGATCGAGGGGGAGATGTTGGAGCGGGCGGGGAGCAAAAAAAGTGCAGTAGATGGACAGTCAGGAGGAAACTAAACAATCAAAGTGCCGGGCCCAACGTAGATCATGGTTGTTGGGCTAAAAGCATAGACACCCAACGACTCCAGGAGAAATGAATAGAAAGACCGTAAAGAGCCCCAGCACGACGGGCAGATGTACAAGGCGGGCAGAAAGGGGGGATGGCGGGACAACAAATAAACCTGAGGAGTACTTTAGTGAAGGCCGTACAGTAATACTACCGCTGTACTATGGATTCCTTAGCTAAGGACCGGGTCCCATGGATCTCAGAGTGGAACTCCCGCTCCACCGTGCGTAATCCTCTCTCCTCGACGACTCTTGAACTTTGCTTCCTGCATATCCCTCCTTACCGTTGAATCCCTGCTGCACCAATCCCTGACACCCAGATTTCCGTGGTTCTTCCAAATACTACGCTGATCGCGGGATCCCAGCGCGTCAACTGGTCACTCCTCAATCCTCCAAGTCGATCATCTATCCCCATCCATCCGGAAGCTCCATTCACGTCATGGCGCAATACTTCTTCGACCTCCTTTACAACTTTACAGATTGCATGTGCTGCTTTCCAAGCACACCGCAGCTGAAGATCAACAACCGGAGTTTTAAGCTTCTGCGACTGCTAGGCGAGGTATGTATCCAGCAAATTGGCCAGCTTGCGTTTCCCCAGATTAGGCAACCTGTCCAGATAAGACCATGGTCCAAGTACTGACAATTGCGCCTATTCATACAGGGCGGTTTCTCCTATGTATACCTCGTCCAAGATAAGACAAGCTCGGAATTGTTCGCGCTCAAGAAAATCCGCTGCCCGTTCGGCCAAGAATCCGTCTCCCAAGCCCTGAAGGAAGTCGAAGCTTACGGCCTGTTCACGTCGCAAGATAATATCATCCACGCGATCGATCACTGCGTCTCGTCAGAATCAGGATCCAAATTCCGGTCCGATGGCGGCGACCCCGGTTCGAAAACAGTCTACATTCTGCTTCCGTACTACCAACGTGGCAACCTCCAAGATGCCATCAACGCCAACTTGGTCAATCACACGCGGTTCCCGGAGAAGCGGTTGATGATGCTGATGCTGGGCGTAGCCAATGCGCTGAAAGCTATGCACCAGTATCGGGTTCAGAGTGGCTCGCCCTCGACTCGGAAGGCGAAGGGCGTGCGGAGAGAGGGCGAGGAGGCGGATGAAGAGCGGACAATGCAGATGAAGCCCAAGCGGCGCGCCAGCCATCGCCAGGATGATGAGGACGAGGAGAATGAGCCGTTGATGGATGACGAGGTGACACAAAGCCAGGAGGGTGTGCAGGAGGGTGGTCTGCGTCCCTATGCGCACCGCGATATTAAGCCTGGTGGGTACCTTCTCGTTATCACTGCTTTGATTTCCACCGATACCCGAGTGCTGACGCTAACTTCTTTCAACAGGTAACATCATGATCGATGATGATGGTCAAACCCCTATTCTGATGGACCTCGGTTCCCTCGCCCCAAGTCCCATTGCCATTACATCCCGCTCCTTGGCCTTGGCAGTCCAGGATACCGCCGCCGAGCATAGCACGATGCCTTACCGTGCTCCAGAACTATTCGACGTGAAGACGGGATCTATCATTGATACTAAAGTTGATATCTGGTCGCTGGGTTGCACGTTGTACGCTTGTCTCGTGGGTAAGAGCCCCTTCGAGGCCCGCAGCGACGAGACTGGTGGTAGCTTGAGCATGTGTGTTCTCGGCGGCGACTGGCGCTTCCCCGACGAAAAGACCACCGCCACCAAAGGCAAGGGCAAGGTCGGCGCTGCCGATGCCGATGCCTCGTCCGGTAGCAGTGAGCAAGTGATCAGTGGCCCTGTCAAGGAGGTTGTTCGCAAATGTCTTCAAGTCGAACCGGCGGAACGGCCGGATATCGATGAGCTGATCCAAATTATGAAGGATGTCATCAGCGAGTTGCCGGACGACGATGGCATCGCGTAGGCATCCTTATATCGCATCATATTTCCTTTTTCTTCTGTCTTGTCTTTTCATTCTCATTTTCCTTTTCTGTCTCAAGTTTTTTTAAGTTCCCCGACAGGCTCGGCAGGACTGTCTTGCGCGCGGTTTGAGATTTTGGCGATCTGTACAGTATAAGCCGAACATTGTTACACTTGGCATGTAATTTCGAATTTGTGTCTTGATTTGGCGATTTACGTGGGATTTATTGAAGTATTGCACATTCTTAGTTGGATATTAATGAATGGATTTCTCCCGCTTCAGTTAAGCCCGTTGCATCGTTACTTGCCGGTATAGATGAGCTTGATATCGGGTACATTCAATATACCCTCATGATGACGAAACATCGCCATCCTGCATCTCAACCTCGCGAGTTGCACGTCCGGCATCTTCTAACAATTCCTCCCTAACCTGAAAAGTACGATTGAGTTTGCTATTCTGTTCACCATGAGCCACCAATTCAAACCAGACACGAGAGGATTCGAAGTAGCCGAGTGGTTCCCGGAGCGAGTTCAAAACAAAACCTGTTATCCGCACCCTGAGCTTTATACTTACCTCTAACCTCCCAGACATCCAACTAACATCCCCAGTCCTCCTAGCAGGCTTCATCCGCGGCGAACTCGCCGCCACAACAGCCGATGCCCTCGCCCACGGCGGCGCCGCCTGCATAATCTTCACCGGCCGCTCCCAATCCGAAGTCGAACCCGCCATCACCCACATAAACCGCAAACACCCACAGACAAAGATCCTCTTCGTAACCGCCAACACAGCCAGTCTATCCAACATGCGCGAAGCAGCGCGGACAATCAAGGGCCTCGGCGTTCCCATTGACGGGATCGTCTGTTATCCAACCGTTATGGCGGCGGATTGGGAGAAGACAGGGGATGGAATCGAGTCGCATTTTCAGAATAATTATCTCGCGTATTTTGTGCTGGTTAATTCCTTGTTGGAGGTTATGTTGCCTGGTTCGAGGGTTGTGTTGATGACGACGAGTGTGAGGAGGGAGGCGCCGGCGCCGGGGTGGGAGGATATTAATTTTGCGGTGAGTAGATACATACTCTTGTAGAGATATGAAGTACTTAATAGTGGAGATGAGGATGGAAGTGGGCTGACAATTGTACAGAATGGCGAGAGATATCATTCTCTGGATGGGTACTCGCAGTCCATGTTTGCGAATATCTTGTTCGCCAAGTCGCTGGCGCAGATATGTGCTGAAGAATCAGTTGCTGCGTTCTCGGCTAATCCTGGAAGTCAGTTATGACCTCGCTAACATATTATACTCCGCTATTTGTTTGAGCTCAGCTTATAAAATGCAGATACCAAGACCAACGTGCAGACGTACGTCTCGCCCGAGGATATAGCATCATGGTTGCAGCGAAAGAAAGAAGGTAGGTTAAACAATGGTCCATTGGCATACTCTACAATTTGCGCTTTCACCTCTCGAGGTCAAATTCTGATATATCACCAGCTGGTGAGGACCTGCCCATCTTGCTTCAACAGGCCCCCAAGTCACTATCGCAAGCAAGTGCCACCATTATCCGAGGCTTGCTTGACCCAATGCTTGCAGGTAAGTAAGACACATGTTCCCCTCACCCATTGTATCGTATCAAGTGGAGCACGTCAGTAGACTAAGCCTTGGGGCCACCAGAACAATCCGGCGCATTCCTGGACAACTGCAAAGTCCTAACGCTGCCGCACCTCGATTTCCCAATGGGCCAAGAAAGTGCCATAGCACTATGGAAGCAAAGCGAAGTCTTTATTGAGGCAGCCGGATTAACGCAAGTTGTCTAGAAGACATCAACAACTACAGTAGGCATCCAGACATATACCGGCTGTTGGGGTAGCTCCATCATGCCGAGATAAGCTTGCGGGGTACCTGTTACCTTTTAAGCGACAGTTGATGCCCTTCCAGGATAGGAAAGCTTTCATCGGACCAATGGATAGAACACCAGAATTGATAAGAGATTGCGTTGAAGACTGGAGAAGCGGGAAATTGTCCGCCAGCGTGAACGTGTTGTTTGGAAGCTAAATCATTGTAGACGAGTCCGCCACCGTCATTTTCTCCGCAAGCCCTGGCGCTTTGACCTAGTGGATTGGGGGCGTGTTATTGGTTTGTGCGTTGCTGGGCGGCTGGGGGCGATAGCTTGTCTTTTGTGTCGGAATGAGTTCCGGATTGTGGTCTTTGTGGGAGGGGTTCCTTTGGGGTATATCTAGATGAGATAAAAATGTACTTTATGTAGGTGAGATGACGGATATTGAGTCTCCTCAAGAGGTCTGGATCCGGCTATATAGACGAATGATCTGCCTGGTTCTTATCATTGCACTGGCTTGGGGTAGGAGTCGTATCTAACGAGCATTGAACGGTCCTTTTCAATGCTTCCGACCCCTCGGAAGACACGACTAACATGATCAAGAGTTATCGTGTTGATTTGCCACAAGACCGTAGGCCTGTCGGCACTAGAAATAGACACCGAGCAGCAGCGCATACCCCATGCTTCATTCTCTCTGTGCGCAATCATCCAGGTTCATAGTAGATAATAAAATCATGATAATGACACCCAATCCCAAACTCAACACTGTCATCGACCAAGCAGAGGCGACGATCGCCTAAAAGATGTCTGGTCAGTGCGGGGAAGACTATCACTCCCAACTGTACCCACCGCTTATCATGCAGGACAGCATTCCAAGCGGAATCCAGGCCGCCTTATTTCATTCATTTCCTCTCTTCTCGTCAGGCGTCTTTATCTTCAGCCGATCGGACATCATCGGCAAACTAAAAACCTCTAGACCGGATATGCTATCTGTTATCAGCGTGATATGCCCTTGTACTCCCACTTGAACGTTATATACATCTGCAGATCCGCACTCGACGCCAGTTAGGGTGGTATTTGCTTTTGGCCTTGTCCAACATTTGGCCTACTCCCCTTGACACCACTGCAAACCGGACATTCATAGAGCCTTGATGGCGCCCGTCATGGATAGCTCAGCCATTCCTGGCACAGTGACCCTGGTAGATGTGGAGCATGTGCTACATACACGGCATCTAGACAGTGGCAATGGGGATATTGTGTTGATCCCGACCCCTTCGAATGATCCAGATGATCCACTGAACTGGAGTCACAAGCGAAAGTTACTATCGACTGTCTGTGTGAGCGTGTGAGTAATTACCATCTAAAACTATCGTGGACAAGTATGACTGACGAGACTCAAATTGGCCTAGGTATACTCTGTTCGCTGGTATCGCCTGCTCGGTCGTATACTCGGTGCTTACCCCTTTGTCGAAAGAGACCGGGCTATCGGTCAGTACACTCAATGAAGGAACCGGATATATGTTTTTGTTGGCGGGATGGGGTCTGCTATTCTGGCAGCCATTCGCCATGCAGTTTGGCAAGCGTTTGACTTATATACTGTCGTTGGCGGGTATTTTGGTATGTCATCCAGGGTTCACGCATGTGGAATATCAGTTAACATATCACAGGGAACCACGATGTGGGGGTAAGAAGAACATTGATTGCCCAGAGAAATGAAAATTGGTATGACTGACCCGGTTCAACTCCAGGCCATATGCCAACACACAAGGGCAATGGATTGCCCGAAACGTCATCTCAGGCTTCTTCACAGCACCTATTGAAGCTCTTCCTGAAATCAGCGTGACCGACGTGGTAAGTTCCAACCCGTTACAAAACCGTACTTCCTACCTAACGCCACAAAACAGTATTTCACCCACGAACGTGGAACGTACATGGGTCTATATGCCTTCTTCCTTGCCGGCAGCAACTACTTCGCCCCAGTGATCTGCGGCTTCATCGCCGAATACCAAGGCTGGCGCTGGGTCTTCTATTGGCCCAGTATTTTCGTCGGCTGTGCCATGGTCTTCTTGTTCTTGTTCATGGAAGAAACGAATTACGTCCGCGAGCACGTGGAAGACACAACCATCGCCAACGTGCGACTCAGCTCGTCGAATAGTTCACAGAGCGGTGATCCTGAGAAAGCCGTTCCAGTGTCAGATCAGCCTTCGACTGAAGAGGGAACTATGTATACGAAGAAGTCGTATGTCCAGAAGCTTGCGCTTTTGGGACCGAAGCAGAAGCAGAATACTATGTTTCGACGACTTTGGCAGAGTCTTTATTATCTTTCGTGGCCGGTTATTTTTTATGCTGGGTGAGTACCATGTGAGAACTGGAATTTGATGGTCGGATGCTAATGATTGATTAGATTCTCATATGGCTCATACCTCGTTTTGTTCAATATTCTGAACGGCACCGCATCCATCATTCTAGGCTCAGCGCCTTACAACTTTGGGTAAGCCACCCAAGATCATAGGATCGATAATACAGACTAACCAGGAATAGCACGTCCATGGTCGGCCTCAGTTACGTCGCATGCTGTCTAGGAGTGGCCATGGGGTAAGCTCCCAATCGAAGTCACCATGAGCTGTTACTAACCCGGCACAGATCAATCTTCACCGGTCGCTTCAGCGACTGGCTAACCATCAAACTAGCCCGCCGCAACGGCGGTGTCATGGAAGCCGAACACCGACTATGGCCATTCGTTGCCTGTCTCATCCTCGTTCCAGGTTCACTGTTGCTCTGGGGTGTCGGTGCCGCACACGAGGTGCACTGGTTCGGTCTTATCGTGGCCATGTGCATGCTCGCATTCACCAATACCTGCGGTATCACCCTGAGCGTCAATTATCTAGTTGACAGCTACCGGGAGCTAAGCGGTGTTGCTATGGCGAGTGTGATTCTCGTGCGGAATACCATGTCGTTTGCCATCGGCTATGGGTGAGTTCTCCACTGCTTGAGTGCCATTTTGTGGAATGGACCCGGAAGTGCTAATCCGTCCCTGCTCTACTAGTATCACGCCCTGGATCGACAACATGGGATACCAGAACTGCTTCATTTCGGCGGCTTTTGTGGGTATGGCCTGCGCAGCGGTGTTCCTGGTTATGATCAAGTTTGGCAAGGGGTGCCGTATTCGCAGTCGGGAGAAATATTGGGCGATCGTGCAGGAGAATGCGGAGAAGGGGATGGGTCATTAGGTAGCTATTCCTCGAGCCTAGGACGGATCGCAATTGAAGGTTGTTATACCTTGAACGGGGAATTTTCCTAGCCCATACATTAGTAGTATCGTAGTTGAATCATGCTCCTCGAGGTCTTTTGTGACAGCGACATCCGTTGCTGGTTATGATGGAACAATGGATGTGGAGAAATCAGTGGGGGAGGGGTGAAAATGCGTGGGGAAGGCAAAGTTTATGGAGTCTCGAGGAATTTCCCTCAAGAGTACAGTATGTATTTGGTTCAAAGCTGGCTTGATTTGCCAGACCCGTGGTTAATCAATGAGAGTTTGCATATCTTAGCCTGTTCCTTTCTGGTAGTCTGGCCCTGCAGAACACCCGGACACTATTGCCGAGGCTGAAGTCATTGGCTTGCCTATTTGAATCCCCGCGGGGTCTCCGCCGTGACGGGCACTTTTAGCCGGCGCGGGTAAAATCAGCTACTCTTGACTTCTTGGCTATTTTGGAGGCCGCTTAAATAGCTTTGGTTGTCCTTTAATTTTGTTCAGATGACCACATCTTTCAACTGCTGAATTCGTACTTGGCCTGCTTCAAATCCAATCAGATTGATTCTGCGGACAGCCACCTACAGGATTGAGGGCTATACCAACTATACCCCGAAAAGAGCCACTTAACAACATAACGAGACATCAAAATGGCTCCAAAACCCCTCATCACCCACCTCTACACGGCAGACCCCTCAGCACACGTTTTCAACGGCAAACTATACATCTACCCCTCCCACGACCGGGAGACCGACATCGCCTTCAACGATAATGGCGACCAATATGACATGACCGACTACCACGTCTTCTCGATGGACTCAATCGACGGTCCAGTCGAGGATTCCGGCGTGGTTCTCTCCGCAAAGGACGTCCCCTGGGTCTCCAAGCAGATGTGGGCACCAGACGCAGCCACCAAGGGCGGAAAGTACTATCTCGTCTTCCCAGCCAGAGACCAGGAGGGTATTTTCCGCATCGGCGTCGCTGTCTCCGATTCTCCCACAGGTCCTTTCGTTCCTGAGGAGAACTATATTCCCGGAAGCTATAGTATCGATCCGGCTGTGTTTGTCGACGAGGATGAGAAGGCTTACTTGTACTTTGGCGGTCTTTGGGGCGGACAATTGCAGTGTTGGGAGAAGTCAGACTCGGAGGTTAAGGAGGGCGATGAGATGAACGGACTCGTCTTCAATGCTTCCAAGTCCGGTCCCCAAGAGCCATCCGGTGCGGGCGTGCCGGCATTGTGTCCGCGCGTGGGCCAGTTGAACGATGATATGCTCACGTTCGCCTCGCCTCCTCAGGAACTACAGATTCTGGCTCCGGAGACTGGCGAGCCTCTTGCTGCTGATGATCATGACAGAAGGTTCTTCGAGGCTGCGTGGATGCATCGATACAATGGGAAGTATTACTTCTCGTACTCTACGGGTGATTCGCATTACCTTGTCTATGCGACGGGATCATCGCCCATTGGACCGTTCACGTACCAGGGCCGGATTTTGGAGCCGGTGTTGGGATGGACTACGCATCATTCTATTGTCGAGTTCAAGGGGAAGTGGTACTTGTTCTATCACGATTGCGAGCTATCTGGGGGTGTGGATCATTTGAGATCTGTCAAGGTGCGGGAGATTGTTTATGATGAGGAGGGAAAGATTCACTTGGCATCGTCTTGATATTGCTCGTAGGTATCTTAGGGGAAATAGATTCAATGAAATAGCATTCCAAAGGAAGAACTAAGCATGACAGAAAGCAAGAAAGGAAAGCTCGGAGCGTAGGGGAAGACATCAATACCCAAGTGATACATGCAGAGCTAGGCCGAAAATGTAATGTCCCAGCAAGCAGGATCAGTGCCGATGTACCCAGAAGAACTGAAAAGGACAAAGTAAGTGGAGGAACGCAGATATTGAGGCGCCCGAAGGGCTAAGTTTACTGGTAGTCCAAGTACCATCTCTCCTCCACCATTTAGAATACCAGGTTACAAGAAACAGTGTGTTGGTTCATCATCTCCTCGCGCGCATGCGAATGAGATTAGGCTGAGTAGCTGTCAAAGACACGGCGAGCCGCTGAACAAATCTTGCCAGAATATCTTGTCGCTATTCAAACATCCATATCAATATATCGAATGCAACTGCTGCACCATAGATTGATTTGAAGTAGGGTTTCCTGTGAATATCATCCTTATGAAAATAAGACTGTCTGGAAATTTTGCTCTCAGCTTTGCGGACGAGATTTAGGAGGAATTTCCCCGGTTCCTTTTTCCAAATTCTCGTGGATTTGGGACATGGAGGCATCTGCTGTTCTCAATTCTGAGATCCTCGCTTCAATATCTGAAGTAAGTTTGGCAAACGTCTCTTCGCCAATGCCATCATCGAGAAAAGCGGCAAAGTCCATGGCGGCAAGGTCCTTATGCTCTGGCCCTTTTGGAGGATAAGCGGCTTCAAACGCCGCTTTAAGAGCGGGGTGCATGACGTATACTATAGGCAATTCGAAATCTGCAGGCAAGAATGAATAGACGGCTTGAAAGGCTAAACAGAACTTTTGTACGTTCTCTTTATTCCGCTGCGGAGTCTCCTTCGTGATCATTATTATATGGAGAACTTCGTCTAACGCGGCCGCCTGTTTGTCTGCCATCTTGCTCAACTGTTCTGGACTGGGTTCCGTCAGTTCTCTAACGACACTCTGCTCACTCTGAGTACCATAACGAAACCCTTGAGTTGTCCACAAATCTTCCAACCCTTCTCGCTTTTTCGAAGCGCGCCCTGTTTTGGACCACAACGATCGACCGAGAATGACCGAGTGAGTAGGAAGCAATGATTCGATGGTGAGATGGGGAAAGTTTGCCGATGCTGACCCTCCAGTCTACCATCGCGGGCCACATTTTCTTTTTTGTCCTCTTGGCTGGTACTTGCCCCGTAACGATCCCTGTGTGGAGCTTCCGCTAGTAGGCTGTTTTGTGGAAAGGGTATATCACACCGAAGCATACTATCGGCGAAGGGTGATTCCCAGCATCGCGATTTGTTGCAAAACACAACAGCAATCTGTGGGATTATAGGAAGAATCAAATGGATCATGTCATCAGATGTCATCCATATTAGCTGTGGCCGGTTCTCGGTCTCTTCAGCGCCTAAGCATGATTCAGTATCACCCTCAAAGTCGACCAGGCTCTCATTGAGAAAGAACTCATATCTATCAGCTGCGCGCCAGATCTGAAGAGTAAAATTCTCGACAAAGTGCTTGTATATTTTCGCTGCGGGGGTAAAGGAGTTGCCGGTGGTGGTATCTGCATCTGCAAGAAGGTCCTCGTGGGGAGTTTTCAAAAGATAGTGTAGTTGTTCAAGCTAGACTTCCGGCGGATCATCCCATCAACCTTCCTTTCTCGATGCCTCAAATATTCTTTGAAACATGAAGTCATTTTCGCGAAAGGGATTCTGCATGTCGTCTCTATACTTCTTAGAGCGTCGATGAGAGACAGCCGAGAGTTTGAATAGAATTTGAATATCCTATTCAAGGATGTTGATATGGTCGAGGTTTTCATTTACGGCGGTCCTAATTTTGGCAAATGTTTGGCTCGTGCTGCTCTCTAGACCGCTGAATAGACGCTCGACTCTCATATGATCCGTATCACCTGCCCTGTAGTACAGATTGTACACGCTACAGGACCTCGACTTCTTCAGTGATAAATTGCTCGCTTTTTATGTCGAACACGTGCAAAAGGCCGTCTTCTTCTTCTTTGGAACTAGACCTTATTTAGCAAATTAAGCCTTTAGGAAAGGGTTTGAGTTCAAACCTTTTGGTTGGAGTAAAGGTATACGCAAATTGTTTTAAGATGAATCGAGGGATATAGTGATGGTACTGCATCTGATGCGCCATAATACCGGAGGTTTCAGGTTGTATTATGCTCAAGTAGGATTGATCACAAATTAGAGGCCAGTTTCCCTGGTAGAGAGTTGACGGCACAGAGATAGCGTATTGAAGAGGAAATAGTAAGCACTGCAATGTAATATCACGATAGGATTGCGTCGAGAAGTTAAAACCAAGTTTGAAGATTGCTCTCTGCTGAACAAGGTAGAGAGAGGCGGGCTATCAATTTGAAGAGATATAAGAGGCAAGATTCGGAGTAGAAGCAGTAATTTAGGAGGGAGAGAAGAGAGGGGTAATTCCTTTATATAAAAAATAGTATCTTCGCTATAACATTGCCAAAATACTACTAAGCTGGATTCCAGGGGGCTATTTACGTGGGCGAATCTAGAGCTGACGCGTGGTCCAGCGGCTAATTTACTCCAAGTTGAGATGCAGTTGCTTAATCTATTGGCCAGGATCTCATGGGGATCTTTCTAGCAATATTTTAGGTTCATTGAAGGCGCAATGATTGGATTTCTCGTGCTGGCAGAAGATCACTGCCGATGTGTGAGTATTAACCGCGTCTCTAGCATGTTTCGAATAGAGCGCAGCGTTAAGGGTAGAGATGCCAAGCCATACTCTAACTTTAGTTCTAGATGAACTAAATGATCACAGATCTTCAGTGCTAGAAGAAGGAACTGCGGATTCGAAATCAGTTCCAAGGTTTTGAAACGCGTCGTCAACAGTAAGGGCACATCAGTCTTGTTAGTTAATTGATGCTTCTCTCCCGAGGCGCGGAAGTGAATCTGGAGAGCAGCTGAAGCGAGACCTAGATAGTGATAGAGCGGACGATAATAGTGGAGAATTTATCAGTGGAAACAATGAAAACCATGTTCAGGTCTAGCTAGAGATGAAACAGATTGTATGCTTGCAGGCTTCATCTAGAACAAACCCAAGGCAGCGCTATGCCAAAAATAAACAAGTAGAGCGAGCCGTCCGAGCGAGAAACAAGGAGACTCTGATAGACGAAAATGATAAGCGCCAGTACTCCCCAACAGGTGAAAACACGCATAGTGTGCACTCAGAACAATATCATCAAGTATCAGATCAGTGCTTGCAGAACGGACCGTCACTTCTATTCCGCGCTTCACGAAGTTCTGCCTCCCACTCGCGATCCAACCACGCCAGAAGCTCCTCCACGGTATCAGGAAGCTCCGCGTTGTCCGTCGTCTGTTGGTTCCCCTCAACATCGTCACCCCCATCGTCATGTTGATCACCATCATTGACCTCACAGTTCTCAACATGTGTACTAATAGGCACAGCAAATTCCTCTGGGGAATCTGCGTATGCCTGCGGCAGCCCACTATTCACGGGGTGGAGATACGGCCACATGCCGATGAAATGCCCAAACCGTTGACGCTTGGTAGCGACATCGACATCATGCTCGTGCGGGGCACCAACCCAAGACCGAATCTGGAATGGATAGAATAGGGTCATCGGGAGAATGGGCCAGACTTGGTGAAAGTGTCGGGCCAGACTGTCGAGTTGGTTGGAGGTGAGTAGGTGGAAGGCTAGGTAGTTTCGCGGGAATTCAGGGTGTGGGCGACCGGTTTCCATGCTGATGATGGGTGATAGAGGTGTAGCCATGTAACGCAGGGTGTCTTCGAAGTCTGCGCGGTATTTGGGCATTTTGGGTCGATCTGATGATGCCATGGCTTTTTTGGTTGACTCGCGTATTGCTGAAGAGCTTGATGATGGAGTTGAGGTTGTGGGGATGATGGAGAGAAGGCAGTTGGTGGAGAGGAAGCGATTGATGAAGTTGAAATGGAAGAAGTCGTGTCTGTGGTCTCGTTTGGGGAGGTCAATGATGAGTCGCCGCTTGATGAGTCGCAGCTAGGCTTGTAGTATCGATCTGATGACATCGTGCACTGATGAAATCGTGCACATGAAGAAGGCAAATTCTTTTAAGAGGACATTAGCACCATCCACCTCTGTGAGTACAGATATAAACGAGGGATCTCCGATATCAGGTGATATTACTCTTATAGAATCGGTGAGAAGGCTTTAAGAACTCAATTGTATTTATTTCTCTTTATTCAGATTGTTACCAATGCAAAAATAGACAGTAGGATGGGATATTCTGAAAATAGAACTCTTACAAAGCTGTACCGGCTTAAATATCGCAGACAAATAACATCCTTTGTTCCCTGTCGAGACGAGAGACTTCCTCAAATAACAATCTCGCGGTTTCATTGTTGCCGAAAGAATAATTCAAGGATAAGTAAGATAACCCAAAATATCATGTAAGATCATACTGTGCACATTAACAGTCGACACATACTTCTCAAAGAGACATATTGGCCACACCTGCAGAAAGATCAGGTTCATCCGCGACTGGCGGAAGTCCAACGAACTTGTTAATCCAATTGAGTACGGTGCGATGCCACATCAAAGAGTTCTCCGGGTTCAACACCCAGTGGTTCTCGTCAGGGAAGGTCAGGAAAGCACTCTCGACGCCTCGCATCTGCAGCACGTTGAACGCGGCAAGACCTTCAGCAATAGTCAGGCGGTAATCGAGCTCGTTGTGGATGATGAGATGCGGTGTGTCCCAGTTTTCAGTAAACCGCGATGGATCCCATTTCGCCCAGTTCTCAGGGACCTTCCAAATGGGACCCTTCAGGTCGTGGAGTGGGAAGTACTGCTCTTCACTGGCCAGCTGGGAGGTCATGCTGAACACACCGTCATGGGTGACCAGCGCCTTGAACTTACGGCCGAGAGGGTGGCCCTGGATCCAGTTCATCATGTAGCCACCGTAGGATGCACCCAATGCCACAGCCCGGGTAGTATCGATGTAGTGAAGATTTTGCTCGATATACTCAAAGCCCTTCACAAGATCCTCGTATGGCCGACCACCCCACTCACCGCAGATTCCGTCGGTAAAGTCCTGCCCGTAGCCCGTGCTGCCAGTCGGGTTAGGTGTAACAACGACATATCCTTGTTCAGCGAACACAGCAGGGTTCCACCGCGTACTCCATTGATCGTTCCATGCACCCTGAGGACCACCGTGGATCAGGTAGGCCAGCGGGTATCGATCCCCAGGCTTAAAATAGGATGGCTTCACTACCCAGGCATGCACCTTATAGCCCTCAGCTCCCTTGAACCAGATCTCATCCACTTGCGATGGTGACAGTCCAAAGGCAGATCCTCCTCGGCAGTTCGATGACACAAGCTGAACTGACTCTGGATGAGCCGGGTCAATGATGGACCACACACTGTTGTCCACTAGGCTAGAGCTAGAGACAAAGAGCTTGGATGTCTTGGCCCCAGCAGGGACTACGTCGTTGACAAAGCCTTCGTACGTAAGTTTCTTCAGTGAATCAGGCTTGGCACTTCGAATACCATCCAAGGGCAGCTGGTACAAGACTCCACGGCCAGATTCCTCAACCTGGACGAGAAGCGACTTGCCATCCTGAGCAAAGGACACGGCCGACGGGCTAAGCTCCCAATCACCCTTTCCATCCTCGGTCTCGAAGACTTCATACATCTCGCCACTCCATGGGTTAGGGACGTAGAGAATTCGATTCTTATCCGACTCGTACCCGTCTTTCTGCATAGCCAGAAGGGCAATAGAGCCACCGTCTGGAGACAAAACAGGGGAAGCCATTGCACCTTGGAGGCTCGTCACCTTGCAAGGCTTGATATCTGAGACACTCATACTGGTCCATGAGAACATTGGGGCATAGTAGGCGGAGCAGGCGGTATGCGTAGCCGGGTTCAGGCTCGGGTCTTTCGCAATGAATACAATAGCCGAGGGACTGATATCGAAATCGCCAGTGCCGCCGAATGGAGGAATCGGCGATTCGACCTGACCCAGTCCGGACACTGAAATCAAGTTCGTGAGACCCGAGACCGAGTACTTACCGGCCAGTCTGCGCGCCGGCGCCAAGGGGGCCCTCTCAAGCAGACCATACCAGATGGCATACTTCTGCGGGTCAATGTACGAATCCCAATGGCGCACAAACAAGGAAGTGTACAGGCGCCCCGTGGTGTGCGACTTCTTCGCGTCGTGCGGGTTGAACAGCGAACCGTCCAGGTTGGCCTTGCCTGACACAGCGAAGCCAATCTTGCCAGGCTCGATAACAGTGACCTTCAAGTCCGACACTGGGCCGGGGACGGTACCAGCGGTGTACGTTCTATCGGCCTCGCGCGCATTGCCGACAATGAAACTCGTGTTGCCATTGGCCTTGGTTTTCAGCCAAAGGAGCTCGTCGCTGTCGCCCAGCCACTGTGGGTTGCTGGCACCGGGGTCATTGGTGATAAGTGCCGATCGGCCAGTGTCGATCTCAATGACACGGATCTCGTTGGTCTTGGAATGCGACTCGAATGAGTAGGACGTTTGGGTATAGACGGCGAGGGTGCCTGCGGCGTTGGGGACGGCCGAGGACCGCCTGGGGGCGCCGAGGAGGACCCTACTCAGCGGTTAATTGGGAGCTCCAAGGATCCTATCGTGGCCGAAACAAAGGTTGAAGGCCAATTCAAACGGATATAGTCTCTACATACTCGGGAGTGAACTTCATAGGGCGGATTGTCATATCAATCAACTTGGATTGAGGGGAGAACCTTGGTAGCTAGCAAGGAGCTTCCCACCTGGAATCAAACCTTAATTCGGGGAGCTTGAGAGGTGGTGGTAAATAAGAACGATTAGACCAAGAAAGATTGGCCTTGAAAGAAATGATGGCCAGGAGTTGTGAATCACAGTAGAGCTATGAAGTAGTGGAAACCGAGGAGGTCGAAAGAAGAGGGAGGTTGGGGAATGCAACGTGACTCGACTCCATGCGGGGTATCGTCGCCATGGTTCCGCTACTCCAACAGAGTTCGGGCTAAACATCTCGCCACGATAAGCAAAGAGTGACCATGGTTCTGTTAGCTTCTAGATTTTGTCTAATCAAAACATTAATTGCTGTATTGAATAGTGTGCACAAAAAAAAAGAATAGAAATGGTCGAATTGAGCAGCACGGCAATGATGGGGAGCTGAATATATATTGTTGGACTAAAGCGAAGCTCCATGTACTTCTAGTCATCTACATGTCGGACTCCGAAAGATCAATCGAAGAAAAAGAAATAACACCTTTTGTATCCGGATAGCTCCAAAAACTATTATTACAAAACAAAATTGGAATCATGATCTACTCCTCTTCCTCCTCCTCACTTTCATCCTCCTCCATGCCCTCCGCAGCATTGACCGTGAAGGTAGGAGCCTGATCCACACCGACATAGCTGTCGCTCATGAGGTACAGCGTCAATTCATGCTCACCAGGCGAAGGCACCACGTATTCCAAACGCAAGTCAAGCTTGCGACCAATAGTAACACGTTTGATGGCCAACAGGTTCTTGGTCTTCTCCTCGCCAACGACCAGCCACCAGTTCTCCATCTTCTGGTTGGGGTAGAAGGGCGCGTGGACGACGGTATCGACTTCGTCGTCTTCCTCGACCTCCCGCTGGATCTTGACCTTGAGATAGGCGGGCTCGCCGGAAGTGACATTCTCCGGGTCCTCGACCTCAAAGTCCAGGTCGATGCTGGGGTACTTGTCGTTGGTGAAGGCAGCAGCTTGTGCGAGCTGCTTGTTGTTCAGTCCCAGGCGCTTGACCAGGGTGGCGTAATCCTTGTTCTCCGAGGGATCCATGGCCTCCATGAACTCAAAGATGTCGTTGATCCTGTAAGAAGTCGAGTTAGTAAATGCAAATTGCCAACTTGAGACCAGTGGTACATACTCATATTCCTTGGCGACCTCGATGACCTCGGGCGAGAAGTGAGGGATCTGCTTGAGGGGGCTATCGCGATCCCACATGGCCTGGACCACCATCTGCGACAACTCCATGGCGTTCATGGCGTTGAGATGGCCCTCCGAGGAGAGCACATCCACGCAGGCACTGAGCAAGTTGAGAACCTTGCGAACGATATCTTCCTGATCCTTGGCAAGATCGATGGGAAGTTGCATCCGCGAGAAGTGGGCTTGCAAGAGAACGAACGCCTTGAAGTGCGGGGAGTCGAACGCAGGCTCGGACATCTTGACTGGCACACGGTCGTAAACACGACGAAGGATGTGGTCTTCGTGCCGGCGCATCTGGACGGACTCGAACTCGGTGGCCGAAGTGACGATCTCCAGAATACCCTTGAGCTTTGTCCGAGCGGAGAGAGACAGCAGGAAGGTTTGCATGGTAATGAAGGAGATGTTGTAGTAGGAGCTGATCATAGCGGCGTTCAGAGGGGACACGCTATCATCTTCCTCATCCAGGTCGATGATCTTGGCATCAGACAGTTCCTTCAAGGTGGTCTCGACCAGCTCTGACAAGAAGGTGCTGAGCCCCTCGTGGCTTACATCACTGAGGCCGTAGAAGCTGGGGTTTGCAAGAAGACGGCGGTAGAAGTAGGTGTAAGTCATCCAGTCAACAGCATCTTGCGTGGAAGCGAGGGTACGAGTGCTAGCCTCCGTCACAAATGCATCGTGCAGGTAGACCTGGAGGTGACTCTCAACGGGCAAAGCCTCATTGAGGAATTTCTTGTAATACTCACGCTTGACGGCAGGGACCATCAGAACACCACGACCGCTCTTGTCAACACCGGGACGAGAAGCCTTGCCAAACATCTGAAGGATCTCGCTGATGGGGTAGTCGATGTAGCGATGTTCACGACCGTCGAAGAACTGTGTGTTCATCACGATGACCAGGTGCGCAGTGACATCCAACTCCCAGCAGACATCACGCGAGGCGAGAAGAACCTGGATGGCGCCAATCTTGAATAGATGCGAAACAATACGCTTGTCGGTCTGGCTCAAAGCCTCATGATAGTAACCAATACCGTGACTCAATGAAGTGGCAAGGGTTTGCTCCTGGACGCGAGAAAGCAGTGGGGCTAGCTCCTCAACATCTGCATTCAAGAACCGATCTTCATTGTCATCCATTGCACATGCAGCCAGAAGATCCATCGCTGTGGAACGAGTCTGCTTGCGGCTGGGAACAAAGACCAGAGCGGGCTTGTCGGCAGATAATTGCAGAATTGATTGGTAGGCAGGCCGAGACATGGCAAGCATGAGAGAGGGGAAGTGAGGAATGGTGTAAGACTGGATGTGCAGCTCCAAGGGGACAGGGCGAGCGTGCGGGCTGAAGTTGTAGATGGTATGCTTGTTGGCGCCGATCCACTCGCCAATGTCGCGAGCGTTGGACAGCGGCACACTCAAGCCGAGGATGCGCATCTCGTTCTCGGTCTGCAAAGCGATGTAATGCATACGGGACACGACCACCTCGTACACGTATCCACTAAAGCCACCGAGCATGTGAAGTTCATCAGCGATGAACAGCTGGACAGTCTGAATGTTCTTGCGTCTCTGCCACTGGCGGGAGAGCACGTCCCACTGGACAGGTGTGGCAAGGACAAGATCAGCCTGTTCCAGAAGCTTCAAATCAGCCGTTGTTTCACCAGTAAGCTTCACGATGGTCTTGCCACCGCCGATGCTGCCTAATCGCTTCTCCCAGTCAGCCAGGCGCTGGTCAACAAGCTCTTGGAACGGAGCAATGTAAACCGCACGACCCTCGTTTTCACTGGACCAGTGACGGAGTAGAGCCAGCTCAGCGCAAACAGTCTTGCCACTTCCAGTCGGGGCGCCAACGAACACATTGTCATCCGAGTCGAAGACGGACTTGAAAACCTGAGTCTGAATCTTGTTGAAGTGCTCCCAGTCGGGGTACAGCTTCTGGTACTCCTCGCGCTTCAAAGCCTTAACGGGAGCACGCTGCATATCCAGCAGAGGGGTGTGGGGAGGGAAGCGCTCGGGGAGAATCAGCTTCTGGAAAGAAACGGCAATCTTCGTCTCAGAGTGCATCCAGCGATCGGATACCAGGGAGATGAAGTAGTTGGGAGGCATGGGCTCGGTAATCGAAACAGTAAACTCGACCATGTGCTCGTTCATCTCGGAAATGGCAAAATCGCGACGGAGCAGGAACCGGTCATGGAACAGGATCTCTTCACCATCGCAATCTTCGACCAGAATCCAGAAGTCCTGCGCGTTTCCATGCACGGCATCATCCCAAACAAAGTTGGGTGTGATGGTCAATTCAACACGGAGCATGGAGCGAGTGATGGGCTGCACTTGAGCTTGCACATCAAGTCGAGGGAACTTGGAGACAAGGTCACAAACAACACGACCCGCCTTGGGCATGCCGAGCAGCTCACCCATGCGGGGAGGGTCGAGGTCAAAGTAGCTGGGCCAGGGGACGTCAATCCGTTCAGCCTTCTGCAGAATATCCCTGGGGCAGCCTGGGAATTGACGCAGAGGGGACATGGTGGGCCACATACGCTTCTCAGCCATCTTGCAAAGGTCGAGAGCAGTCTTGGCCACGGAAGCCCAGCCCTTCTTCAGACAAATCTCGAAAATGGCACGGATGATACGACCGGCGGACTGGGTGACGTATACCATGTCGGCCATCAAAGCAAGACCTTCTAGCTTCAGACGGGAGATATAAGCCTGAAGAAGGACATTGATCTTAGCGTGAGGCTCGTCGATAGTCTCCTTGACAGGGACCGGCACACGGCCCAAAAGCTTGCCAAGCTCCAGCTTCTCATCCTGGCGAACTGGAATGTACTTGAATTCATCGCTAAGGGCGAAGATGCGGAAGAGTTCGATAGTAGTGATGGAAGGCTGGAGGTGCTGGGCGTAGGTCAGCATCGAGTTGTGACCGATGTAGTAATGAGAGGAGATGCGGCCAAGCTCAGTGGACTGCAGCCGACCGGTCATTTTCTCATACTTGAGCAGTCCAGCCCTCTCAAGGACTGTCGCGGCAGAGTGAATGAGATCAACACGCTTCTGCTCTAGAGCATCATCGTTCTCATAGTCGGCGCCAACACTGTACAGACCAGGGGAGCGGAGCATGCGGACGTAGAGGTAGGTATAACCAAGCCACTCGACACCCTCATCGCGAGTGCGAACGTTGCCGAGCACAACTTCAGCATTCAGGTTGTCAGCAAGCTTGCTCATGAGCTGAGACTCGATGGGCAGTTGCTGGTTCATGAGCGAAAGGTAGTACTGAATTTCAGACTGAGAAGTGATGATGATACCTTCACCGAAAGTATCGTACTGCGGTCGACCGGCACGTCCGAGCATCTGGAGAACATCTTGCGGGCTGAGCTCGACCCAGCTACCCTTTTCTGGAGAGTAGACTTGGGTTCCCTTGATGATGACAGTGTGGGCAGGAAGATTGACACCCCAAGCCAAAGTTGCGGTACAGACGAGAACCTGGATGCTGCCGTCGGCGAACAGGGCCTGGACGGAATCACGATCCGCAAGACTCAGACCAGCGTGATGGATACCAAGACCGTAGGGCAGAAGATCCTTCAAGGACGCATCGTCAACGGAATCAGCCTCCTCAGAGAGGATAGCACGGCTGGCAGCATCACTGCGAAGAATTTGTCCGATAGTCTCCATCTCGATGGCCTTGTCTCTGATGTATTTGGCCGTCTTTGCCGTTTCCTTGCGCGAGTGCACGAAGATAAGCATCTGGTTTCGCTTCTGGCCGACTTGCTCCATAACCTTGTTGTAGCAAATATCGTTCATAGTCTTGAGCTGCTTGATCGCCTTCTTGTCGGTGACACCGATGAATTCCTGCTTCAGAGGGCAAGGGCGGTACGAGCCGTCGAAGTGGAACACGCCCGTCTCGGGGTCTGCTCGGAGGAAGCTTGCCACATCGCGGTAGTTGGGGAGAGTAGCACTGAGACCAACAATACGGACAGGGTCGCCAGTCTGCTCAACTCGACGGATTGTACGGCTGACAATGCTCTCCAGAACGGGACCACGATCGTCATGGAGAAGGTGAATCTCGTCAATAACAATAAGGCGGACAAGATTGGTGTAGCTGGTTTCTGACGCCTTGCGGGTAATAACATCGTACTTTTCGGGGGTGGTGACAATAATCTGAGTATCGGCGATTTGCTGCTTGGTGAGCTGACGATCACCAGTAAGCTCTGCCACGCGAATGCCATACGGCTTGAGACGATTTCCAAGGTTTCCAACCTGTTCCTGGACCAGGGCCTTCAAGGGAGAGATGTAGATGATCTTGAAGTCGTCAAGCATGATCTCTCCAGTTTCAGGGTTGCGGTTCTTGCCAATCTCTCGGAGAATAGTGAGCATAGCAACGTTGGTCTTACCGGAACCAGTGGGAGCACAGACAAGCAGGTTGCCATCATCGTGAAAGGCTGTCGGGTAACACTTGGTCTGAACGCGATTCAGCTCCTTCGAGCTTCCGAAGCCCACACGTGCCCAGTCAGGAAGTTCTGTCGTGGGGATGTTCTTCTCGCCAGGCAGCTTCTTTGCTTGAGGCGGGGGGACGTGAATCTCTTCGTAGCCCTTGAAGGTTCTCTTAGTCGAACCTTGAGGCAGCTTGACATTGGGGTTGGTCATAAGGTGGTTGCCCTGGTGGAAGACGAGATTCTCAAGGTTGATCAGTCGCTTGGGCTGGAGACCACCGACCAAGCCATTTTCACCGACTTGTTTCTGTTCCTGCGCTTCTGGCGCCGAAGGAACATCGACATCCATCAAGTCCAACTTGATCTTCTCGGGCCGGTGGGCAAGATCGTCAGTGGTCTTCCCCCGAATTTCATCCAAAACGGCACGGTGTCCAGCCTCGACCATCTGGCTCTCGACAAGGTTCCTTGCGTCCGCATCTTCAGCAACCTGCCTCCAGCGAGTGGCCCAAACCACCTTGGTACGGTTGGACACCAGCTTGGCGACGAGATCGGGGTGGTCGTAGTCGAAAAGCTCCATCAAGTCGTTCTCGACATCACGCAGGGGCTTCTCTGAGCCGTCCTCAGCTTGGCCACCGAGAATGTCGAGGGCCTCCTTGGTCTTCTCTTGTTGGATGTGAGCGTCGGGGTACACAGCGCCGATCTGACGTTGGAGCCAGTATGCGTCGATCTCGCGGGCAGGCACTGCCAGTCCAGATTTATCCTTGGCCTTGTCGCCCCGGTCTAGACCACCATCCAGAACCATTTCATCGCCGTCTTCCAGTTCCTCAGCAGCACCTTCGTAGGCTTCGGGTCGATCTTGCTCGTCGAGTTCGTCTTCATCGGAGTCCTCATCACGGATTTCGTCCACGGTGCCCATGCGCTCCTCGTCCTCGTCCTCCTCGTCGAAGACAACGGCCACACCCTGGCGCTCATCGAGTTCACCGTCACCCTCGTCTAGGCCACCGTCCATATCCTCGTCTTCGTCTTGAGCATCGTAGTCGGTGATTTTCTTGCCTAGGTTGACAAGCTCATTGAACTCCTTGGGATTCATTGAGGTGCCCAACAGATCATCGATCTCCTTCTTTTTATCAAAATCCTTCATATCCTCGTCCTTCAGCAACTCCAGTACAGCATCGGCCGCACTCCGAACCACTTCGTGGGGGACATCGCCAAGGTTGGTACCGGTTATCGTCAGGATGAGGTCGTATGTGGCTCGCGTGGCAGGTGTTCGGGGGCGATACTTGAGGCCCTCGACTAGGGCATCGGCGGCTGAAAGGATACCCTGGCCTCGTTGTTGCGCTGGCTGGCCGCGCTGGCGTTTCCTCTGTTCCCGCAGAAGCACGTCCTCGCCTTCGTGAATTGCACCGCGCTCGAGTTCTGCGGCGGTCTTCTTCTTCGACTTCGGAATATCGTCGCGCGCGACTCGCGCACCCATTTCGCGAATGCCAATCCGGCCGGCGAGAGACTCTGGGTCACCAGTGGGCTCGTCATTGACGCGACTGATGAATCGACGATCCGCCTGGAGAACCAGGTTGGACATCGCCGAGTACTTGTATTGGGAAATATTTTGGTCCGCCATCTTGGATATGAGGGGGCAATAGCCTTCCCAAGCAATAGATCAAATGAGTGGTAGTAAAGAAAAATGAGTGAGTCGCGACTCTGATCGGCCTAGTTGCGCCGCACTCAGATGTCGATCGCGCCGCACGTCGGGGGTATATCAGCGATTGAATGAGTTTCAAAAGGTCTCACAAACCTGGCTCATCCTCCTACCGCAAGCGAATTAACTTGAATGGGGGAGAAATGGAGGCCAGGGTTGATGAGAGGATTTGGAGATTTGTAGGGAGAGTTGAGCTCGGGAAGAATTCGGTGGCGAAGGCGGAAGGAGGGGAGCTTTTGTGGTTCTGCCGCTTCTCTCCCCGTTGACGTAGAAGGGTGTCGACGTTGCAACGATGCGTGTTAATGCTCGGGGGTTTGTTCATTTGGCACCTTGCTTGCGGTCCTCTTTCGACCGAGTCCCAGTCATCGCATCTTTTCAATGCCCTATTCATCGAACGATCTGCCACCATGCGCGACGCATCTCGGCGCGCCCTCGCGTACCCGCGGCGCTCCCACCAGTTGAACAATACAGAGGCGCGAAAACGAAGGCAACGGTCAAATTGAAGGACCTTCCACAAGGCGTCGTCAAATTGGAACCATATGATGATGGTGTAGACGATGCTCCTCGATATCCTACTGTGGTACAAGGGCATCGTAACAATATGCAGAAGTTCAAGAACTGTGTGATCCTTACAAGAGTTGGAGGCTTTTACGAGGTATGGAATTTAAATGTTAGTGCGCGGCAGCGTTTTCTAACGCAAATGATGTTAGCTTTACTTCGAACAAGCTGAAGAACTGGCGCCACTGCTCAGCTTGAAACTTGCGTCCAAGAAAACCAGCGCCGGACCGGTTCCTATGGCCGGGTTCCCTTTCTTCCAACTCGACCGCTTCCTCAAGATACTCGTTCAAGACCTCAACAAATACGTGGCAATCAGCGAGGAATTTGCTATTGAGGCAGAGGACAAGATGAAATCTGGAGGTCTGATGTGGGACCGAAAGGTGGCCAGAATCATCACACCGGGGACATTAATCGACGAGAAGTTTATCGATCCTTCCGAGAACAATTTCTTGCTCGCAATATACTTGGATGTTACGGCCTTAGCCGCGCAATCAAAGCAGCAGGTGGATGCACAATCGTCGCAGCACATATTATCCTCTGTACCACAGCCTGTAGGCTTGTCTTGGATGGACTTGTCTACGGGCGACTTCTATACTCAGCTCACGACACTGCAGATGCTGCCATCGGCTATCGCCAGAATTGGGGCTCGAGAGATTCTCGTTGATCAGAATGTTCAAGACCTCATTGGACAGGAATTGCAAATGCTAGTCGGACATGAGCATCGGTTGGTCACATTCTTCCGATTCCCGGAAAGCATTGCCCCGATGTCCGAATGGGATTCCATGCTCGAAGCTCCCATCCCAGAAGACACTCGTGCCTCATTTACCACCGAGGAAATAGCAGCTGGGTACAGCCTACTTGAGTACACTCGAGTACAGCTGCAGAGGACAGACCTCAAACTACTGCCTCCGCGCCGGCGGCACCTGAACGAATCTATGAGCATCGACCGGAACAGTTTGAGGGGCCTTGAGATTCTAGAGACTGCGAGGGATGGGTTTGGTAAAGGAAGCCTGCTTCATGCTGTCCGCAGAACAAGCACTAAAAGTGGTGCTCGTCTTTTGCGGGACCGACTGAGTATGTACTGCAAGATCCGACCAACATGTTTTGTTTCGCTAATCTGAGTTTTGCAGCCTCTCCATCTACATCCATACAAGTCATTAATGATCGATTGGACCTTGTCTCAGTGTTCATTGATAACATCGACCTTCGCGACGGCGTAATCCAGCTGCTTAAACGGAGCTACGATGCTCAACGGTTGGTTCAAAAGTTTGCGCTTGGCAAGGGAGATGCAGACGACTTGATTTGCCTTTCCCGGGCCATCGAAGCTTCCAAGGGGGTTAGACAGGTTCTCACCGACCACGCAAGGCAATTGCATCGGTCAGACGCGAAACAAAGTCTAGCATCCATGATCTCGAGGCTTCATCTCGATGGTCCAATTGCGCTCGCAGAGCGAATACTCGCTGCCATCGACGAGGAAGGTCTCCTTCAGCAGCAGCGTATTCAAGATAGCACAGCCGCTGAAACAGCCCGCCTTGCCCAAGAAGTTGCTTTGAATGAAGGCACTCCCAGTGAGCTGGAGGCACTGCCAAAGAAAGTTCGCGCCAAATCCAGCGAGCGCACTGCAACTGCAGATACAGAAGCAGGCCCGGCCGAGACATGGATCATGCGCCGTGACGCCAGCAAGACACTGAAATCTCTCCACGAGCAATTGGACGCATTCTTCGATGAAAAGGGTACACTCACCCAGCGTTTGCGAGACTCTGTGGGCTCCACCAATATTACTCTCAAGTGGACCCCTGGACTCGGCCACATTTGCCATGTCAAAGGTGCCAAGATTTCCCAGCAGTCCCTCGAAGATCTAGGCGTCACGCGCAATGTGTCGTCTACCAAATCCACCCGCTCCTTTTACCTTCCGGCCTGGACCGAACTTGGGAACCGCATGGACAACGTGAAACTGCGAATCCGACAAGAAGAACAGGCTATTTTCGAGCGCCTGCGCCGTGAAGTCATCCTCAACCTGGTCAAGATCCGGCGGAACGCGGCCGTCATGGACGAGCTCGATGTAGCCTGCTCATTCGCCACCTTAGCCCAAGAACAACAAATGGTACGACCAATTCTCAACGAAGGCACAACGCACAAGATCGCCAGCGGACGGCACCCAACCGTGAAACTGGGGCTGGAAGAACAGGGTCGCACGTTTGTTAGCAACGACTGCTTCCTCGGCGAGCGCGAGCGCATCTGGCTCATCACAGGCCCCAACATGGCCGGTAAAAGCACCTTCCTTCGGCAGAATGCACTGATCACGATCCTCGCACAAGTCGGCTCCTATGTGCCCGCTGCATATGCCGAGATCGGGCTCGTCGACCAGATCTTCAGCCGTATCGGGGCCGCGGACGACCTATTCCGAGATCAATCGACGTTCATGGTCGAGATGCTGGAAACTGCAGCTATCTTGAAGCAGGCTAGTCCTCGTTCCTTTGTGATCATGGACGAGGTCGGTCGGGGTACGACCCCGGAGGACGGGACTGCGGTTAGCTTCGCATGCCTTCACCATTTACACTACCGAAACCGCAGCCGCGTGCTATTCGCCACACACTTCCATGGGCTGGCGGACATGACAAAGTCGTTTGAGTGTTTGGAGCGATATTGTACTGATGTTAAGGAAAGTCCCGGCGGTGGGTTCTCCTTTGTGCATCGCTTGCGTAAGGGGGTGAATCGGGAGTCGCATGCACTCAAAGTGGCCCAGTTGGCCGGGCTGCCGAAGGAAACTCTTGAGCTTGCGTCCCGTATTCAAGGGCAGCTGAGAGGAGAAATGGGCACTCCAAACGCGGCCAGTGAGATCTGTGAGACTTGCGAAGAGGACCGACCTCTTTCACACAGTGCCTAGGTCCTTACTATATAAGCTGTTCTGAAGTTGTCATTGACTTCACCGTTCACAAAGCGTATCTCAAAATTTGGACATAACGTTGTATAATACCCATATCTTACTTTCATGTAGGGGTACACCTGTGATGAGACAATTCCCGTAATCACATCCAAAGCGACTACTCTGATATCCATCTGTTCCCACAACCCCAAGTGCTCGATATACCCTGTCGTCGGCTATGGACAAAGCTGACACCGGGCCACACGGTATAGATAGCCTGGGAAAAGGTTCGGCGTGGATTTGGGTTTCCGACGATAGATCCTGACTGTTAGCCACGATTGCATATCTGTTTCTGGCCGGTTAGCGAAGGTCTGTTGAATCTTTAATTTGACCATAGTCTTACAGTCTGTCTGTCTCTTGATCCCTCTGGTGATTTCCCCGATCTTCCGATGTTCTCGAGCGATGCAGCCCGAAAGGGTTTCAATCGAATTTTGAGAAGGCGTCGTACATCTCGAGAAACTCAGGGCAAGCAAAAGGAAATTTTGACCATTCACGACAGTCGTAGGTCTTTGGGTATAGGTCATTCCTAGTCAAAGCTAGTCGCGGTATTACCCATGCTGTGGTGGGAGATTTTCACTCGCTCTAAACCCGTAGGCCGATCTGATTTAGATCATCTCTGTGGTTGCGGCGGCAATAATACATTTGGGATAACTTGCAGTCCAGGAGTCATTAATCCATTCGCCATGTTATTATCTAAACGTTTACTTATTGTTGCTTGAAACACGTACGTGATTCTAAACCTACTGGACTTTCGGATGAGCTTCTCAATAAACGCTTTCAAAGTTGGGGTTCATTAGATTGAATCTTGATCTGCATCAACGATGACTTGTTATCCGCGATCCTCTCATTTTAGTAAGCCATAAAGCCAGGCCCTTTGGAAATTGGGCTACCAAGGACTGGGTTGTGCTAATGGAATGACAGTACGACATTGTATCCTTAGTTGAGTCTGGCTGTTCGTGCTCACTGTCGCCCTGGATAGTTGTCCAGAATTCCTGTGATCCCCTGGAGTTGGTCCTCCATTTGCATCAAATGGCGAGACAGCTCTTCGCCTAGAAGATCCTTATGGGTGCATGGAGGGACGACCAGGGGATGGACAGACTGGACGGTATTATTCCACGAAAAGTGGCGGGGAACACGAGGAGGGCTGTCGACATCACTGCGCGTATCGTTCAAAGGATCCGCGGCGTGGACCAAGGGTAGTGGGGAAGCATGAGATTCATGCTCGGGATTTACCCATCTTTTTGCGGCCTCGAAAAACAAGAAAGGGCTGCAACCCGAGCTTGACGTGACTGTCTCGGTTTCACAGATCATCAGGGGACCCGGGTGCTGGAATTGCATAACGTACTGCATCAGGGCCGCTGCTTTCTTCGTGTCGCATGCCCGAGTACAGTGGATGTATGGGGAGGCCAGATGGGCAATTCGTTCGTAGACGAGGTCGAAGCATCGCTTCAGATACTTGTCTCTTTTGCCCAAGATTTCTTGCAAAATCCATTTTGGAATAGGCGAAGGGCCAGCATAGATTGAGCCAGTGGCCCTCTGCTGAGCCATCTTGGTAAGGTGTCGAAAAAGAGTGTGATGACCGAAGACATAGGAAATGAAGATCAACTTCCATGACGAAGGCGGGAATTCCGTGGGGAGTGTAGGGACAAGCTGTTGACAGTACCAGAGTCCCCAACTTTGCAAAGCCTCATAACACAGGAAGTAATGTGTGGCCAAGGCAAGTTTCCACAAGCCTATGGTGTCAAACCCAGCGGGGATCCATGGTTGAAATCCGTGAATGATGCTCAAGAGAATGTGCATTGTTTCGGGGCTATGGGCAGTTGTCTCCAGATGAATCTTGACTGAGCCATATTCCTCAAGATCTCGACCGTCCTGCCCATTTGGCCCGAACCGGGCTTCGAAAAAATCGCATCCCAAAATGAGGTACTTCGATGAGACGAGAAATCGTGAAGGAGCCGGGCGTTCGTCAGTCTCCTGGGGTGCGGGTACGATGAGGAGAACATCCCCATCAGGGTCGATGATGTCCATGCTCTTCGGAGCTGGGGTACTCATGATGTCAACTTTCTGGGGCCGGAGGTTGGGTGAGTTGGATATTGGATGGGTTGGATGGGTTTGATCCGTTAGATCAGTTCGGTGAGTTTGATGAGAGAGGGAGAGAGACAGAGAAAGAGAAGGAAGAGGGGAGATGGGAAGAGAGAGATGCAGTCTGACCGTTCAGCGTGGGGGAAACTAAGATTGTTTCTCAGAATCAGGGCTGCGTGTTTCTGCGAGAGGGAAAAATGATGGAAGCAGGATGAGAGGAGAGGGATGAATCAGGGTAAAGAGGGCAGGATCGTGCACTTGATTGATCATTCCGGAAACTTCCTTTTGGTTGTTTATTTCGACTTCGAAAAGTCCATCTGGGATTCGGGGGTCAATTTCACAATATGGCACCATATGCATTCAAGACTGAAAGATTCAGTACTAGAGCTCCTCCATGTCGGCATGACATGATTTTATGGTTACAATTAAGGTATTGTAGGGTTCGAGCGGGGCTTATTGATTGTCTCATTGTAGTAGATAAATGAAGCTATGATAGCAGGTCGTTGGATGGGATGATGAGGTCGTGGAAATGGAGCTTGAATTGAAGACTCTGACATAGAGAGGTGGCAATGGCTTCATGTGGAATAAAGATGCAGCAAATAGGTCAGTTTGATAGTTACCTATTTATTCTCACGCTGTTCTCGCCATTGCCTGTGGCAGTCGTTCGTTCCTCCTTGGGAAATTCACGCATTCCATTACTCTTGATTCGGCAAGTTGACACCGCAAAGAAGAGCCGTGAATTGCTTGAGATGGTTCTCCACATCCATGCCCAATGGGTTCTGATAGTTTGGGCAGAAGATCCCTCTGTTATGAGGACAGTCGCGATCGGTATGGAGAAAGCTGTCGCCGCTAATCTGCAGTAGCTTTAGCCGGATGGAGTTTGGTACATACCCTGTGCATCGTGGATTTGGTTGCTCGAAAAACGGTAGCAAGCCGCTTGCCGAGATCTGAATCATCATGTTCGAATAGGATTTATCGCATTTGGAGGTACAAATAGGGGGCCCTCTCGAAAGTCGTTTATGATGGTTGTAGAGGAGGGTTGACAGTTTGTTGAGGTAGTGTTCTCTGGTTGTGTTGATGTTTCCTAGAGTAACGTGCCAGGTAAGCAATCTGTTTAGGACAAGTAGCAATAATATTCAAGGCAAACTTACTGATAGTTTCCTTCGGAATGAGTGGCGCAGTTCTGGTTAAATCCATTCGGTCTGCCAAACGCTGCTGTAGAATTGCTGTGGTGTGTCGGAAGATTTGTTGGTGCCGGAAGGTCAAAGAGATGAACAACCATGTCTTTGTATTCGCATTGAGGACTGAGGATGCAAGTACCGAGGTCTTGTGTTTCTCCATCCAAGAGGTCGTGAAGGGCTCCACGGAGGGCAAACATTGCAGATAGTCACAGAATCGAGCGAGGTCTTTCAGTAAGAGTAGGGCTGGGTTTTGTGGGATGTTCCTGATTCGGCCATGGATGAGGTTAAGGATGATTTCAACAGCTCTTGGATCGAATTCGTTGATGGTCAGATAAACCTTTTTGTCCCGCATAAGCTCCGTGTGAGGCTGTCCACCTTCGGCGAGCTTCTTGCGGAAGTGGCCGCAGGTTGATATTAAGCTTTCAGAGGAGCACAGGAAGAGCATGCGGTACTGCCTGCTTGAGAAAATCAGAGTGGCATCCCCGCCCGGCGCGATCACGGTCGTAGGTAGACCGCTTACGGCCGAGGTGACGATTTCCATCGAGTCCTGCATGATCAGGTGGGTGATATGGGGAATGGAGTGAGAGCTCCGTCGTGTAAGCAGACGAAAAGTGAGGGCTGGTCAATAGAGGGCGTCTTAAATGTGCGGGTCTTGGTGGGGGCAAACAAACGATGGTTCATGTGCTCGAGGGTCTGGATAATGAGGAAAGAGAGTGCAATCAGAGTGGGTGGGCTTGTTTGCTGATGAAGTCGCGTCGATAACCTCACTTAGGATCGCGACACCTTACGCGGCGAGGCATATTGTTTGCTCAATTACGAGAGTTTAATCAGAGTCATCTAATATGGCTTTATTCTGTTGTTACATTTTTATGGCATGATATAGAAGGTTCTAACACATACACACCTAGCACATTCTCGAAAACACTACTGATCATTTCGAGGAGTGCAAATTGTTGGTGGAGAACACCGAAGAGTTGAGTCCCAAAACTAAGCATTTTCATTCATTAAACTATCCCCTAAAATTTCTAAAACGCTGTCCATCTAGATGAATCTATCCTTTTTTATCACTTGTAATGGGGTTGGGTTGCAGATTGAACAGTCTGTGGATCCATGAGCTAGCATCTGCCTATAGGTAAATCAGAAAAACAAACCGCTCAATGGGCATATCAGAAACGAAATATTTGGACTGAATTCAGCAACTATCATGCAAGTTCAAAATCAAAGGTTTGCCAACTCAGGAAATTAAGGAAATTAGGTCATCCACGAAAAGAGCATTGTCTCGCGCACAGGATCCATATTGGGATGGTTAGCGGCCCATACTCCGGAGATGTCACCAGTGTTTACCCGGCATCATCTGTAAGATTGCCGAGCATCTTGAATCTGAGCCGTGAGGTCCGGCCCTAGGAGCTTCATGAAGTTTGAGCAATTCCGGCACCACTTCTCGGGGCAAGTATGCTTTGCCTTCTCGTTCCACTGCCATATCTGCTCACTTAATGACTTGGGGCTGGAAGCATCATCCTTTGCCGGGGCACCTTCATTCAGCCGTTTGCCCTTGGCCCAAAAGCCCAGTCGTAGGGATTCACAGGTGTACCGTGACCCCGGTGGGGTTCCCAAGCTTTGGATGACTTGTCTACCGATATGGGAGGCGAGATTCTCATTGAATGACTCTCGGTTTGCGTCGATAGTGTCTAGATATTATACATTAGCCAGCCACATCTCTGACAATTTTAGGCCAGTTGTTGCACACCTTTCACAAAACTTGGAAGGGGTAAATTCTTCGTGTCAAAGGGGCCATTGGACTCTTTCCATGCACAGGAAATACCGCGTTTGAGGTCCGCCTCACTGCCGAAGACGTGAGAAACGAGCAGATACCCCGGGAGTTCGTTAGAATCGCCCCGAAGCCGCCGAAATTGATTAAACCACGTCGCCCCAAATACCCCGATGGCCTTATTGCATTGAAAATACTCGGTGAGTTGAGCGATCTTGACTAGCAACTCAAATGTCACGTCACTTGGAACTTGGTCATTGCGTGAGTGCATGGCGTTGAGGATAATCAGCAGGGCCTCGGAATCGAAGCCTTCAATCTTGATCTCAGCAACGCCATTCAGGGCCAGCTCTCGGCCTTCAGACCAATTTGGCCCCAGTCGCTTCATAAAATACGGCGATGGGAGCATAAGATGTTTTGAGGAAACTTGGAACCGGGCTTGCTTGGGTGCTTGTGTGGCATTGGGCGTAGTGTTTGGATTCGACTTGATATCTGGTTCGTGTACTAGGGTGAGAATCACGTCTCCATTCGGATCTATGATCTCCATTTTCGAAGTGTCCATGATGCACTAGAGTTGTAAACAAAAAGTCTGTTAGTTCGTTATCTGTATGGGACTAGAACAAGGGAGCACTGTACCGGTCCTCACTCAAATCGTAGGTCACTGAAGAGTTTTGGAAGTGACGGTGGATTGTTCAAAATGTATACTGTCCAGCTGAGTGGTGGCTCAACAGTGGGTTTGACGGAGGAGAAAGTTTTCGAGCTTCTGAGAGATGATTATAAGTTCAATGATCACAAGGAACGGAGATTTGATTCCTGTCAGAAGAGACGAATGCAGCAGTTCGAAGAAAAAAAATCAATGTTGTTGTGGTTTTCGAAAGTATGAGGCAGGGGAAATCCATAAACGGAAATCGAAACACGCTCACCAGATAATAAAGTCAGAAGAGATGCGAGTTGTCCAGGTTGCTGTTAGAAATAAGTGATGAGAAAGAGGGAAAATAGAATTTGAGACCAACCTGGGAATTTTGCAGTTGAGAGCAGTGAGCAAGGTAAAGACCTCCTTCGACCGAGAATAAATTTTTGCTCCTGGGATCCCGTTAGATACCAGGGTATGGATTCTGCCAATTCGAGGTAGTATTATGCATTGTTCCTGGCTAATCGATATATATCCCTGCTATCGCGGCACATTTCAGGTACGCAAAGCATGGGTTCCAGATTGGACGGGCCTGAATCATTGTAATTCCAAGGGTTCCTGTACTGTCAAGGTTAGTATATTCTATGATCTTGGTTCCGCCCTCCGGCTTAGCTCTCGCGTAGTATCTCGTACTTTCAACTCTGGTCCTGTATATACTTCTCTAATCTTTTCTTCCCTCTTCTTACTCAGTCCCCCTTCGCCAAGAACATTCCAAGATACTAAATAAGAGGGATTAGAACACGGAAGATTATTCTACACAAAACTAGATACCACGTTAAAAACACTACTCTTTATTCAATTACCACCCTCACCATCCACTAGATAATTATTTCGACGAAGTATCCGATCGCCAGACATGTACTGTGATGATGGTCTCCCAACGCATGATTCAAATACATGATTCAGCCTCTGGGCTCCTAAACCGGTATTTGGTCGTCTAAATCCCCCCATTGACGACCCTGCACGTTACCAATGGGAAGTACAGAAACAGCCTCAAGGGTCCCCGGATTTATTGAGCTGAACAAGCCGCTGGGTGGCAGTCTCCGTCTTGTGGAATCGCCAAGGCCGGATCTTTCGTTCGAACAGCTCATCGAGCTCAGCAGCAGACCGTCTACAATGGCAAAGGGTTAGTATAACCGACTTGGAGAATGGGTCTTATTTTGTATCGAATGCATGGACTCACCCAGAAGTTTCCGGAATCAATAGCCACATGCCGACAACGAACGGGAGACCTACTCCGGCGTAGAACCAACCCGTCTTCAAGCTCCAGTTCCATTTATTGCTGTTCGTCATGTATGGAATGAGAACATTCATCACGACCCCAGCAACGCAGGTGACTGCTGCAGCGAAGCCGGCAGTATATGGTCTGAGCCGTTGGGATGAAACCTCTCCAATATATCCCCAGCCTGTGGCACCGTTGGCAGCCAGTCCAGCATCTATCATTGTGTCATTAGCCGTGCTATATATCAGGGACACAATGGTACTCACTCCATAGACAGGCGAACAGAATGAAGATATAGGTCGATGCCTTCACCTGAGGGCAGACTCCAATAATGCCGATTGCAACACATGATACCCAGCAGAGTGTTGTGCCCGAACAGGCGAGCAACCTTCTTCCAATACGATCGGCGATAAGGATGATCACGATCACAGTTGCAATCTGGATCGAGTTGGTGATGACCTTGATTTTGAAAGGATCTGCCAATCCAGCCTGTTGAAAGAAGTATGTCCCAAATGTTCCAAAGAGACTCAGACCGATCAACTGTTGGGTGAGGTTTGTCCAGAATGAGATAACAGTGCGCAGGCCATTTGTGCCCTGGAAAATTCCATACCACTTTTCGCGTCGCTGCTCAGCTGCAACCTCTCGCTCGTGTTCAACAGCCATGACCAAAACTTGGAATTGTCGCTCCAAGTCATAATTTGGTACACCGCGGTTGAGCTTGAGAAGTTGCTTCTTGGCTCGACCATGCTTGCCGGCATTCACACACCAGGCGGGAGATTCCGGTACGAATATGTAGATCAAAAACATGATGCCAATCTGAGCCCACTGAGTGTAGATAGGCGTCAGGTAGTTGGTCGGGTTGTCTCTCGAGAGATGTTGAAGAGCGACTTGGGCAAAGAATGACCCCAGTGTCCACCAGAAGCTATAACACATCAACAAGCCTCCACGAATTCGTGTCGGAGCAACCTCAGAGATATATGTTGGCACAGTTGACTGCAGGCATCCAACACCAATTCCCGCGAGGAGCTTAGCGACAAGCCAGCCTTGCCATGATCTCGCAAGACACTCAGTGAGCACGCTTCCCACCAAGATCACCCAGTAGGTGTACATAGCGACCTTTCTGCCATACCTGCTGGAGATGAATGGCAAAGTAGTCATCCCGACGATTTGGCCGCAGGACATAATCGAGCTCCAGCCGCTGAGGATGGGTGATTCAAGCGCAGGCTTTCCATTTTTACCGATACTGGTGGCAAAGCGTGCGACAAATCCAGTGTTTGCAATCACGCTAGCATTAATTCTAGAATGTAGCGGAAGTCAGACCAGACCGAATAACGCGACCTTCTCGAGACTTGACTCACCCGATTTGATATCCATCAGTTGCTGCGCTGAAAGCCATTGCGAAGCAAACGAGAGTGCAAAACTTGAATGTTTTGATGGTCTCCAAAGCACCCAACCCTTCATATCCAGTGGTAATTTGGCCTTTGGTAGCCGCTTCAAATGCTGGATCAGACTTCTCGAATCCATCTTCGACGATGTTCTCGACCTGTTGGGCAGAAGCATTCAGCTCGTGCAGGGATTTCTTCGCTGACTCCATCTCGATGTGAAGGTTTCGTATAGAAATAAAACGGATAGCAAATTATTGAGAAGGAAAACGACCATACTCCAAATTTAAAGCCACAAAGCTCCACGGCATTTGAAGCCTCAGACTGGCTATCGCATGACTAGACAACCTAGGAACAACAGCCACAGGTTAGACTCGGTCTTCATTGTGCCGAGAAGTGTTCTCAGTCAAGGCAAAATACGCGAGTCTTTTCGATCAATAATCGATCATCAGTATACTGCCTTACATTTCATGTGGGCACTCTTCGATTCAGTGGGACTAGAACAATTACCGACCCCGCTGCTGTCAAATTACCCCAGAATCCCCGCACTCTCCGACAAAGTGAATATCCTTGGCAAAGTTTATCAATTGCCTATAATGACAATAACCGATCCGAGTTCTACGTAGCGAGCTTAGCACTAAGAGGAATTCAACCGTACATGTAGCGCCGGGGGGCTGATATGTTGTCCGATAGAATGCTATTGCAGCAATGATTGCCGAATCCATAACCGATTCATTTGCCGATATTTGATTTTGGATACATTCAGAAGGCTATCGCGTTTTGACAAGAGGCCTGGGTGAGGCTGGCAGCCTCAGGACAGAAAGGGCCTCGTAAACTATGCCTAAAGAGGCAAGGCTCACGGTGGTGCACCCTGTGGCGCTACTTAGGCCAAGCCACTTGCGATAGTATATACTAAAACATGAACCTAATTTTTGTGAAAGGGCTTGGAGAGACACCCGTTTCCAGCACGTAACCGATAGTACAGTAGCCAAGCTCTCAGGTTCTTCTCCAGATGTCTGGAAACCGTGAGCTGTGAGGACGGCTCTGACGCGCTCGATACATAACAGATACACGTGGACGTGCAGCAGTCATATCAGGGATTCTGGCTACAAGGTCAAAGGGAGGGAACCCGTATCATGGGCCGGGTAGGAATGGCATGAGGTGTTATCATTTACTTCCAGTTGAAATCAGCAACTGATCCTGCCCGGTGGCCTAGTGGGTTAACCCCTAGTCGACTGTAGCCACTTCGGTGGATTCGGCGGTCGTAACTGCGAGGAAGCTTCTGTGGAGCAGGTGCGGCCCCCGGCGGGTAAGGTTTTTTTATATATAACGTCCCTACATAATTCTCCCTTTTAAAGTCTTTTTTATTATACTTCATTTATATCATTCTAATCACTAGATTTAATAGAATTTAGGATCTTTATTTGAAGGATTAAAAAGGCGATCTGGTGGTATTGTTATGTGTTGTTGATTAAGTGTGGTATGGATGTGAAGCCGCGGGCTGTACTTGGAGCATCGTCATGGAGTATATAGGGAGCCAGAGGTCTCGGGTTCAATTTATGAGGATAGCAATTCTTTTTTAAGATGAGACTTCTGTATGTGATATTCGATTGAGCTTCCTATCCTCCTCTATCTAAACATAAGCTATTGTTTAGAAAGTTTGGCTCGGTCTTCACGCAAAATGTTTGTAGCTATCATGGATATGTTTGGAGTGTTTTATAACGTTAGTCTGGTTGACTTTTTAAATGTCCCATCCGGAAAAATCAGACGTCGAGTTATCTACAGGGAAGTTAGCGTTCCGGGATTTGAATGACCATTTTAACACCGATATTTCTAAGCGATTATGAGCTAGCTTATCTAGGATTTGGATTTTCTTCATACATCAAGAAGCTTCAGTGCACTAGCTATCCCAGGTACGGCGAGCTTTGAAAGACTGCTCCAGGTAAATTGCAGACTTTTTCGGAGTTCGCACCAGCGTATCGTAATCCACATGTGTAATCCCATAGCGCGGACCGTATCCGGCAGACCATTCTAAGACGTCGTCAGCCGCGAGGAAAACGAGTGAAGTCAGCTTTAAGAGTTGCATACCAAAATTATCCATGAGACTCCACGCACAGTATCCTTGGACATCAATGCCATCTTCATAAATGGCCCTTGAGATGGCATCGAGATATAGTCCAAAATAACGAATACGAAAGGCGTCATTCACTGCTTGGTCCAGTGTCATCTGACTCTCTCCTGGACATGGACAGCCATTTTCGGTGATGATGATTGGCAAGCGATATCGATCCCAGACCCAATTCATGAGCTTTCGAAATCCATCGGGTGCGACACGCAGCCACGCCATGCCAGAAACAGGCCCAAGGAACTTCCCTTCGCTATTGACGGCTAGCTCCTCCACATTTCCTGTGCAGTCATCCTCGGCCGGTGGGTCTGGAAGTGCACGGGCGAATTTAGTGGAGTAGTGATTCATCCCGTAAAAGGCGTTGAATGGGGCAGTCCTCCGGAGAATGCTCATCTCCTCGATGGTAAATTGAGGTAGCCGAGGCCCTAGCTGGGCGCGCATCGAGGTGGGGTAATTCTTGCCCAAGAAAATGGGGTCTCCGAACCAGCCAATATAGAATTCGAGTCTGCGTTGGGCTGCGGCTTTGTGCTCCTCACTGGCTGCATCCCACGGCTCGTAGAAGTGACCATTCAGCACGATCGATATAATGCCCTTTTGAGAAGGTTGAAACTCCGTGGCGTAAAGATCCACAACTGCCGCATGGGAAAGAATGATAGTATGACCGACACGCCACGGCTCTGTTCGCGAGTCATTTCCATTTGCAGAATTGTGACCAGGAGCGAGGACGCCGCTGTGGTGACCAAAAATGGATATAATGTATGGCTCATTGAATGTAACCCATTTTCTGACTCGGTCACCAAAGCGAGAGAAACAAAGTTTGGCAAAGCGCTCAAAGTCTGCTTTGAACTCGTTGGTGTTCAGAAAGGCGCCGTATCGATTATATAGCTCTTGCGGCACGTCCCAATGGTACAAGGTGACGATTGGCTCGATATTTCGGGCCAAAAGACCATCGATGAGTTTGTTGTAAAAGTCAATGCCAGTCTCGTTGATTGGGTCATTTCGTCCACCCAGGGGGATCACACGAGACCAGGCAATGGAGAACCGATAGACATCGACATCGTACGAGGCCATCAGGTCCAAATCTTCCAACATGCGATTGTAGTGATCACAGGCCACATCACCGTTCTCCCCATTGGTCCGTGAGGGCTCCAGGTGGCTGAAGGTATCCCAGATAGACTTGCCCTTTCCATCGTGAGAAGCACCGCCTTCGATCTGGTAGGCAGCAGTCGCTGCTCCCCAGAAGAAATCAGCGGGAAGAGGCAACTCTTCCACGGGGCGAGGCTTGACAGCCCATTCCTCCTTGTCGGCATGGAGGACATTGTCCCCAGCCTGAAACATGTTGACGTTCATTTCAAGAAGGGCTCCCGGGTCAGCTCACGGTGTCTTGGTGTGGCGTCTGTGAACGGTGCTTTGAGCCGGAAAAAAAGCCGGGTAAAAAGGCAAACTTATGAAGTAACGAGGATCGGCCTTTGAGCGGGTAAAACGGCATCTGATATATTATTTCACTGTTGTTTTCGGGGTAATTGGTGCCTCTCCTCGCCCTCTGTTCCACCGACTCGGTATCTCATCGCACCGAAGTGCATCCCGTTTCTCACTGTCTCACATGATGTTTCTTTTTCAGTACTGCAAGCCACCATTTTACGAACTACCGAGGGTCTCATATTCGACAAACATACCTTGCGCTGTGCCCTCAGAACAGACAGGACCCGAGTGTTCGCCAGCTACCATGACCTCCGCCAAATCCACCATTCGGAAAAGAGACAAACAGGACTGGCTCTGTGATCGAGTCGCTGCGCCGTGGGGAACCAATACGCCTGGGCCAGATGCTGAATGGCTCTTTCGCAAGGAGTTTGAAGTAAGGCCTTTTGCTCAGGCCAGACTATTCATCACTGCTCAAGGTGTATATGAGGCGGAAATTAATGGCCATCGCGTGGGCGATCACTTTATGGCCCCAGGATGGACATCTTACGACCGCAGAATTCAATACCAGACTTACGACGTCACAGCTCAGCTGCTAAGTGGTCCTAACTGCATTGGTGTCCGTGTCGCCGAAGGTTGGTTTTGTGGGCGTATTGGTTTCGAAGGGGGCCACAGAAATATTTGGGGGCCTCATCCAGCGCTGATGGCTCAACTTGAGATATGCTTTGAGGATAACACTGTCGCAATCATCCCTACCGACAGCACGTGGGCTGTCCAAAAAGGGCCCATTCAATTGGCAGAGATATACAACGGAGAAAAGTACGACGCAACTCGAGAGGTCCCATATTGGTCGACCATTGTTCCTGAAGGCGCTGCCGATGTTTCTCACGCCTGGCAGCCCGTTTACTGCATGCCACCCTTGTCCGAGCATGTCGAGCTCACAGCAGCGTTTGGTGAACCTGTGAGGCGAATCGAAATCATTCAACCTACCCAACAACTTCTTTCTCCAACTGGAAAATCAATCCTTGACTTTGGTCAAAACTTGGTCGGATATCTCAGGCTAAGGAATATCAAGGGTTCTCGTGGTCACAAACTCATTCTATCCCATGCGGAAGTTCTGGAAAGGGAGGAACTCTGCATCAGACCACTTCGTCAATGTGACGCTGTCGACGAATACATTCTGAAAGGTGACCAAGCAGGCGAAAGATACGAGCCTCGCTTTACATTCCATGGATTTCAATATGCCCAGATCGATGGATGGACTAGTGACTGCAAATTGATCGACTCAGTCGAGGCAGTCGTATGCCACACGGACATGAAAGAGGCCGGCTCATTTACATGTTCTGACAAGTTGATCAATCAGCTATATCAGAACATCCGCTGGGGAATGAAGGGTAACTTCTTATCGGTACCGACTGACTGTCCCCAACGCGATGAACGCCTTGGTTGGTCTGGAGACCTAGCATTGTTTGCTCCAACGGCAGTGTTACTATTCGACTGCTATGACTTTCTCAAGAACTGGCTTGTCGACGTGTGGTATGATCAGCAGACTCTGGATGGTGTACCAGCCATGGTCACACCAAATGCGACACTCCCAGACCCCGTTTGGTGTCGCCGGAAGCCTTGTGCAATCTGGCATGACGTTACCATTCTTGCACCATGGGCTCTGTATGAGGAGACTGGAAAAGTTGAAATACTGGAACAGCAGTACGAGAGCATGTCAACCTGGATGCAAAAGCTGCCGAGAAACAAGGAATGTTGCACTCACCTCTGGGACACCTCTATTTTCCAGCTTGGGGTAAGAGATCGATAAGTCTCAAGTTCTTAACACATTATTTATCCCGGGGACTAATAATATGCTCTAGGACTGGCTAGATCCAGATGCTCCGCCCGATGCACCTTGGAAGGGCAAAACAGACGCACAGCTGGTAGCCAATTCATTCTTGATTCACAGCCTCGAGCTGATGACTCGAATCACACACCTTCTACACAAGGATGAAGAGAAAGCGGAATTTGAAAAAGAGTTCGAAGCTGCAAAGAAGGAATTTCAGGAAGAATACGTGACATCCAATGGCCGCCTCGTATCCGACAGCCAGGCAGCTTATGCCATCGCGATATGTTTCAATCTCCTAACACCCACACAGCAGGAGCGAGCCGGAAACCGCTTGGTCTATCTCGTGCGCAAAAGCAACTTTCGCATCGGTACCGGTTTTGCCGGAACCCCGTTCCTGTGCGAGGCTCTTGCTTTGACTGGTCATATTCAAGTTGCCTATGCGATGCTCCTCGAAAAGAACTGCCCTTCATGGTTGTACCCAGTAACCATGGGTGCTACTACCGTGTGGGAGCGCTGGGATAGTATGCTGCCCGATGGGTCGATCAATGCTGGAGAGATGACTTCGTTCAACCATTACGCATTTGGGTCAATCGCAAAATTCTTGTACGAGAGGTTGGCAGGTTTGCAGAGACTAGAGCCTGGGTGGACAAAGTGTCGTGTCGCGCCTTGTATTGGCGCGGAATTTTCGGAGGCATCTGCTTCCCATGAAACTGCGATGGGTCTTGTGTCTTGTTCGTGGAATACTACTGATTCCGATGGAAATAAAAGTCGTTTAGGGGTCAGAGTCAGAATCCCACCGGGCATGACGTGTGAGATTGTTTTACCTGAGGGTTCAGGGGAGCTGCGGAAGACTGTTGGTGCAGGCGGCTGGGCCTTTGAGACTGCTTTTGTAAGAGACTACGAGTGGCCTGTGAGGTCTTTGCCTCCCAAGTCTTGAGCGGAAAGCAGAGATTATAGCTAGCGAATAGACTGTAATATGATTTGAATGTTTAATGCTTTTGTAGATGCAGCCCTTTGTAGATAAACTCCTTTATAGCGGAACTGTAGTCAAATAATGTGAATTGATACTTGACTTAATTAATCGGCTCATTGAAGACTCCCCAGGATTCCGCAACTCATCGTAAACTGTAGATACATTAACCACTCAGTTAGCCGTCCTCATGACCCTTCAACCTGGACCCTCCCATGACATATGGTCTCCTCATCATGCACCGTTCAGAGGCTGATAGTATGTGACACCATTCACAGTCGTGCTCAGCGTCCCATTAGCCTCGAAGATATTCTCAAGTGCATCAATCGTCAAATGGAATCCACCCGGTGCAGTCTTCTTCTCAGCATTCACAGCCCCAGTCTGCACAATATCAGAGAGCCAGTCCAACTGGCTGAGCCAAGGATTCGATGTAGTCAACGTCAGAGTGACAGACTCATAACCATTAATAAAGTGTTGTGCATCATCCGAGTAATTAGTGTAGTTGACAGATACAGTCTTGAAGCTGCCGAAGAGCGGATCTTTGATAAGCGTGGCATTCGCAAACCCACTAGCCAGTCCGTACAGTGTATAGTTACCCTCCGGCAAAGAATAAGAAGTGGGAAGGCTTGAACCAGGTGGGAAAGGAGTTGCCCAAGGAATATAATCAGGCGCAGCGAAGACGGGGGCTGGGGTCGTGGGTTTTCGACTTGAAAGTCGGGCCAACATTACTCGATATGTTCGACCTCCTTGGGCAGTTGATACTGGGCAGTGGAGTGGGTTTGCACCACCACAGGCAGGCGAGATTACCAAATCCTGCCAATAGACGATGCGAGTTCCGTCGGGAGAGAAAGCTGGGTCTGCTCTGCCATTCCAATTCGGGTCGTTGACACTGCCATTCCTTCCATCGCCTTCATAGTTGACCTGTTGGCCAAAGTAGTCTCCTCGATCACCGTAACGATCGATCAAAATCGGTTGGAAGAAGCGGCGGGCACCGTTGTTGCGAGTTGACGAAGCAGCCGTCACAGTAACCAGGTCAATCAGAGGAGGAATGTACCGCTCGCCAGCCATCCACATCTGTCGATTTGAGCCTCTAGTATCCATTGTGACAAACCACTGATTGTCATGTGAAAAGGCGATGGGATCTGCATACTCGGGGTGGCTAGTGAGACGACGAACAGCACCGGTGGTGATATGAACGGCAAATACATCAATATTGTTTGCCTCGCGCGTTGATCCAATATAAAGAATCTCATCCCCAGCACCGCTGAATCCACGAAGCTCACCAACCGTAATGGCCTCATCATGAATTTTCAGTTCTGTGCCCTCAGCCATGATAGGCGCAGTGCCATTGGGCTGAACAAGCAAATTCACATCGATGAGATCGTATCGTGGGACACGGAGTGTACCATCTGTTGGATTCTGACGAAACTGCAGTCGACCATAGTACGAGAACTCGCCACCACTTGTGAACTCGCTCCATCCCATATGAGTATCGTCAGGATGCAGACGCATCTCTCGCGGAGTACCCGAACTGTTCGTGCCAGTCGGCCAGTAGATTGGATAGATATGCGTCTTGTTTGGCGTGCATTCGTCGCTGACTAACGGAATGCCACTGCAATCCAGAATATTGTGTCCCCAAAGCGCCTGTCGGGAATTTCTAGCCACATGTGGATAATCTCTTGTCGGATCAAGGCTTCGTGCATTTCGCGAAGGAACACCACAGCTCAAGCATTTCCATGGGTCACCATTGGTGAAATTTGTACCATCCGCTTTGACAAGGATGAGGTGTGTTCCGGTGTATATGCTTGCTGGGTCTGGGGCTGCTGGAGCACCGATAAACTCCACAGTAACGACTACATGGTTTCCATCGGGTGCAAAGTCGCCAGCCTGAAAAGAGTCTGATATCTGTCCAATGCAACCCGTGCGACGGGGGTTTATCGAGGCTGTGCATGCACCAGTATTGTTGCTGGGTGCGACAGGGGGCAGTGGAAGTTCAACGACTTCAATTGGCTCCGGGTCAGGAGGTGCTGGTATAGTTGATGCCAAGCTTAGGCCAGCCGTGCTGGCAACGGCAAACGAAGTCCAAAGCATCTTGGAGATGAAGGTCTGATTCTTAGTTGGTAAAATTCATGCTGCCGTGGGTGGATGTATCTATCTTATAACAAAACGGTGCCAATCCTCCTAGTTGGAACAATAAACAATTATGGTATTGTATACGAACACGAGTTCGAATCCGCGTATACATAGTTCAGGTTGAAAGTTAGGCAAAATGTGGGGAAGACACTAACCCCGATTTGAACGGATTGCGGAGAATGAAAACGATGCTGCCTCGAACAGGTAGATGTTGCAGGAAACACTCAAAAAAGAGTTTGCAGTAGCCTAATGTCAACCGCAGTCGGTATCAATTATGCCGAGTCAGCTCAACGGCTTTTGATCACCGGATAAAATCCCAAGAACGATACCTTGTGATGATGTAGCAGGATTCAATGGCTAGATCCCCCACACAGGTCACCCCACCGGTTCGAAAACTATACCCAAAGCAGTAAGAAGAACGAGGAGCTTCCTTGTCACTCATCGGCGTTTTTATTGACAACAGCTAAAGGCCAGGCGATTGCCGATCGTCCAATATCATCCAAGTGTGCCGCGGCAACATTGACCAAGAACTTGCCCCAACCTTGCATCCACCAAGCACTGGTCGTGATGTGGAGAACCGCCCCATAGTGAGCGAGTGTAACCAAAGAGCACGGCTCGATTTGCTGCATAAGATCCAAGGATGCTGACTCTATCACCGCCGGCCAGGCGAGAACGGTAATTTGGTTATCGCTAGCGATGGAAGAATCAAAGATTTCAAGAAGATGCCGGGTAGATCTGGTGACAACGGCAGTCAGGCTAGTCGGAAGCTGGGAAGTCCGGATCCGATCTGCTTGTTGACTGATGAGGGCTTCAAGCCGAGCATGTACTTCGTGAACCAGTCTTGACCGAAGAGTTCGTTGTGCACATCGGGTGAATTTTAATAGAAGCCGCATATCACCCTGCTCGATCCACGGCCGTGCCTTCTCCACAATCACAGATGTCCCTCGGATCAATTTGAAGGCTTCTATCACTTCGTTCACATGCATAGAAGATGGGTTGGTATTCAAACCGTGAGAAGCGAACGAAAACCCAGAAATGAGAAAAGAGCAGGCGAAAAGACTATGGCAGTTTTGAGCTGTCACATCGCTGAGAAGCGGTACAAAGAGCGACAATGCGTGGCTGTGATGTCGCATCCCGATGTCTATGTACTTCTGGCGTCGAGATCCAGAACATTGCTGGGAAAGATGTAGTGCTGAGATAGCCAGGATGCCATGCATAACAAATGGGTAGCTCAATCCCTCCTTGGGGACTTGTGTCTGGAGAACTTCACTCAAGGCCTCATTCTCTATCAGTGAGACCGCCGTTGCTGTATGCCAATGATGTAGTAGCTCTAGTTCGACTAATGGGAGTGCGATTGCGCCCTGGTCCCTTGGCCGTTGTTCATTATTACGATGACTTTGGGGATGACCTGACAGGGAGTCATTAAGGGTGCACGGGAGTCCCTTCTTTTGACATGATCCACAGATAGGGCGGCATTCGTCGCATTTAATTCGACGATTCTTGCACTGGGAACAGCCGTGATGGGATTTTGTGTGGGAGCGTCGCGAGGGCATGGTTGCAGGGGTAAAGCTAGGTCGAGAAATCCGTTTAGTTAGTCAGTCGACCAAAGCAACTTAAGGTTAGCTACCTGTGCCCGCGGTGGGGTACGGGTTACAGTGCAAAGTGATACGAAGTCTTTTCTCCATAGTTTGTGAAATCTCGTTTGACACCTCTTTTGCACCCCCGTTTGATATCTATTTTGAAACCTCTTTTACCATCCTTCTATGGTCATTGCCCGTAACAGATCCGGGCAGTCGGACCGTAGACCCCCAATAACTCAGCAAAAATCGCTGCTCTAAGCTCCACCACCTCAGGTTGGAAGTCCCCGCACAACTCAACTATGCATAAAATTCACGCCTGTGTGACTATTGGACTTGATGAGAAGCTCGGTAGTAGATAGCTAGCGATGACAGAGGGCGAACGGAGGGTAGAGGTTAGGTAGCTTAACAGAAAGCGAGGCAGTTACAAAACATTAGAGGAATGAATAATAGAGCTCGTACATGGCTTGAGATCTGGGTATTGATGCTAGATACGCAATGCTAAAGCAAGCAAACCTTTTTCGTTTTGACGAGAAACTGTGGCCTGCAGTGAAGGCCGGTAAGAGGGCGAAGGTGCTGTGGCAGTTTGTGCGCAAATGCCCTTTCGCGGACCTCATGGCCCTTCGAGCAGAGCCGTGAAATTCTCTTGGGTGTCTGTAATGATACATGGGTCGACTGGCAACCAAAGGCAGCTGATATGGGCGCCGAATCCAGGACCACGCCTGCTGGCAGCGCAATGTATTGCTCTTGTCCCCTCCTGCAAGCCGACCAGATTGGGCTTGGATCATCGAGCAGCCTCGAGAATGGAAATACTTGGGGATGACAAGAAGCAGCCAGGGCGGATCAACTTCAAACCCCAGGTCAAGAGTCAGCTCATTGGTTCCCGTATCTTCATGATAGAGGTGCTAAAAGAATGATGAGATCTGATGATCCACAACACTTCAGCTCGCATCTTCTGCTTGACGTTCAAGACGGGCCTTTTTGGCTCGTCGCGCGATCTCTCGCTTCGACAGAGGCTTCTCGGGCTCAACGGCAGCCTCGGAGCCAAGAGAAGCCTTCCTCTTCAAGGTTTCAGTGGTATTTTCCGGCTGCGCAGAGGCAGCTGCTTTGGCTTGTCCCTTCTGCTTGGTTGTCGGCTTCTCGGTCTTAGCCTTCTCTCCACCATGGACAATATCGACGATGCCGCGCCAGCTCGTGCGCTTGAGCTTGGCCAACGCTGTGACCTTCCTAGCTTCTTCACAGATTGCTTCCTTGCCTCGCTCTTGTGATAAGCCCCACACACAGGTCAGGTTGATCACGTCCCACGGAGCTCGCAGGCTCAGCGCACGCTTGGCCTCACTTGATACGATAATGCCTCTTCCACCCCGTGTAGCTCTGATCAACGACATTGCGTTTCCAATAAGGTTGCGACGAGCATCCAACCCGCTCCCTGTGACTCCCGGGCCGTAGCAGATCTCCAGGCGAATACCACGTGATATCGCAGCCGACAGCATTTTGAATTTGAAGTGGAATGGAAGTCGCACAGAAAGATCGAGTGATATCACGTCACACTCCAGATTGGTGCAGGCATTGAGAAGGGTTTTCTCATTTGTCGGGCACAGGGCAACAATGTCATAAGCTTGTGATAAGCTATTGAGCCGCTGGTTTTGCGCGGGGTCGGAGAGTGTAAGGTTGAGCCGGGTGAGCAACTGGAGGGACTTTGGGGCATTTGATGGAAGAGGCGGCGGGCTAAGGTTCGGGGGAAGCTTGCCAGTGATTGTTTGGGACAAGGCGACGGTCGTGTAACCAACTAAGGTCAGGTTAGTATCTCATGTGGTCCGCAAGCTTTAAATATGTTCGGATCGGGTGCCAAGGTCAGGGCAGAATGACTTACGTTCAGCAAGGAAGTTTAAGGTGTGGAGTGCCTCGGGGTCATCCGGACTGTATGGGACATTCAAATCGTAAAACATGGTGCCTTTTTAAAAAGGGGCCAGGGGGCGCCGTGGCTGTTCCTGCGTCCGTTGGAGAAATTCAGAACTTGAGAAACACCCGCGGTCACGACCTGTCCGAAAGAGGCAATTAGAAAATCCTTCGGAATAACTATCTCCCGACAAACTCTCAGTCTAGCCGTTTCGGGACTGACTGCTCTCCACGCAAATCCCGTGACAAGGCGGAACAGATCTCGCTCGCATCATATTATCACCCCTCCAAAAACCCCCCATTGCATCAGGACGATCGATAGCACAGCTGAGTTCGAGCTGGCGAGTTGCTGGGCCTGCTGCTGCTGTTGTCTTCTTCCTGTGTCAACTCCCCTCGACCCCTCCTTATCCCGTCACTTGGTTGCGCCCCGCGTAACCCCGCCGCATCTGATTTCTATTGTGGGCGGATTCGGAAGCCGTCTGCAATCACCATGGCGCGCGTCTACGCCGATGTCAACGAGCACATGCCTCGGTCCTACTGGGACTACGACAGTGTGAACATTTCCTGGGGCGTGTTGGAGAACTACGAAATCGTTCGCAAGATCGGTATGTTGAGTTTTGATTGGAGGTCATCCGACCCGGGAGGCTGGCGTTATCACCTGCCATTCTGTCTGGGGTGTGGAGACAAGCTCCGGACTGACCGTTTGCTGACGCTTTTCCTTTTCAGGTCGAGGAAAGTACTCTGAGGTGTTCGAGGGTATCAACGTTGTGAATTACCAGAAATGCGTTATCAAGGTCCTCAAGCCCGTGAAGAAGAAGAAGATCAAGCGAGAGATCAAGATCCTCCAGAACCTTGCTGGCGGTCCCAACGTTGTAGCTCTGCTGGACGTTGTTCGGGACAACCAGAGCAAGACTCCCAGTTTGGTCTTTGAAGCTGTCAACAACACCGATTTCCGTACCTTGTACCCCCGCTTCACGGACTACGATGTCCGCTTCTACATCTACGAGCTCCTCAAGGCGCTGGACTTCTGTCACAGCAAGGGTATCATGCACCGAGATGTGAAGCCCCACAACGTCATGATCGATCATGAGAAGCGCAAGGTATGTAGAATGCTTTCTTGTCAAATGGTATATATTCTAACCTACTATAGCTGCGACTGATCGATTGGGGTCTTGCCGAGTTCTATCACAAGGGCACTGAGTATAACGTCCGAGTCGCATCTCGTTACTTCAAGGGCCCCGAGCTGCTCGTCGACTTCCAGGAGTACGACTACTCCCTCGATATGTGGTCACTGGGTGCCATGTTTGCTTCCATGATCTTCCGCAAGGAGCCCTTCTTCCACGGCAACAGCAACTCGGACCAACTGGTGAAGATTGCCAAGGTCCTGGGAACTGAGGAGCTCTTCGAATACCTGGACAAGTACGACATTGAGCTGGATCCCCAATACGACGATATCCTCTCCCGCTTCCCTCGTAAGCCGTGGCACTCCTTTGTCACAGCCGAGAACCAGCGCTTTGTCAGTGATGAAGCCATTGACTTCCTTGACAAGCTGCTTCGTTACGACCATGCCGTATGTCCAGACTGTTCCTGGAAACTCGTGGTTCGATTTACTGACAACTGTTTAGGAACGCTTGACCGCTCAAGAGGCCATGGCTCACGCCTACTTTGATCCCGTCCGCGCCGATTCTCTGAACAACGCAGCCGCCCAGTCCTGATCCTCGCCGGCAGTGATGAACGACCTTGGCTCTTTTTCTCTCTTCCATTTCCTATCAGCGCTTCTACCACCCTCCTCACCCCTACAAACCTATCTACAGAATATCACCCGGTATCACATGCCCCATTTTTTTTGTCTGAGTTGGAAATATGCCGTTTACAGCGGCACACGGTCAAGAAAACAAGAAGGATAATTTTTCAATGAGACCTCTTCCCAATGTTTTCTCTGGACTTTAACCATTTCGGCGGAGGATGGGCTGCGATGAATAACCGATTTCCGAACGGAGACGACGTTGATGACAAGACATGACATCTAATCTTCTTGGGCTGGCCAGCCCTGTATCGCCTCGGTTCTACAGGCGTGTTAGTGAGCGCAATCAAATCAGTTGTCCTCTTAGAGCGGCAAGAAGATCTTTTCTCTATGCTCCTTTCATTGTACAGCGTTGGTTTCCTTCAGTCCTCGCCAATTTCTATTCTCCCTCCCCTCCTCGCTCATCCTTTGGTCTGGTGTTATGGATCTCCTTTTCCCTTTCCCTGTTTTCATGTGGTTGTGTTTTTCCGTTATGCTTCCCTTAGTTGTTACCTGCGGCTGCTTCTGGCTTAACATGCACATTCAATGGAGTGATGGTATTGGGGAGGTACTCATGATTGGCGACGATGCTACGAGGGGTTTTGCGAAGACATAATGCATTGCCAGTTCCTTTATTTTGATCTTGTTTCAGATATTCCATCCGTATGTAAACCTGCTAGTCCTGTGGATGTCGCGTATAAGACTATCGCCTTACCGCGTGCTGATCAGGCCGCCCGTTGGCACCGGCGTCATCACGTGAGTCCGATCTCGATAGCTTGTAGCAACGGCTTGAGACGGAAACAAAACATAAAGAAAAGGGCAAAAAGAACAACTATATTCTCGTCAACCAAGATCAATGATGCGCATGCATCTATAGAAAGCTTGCCATCTGCCAACCCCAGCGTCGCGCGGTCCCCACCGATCCTCACTTGAGCCCCGCTCGCTCATTCGTCGTGGGAAATTTAATCTGCCCGCATTTCGCACAACCACCCCTCCTTGTCGCATCTCCATCCCCTCAAGATTCTTATCAGGCGACTCGTGGCGCGATCGGCGCCTTGGAGATTCCCTCCGACATATCGATCATTCTCCAGGATGGCTCAAAACTCTGCCTCCCAAAACCCCAGTCAGTCCTCCCCCTCCAAAGATCCATGACTCATGCTCCAGTCCGCAAGCTCACCATGACCTACAATGCAGTTGGGGAGAACACTGCCCCTTTGACCGAGATCCCCCTCCCGTTGACGAGCAGACCCGCACCCAGATCGCCGAAGCTGCTGCTGCGAACGATGGCTCTGCTGCCCCGAAGGTGAAGACCGAGAAGGAGTGTATGTCGAACCCACGGAATCCCCAAATCTGAATTGCTTCAGAAAACTTGGACTTTCCTTGGAGATGGACAAATACTGATGTATCCCGGCTATATACAGTGGAGCGCGAGCGCAAGAAGGCTGAGAAGGCCAAGAAGTTCGCAGAGAAGCAGGCCAAGGCCAAGTCTGCTAAGCCAGCTGCACCCAAGGCCGAGAAGAAGGTGCAGAAGGTTGAGAAGGAGAAGACCGCCGATGCCTATGACCCCAAGGTCATCGAGGCCGGCCGCCTTGAGTGGTGGGAAGAGCGCGATCTCTTTAAGCCCGAATGGGGTCCCGATGGCAAGGTCAAGCCCGAGGGCTCCTTCGTCATTCCTATTCCTCCTCCCAACGTTACCGGTTCCCTTCACATGGGCCACGCCCTGACCAACGCCCTCCAAGACACTATGATCCGTTGGCAGCGAATGAAGGGCAAGACCACTCTATGGCTTCCTGGTATGGACCACGCTGGTATCTCTACCCAGAGTGTTGTCGAGAAGATGCTGTGGAAGAAGGAGAAAAAGACCCGTCACGATCTCGGACGTGAAGCCATGGTCAAGCTTATCTGGGACTGGAAGGACGAGTACCACAAGAACATCAAGAACGCTCTCCGCAGAGTCGGTGGTTCGTTTGACTGGTCGCGTGAGGCTTTCACCATGGACCCCAACTTGTCCGCTGCCGTGACCGAGACCTTCGTTCGTCTGCACGAAGAGGGCATCATTTACCGTGCCAACCGCCTGGTCAACTGGTGTTGTGCTTTGAACACCTCCCTGTCTAACCTCGAGGTCGACAACAAGGAAATTGAAGGCCGCACTCTGCTGGATGTTCCCGGCTATGACCGCAAGGTCGAGTTCGGTGTGCTCACCCACTTCTGCTACGAGATCGACGGTACTACTGAGCGCATTGAGATTGCTACCACTCGTCCCGAGACCATGATTGGTGACAGTGGTATTGCCGTTCACCCCAACGACCCTCGCTACAAGCACCTGATCGGCAAGAACGCCCGTCACCCCTTCGTTGACCGTCTGCTCCCCATCGTCGCCGATGAGGGTGTTGAGCCCGAGTTCGGTACCGGTGCCGTGAAGATTACCCCCGCCCACGACTTCAACGATTTCAACCGTGGTAAGCAGCACAACCTGGAGTTCATCTCCGTCCTGAACGACGATGGTACCTTCAACAAGAACGGTGGTCCTTTCGCTGGTATGAAGCGTTTCGATGCCCGTTACAAGGTCATCGATCTCCTCAAGGAGAAGGGCTTGTACGTCAAGTGGGAGCACAACCCCATGAAGGTGCCCCGTTGCTCCAAGTCCAACGACGTTATCGAGCCTATCCTCAAGCCTCAATGGTGGATGAAGATGGAGTCTCTGGCTGGCCCCGCTATCGAGGCTGTTGAGAAAGGTGATATCATCATCCGTCCCGAGTCCGCAGAGAAGAACTACTTCCGCTGGATGCGCAACCTGAACGACTGGTGTCTGTCCCGTCAGCTCTGGTGGGGTCACCAGGCTCCCGCCTACTTCGTTAACATCGAGGGCGAGGAGAACGATGACGCCGATGGCAACTTCTGGGTCACTGGCCGTACTGAAGAAGATGCCCGCAAGAAGGCCGAGGCTAAGTTCCCCGGTAAGAAATTCACCCTGGACCGTGATCCCGATGTCCTCGACACTTGGTTCTCGTCCGGTCTGTGGCCCTTCTCGACTCTGGGCTGGCCCCGTAAGACTCACGACTTCGAGAACCTCTACCCCACCTCCGTGCTCGAGACTGGTTGGGATATTCTGTTCTTCTGGGTCGCCCGTATGATCATGCTCGGTATCAAGATGACCGGACAGATCCCCTTCAGGGAGGTGTACTGCCACTCTCTCATCCGTGACTCCGAGGGTCGCAAAATGTCCAAGTCTCTTGGCAACGTTATTGATCCTCTGGATGTTATGGAGGGTATCCAACTGCAGACTCTGCACGACAAGCTCCTGGTTGGTAACCTTGCCGACAAGGAGGTCGCCACTGCTACCAAGTACCAGAAGAAGGCCTTCCCCAAGGGTATTCCCGAGTGCGGTGCTGACGCTCTTCGCTTCGCCCTCGTCTCCTACACCACTGGTGGTACGTATACGTCCTAGTATAACTCATTTACATTTACTAACTCGTATTTCACAGGCGGTGATATCGCTTTCGATGTCCAGGTCATCCACGGTTACCGTCGTTTCTGTAACAAGATCTACCAGGCTACCAAGTTCGTTCTTGGCAAGCTTGGCGACGACTTCAAGCCATTGGCCACCGTTTCCAAGACTGGCAACGAGTCCCTGTCGGAGCGCTGGATTCTGCACAAGTTCAACGCCGCCGCCAAGGAGATCAACGAGGCTTTGGAGGCTCGTGAGTTCTCCGTCAGCGCCAACGTCTCTTACCAATACTGGTACTCCCAGCTGTGCGATGTGTTCATCGAGAACTCCAAGTACTTGCTGGCCGAGGATGCTTCCCCCGAGACCCAGGAGTCTGCCAAGCAGACCCTCTACACCGCTCTCGAGGGTGCCCTGTGCCTCATCCACCCCATTATGCCCTTCGTCACTGAGCACCTGTGGCAGCGTCTGCCCCGCCGCCCCGAGGACAAGACCTTCTCCATCATGCGGGCCAAGTTCCCCGAGTACCGTGCTGAGTTCGATGACCCGGCTGCTGAGAAGGCCTACGAGCTCATCCTGAACTCCTCCAAGGCCATCCGTTCCATCCTGGCCCAGTACGATGTCAAGACCAAGGGTGACATCATCATCCAGACCTACGACGCTACCAGCGAGAAGACCGTCTCCGAGCAGCTCACCACCATCCAGTCTCTGGGTGGCAAGACTCTGGGCGATCTGTCCCACCTGGGCCCGGACAACAAGACTCCTCCCTCTGGCTGCGTCGTTGCCGCCGTCGGTGCTGAGGCCGCCGTCTACCTGCGCGTGTCCAAGGAGGTTGCCCTCGAGCAGGAGGAGAAGGCCAAGGCCAGCCTTGAGCGCGCCCGTGAGACCGTGCGCCGGTCCCAGGGTGTCATGAGCGCTCCTAACTGGAAGGAGAAGGTCAAGCTTGAGGTCCGCGAGGCCGAGGAGAAGCGTCTCCGTGATGCCGAGAGCGAGGCTGCTCGCTTGGAGGAGCAGATCAAGGAGTTTGAGAAGCTGCGTTTGGAGTAAAATGCGGATGCTACGGCTGTTTGGCCTGTAGATAAAATTATATAAATGGAATAACCTGTCTCTTTCTTGTTAAACAGCCCTCCTTAATCGTGTAAGGGGTGTCCTACTAAGTTTAGTGTCAGGTGCCAAGCTCTTCTATACATTGTTTGTGTATGACGGAGGGCAACGTGAGACGATGGCGAATTCTTCCTGCAGAGCAAGTTGAACCGTCAGCAACTTGATTGGTTCTTGGATATGAGAATAGAGCCTTGAGATCCCACAGTTGCCCGAGTGTAACGAAAGCAGTACCTAATTACAGCGTCAAGTTTGCTATCAGAGTAAGTATAAATCAACCTTTTTCTAAGTAGTTATAGTCATTGAATGATCCATCATTCTCTCGGATTCCTCTTTCACAATATGTCCTCGCCAATCAACCTCCGCGACCCTAGGCGTCCTATTCGGGTTGGTATTGTTTTAATGAACAGGTGAGCCTATTCTTTACGTACTTGTCTTCGACTTATCTGCTTATAGCTCATGGCCAGCGTCACCGAGCATCTTGATATTGCTCCTGCCGGATTCTTTTCTTGTATCAGCCGCGGATTCCTCAAGCATGCACCTCCGAATCTTGTCTGTGATGACTTGATATCACAAGCCTTGGACTTTGAACATCATTGGGTCACGGAGGATGGGAAGACCCCTGCTCGCTTGACAGGAAACTTGAAAGTCGTCCCCACAGTAAGCCCGTCCTTCATTACAAGCGTTAATGCAAGAATATGGCACATTATGAATTAATCTATCTGGAATATCGTAAGACTCATGATTCGATTATACAGAACTCCTTCGCAGATTGCCCACCACTCGATATCATAGTCCTTGGAGCTTACGCAGCAGGCTACCAAGTCAGCAAAACAGAAAAACAATTTCTTCGCAAAGCCTACGCTGAGTGTGCTGCACTCCTTTGTGTCTGCGCGGGATTTTTACCTGTACTCGCTGCAGGGATTCTAGAAGGCAAGACCGTCACTGCGCCCATCCCCATGCTACCCATGATGCGGCAAACGGCTCCTGGAACAAATTGGATCAAGAGAAGATGGGCTCAGGATGGTAAAATCTGGACGAGCGGCTCTTTATTGAATGGAATGGATATGGTGGCTGCCTTTGGAAGACATACCTGGGGTGGTAAAGGTACACTGGTTGATCATATGATTCAAGTTGGATATTGGCCTGAGAGGGATGTGAACTATGCGGAAGTCACCCGGACTTCGAAGCTTTAGTTCGAGTCCACGAGGCGGCAAAGAAGGGGAGGATGGGTTTGATAAGCCTAGGTTAGGTTTAGCCAAGTCTGTTTTTTTCATTGTAGAACGCATTTCGTACTTCGATTGAATGATTCGAATGTTGTAGGCCTCCGGCAATATATTTCCAGCATAGATTTAGAATCTAGTATTAGCGATCTGGATATTGACCCAGCTATAAAGCCTCAGCTTTTCCCCTCTGACTCTAGAAAATCTCTAGAAAGATCTCCAGAAAGACCATCAGCCCGGCAGGGCTTGTACTTGGTGCGCGGATTCAGCGCACTAAATATCGATGTTTGATTGGCCCCAAAGATTTGCTTGGTGTTTGGACGGGCGCTTTGAAAATTGCTCGGATAAGCGAGAGTATAAAAGACAAAATCACTGCCATGGCGAAAATTTGATGAGGGCTCAACCCACGGCCAAATTTCCTGGCATTGAATAGAAAAGGTAGATATGCAACATGTTATTGACTGAATTGTCTGTATTCAGGCGCCAATATGCGAAGCTCAGGCCACGCTGGTGGGTCCTTATCGATAACGGTGCCAAGCCCTTCCCCCAAAACTTTTCTGCGCTTTTTTACTCCGATCAACCTCAGACATAAGAACACACAGCCACCATGTTGCGCGAAGTGTACGTACATGAAACTTCACAGAGTGACAGTATTTGACTGACTCGGAATTTTTAGCAAGGCAAAGAACCCGCGCACTGCGCGCATCCTTAAGGCGCGGGAGCCCCAACTCATCGAAGCCCCGAAGAAGACTCTACTGTTGCACGGCACGAAATGCCCCCAGGCCCTCGACACCGTCTTGAAGACCTTCCACTCCCTCACAAAGCCCAATTCCGTCCTTTTCCACAAGAAGAATGAGAACATTCACCCCTTCGAGAACACCGAGAGCATGGAGTTCTTGGCAAACAAGAACGAGTGCGGTCTTGTAGTCTTCGGAAGCAGCAACAAGAAGCGCCCCAACTGCGTTACTCTCGCACGAATTTTTAACTCACAAACCCTCGACATGTGCGAATTGGTCCTTCTTCCTCCCGCCGATAAGACCGCAATCCCTCCCATTAACGAGCTCACCATGCCCGTCGGACTGGGTATGCGGCCAATGATGATTTTCTCTGGTAGCCCCTTCGAGGACCCGACGTCCTCGGCGCACGTTATGCTCAAGAGTTTCTTCCTCGATATGTTCAAGGGTGAGGAGACCAACCAGATCGACGTTGAGGGTCTTCAGTACGTTTTGATGGTCGGTGCCGAGGAGGCCCGCGACGACCTTTCTCCTATCGTGCACCTGCGCTGGTACAAGGTTATCACCAAGCGCAGCGGCCACAAGCTTCCCCGTGTCGAGTTGGAGGAAGTTGGGCCCAAGTTCGACTTCAAGATTGGCCGCCAGCGCCCCGCTACCCCCGAGGCCATGAAGGAGGCCATGAAGCAGGGCAAGCGTCCCAACGAGGAGATGCGCACCAAGAAGAACATTACCCTTGACTCTATGGGTGACAAGATTGGTCGTGTTCACTTGGGCAAACAGGATCTGGGCGGTCTTCAGACTCGCAAGATGAAGGGTCTCAAGCGTCGTGCGGGTATCGACTCGGACGACGAGGAGGACCTGGAGATGATGGATGTGGACGAGATTTTGGAGGACGAGGGCCACAAGCGTGCTCGTACGGACTAGAACTGATTCACTTGCATTGTTGCGTATTTACACTATCTCAAGGCGTTTGGTCCGGCTGGGGTTTGTGCTTCTTGATGCCTGTGTATCTGCAGGTTTCCTGTACCGCCATGGAAAAGTACTATAGTGAAGCGATGCTTCTTTACAAATGATTTCTAAGTAAGACTTTCTTCGTAAATACAGCTATGTATCCTTTTTAGGCTATTTATACTCAGTCTGCGTATCATCCTTGCGCCTTGAAAGTTTAAAGTAAACCCATTGACGAAACTTCAATTGGAAGTTTTGAAGATGACTTCCAGGATGATATGAGAAAAGTCTTCCCCTCGGGGTATATTAAAAGAATAGTTGACTCAGTGCGACTTTCAGACAAAATATGAGACTATAGCCTCCATTATTAGACGATTTCCATCTTCCTGGGGTGAGTTACTCCATATAATCATGGCATATGTCGACCACGTGACCATGACGTCGGCCGTCTCGGCATCGTCTCACATGCCGAGGCCCTTTCGCAGTGACGGATCCGAGTCAAAGTGCCGCCCTCCCCTCCCCCATATTCTTATCTTTCTTTACTTTTACTCTTTCACCTCCATGAACTTCTTCGACCTACTGGCTCGTCGCTGTGGTGCACTTCCTCAGTAGTCCCCTCCGCCAGAGTCCGACCTCCAACCGAGGTCCTGCGCGCCGTTATGGATGCGCTCATGGTGAGCAATTTCCCCAGACAAGAACATGCAAAGAGCTGCAGTGACTGACATGATACCACCCCATACAGTCCCGCCTGGACGCCCTGGTCCTCAACCCCGATCTTGCCCCATTATTGTCGCTGTTGAAGGGTGCGCGCAATGGCGTCGTCTACGGGTCGAAAGTGCGATTTCCGCATGCGCTGGTGTATGTTAAGACTCGGACACCTTTGAGGCTGAGCGCTAGCGATGCCTTGATAGCTTGAATACTGATCATTTGCGGTTTCCTATAGTATGATCTTTCTGTTCCGATCTGGGACGTACGTGAACTGCCCTGTTTCCTCTTCACCTTCGGAGCTCTCCGAGAACTGATTTATTCCGAATTTATAGATTCCGAGAAAAAGTCAAGCTCGTTTTCAAAGCGACTCGCCAGCATGCTCGAAACCTGGCCACATTCGCTATCATATACAAGGCATCTATGATTGCTCTACGGAATATTTCCCCCGCAGGATCCGGGAAGGAAGGCCGTTATGACAGCTTTTTTGCGGGTTTGTTGGGTGGATACGCGGTCTTCGGCCGGCAGCGGGGAAGCATTAGCCAACAAGTATGCCGATATCCCCACACCGAGGCCAAACGTACCTCGGGTCTTGGATATCCCCCAAAGCTAACACCCTAATTAGATTGTCATCTATGTCTTCGCCCGCGTTATGCTCTCCCTCGCCAAACTCTCCGTCGAGCCCAACATGCACCCACTCTCCTCTCTCATCACCCCCGAAGCCCGCGCCCAAATCACCCACAATGCCTGGCCAGCTTTCGCCAGCCTGAGCTGGGCATTCGTCATGTATCTTTTCCGATGGTACCCTGAAACCCTGGCGTCCAGTCTGCGGAGTAGCATGGTCTACATGTGCGTCACCCTAATTGTCCCCTCCCCATTGTGCCAGTTCTGGCCCTGTTTCCTCCCCGATCATTTTGGCTAATCAATTTTCTTGCGGGATAGCTACGCGGACTCGGATCACTGGGACTCGTTCCGGACCTTGTTCATACACAATAAATGAGATCGTTGCAAAGAATGATCCTGTGATTAAGTACACGTACCCCGTTGTTTTCTTTCCAGCTGGTTTGGGATATCATACGGCGTATAGAATGGAGTTCTCGTTTTTCCTTGTTTAGTACGCCGCTGATACCGTATTGTGCCATTGAAGACACATTCGTGATATGCATATCTGTTTCGAAGGTCTCCCTACTCATTATTATCACTACCCTGTAGTATGAGACACGGACCTTTTTGTCTTTTCTTTTACATATACAATATAAGGACTTGTGAAATCGACGCCCAAAATAATCGACGCCCAAAATGACAGCCCCTAGCGCCAGAAACGGCCGCTTTTCCACCCGTAACTTCCACCTGCACCCGCTATAGTCGTAGTACTATATCCGTTCTTATATCTATCAAGTTATCACGGCGTATATCGGGATTTTCAGGGCCCTTAATTCAGAGGAAACTAATAAGGGTCAAAGCTTCATGCTATTAGCAGAATAAAAGATATGTTAGTGTTTTGCTAATGTAGAACGGCGTTCGGTCACGGACTATTATACCCGCTATTGCCATGTGTGGTTTGCTAGTCGCTACTCGTTTCTCCACTTTGGAGTGCCATCGTTTTCTCACCTTTTTACTGCAGTTAAACTACTCCGTACAGTTCTGCTAAAGTCGTAGCCGACGTTGAAAACAGATTTCTATGTTCCCCCATAACAAATCGTCCTATAGCGAGGATTAAGTAGTTGCTGTTATTAGTTACAACCAGTACTTAGTTATAGAGCAATTTGTTAGACACAACTTTTAATACAGTTGGTCCCGAAACTGGCGCCACCACTTTCACTCTTATACTGTTTCTCGACCTCTATTAGCTAAGTAAACTAATATCTAAGTTAATTAACTAACTATCAGGAATAGACTCGGGCTATTAATCTTCCCGTATCTTTGGAGAGCACCATCTCATACTTATCACACTGAAGGTCCAATACAATGATTTGTGTATTTGTTACCGACGATCCATCCTCAACGAACCAGCTTCCACGTATTGCGAGCAAACCGAACGCTTGATCCAGAGCCGACTCGCCTGGCGTGGCAAACCTTTTCTATCCACTAGATCATCTCAATAGCGGATGCCTCGCTCATTTACTAACGAAGTTGGACTGTTCAAGTCTAACAGAGCTGGGCCCGTCGTAATTCATGTATTGCTTGATATAGTTAGCCGTGGATATATCGACTCGCTGTTGTCATTAGTGCAAAACCAGAGGAAAAAATATGAGAAGAGCGCGCGAGGTGGTTCTCAAATACTGCCTTGATCTGTCCCAAACTCATGAGAATCAGAACCCTGATCCTTTCGTCCAGCATGGCTTGAAGCAGGGTGCTGCTCGCCGATTTGCATGCGGTATTGGTCTTTGGGTGAACTAACGAACAGAAGCCGTTTGCCATATTATTGGTAGTACTAACATTGAACATGATATCATTTTGAAATTTCGCTATATTGAAGGGCTAGTCTGAAATTTGGGAACGATCGGCGCGGGTGATCTGAAGGTGCAGTGTGGTTTCAGCTCGACACGGCTGCTGTGGAGCCTTCTCTCAAGCATTGGCCACTGTTGGTTGCCTCTTGACAAGATTTCTCCTATTGTAATTTGTGCGCTTGTTATAGTATACCAAACAGGAGCCACGAAATGGAAGCTTGACCGTGCCCTTCCCATGTGCAAGCCAGCGGCAGGGCTAGCGAATACCACATAGGACAGCGAGTCGAGAGATAATGCCTCATAACCCTATTGTCCTGGTAAGTGGGCCAAATGAAGCAGGTATACTCATAGGTACACCCACCATAGGACTTCCAGTTAACAAACTGCGTTGCTCGAATTGTGTACCTAATAGTCCGCCTACCTCTTCCTTTTGATAGCCGACTGTCGCGCGACGCTATGGTCCTCCTTCTCACACGGAGCTATAGTTGATCATGAATGTAACCAGGTAATTCACACAAAAAATGCGTATGGCTCGCACTGGGATGATTTATATCTCCACGCGCCAGCCAACCAGCCAAGGGAGGAGTCGCGGTCACACAAGACCGCAGTCGAGTTGTTCTGATATATTTATCCAGTGGCGTATCTCAGTCCTCGAAGTAATATATAGTCGGTTGAGCCTGGCACTGGTAACCAGAGGTTCTGTGACATGGAGTCTGGCAGAGAAGCGGTGGACTCAAACACCTTCCAGTTGTACCAGGCGACAGTATTTACCATTCGGGGGATTCGGTTGCCTTGAATTACTCAGTGCAGCATGTCATTCCTGAGAATAACATTCCGACGTCCCAGCGATTCATTTCGCTTTTCTAATTCGGTCAGTGACGGCCAGTAAAGGTGTCCACGCATGTGGTATTCTGTCTGAGAAGAGAGGCAATATCTCACCATGGGAAGAAGAAAGATATCGTATAATCCGCTGATAACTGAGCAGATTTTGGGGAAATGAATTGGGGAAGGCTGAGAAGCATGGAGACTGCCAGTCAGCGTACTAGAACTTATCAGCATTTATTTTTCTTCTTCCTATTTTTCTCAGTAACAGACAAAGCGAAGAGTCTCTCTTACTGATACTGAGACTGGTATCTTGAGGAAAGACACCCTTATATCAGTGAGGGTGTATTATGGAATAGAGAAAGTCAATAAGGAGCTTGGTGTAAAGAGAATGCTCCCAGAGGGGCGATGCTATATTTAAGTATTCCGTGGCTGCTCAAAGTTTCTCTATCAGTGCGCTTCAAACAATGACAAACATTCTTTGTAGTTGTCGTGACATTCTGGCAATCATGAACAACAATGGCCAGGGTCAACGGGTTCTTCCGCCAAGGGCCGTTGGGAGCTTCATCTTCTCAGTGCCCTAATAAGAACCACCAGATACGAGGGGTTACTCTCGGGCATATACTCAGCACAGCCTTGGTTAAGGGAATATAGACGGTGTCTAATGCTGACTCGACCTGAGGACATCGACACGAGACGCCGAAGCTAGAAAGACGATACGGGGTACAAGGACTACAGTGGTACCATGTAGTATCTTTGATACAATTCTAATCCTCGAGAACCTGATAGTTGAATTTTCATAATGAACGCAGTTGATATCAATGCTGAGAATATTATGTGGATCTACCACACAATTCATCATCACTGAACAACAAGACGTCGATCAAGATCCTGTCATCTTGAAGGCATATGCAGTTGCTGATCAGCAATCGTAGAACTCACTTCTTGGGAAGCTTCCACACGCTAGTGAATGTCTGCTGAACCTGTCCACCACCATTTTGCTTCATCTTCTCATACTCTTCCGCGTCTTTCCGTTTTTGCCTCTCCACACCTATAACACACGTCAGTACCATACACAACAGCAATACACACACCGTAAACAAACAACGTAGAAGCACAACTCACGAAAACTACACTGCCCCCTCTGACTCGGCGACTTCTCCCACACACAATTCGCACAAGCCCCATCAAAAAACACAGGAATGTGAATACACCCCACAAACTGTCCCTTGCCTTGCGCGCACTGCGTACATGGCGGATTGGCCTTGACACCGACAGCCTGAGCGAGCATGGCATGGCGCTTGCGGATTCGCGAATCGAGGAAACTCTTCAGGGTAAACGCTTCTTGGATGTTGATGATGCGGTTGTTGATGGGTTCGCGGAGTGGTGTGAGGAGCATGAGTTCTCGCCATGGGGGGACTCTCACGGTCCATTGGGATTCGCGGAGGAGAGCGACTCGTCTTCCTGGGGGCGTATTGATGGGGTCGATTGGTGGGGCTGGGGTGTTTTGGAGGACGGTGTCGATTTCGGCGAGCATGTCATCTGGGAGGTCTAGCTCGTCGGTTTCGGTGGATGGAGTAGCGGTTTCATCCTCAGGTTGAGGTCGAGGTTGAGACTCGGGTGGATCGTGAGGATCCATTGCGTCAAGATGAGTTTGAGATATGTTTGGGGGATTGTGATTGTTTGTTGTTGAAAAGAAAGGTGTAGAGGGAGGATATGGCGGATGGAGGAGAGAACGTGGATGAGTTGCTTCACTCGAGAGTAAACAACACGAAGGGTAACTACGCGACGGTGGAAAGAGATAAGATGCAAACGTCAAGCATCATACTGAACATAGTCAATTCACTCGCTCAGGGGTTATCATAGCAATAATAAAAGTACACAAGCCGTAGATAATACACAGGTTCCTCGCAACAACAAGATAGAACCTAAGAAACAGAGATAAGATATGAAACACAAAGTAGTAGACCTTTGTCTACTGGGTATTGCCACCTTCGAGTTCAACTAGAATCTTCAAATCACCATCCATCCAGTCCACAGTATCTGCAGACAGGAGAGCGAATGCCCAGTCCTTCTCACTTTGGATCGTGATGAGGCCATCCGGCACCAACGCCTTGACCTTCCAGCTGGATGCGGCAGCCGAGTCTCGAATTTGCTGATCGATACTATCCGACCCCTGGAGAAGAGGAAGACCGGGAATCTGCCCATGGTAGCGGCGGAGAACTGATTCCTTGATGGTGTCGACATTGGGACACTGGCCTGCTTGGAGGTCGAGTCGAGGGAGTACACGCTTGCCATGCTGAAGCACATTGATGCGCAGGTATATCTGAGTATGAGGACTGGCGTGGGAGGAGGTCATGTTTGAAGACATGTGGGCTTTGGGGTTATCGATAGGGACGAAAAGCTGATGAGAATGTGGATCGGCTCCCGCTTGTCCTTGAGGACCCGGATGAGCCCCGTGTCTGGCAGCAATGTTCTCACGGATAATACGCGAGACATCGCGAGTGATACTGCTGGCACTATTGGGAAGTTAGCACATGATACGATTGTGAAAGGGACTATAAAACTTACAACTCGTCACGCGCAGGCGGATTGCGGGTTCCTCCAATCCGCCATGGTAAAGTTGCCGTAGCGTCAGCATGGACGATACGGTTGACGTTCTCGTCCTCGCAGCCAGTCGGGCAATCATAATCGCCGTTGTGGACAACATGATAATGGCTATCTACAGCCGCGACCAATCCACGCCAGTCGGGCTGCTGAAGACCAGAAAGAGACCAGAGATTATCCAGCTCATAGTCCTGATTGTACATATCGTACGATTTGGCCATGTCATTCCAGTCCACCGTATATCCCTCCAATAGCAAGTCAATCAATCCCACATCCATAATCTGGCCAGATTCCATCGGGGCCTGAGAAACCTGTACTGGAGGCGGGGGAGGTGGCGGAGGCATTGACTGGCTTTGGTTGTGCATCTGCTGAAGTTGATGCTCTGGAGAATACCGAGGGCCGTTCAAATCCTGGAAGCTTTCGTTGGTTTTGCGGCGTCGACGCTCTTCTGTGCCTCCTCCCTTCCGTGTTTCAATCGCATATTGGCGTTGTCGTTCGTTGGTCACCATTCGCCGCAAAAGAGGGATGACCAAAGAAATGATCTTCTGCTGGTCGCGGGGCCAAATGTAAGTCCTGGGTCCCATACCCTCGTTCACGACATTCTCCCCGAAGAAACGCTCGCCATTTCCCTCGGAGTCAAGAAATTGTTTAACGCAGTTCCAAAGCCGCAACTTCACCATTTCCGTGTCGCCTTTGCCTCGCTGGCCCACGCAGTCACGCCGCTCGGGGTAATCGTCGTCAAGCATGAATCCTTTAGCCGCAGCTTGGAGATGCAAGAAGTTCTCGGGTGAAAGTTCAAGAGAAGAAAATAGCTTCGACATTGGAGGACGTGTGTATTTCTTGTTGCTTGATGGTTGGCGGAACAGCGCTGCAGCGGAATGGACTCCAACTGCGCGCGCTTCGGAAAGCGACTGTGGCGGGACGGGACGAATATCGATGTTGTCACCAGCATAGGCATGCTGACCTTGCTGAGATTGTTGGGAAAGCTGGTGCTGCGCTCCAGAGAGGCCAGCTCCAGCCAACGCGGGATCGAGGTTATCATCATTCCTCTTCCGTTTCTTTGAAACGGTCCGAGAGAGTCCAGATCCCTGGGTGTGGTCATTTTGTACTCGCAGGTGTCTGCCACCTCCCATCCCCGTGCCGAAGTTCGTATCACCGAACCCATCGTCTCCAAGATGCATGTCTGCACTATATCCATCTAATTGGTGATGGCCCGCTACTCCGGCAGCAGTCGCGACGGCCGCAGCCCATTGAGGAGAGACATCTTGGCCAGCAGCAGCGGTCGCCGCTTCCACCAAGCCAGCAAGCTGGTTGTCACTCGGAGTGTAGCCGCTGTTCGGGTCAATTTGGACGTTCGAGTTTGATTGTGAGGCGATGTCCGCGGAGGAGGGAGGGTGGTGGTTGTTCGTGTTCGAGGACGACATAGTTATTGGTGGGGCGTGAGGTGCTATGGGACGGTTACACTTTCGGCGCAATGAGACCTGACAGCTGAAAAATCGCGTCGATGAAGCGCCTTAGTTGCACGGCAAGTCGACAGGATTATTCGTGTGAATCAAAGGCCGTAGAAAAGTCTGGTGTGGTCTGAACAACAAGATGCGGTAGTATATTGAGAGCCAAGAGCTCCGCGATGAGAGGCGATGGGTGCAAGGTGATCGCGAACGCGTCCGAGTCGCGAGCTGGAGGGGAGAATTTCCGGGGGAAACCTCACAGCAACGCGCCCCGCGAGGGGAAGGAGAAGCGCCGAATATTTGAGAAGATCGAAGCTATTAACGAAAGCTCTTGAGCTTCCGACTGATAAGCAGCAACGCGACGGGGCGATTGATGATGATGTTTGCGTGGTTTGAAGGAAGGACAGACAGTGCAAACCTTGCAGTCTAGTCACGTGATGGCCCACTCTTCGATGCTACTGCAACATTCCCGATTATCAAGAAGTAGATAAACATCCATCTTTAATTACGCTGTAGAGGCCTAGTGTTTGACAAAAGGGGGCATTCGGAATCATGTAAGACTCGGTTGTAAATGAGCTAGTCACTCTAGAAAAACATGGTCTATTATTTCCATCAACGTCGCTAGAAAAGCCCTCAAAAGCCAGCAGGTATAAATGTACAGGAAATCAGAATTGCAGTTCACGCTCGAGAAGATCGCCGAAATACCCAATCATTCGTCTGAAAAAGATCAAATCAGGGTATATCACCACTATTTCAAACGAATCGAGAGCAGATTTTCAAAAACATGACATCGACAATGCCGGTAGATGGGTAATATCGAAGATAGATTGCAAATCCAACAGAACGCTCTCAGACCTCGGCCTGCGTTGAACAGAGAGTGATTGAAGGACATATTCTTCCGGTGTCTAGAAGCCTTCACCCTCCTTCCAATGACGACCAGCCTCCAAAGCACGGTATTTAGGGTTCTTGCCACGCTCAATCGCAGCCTGAAGAGTGTCCGCGACCTGCGTATCCTTTGCAATGACCTCCTTCTCAATCTCGGATTGTTGGCCAAGAGCGGGAAGATCTAGGTCCATGGTTTCGTCGAATTCTCCCGCAGCCTGTGCCAACCTGAGGTCTTCGGCCAAGTAGATCCAATCATCGAGTCGTTGCTGCAGATCCTTTCGTTCGGCATCCATGTCGCGCCATTTTTGGTATTCTTCTGGGCCACCGAAGCAGAACCCGTACCCATCGCAGAGACAGACACTCTCTTCCACGCAGACAACGGGCTGGCCCGTGAAGACGTATTGCCATAGGTATTCCCAAATGCGACCCGCGATATAATCGCTCAGATCCGTCTGCAGCAGCCAGTCACGGTAGAAAATGAACCGTGCGCGGGGAATCGTACGAATGCGTTCCCGAGATAGGGCGAATTGCGCGCAGCATGGTTGTGAGAGAACCGATGGAACGGGCTGGTCTGGGAAGAGTTCTCCCCAGGCCCGAGCGAGCATGACCTCCTCTTGCTTGGTCTCGTCTTCTTCCACGGCGCCGGGGTGCATCCACGCAGGACACCCAGGACCGAACGCGCAACGCGTATTCATGTACCCTTCTCGAATGACCCGCTCCATGCTCAGTCGCCGGAGAATCTCTGCGGAGTCGCCACCAAAGAGCTCCTCGTTATGCCAGGCATTCTGATGCGAGTGCATGAATACCGCAACGTCGGGTAGCTCCTCGTAGAAGTCGATGATGAACGACAAGTATACCATCACCTCATGCCCCTTGTTCTTCGGTGGGTGTAGGGGCGCTTTCGGGTCATCCGCAACATAAATAGCAGTGCCCCAATCGGGCAACTCCTTTTCGATCCAGCTTGTGTCCTCTTTCTTGGTCCGGGGCACTACCAACATCTTCGTGTATGTCGAGCCGGGAGGCTTGGGAATGCCAGGGACGAAGTTCGGCTGAGGGGCATATAGGTTTTTACTGCCATGGCTGGTGAAGTTGAAGGCGCCTGTCCAGTTGTGCGCTGGTGAATCGGAGCCGTAGTATTCCCCCAGGCCCACGGCCTGTGAATAGTTACTCCATGGTCGTGATAGCTGGCGGGCTGTGAAGAAGAGGATGCAGGAGAAGCTGAAGCCGAGGAAGAGGACCGCGCGCCGTGAGAGAATCATGGAAAGAGGTAGGTAGGACAGGGATAATTATATGCGGCGAATTGATCTGTCGCACAAGATGGGAGTTAGCCTCAATCATTGTCAAGCAACATTCTCTGTATCACTGCGCGTATCACAAGATGGCGATGCGATCAAACTTCTGTGGACGTACTCAAGACTCGAAAAAACACATTGCACCTGAACCATGCGGATCAAATTGGTCTCAGGAGAGGAATTGATGACCGAGGTAGATAGAAAGGGAATAAGCTGTTGCAATTGCAGTTGCTGACACCGAATGACAGGGATCTCAGCGAGTCGAGGAGAGAAAAGAAGTTGGTTCTCCGTCGAGGGTCTAGATTGGGGCTTGTCCGTATCTAATATTTGACGTGCCAGTAACTCAAAAGGCCCATCGCGGGGCGCCGTGGGCGAATGAAGGGCTGAAACCCGGGCAAAGGTGGAGACTGTAGTGGTCCTGGGATTGCGCACCGGGCGAAGATGACGACAACAGCGGGACAAGAATTGTGGCTTACTGCATCAGCAGAAGTAGTCTGCAAAAAAGGAGCGATTAGGGATAAGAAAGTAAAATATTGGGGGCCCACGGAAGACCGGGAATGGGCCATTGCGAGAGATATTTACATATATGCGGAGAACAGACGGAGGACCGTTCTGCACTTCGTAAATGGTGAAACTGACTGGCCACTGCAGATCCCTTGAAGTCGCAAATGAAAGTTCGTCCTGCGGAAGATCACCCCTGAATATCCACTTGATTGGAATCTGCCACGTTGGGGGAAGAGCTTGGCTATTCAATTGAGGAACATATAATATTCAATAACTTTACAATGTCTACTTTGGTCTATAACATCAGAACCGTTTCGAGGTGCTAGGTTAATATGGAAAGATGGGGTACAATGGAAGGAGTTGGTGGATGGCGATAGGCTAATCTAGCTGCGGGTTCCATTGAGTCTATTGAAGATATATAGTGGCCTAGTTTCGAGATGGACTTCCCTCGATATTCGTATTGTACTCTGGATCATCAAGCTACCTATTACCATTTACGACGCGGTAGGAACCTTATCGTATACAAATAGTCCCTTGGGGCATCGGAAATCGGAAGTGCAAACAAGCTTAAACGTAATGATGATCAGGTGATTTCCACGACGAGAATATATTCCATTATTCCTTGAATGGTCTGCTGACGATAATTGGGGCATCTGCATCAAAACCTGCCTATTGTATACCAAGGAGAACTGGAAATACATTCAAAGACAAAGGGATAAAACTGACCAACCAGGGTATGCCATTCATCAGGGGCATTATATAGTTGCGGGCATACTCGACATATTTCATGACACAGTTCTCACCAAATCGAGAGGTCAACTTTACCGTGTATTCCGCTTGCCTAAAACATACCTACCATAAATCTTCCAATAGCCAAGAAAAAAACGAAAATGACCAGTCTCTTAGTCTCTCGACAGGGTGGCAAGAGTGGCGCCTATCAGAGACCCAGCATTTGTTATCTCACGTGACACCGCGAAAACTTGCGGCGAGTCTCCCCAGAAGGGAAATTTCCCAAGTCCGCATCTTTTGTCTTCTTCCTTCTCCAGAAATGCGCTGTCACGATGCAGAGCCCCAAGATTCACGGTCGACCCGCTGAGGATGCTACTCCCCTCAAGACCTCTTATGCCACAACAAAGAAGTCCCACGACCCCTGGGTTCATTTGTTAGCCGGCGCGTAAGTATTTTTTTTGGTTGTCCCCGGACAATCGCCATAAGCCATCGGAGGATCTACACTAACACATGGATGATTGTATAGGAGCGGTGGTTTCGCAACTGCTATCGCCACATCTCCCCTCGATGTCCTGAGGACACGTCTTCAATCAGATTTCTACCAACGTCCTACTCCCTCTTCCGCAACCTCCGCCGTGGGCGCTATCCCCAAACACACGAGCCACAAGACCGCCCGAATCATCAGCAATATCTACCGAGCAGAAGGATGGCGAGCATTCTTCCGCGGTCTCGGCCCTAGCCTTGCTGGTGTGGTCCCGGCGACTGCTATTAAATTCTATGTTTATGGAAACTGCAAGCGGATCGGTGCCCAACTGTTAGGAACGGGCGAAGACTCAACTCTCGTACACGCGCAGGCCGCCATTTCCGCGGGAATCGCGACGGCGACAGCCACGAATCCGATCTGGTTGGTCAAGACACGACTGCAATTAGATAAGGCCCAAGCAGCCACCGGAGCCCGCCGGTACAAGAACAGTCTGGATTGTGTCCGCCAGGTGCTTCGCCAGGAAGGCATCAGCGGCTTGTACAAGGGACTTAGCGCGAGTTATCTGGGCTCTTTGGAGACCGCGCTTCATTTGGTTCTTTACGAACGGATAAAGACTACTTTGCATAACTCGCTTGGCTCGCCGGATGGCAAGGATACCGCTACGCAGAAGGAAATCACGAGCTGGCTCAGCACAACCGGTGCGGCGGGATCCGCTAAGTTTGCTGCTGCCCTTATCGCTTATCCTCACGAGGTACGAAGTTACCCCCCGAAAAGACTCTGGAAATTGTACTGACTGAGTATTGAACAGGTCATCCGAACACGACTCCGCCAAGCACCCATGGAGAACGGCGTCCCCAAATACACCGGCTTGGTGCAGTGCTTCCGACTCATCGCCAAGGAAGAGGGCATGGCCGGTCTCTACGGAGGCCTGATGCCGCACATGGTCCGCTCCATTCCCTCGGCCATCATCACCCTGGGCGTCTACGAGTTCGTTCTGCGATTCATCGGCACATCGGCATAAACAAAATCACCATCACAACAATAAGTGCAATTCGCACACTGTACAATATCATCTCGAATCGGCCTCCCCGTATCCAGCCTTTGCTAGACGAGGCGCCGTCGTGACCTAATTGCATGTATTCTTACCTGGGCGTTGGGGGACTGGATCTTTTGAGGCTGTGCATAGAATCTCCTTTCCGAGGAATGTACCATACATTACAACACATCGCTTGTCATTATCATCAATCAAGATAGATTGGATTACTGGAGTTCTGTTCTTTGTTGTCAAATGCAGTATCTATTGGGTTGGGAAGGACACTGAAATCTTCTCGCTTATTGGCATAACATCCCGAATTCATTGATTGTACCATTGCATGTATGATTTGTACACAATTACATGACAACCATGCGAATGATCGCTCTAAAGGAACAACCTTAGAAACAGTGCCCGGAAGACACGCATATATCGAAGTAGAAAGGACTGAAAAAACCCGGGTATGAAATTTTGCTCAGAAACGCCATGCAACGCTTGTTCAAGGTAAAGGGGTGGAAATACGCAAGTGGCCAGTCTGGGCTCAGCGTAATAGAAAGAAAAGTACATGAGGGGGGCTATCCGCGTCAGTCCAATCAAGGCGTCTCTTCATCGGCTGCCTCTTCCACAGTGGCTGCTCGACTCTTGCCCTTGGATGTGGATTCGGCGTATGAGGAGTCGATATCAGTATCTGCTTTGCTCGTTTGGCCGGTGCTGCCCCAGGCGGGAGGGATCACGGAGGGACCAGCCTCTGGAACTTGCTCGGATTGCACATCTGTCCACTCTTGGGATGGGGAGTCTGCCCTGTGCTCGGCTGATGAGGACGCGCTAGGCACGGACCAGTTTGGGATTGCGTTTCCTGTGTCGGCCGTTCCGGTACTTGGGGCACTGATCTCGGTTTCCTCATTGTACCTGTCCGCGGCAGTGGCGGCTGGGACGGTCTCTGAAGCCGGAGCTTCAATATCTTGACTCTCCAATGCATTTAATGAAGTAGATTGCAGTGGCACAGAGGTGGTGGGTGTTGGGTTACTGTCCTGTGCCAGGTTCCCACTACCTAGCTCCGTAGAATGAAGGGGAAGAAGAGTCCAACCAGGTGGAAGAGTAAGTCCTTCTGGAAGACGAGAGTCTCCAGCAGCCAAGGGTGTGGCCCCCGGGTTAGAGACAAATTGGCGACGCGATGTAATGGTTGACGTGCCGGTTGGCAGAGTTGTCGTCGGCGTCGGAGAGGTGAGTGTCTGAGCTTGAGGGTTGGCATGCAGACGAAGCCGATCTAGCTCCATCTGGAGTTGGGTCACACGGCGCAACTGCTCTGCTGCAGCACGCAGAGAGCTGATCTCTTGCGCGATTTGCTGCTCAATTTGCTGTAATTGGGCGTGAATATCTGCGGAGCTGGAGCCTCCTGTGTTCGGCGCATGTTGGACGGTAGTTGGAGCTTGTGGACGGCGACCGAAACCAAGTCCGAAGCCGATTTGTCGCGCGCCAGGTGGATTGGCATTTGCGGGAGGCTGCAATGGAGCATTGCCTTGATGAATTTGCTGATGAAGGTTGTGGAATAGGTCGCCACGAACGGCGCCAAAGCCAATACGGAATGGACCGAATTGATATACTCGAGCTCGGGGTAGCTCTCCTTGGGCACCCGGCTGACCAGGCATTTGATTTCCACCCACGCCGTTCGGTTGAGCGGCTCCTCCGACATTTCCGGGCAGATTGTTGGCATCGGCAGCGGCTCCTTGAAGGCGCTGCGGCGCAACGACTGGGCGTCGACAAGTGGGACAGTTCTGTTGTCTCTCGAGCCAGCTGCGAAGGCAAGCGAAGTGGAGGATATGACCACACGGGAGCTTCTTCGGACGCAGACGGTCGGGCACACGTGGTGCGGCTGCGGCTGGCTGCGGAGCAGCCTCTCCTTCAGCAACTACAGGAGGCTGGGTGGAAGTCATTTCCTCTCGACAGATGATACAGACATCTTCGCGTGCAACCTCCTCGGCAGTAGCGTCGGGATATCGGTCATTCATGTCTCTGGTCGCGTTCCGATACCGGAGGAAGTCCATGATACGACGGCCAAAAGATCGCATCGTAACGACGACATCGCGTAGGATGTGAATCGGCAAACCGAAGAAACGGAGGAGAATGGCAAAGAAAACCAAGTACACGACGAGCTTCAGGAAGTCTGTGAGTAGGTCAAGGTAGAACACCCATCGACCCTTCTCCTCCCATCCAGGAACGTCGATCTCCAACTCGTTGACGTCGTTCTCATCGGGAAGATCGGTTGGAGGGGAGCTTGCCCCGGCACGTGCGTGTTCCCGAATGGCTTCGATACGAGCGACTCGAATCTCAGCTCGGCGTTCCTCCATCTTCGCCTTGACCTGCTGGTGGGTGATATAGATCTCCGTCAAGGCGATGCTGTATCGAAGGGTTGTCGAAGTTGATAGGATGGTCAAGATTGCGAACTCAAATCCAAACATGATCATCATATCTGCTCGCGCCTCTTCAATGACGACGTTGACACAGTATCGTAGCATCGAGGCATTGAAGAGGACCGACAACACTAGCGATAGTGCCAATCGGATATGGAAGAGGCGTGGATTTGCCGGGGGTTGTTGTTCCAGATACTCCACTCGTCCTTCACCAATCCATCCCCAGACTTTCCCGACTAGAAGTAAAACGAACATGACCAGAAACCAGCCCCCGAGCTCGCCTCGGAATATGGTCATGGCGAGACATGTTTCCGTGACCGCAAACCATGCCCGCTCGTAAAGTTGTTCAGTCTCGATAGGCCGAAGGGGTCCGTAAAGGAGTCGTTGTAGCCAGAAGAGGATGAAACCGGTCGCAAGGAGGCATAAGTTCGTTAGGATCTGGATAGTCGCAAGGCGCACGGGGTCAGTATGATCTGAGTGGGGAAATGATATCCTAGGGCCAAGAGTATGGGCGGCAGAGGACTAAATGACCATACCATAAGATTCGCACTACTTTGCGATAGATATACACAAGCTGAGTAGAAGTTTGCTCTCTGGTGTAGCGCTTTCAAGAACACACCGGTGGCCAAGGCCAGGGAGGCCTAACGAGAGTCAGCGGCGATCGCAAGAGTAAAGGATCGCGCTCGGCAGGAACACTTACCCCAGCGTACGCGGCCAGTCTCATGGCGATTGAAGTGAGACCTGCGAGTTGATGATCATGAGAGGAGGAAAGGGCGGGTTTAACCTCTCACGGTGCATTCGGGAGACGTGGAGTATACCTCAATCTGGACAGCTTTCCAGAATAACGCCCGCCTCCGCATATTACGTCAGCCCCAACTATGCCGGGCACGTGCCTTTGTCTATAGTTCTTGCTGTACGGGTATCCAGAGCTCATGATCAAAATGTAATTAACATTTAAAAATTTGAGAGACAAAGAATAAGTCAACGCGTAGTAAGCCGTGGAACCTTACCTAGTCTGTAGTGGTGGTCTACTTGGCTTTTAACCTATCGAGGTATCCCGTTTACTCGTATGGTCTATTCCCCCGAGCGCACCGGATATCTCTGACGAACGGAATCACTAAAAGTTAATGGTGGGCCGAAATTTTTGGCATGGTCACTTGCGCTACACCTGGTTCTGAAAACAAATATGATGAAGTCGGAAGTGTTAAGTATTGTGAATAGGGCAAACCATGATATAGAGGCACTACCGGAGTCAATCTGGCCTTGTGTCTCACTCCCAGTTGAGCCAGCTACGGAGCACAGGCTCTATCCTGATCATTGGGATCTTGAGTATAAATGATCTTTTTCGAGGTGCATAGTGCTGTGACTTCTTGAAGCCTTATCCTACCACTTGCAATCATTGGTCTCTCTCTTTACAGGCACAGGCAACTTTGGGGGCACAGGCAACTTTGGGGATGATTGGGAATTAGTTGGGAATCAAGACTGGCACTTTCGTTTGCATTTTCAACAGTTTTGTACACTATCTGAAAGAGAGGTTTCTTACTATGTGCCGGTTAAGTTGCCCTATATTGTGATGCGAATATAAACGCTTAGAACAGAACTTTCGAAAATTCGTGTCTATAACTAGACGGGTAAGAGTCTCATAGCAAGTTACAAACGTAATTAACTCTACTGAGATGGTTATTTATTACTCAACTAAAGCTTCAGCACGGTTCAACTCAAACCATACAGACGAGTATAAGATATCAGCGTCGGGTTTTGTGTCAAGTCCCGCGCGTCAGGCAGGATGAGTCAATAGGTCCCTGTCCCTTACCTGTCTGAGCATCGAATTCCGCGCTTACAAGGAAAGTGTCGATCACATGAGCCAATAAGAAGAATTAAACAGAGCTTGTAATCGAGGTGGGGATCTGCTGCATTGTCTCATGGCTGCTATAGGTTCTGCGGATTTCAAAACCCGAAGTGTGGGGATATCGGTAATCAGAGCGATCCCCGCAACTGAAGAGCTCCCGATGGAGAGAAAGTGTATAAATGATACACCGTGGCAGCCACTTTAGCTCGAAAAAAACGATAGAATCTATACTGAATATCAGAATATCGAAATTGCTTGCGAATTACCGAAATAACTTATTCCTAAGCTAATTGAATATTCACGATGACGATAACTGAATTACCGGCCATCCGATGGGGCATTATTGGTGAGTAGTTTGAGAAGACCAGATTGACTAGAAAACAACTTGATGTCAGAATAGAGCTAATGATATCTCAAGCTACTGGCATGATCTCATCATGGTTTGTTGAGGACCTCGTCTTAGAATGGGAAGAGGTGAAGGTGAAACACATCATCCAAGCCATCGGGTCTTCGAGTCTCCAGAAAGGCCAGGATTTCGCCGCAAAGTACTGCCCCAAACAAAGCCCTCAAATCTATGATAGCTACGCAGAGGTTTATAAGGACGACGACGTGGACATTGTGTACATTGGCACCCCACACGGGTATCACTATCGCGACTGCATGGAAGCCATCGCCGCTGGCAAGAATGTTTTGTGCGAGAAGTCTTTCACCCTCAACGCAAAACAGGCAAGAGAGATCTTTGAAACTGCACGGGCGAAAAATGTTTATGTTGCAGAAGCAATGTGGCTGCGTCATCGACCTCTATACATTGAGCTGAAGCGGCTACTGCACGAGGAAAAGGTCATTGGGGATGTATTCCGGGCAAACTGTGACTTTGCATCGGATATTGGTCTCACAAATCTACCAGATACATCTAGGTATCGTGACATCAGCCTCGGTGCAGGATCACTGCTCGACATTGGTGTTTATTCTTTGACCTGGATGATGCTTGCGCTGAATGATCGCCCAGCTGGTCAAGGGGAGAAGCCCAACATCATAGCTGCTCAAACTCACGAAGATGGCATTGAAGTGACGACTAGTGCTATTTTGCAATATCCCTCGACACACCGACAGGGCATCGTGACGACTACCAACAAAGCTTCTGGTCCCCCTGGCGAGATTTTTGCGATCATACACGGCACTGAAGGATTTGTTGAAGTTGAAGGGCGGGCACCTTCGATCCCGGAGTCCTTCACTGTGTATCCCAAGCAGAAAAGGGGAGCTGCAGATAGATGTTTCTTCAAGAGAGAGAATTGGCAAGGTCAACGGCACGAATATGGCCCCGTTGGACGTGGCTTTGTGTACGAGGCCCAGAATACGGCCTTGGATGTTCTTGCAGGCCGGAAGGAGAGCAGTATCATGCCGTGGGCTGAGACAATCTACATCATGGAAATCATGGATGAGATTCGGCGACAGGGCAAGACAATTTACCCAGGAGAGTGATATGGCAGCGTATAGCGAATAGTTGAATACGTTTTTATGCTTATTTAATCCTTACATTCTGTCGAGAGCAAAAATTCAACCGAGTAGAGGCATAATTTAAGGGTATGTGGACAGACCTATTATGGACGTAGAATCTAGATGTAAGAGGTATTCAATTTTGTCAATACTTCATTCTAGAAGACAGACCAGATATAAGTTTGGTAAAAAGACTAACAGTACTAACAGTAAGGATCAGAGAGAATGACATTCAAGTTGAAGACTCAAGGGGCGGAGAAACAAAGAGAGAAAGGAAAAATGTCCACATGGCTTTTTCCAGTTTTTCTTGAAAACTTCATCCCAGTCATTATGACTCTGGCTCTTCAACATGTGCAAGGGGCTTTAGGCACGAAAGTTGCTTGTCCTGATGCAGGGCATTGCCACCATTCTTGTAAGCCCCGAGGACCTCAGAATTCCTTTGCTTGATTGTGTTGATAATATACTGGATGCCATCAGCAGCAAGCTCCTCCAGGGCTTTTTCATGGCCTCCTTGGCCTTTTCTTGGATTTCATGAAGTCTCTTCAACCAGAACATGTATCTCCATGGCGAGAATCCAGCAGGAGATTGCTGTCCGAGCTCCGATTCGAGGAACTACTCACCACCCTTGCTGATGTGGCTAGGGCAGTCGTTCCAATACGCTTCTGACAGCAAAAGGAGGTTGTGGTTTGCTATTTTCAGCCAAGCAACAGCGGCTGGTGACAGATGAAAGACCTCAAGCTGCTTAGTACCTCTGTTGAGGTCTTCCTGATCTGACTCTTCCCCAGTGCGAAGTTCTCGAGGGGTTTCAAAGAGAGTACGAAAGATCAGAAGAGAAACTTGACACAGCCTGTCCTTAGCGACACGAGTGGATGCAAGTTTGGCTAGAAATATTGTAAATTTGAGACGGTGTGTACCCGACATAGAAGCACCGTGATTGATCTAGAAATTGGTCATATCGCCAACCAAGAACGGGAGATCGTTCCACAGTGTACCGTCGACGGTTCTTGCGATGTCAATGCCATTGACTCCGTGTGCAAGTCTAGTCAGCGGTCCCATTCCTTGAATGCGAAGGATATCGAGGACTATTCCCTCATCTTCATGTGATTCAGGGGAGATGTTTCGTGCGAGCTCGTAGTACATATACCACAGGGAATGAATGTGGCCTTCAAGGGAGTCGACGCTGTCTCCAATATCGCAGTATCGACTGGTGACGACCCAGGTTCGGTTACTGAATGCTATGTCTCGAACCTCTTTGAAATCGCCCCGAACGACAGACTGGCGTGTATCTTCCTGATCTCTACGAGCGTGGTCGATTGTTCCGGTAGATAGTGTGTCTCTAGGCACAGAGCTCAGCAGATAATCACGTAGGTGGTCCATTGCAGGAAGCTACAATGTTGAATAATAATTCAGTCGTTGTTCATGCAAGAAAAAGAAGATAGCGGGGAAGTGCAGGAGTTATTATAGGGGAACCAGACACTTATAACGTTGTAGGGGTCAACTTAAACAAGGCACTGAGAGATCTCTCTCCATGGGCGGAGACTATACTTGACCTCTGCTAGGCAACAACGTAGGTTCTGACCGGCTGGTAGCCCAATACTTGAGTTTAGACATATGTATACGCGAAAGCCTGAACTATTTTCTTTGTTGGTTGTCGATCAGCCGTTAGCCAAGACCGAAGTGCATGTCGATCATACAGCCATCCAGCAGGTACTACGTGGCAGGGCACAACCCCTGCGAACTGTTCATCGAATTGCCTCCGTACATTAGCATTACTTAAGTGTTACATTCAAAGTGATCGACTGAATGCTCGGTTTGAGAGCTGCTCTGGATCCTTATGGGGGCTAGGATTAGTTGCTTTGTTATAAAAACCTCTCTATCCGTCGTGGACAATAAATTTAAACTGAAGTGTAAGGGCCGTAAGACAACTCCAAATTAGGCTCAACTTAGTGCTGTTTTTGGTATTTTCAACACTTAAATGGGGCGAGTGTACAAGAAACTAGTTAACTACGAGTCCACAATATATGTGACTAAGTCAGCTCTCTCGCCGGTGCTATTTTGTCACTAGGTCTTGTCCTGTGCCTCCTATTCGGAGGTGCCATTGCAAGTAATGGGAGCTGGCGCTGGACATTTCGGTGCAAGTATGTACGCAAAATTCTTGAGTTGGCTTGCTCTAATCATTGGCGTAGTGTTCCTGCGGGCGGTGTTGCCCTGGCTCTGATATTATTCGCTATGCCAGCCCATTTCCCACATCAATCGGAAGGGTCAATTGACCAGTCAACATCCCCCCAAACGTGGGTAACGATTAAAATGTTTCTCCGAAATTAGACCTTTGTGGAGCCTTTCTCCTTCTCACGGCTTGTTCGTTTATAATTGCTGCTCTGCAGGTGTGTAATTTTGAATACCCATGGTCTTCTGGAATGGTTATCAGTTTTTTTGTCATCTCAGGAATCTCCTGTGCCGCCTTTGTCTGGTGGGAGTAGTGTATATATCGACATGACTCTAAAATCATCACAGTCTTTCCATGGCGACTGACATTAAACCGAGTTTTCATGGGTGACGTTTGTACGTATCCCCTTTCGTTCAGGTCCAATAACACCCCACTGATGAACTAACCTCAGAGGGCTCTTCACAACTGGTCTACCTTTGACAGTGTGTGTCATCAACCTCCCACAACGATCTCAAATTGTCAACGAAAGCTCCCCAATCGGTGCTGGCGTCAAGTTGCTATCATTTGCGCTAAGCTGCCCTCTTGGCATCATGGCTTGCTCGTTCGCGGCAGGCCGTCTTAAAAATTCCCTTTTGTTACATTGTGTTATTTGGCATTATCTGCCAAGCTATCGGGCTTTTCCTCTTCTCAGGAATTGCTCCTACCGCCCATATTTTCCCGACACAATTCGGATATCTGGTCCTGGCTGGGCTACGGGTGGGTTTGGCTATGGCTGCATTCACTATGATCGCGCCGCTTATAGTAGATGAGGAGGACCAATCCATCGCGTTGGGGATTGGGCTACAACTTCGGATGCTTGGTGGTGTTCTGGGAGTGGCAGCTTCGACTGCCATTCTAAATCATTATCTTCTGAGCCGACTAGCGTCCACGATCCCGCGGGAAGAACTCAGCGCTCTTTTATACACGACTGAAGCCATCCAGTCGTTTTCTCCAGAGATGCAAATCCGTGTTCGTGAGGTTTTTGCGATGGCTTATAGCATGCAGATTAAGCTTTCGGCCGCATTTTCAGTCGCGCCATTGTTGGTACTTGCGATGATTTGGAGGAGACAACCCATCAGATTCTTCAAGTAATGACCTTCCATCTGGCTAACACGCGGAAAGTTATCACACTTGAACGAGGTTTGACGAGTGTCTCAATTTCAATGACCAAAAGGCATCCTCATTTGGTACCGGCAAGGTAAAGATTGGATATAATGCCAAGTGGATGCGGTTCGGGTCGTAGTACACCCACAGTCCACGGCTTTGATTCCGAGTCTAAGTAGTTTGAATATACAAACATTTTCTATGTGTAATTCAGAGAAATGACCGCAGATGACTGAACCAAAGTAGCTTTGAGTCCTGCGACTGCGGTCTATCAACATCCCCCTTAGTCAAGTACGTAGCTTCGTAACCCTGGGCCCTATTTCTGCTTTGCGGAGCCAATAACCGACTCGATGAATCTTGCAGCAGGCGGTATAGGCCATGCAAGTTGCTCAGTAGGATCTTCGTGCACCTCACCCGTAGTTACCAGATCCACAAGTACAACAGCAACGTAGCCACCAATCGCAGTGAGAATATGCCACCTATATCTTGATTAACACTCATATCTCATAGAGAAAGTATAGGGAACATACCATCCATGAAGTTCAGTCAAGAAAGCCAAAGGCAAACCAACCGCATGTCTTGTTTCAATAAGGAATCCACAGGCCCAGTCATCAACGAGCCACACGGAATAGCCCAAACCAAAGCAGACTAATTCGCATTAGCATCCGAATCAGATTATGGAGCGGGTATATCATACAGATACCGAAGAATGAGATATTCCGAAGCTTTCTCCTCAAATAAGGATTAGGGACTTGTTGTGAGATAATCTTGGAAGTTCGCGTCGCGATCATATAAACTGCAAGTCCAAAGCTAGACGCGTGCAGAAGGAACTCGTCCATGACCATGTGAACGACCATGACGATGGTGAATAGCACCGAGAGGACGATCCCCACGAGTCTGGTTCGCTCTGCGCTAGCCTTGAAGGTTAGAATTCGGTATAGGAGGGGCGTGGTCAGAAGATGCATCGACAGCTCATCCGCTAGAATTTCGTGGTTTCGGTCAGCAAGCAATCTATGAGCATCAAGATGTTGTTTTCATGAAGCGTACACATTTGAGTATGGTATTTGAGGGTCATATGGTAACCAGCCGAACAGACGCCGACACCGATCAACCCCAAATACGAAATCGAGCGGAACCCCGTTTGCTTTTTCCGATGAAGCTGTCGCAGGCCATAGATACCGAAGAGGACTAGACGTATCTGGTTAAAAATTGCGACTTTGCCATCCCAGTTCGCTTCGAGCTGACTCACTGAAGACAAAACTGCTGAACGTATTGATAAACTCGGCCACAAACCGAGTAACAACATAATCCTGCGGGTAAAGTGAGCATTAACTGCTCAAAAAGCCTCGTAAAAACTTCTCCGAGGAGAATTATTCACCTCTTCGCAAAAGCTAGATTTGACACGTCAGTGGCTGGTTTGTCGGGAGGGGCTTGGAAGATCATAACAAACTTTAGATAAGACGTTGCAGGGCCCCAGAAGGGGACCACGGGGGCGGTTTCCATCGCGGAATGATGGTCTTTCGTATTCTTAGTCCCGAGTCGCAGGGTCAGGACGGCTTCGTGTTATGTGCTTTGGTGAGGATCGTTTAAATGGGAGCCTTCGGAACGCGCGGCGAAGAGTGCAGTGGGGCGAGGGGGATTTCGGGATCCGATCTTTACCCGAACGGGTAATTACAGTATGTCCTACGGTACTTTGTTCGAACAATAGAGATTGTTGCTGATTCATGTTTGATTGTGATAACTTCTTTGTTCAAGAAAAGGTTAATTCAGTGAGGATAAATGGTCAAGAAATATTTTGACGTAAACGAGCAGCGGACCCCGCTGCCCAGACAGCCCGGCGCTCTCCATTATGATAGCGTCGACTCCACTTTCCGCTCCATTTTTCCTATTTCTGCTCATGAGAACATGCGTGAGCATCATAGTCCGTGCAGTCATGTTCACTTGTTAGCCTTCTCCGACAGCGCGAGCTTGTTAGTCAGGCTTGTGATCTTGGCATGCTGCGACGCGATGTACCCGCTCAAAGCATCAATTCTGCTCTTCTGAGCCTCGATGATCTCCTGCATCGAGGTGGCTGTCTTGTTGAGGGACTCCACGGTAGATCGAAGGAGATAGTTGTTCGCCACCAAATCCTCGGTATTCACGATTTCCTCCTTGTCATTGCAGACAATCTTGATAAGCTCCGGACGTCCCTCGACTCGACTAGTCACTGCAGCAGGGAATCCGTTCCCGGTGGGAGGGCCTTGGGTGACGAGCTTCGAGTTGGAGATTGGCGATCTGAGGATATTTTCGGCAGCCGCGGTGATGGGGACTCTGTGGAATGGAGGGGGTGAAGAGTAGGCGACACGTGCGTTCTTGCTGGCGATGGTAGAGGTTGAGTCCGGGGAAGAAGCCTGCGTTGCGTCTTCAATATGCTCGGAGTGACCTTGGGGAGAAATGGCTCTGGCAGTGGTGGCATCATTCGCTCTCATATGAGCTCCAAGGTCCCACTGAATAGTCTGAGGGCAAGGCTGTCTTTCTGCCGGGCCTGCGCTGGAAGAGGCTTTTGGGGCATCTTGAACCTCTTGTGCCTTTTTGGCGGTAACTGTGTCCGGTGAGCTGCCCTTGCGGTACACAATAGCCGGTCCTTCGTCGACGGGACTCTCAATCTTGTAGATCTTGGATTTATCTGCGCCGGTGGCCTTTTCATACCGTGTATGGCCTTGAAGCCGGGAGTGAACTCGGGAGGATGCGAAAGGAATCACGACGTCACGCATGAACTTGGAAACCGTGACTCCGGGGTCAAGACCCATCATTTCAAAGCCACGCCAATATTCCCATACCACTTTGACTTCCCAGCGCTGGAAGGTTGTCTCATCCTTTTCGAAGCGTGCGAGGATCTCCTCCGTTCGCTTGGTAACCTCCACCCATGTCATGGTATCCAGGGTAGGCTCCGAAGGCTCAGCCGCGGTGGGCGGGGCGTCCGCCATCTTCTGTTTGGTGTGTTAAGAGGTGATGAGAATGGACTTGGAAGACTTGAGAGATCAGGTGAGGTGTGTGCGTACCGGAAAGGGAGGGACTAGCAGGATTCTGAAATTCTCTTCAGGAGATAGAGGACAGGCAAGTTGGGGTTAAGGAGAAAAGATCACGAAAGAGTTGGTATTGGATGCGGAGACGGTGGGAGAGATTGACACGGTAGCAATCTGGAGGATGGATGAATTTGGCGAGTTTTTCCTCTGGAAGTTTGAGATATCGCGGAAAACATCGTATCCACTGCAAGGCAACGTGCCCCCAGGACCTTCACTTCCTCTCAGCCAGCATGGATCAACGCAAACTTAGGTATCCAAGGTATGGGTGAATGCGCGAGAACATTATATGCGGCATATTTCAAATGACTCGCAGGGTCTTTCTAAAGCCTTCACGGCCATTATGTGAGAGTTCTCATCAACAGACGGCCCTGCCTATGCATAGCACAGAAGACCTCCCAGTTTGGGTTCAACGATATGCCCGATAAATTGCTCTATAGCGAGGATCATGACCTTCCTCTACACAGCTATTAGTCTTGAACGGACATTCTCCTCAAGGTCAGACTTGCACTTGGGCTTTTCTTAGCCTCAATTAACAGTAGAAGGCATCTATCAGGGTATCCTTAGAAACAGGACAATCAAAAGACTGCACGTCTATGGCAAATTGCCAGAATGGACCATGAGAAACATAATGGTGGAAGTTATCTCATATCGCACCGAGATAACTTCCGACTACCTAGGGACATGGCCATGTTATCTTCTCGGCCTTGCATGGGTCCATCCAACTATACTGCGATAAGTTCAAATTACCAGGCTCTGCCCCGTGTGGATTTTGAACAATGATAAGTGCTTGAGTGTTTTCTTCCACGTCTCACAGCCTCAGAATTAAATCCAATGACAGCGGGTTATCCGATACTCGTGTCATAATTAAAGATCAATAAACTTTACACGAGACCTCTCGTGGTCCACAAGGCTAATTGCGTGGGGCTGAGTCTCCATCGCAGCGGTAAGCAAATCGAGTGACACGTCACAATCGGCGCTAAACCCCAGTAAGTATCGTCTCTCGCACCCAAAATCTCACGAGGAGGAGATTATTTTACAAGGCAGATTCACTATTAGGCAAAACTCGTAATTCATATTCGACCAGGAGGGGGTATCAACAGTTTTGCCCGGGTTTCTTGGCACTTGCATTTTCGAGGCTTGGATTGGCTAGGAGTACTTGCGCCTCGTTCAACCCGTGCACTGGCCATTTGATTCAGCCTCACCCCGCACCTAGGCCAGGTATAAATGCTCCCAAGTCAGAGCTCCTTCGGTAGTTTCTATACTACCCAAGATCCTGGTGCCATCATGAGCCGCCCTAGTACTAATCGCAAATGCTGCCAAAGCTTAATTATCAGGGAATGGAAACAAGGTAAACAATGCAGTCCCCTACGAGCATCAACCCGTTCTAACTATCTACGTAGGAGCACCATGGCAAGAGAAGATAATTCATCCGTCCCATCTAGTCGCGAGCAGCCGAAGAAAGGCCCCAGATGTCATATCTGCAGATACGCAGGTTTATGTGATGTGCGTTTGTCGATGCGCTCCAGTCAATGGTCGTTGTGGAAGATACTAACATCCAACAGATTAGCCAAGGCTAATGAGATCCGGAGCTGTGAGCGATGCAAGCAAGCATTGATTGATGCTTTTCTGATGCCATCTCTCTGGTGGACCGATCATCTTCGCAAGTCCAATGGATATTTTGGCTGTGAGGTGACTCGGGATGGAGAAGAAATCACCGGTCTAAGTATGTCTGTTTACCAACTAATAATAGAATGACAGTCCTAACAGAACTTTAGACAGTTGGGCCTTTTTCCAGTCCAAGAAAATGACCAATGAGAAGGTCTACGTCTGGTCCAAGTTCAATATATTCACCCGATGGATATCCGAAACAAAGCAAACCGCCATTCTCATCTTCGATACCGAGGACCACACTCCTCACCCATTCGTAAATCTAAGTCCCGAAGCACATCTTCTCGGCGACCCATTCTGGGTATACCCCTATATCCTCAACTCGATCTCCAACCTCGAAGAAAAGGCCGTCTGGGCAATCCGAGATCAAATTCGACCAATCGAAAAAGAACAAGGTGAAGAACCGCCTCAACCGAATAAACGGCCGCGACCAAATTATCGCAAGTTACACGACATCGCCCGTCACTCCATCCACGTCAACGAAACCCTCGACGTATCCCTTCAAACAATCGAGCGCATCCTAGAAAACCACCGCACCTACATGAACCCGAGAGACTCGGTTCTTTTCCCTTCCCACCGAAACACCCAAGTCTGGCAAACGATCCAGTCTCGCTTATCCTTCCCCCAAAGCTTTCTCGGAAGTTTGCGACACAGATCTATCTCCAATGAGAAGCGATTACAAAATGAGATTCAGCTGACGTTCCAAACGGTTGCACAACAGGACACTTTAGTCATGATGGATGATAGTGCGGCGTTGAAGACGGTTGCGTTGGTCACATTTACTTTCTTACCGCCGACGTTTCTCTGCGCTGTATTTAGTATGTCGTTCTTCAATTATGACCAGAATCTTGGGTGGAGGGTTTCGGAGAAATTCTGGATTTATTGTGCGTTTGCGATCCCGACTACGGTTCTCTCGGTTGGTTTGTGGTTCTTTTGGCGGAATGCTCTGCCATCGAGACAGTTCCGGGATCGGGTGGATCACATGGAGGATGTTTAGGGACAGTAGGTACACTTGTGACGGGACTCAAATATATATATTTCGGTTACTATTTATGTACAAGTCACGCAACTAGTACTAGAAATGACACAGATTGCAATGGATTAGATATGAACATATCAAAATATATACACAACTATCATCAAAGCCAAGGAACTGATTGTCTCCATTCAAGTTATATTTTCTTCAGATCCATGGGATGAATGGAGCCGCCAAGCCCGATCGCTGTTTATCTGATCGCATCACGTGCCGCCCCGCCATCGGCGACGTAACCAGCTGAGACAAACTGTCGATCGCTCGTGTAATCCCCCAACTTCCAGTTTCCCCCAATTGCCCCCCCATCACTAGCAGAGCAATGTCCCGATGGCGATGGCTTCATCACCCGCATTGTTCACAGCCTCTCGAGGCCAAACACTGACATACCTCCTAGCAGTCTGCCCCTTCTCCATCGCATTCCTCGTGTTTATCAATTCCTCCGTCTCATTCGTGGTAACGGATCTGATCGGGCTGCACGATGGAGAGGGCGATGCAGTTGGAACGCTAGGATTTGCAGATGAGCTACTCGCCCTCGCTGCTTGTCCCCTTTGGGGCGTTCTTTCTGATCGGATTGGCGTGCGCTATGTAAGTTGAGCTCTTTGCCCGGGGACTCGAAGCTATCCCTGTACTCGTGTTTTGGGTTGGTGCCTGCGGTTTGCTGATAAGATAAGTAGGTGTGCACTATCGGGTATGCGGTCATTGCCGTTGCGTTGGTTCTTTTCGTGCAGGCCACGAACGTATATCCGCAGCTTTTGCTGGGGAGGTTGTTGTTTAGTGTTGGGGGTTCGGCGGTGTCTACCATGGTCACCGCCGTTCTGCCTACCGTCACGGGCAGGGTGTTGCGAGATCAGGCTTGCCGGGCGTCGGTCTCGTCAGAGTTGACTATTACCCCTGCGCGGTTAAATGGCCAGCAGAACGGTTACCACACTGATGGTGGTGCCTCCCGTGCATCGCCGTCAGCGAGACTGTCGGGTTTTGTTGGATTGTTTGCTGGTTGTGGTGCTCTCGTTTCCCTCGGTGCTTTCCTGCCTCTTCCGGCCCGATTTGAGAAGCTTGGACTTTCTCCCGCGGAGGCAATTCAACGCAGTTATTACTTGGTTGCTGCTGTTGCGATTATCATCAGCCTGGTTAGCTTCATCGGTCTTCGTAACCTGCCCGATGAGGAAGGGAAAGGATGGCAGGCATTATGGAATTCTCAACATACGGATGATCTTGATGAGAATGACGAGACTTTCTACGGACCAGAAAGACTTCCATACTGGAAACAACTGACCACCGCGGTGCTTTTAGGTTTCCGGAATCGCAGTATCGGCCTGGGATACGTGGGAGGATTCGTTGCCCGTGCGTCCTCGGTGGGAATTTCATTATTCATCCCTCTCGCCGTGAACCACTATTACCGTGCTTCAGGTCTTTGCGACGAAGATCACGAGCCAATGCCTAACTCCGGACTTGGGGATATCAAGAAGGCGTGCCCGCGCGCTTATATCCTGGCTTCCATTCTCACAGGAGTGTCTCAGCTGATTGCTCTCATAGCCGCGCCAGCATTCGGCTACCTGACCGACAAGTCTCGGCGGTATAACGTGCCCCTCCTGTTTGCCGCCTTGGTCGGCGTGGTGGGCTATCTCGCATTCGGGCTACTACCCAACCCACAATTCAAGGGCCCCGATGGCAACGCAGGCGTCTTCATCGTGATGGCCCTATTGGGGATCAGCCAGATCGGCGCCATCGTCTGCAGTCTCGCCGTGCTCAGCAACGGGATTCTCCAGGTCGGTGTTGACGACGACGCGCTACGCAAAATCTGCCCCGGACAGCATGTCGATCACGAGCGGACGAATGGTGGAGAAGGCGAGAACCAGTCCCTTCTGGCCCACCCTGTCAACCACCGAGTGCAGCAGCTGTCACACTTGAAGGGCTCCATTGCCGGGGTGTACTCGCTGTACGGCGGGGCGGGAATCCTGATTCTCACCAAAGTAGGTGGATTACTCTTTGACATGTTGTCCTCGGGGACACCATTCTTTATTATGGCTTCGTTTAATGGGATTTTACTTGTAACGGGGATTGTTTGTGGGATTTTGAATCATGTCGCACGATCAAAGGGAGTCGGGTTAGGTTTTCAAGGTTCATTTAGAGGATAAAAATTGGGTTGAAAAATACTATTTTTATGATCATTCTGGATTCTAGCTCTCGGTGTAATCATGTCCATGAGGAGTATTTGCATCTGTAACTTCACCCAAGTGTAGCGGCGTTTCATGGTGGGCGCGCTAGTCGCTAGTCTCTGGGGTCCGCCTCGTGCAGGGACTGGGAGGGAGGCATTTTTAGGTACAGCCGGCGCTAGTTTAGTCGAGCACGGCTGCATACATAGGAGAGTGCTGCATGTTGGCCGAGGATACTTGGGGCCGGCGCGTATGGAATGGTACTTTTTTTTATCTAAATAATAGAATGTTCTACAACTTACAAGTTTGAAGTAATATGCATGGATCGTAAGTTTGGCTGAGATAATCGGAAATCTCACCTGATTTCCTGCCTCAGGCCAGCATGAACCCCAAACTTCCAGTGGCTTTTTCTTCCCCCACCAAGTAAATTAAATCTCGCCTGGACCCCTCTTCAACCCTTCACAGAATCCCAGAGAGTCTGGACTCGACATCTTGACGGTTCTTTATGGAAAGAACACCGGTTTTCCATTCCAGCAGAAGAATCTGGATCGCGCAAATCACTCGTCAGCCGGGCTTCCCTCCCACAGTTTATGACGACCGTCATCACAACCTTCCCCATCGGGCATGGAGCTGGCAATAATCAGCCCAGCCCTTGGATGTCCACCGGACCCTAGACCAGCAACGGTCTAGCGGCAGCTCACTAGCGTGGCCCCCTTTTCCACCCGGAGATGGTCAATGGACCCTATACAACCCAAAAGTGGCCCTAAACTCAGGAACTGGGGGAAGAACCCCTGGGGCCCGTTCCTGGACCCGTTCGAACTTCAAACTTTGTGCCTGAACCGTTCCTTTTTTTTCACTAGCCGCTCGCCATCACGCAAATTACTTCTCCAATCCCACGATGCGCCCGGGTCTCTTGGCAGGAGCCGACCTATCAACGTTCCAGTAGCTTCCGGGTAACGCTCGCCAAGGTCGCTTTCGTATGCAGCAGGCTAGTAGGAAGACCCTGCGGCCGGCTCGTTTGTGTTGGTCTATGGGCGTATCGCCCCCCCTCTCTGTCTGTCATGATTTCCCCCCCTCGGAACCTTGCGCCCCCCAGACTAACGGATTATTAGCAGCAGACTTTGGGGGGACTTCACCTCTTTTCTTCTCTTTCTTCCCTTTCCACCCCAGTCTCTTCACGCGCGCGACGCTTCTGGCCCGTCTTTCCCTTCGTTTCTCCGTCTCTCGTTAAGATCTTTTAAAGATCCAGTCGCTCTTTATTTTTGCCAGTCGTCGATAAATTGAAGTTCTGTGTACACACACTCCTTCCGCGCCAATTACACTCGTTACACTCCCTTGGGCCAAATCCGTCTCAATCAAGTCACCATGCGTTTCCACACTGTCGCTCTCCTCACTGGCGCAACTGCTGCCGCTGCGGGTAACACCGCTACTCTGCTTCTCCCTGGTTTCCAGGGTCGCAACCTCGAGGCTGGTATCATCAGCAAGGTATGTGTGTTGTGCGCGTGTCGCGGTTGAGTACGGACTACACCCCCGTACTCCCTACTTGATATCCCGCGCCAGGCATCCAGACATATCATATCATCCATCTAACTATCGCATAGGCTGGCGATGCCACCACCTACCTGGTGACCTGCCCGACCACCGTCGCCTCTGCTGACTGCGGTATCCCCGGCAAGGGCATGACTGCTGTCGCTGCCCCCAGCTCCGCTGAGCTGTACCAGGCTTACGCTGACGGCAGGTAAGTACTCGTACTACAATATCTCTCCCGCTTTCGCATTTCCAAATCGCAATACTAATGCGCCATCACAGCACCGCCACCGTCTCCTGCGCTGTTGCTGGCACCACCTACGCCTCCTGCTCCGCTGCGCAGGGCACCGTGACCGTCGAGCACACACTGGACTCCAAGAACATCAACTGGATGCCCGTCACTGTGACTGGAGACTGCTCGACCAGCACTCCCACTCCCACTCCTACCCCTACTATCACCACTACCGAGGTCACCCAGACCTCTACCTCGACTTCCAGCCCGATCTCGAGCCCCATCAAGTCTACTTCTCGCCCGGCCTCGTCCACCCCTGTTGCTAGCAGCACCCCTCTGGCCCCCAGCCAGACCGGTGCCAGCACCTCCGCCCCGGCCGCGACCCAGCCCGCTGCGCCCAACGCTGCCGTCTCTCTGGCCGGCAACGGCTGGACTCTCGGCGGTGCCGTCCTGGCTATGGTCTACGCTCTTGTGTAAAGGGGGGAGAAGAAACAAAAAGCAACTCGACAGTCGGGACTGCACTACTCTCGTCCTATCTTCTCTTCGATCTGCTTTCGCAGATACATGGGTCACACTGTGTATCTGTGGAAATTACTTTTCCCCAGGGGGTTTGTGGTAATGTTACTTTTCTAATGGATGTTGATCATGTACTTCACCTACCTGTACACATCTAACCTATTACTTAATGATTTTGATACCTTTTTCTCCACGACAGCATGATCCAGCGCGCCGGCTCCTGTACATTTCTTTTCATCTTCCTTGATTATTTTCTTCTTATCTATTCTGGTCATCTCTGTGTATATCCAGTGTTCATAAGCAATTTAAACCTGTCTGCCATCTACTCTACAATCTTAACATCTCCCTCTCCATCCTCAATCCCAACCCCATCTCCCTTCCCATTCACATCTATATCCCCATCCTTATTCTCCCTCCTCCCCAACCCACCCTTACAATAAACCCCATCCACCCCCTCAGCTAACCACCCACTCTCCACCCCAGACACCCAAAAAACAGGCGTCCTCCCCTGCAAAACATCCACAAACCCTTCCAACCTCCACCTCCAACTACTCCACCCACTGCTTCCCCCCTTCTCCCCCGTCGAAACCACCCTCCCACTCCACAACGGACCTCCGCTATAGCACTTCCTACAACTAACCTCCCCGCTCCGTTTATCCAAAACACTTATGTAATGGTAAACATGCGGCTGGGTAAAATTATAGAAGTATATCACTGCAAAGTCCGTTTCCACTGTTATACTGGGTGCATCCCAGAGACGGGCGATGCTAGCGGGTGTTAGTGGGTAGGGGTGCGAGAGGGAGGTTGTTATTTTTGAGCAGACGGTGTTTGAGGACGGATCTTTGAAGAGGAGGTGGGTTGTTAGGGAGGTGTCGATTCGGGGGTCTGATGGCGAGGGGTGTGCGGTTGAGGAGAGGATTTGTGTTGGGAGGGTTGCGTGTAGGGCGAAGAGGGTGGATGAGAGGGCGGAGGAGTGAGTTATGAAGGAGCCGCCTGGAAAGAATATCATAGTGTGAGTATTGTATCCATAGAAGTAGAAGTATGATGGAATAGGGTGTATAATTTAGTGTAGGTTGGTGGTATGGAATGTAAGTGGAAGGGAATAGAGGATATAGATAATTGTGGAATAGGAACGTTAGAACCTGATATATCAACTTACCAGCAGCATCAAAATCCCAGGCTGGATCACTCAACGACATACTCGGCATACAACTAACAACAGCCTCCGTCCGAAGTAACCGTCCATACTCCCTCGTATCAACAATCTTCCTCCACGCATGCGCAGCAGGATGGAACTGCCAATGCGGCTAATACACAATCAGCCCAATCCAAATCCGACTCTCCACAAAAGAAACACAATAACAGTCGAAGGTATCTACTATCTACTCACCCCATCAAGTAAGACAACCCCCCTCTCCCCCGCAAGCCGATGAACATCCCTCACACCCTCCGCATTCCCAGCAACGGGACTCTCACAAAGCACATGTTTCCCGGCATTAAGTGCCTGTTTCGCAAGAGCGTATCGACTAGCAATCGGCGCACAGATATACACCGCTGTAATATCGGAGTCTTGGAGGAGGGAGTTGTGGGATGTGTATGTTTCCGTGAAGTAGTGTTTATACTTTTGGCGGAGGGTTTTGTAGGTTTTTGGGTTTGGGGTGGAGAGGGCGTGGAGGATTGTAGAAAGATGGGTTGCGCAGGGGTATATTACTGGAAAGAGTATTGGTTAGATGTTAGGTAGGGTAGGGATTCATCTTATGATGACGGAGGAGGGGAGGAATGGGTATGGTAAGGGACATATTATAGTAGTAGCGTTGTGAGGATAATTGACTTACTCGTAACAGGATCAAGCTCGGCATTTTCCACGAGAACACCTAGTTTTATAGCGTCGGGGCGTTTACTTGGTGTTGGGTGGAGATATGACCAAACGTATTCATGAAGGAGGCTTGCGACTTGCATTGTGGGGATGGAGACAGTAAAACTTGAATATCAAGTATAATTGAGTTTTGTGAGTTAGAAATGTTAGATGATTGTTCAACAAGTCTCTGGATTTAAGGAGTAGATGCTGGGGGCGATGACGTGAATATCTCGTCAAAGGCGAAGATTTAGTAATTATACAGTAGCTCCGCCACGAAGGGAGTCTATATGAAGAGGAAACAGGAAAGATAAAAAATTAAATTCCCTTGGTAGTTTGAAACATGAATATTGGAAATTGGAAATTGAGTCTGTTCGGCAAAAAGGATTGTCTATTCGAAAACAACCTCACCAATACGTAATGCACAGCGATTTTGAAATGCAAAGTAACCCACCAGCTACGCATGACCAAAACGTCAAGCCTACCGGAGAAAAGAAGGTCTGAAGTAACACGTAAAACCATAAATCATGCCAAACCCAGCCTGAATCGCATCACGAGTCTCGAAGTCACCTATGCATACTCCTTCTCCCACCCCTCAAACCGATCCTGCAGCGTAACCCTAAGCGCAGGCTTATCCCAAAGGAAATACACTTTCTGCTTTGTCCAATCCACGCTCTCGGGACACAGGGTGATATCGAAGTTGTATAGCAGTTTGCAGAGGATCAATCGGGTCTCGCAGTAAGCCAGGCTAAGACAGGAGAGTTTCAATTAGAAGAGGTCACAAAATATATGGAGTTGGGTTTTCAGGTGAACTCACGTCTTCCCAAGACAATTCCTCGGCCCGAGACTAAAAGGCTGCAAGACGTCCTTTTTATCATTGTCGAAGCGGGTGTCACTTCCGAGCCATCGCTCCGGAATGAATGTGTTGGGGAGAGCGAAGTTGGAGGTGGAACGGTAGGAGGCGTAGTGGTGGCAACTAACGACGGTCTGGTCGGTGCATTAGCAGAGATACACTGTGATAATGTATGGGCTATGGAGAATGTGTATACGTACGCCGCCCGGTACAAAATGACCATCGATACATGCACCATCCGCCGGGATGATACGTGCAAGACTGGTAACGAAAGGTGGATACATCCGGAGTGATTCTTCAATGACGGCAACCAAGTATGGCAACGCAGCAGAGCTGCGGAATGTTATGTCTTCAGCACTGGCAAACGCAGATCTGATCTCACTGATGAGGAGGCTCATAGCGCGTGGGTTCGTGCACAGGTAGTAAATACAGCCAGAAAGGAGCGTTGCGCTAGTCTCGCTACCTGCAATGATCAGACTAGGATAGATCGTCAGTTACCTAGAAAGGCATAGCAATGTAATGTGAAAGAAAGACATACATAAACGCATTCGAGTGAATCTCCGCTCGAGTCATCATCCTCGGCCCATCGCGGTAATGATCTTTCGATTCACTCAATCCATTCTGCAAGATCGTCGACATAAAGTCTGGCCTGGTGGTCTCCGTCTCCAAACGACGATCCGCCCGACGAGCAGCAAGATCAAAATGCTCTACAGCCTTTTGCTTGAGCCGCTTGGGCACCAAAGCAAATAGCAAGCTATGAAAGAGCGGAAACTGCCTTGCCATACTATCGTACGACAACGCTTTGATTGACTTGAAGATCAATCCAATCCACGGATGTAACTGGCTATTCTTCAAACAATCAAAGGACTCGCCGAACATCAAGTCGCCGGTGATATCGAAGGTAGTGTAATTCATCCAATTCTTGATATCAAGAACCGAAGAACCTTTCTGAATCTCCAAGCGCAGCTTGGAAATCATCGTGTCAACATACCCCGTGATAAGAGGTTCCTGCTCCCGCAGTGCCCTCTCCGAGAAAGCCGGTGCCAACAACTTTCTCTGTCTCGCATGAGAGATATTATCTACCTCAGCAATGATGTGATTGACATTATTCGCTGGCGGCACATATCGCGACGGATCCTTGGGGAAACAACCCCCGGTCGAGCACCGTAAATATCCCGAAATGCGCGTGGTGTATTGAAAGCCAGTTCATTAGGACTGGTGCGGACTACGGGTCCATACCGTTCATGGAGAACTGTGACATCTAGATGGGCGTATCCCCGGAACACGGACAATTGGCCGGGTATGCGGGAAATGGCCCAGAGCCTCGGGCCCGGGAACCGAGAGAGTGGTGACCAGTAAAGTTCGTAGATGAGGCTGTAGACGAGGCCGAGTAAGATCTGGAGAGGGTGAACGTTTCACAGTGGTTAGCTTTTGCATTGAGGGGGAGTATAGGATGATGTGAGCAATACTGTGAGGGTCGGAGAATAAAAATTCAGGAATGATGTGGTTGGGTAGAGGGAGACTGACGGCTGTAGGGGCCTGCAGCTATCACCAGATGACGGTGTACGGGGATGCAACTTACCAGGACTCCTGCAGCGAGACTCCAGAAAAGGATATTAGAAGACAAGCTTGGTGAGAGTATGCTGAGATGCGATTGCAAGATGGAGGGTATGGACCCTAGAGCCTTGGAAGTAGCCTCTCTCATGGTATTTACTCTCTTGAGGCTGTCCAGTGCTCGATCTGTAGTATCAAGATAGACCCTGGTTGAGCTGTGTTTGGAGATGAGAATCTCGGGACAGCCAGGAGAATCCGAATGTCGTACCGAAGTAAAAGATGATGCAGTTGAATTGAGGCGGGGTCGGGTGGTGACAGGAATTAGAAGATTCCAGCTCATCTCAGCCTCAGCATGAAGACTAGGGCTGATGGAAGCAAACCGACTGGGATTGTGAGGGCGTCCGTGTGGAGGCAGTAGCGTGGAAGAATGGCGACTGTTAGATGGTTTGTTGGATGCATGAGAACGCCATCTTGATGTTTCCCTTTCATTCTCCTTCCTCTTTCTCTTTGTCGTCCATAATATCCTTGTCGTAGGCAAGCAATGATAAGGAATCCTATACTTCTCCCACACCGAATGTCTCGAAATTTCTGCTTGGTGTTCCTCCTCATTGTCTCTCTTAGACCAGTCCGATTGCCGACCCAACTGATCAACCCGAGAATCAAATCTCGGCTTCAAAATGCGGCTTCCGACCGTACACAACGTGTAAGTTGCAATAAGAGTGAACCTGGGGATTCTTCAAATCCTTCCGAACCCCAGCCAGGAACACCTGGGTATCGTTGTTGGACCAGCCAAGCACACGAGTAAACAGCGCCAGCGAGTAAGACTCGACCGCCATCAAAAGCGAGCACAAATTATACCGACCAATCTGTTTCTGGACGGGATCCCCGGCCCAAAAACTAGAAGGAACCTACCGGAAACGAAACGGAAAATCAAGCACCCAGGTTAGCCCCTCAACTATTTAACAAAACTACACAATCAAACCGGACAAAAGTCGAGTCTTGTACCAGGGTCTAGGGTCATACCTTGTACACTTCATCTCGAACCTTTTCAAACCCAGCCTCCACAAGTCGCCCCCGATGACCCTCGGCGATATTCATAGGTCTCTGAAAAGCCTCACTAGCCTCCTGCAAACGACGCAGATACTCGCACAAAGTCGGCGCCAGCTTCAACGTATCATCATCCGATTTGAGCATCACCTCAAACTCCTGCAACTCAATCCACCCACCGGGCTTGAGGTGCTTGTAAGCCTGCCGCAGCAACCGCGGCCAATCAGCAATAGCGCCGCCAAGATCACGCGCATGAATGAAATCAAATGGCCGATTGGCACTAAACAGCCACGGCTCCTCGGCGTCGTCGACTAGGAAGCGCAGATTGGGCGGGACCCAGGATGGTTGGATGGGACTTAGGTCTGTGCCGATGACTTCGGCGCTGGGGTAGCTATCTGCAAAATCGATGGCCCAGATTCCCGTGCCGGTGCCGATGTCTAGGGCTCGTTGGATGGAGGGTTCTAGTGGAGCGCGGAAAAGTGCGCCGTTGAGGACTAGATTGCGAACGTGATGGAGTAGATCTTGTCGGTCTTGTTCTTGTTCGTCGTTGGGGAGGACGTAGTTTCCCTCGCGGTAGGAATGGTATCGTCGACCATTTTCGTAGGCGTAGTCTTTTACATCCGATAATAGTGAAGCAGTGTAGCTGGACGTGTCGGAGTGATATTCATCCTCGTCGAATATAGACCCTCCTGTCTCGTTGGTCGAATCTTCCGTAGACGAAATGTCCGCCATTTCCTCGGAATCAGGATCCGGCGGAACCCACGAAGACGGATTAGGAAAATTCTCAGGCTGCATCGTGACCAATTCACTCTGATCTTCAAAAACAAAAGTTGAAGCTAAAGTAGACGTCGTTCGCGAAGATAGCCCTACACAACCTGTCTCACCAGTGGACGTCACCGCCCGCAAAGTTGAAATTTCTTCATCTGCGGAACGTGGCGGGGACAAATCTGGCTTTGACAATGTGGATCTCTCTTCGGAAATATCTTCCTCAACCGCTTCAGGTATAGGAGTCAATTGCGGCGGTATTGCTAGTATATGTTCTACACGATCACTTTCGGGATCGTCCCCCGGATCTGCAATGGTCTGAGCGCTGGGACTTTGTGGCGTAAAGGCTTGGGCTTGGACTGTGCGGTCCACATTAGAGGCTCTTGGAATTTGGGTAGACGTCTCCATTACATCAATGCATGGAGATAGGGCTTCAATCTCGGCCTCTTGAATGGGATTTTCACCTCCAGACTCCTGGATCGGCTGGAGGAGCAATGGCGATGGTGATGATGGTAGATCCTTCGGCTCGGGGCCATTCATCGAGATACGGGACTCGAAATTCGACAACGACAGAGATTCAGCCGACTCAATCACTTTGTATTCATGATCGCCATCCCCACGAATAGTACTGGTGATAATGCGATCGTCCGAATGTGAAGGCTTAGACGGGGCCATGCCCGTTCCCACGCCAGTCCTAGGCTCACCAAAACGATGCTTTCCAGAGCCCATCGTGGGATAGCAACAGCAGAAACGGAATAGAGCGGGATGCATGAGGGCTGGCTGAGCTTCACTTCAAGCCTTGAAATCAATATTTTCTTTCCTCGGCCCTTTCAATCGTGAAGAGAACCCGTGTAGCAAGACCGCAACCACTCAGCGTGACAGTCCGAACCAGGGAGTGTGAGACTAGCACCGGGACTGTAGCTGTAGAAGGGATAACCCAATTCCCGAGGAGACCTGTTTGCCTCAGATTATGAAGTCGTTGCGTTGAGTGTTCTTGGTGTAATCAATGTAGGACAAGTTGGTTGGGAAATGCCTCGAATTATATCGACAACTGCATTGTGGAATAGCCGAATGGACGGGAACGAACGCTCGTGTCCAAGACATCCCATGCATCCTTCATGCCGACAGCCTTTGGTCTGATTTGGATACATTGGTATCACTCTGTTTGACAGGCTGTAGAAGTCTCATTGACCTTGTTCTGGGGGTGCCGGAGTCAACGGGTAGAGGAGAACAAAGAAAATTACATCCCGGTCCGGCTGTTAAGCAAACATCCTGGGCGAACCTTGTTTTCGGGACCGCCTGAGGGAGATCTACAATTCATACAAGGGCATTTCATCATTCTCGTTTAGCCATGTCATTTCAGCAGAGGGCCGTGCTATGGCCCCACTCTGAGCTTGAAACTCTGTCATAGACTCATGGGGGTATTATCTCATGCCTCATCTAAGTCTCGAATAGAAACTAGCGCCATCACACTGGCTCTTCATGGGTATCCCACTATCCCAGATTAACTGCGCAGTCCACCCCGAGTAAATCTCTCCGCCATGCCCATTCCTCTCAGATTGGGCCCTGGATTCCCTCGCGACCGCCGCTCAGACTCGGGAGCTCGCACTTCCAGCCCGGCATGAAGTACGCTGGCACGGAGAATACGCAAATGCGCCTCCTCATTAAAAGAGCGCAGGCTCTCCAAGGTCTTGTTCTGGACTTCCGTCCTCAGATCGGTCTGGTTCGAGACCAGAACTCCCTTCTCCAGGTCAATCCGAGCATCCAGCACGCCCTTCTTCACCATTTGAATGAGTTCCTGGACGAATGGGGATGACACGCCAGTAGGCTGTGCTTCGCCGCCGATCACTTGGGGAGCAAAGATTGTGGCCATGGAAGTCAAAGTGACGCGGCTGAAAGGAACTAGGTATTGTTTGATCGCTTTCGTGCGGATCAGGGTGTAGATTTCGGAGATGTGACGTTGAAGGTGAATATCGAGAAGGTAATCGGTGCGATAAGCTTCCAAGATGTCCAGGCAGGGGCGGAACTTGGAATTGCAGAAGAATGCAATCGCACGTCGGATATGTGGTTCGAGTTCGAGGAAGTTGCGGAACGCGCTGTTCTCTAGAACACGACGCTGTAGATCCCCGCGGTCCATGGATGCCATCGCACACAGACCTCCGTAGACGGCGACATCGTTGGGCGTGATAATCTCGTTGAAGGTGTCAGCCAGGCTGACATCGGTTGACAGGAAGGTGTTGGCAGCGTCGAGGTATGAACCGGAGTGCATCTGCGCGAGACCCAGAGCAGCGGCCATCTTGGGCTGATTCTTAAGCTGGTCCTCGGGCTTGGACTGAGCGTTGCGCAGCCGGTGCACATTGGACTGGACGGCAAGCCAATCTCCACGTTCAATGGAGACATTTAGAAGCTTGAAGAGCATAGAGGCAATGTGGTTCGGGGTTGTGCAATAGTCTCGCATGCGGGTGTATGCTTTCGAAGCAGCGAGTAGATCGCCGGTCTCGTAGTAATGGTTTCCGATATCCTCGTTGCCCATCTAGGGGAAAAGTTAGACTTGGCGGGCACAGAACGGTCGGGAAAAACGCACCCGAATGCTCTCCTTAATCAAGTTATTCTTGTACCCCCGAAGTTCCTGCTCCAACCTTTCGGATTGAGCTTGAACCTGCCGTTGGACATTATGAACCCACGCCGTGTCGAGAGAAGCATCCTCCTCGGTCGGTGCTACTTCCGACAGCGCACGAACTGCCTTTTCGTATTGCGAGACATCCTTCCCAGACTTGGCTTCGGCCACTGCAAGCTTCAGCGCTTCGGTCGAGAGGACTGTGGACGAGGTTCCAATAAGGTAAAGGCGATTGAATCGGGTCCGGCCTGGGAGAGTCGCAGTTAGAACTAGATCAGTAGAACAAAGGATGAGAGAGTTGACTTACCGACGTAGTTTGCAATGTAAGATTCAAGGTCGAATTTGGGAGGATCTGCCAGGTTACAGACGTTAGTTCGCAGTTCTCAAAGGCCTGGGACAGCTATCGGCGGGTAAGTTGGTTGCCCCGCAGGAGTATCGACGTACCATGAACTTTGATTCGAGCAATAGGCTCCGGATTTTCAATCACTCCCGGTAGACCTTGAGAGGAAGCGCCAGCAGCTCCTGACGGAAACGGGGCAGCGAATTTGACCTGTGTAGAAGAGGGGAAGGCATCTGGTAGTGTGTCCATCTCGCCTGCACTGCCGGGAATCGCAGCACCTGGCTCAGACACAGATGGTGAGGGGGAGGACCACAAATGCGAAAGGTATTGAGGTGCTGGTAGATTTGGAGGTCAGAGTTTCCAGGTTAAATCGGGATCTGGGAAAAGAAGACGTGCTGTGAGAGTTGCAGAGACCAGGCACTCATCATTGTGATCGCTCGTGGAATCGGGGAGCTGATAGGCAGTATCCGACCGCCCTGGTCACCGCTATTTCAGCCTCAGCAATGAGGTTTCCAAGCTTGCTATCAGTAGAGGACCTTGAAAATTGAGTGTACATCAGAGTACTGAAACTAGAGTAGAGGCCTACTACCTCTATCTGTCGCTGATGTAAGGTTAAGTCAAAAGCAAAAAACTCAATGTAAGAAATTAAGAATAAACATCATCCCAAAATGAAGACTTTAGTTCTTACACAGTATGAAGGAGGCAGTTTACAATCACTAACCTCCTAAATTTGAACTACCCTGAAATATCCATAAAGCCCTTCTATATGGCTACTTTACCAAATGACGTCTGTTCTAAGACTGCCCTTCGGCGGCATCCCAAATATAATTCCTGCCTAAGGCACAAATCCCCACCTCGGCCTCCCACGAGCCTCGGAGCTTGAGTAATCACAAAAAGATCGGGGTTCATCCCCAGATTATTCTCATCTCGCGACTCCAAACTCCCAATACCCGCGGGTATCCTAAAAATTACAATTTCCCGATGAATAATTTCCTGATACTCTAATCTCGGCTCTTTCATCCGTCCCACAGCCATTATCTTAGTCACCTATTGTTCTTGCGACACTTATATACCATAGCTCCCCCGCAGTATCTCCGCATTGCATTACATTCACCGCGAAAAACCAACAACAGGACCAAAAGCCCAACTACTTCATCCAATATGGCATCTGAAAAGCCTGTAGCCCTCGTCATTGGCGCTTCACGGGGTATCGGTCGCCAAATAGCCATCGACCTCGCAAGCAATGGCTACGCTGGTACCGATCACCATCCTCACTCCCAAATCCCAACTAACACCGATATCCCATCTAGTAATGCTAGCAGCAAAAACCACCTCCGACGCTAGCAAAACAACCCCTTTCCCCCCGGACCCAAACTCCTCCTCCTCAACAATCTCAACAGTCGCCCGCGAGATCCACGAAACCGGCGGCCAAGCCTCGACCGTGGCCGTTGACGTCCGCGACCCAGACCAAATCCAACATGCCTTTGACGAAACGCTGCGCGTATACGGGAAACTAGACGTCCTCGTGTACAACTCCGGCGCGATATGGTGGTCTTCCGTTGAAGGGACGCCGTTGAAGAGGTTTAAGCTTATGCAGGCTGTTAACCCGGAGGGATTGTATGCTAGTGTTCAGGCTGCGTTGCCGGTTTTCGGGAGGGGCGATAGATGGAAGGGGAGGATTGTTGTTGTCTGTCCGCCTATTTATTCGAGGTTTTTTAGGGGGAAGACGGGGTATGCTATGGGTATGTATTGTGTTTGTGTTGGGAGTTGGGGGTTGGATGATTGCTGATTTTGATATTCGTGTTTAGGAAAGGTTGGTATGAGTGTTTTGGTCAAGGGTCTTGCTATGGACTTTGTTCGTCAGGAGAGGAATGAAATGGCTATCACGGGCATCTGGCCTGCAGCGGTATGTATAACTTATCCCCAGCCTGGACACATCCTGATCTATACATAATCTCATCTAACACTATCACTGTCTAGTCCATCGAATCTGCCGCAACAGAATACAACAAATCCTCCGATAAATCCTACAGAAAGGATCTCCGGAAACCGGTACGTCAACACCCCTCCTCACCAATCTATACTCGCCACTAACCTGTCCAACAGAAAATCTTCTCCGACGCAATCCTAGCCATGCTCCGCGCCCCGGCTACCCAGGTAAACGGCCTCCTAGACACGGATGAGGACTTTCTCCGCGAGAAATGCGGAGTCACCGATTTCTCGCAGTACTCTGTGATTCCCGGGTCGACGCCTAGACGGATTATGCCGGCCAAGTTTCCGGTTTTGGAGGTTGCGGAGCAGGATGATGAGGGGCAGAGGATGGATAGTACTAAGATTCGGGCTGCTAAGATTTAGGGTGGCATGTGGCACGGTGGAGGAAAAGGGCAGGCAGGGGAAAGGGGTTTTTGTATCTTATACTTGACAATTGAATGTATACTTGTAAACTCTCTGATTGAGGAAACTTCAGAGTTCAGAGAGAATGTTCAGTGATCGAGGATGTGTCAATTTGTAAATTGCAATAGATACCGATCCCATTAATGCAAGCTTAAACTTGTACGAAAACGCTCAATGCCGATGCAAACGAAGGAAGAAGACACAATATCCAAGAAATCCAGCCGAAAAACACCATGACCAGGATTAAGAGGAAAAGAAAATCAGAATCATAAGAAAGGCCCTGCTCTCAACGGCCACAGAAGTTAGGCAGGCAGCGTAGGGTAGCCAACCAACGCAGCTCCCCACACCGTCACACCTTACAGCAACGCCGCAAAGCCAGCAACGATACCGCCAACAAGCACACACATGCCATAAACCTGGCCCATCTCCACAGAGTGACCACGAGGAGCAGCACCGGTAGCACCGCCAGTCTGAATAACGCTAGCAGAGGTGCTTGTGGCAGCCACGGACGAGGAAGCGGTAGTAGTAACGTTCACACGAGACGGGTTTTGAGCACCACAGGGGTGGGCAGTGCGGCAATCAGACTGACAGGCGGAAGTAGTGCAGGCATTGACACATTGGTTGTTGGCTTCGGTGCAGATGAAGTACGGCAGGGTCTGGGAGTACTCTGAGGCATTGGGGGTGACGCCGTTGCTGCAGACACAGCTATATGAGAGAGTTTCCTGGGGGGGAGAGAGTTTAGTATGGGATGTTGAGAGGGTTGATGTTAGGGTTGTGAGACTTACCGCGGTACAGTTGTTGCTCTCTGGGGTACCGGACGCGATTTGCAGGCAGAGCAGAGGACAGGCGGATATCTGGGCGTTGCACCAGTATCCTGTGATGGATGTTAGAGATCCAGGGTTTGACTGATTGTTGGGGGCATTGGTGGTGAGAGCAGGGTTAGGATAACTTACTACGAGTGTTGATGTCCACCGAGTTAGGGTCAATGGTCTCGGTAGACTGGCTGCTCACCAGAGCTGCCGACGAGGCCAGGACCAGCAGCAGATTAGACAGCATGGTTGCTCCGTCTATGGATACTGGAGAGGGTGGTTATGAAACGGGGGTGTGGCTAGATAAGGAAACAAATATCAGCAAGGTTGACAGATGACAGACCCCCAGCAACGGAGGCAAGTGTTTGCATGTAGATCGGTTACACACGCATGAAAGTAAAAAAGTAGACAGATCGGGCAGGAGATGGAATGTAGGGGGGAAACGCGCAAGAAGGAGAGCACTGGGCACTGGGCCAGGGCCCATGACAGGGAAACTCACTGAAGGCTGGAATTCCTGGACCTGCTTCGAGAACGGAGGCAAGAATGGAGGGAAGTGGAGAGGCAAGGACAGAATCACAAAGTGAAGCAGATATGCAATGCGAGCGGGTCTTGTAGCGACAGACAGAACGAGTGACAGGTAAGAAGAGAAAAGAGGAAGAGAGGAGGAGGGAGAGTTGAGAATAAAAACGCAAGGAGTGGAGTAAAATGGTCCGGACGATCACGAGATTTGGGGAAAAAAAAACATGCTAAATATACATACTGTACTTCTTACAATCCCAGGACTAGGAAATAATAACTAGCTTCGGCTGTTTCCTTCTCCCTATTTTTTCTTCTCTCTGCTCCATCAGGGTCCTATCAGGGTCTAGCGAGGCAAGCAGAATGTACTGAGATTGGACTAGCGGTGGCCCGGGCAGATCACTAGTGCAGTGGGTTGTGGAGTGTGATACCGCAGTTGCATTTGGGAATCAAACGGGCATTGACGCTGATTGTCTCTGAATGACTATTTTATTCTCTGTCAACGAGTACTTCATTGTCCTCGGTAAAACCCCACCCCGATCGTGTGTGTCGACATTCTGCCAAGGACTCAAGGGAAGGGAGCTCGAGAGCTCTAGAGCTCTAGACCCAAGGCGGTGGTGGACATGTCGATCCGGGGATATCGGCTATCAGAATTGACTTTTTACTCTGCCCCTTTTCTTAACTTTCTCAATTCTGTATGATTCTCCATGAAGCCGTTTGACCCCATGCAAGTGCAGTCATCATGTCCATCATTGACACACCGACCGGTCCCCGCTGCAAGACGAAGACAGAGCGTGCTACTGTAGTGTCCGCCACTGTGTCTAAAAAGACACGGTCGATAAGGGATGTCTCAGTGTTGGCAGCTACGCCGATCCAGGGCGCTAACTATCTCAGGACTAGTGGGGTTGTTAGGCTTGGAGCTGGTGTTTGGCGTTTGGCGGTTCCTCGGTAACTCCCTAGTCCCTTCTCCATAGTCCAGGCGAGGCAAAAGTGCCCGAGAGGGACTCTGTAGAAAAGTCGGTGTAATATAGTACAGTCTGAAGGATAATTGTATGCAGTAGATGAATTTATATTAATGCCATTAGCATGGATTATAGTACATAGAACTGTAGCTGCAATGCAAATTGCAGAGGAGTTGTTATTAGGGCGGTATGCTGGTGCATTCCACGGGCAGTCAGACCACCCAATTAGGGGCTGACCCACTTCGGGACTTTGCACTTGATCACTAGGGGTATGAAATACTGTATATTACGGTAATACAGTATCCAGAAGAGCATAAGATACCAGCAGCTGTCTTTTGAGAGTCAGTAGCTCGCTCGCCTAATTCCCTAGCACAGTATGATATAAATCACTTCAAACCATTAAGCTCTCAAGCCCTTGCTCTTCAAATTGGCATTTTCAAAGTACTCTCGTTACAGGCTTCCGATCTGACGGTGGACTCGGCCTCGTATGGAAATGGCCAGCCTTGATGATCACACTTCCAAGAGCAAATATCGACCGCAAAGAGGCACATCTACAAAACATTTTGTAGGACTCATTTTGTCACATCAACCCCATTTGGTTTCGTTGTCATAGATAAAGGTGAGAAAGGCCGACATCTATCAATACATCCGAGAGGCCTGCATACAGTAGTCTCGGCCGAATTCACGAGCGGCTCTGCGCGATTTCTCGGGGATTCCGTCTATCTTACTGACTGGGTGACCTATTGCCTATGCTTGTGCTGTGCTCACGAAGCTGAGACCTTTTCACCTCTCGAATAAACAACATCGTAGGCCAACCGACCAGAACTTTTTGTGACTGTGCCACACGGGAATGTTCTCTTACAAATACCCACTAGGCAGCAATGTCGGGCTATGCGAGTATTGAGCCCCATCATTTGGCTTAATGATGGATTTCTCCACATCCATAGGCTGTCCGATTGTGGCTGGGGCGAGCATGGCTCTCGGCGCTACGACATGCCACAGCTGGACCATTCTCTACCAATCAGGCTACTTTATCATGAGGTGTTGGGTGCCAACCGCCAACAAGTAAAGAGCCTCATCTATACAACCGAGTCATGAATTGGGTCTGAAAAGTCATCACAAATCGTTTATATAAATTCATATCTGAGTCTGTCTGGATTTAGGTCTGCCATGAATGAAATTACATGCTTTGATCCAGCCTCTTCCTCATTTCTTTGAACACCCACTTTTCTGGGAATCATTTTCAACCAACTCTCTTGGCATATTTTATTCTCAATCATTGCTGAAGCTGTCTCTATTATCGCTTGGCATGGATTCGTGTGGAAATCCTACCAGCTTCATCATGGATAATATTACCGAGTCAATACGAAACGTCCACTTGGGTGATGTACCCGAAGAATCAGAGCAGCTGTTATTCAGTCCTCATCCAGATAGTGGGGTAGCAGAAAGTGTCCTAGATAACGTTCCTCGTTACCTCTTCCGCGTGGCTACACCCGAATCTGACGGAATTACGAATGAAACATGGGTTCGATCGGAAGCGGCCTTGCGGGATAGAGGCGCTTCCCTGGAAGATATTTTCTTCCATTTGGATACCAAGAAGCGAACAGAGGTAGCCAAAATACTCAACCTACATCTTCAATGGCAGACAAAGAACGACCTGTTAGACAATTTTGTCTCATGGACTAGCTCGCTCCTCTTCGCAATCCAGTACATCTATTACCGGCACCATAAAGACAACACACCTCTTGAAGACATCAAGTTGTTCGTCGTCGATACAACAATGTTTCCCAGAGGAATATTCATGCGCGATCTAGATTTGATTGATATCTTTTGCGAGTCTAACACAAGACTGAACGACTTCCGTTCTCTGCGCAACGGTGGTACCTACTATTTTGGGGAATATTTTTCCCAGGGGTCATTGAAAATTGAGGATAAATGTCAGTTGATCCCTGCACAAGTCATCTTTGAGCAGGATAGGCTGCGTCGCATACAGCCTCGTTTCGCTCCTATATCGAGCAAAGCCTCGGAATGGGCTAAACCCGTTGTTCGTCTTCGACGAAATATCTATCTACGACCCAGCCTGGTTTCCCTCACTTCGACAGAAATGCGTGATCGCTTGCAGGCCATTGAGGAAATTATGCCCCATATTTCCGCTAGCTGGCGATTCCCTATTGCTGTATACTTTGCAGGACTTATCGGTGCGGAGACGTCACTCAGTGATCAAGAAGTGGGAGACGACAATCTGTTTTTTGCATATTTCCATTCCGGTACTTTTGGCTGTAAGTATTCCTATAACCTTCCCACTCAAGGGGACAGGATTACTTATCAAACAAATCCGAATAGTTCTCCCAGTCCAGCTTGAATTCCGACCTTCAAACTTCAACATTATAGCACCGAATACAACCCTTGAGCTGAAACACGTCCAAAAACTGGTTCGGGAGATACACAAGCATTCACTCTTAAAAAGAGCGCTGGGTCAGTACCACCCGGGATAACCCTTCCTCGATTCTTTTTGTTTTCTAACATTGTAGACTAGGGCGTCTCGGACACGCCGAATTCATTATTCGCACCTTGCACACCGAAAGCCTCTCTCCCGAGAATGGACATGGTTTCGTTGCGCCTGATTTGAACCCGATGCTAGCTCGAGCTGGTCAAGAGGTTTTGTCAAAGCTTGGACGGGTAGAGACGATGTGTAACGAGTTGGCAGAGGTCATTTCAATTGTGTAGTGCGACGGTGTCCATTAGACACCCACGCATTGTTTCTTGACTTGCTCGTTTCTTAATGTGGGAATATTATGGATGGATTGCTTACCAAATTGCTATAGTTATGTTCTGCTTCTCTAATGAACACATTAAGTTGACTTTATATCATTCCACTCCTTTGGCAGATCAGGTCCTCGAGCTTATTGGGAATACGGACAGACCCCTACTCAATTAAAACTACTGTTGTGCCTACTGCTACCTCTATTCACAACAACCGAATTCGTCTAAGAAGAGTCACACTGTAAATTTTTCCCTCGTAAGGGAAAATATAGTAGAGTAAAGTAAAAGTAAATGACAGTTTGAGATAAATAACGAGCGGCCCCATGTATAAATTAAGGGATACTCTAGCCGAGTGTATTCTACCGTATCTCTCTAACCAATACAATACAATACCAATAATACATTGTGAGCACCTCCGCTCCACAAGCACCGGCTTACCTAAGAAAGACCTCCGCAGCCCCCAACTGCTCCCCGGAACATCCGTCATTGACTTTCAACACGAGCTAGAGAACCCACCCCCAAACAAGCTCGCTTGAACTCGGACGCCGGGTTCCAAGGTCAGTAACTCTCCCTATAACACCCTCTATTCAAATCATCCAAGTATACCCCGCCTCGCCTTGTTTTACCCTGGTTGCACCGCACAATCCCCCCCCCCTCTCTCCCCTCCCGGATCACGGATCAGCCCCCTTCTATAATTGTCTCTCCCCGCATGGACCCAACGCTCCGATCCGCATGAGACATACATGGAACCACACGCACATGCCGCGGGGGCATCAATGGGACTCCACTGCTAGATAGTGCTTGACCGCCTAACTGTTGAAGACGAAGCTGATTGCTGACGCTGACGTCGTTTCTACCCTGTTAGCTCGGACACAGGCTAGCGAGGTTCTCACCATCTGATGGATGGAGCCTGCGAGTGAGGAGGCCATCCCGGCACCGGCATCGGCAATCCTGCCACAGCCACAGCTCTCCTCCCCGCAAGACGATAATGCCACTGCAAAGGCCGATACCGAGAACGTCTTGAGTAACGGGAACCAACCCGATGATGACGACAACGCCGGCCCTGACACTGGTAACCCCGATGAAACAACGCTCCCACATCTAGACAGCGCAGCATCAAGCTCCAAGTCCCGCCCCGTCTCCAGCGTCATCCCACCCTTCTGGCAACGTCATGAACGATCTGTGTCTCGGGCATCGCTGAGTTCGCTGGCGCAGAGCAGGATTATTCGGTTGGAGGATCATACGGCGGACCCGGACTCGGAGACTAGTCGGGGGTTATGGGCGAGGAGTGTTGCCATTGATGATCATGTTGTTGTACATGGGAAGAGTGGGGTGGGATCTTATGTTGTTTGGAATTGTACGATTCAGACTCTTGATGTAAGCTCTCCCGGGGGGATTCGTTTGAGGGTCGGTTAGGGCTGGGTTCTGACTGCGTCTAAGGGAGGTCCGATTGTTGTTCGAATGAGGTATGCTAATCACTTCTTGCTACGTGTTTGGTGTCGACTCTTTATCGGGTGATGTCTGGCGTTTATACTAAAGTGCAAGCTAGATACTCCGAATTCGACGACTTACGCCAAAGACTGGAATCCGCCTTTCCCCATGCTAGAAATGCATTACCCGCACTTCCACCGAAGAGTGTACTATGTATGTCCTTAACGCCCCTACCCACCTCCACCTCTTCTTCCTGCAATCCGCATCCAACCCCGACATCCAGCTAACAGCATACCAGTCAAATTCCGTCCCAAATTCCTCGAATCTCGACGCGTCGGTCTGGAATATTTCCTCAAGTAAGTCTATCCCACCCATACTCCCAAGATAATATGTTAAACATCCGACTAACGTGTGTATCCAGTTGTGTCCTCTTAAACCCCGAATTCTCCAGTTCGCCCATCGTCAAGGACTTTCTCTTTGGTCGTTTGTCGTGAACGTTAATATTTACTCGTCTCGTACATATCCCTTCATTGAGGTGTAATCTACTTTTGTATGAATACTCGATTCTCGTCCCTTTTTTGACATGTGTCAGATTAGTGTCTTCGTCGGAGTGAGACACACTATTCCTCTTCTGATTATAGGTACTCCTAGCCTAATCGAATTCTTCTTTTCTCCCTCTCCGCTGTGACTGCATTTAGACTGATATACACACATATGTGGCAACACACTACTTTCGAAAAAAATCATCATATGAGAGAAAACTCTTATTAAAAGCAGTTCCAAGAATGACCACAAAGGAAAGAAAATCGAAAAAAGAAAAACCTGAAAAGGTAAGGTCGTGAGTGAACCGCCTTCGACTCGACTCGACATGGCATGACAACAAAAAGGAAAATCCAACAAAGAATGACAACTACCCCCGAAAAGAAGGTACAGTGATAAGTAGGCAGCAGAACCAGAACAAGAACAAGAAGCAGATGAAACCATCCCAAAATCCAACCATCCATGCCGAAGAACAAGGCCAGACCAAGTGAAAAGAAAACAAAAACGCCCTTGCTATGATACAAGATTTCCCATCCAAAGATATGATACAGCAACGAGGAGGTCATACGCATATGATTGGCCAAGATGGCGGCCAAGTTATATGTGATAGCCAAAGACCTCGCGAGAAAGACGAAAGAAAAAAAAGGAAGACACCCATAGATAAGGGGGAAAAAGAAAGACAATCAAGAACAAGCAATGTCTAAATCACCGATCAACAATCGTCTCCTCCACAGAATCCGACAGTTCCTCGGGGGGTCTATGACTGTTCCCGAGACTGTGACTGTGGATCACCTTCACCATCCACCCTAGTCTTCTCACCCTTATGCCTGCGCTTGCGCCTAGACATGAAAGCCCTCAAATCCGCCCACAAAATCTTCCTCAGACTAATATTCGCCATATGAATCATCCCCAAAAACTGTCTGGGACCCGGCATCCCGCCAGGGAAAACAAGATAAAGTCCACAATCCTGTTCCACATCCGGCCGGAACTTATCATGATACGCCTTTTTCCCATGAATAGGTAGCCTCCGGAATGTATGGCCATACATTTCCTTCGTCAGACTGGCCAATGGTCCGGCCATACCGGTGATATCTTCGCGGGCGAGTACATGAACGGGTTCAAAGCCAAAGCCTAGATATGATACGCCTGCTCGGTGTAGCAGTGCCATTGCGGAGACGATGAGGAGGTCGCTGATTCCCTTTGCTGCGCCGGGTGCCGCGATGCAGGGATCAATGTGGTATCCGCCGTCGCCAAGTCGACGGAGTGCTGCGAATCCGTTGATCGTCCCGTCTGGTCCACGGCTGTAGACGAATGTCATCAGCGCGGGGAGCGCGAAGGGGTCGTACACGGTGATGAAAGCCTGCGGGCCGGCAGAGGTATTTCGTTCTGCGCGCCATGCGTCGTAGATACCCACCAGCTCGGATTGAAGCTGGGCATCCGTGCCATGCACGGCGGGGGCATACACGCCGAGAGTAACGCCGCCCTTTGCACTGTTCAGGAGTTGACGGTTTTGCACGGCGATGCGTTTCCCGCTGCGCTCCAGCAGGACCTCATTTGTTTGTGGGTTGAGGACGCGCTCTGTTCCAAAGCGGATGGTTGTCCAGCCTTGTGGTCGGGCAAAGTCACGGACAAAGGAACCGCTGGCGCCCATGAAGGCTAGACCCCAGTGGTGTTTACGGCGGTAGGTGGCGAATTCGGCGAGGAGGGAGGGGATCATGTGTGGTTCGCAGAGGGGATCGCCGCCGACGATGGCGACTTGGTTGCGTACCTTGAAGGAGAGGGCGCCGGTGCGGCTTTGATTGACGAAAAATCGATAGCTGTGGTCGAGGATGCCCATGTTGGCGACGCGGCCGTATTGAGCGGTTAGCCGTTGAATAGCGGACATTGTGGAGAAGTCTTCCAGGCAGAAGACGGCACCTGCAGTGCCCGGAGTTGTTTTGCTGTGACTTGAAGGACTGGTGCGAAGAGATTCCATGCTGGGGCGGTGGTGGCTGGATACGGTGGGTGCAACGGTTGATGCGGTTGATGTGGCGATCTCGTGTGCGTCGCGCTCATCTAGACTGGTTGGGGGTGTGCCGTGACTTTCGACTCCTGTCAACGTGCGACTGCTGCCGCTACGTGAGCTGGCACACGAGGAGGCTGTGAGTTCTGTGGTGAAGTTGTTGCGAAGGTGATCCACGACGGATGTACTGGAGATATCCAACCGGTCGTGTAGCTTGGTCAAGGCAGCGGGAGTGGTGTACATCTGATCAACCAATGCATCACCCAGCTCATCGAGAAGCAATGATTTCTTTTGTTTCGTGCCGACAATGTCGACGGCGTTCTTTCGTCCTCGTCGACCACGCTTCTCCTTCTCCGGCGCGGGAGATATGTTGATCGTGGGTTGCATCATCGGGACCATCGCCGTGGTGACACTAGTGACCATGATGGGCGGAATGGCCTCAGTCGGGGACAGCATTGGAGCCGTCATGATGAGAAGGAAGGTGAGAGAGTCCAGTGACGGGAGGAAGTGAGCCTACACGCGACTCTGGGGGGAAGGAAGCGGTCCAAGCAGAGTGAGATCGCCGCCAGTGGAAGTCAAATAAATTGAAAGCAAAGAGGAGTCAAGCCCATGAGAAGTTTAAAGGGCCCTCGGGGAGTAAAAAGAAGAATTGAAATGGACGAGAGAAATACGAGGAATTAAAAAAAGAAGAGGGAAGAGCCCGAGCAGAGGAGAGACGAGAGTGACGCGAGGTAATTCGAATAAAAAACAAAAAGAACTAAAATAAAATAAAAATAAAATAAAACAGACCGGATTATTTTTCTGCTGCAGTTTTAACTACAGTACTTAACCAGGCATTACACAGCATTGACTACGGCGACAGACTCGGCCCTTCCTAGAGGTTCCTCCTTCCCAACGAGCTCATTGTACCGGCTGAGTTTAAACGTCTAAAATGTCCTATGGAACGAGCATTCAATTAGGCAGAGGCATTTCCCAGTCAAAAGCCAAGCTTTGCCCCCGTTGGTTCTACCCAGTGGATCGCTTCTTTGGTCCGGAGCTTGCCTCCCTCCTGGTCGTAGACGAACTCGCCAATCCGGGCAGATTGACCAGCTGCGTCGGGGATCTACGGGGTCCAAGGCTATGGTGGGGCTGGAGTGCTAGCCTGTTTTAAGCAGGAAAGAAGGGTCCAAGGTGAAAGTCTTTTTTTTACATCTTAGCATGGCAAGGACAAGGTCTAAACTGCGTCGCGTGAGATTGTGGACGCAACTGCGCCTCGATGAATGTATACAGAGTATACTAGATGTATCGAGTTGACCACATCATCTCCTTCGTATAATTACGCAGGCCAGAATCTCGGCCAAAGGAGCCATCCTAAAGCCCATAAAATTGAAAACGCTGGTGCCTGAGCCTAAATGACGACAGGTCGCGCGATTTAAGATTCAGACAAGCCTCGTTAGTTTCTCTTGGCAACGGGTCAGGGTCCTCTGCCCTACATGACTAAGAATGTCGGTACTAAGGTTAGAATTCCTGAATTAGCTATTAAGTATACAAAGTAGAGTCTGCTCTTGCCTTGTTCTATGTACATTATACATGTCGAATGAGCAAGTAAGTACCCCCCTATCAAATATCACTCCGGTCGGCTCGCAATTCTAGCTCCATAACAGTCTGCAGGGGGTTCTGGATTATTACTCGAACAAGATCAACCAACGAAATTCATCGCCCCCTTCGCGACAAATGTACTAATTTATCTATAGTAGTAAAATACTACTGCAGTAGCCCCCGATCTCCCATAATCATGGCTGCCTGGCAGATTCCATGACTAGCGCAACGGGGTCCTCTCGGCCCGCCCTTTCGCGCCCCGCGGGTCCCGATTTTCTTCCGAGTTCCATTTCCAGTTTTTGACTTTCCAGATCTAGACTTGCACACTTCTAGATCCCCCTTCACGAGGTATACCCGGACAACCGCAACATCCCCGTGATTCGCAACGACCCTACATACGAGCCTCTACCACTCTCACCCTCTCACCTGCCAAGTCCGAGTGGCGAGGACGTCCTAAGAATATCATATCTACATACTCGGATTGCATTCACGCAGTCACGCACCCCGTTTTCAAAGGATGGCATAGCCCTGCAAGAAATATAAGCGGACGAAAATGGTAATACCCGTATTCCTGTACCCGCGGAATGACCCGCGTGCACGATCGGAGTCTTAATGCGGGCATTTCGATACGGAGGCTTGGCTGTGCCAAGATCTTCTTTGTCAGGCATCGAGTTCGATTGATATGGTACTGGAGCAAGGCGTCCAGGTTGTGGCCCTTGGCGTTTATTCGGATACCCTGATACCCTGCTGAATGGATTCTTCGTTTGGAATACATTACTGCCTGATTTCGACAGGAGTATAGGACGCTCGGAATGGAATCATGGTATTCCGAGGTGTGGAGCGATGGTGGTTTGTAGATGGATTATGCCAAGATCGCTACGGCTTAATCGATGGGGACGGCGGGGGCTTGTCCTAGAGGGTTCATCAGGGAATAGTCAAAAATCGAGTATAAGCGAGGCTAATTTAGTGTAGATTCATTTATTCACTCCTTTAAAACACTGCACCTCTACTAGAGATCCTCCCGATGTTCAAATAAACTCACTCACACAAACCACCACACCTTATACTTTAACATTATATTGATCCTTTAAATCCTTCAGTGGATAAATAACTCTACCCTAGCACAAGAAATTCCACAAACCCGATCTACCTCAGCCAACACCCGGCAATGGCTTAGATCTTGGCTGATAGCTGCCTAATCGGGAACGCCGAATGCCCAAGCTAGGAATTGAGAGTTGCCTAATTGTTATCGTAGCTTGGGAGGCTTCTGCTAGGCTTAGTGCTAGCTCAGCCCTACGCTATAGTATGGTACGACTGTATTATACGTAGCCTGGTGGATCCACCCGTATACGGATTTTCTCGAATCGTTCTTGATCATGCGCGATGCTTATTATACCTATTTCTGTGTCTGGGACTTAAGAATTGCCGGATTGGCATGACTAGGTGTGGAGGCTGGGTAGACGCGTAAAAGATCACCTGGTTCTTTCATTCCTGCAACGATGCCTAGCGCTGTACATGCTGATCTGATGTTGGACCATTGGCTAAAGCCGTCCGATTATACAGAGCCGGGTCGAGCTATGACTTATTTATATACATTTAGAGTCCATAGATCTCGAGCTGTCTCTTTGGGGAGGATCTTGCTCCCTACTCCACGTTTTGCATCAAGCTAACCGTGGAATCATGCTGCTAGGATGGCGTAGTTGAGGGTACTGCTGCATCAATGAGTGAACTGTTATCTAGACAGAGAGGGCCGTATCGTTTGCGGCGGGGACCTGATCTAACATTACGGAGACGAATTAGTGGACCACTTATGAGTTTTTTGAATCATTATAAATCTCTATAATTATTTGAAAGAAGGGAGCGTGTATCTTTGTTTGATTGATCTGCATTTTCTCCACTATCAGTGGTAATAACTGGAAAGCCCATGTAGAGGCAGATGATGAGATATCATGAGATGGCGAGGTAGGAGATAATGTAAATGGGCCTTCAGGCAGAACATGCGGATGAAGTGTTGAAATGGAAAGATTGTTGGCTTCGAAATGTTGTATTGATAGAGGGTTTGAGGAAGCTTCATTTTGAATTTGTCCTGACACGCAAATTGGACCTAGCCAGCTACGTGACGCCTGTTCAAAGAAACACCAACAGAACCGGAGGATGTTATCAAGAGGATGGTATACCGACGGAAGTATGAAGCGGATTCATGGCGATGGAGGTAGCCGAGGATATTAAAGGAAGACGGTGGAAAACAAGGTGTCGAAAAATGGTAAACTGATGTCCTTCTGGATTTGTCCTGACACGGAAACTGGATCATGCCAGCTACGTGACGCCTGCCCAAAAGGAAATACAGTAAACCCGAAGTGTCGTGTTGTTGAGGGTTGATACATCGAACGGACGTGCGGAGCGGATATGCGCAGAGTGCATCGTGGGAGAAAGCGGAGCTAGGAGAACGAGGATATCGGAGAGCGATTTGTTGAGGGGAAGGATGGTTGGCTGGATTGTCTTTGAATTTGTCCTGACACGCAAACTGGAGATTGCCAGGTACGTGACGCCCGTCCAAAGAGAACTCAGTGCAACCAAAGGAGGGATGGTATCGAAAGAGGTTGGAAATTTAGTAGCACAAGGGGAGAACGCAGGGATCGGAATCCAATGTGTCTTGTGGGAGGATGATATAGAGAGGAGGAACAGAAGAGGTTGGAGATGGTGACAGTGATTGGTGGCCAATGTGTCTGGTGGAAGGATATGAGAGACGGTGGTTTAGGACAGTGACTGGAGACCAATGTGTCCTAAGTGGGATCATGATAGAGAGAGGAGGAGCAGGAGAGGTTAGAGAGAAAGACAGTGATTGGTGGCCAATGTTGTCTTGTGGTTGGGTGCAAAAGATAGTGGAGAAAGACAGGGAGTGGAAACCGATATGCCAAGAAAGGGGTAAACTGAGATTCCTTTTGGATTTGTCCTGACACGCAAACTGGGGTTGCCAGTTACGTGATGCCTGTCCAAAAGGAAACAAAGTAAACCCATAGGAGGAGGATGGTATTGAGGGGATGAGTTGAGAAGCGTAGGGTATTCGAGGCTGCGGTGGGATGGCGGTTGACTGAGTAAGCTCTTGAATTTGTCCTGACACGCAAACTGGAGATCAGCTACGTGCTGCCTGTTCAAAAGAAAACATTGTCAAGTCGAAAGATGGTTGATATCGAGAGACGAGTGCGGCGAGCGGATATGCAATGAGCGGAGGGTCGAGGATGCGGTTCGATAGTTGACTGGATCCTCTTTGAATTTGTCCTGACACGCAAACTGGGTTTTGCTAGCTACGTGACGCCTGTCCAAAGAGAAACACAGTCAACTTCTGAAGTGGATGTGGTAGTTGCTGAAGGTTGAAGGTTGAACACGAGACAGTGATTGGAGGCCAATATGTCTTTATAGGAAGATGATTGACCAAGGTCCCCTTCGAATTTGTCCTGACATGCAAACTGGAAGTCCAGCTACATGACGCATGTCCGAAGAGAAACAAAGCCAACATCTGAAGTGGATGTGGGTGGAAGGACCTACGATGGATAGTATCAAAAGCATGTCAGTAACATGTGAAGGGACATAGGGAACATACCTTGATATAGGAAAGGTCAAGTGATGAGAGGTCATCAAGGTATGTCATGATGTGGACGTGTCATGGTAGATGTGACGTGTTGTTGACAGGTCAAGGTAGGATGGACGTGACATGTTGTGACATGAAGTGGATATGATAAAGTAGGATGAGGATGGAAGGTCATGTCAAAGTAGAAGAGACATGTCAAGGTGGAAGAGATATGTCAAGGTGGAGGTCCAAATAAAGTTGAGTGGCAGGCCATGTGGGCCAGGGGAGGGAGGGACAAGGCCTGGAGAATGCGGAGAGAAGTTGGGGAGTTTACGAAGGAAGAAATCTTGGGAGGCCCTGGGTGAGGAGGAGATATTTATAACTTCTAGGGTTTGAGGGGAATCAGCCCTAACGTTCATGTTCCCAAACGGGATGTTTGCTTCCTGGGTTGACTCATACAAAGCAGTTGTGGCTTCCTGATAGGGATATTTTGTGTATACATTGCCCTCTTAGGACGAGCGTGTCGTCGGGGCGTGCTCCAGGCAACGCTCGCGTGCCTTCCTGATCGGGAATATCAACAGGGCGGAGGCTGGAATTCTGGGGATACAGGTGTGGAGAACGGGTCCAAGCAGCGATGGTCACTGGCCCATGGGGATATCAACCGTATGGTCCCGGGACTGAGGCATTCAGCTCTACATTCATGACGGCTTAGATGTGTGTTTGACGCAGTCGGACTTGCAGCACTCAAGCAGGCACGCTGTTCTACGAGAGCCGTGACATGACCACTGACAAGCATATCCATGGTCGACTCGAGCTACAGCTACAGTAAGTAGGTCACCGAGAGCCTCGTCAAGATCACAACTCCACAAAGAGCACGGCCTCATCCAGATTCTGGTCTCGTCGATGGCACGGCACCATTACAGCACGGGCTCACCGAGAGCCTGGCACCATCGTGAGCACTACAGATCGACACACCTGCTGACTTGACAGACCTCGGGCACGAAAATGAGCTTGAGACTACGGTATATATCCCGTCAGGATACCAGACTGTCTGCTAACCCCGGGTATACTCTGTCTAGGAAGATCAACCCTACGCAGACCAGCTACCTTTACAAAAACGACCACGACATCCAGACTGCCACCCGCAACGATATCTCCAGGTTCAAAGACGACACTCCAATATCCCCTGCAGGGAGTCTTCGCACTGGGGGATATGCCGGGTCCGAGATCCAGAAACCCTACAGACACGAATTGGTTGCTGAAATTGTTACGGAATGGCCATATTACTGGAAAGGATCTTGTCGAGCAGGGCTCTACGGCGGGAGATCAAGGTCTCTCGAATACTAATCTGCCATGAAACGGAAATGAATTTGCTCGTCTACAATGCCTGTTTGGCGAGGAGAGGATACTTGAAAGCGATGGACCTTCGTGTATGTCTTTTCGGGGTATACTGCTGACAGGCCATACAGTCTAGCAAGATACTCTCGGCCGAGCAGCATGGCTTTCATGGACCACGAAACAAGTACCTCATCTGGGAATAGTGCTTATACTCAGGTAAAGTCCCAATTACCCATGACCTGAGGTTTTGACAGAAGATCTGACCAATAATAACGAGCTGCTGGGCCCTGTTATGATGACCATCGAATTGGCCAATGAGACTAAACGAAGATAATATCTCACCATGCAGTCCTTGCTAGCTGCATACGACCTTGTGGGGAACAACAGAACTCGGAGGTTTGCCGCACGGCAAGGATATCATCGTACGTGATTGCACAACGGGTGTTTGCCCGGGGCCACTCAAAAGCAATTTAGGTCTTGGACGATGAGTGGAGGAACGTTAGCCGGTGTCGATGCAAATACCCGCTCGGGTGCTTCTGGAATTTGATCTCTGGACTAAACGAGACTTGGAATACTCATCAGGAAGTATGGACGCCGATCAAAGTCGAGCACGAGGTCAGGGTTGCTTGAACTGATGGATGGCTTTGACAAAATTACCCAATTGTGGCTTAAGCCTTGGTCCTCCTCGTACGCCCTTGACATTGCTTAGCGATTGCTCTACACCGCGCTTCTCCCCGACGAAATCCGTGCAGGGTCAGCCACAGCAATCAACGAGATCCGGCGGGTGCCCTGATAACTATACTTCTCTGGGCATCCTATCAGCGATGCATTTTCTATCAGCAAATACTGCACGTGGGAGGCATGTGCTCAACACAAGCACTGATTGGCGCCTGGGCAGATACGCCAAGCCCGTCATGGTGGAGCTTTGCTGACCTGAAGATGATCTCTGATTGGTCCTGGCGCACAAAAACAGGAGACGAGACCCACCGACTGCCAGGTACACAAAAATGTTAAGCTCCGCCTTCCTTTCCCCCTCCCACGGATCTCGATCCCTCGTTTTGATACCCGACAAAGAATAAACAAAGAGACCCATCGAAGATTCCTTGCAGAACCTTGCAGGAATACACCTCTTGCCGAGACCCGGGCCTCACAAGTGCAAAACCCACCGGCTAGCGCTCCCCCGCTAGACACCGACCGCCCGGTTATTATGGAGGGCCGTTACATCCCTGACGACCCTATGGCATTCCGTGGCGTCAACATGTGCATTCAGCGATCATCGCTCATTTGCCCATTGCCTTAGATTGGCTTGCATTGTCCGGCTTCTCATGGAAGTCTTTCCCACGTGGGTCGCGGTATGCTGCCCCTCTACAAGCTACACGACAACACCGGACAGTATAAGATGCAGGGCTGTCGCGGCTTGGGAAATGATTCTCTCTTCTCGTTCACCAGCCCAAGCTCTCTCATCCTTCTAGGTCAGACTCAGCTGTTCAATCATGAAGGCCAACACTCTCCTCCCCCTCCTGGGCCTGTCCGGCAGCGCCGTCGGCGCCGTTGTTGCCCGCAACAACCAGACTCCCTTTGGCTACGCCTCTGGCTCCAAGGAGTCCATTGCCAACTTGAAGGACAAGATTGAGAATGTTGTCTGGATTCTGTTGGAGAACCGTGGTTTTGACAACATCCTGGGTGGTGTCCACAAGAAGGGTCTCGACAACGTTGTCAACAACGGACCCTTCTGCAACCCTGTGTCCGTCAAGGAGCCCAACGGTCAGAAGATGTGCAGTCAGTACAAGGACTTTGACTCCGTCATTCACGACCCCGACCACTCCGTCACTGGTGTCAACTTCCAGCTCTACGGTCAATACAGCCCCGACAACGCTGCCATTGCCAACGGCAGCCTGAAGCCCAGCCTTGATGGCTTCGTTGAGCGCCAAGCTGATCGCTACAACATCTCCACCAAGCTCGCCACTGAGGAGGTTATGGGCTACTACTCCGAGGACGAGATCCCCACTCTCGTCAACCTGGTCGACGAGTTCACCACCTTCAACTACTGGCACTCCTGTGTCCCGGGTGTGAGTACTCCCCAATCCTTCCCTAGACCCAGGCACTAACAAAGTCTAGCCCACCAACCCCAACCGTCTCTGTGCCATCGCCGGTACCCCCGACGGCCACGGAAAGAACGACAACGACTTCGATGTCTCTGCCATTGACATCCCCAGCATTTTCCAGGTTGCCTCCGAGAAGGGCATCTCCTGGAAGAACTACGATGGCACCAACGGTGCCTTCCTCTCCGACGCCATGTTCTTCAACTGGACCGCTGCCAACGCCCAGTCCAGCGTCGTTCCCCTCGAGAACTTCTACCAGGACGCCTACCTGGGCACCCTCCCCAAGCTGTCCTACCTCAACCCCTCCTGCTGCGGCCTTGACACCAACTCCATGCACCCCAACGGCAACGTCTCCACCGGCCAGGTCCTCCTGAAGCAGGTCTACGACGCCGTCCGTACCGGTCCCCAGTGGGAGAAGACTCTGCTGCTGATCACCTTCGATGAGACAGGTGGTTTCTACGACCACGTCGCTCCCCCTTGGCCGTCCGCCCCGACAACAAGACCTACACCGAGACCGCCACCGATGGCTCCAGCTACACCCTGAAGTTCGACCGTCTCGGTGGCCGTATGCCCACCTGGCTCGTTTCCCCCTACGCTCCCCAGGGCTACGTCGAGAACTACGGTATTGACCCCGCCACTGGCAAGTCTGCCTCGTACTCTGCTACCTCCGTCCTCAAGACTCTGGGTTACCTGTGGGATCTGAAGGACTTCTCTCCCCGTGTTTCTCACTCCCCTGCCTTTGACCACCTGATCGGTCCTAAGGCTCGCTCTTCGACCCCTGCTACTCTGGCCAACCCCCACCCCTTCCCTGAGGCTGTTTAAATGGGGATTGTGGGATAAACAACCGCTTTCTCTTCTCTTTTCAACTTTGTGTTTCTGTGAATGGGCGGGTTGGTTCTATATGAATGTAAATTGAATGTAATTATGAATTTTGGTTATGAAGACTTTCGAATGAAAAGTTCGTTGCAAAAACATATTTTACTGGGTTCCATATCATAAAATCTGAATCCGGATTGATCGAGCATTCGTTGATGGGGCCGTCGTTTATAGCGAGTTATCTACGGGCGAAAATCTCGCATCGAAACTAGCGATGAAAAATCTCCAAAAACAAAGACCGCAAACTTCATGAATCCAACCTTCGATCTATGCCTAGCATAAAAGCTGCGAGCTATGTTCCATGCTTCCTTTTCATGACGAGATGTGTATATCCTACCGGGCAGTTTTCGTTGACGTGCCACGTCTACATCAATAACTATCCTGAGGAATACCTATCCTCTAAGTAATTTGGTATACCGAGGATTTTGGTGAAATAAACATCGTCATCAATGAACATGCCTTAGACATTGTCACTCTTGGACTGGTCACGTGTATCCTTGGTCTCATGCCTCCTGGATATATATTATTCTATGCAGACAACCTGGTCGACGAGTGCAGACCTATATATATCAGATGACACTTCTCACGGGACAAAACTTGGGTCACAACATATGGTCCAAGTACTGTTTTCTATTTACCACTCTCCTTTGCTACCTTACGTCCCGTCTTACAACAGAAGGTCACAAATACAGTAGCCAAAAAAGTAGAATATATTCAACACTTTGAAGTAGAAACGTACATCAAAATAAACGGAGCCAACCGCAATCATAAAGGTAATAGAAGGGCAAGAATTATCAATAAAGAACCCCGCGGCTCAAATTCTCATCAAGCATAAAGCAACGATGAAAACAGAGCTACCAAGGATTCCGAGGAAAGAAAAGAAAATTTCGTCAAATAAAATCTAATTTCGGCCGGTAAACCGACCGAACCAGTAGATCAATCCCATATCAAGATATAATCACCATCAGATCAGTACCGGGTAACGTCCAGTCCACACGCTTACAAGAAAAGCAGAGACAGAACCGCAGTCACAGCCATCCAGAGACCCGACGACGCGCTAACCGAAACGGCGGCGTTAAAGGCAGGAGTCTGGCTCGGTGAGGAAGCAGAAGTAGTGGTGGGGACCGAGGTAGGCTGCACACTGCTCTGCATGGTCGACGAAGCACCAACAGTAAGGATGGGGGTGCTGCTCTTTCCAGCGGGACGGGTGCTGCTGGGGACAACGGAGTGAGAACCACTGGGCTTTCCGGAGGGAGTACCGCTGGGGATGACGGAGCTAGTAGCAGGACCGGTGGGGATGGTCTTGCTGGTAGTGGCAGACTCGGCCGGGGTCAGGGTGATAACCACAGAGCTGGTGGAGCGAGCAGGAGTCACGGTCATGGTGGAGACGGTGCTGTAGGTCGTAGTGAAAGTGCTGGATCCAGACGTCATAGTTTCGGTGACGGGGCAGATAGTTGTGGTGGTGTAGATCTCCTCGGTAACGATGGAAGGAGTAGGAGTCACTGTAACGGTGGAGACAGTGCTATAGGTCGAAGTGAAAGTGCTGGATCCTGAAGTCATGGTCTCGGTCACGGGGCAGATAGTCGTGGTGATGTAGATCTCCTCGGTGGTGGTGGAATCCTGGGCAGAGGTAGCGCTGGGAGTGGCAGACTCGGACTCAGTCTCAGTGACCGGGCAGACAGTGGTGGTCACTGGGATAGTCGAGGTGACAACGGTGGTCGACTCGGCAGGGCAGTTGGTAACGGTGGCAGCGCACTTGGTGATGGTCACCTCGGAAGTGGTGTAGATGGTAGAAGTGGTCATCTTTTGAGTGCTGATCACCGACGAGGGCAGACCGGTGGAGGTGGGAACGACAGTTGAGATGGGGACGCGAGTCGAGCTACGAACATGAGACGAGCTGGGAATGCCAGAAAAGCTAGGAATAGCAGACGAGCTGGGAAGAGCGGTGGAGCCGGGGATTATAGAGCCGTCAGGACCAATGGTTCGGGTGATCGTAGGAATTGACACCGAAACAGTCGAGTATGGGATCGAGCTGGACGGGGTCTTCGAACCAGACGGGCTCATAGAAGGAACCGAGATGGAAATCGACTTGGAAGGTCTGACAGCAACAGACGAGCTGGGGATAGCAATGCTGCTACTGGGCAGACCGCTGGGGAGACCGCTGGGCAGACCAGAGTTGCTAGGCAGAGAGCCCTCGTGCGGGTGATGGTGGGGGTGGTGAGGAACATGGGGCACAGCACTGCCAACCTGGGCAGCAGCCAGGACGGAGGCCAGAGTGATTGAGGTAGTGAACTTCATTTTGAGACGTAGCTGTCGAGGTGATGTGTAAAGTGTAGAGAGTGAATGTTTTCGAGATATGTAATGAAGGTGATGTTCGTCTTGGACAAGGCAAACGCAGAGTAAGTGAGTGGTCGAAGAGATGTATCTCTTCTATCAAAAAAGAATGGTAAGAATTGCAGGCAATTCAGTATAGTATGAGGGCCAGTAGGCCAGAAACGAAGGACGAGGCAGCAACGGATGAGTGTAGACTCCTAAACACCTAGGAGGACGCGCAGTGGGCGAGCGGCTCTCTAAAAGGAAGAACGAGGGCCACAGGCCCCCGGGGGTTCGCAGGCTGCAAATTGGCTTGAACCATCTCCACTTGCTGGTGGGACTTGGTTAGTTTGTGCGCAGTGACATCAATAGGAGTCAGGGATCTCGGATGGACTAGCTTCATTACTTTGGCATTGACATTTTGATTGTGTATCGCTATCTAGACACATTCACCTTTCTACTCACGATTTTGTAACATCTTCTTCATCACATAAATACATCCTTATTGTAATGTACAGCTATCGTTGGCATCTGGACCTGTGTGGGTTGTATGGAAGATGAAAAAATCCACCGGAAAATATGAAATAGGCAACGACGAGCAGGGACCAAAAGGGATAGACAGGGACCAGAGCAGAATCGAAAGCACTTACCAGTCATAGCCCAGCTATGACAGAACCGTCTCCGTCGGGTTATCCTGTACCTGGCAAGGTTGGCCCCACTGTAGAAAAGTCTACCGTTTCTCGGTTCCTGGGAGCGGCTATCATTATTCTCGAATCAAGTTATTCCATTGGTTTACCGAGTAAAGATCTTGGCCATATATCTGTACTCTATGATTAAATCTATATCTATCTCTATTATCCATACTTACTCACTTTCTTTTGTCTAAATAACCCGTATGTCGACCATGCCGTCAGTGTCAAATTGAGTTTGGCTCACAAGCACGTTAAGGTTCGTGCGCAGGGCCCTCTCACGTGCCATTGGTGCTTTTCTCGACTACGGAGAAACTCCCGCTCCATCGATCGAGTTCGACTCTGTCAAATTAATTAAGATCGACATTAACTGCCGGGCTACCCATTTGATTTGGGATTCGAAGACTCTTTTCCATCAATTGCCCGACCGTACTCCGGCGGAGAGGTCCAGTCTAATGTATTGAACAAAAGGGGGCGGCTAGAAGTTGACAAAGAAACCCCTTCGCATTATTTATGTTTACCAACTCGAAATGACATGGGGTGGTCTCTTCTAACATGACGCCATTGCCCTTTTAGTGTACAATTTTCGACCTGCTAAGGCTCCATGTCAAACTCTTAGGCTTCTAAGACACATCCGACGAGGCAAGGCTGTGGAATATGCCTCCTTGCCCACAAGCTTGGCCTGTGTCCCTGGCAACTCGGTTTTTTTCCTCTTTCACTCGCACCTCCTGAATGCCCTTGCCGATCACTACATTAAGCGACCGTGGACAGGACATGCAGACGGCTTGGAAATTTGGCACCACAACGCCACCCGGCGATCCTCGACGAATGTGGCTGGCTTCCAGGAACCGTCCCCACTTGGATCCAAGATGGTCTGTCGCTGGAGCTAATAATAATTCCCCCGTTCGTCAGGGGCCATTATCCTGTTGAATTGTAGGTTAACTCCAGTACAACGCGGAAGGATAGAGTGTCACCCCGGACTGGAATGTTTCAGACTTGAAGCTTAATTCCAATCATTAAAACCGTTTATATATTCCATATTGTACAGATATCCTTGTTCTCGAGGTTGTTATTGCTGCGCTGAGTCGGAGTTTACCGATCGGGTTTACAGAATATCTGGCAGCGTCTCCACTACGTTCGCTGACAATTCCTCTTTTAGCCACCTGGCATCCACTGTAATCAGGCCCGGCTCATCATTAGTGTTGTGCGCATAATTATGTGCGAGTCCAATATCGCAGGTTTTGGACAGTGTCTCAACTGCACACAGTGCCAGGATTTGCTCTTTTAATACTCACGCGAAACCGTTGCTGGCGGGTGAGTAGAATGCGCAAGCCCATTTGGAGCTTCAGGAATCGCGGTACAGTCGAATCGTTGCGGTCGCGGCATTTTCCGAGTACAGTATTCAGGCTTTATGACACGTTGGATATACTTCGGCTAATTCACGCAGTCAAACATCTGCCAAGGCAATTTTCAACGCTGGTTGGGCCTGCTATCATGATGCTTAAATGCCGAATTCAGGTTAGCTTCGTAATTAAAGTCGGATTCTGTATGTCAACGCAACCAAGCTTACTTCAGTAGTGCCTCGCCTTACTTCAAGGAGAAGATCCCGAGCCCGCGAAACGTGATATTTGAGATTTCCTAGTATGTCATGGCTAGAACTTTTGTTGAAAGGATGCTCCTTTCCATTATCATTCCCCATTGTAACTCGCAGCTTGCGACATACAAAAGGCAGTTACCACAAGGAGAAGAAAATGGCATTATGTGACCGGATATACTTCACCACCACTCCTTTGCCTTCCTGATTTCTTGCTCCCTTTCTTTCTCTCTTCTCCTGCTTCCTTCTTATCACACGGCTCAATATACTATCAAATTTTCGCTTTATATACCTTGCCTCCCTGATGATATCTCCCTACTAAAGGCTATCGACTCGAGATGCCAGTGATCCCCCCTAGTGATATATGACATGTATTCTCAGGGTGCCTTTTACTCTTTCTTGTATACCAGTCTTGTCCAACAACTTAACCCCGGATCTGATCTCGAATCCCCTGCCATGGCGTCCGCCCCGTCCTTCCCTTCTCCTGCGCCCTATATACACCGCGTGAACTGGGCCGCGGGCTACGCGCGGAAGGACGCCCTGACTAACTTTAAGGGTACGCGAGCCACCGCTAAAGCAATGAGGCTGAAGCAAAACGAACGGAATAAGAAGGCGGCCCAACGAATGTCCAACGCCATCACAAACATCACCAGACCGGCATGGCACGCATCAACCTTGAACTCTCCAAGTCCGCCTCACCCCAAACCTCCCTGATTCACGGTCGCCTGCTTAGCTTGTTGCGATATGGCGGTCCCGAACGTGTTGGTCCAGCCGTGACGCTTCTGATGAACACTGACGCCCTGCTCCAGGGTGTTCTTCCCATGCCTTGAGCCTGCGACATCGCGCGGTCCTCACAAGCGGAGAAAGCAACTACCGGTTCAACACCGAGGCGGATTATGCCAGACGAAATCGGTGGTTCTACTCAGAGACATCATCAAACCACTTCGAGGGAATTTATCCATATGCAACACAGCTTACTAGTACGGTTTATCGATGTGAAGATATTCAGCGATCCCGATATGGCTTTTTTTAAGAGGATTCCACTGGCAATACACCACCTATACAAGCACTCGCTTCTTGTTTACCGTTCCTACAAAGCTACTTCATCGCATTAGACGCCCCAAAGCATGCACTTCCATAGAGTCCAAGCGGAGGAGGAAGAAACGCCAGACTAGGATAACGTTGCGATGTTCCATTCGTCGACGGTGTCCAGAATCGCCCGCCCTCCACGACCATCCAGGCTGATCGAGATAAGTTTGGCGCACTCACCGGCAATCGACACGTTCAAGACATGTGTTTATTTCGAGAACGATCAACCAGCATAGCCTCATGTACACGACGAGGACTGATATAGTTTAAACTCACCTCAGTCTCCTCATACTTGGATCTGGGCCTTCGATGTCTCGTACCTACTTCGCCCTACCTTGGCCCGGGCCAACCGTGGCGTAACTTGCGAGGCAAAAGAATGGAGCCTGACGCGAGATATACCGGCATGAGCAAGCGCATCCCTGATTACGAACCCCGGCTTGGTTCTTGGCTATCGTGTCATGCATCGTGAGAATGATTGATTTGGGAGAAACCTGGTGAGATATAGCCTCAAAACACCTAGAGCTCCCGGAAAATTTGGCCGTCCGCTCTCTAGCGGGCCGCGCGGACCCCACCAGGCCGTGAGTGATCAACATAGACCACGAGGGTCTAATTAAAGCCTGTTGATAACTGCGCGAAGGACAGCTTCACCATCGACAAGCCGTCGTATGTACGGTACCGAGTATGTCGTTATCGAAATGCCAACGGATCGGGATCCCGAAGACATGCAAAACGAATGGTGCTGTCGATCGGTATATAATACTGCAATGGGAGTGACTTTGGTGAACTTCAGCAAGTTCCGTTGAAGGTATTACGCAATTCCTGGTGACATTTTCAAACGGAAAGTAACTATAGAGGGCGGAAAAACCTGTCTGACTTGACGGAGAATTAAGTGAATTCTCAACCAACCTGCTCAGAAATGGGTCATAACATTGACCAATCACTACATGCGCATGAATAAAGCATCAGTGCCTGCTCGGTATGACGAGCAGCACTCACTAAACTTATTCGATGTTGAGCTTGACGACGCAGAAATCAATAGCGCCACGCTCCAGCCCATTCTCAGACGAGCAGCGTGGTTTTACCGGGCTACTCGTCGGTCACTCGAAGCGTACACCAATGCTCGAGCGATCCACTGGATGTCATGCCCCGCAGTGTTCTATAAGGAAGCTATCTACACACCAAACATGAACCCGGCCAACATAATGCCGTTTCGTCAATCTTGATGGTGAAGAGAGAATTCATGCGCCAGGCTGAATGTGCTACTTTCAGCAAAGTGGATGCAACTTGCAGCATCAAAGAGCGGTGGTAACTGGATGACAGGAATCGATCATTTACTCCATACATTCCTAGGCGTCCGAGTTTTGTTATATACGTAGTCGTGAGAAGCTAGAGGCTGAGCCAAAGGCACCTTCGACGAAGCATGCAGGAGTGCACGACCTTTTCTAACTTTCGCTGGTAATGTTTACCGCAATCGCGCAGGAAATTTACAAGGTATGAAGCTGCCCAACGGTCCGGGATTTCTCTCAAGGGCGCTGGCTATACGCTGCCACAGGATCTATGGAGCTCAGAAAGCAAATCACCTTTTCTTACATATTTCTCGCCCAGCATATGAGGACATACAGTCTCTGCTATATAGCTACACAGTTATGCAGCAGGCGCAGAACAAACTTGAAATCCCAGATTTTATGACCTTATCACACTTCATGAATCCGAGCTAGTCTCTTGATTATAGAAGGCTCTATTTGGTAGAAAGGTTCCGAGTACCAACGAGTATCGGGGAGTTAACAACCAACATTCCACACATCCCACTCAAATATGAGAGTGCGGAGATAAAGTTACGCCTGAACCTAATCACCGTCCCACCCCCGGAAACCATGACGTAAGCGAATCAAGGCGGGGGCTGGTCTGAACTCAATCGTGCGGGGGCAAACGCTTGTACGCCAGCGCTCGAGAAACAGTTCCAAAAAAAATAACATCATCGTCAAGCACTGCTCCATTCAATGGATACACCCTAAAATCGCGTGATGCCCCGAAAAGTACACACCAAATCTCGGTACGGATGCGATCACTGTCGACGCCGACGCGTCAAATGTGACGAGCAAGGACCGCCCTGCACGAATTGCATTGTACGCCAACTGGATGGATGCACGTATTCCCGCGTTCTACCGGCATATCTGCTCAAAACACGTCGAGCAAGCCAAGATTCTGCCAAAACGAGTCCCGCCAGTCCTGAGCCATTTGGTGGAAGTAATGGCGTTGGTGTTGCACCGCGATCACCGCTGCCGTCGTCCGGTGTGGATGAACTGGAGTTAATGCATCAGTTCGCGACGGAGACGTATTCGAGTCTTTGTGTGAGCGAATCGGAGAAAGTGACGTGGCAAAAACTTGTTCCTCGGCTGGCGTTGAAGCATCGATATCTTATGCATGGTATTTTGTCATTGGCTTCGCTGCATATCGCCACGACGCTGGATCCGTCTCAAGCTCGGGTTTATGTTGATACGGGTCTTGAGTATCATAGCAGGAGTCTCCAACCGTTTCGTGTTGCTATCGATAATTTGACACCGGAGAACTGTGATGCTGTCTTTGCTGAATCGGTCGTTACCACGACGATCAATCTGTCATTACCACAGTTTACGGCTGGCCATGGGAATGAAGGGAGAATGACCGAGAACATGATGACGGCATTCGAGCTTCTTCAGGGTGTTAAGAAAATATTGACGATTGGTCAATCTTGGATCCGTTTGGAGCTGTTCTCAAAGGGCGATTTTTGGAAAGACACGTCTGCCGAATTGGACGAGGATACTGATTCCGCATTGAATCAGTTATTATTCTTGAATGACCAGCTCAAGTCGAGCGGCAACGAAATGCAACACGGCATTCATAGAGATGTTATTAATCATCTCAAACATTGCTTCATGAAGTTCTCGTGTTCTTCGGATCCCGCTCCTGTTATTGCATGGCTCGGTGCTGTGGATAATGGTTTTGTACATGGTATTCGGACGAGATCGCCGTTGTCGCTTCTGGTACTTGCATATTGGGGTGTTCTTCTTGCTCAGCTGGATGGCGAGCGATGGTGGGCTCGCAATGCGGGCAAGGCTTTGGTAACTGAGATATTGGTGTCGTTAAACACTGAAGATCTGTTGTGGGAGGGTTGTCTGGCATGGGTTCGGCGAAAAGTCGGGTTGCAAGATGCCCAGGGGAATGGTGTTCACAGTTTGGAAAAATTAAGCTATAGCTGACCGGCTAGATATATCTGTTATGTTACTTTTAATAACTACATGGGCCACTGTTAGCCCCCTTTTGATCCCCCATCGCCCATATCGTTCAAGATTTCTATTTCCCGTGTGCGTGTTGTCTTCTCACTAGGTCGGTGGAGTAGGAAGTAGTGTCAGACATTCGAGAGCGCGAATGAGTAGCATACAATTCCTCAGCATACTTGTTGCGACTACAGGAAGTACTATGAGTGATTTTTCAAAACTCATCAACATCATATTATTGTACATAAACTGGTGGGCTGTGCTCACATTGGTGGAGCCCGGAGCCCAAGACAGATTAAAGCAAATGGCATCCAGCAGTATTCGAAAGGTGTGCGATAACTGGAAATTTGAACTCAGATTAGCTGCTCCCATGTATCATGAATGCCGGCAGTTCGAGTTCGTGAGGGGATATGAATGCACGGTACTCCGGCTTAGACTTCCATGTCGTCCACAATCGCTTGCATCTTCTCGATCGCGTCTTCAAATGAGCGAGAAGTGACCAGTATTTGATGGCCCGCGGCGAGGAGCTTGGCGGCAGGGTGGCTGTCATCGATCTTGCCGGCCAGGAAGTCTTTGAGATCGGCCTCGGTCAAATCTATGCCTCTCTGGGCACAGATAACCCAAACACAATGGATCGCCTGGCAACCGCCTCTCACGGCAAGCATTCGAAGTCCATGACAAGGGTCCGGGATGCATTCATCAAAGCCCTTCCAGTCCTTGATCAGATCCTTCCAGTTGGGGACGAGGCGATTGCGTGCGCGTCGTGACATGACAAATTTGTCCCCTTCGTTGCCTCTCAGAGCGATCCAGGCATATGCGTCGTTGAGTTGACCTTTGCGGGGACCATTTAGATAGAACACTTGGCCCAGATCCAACATTCCGGCTTGGTCATTTTCCTCTCCGATGCGGGTGATTGTGTCGATGCTGGCCAGGGTCAAGTGGATGTCGGGGCCATCGAGAGAGGGGATCGGCTGGTTGTATTCGTTCACGAAGCCAATGATGGGAATGTTTCTGACAACTTGGTCCAGAGGGATCTCATTTGCGAGCCAGTATCCAGAAGGAAGTCGAACGGAATAGCGAGTCAAGTAGTAATCCTCGTCTGGGTAGCCAAGGTTCATGTATCGTGCGAACTGGACTTCGAATGGTAGTAATCCGTGTTCATAATCGGAATCAGAATCAGAATCCGAGTCTGAGTCTGAGGAGGTGGAGGTGTCCCCGGTTGGCTTGGAGTCTGGAGGTAGCTTTGGTGAGGTCGCCGGCTCAGTCTCCGTGCTATGAGGGTATGTGCCGGGTGGTGTCGAGCTTGTGATAGTGCTTGGGCTGGTGCTGGGACTGATGTCTGGGCTGCTCTTCGGGGTAGTCACTGGGTTCGCCTCTGGGGTAGCCTTGGAGTTGGTCTCTGGGCTGGCGGGCGATGCCTCACCCCCTTGAGAATATGGGACTTCTACCTTCATTGCGAATGAAGATATCCTGATGGAGATGGGAGCGTAGAGTAGTATCCAAAGCGATGGTTGTTGACACGAAGGGGAGAAGGTGACTGAGAGAAGGCAGAAACTGAGTTCGGAGCTGGTCTGTTACATCCAAAAGGGGAAGGCAGTTTTGTCATTCGTGATTGTCTAAACAAGTATCATCTTCTTTCTCCTTCCGGTGTCTTGACTGTCTGACCTGCACTTACCCGTTCGCACTACTGAAATCCACAAGCCTCCACATTTCCATCAGCGCCTCCATGTATATCTACATTCCATTTGATGAAGTCGATCACCAAGCCCTTTGAGTCAAGGTATACGAGGTAAGGTTCGAGATGGCGGTTGAGCTTCCGCTTTTGAGTTTCTGTGGCTGAATTGGGCTCCGCTCTCCACTATACAGACTTCTGCATACAATTCTATTCGAAATTGATACAGTCGATTTCGAAAACAGATTACCCCTTGCACACACTGGCTTTGTTTCTCGGCATGTACCCTAGCATCTATCCTTCCGTAAAGACCTCTCGTCTCCATAGTTGCTAGATATATGCACTCTATAGCACCAAGACTACCCTCCTTAAGGCTACACTTCATTCGTGACATGATACAAGCCCAGTCACTAACTAGGTCTCAAATGGCCTAAGCAGCCGAATGTAGTAAATAGCCGATCAAAATTATTCCCAGGAACTCCGACTGTTCGGAAGCGTCCATGGCCCTGAAGAATCATAGTTAACTAGTTAGTTATCGGCTGTGGTGATTTGTCTTATTAAGCGCCAAGACTCTGGAGAGAGTACCTGCATCCCCAACCGCGGGTGGACCGATCACTGATAAGCAACGACCAGCGATGAAAGTGGGTGTCGGACGTCGTTTTCTCTCGAGTTTCTGCGGGCTGAGATCTAGTGCTGCCCCTGATAATCAGTTACGACGGCCTGTCATTTCTCAAGCATCGTCACGATCAATCTTAACGAATGTTACGCTTCCTCCTTGTCGTAACAGCCTCGCGATTCGCACGATAAAGACTTTCTCTAATCAAATGACAGCAGCCAACCCCGAGTTTGAACAATGTTTTCGTTATACAAGTGGGCGATGGCTCTGGGACGAAGAACAGCAGCTTCAGGATAGGTATCGGGCCTTCAATGTTGCTAGGCTCTAAGGCCTAGCGTCTAAAGTGTTACGCGTAGCCGACCGGTCACTGTGAGTTAGAATGTTCACGGGTTGTACTTGCCTAATTCCAACTACGGATCCCAAGAGTATCTCGCAACCGTACCGCTGCTATGCAAGCCTTACGTCGGGTTCGGGTCCTGTTGAGTATCTTGCGGACGTGCCAGAAGTGCGCGCCAAGTAAGTCAATCACTGAGTGTCACCACTGAGTGAATCCCCTACTTGTAGGTTGGGTTGTCTTAAAGGTGAACTGTGAAGTGTAAAGTACTAAAGGTAGTAACCAAGTAACAATGTATGAAAGGTGCTGTCCTAGTAACTTGAATGATTGATCGCGAAGAACTAAATACATGATGCTGAATGAGTGTCCTTATATATCCAGTCCTTCCCGTCGATAGATGTGATACGACGGTAGATGGTATAGTGGTAGATGATCCTTGGCGTGTTCTACCCGTATACCTATCTACCCTCCTACCACTTTGGTCACGTGCGGGGTGGCCGTTTCTCGCGTTGCGCTAACCGTCTCATCACGTAAGTGAGTATTGGTTGTGACGGTTAGCCGTAGGCCGTTTCTGGCTCCTCCTCGCATGCTTTACTTAGGGCCTTCGGGGCGTGCCTGAGTATACCGAAACGCACGTGAGGACGCTAGGTGCTAGCGTCCGAGGAATGATTGGTTCTCGGTTGCCCCTCAAATAGCTGCGGCCCCCGCGCCTCTTTTGAGGTCCGTAACATAAAGCCGTTGGCCCAGGTAGATGCGTCTCGATGACGAAGTTGGTAGAGGGAGGATTTAACAAAGTTTTCCGGTTAGTTATGGATAACGGAAAATCAGTGCTTGCCCGTATTCTAAACCTAAATACCGGTCCCTTATTCTATACGACTACGTCGGAAGTTGCTATAATAGAGTTCGTGAGTTAAGTATGCTATATTTGAGCGTAAGAGGCGGCTTGCTAATCTATTTATAAGGCTCGAGGTTTTCTCTAAATCCCCGTACCCCGAGTATTAGGATAGGACGCTATAACCGATAACCCGGCTGGTTCGGAATATATCTTTATAGAAGAGGTAACTGGTAAGTAGCTTAGAGTAGGCCTCTGCATGGTGCGGTCTTGGTCCTTAGGTCGAGGACCGCGGACCGGACCGCACGGTCTTGCGGTCTCGAATTCGGGGGTTGAGACCGCACCATAGTGAACCGCGGTCCCTTGCGGTCTTCACCACGGTGAACCGCAATTGCATAATTCTACCAAGACCTTCTCTTTTCGGCTACATAAATTGATGATTCATCCCATTTAATTACTGTTATTAAACACTGTTTTGGTCCCTTCATAAACATTTACTGTATTTCAGCATCAGCCACTATGAAAACAGATGAAATATACTCGTATATAGAAAATCTACTATTTAAAATACCTAGACCTGCCAGTACTAGTATATTTCTAAGTTCTAATAGAGAGGTTTAGTAATAATTATTGCTGGCTAGGTGTATGAGGTAAGAAATATATATTTCGATATCAGTACCTGACCCTATCTTCATCTGAGACTTCTTCGTTGAGTGTACATAACCCCCTACATACAGCTAAAATAGGTATTAAGGGTATTATCAGAGAGCTTAGATTCTCTAGTTAACTATTTATCTTGAAATTCTATATTCTACTACTAATATATCATAATAATCTCTTTTCAAAATTGGTTTCTCTGATATGAAGTGTAGACTTAGAAAGAAAAGGAGGATTATACTATTATATGGGCCTTCTAGCGGTCCTTTTCGGTCCTGTGCGGTCCTCCTCATGGTTCTCTGCGGTCCTCTGCGGTCAATCATAGTATTTCCTACTAGCTGTCTATGCGGTCTTCTGCGGTCTTTGCAGCCCTCTATGCGGTCTATCGCGGTTTTTCCTGCGGTTCTATGCGGTCTTCTGCGGTCTTCGTAGCCCTTATCCTATCGGATTGTAGTAAAGTGGAGCCTACTGCCTAATCACTATTACAATTCAATTTGATCTATCTAAATCATGCCTATAGCTTTCTCCTAGAGAAAATCCTTTATTCAGCTTTTTCTAGTAGACGGAAATATTTTAGCAGGTATCTCCTTAAGTCCTTTACCTCCCCCGTCCTATCCTATACTCATTTCGTCAAAATGTTACAGAGTCAGGCCTCCTCTCAGTTCTCTGATCAGTATCCCTCATCGGCTTTTGAGGATAATCCACGAGATACTTTCTCCTTCTTCACATCTGATGGGCTGTTTAACCTCGACGGGCGCGAAACGCCAACTTCTACTCCTAACGTGAACTTACTCCGACCGGCGATTCCTCCTGTTATCCCAGAAACACTCGAACGCGTTGGTCCTCCTAAAAGGAAAAACTATATCCTCTGGACAGAAATGGCGAATGAGGATTTCATCGTCTGGTGGTTAAAGACGGAGTATGGAAGTAAGATGAAACGGAATATCTTTGAGGGTAGACGCAATGCAGAATGTTGGGACCACTTCTACCAGGTCGCTACTATCCAGGATGGGTCTCCTAAGGTAATATGCAAGAATTGCGACCATATCCTTGCCCATCCTGCCGATAAGCGCCGGGGAACATCTACTATGAATAGGCATTATTCGCAAGTAGGTACCTGTCGGAGAGGACCGACTCAGTCGCAAGATATTAGGAAGGCTATCAAGAACGGGGTATGGATAATCAGTCTACCTTTTTCTAATTATTACTAATCTTATAAAATACCCCTTCTAGGCATATCTGTCGTCTCGTAAAGCATCATTTACGCCGCAAGCTTGGATGGAAAGGTTAATTACCTTTATTGCTGCCTCGCGGCTACCCTTCCAGCTTATTGAGCATCCTGAATTTCGCGCCCTTCTTGAGATGGCCCGGCTTGCTCCCTGCTTCCCCGAAATCCCAACTGCAACCACAGTCCGCCGTCATCTTCAAGAGATCGTGGAAGAACGCCAGTATACTCTTCTACAGAAGCTTCCTAATAGTGCTAAGCTCTCTATTGCATTAGATTGCTGGACCTCACCATTTCGCCAAGCTTTTATGGCAATAACGGGCTATTTCATTGACCAAGAGTGGAATTACCGAGAGCTCTTGCTTGGCTTTGAACCTCTACAGGGCTCACATACGGGGGCCTATCTAAGCACTGTCCTGCTTGACCTTCTTGAGAAGCATCGGATTACTGAGAGGGTGTTAACTATTACTACTGATAACGCATCTAATAACGGAACATTACTCGGTAGCCTTCAAGAGGTCGTCGAATCCCTACAGCTACCTAGTAGTATACCGGTTATTCGTATACCATGTATTGCACATGTTATACAGCTCAGTTTGAAGGAGCTCCTTGGTCAGATGGACGCGAACCCAGGAAACGAGAGGGAAGAGATTGAATGGACCGAGAAAGGGCATATAGCTCGGCAAGAGAATAGAAAGATCGTGGATACTCTGAACAAGGTCTAGCTCTCTCTAATCTCTTACTATTATCTCTCTTTCTTTACTAACTCGCACTATATTCTAGGTTCGGAAGGTAGCAGTCTACATCAACAAAAGTCCCCAGCGCCGCGAGAGCTTCATAAGGCTTCAGACGAAAGAGCCTAAGCTTATGCCTATACAAGATGTTCGGACACGATGGAATTCGACGTTCCTCATGCTCAGGCGTGCCCGGCGATTGCAGTCTGCCTTTGATGACTTCTGTGTCCAATTCAACCTCGCTGATGTAAAGATAGACAGAGATAAATGGCGACAAGTTGACTATCTTCTGTCAATCACTTATCCCTTCTTCAAATTCACTTCGTCTCTTTCGGCAACTACAGACGTGACTATCCATAACGTCTTTGGTATCTATAACGCCCTATTCACACATATTGATAAGGCGAAAGTGCAGCTAGCGCGAAAGAAGGTTGGTTGGAAGAGAGTGATGAAGTCCGCGCTTGACCGTGCGCGCGATAAGCTTACAGAGTATTATGGAAAGACTGATGATATTCCTGGTGATCTCTATGCAATTGCGACTATCCTAGGACCACGGAACAAGCTAGAGTTCTTCACAACATCTGAATGGGAACCTCACTGGGGGCCTCGCTATAAGCAGTCGCTAGAGGCTTACATTCAGCCTTACCGGCAGCGCTACGAAGAGGCACAGTCTACATCAACTCTCCAGCCCACAATTCAAGACGTCTCTGACATTGATATCCTTCTGAGACCTACTGTATCTCTTCAGTCAAACGTGACGGCTCCAGATGAGCTTACACGGTATCTTAGAAGTAGTAAGTTAATCTATATACCTCTTCTTATATACTCCTTCTCTTATACCACCCTCACTAGGTACTGTCGAAGCAACCCCTCTCGTTTTCTGGAAAGAACACCAAAATGAATATCCTATTCTGGCAAGCCTTGCTCGAGACATCCTTACAACACCAGCCAGTGGTTCTGGCGTTGAGCGGTTATTTAACTCTGCGCGTGATATCTGCCATTATCGCCGGGGCTCACTGAAACCGCAGACAATCAAGGAATTGATGTTGTTTATGTGTACAACAAAATTTGACGTGGAGTCAGAGCAGCTTGCCCTAGTTGATGAGTATCTTTCTACGCAAGAGAAGCAAGCAAAGAAAGAGCAGAAGGACGCCCAGAAGAAAGAGGAACAATTTGATCCAATTAGTGATAACGAGGAAGACCTATCCACTACTGAAGATTCTGCCGAAACTATCCAACTTCCTAGTGCGCGAGCGCTTGGAAAGAGAAGGGCTACCCCGGATCAGCTATTTGAACTTGACGATGATGACGATGAGGTTCCCCTGCCTGATAATAGCCACTTAGAAGAAGGGAGGACTACTCAGAGGCGTTCATCTGGGCGTGTTCCAAAGCGCTTGAGACAGGATGAGGATTTTGTATATCTTTAATAGAAACAAGAACCACATAAGCTATTCATAAGGAAATCAGTCAATCCTCGCTTTTTCGGTAGAAATCAACAGACACCAAACAAAGAATTATTCTTTACTCCTACCTCAGAATTATATAAAATTAAATATCATTTGAAAGCAGAATACTCAAAAATACAGGCGACTTCTACATAAATTATGCATACCTTGGGTCTAAGATGTTTTGCTTGTTTGCAGGACCGCAGGACCGCACCAAACCGCAGTGGTGCGGTCCCTAAAAATGTAGGACCGCCCAGCGGTCTCAAGGTCTGGGACCAAAGACCGCGCGGTGCGGTCTAATGCGGTCTTGGGTGCGGTCTTTCCGGTCCCGTGCAGAGGCCTAGCTTAGAGTGATTTAGGATAAGCTAAGTCCGGATTCAAAACTCTCTATTATCAGAGAAGTGGTAGCTATCGAGTTAAAGATGCTATCGGGGTTATTTTCATAGTATATCTACTTTTATATCCACCCTAATATACAAAATCTATTCTATTTCTCGTTAGCTATGGTAGTATATATTTTATGAGTGATATAGTTAAAGATATAGTCCCCGCTAAGCTTACTAACGAGGCTCCCTTAGAACTTAAAGAGTATATATACAAGACTTTTAGTATTGGGCCCACTATTGATAGGGGCTTTTGGAGGAGGGAGCGTGCTTTAATAGATATCTCTAGAGGTCCCTGTAAGTATCGCTATTCGGCTATATAATGATTCAGCTTTAGCTCGCTAATTATGACTAGGGTTAACTCCGAGTGATTACGCATTATATAATTATGTTGTTACCACTATATTCTTGGAAGAGTACAAGATCCTCGAGGTGTTATTGGCCAAGCCGCTCATACTAAGGTTTGCCAAGCATCCTAGTTCCCCTCTCAACACATAACGCTTCTTCGCATCAACTCATTCTCGAACTGTCGGCCAAGCATTCTTGAAATCCGAAGAGATACAGATCAGAAAATATGATCAATTATCGCCCCGCAAAGATAGAAGATCTAGCCCAGATCCGCGACATCAACAGACATTACATCCTCAATACTTCGCTCACATTCGTGCGAGCCCCACCATCCTTTGACTCATACATTGCCAAACTGAACGATCTCAAATCTCGAGGCCTCCCATATCTGGTCGCAGTTGATGAAACACAAAAGGCAGATGATGGAAATGATCTTGTTGTTGGCTACGGGTCACTTTCTCCATTTCGCCCACAGATGGTCTCATATGCTCCAACGGTTGAGCTGACGCTATTCATACACCCAGACCATCAATCGCAAGGATCGGGATCGGTGCTCCTTGCGCTTTTGCTGGGGGAAGTTGAAACTGGCCAAGTCTGGCATATATTTGAGGAACCGGTTATCAGCAGCGGATCCACTGAAGCCGATCATGAAAATGAGGCTAGTGGTGCGATGCGGGTCAGAAATGTGATTGCCGTTATGGCCGTTGATCCTGAGGGCAAGGAACAAGGTGAAGCTTTGAGGAAATGGTATGTGGCACGAGGTTTTGAAGAGTGCGGTCGATTGAAGAAGGTCGGATATAAGAGAGGATATTGGTGAGTAATCAAAGTGAAAATCCATCGATGTGATTAGCGGGGCTTGAAGCTGATTTCGTACATTAGGATCGATACTGTTTGGCTTCAATATTCTATCCCTGAGTCGATGGCGCCTTTGTGAGTTATACTTGGCAAGGGAAATTTAGTAGTGCTATTTATGTTTCTACCGACTATACATCCAATTTGTACAGACAAAGTTCCCTGGCTGCTGCTTGCAGCTCTGAGCCCCCGAAGTATGAACCATCGTGAGTAGGATGATTCTTAATGAGGTGTATCAAGGTTGGGGACGTTTATTAGGTTCTACCAAGGATATCTTCCGTGGGATTGATGGTATAAAGGCCCACTATACCATCAAGTGGAGGGGAGTCTGAGGTTTGTTTTTGTTCTTTGGACTTCGATGCTACCATTTGGCTACTGGGTTGCCGGTGACTCTAAGTTTATTTAGCGAACTAGAAATCCGCCTCCTAATTTCCACTGCCGTGAACCACAATATTGCAAAAAACCAGTAAGACCGTGGAAAACAGCATACTTGTCTCTCTTACACGATTTAAGCCTTGGAACGATAATTTAGTCACAATACATTGGATGGAGAGTCTGCTCCATCATCACCGCCCATATACTCTGGCTCAGATCACGTGGCTTGACGTGCCATCCCTACGTGATTTCGACCTTCAATTCGACCACTTTTTCTAACGAGAATTGCGCGAGAACTAGTTCTATCACAGCGTGCGAGGACATTCGCATCGCAGTACGAAGCCTTTGCGGGATAAGCGGGGTCACCATGGCACAAGCTCCACAGGGCCAATCTGATGCCTTGAATGAAGGCAGACGCATCTACCTCGGTGTGACCACCTTGACCGATCGCTCTCCTCTTCAGAGGGTCATGACCTAACTCTGGAAATTACTCAGGTAATCTACCATACCGAGCTAACCCCTACGACATCGAAACGATCCTCGCCACCAATGGCTTCAACAAGATAGAAAGTATCCACATCTCAGTCGATCCCGTGAGCGCGCGAAACCCAGGCTACTGCTTCGTCGACTTTCCAGACAAAGAGACCGCCGACCGTGCACTTTCCTCCTTGAGTGCACAAATCGACGGGCGATCTGTCAAGGTCGGACCATGTGAGCCTAAGAAACAACATAGTCGTCGATTCAACCGTGAAGACGAGTACGCCTTTAAGAGATGGGGTGATTGGAACTCGCAGTCCCGCAATAGCGATAACGCTGTCAGTCAGCCTACCGGCCAGGGTATTGAGCAGGGTCCTATCGGGGCACTGAATCATTTCGATGATATGGTTGGGAATTCCAAGGGCCGGAGGCTGTATGTTGGTGGGTTGGGCAAGATGGTCAATCAAGCCGAGCATAACAGTGAAATCGCTGACCTTCTTCGTGCTTTTAACCCGTGCGATTATCTCTTTAGTTTCCCACAGTCATGGGCCTAGGTTAACTTGACGGTATCAGGATTGCCATTGGAAAACGCATCACTCCGGCTGAGCATACGAGAATGCTCCCTGGAAAGCACCACTACTGTTTCGTTGACTTTGAAACCAAGGAGGACATGAATGCTGCTATTCAAGCACTTAATGGGAGGGTTCATATGGGGAGTCGATTGAAGGTTGTGCCAGCGTGGGACATGCCAAAAGCTCTCAAGGATCGACGAACGGGGTTTCGAAATAGTCGCGGTGACGAAGATGGAGGTCAAGAAGTCTCTTATTCCGACTACATGGCGAGATCTAGTCGGGCGCTTGAATCGAACGACTGGCGCAGGAAGGATGATTCAAGTCCGTAATATGGCAACACACTTGTCTTCGGGGTATATTCTCTAACGGTTATAGCTCTAAAATGCTTATAAATATCGGATTACATGCACTTACTGTCGACCACTGACGGGTTCTGATAACAGACAGGGACACTGTAAAATTTGCGTCTGCCAATTCTATTAAATGTGACGATTTTATCCGGGAGTATAAGCAGGAGCTCCCCTCACTTCCTGCATAGCTGCGCACTTTCTCATCTAACTCAGGTAGCATCTCGCGGGTATCAGGGAAAATTTCTACGTTAAAGCAACTGGCTCAGCCTCTCGGCAGATTGATCTTACTGCAGCAAACTCTGCCTTATTGGTCAATCTATATTGAGGCTAATAGGAGGTCAGCACTAGACAAAGAAAGGAACGCCACCTGAAAATGAGAATTGCGCATGGCGAGATCGTAAGCGATGTTGAGTTGTCGACCTAAGCAGCCATAATCACGCAAATTGGGATGACTCGAGCAAATTTGACCAAGTCCTAGGATGTGGAATGTTTACGCCCAGTGGGATGGCTTAGACAGTACAGTGGGTTGTACAACCGTTGCGAACATACACAGTAGCAACCAACTAGGCGGTTAATTTTCAGAACTCTTGTTCGTGACACACCGAGGAAGAAATATCCTCTCTACGTTATTATGTTTCAATAAGACGGTCTTCGCAGGGCATCTTTTCTTATGTCTCCCGCTTAAGGAACCAGATTATAAGTGCTAGAAAGAGGAAATAAGTGCGGAAAAACAGCCTAGAGTCGGTCTCTATGCGGGGAAAAAAAGCCAAGGGGCCAAAGCGAAAGCTAGTGTTGGAATTATCCAGAAGTATCGCGTGATTGACCCGCAATTCAGGGTCCGAAGCTTATAAGCCTACCTTGTCGAGAGTTATCTGGAGACTTCGTCATTGCACACCGCAATGAGGGAATTGTGTACTGCACAGGGGAGAGCAAATGCTAATAATAAGTAGTAGGGCGTATTTTGTAAGGCATCCCACCTGAACGACCAACTAATTGAAGCTACGGTCTGACCATTCGCGGGAGAAATTTGGAGGGACCTACTGTAGACATAGCCCTGTTGGGGTCTAAATGTATGCTTACAATTAGATCATATCTGATGGCTAAAATCAAGAGCGGCAGTGCAGTGCAAGGGTAGTCAATGCGCCACTATTCGAACAGGCAAAATACAGTCCAACGGTCATGCTGGTTCTTGGCTACATAGACGTAGTTTGGGGGCGATTGTTACTATTCAAGACAATGTAAGACTGAAGTTTCAGAGTCTACTGTACAGTAGTAACCGTCTTCCATAGTGGATTCTGGAAGCCCACTCGATCGACAGGATTTGCTTAGCTTAAGGGGGTTCATCGGATCACTAGCTAATTTCAGATATAAACGGAGTAGATTCTGGGTCCGATGTGAAACAAAAACAGAAATTGCTCGTGAGAGACATGAAGAATAAAATATTATGAAAAGTTGGGGTTCAGTTACATCGCCATACATAACATAACCATCATCATTTTGGCGTGATGGCCCGAGGTACAGAGCACAGTGCAGTAGGACACGATTTAACTTTATGTAAGGTCTTGGCTGCGTGCCTTGAACCTGCCAAGATGCCACCTGTTTCTCTCCACCCATCCCAGGTCCCAGGGCCAGGGGTTCTGTTTCTGGTTCTCGCCGCATGGTAGCTAAGCCTTGCGAGCCAAGAATTCCTTACGAGGATATAATCTAGAAACCACCACCACAGAACAGCTCAGGGATCTCTACTTTTATTAAAGATTTGCAAAAATATCCCCAGATGCCAAGCTGGGGGCGTCTTTGATGCACCGAACAGACCCAAACTTTCAAGGCGGACCGCCCGGTGCGCCTTCCGACGAGAAAGGACCCCGTAGTACGGAGTACAGTAGAAGGACTGTAGCGCAAGTGCTAACTGCTAAGTGACTGGCGCAAAAAAATGCCCGCCATCTCAGCCCCTCGTGGCGGCGACTGGACGGAAAACGGAAAACGGAGACATAACCGAGACCAAGAACTATTTCGGTAGGCGGTACAGTAAATATGTACAATACAGTACAATAGTCCAGTACTTTTCCGCCCCCACTGGCTGCTAAAAAAAACACATTCTCTGTTTTCCCTTTGAGCCGCAGCGTTTCCCCCTTTTCAGTAGCTGATCGTGTGTCCAATTGGGGGCGGTCCGTATTTCTTGTCCACATCTTTGAGCACTGTAGCTATCGATAGTGCAACCGGCCATCCGCTACTAAGGGAAATTTATCCACTCCATTGAATCCACCTTCCCGGCCTAGAAAGGCTCTGATTCAGCCAGTGAATCGAAAATAGCGGAAGGACAGATCTCCGGGCGGGTGGGAGAGGGGGCTTTGATGGAGTCCTATAAGGTCGTATAGCGTCCTATAGGGTCAAATGGAGAGGGCCTTTGCGGGCTATGCAGTCATACATTGTTATCCTGTACAGTACTCCGTATAGTTGGTGACCACGCTGTCAAGCTCAAGGGCCAAATAGACTCACGTCAGACCAAGGACCCTTCCTTGGACCCTGCATCATGATTCTCCATGATCGCGAGGCGAACGTGTATGACGCGAGTTTGGACCTGTAAGATTGAGGAAGAGGGGGGTAAAACGGTCTAACCGTCGAGTTTGTCCAACCGTCCTTCATCGCCACGTTGGAGTAGCAAAGAAAACCAAGGTGAGACTCTGTGGGGAAAACCTAAGGACCTCGCACGGAGTCTTCGGGCCACTGACAGTATCCGAAAGGTCTCACACGAAGAGTTGCCTATTCCGCGCCAACCAATAAGCTCTTCAGGAACACCCGCTGGAACCAATGAAAGGTCCAATAGCCCGTGACAGAACGAGGTTAGGTAAGAGGAACAAGGCTTTTCGGGTCTCCATCACAGTCCCCACAGCCTCGTTTGGGCAAAAGACCGCATGACCCTGAACCTTTTCAATGGGCTCAGATGCGCTGGATGAAACCCTGGACTGGGGCTTGCAGCTCCACAAGCAATTCCCACGCCCGCTTGGCCCAGTTGTTGGCAAATTGGGGCCTGTTTTTAAGAGGAGAAGAGAGAAAAGAGGCTTTTGGTGGATGGAGGCGACTGGTCTTGCGCCCTTTTTGCTGTTCCCCATATTCTATTTCTATTTCTATTTATTATTAACTCGGCCGCTCCGGATTCTCCGAGGGGAGATTTTCATTTTTCTGCTTTCTTGTTCTTTTGGATGATTTTCGTTCGTTAGCAGCTGAAGCTGTATAGCACATACTTAACACTCACAGCGAAGCCAGGTTTTGTATGGCTTCTCCCATGTCGGCCTGATCATACATCCTCGCCAATATGTTGCGTCAATCCAATTCGCCCTGGGCCGAGGCTGGCGATTCCGCCATTATGTTGGGGGATTCTGGAGGTCGACCAAAAGCCTATTTGAATTACGTTTGCTGCGCTTTGCCAGCGCGGGCCTGCTCGGCCGCTTTTACGTGGGAATCTTCAAAGAAATTCTGGTTTAGCTTCCTGACCGTCTCAACCATTTGCGCCAAAGTTCTTCATATTTACGCTCATATCGACTCCATTAAGCCCAAAAACTTGTTTCTATGGGGGCCTACATTCTTTGTTCAAGACGCAATTTTCCTTTTGATAGTTTTTGCGCTCACTCGCAACTTCAAGCGAACATGGCTGCGCTATACGGCTTCGACGACGGTCATTTTGGGGACGTAAGTAACTGTTGGCTGAAATTAGAATATCTTAGGCGGGTAGACATGCGCTGACACGTCATTTTTCTATAGATTGATCCTCTCCACGATGGCCGCCGCTAATACCTCGTTCTACTTCACCACCGGTGCCGAAATCCACTGGCGACAAGCAGGCGGCTTCAACCGCGACCCGGCTTCGATTAACACGTTGCTCACCGGATTGACTGGCCTGGTCATTGTCGAAGTTCTATACATTGTTGCAGCTGGGTTGACAACACCATGGATTTATAATGGCGTGGAATCGATGATCTCGATCTGGGGCTCAATGACCAAAGCCATCTTCAAGCCTGTTGCACCCTACGCAAAGCTTGGCGTCAACAAGGCTCTGAGCCGCTGGAGCAAGGGCCGCGAGGTCTTTGAGAGAATGAAGCTCTACGAGGCCGTGCCATTGAGCGACTACGACGAGGAGGAAGACAAGGCTACCCCCAGCGGGGCACCATTGCTCGACCACCCACCGCAAGCCTTCGAGAACGGACGCTGGAATTTCCACTGGGCAAAGAGCATGGATTGGAAACACGATATCGACTGGAAGCTCTGGCTGAAGCGCGCGCTGGTGGTTTTCCCTACCGCATACATTTTCTTCGTGCGCTTGCTTCGCCCCTCGAATTCCTCCTACGGCTTCCTCTCCCAGACGGTCATCATCACTCCTTTTGCGGGCGTCGATTCCGAAAGCAAGCTCGCGCATATGTTCAAGGATCGCACTTTGGATGGTAAGACGACTGCTCTCACTGCGGTTCCGGAGTTCGACTGGCTCCCCAAGGGCAAGTTCCCCGGTTTCCGCGATTGGGAGGATCGATCTCGGTACTCGCACTATAACTCGACCGAGGATCCCCTGCACATCTCCAACCTGGGCAAGGACATTCTGAAGCCTATCAAGGCCGCGCTGGATAGCGGTGATGTCAAGATCAAGCACATCTTCCTTTTCAAGATGGAGAGTACTCGCTATGATGTTTTCCCGCTCCGAAACAACACTTACCTGTGGGATCGGATCCAGAAGTCTTATAAGGATAAGAAGGTCCCCAAGGACGTCCAGGATCGCCTGGTTAACCTCACCCGCACCGCCGAACGTATCACCGGATCTCCCTCCGGATTCCATCGCAATGAGACGATCAAGCCGTACGGAGGCATCAACCTGCACAACTCCTACACCGGAGGAACGTTCACTCTGAAGAGTATCGAGGCAACCACCTGTGGTGTCGAGCCTCTAGTCGTTGATTTCAACCATGAGTACGAGCATCACATCTACCAACCTTGCATGCCTCACATCCTCGACATGTTGAGCGCGACCACGAACAACAGCAAAAGCGACGACTTTACCGACTGGCCCTGGCGCCCTGCATTCATGCAGTCCATCACCGATACCTACGATCACCAAGACCGCCTCACTCCCGCTATGGGCTTTAAGCCTGAGAACACCGTGACCGTCGAGTCTATCGATGAAGAGCGCGCAAACGACACTTCTTGGACTGCGGAGAAGTTCAACTTCTGGGGATACCCCGATTCCTCGCTTGCTGTGTACTTCCGTGAGGCTATTGAAAAGGCCGAGCGTGATCATGAGCGTCTCTTCCTGACTCACCTGACTGGCATTACGCATCACCCCTGGGACACGCCTAATGGAACGTACGAGGAGCTGATCGGATCTCAGACGAATGCTTTTGGTGGTAAGAATGACGGGTTGAACCGTTATCTCAACACCATCGGTGTCAACGATCGCTGGTATGAGGAGTTCTTGAACATTCTGGAGGAGACCGGAGTTGCCAACGAGACCCTCATCGTCATGACTGGTGACCAGTAAGTTGATCCAAGACACCGCGAGGTGGAATCTTGCTAACCCTTGAACAGCGGTCTGTCCCTTCCTGAAGATGGTAACGTCACTCCCTACGATAACCCTTTGGAGACCAACTTCCACGTGCCTCTGATCTTTGTAAGTTCTCAACCAAGTCACCCATAACATACAGTACTAACATATCCTCCCAGGCCAACCCCCGTCTTCCAACCATCCAACTCAACGCCTCCGTCTCCTCCGTCCAAATTCTACCCACCATCCTCGATCTCCTCAAAAACTCCGGCTCCCTCGACGACTACAGCACCCGCGCTGTCAGCGATCTCCTCCCCATGTACGAGGGCCAGTCCATCATTCGTCCAATCATCACCCACAACAAGAAGACCTCCTACTACCAATTCACCGTCATGAACACCGGCGGCTCAATGGTCGCCATGCGCTCCGCCGACGCTCCCTACCGCCTGATCGTCCCTCTCGTCCCGGAGGTGGAATTCCGCTTCACCGACGTCAGCAAAGATCCCCAGGAAGAAAAAGCCATTAAAGCATTCGACTTCAAGCCCCTCAAGACGGCCGTCAAAGAAGATCATGGCGAAGACGCTGCTCAGTGGGTTAACGATGCCGCCCGCGCTGCTCAGTGGTGGGTTACCGATAACTGGAACCGCTACGAGTATAACCCGCGGATTCCGAAGAAGCCTCATCAGTCTTGGCCGAGCACTCACAAGGAGGGTTGAGCGTATCGATATCTCTCTCTCTTCTACGTCCCGACGACACAAAACGCAAAACGCAAACATGCCTTTCGACGGCATATCCTCTTTTCTCTTCACTCTATATACCAATTTTTTTGTTCTTTGTATGATTACGGATTCTCGGAAGTTTTCCGAGGAGTCTGACCAGCATGGCGCACGGCACATATTCGGCTTTTCTTTTTCTGTATATACTTACATCTACTCTATTGGGATTTTGCATATTTGGGAGGGACTCAAATAGTTATTAATGATCATATCCATCAAATCATGAACCGCTATTTCTCTATAAACCCGCTAATGTTCTTGATGATGGGTGGGTGACCGCTCCCTGACTGTAGATCCCAGATCCTTCATCACTAGTTGGTTAGTCCCGGGGTGATCATCGACAGATCTCCCGATCGCAAATCAGCAAAACAATCAATTATCTTCAATTTGAGCCTTGATTGGATAGTACTCATTAGCACTGTCAGTGAATCACCCGCATCATCATGATAATCAATTCCGACTCTGCATAGTCTGCATGCATCTCCCAAAGTAGTCCCCGCCTTTTACCAGATCAGGCTGCCGTATGCGACACGAGGGGCTGACCTGGCTGACGGTGATCATCGTTCATGCATCTACTTCCCGTATGCCCCGCTAATCACTTTCTCCCCCCTCCTCCTCGTCCCCTGCTTTTCTTTTTTTTCAGTTCTGATTCGGGTCTTTTCTCCTCTATCCAACTTGTGCGGTGAAGGTGAAAAAATGGAGGGTGCGAAGCGTGTACCGTGGCTTTACAATTTTCGCTCTTCGGAGACGTTCATTGTTCTTGTGGTTTCCATTGCGATTTTTACCGTGAGTACTAGACTCGCGGGAGTTTTACGGTCGCTGACTCGAGCAACAGGATGTGTTTATCTATGGGATGGTATGTTAACCAAGACGAAGAGATGAGCTCGATTACTCACTTTCCCAGATCGTACCAATTGTTCCAATTGCATTGGTTAAACGTGCCGGTGCTCGTGAAGAAGAAGGTACTTAACCCATCTACCATATATCTACCTCACTTACTAACAAAACACAGCTCAGTCGTGGGTCTCAATATTACTCGCCGTCTACGGAGCCACTCTCCTCGTGGGATCGCGTGGGTTTCCCGCCGCCAAATATCCTGTCGTGTAACAAGCTCGGACTGACGCATCGCAGCATTATTCGGATATTTCGCCGATCACTGTCGCCTCCGAAGACTCCCCTTTGTCATTGGCCTGATTGCCCTGGCAGCTTCTACTGGACTCTTTGTCGTTGCCCGGTCGTTACCGGTCCTCATCCTCGCGAGAGGGCTACAGGGATTCTCCGGAGCCGCGGTGTGGGTAGTTGGTCTTGCTATTATCGCTGACAATGTACCACCAGATCGTGTCGCGGAGGCGATGGGTCATACATCGATTGCGTTGACATGGGGTGCACTTTTAGGTCCGACTATCGGGGGTGTGATGTATGAGAAGTTAGGCTTTTACGGGACGTTTGCTATTCCGACTGGATTGATTATCGTGGACGTGGTGCTGCGATTCGCGATGATTGAGGAGTCAGGTAAGGGAGCTGCATGTCATCCTCGCATCTGGCATATTTTCTGACACGTTACCCCAGGAGCTATTCAACCCGACAAGACTGGTCTGGACTCAGGCATGGATGGGTATCGGAGTCCTCTGTATGGCACGTTTATACGCCAGGACGATGAATACTCGGGATACTTCTCATCAGGCGAAGACACCGCCAGCGAGCAAGGCCCTCTTATCAGAACTTCGAATCCTTGCTTCGACCACCCGCGCCTGGTACACGAAAAGCATGCTACGGTGTTCGATCTCCTCCGGACCCCGCGTTTACCCCTTGCATTGATCGCGACAGTAGTTATGGCAATTATATTCTCCGCTCTGGAAACAGTACGTCGTACTCAATCAATACCTAGTTATCACGAGTGCTAACACATGATTCCCACTAATCGCAGACCCTCCCCTTATTCGTCATGGACACATTCAAATGGTCATCCAGCGGCGCAGGCTTAATATTCGCAACAAGCGCAATCCCCAGTTTCGCAGGTGTGCACGTCGGCAAATTAATCAGTCGCACTGGCGCCCGTATCCCAGGACTATTCGCATTCACAATCGCATCAATATCATGGATATCAATGCGCTTCGTGAACAGCAACACTCCCGCCGATATCGCCCTTCTCATCATCCTTTTACTGGTCCAGGGTCTGTCGATTGTATTCGTGGAAATCACCGCAATGACGGAAGTTTCGCAGGCAGTTGATGACTACGAGATTGAGTTCCCTGGCGCTTTTGGCGAGAAGAGTCCCGTTGCGCAGGCTTATGCTTTGTTTAATATGGCGTTTGCGGGGGGTCAGTTGCTGGGTCCTATTTTGGCGGGTGGGATTCGGGTTTGGGCTGGCTGGGATAGTATGACGTTGGTTATTGGGCTTGTGTGTGGTTTTACGGCTATACCGATGGGGTTGTATAGTGGTGCGCCGTTGAGGGATACGGAGAGTTCGTGGGATGATGGAGTATAAAGCTCAGCTTGGATGTTATGATGGGAGTGACGTTACGGGGGCTTAAAATGATTTAATGACAACGAGATTAGAATGAAGAGAGAGCATTGAAATAGAATATTGAAGAGATGCCCTCTTCTGGAGTCCCTAAGTACGACCACGACCACGTCCCCTTGGTTTAGCTGCAACGATCCCCCGTCATTTATTCCTGGTCTCTGCGCATAGCTGTCGCGGAGTTGCACCCGCATGATTTGCTTGATGCATCATATCATCGGTACCAGCAGCCTCTTGCAAGATTGTCATCAACTCGTCTTGAACTCTTATCTTTTCCTCGATCGTAATCCTCTTAACCTTGCCATCAGACGTATAATGCGGTCTCAGTTCCCCAGTTGCCGCGACGTGAAACACTGTGTCACCATCTAGATTCTCGGCTTTGATATCGGCTCCATGATGAATGAGGAACTTGATAGTCTGGACTTGGTTGGGATTCTTGGCCATATAATGACTGTTGGCTATGATATGAAGAGGCGTATTTCCTTCTTTGTCTAGGTGGTTGATGGGAGCTCCGTGGGAAACCAGTAGCTCGAGCAGAGCATTATTCGTCGACTTTTTGCGCGGGTAAGAGTCGAAAACCCAATGAAGTACCGTTCGGCCAGGGTTATCTGAGACACTTGCGTCTGCCCCGTGTTCTAGCAAGAAACGTATTGGGAACTTGGCAACGGCGTGGGTGCTCTCACCATACAGGGCGCTACTTTTGACTGCGTAAAGGAAGGGTGTCACGCCCTCTGCATCCGGGATATTGATGGTTTCAGGGGCGCTAGCTAGAAGAAGAATTAATGTGTTGGTGATCCGTTCACTAACCACATAGTCTGGAAGTTTGTGTTCGAAAGAATACTGCGGACCCACCGCTGCCCAGTGTAGCGGAAGTAGTCCATAGTTATCGCGAGTAGAAACAAATCTGGCGATAGTATCTTCGGCAGTCTGGTGGCTGGAATGATAGTCGAGCATTGCTTGTAGCCCGCTGAACTCCAATAATGGCTTGCCCAATGAATGGCAGTCGCACCGTGAGGTAGTGTTGGAGTCCTTGATGGTTTGAAAACCGTTGAGAGAGTCATGCATTGTTGTTTGGCGTATAAATCGGCTCCCTGATTGAGGAGCCGACTGACCAAGGCGTAGCTACCCCGAGAAGCTGCGAGATTGAACATAGTGTAAAGCTGCAACGATTGCATATCAGAATCTGGCACAATTTCTGCGGCGCTTGCACCCATGTCAAGCAAGAAGTCGATAATCTCTTCAATGCACTTGATCCGTCCGCATATCCACCCAAATGAATCTTCACTTTTGTGCGCTTCATGATAATTCACATCCACCAGTGATGCAGCAGCGCATAACGGCGTGTACCCGTTTTGATCCCTCTCACTTAATGTCGCCGGTGCGAGCTGACTGGCTAGCAGACACCGCGCCGCCTCGACGTTCCCAAAGCAGCATGCTACATTCAGCACGGAAAAGTTTCGCTAGTAGCTAGGTGTGTTTCCCGCCGAGGCGATGTCATATTGCTCGAGGAGGAGTTGCCAAGTTTCGGTGTTGCCATACGCAGCAGCCACCCAAAATGGATCGTGAAACCAGGGGTGGCCAGCCTCGCTCGGAGCAATGACTGTCGCCCCCGAGTATGCAGAGATATACTGCTGCAGTCTAGTTGTGTCGTTTTGTCTGATGATTTTGATCAGCAGGGATTTCTCCTGCGTCTCGTAGAGAGGAGCGCCGTCGTCGTCGAGTAGAGGCGAACGTGGTTCATTGGGCAAGCGGTCGAGACGATATTGGAAATCTCTGTACGCCATGATTGGCTTTGTTTTATGTAATCATGAGTCGGTTGCAGGGTGCTATGTTGGGCATCAAGGTGCTATGAACGACGGTAATGGAAGCTTTGGGGGAAGAGGAGTGTAATACTGACCAGGAACCCGAGGTTGTGTATCTTGAGCGAGAGCGGCGCGACGAGAGGTCGATACGGATGTTTTCGTAGAGCCGTGACTGTGAGCAGGAGTTTCCAGAGCCAAGTCTCAAAGGGAGTATTGAGTATCCAAGATCCAAGAGTAATGGCAGGAGCTGTGAGCAAACTTGGTGCCTGAGGGTTCAAAAGTCCAGCTTCTCCTTCCCCGAACTGCTTCAAATTCTTTCCTCTCCTCCTTCTCTCCTCCACAACTCAGACTCTTATTCATCTCTCTCCCCCTCAATCAACCAGACTCCAGCACTCCTCCATCTCCAAAGTTACAATCCCCAGCACCACAGGGATTATTTCTCATCTCCACTCAACTTCCCAACTCTTCCACTTTCATAACTCATACTCTGCTTCGTCTCTACCTACCTCCATCAACCATACTCCAACACCCTTCCATCCATCAGATTCTTAACTGTGAGATCCTCATTATTATTTTTCATCTCCCTTCACCTCCTCAACTCAGACTTTGAAACCATTCAGGATTCTGATACCCGGAGCTGATTGAGTTGATTTTGTCTCTACACACCTCCATCACTCGGATTCTGATTCATCTCTACCAACCTTCATCAATCAGACTCTGAAAATATTCCACCCTCCAGAATTACGACTCCCAGCGCCGTGTGGATTCTTTTCATCTCCACCTACCCTTGCAGCCCACTCTTATTCATCTCTTTCCCCCTCCATCACTCAGACTCTGGCAACCACCCGCAATTCTGATTCTCAGCACCACTCGAGTTGATTTCGTCTCCACCTACCTCCACAGCTTAGACTGTGCTACCCTTCTGAATTACGATACCCTGTCCTACTCTTGAACGAGTCAATCAACCATGGCCCCGAAATCCGTTTCCTGCGGCCTGTGTGGCGCTGCATTCTCCCGGCCCTATTTCATTTCGATTAACAAGGACGCCGAGAAGGGCCCAGGTCTTGGCCAACCGAGGGTCGAGGACATGGAATGGCTGGGTAATGCCCGCATTCTTTATCGCAGCACAGAGTTCAGCAGAACATTCCGAAGGTTCGTTTGACTCGGCACATTATCTGGCATATTAACTAACCAACTCGGTACAGAGCGAACTTGTCATCAATTGCTACTCAGCGCAACGATGGGAAATTCCAAGTGACGGGCAATCTTCCATACGATGAATTCGAGAACACCGATCCGGATGGTTTGAAAGTTTTCCAAACGTACGTTCAATCTGAGTGACCTCAATAACGATAGCGCTAACCACAATGTAACCAGATATGCGGGTCGGCTGTTGTTCTCGATCCCACTCCACGAATCTTGCAGTCACTTGCTGGCAAGATTCTTTGATTACTCAGTGGGTATCACTCCAAGCAATTACCTTGGAGTGATCTTCAGAACCCTGCGGAGCTACCACGACGAAAAGTTCCGAATGTACCAGGGAAAGATCGAGTATGGACAGATTGCAAGCCAGCACCACCAATCCTGGTTCCTAACGGTTTGCACCAAGGCCTTTGCCTACAACCCGTTGGTTGCGTCTCCGGAATTACAGCAATACTACGAAAACCTGCCGGAAGTCAAACGGAACCGAGATGAAAGAGAGGGTTGCAAAGCCAGATACCTGGCTGCAAGGGACCCGTTTGGCAATCTTCCAGCCGAAATCCTCACCATGATCCTCGTACAACTTCCACTGCAATCAATCGGGCAGCTTCGACTTGCCAGCGCTGTCATTGTAGATCTGCAGCTATCTGGTAGCTTTTGGAAGAAAAAGCTCAAGTTCGACATGCCTTGGCTTTGGGATTTCCCCTATCAAACAGTCGAGCGATCTTCCAAGAGACCAGATTGGCTGCAGATCTACAATGACATTCAATCTGGAAGTGAGGGGAATGGGAAGAGACCCTTTCTCAGTTTGGCCAACCGCCGTCGAATCTGGAGAATCTGTGAGCAGATTGAACCTCGACTTGCCCAGTTCCAGATGGAAAGAGACATGGTTGACCGAAAGGAGAAATGGGTCTCGGAGGAATGAGGGTGGAAGAAGAGGCGCGAATTCGTGGTAGCGATGATTCTTCTGTGGCGGTTTCTTTCTGCGGCGGTTGTTTCTCTTTGGCGGTTGTGTTTCTTTGGCGGTGCTTTTTCTATGACGGATATGACGGTGATTTTTCTACGGCGTTGGCCTTTCTATGGCGATGATCTAATCTAATCTTAATACGATAGTTCGATTAAACGTGGCGTTTTTCATTCAAGCTACAGATACTTTCTCTAATGATATCTTGTTAGATCTGCCCTAGAAGATTTATCATACACTTCCAGGCAATGGGCACAAAGGCATTGGTTCCTCATATGGCTTGCACTAGGGTATCCTAATAGCTCCGTTTCAATTTGAAGACTCTCAGCCTGGCCGGAGATCAAAAAATCATCAATTAGTTCCCTATGTATACGTCTGATCTATCTCGGGCCTGCTAACGCTGAAAGATGTAAAGCTGCAGTGACGACATTCTTGTCCAATGCCATCGCCGCTCGGCTTCCTATCCAAATATTCCAGACTGATCTCTTCCGCATTGTCACTCCCAACCAACGGAGTGACTGAAGTTGATGATGTAGAATGTGATATCGAGGAGGTCTGCTCTCCAGTCTCGCCCCATATAACCGGCTTCAATGCTGCATCCACATCATCTGCAGGTGGATGACAAGCTGCACTGATAGCCATACTGCAACTGCCAGCAAGGGGTATGAAAGAGCGGAAGGGCCTAAGTGCCATACCCAATAATACGAGGATCATCAATCCACCCACGATGATAGCGAATATGAAGGCCACAGGCGACCAGCCACACGCATTCACATCGTACTGGGACTCATGCTCCATACTCGAATTGTACATGACAACTCGAACATAGAAAATGCTCTGCGAGACCAACCAGTGTAGAACCGTATACGCTAGCATAAGCGGTAAACTGTATCGGTAGGGAAGACTCAAGAAGTAGAATGATCGTTGAGCACCACGGCGATCGGAAGATACTCGGAGGCCTTTCTTGGGAGATGTGGGAAGGATCTCTGGGATTGAAGCTCCACGACGACCGCGCACTGCGTAGCTGTCATACTCCGAAGCCATGATCATGGTTGTAAGGATGGAATTGTAGAAATAGTAGGAGAGTGAAATGAGAAGTTGGGGCAAATTGGCTAATAGCACGTTTCCGAGTATCGAGGACTGAACGCGGTAGATTATTGTGTATGGGGTTGCGGAGCCGAGGCCGTATCGCCAGAGAGTTGACATGCTGGTTCCGCCCATTGAGGCGAGTCGGGTATCTTGGAGGCCTCGGTGGAGGAGGATTGCTGCGACGCTGAGGCATCCAAAGGATCTATTATGGAATTAGCATACTCGGCGATGATGATGTTTTTTTCGAGTTCGCTTACAGTACGAACGTGGCTAGCCACTGCTCCATGGCTCCGGCTTCCCACCATCTCCTCTTGGCCCCAGACAGCTTTTGTTGAGATACGGCCACATAGCTATGGTGATTCTTGGTGCCTCGCAGGGAGCGATGAGGCCTCGTCCACTCGGCTTTCGGTGTTAATCCTTTCCCCTTCGTGAGTGGATCGGGGTTAGACAGGAACGAGGCGATAGCGTCTCCGACTGTAAGAAGTCGACGCACGCGTTCTTGTCGTGCGAGAAACAGAATGCACGCCACCTTGATGGCAGTGCAGATGATGACCACGAGTGAGAACGACGGCACAAAGAGTAGCTGGCAGTGCTGTTCTGTCTCGGCGCTAACACATCCTGCAACTGTGAAGCGACCTGAGAAGATGTCCATCGAGCCCCCAGCCGGGTCCATGTCTTCTTCAATTCGACCTTCGAAGCATTGAGATCCCGTATTCTGGAAGGTGACTTCTTCGGCCCATGTCTTATTTTCCCAATCGGATATGTCCAAATACTTCTGGAACAACTGTGCTGTCGGGGGAACATCAAGCCATGCAATATTTTGCAAATGGTCCAGGTCCTCGCATTCTGCGGTAGACGGGAAAGGGCACTCTTTATTTGATTTCTCTGTGTAGGTAGTACTCCCATTATCGGTAGGAAAAGTGATGGACCATTTCGGTCCTTCCCAGCGAGTATCGGCGACCTGCCAGTTCGGCATTTGGCTTTGTATAAGACTCTTTAAACACGATGTTGTGTAGTTCCATGAACACATCCACAGAATCGGGCTGTCCGCTGCGATGAGATCATATGAGGCGGGGGAATTCCCTTGTCCCGTGAACTTGATGGGGTATTGCATGTCCCATGTAAGATTGTTCGACAAGACCACGACTGTTTGTTCGCCTGTCAGAAAGTCGACGGCGAACTTGTTCACACATTGCTCCGTAGTGAGTACTTGAAAGTCTCCTTTTGCCACTGCTGAGTTGAATTTGGAGAGGGATGTATTCACGTGGGACTCGATGCATTGCGTTGCTACTTTTGTAGAGTCCAAGGGATTGGAGCCATTGTAGTCAGCCGGTGCAATGAAGACGTCGTATCCATTCGAGCTTTCTGCATTTAGCACGACGGAGTTATAGCTGTGGACAAACGTCAAAATTTAGACTTTGAAGCTTGCGAGTCCGATATGATCGGTGTGGGTTGCAACTCACAATGCATGAATAGGAATAGTCGACAACATCAGAATAGCCCATATAGCTTTTCTCTTCCGCCCCAAAGCCCGAATATTTCGAACACTGGGAACGCCGATATCAAGCCAGGAGCCTCGTGCATGCGCCCCATCCACATCTTCCCTCGTTGGCGCAGCCAAGAATTGTGCACAGTAATTGCTGCTACCAAGGATGACCGTCCCCAGTGCGTTGATCAGCAAGTGAAGGCCAGTTGACCAGTTCTTAGTCTTCGAGCATCTACCCTCGTAGAGTAGAACAGTGACAAAGCCACTGCTTTTATTTTGGGAATAACCGCGAGCGAACGCGATCACAGCCAAAATGGTGTTTATCGCTAACGCGATGCAGGCCGCCGTCGCGCAGAGCTGTATCCCCTCGAAGGCCTTGACTCTCTGGAATATGGACTTCCGGGCCTTGGATTCCCCATCCGTGTCGCTATTCCCGACCATCTCCGGTATACGGGGACAGTAGCATATCCCACGGGGGGTGAGCAGGAGATAAATCGGTGTGGTTCATTTATTTATCGACTATCACTTTCTTGACTAGTCTTCGCCCCCATTCTCTGTCTTGGCAATTTTGCATCGCCCGTAGGTCGAGGGTCGATCCTTGTTTCAAGTTTGGCGGTCTGGGAGGGTATGTTAAGCGCTGCTGGAGCACGTTTGATTCGTCTGTCCTGTTCAGCATTTTGAACGCTGAGAAATGGGGTTTTCGGCTGCACAGTAGCCTGCTTCTTCAAGGGATTTCCATCACCACCGAGTTCAGTGACCGAATGAGGAAAAAGCATAATCGGCGAACTCGGGATCAGAGTCTTGAAATTATAAAATTGTCTCCACCATTAACCTCAAGAAGATTTGTGACGAAACGAGGGAAATTGTTTCTCATGATGAATCGGGTGCGGTCACTGGTCTGACATGCCAAGCGCGATGAAGGCGAGTAGACTAGCCATGAGAGGGCTTATGATATCGCAACCCATGCACAATGAGACAATAAGGGTCCGATTAGGATGAAATGTACGAGGCGGAAAGCTCCGGTGTCTTTGGGTATGAAGGGGTTTGACGTATCGCATGTAACATGATAACCTGATAAGCGCCAGCTTCGTGCGGGGTGTGCATGGAGAGGGGTAACTTTGTACAACCTCCAAGATAAAAGCCTCCTTACTTGAGGAGCAACTCACCCTCAAATCACAACACTTTCTCTCAATCCAGGCAGAATACAAGAGTCCCCCAGCTACACTCGATCACAATGGCCGACATTGAGTATCTAAAGGGCCTCGAGGCGGTGCGTGAGAGAGCCCACCTGGTCCTGGGAGCGGCTGAGAGAAACGAACTCTCCCACTTTGATTATGATCCTTCCAAGATGTCTGAAGTGGCGGACTTTGTTGCTGGTGTGATTACAGTATGCCCCTTGAGCTAAATCCTCTACGATTGACCCGTCACTAACGAAGCCGACAGCGAGACTTTGGCCCGGATCGATACGACCAGATTCCCCCGCACGGAAGGTGGCAACACTTTGATGTTGGCGGTGTTGCTCGGGTGGACGAGTTGATCAAAAAATGGAAACTCAAGGGGTTGAACAAGCTCGAGACTACGCGTCGGCTGATAGATCTCTTCTTTGTGGCGGTTCTGCTGGATGCTGGGGCAGGAGATGTCTGGAAATTCGCTGAGCCTAATACCGATAACGCATATGGCAGAAGTGAGGGCATTGCTGTTGCATCGCTGTACATGTTCAAATGTGGGGCGTTCTCGAGCAACCGGGGGAACGACGTTGAATTGGTCGATGGTTAGTCACTACAATCACCTTGGGGCTATGACAAGTAGCATGCACTCGTTGACACAAACAGGACACGCTTTGATGGCTCTTGATGTTGCAAGCTTCGAGAAGCATTTTCAAATCACAGAGAAGAACCCCCTTGTCGGAGCTGCCTCCCGCGTCAATCTGTTAAAGAGCGTGGGTAATTCCCTTCTTAGTCTCCCCGGATTCTTCGGAGACAATGGTCGACCAGGGAATCTCGTTGGTATGTAAAATCGCCATATCTTTCGCTAAATCCTATTGACACCTTCACTGCAGACTACTTGGTAGATCAGGCAGGCGGATCAAAGGAATTGGACTTCACCACACTCTGGACTATCTTGCAAGGAACACTACTCCCAGCCTGGCCCAGAAACCGCACTAGGATTGGAGAAATTCCCATCGGCGATGCGTGGCCTCTGAAAATCCTATCAAAGCTGAACGCTGAAAAGGAGAGTGAAAAGGTGTATCGAACGCTACACATTGCACCTTTCCACAAGTTGACGCAATGGCTCGCCTACTCACTCACGGTACCTTTCATGCGTGTCCTCGATATGCAGTGGAAGAATTTGGAAAAGGGAACGGGTCTCCCGGAGTATCGCAACGGAGGTTTGTTTGTTGACCTGGGTGTTCTCAAGCTCAAGGAAGAGGCCTTAAAGGCTGGATTGGCTGCGTCACAAAAGGAGCTTCCTAGTTATGAGGCTACCAGCGATGTGATAGTGGAGTGGCGAGCATTGACTGTGGCTCTGCTTGACAAGCTTCATGAGCTTATCGGGGCTCATTTTGCCAGTCAAGGGGTCAAGCTGAGCATGCCACAGATGCTGGAGGCTGGGTCTTGGAAGGCAGGTCGAGAGCTGGCCGCGAAGTTCAGACCCGAGACTAAGTCGAGTCCTATACTGATAGAAGGGGATGGCACTCTATTCTAGCTCTATTATGGTCGGGCTTCTATGAAAACTTATACACTTAAAAAAATAATTAACTAGTGCGGTTTTTCTGGATGATGTTGTTTTTCTATTTGATGAGATATTCTTCGCTTCAGCCATATCTAACGTCTTTGGCTTCTTCTCCAAACCAGTCATCTGTAGCAAGAGATTCCTCAGTGGAGGCAAAATTGAGGATGGTACTCCTGGTCGTTGTGTAGGCATGATATGCGTCAACTCCATTCTCACTTCCAACACCGCTCGCAGCTTTGACGCCTCCCCAAGGACTACTAGGATCGTTCCGATGATGGGTGTTTACCCAAACAATCCCAGCCTCGATCTGTTCAGACACTCGGAATGCCCTCGACAGATCCTTCGTCCAGATACTAGCTCCGAGTCCGAATTCAGTATCGTTCGCTAAATTCACAGCGTTCTCCTCGGTGTCGAAACCAATAACGACAATCACTGGTCCGAATGCTTCTTCTCGCCAGATTGGTGAGTCGGTAATACTCTCATTGCTTTCCGGAGGCACGAGAATTGTAGGTTCATAGAAGTACCCTTTCGAAAGATCAGATCCATCCAGGGCACTATTTCCCATCATTCTCCTGGCTCCGGTGAGAGCTACAGCCTTGCCTGCGGCGATGGACTTGTCGACAAGTCTCTCCACATGAGCAAGCTGCTTTCCAGATACGAGAGGGCCCATCACGGATTGGGGATTTTGCGGATTCCCAATTCTCCTCTTGATCGCCTCTACCTTGGCCACGAGCTTATCCAGGAGTTGACTCTCAATTCTCTTGTCCACAATGATCCTTGTGCTGGCGATGCACGTCTGTCCACTCGCGATAAAGCTTCCAAATGCAATGCCATTAACAGCAACGTCGATCTCTGCGTCGTTGAATACGACTAGAGGTGCTTTACCCCCAAGCTCTGCAGTATATTTGGCCAGGTTGCCGCCCACGACTGTTCCAATCGCTTTGCCTGCGTATGTCCCCCCAGTAACATCTACCTTTCTGACCAGATGGTGAGAAACCAGAGCCATGCCCGTTGTTGCGCCAAATCCGGGCAAGACACTGAATACACCGGCTGGAATCCCAGCCTCGGCGAGAATTTTCCCTAGCATCAGCGATGTCAGGGGTGTCAACTCGCTTGGCTTGAGGATAACACTATTCCCAGCTGCAAGTGCAGGAGCCACTTTCTTCACCGCAATAAGCAGCGGGTGGTTGAAGGGGGTAATCTGCACCACCACTCCTAGTGGAACCCTGTCGACGAAGTTGTGCAGTTTTCCACTGGTAGGAAGAACGGATCGCTCTTCAACTCGAAGTAAGGAGGCGTAGTATTTGAACCATTTCACTAGCGAGGGAACCTGGGCTTGCATTTCCTTGATCACTCTCCCCGTTTGCTTCGACTCCAGTGCTATGAGCTTAGGCAAGGCATCCGATAGCAGGGATGCACAATTTTCGAGAACATCGGCGCGGTGGTGACGGCTTGCTCGAGACCAAATGCCAGATTTGAATGCGGCGTGGGCGGCCGCGACTGTGGAATCGACGTCTTCTTTGGATGCAGTATGGCAGCTTCGTATGATTAGATTGGAGTTGATAAATCGGTTGAATTCGCACTTACAATGCGAATATCTCTCCTGTTGCTGGATCTTCGATGCCAATCCTGTCGACGTTTAGACTATGAAGCGATAGATCGCGTTAGGAACAGTTACCGTTCGTCTCCACCGACCTTCTCTTCGCCAGCGGCCCAGAGGAGGTATATTTCCAGCTCAGCCATCGGGATTTCCGAAGACCTGAAGACACGCTGCTCCGGTAAGGGACTCGTTGAAATGGGTGAAGAAGTATGAGGGGAATGAGGGGAAATCACCAGGACAGCTCCTCGCCTGCAACGTCGGGCTTATCTCTGGGCGGGGGAGGCGGGGTTACAGTCTCAACAGCACTTGAAGCTCGATTAGATAAGGAGCTCGTGCCTGGCTAGCATTACGATTCTGTGGCATCATTAGGGCTCTATCTGGCTTTATAGCTGTCCCATGTACTAACTGGCGCCAGATAAAGTGAGTCTTACCCTAATCAACTATAGGTTCAGCAAGGGGCGAGATGACCGATCGCTACTAACAAAGCCCATTCTAGAGCCACTTATTTTCTCTCCATCGCCAAGAAGAGTATACCTTCAACTCCCTATCTTAGTAGGTTAGAGTTCATGGCCCATGTTCAGTTTATCTAGAAAAACGATTCTCGGATTACTTTGTTGTTGACTTCCCGAGCTGCCTGATTATTGACCTTCACAATAAGACCGTTACAACAAGAACCAATCAACAGATAATCTGTCTCAAGTATTCAGTTTAGCTAGCCAACTTTGCCTTGTATCACAACAGTCAATCACCGATAACGGACTCCATTTAATCGAGTATGAATTTCTGGCCAATTCCAGGTTATTATGATAAATATATATCTGTAAATGCGATCATGCCTTTCGTTGCTAGACGACTCAGTTCTGGTTAGTATACCCGTTTCACAATCGACATCACATGCAATGTTAGGTAGTACAACAGCCTTAGGTGGTTACACAAATCTCTAGGTAGACTCCAGGTAGAAGAGAATGTACACATCTCTTGTGTGACAAAAGCTGGCAATGTTGGGGTACCCCGCAGTGGAGAGGCTCCGCCCTGGGCCCATTACGTCAATTGCATCAATTCAAGATCGCGCCTTGAACCTGGGATTACTTCTTCCTCCTACAACATCTCTAAATCTGCCGTCTATGACACTCCGAACCGTCCATCTCATTGCATCTCGTAATGCCGAAGCTCAACGGGCGCATTTTGCGATCTTTGTTCCTGCCGATGGGGCAGAGCAAGGAACCTTAATCGAAGCCGTGGGCGCACCGATGGCTGGCTATATGCTGGAATTCAAACGAAATTATTCTCCTTCTAACGATTCTATCGAAAATTACGAAATCATTCCGATCGGGGAAATTGACTCTGCCAATATCGTTGACGACGATTCAGGCATTAAGAGTGCTGATGCGGATCCAAGGGGTGATATTGAAATCGTGGCTTCTCAAATTCCAACGCCTGGAATTAGTGAAAATTTCTTGGCCCCGGTCAACGATGTCAGTAATCAAGTGTTTTGTTGTGATATGATATTATGCTAATTTACGATGTGAGGTGTAGACGACCAACAGACGAGATCAAGAGTGGACGATGGAGTATATTCGCCACCTTGTGAGTAAACGCCTTATCGGGTCTCAGGCCATTCAGATCGTGCATTCGAAGCGGGATCCACCTACCCATGGCCTAGACTTCCAGCCTAGTTTGCGACGCTCGGGATAATACCAGTGTTGGAAAGATACATGAAGATGACCAGGGACTCTAGCGGGAGACAATCACCCGCTGATGGAGCTATGCATGTTTGCGGTTGCAAACCCTCATGATTGAGTGGTGTCATTGGTGCCTTAGATGGCGTTCGTCAGCTTACCGAAGCCTATTAATTACTTGTTTTATTGTTTGTACGGCTGGTTGCTTTCGAATAATCCCCCAGCGTCATACTTGATGTTCTTAGGCAACGCTGTCAGGCATGGAAGATGCCGATGAAGTCCAGGGTGTAGAATTGACATAGAGCTATGGCATCTGTAAAGTACCTAAACTATCTTCAGCTATGCAGGCGAACTAAAAAGTAGGTAAACAGGTGTGATCGACCTTCTATATAACCAATCCATCACCGACATAGCTTGTCAACATCGATCTTACACAACACCAGGGTAGTATGATGTTTTATCAATGGAATGTACAGGTCTATTCTTTTCTCTATCGATTTGCAACTTTTTTGCGTCCGGCTTGGTAAAAAAAGAGACCATGATCCCTTTGGCCATTGTCTTAGTATTTAATTAGCCCAACTGGACTAGACTCTTGAAAACGCGAATAGGACTTAATTACTACTCAACAAGGAAATACGCATTGCAGACACGTGGTGATATTCACTATATAATATTAACTGCTAGCCATAAGCAAGATTTCCTATGAGTAACTGTTATTAGAAAGACCAGTCTCGAATTTGCTATATACCGGTAGAGGGAAAATCGTCTCCACACTTTTGTACAATATTAAGAAATTCGCCCCAATTTCTAAATCCAGAAGGACCTCAGAACACTCCACGCACGGCCCAAGAAAACTTGATTTGCATGCCATTGATGCTAGTGCTAAACCCTGATTTGGCGGCTGTCGGGGATTTTCCAGGCGGGTCAGTCCACGCGGCGTAACTAACGGTCGCGGATCAAACGTCATTCAACGACTCCGAAAATTAGGGTGACACCGACGATAAAATAACAACCTTATAACCCCCCTATAAAGTTAAAGCAATTATCGCACCAGGCAGCCAGGTATACAGAAAATAATCTTTGAAGCTGAAACACCAAATATCACCGCGCTGCCTTGAATTCGCCTCCATGATATCAGTTGTTGCCCGCCATGAAGTGTGTGGCTGACGGCTCCACTCAAATAGATTAAAAATGATGAATCGTTCCGATCGATCATGATCTCATCCGGCCGAGACTCCGGTGGCTTGGGGTGCTCGACCCTCACATCGACCACTCGTATCGCTGCGGACAGGGGGTCCCCTGGTCCATGCGATATGATTGACATGTTTTGGTCTACGAACAAGGAATTAAGATATCAAAGGTAGTACTATAACTTGTTTATGGACACCCGTTGTCAGCGCTTAGTTAGGGTAGCGAAATTGAGGTACCATGGAAGGAGAATAATTGTGTTGTTCTTTCTAAACCATTAATCCAGATATGTCTACAAAAGCCCTCGAGCAAACAAAATAGAAGTACTTGCTGCAGAGTAGTCAGCTGTTGTCATAGTGTATAGTTGCACTGTCCAACAGCTACCGTCTCTAAATAGTAATATCTGATGTAATGATGATCGGTCAATATCAGCTCTGGCGTGATACTGGCTAATTCCAACCTGCATAGTCGACGTCGAGGCTTGTAAGCGAACCAGACATTATTCTGGTCATGAGCCACAATACAGGCACATTGACAGGGGGTGACAGCGTGAAACAGTGGATGGGAGGCAAATCAAGGCGGATAATGGAGTCGAAGGTGCCCATCTACCCAAATAGCACTCTGATTCGCTCATGGTTGCTTTATCCAAATGGCGAGACTTGCATACTTCCATGGCTCGTAATATGCCAGTAACCAGTCAGCCACAGTTATGATGAATTCTCCGCCTGTCACTTCTTGATACAGCGAGACATTGTTCTGTACACATCGAGGTATTGTCCAGACACCTGTCAGGAAAAATGATATTCAGGGAATCAACATCATAGTCGTAGCTTCATGGTGTGAAATAGCCATTAAATCCCAGTTATCATCCACATTGCAGCTACAATTTAAAAGCTAAGATAAGATCCCAGTTCAAAAAGCCCCCAGTTTGAAGCCCCAGAAAAAAAGATGTTACACTTGGTCCCATTCCGCGTCATGCTATACCCTATTCTACCACGTTGTGCTCCACATACCCCCATCCTGCCATACTCCCGATCCAGCCACAATCTGGAGATAAAAGCTCCTATTTGCGGTACGCCCTTGTCAGACACAAGGATCGACCAACTTTAGGCGCAATTCCATTGATCAGATCCGCTGTCAGCCCCGCTATGATGATGCCAGCGATGATACTACCGGCCGCCCTGTGGCTCTGTGGCTCTCTGTCTCCCCGCTTCTCTTTCCTACAGTAACTAGCTGCTCCCTGCACCGTGGACTCTGCAGAAGACTTTAGCTCGGTTCGACCGCTTTGCTAACAGGGATTGGAGGAGGGCGAGATTCTGGCGATGATATCAATGGCCCATGACGTAGTTGGCTCGAACATGGTGGTACCTGATGTGAGGGCGTCTATATAGATTTCTTGATGGTTTGTAGAAGCTCGATGATATCAGAATCCTTGAAATCATTATAAGACAACCTTCTTCTCGTGATACTTGGAGACTTCTTTTTTATTTCCTAAGAACACCCATAATTCTGCATTAGCCTCAAACCTTACCTATCTATCGGCTCTTGCTTTGTATTATATCCCTTTCAGCTATACTCTACCGAAACACTTCACGAAGCTTTACGACGTTACTGTACCGGACACTCAAGCAGTTATTTTTCTCTTCATCTATTTCCACGGCTTGATTATATCGTGAGTACTTTTAACGCCTCGCAAATGCTTGACTATTGCTAATCATATCTTGCTAACACAGCATTTTTGACCTAAATTTCTAAGCGTCTTCCTCCAATAAATCCCACACAATGTCTGCTGTTGCAAAAGCACCTCCCAAGATCGGATCTAAGACCGGCTCCCCCGCCAAGCTGCGCAAGGCCTCAGGTTCTAGCGCTGCCTCGAAGCCTGGCGTTCCAGAAACCCCAACCAAGTCTGTTAAGAAGACTCCCGCCAAGAAGCTCACACCGAAGGCTCCCGAGCCCATCCAAGACGAAGTCGACGATATCTCTGTTCCTGAAACCCCCTCGCCAAAGTCCAAGAAGAAGGCACCTTCGTCTGAACAACGCCGCCCTATCTCTCCCCCGGATGATGCCGTCTCTATGGCCTCTGGATCTGCCGCTCCGCTTGGAGGAGCTACCTCTGGTCTGAAGAAGAAGGCCAAGGATGCTGCTGGAAAGGCAAAAGATACTGCTTCGAAGGGTGCGGAGACTGTCTCCAACAATGTCCCACTTGACCTGTCTGCCTTGAAAGGCCTCTCCGTTGCCGATGGCGGTCAGATTCTCGGACAGGATGGTACCCCTCTCGGCAAGGTCGTTGAGGGTGACCCCGAGGACCTGGTTGGCCAAACTGTCGGTGACGATGGCGAGATTGTCGACGAGGATGGTGACCTGATTGGCCGCGTGGATATTCTCCACGACGTTGCTGACCAGGCCAATGGCATCCCCGAGGAGGCCGAGTCCAAGCTCGACGAGGCCAAGAACGTGGTCACCGACTTGGCTCAACTTGAAGGCTTTGCTGTGTCTGACGGCGGTGTGATCAAGAACTCTGCTGGTCAGGTCGTTGGCAAGATCGTCGAAGGTGACCCTGAGGACCTCATTGGATACACTCTCAACGATGATGGCGAGGTTGTTGATGATGAGGGTGACGCCATTGGTCGTGTTGAGCTACTCCCCATCGAAGAGCAGGAGAAGAATATCCAGGAGGCTGCTGGCGACATCACCGATCAGGTCAATGGAGTCACCGAAGAGGTTGATGATGACCTTGAAGAAGCCGCTGAAGATGCGGTTGATGAGGCCGAAGATGATGTCGACGACGCTGTAGACGATGCTGGGGATGCAGTCGATGAAGCGAAGGCTGCCGCTCCTGATGTCGGCGAGGCTAAGGGCTCTGCCGAGGATGATCTTGACGACGCCGTCGATAAGGCCGAAGGGGGCGTCGACGAAGCCGGTGATGCCGTTGACGAGGCCGGCGACGCTGTGCCTGATGTGGATGAGGCTAAGGATACCGCCGAGGGCGCCGTTGATGATGCACAAGATGCTGCTGAAGATGCCGCCGCGGAGACTGAGGAGGCTGGGCTTCGCATTCCCGACCTCGACACTCTCGAAGGCCTTACCTGCAACAAGCGCGGTTATGTCATCGATCAAGCCACCGGCAAACCCGTTGGTGAGCTCATCGAAGGTGATCCTAAAAAGATTTCCCGACTGAAGGCTACCCTCGACGACCAGGGTCAGTTCTGGGACAACCGCGGAAACGTCATCGGCAAAGTCAAGGCTCTCCCCATTGAAGACGACAAAGACGAGGAAGGACCCTTCGCCGGTCTTGAGGGTCTCGTCGTCGGCCAGGACGGCTGGATCGAAGATGAGAACCAAACTCGTGTTGGCAAGCTTGTTGAAGGCGACGCCAAGAAGCTACTTGGCCGTGGTGTCGACGAGGACGGCGAAATCCTCGATCGCCATGGCAGCGTGATTGGCCGTGCTGAGCGCTATGATGAACCTGAGCCTGAAGAAGAGGCTGCTCCCGATGTTTCTGTCCTGAACGGCATGCACTGCAACAAGGCTGGTTACGTGATTGGCCCTGAAGGCTTCCCCATTGCTCGCGTCGTTGAGGGTAACCCTAAGGAGCTTGCCGGCAAGAAGATCGAGGATGGCGAGATCTATGATGGCAAGCAGGTCATTGGTCGCGTCGAGCTCATCCCCGAAGAGGAGCTTGAGAGCAAGCCTGAAGGACCCTTCGCCGGTATGGAAAGCCTGGTTGTGACCAAGGATGGCTTTGTTGAAGATGAGGATGGTGTCATCGTGGGCAAGCTAATCGAGGGCGACGCCAGGAAGCTTCGCGGCCGCTGCGTCGACGAGGATGGTGAGATTACCGACAAGTACGGCAACGTCAAGGGTCGTGCTGAGCCTTATGAGCCGCCAGAGGAGGAGGCCCCTCAAGAGGTCGATCTCTCCATCCTCGAAGGCAAGGTCGTCAACAAGACCGGCAAGGTCGTGGATCCTGCCACGGGTGCTGTCTTCGGTCGAGTCGTCGAAGGCGACAAGCGTCTTGCTGGTCGCAAAGTTGACGGCAAAGGCCAGATCTGGGGCGATGATGGCAAGATCATTGGTCGCGCTGAGCTGATTCCCGGAGCCGAGCAGGAGAAGGCTGAAGGACCATTCTACGGCTTCGACAACGCGGTAGTCGGCAAAGACGGTCTTGTCTTCTCTGGTGACCGAATCATCGGACGTCTCATCGAGGGCGATGCCAAGCGCCTCTCGGGTCGCAAGGTCGATGAAGACGGTGACGTTGCAGACAAGAACGGTAACACCATTGGCAAAGCTGAGCGCTGGGAGCCTGAAGAGAAGAAGCGCGATGTCAATCCCATGTCAGGTCGAAAGGTCAACAAGGAGGGTGAGGTGCGCGATGCTGATGGTAACCTCATTGGCAAGTTGACTTCTGGTAACCTGGCCACTCTGGTCGGCAAGACAATCGACGACAATGGCTTCGTGATTGACAACGATGGCAACAAGCTTGGTGAATGCACCCTCTTGGAGAACATTCCCGAGGAGGAGGAGGTCGAAGAAGGACCTACTGCCGAAGAACAGGAGGCTCAGGCCAAGGCCGAGCAGGATCGCCAACTGGCCGAGAAAATGTGCCACATCCTGCGCCAGACTCTCGACCAGGTCAAGCCAGTCTGCAAGCAAATCACCGACGTAAGTTTAGACCCAAGAATCAAGGAAGAGGATTCGCATGACTAACATATCTTATACAGCGCCTTGAGCAGGCTGACCGCACTCCTAAGGACGAGCTTGATGAAGAGAAGCTTGTCAAGGATGTCAAGCCTTTGATTGAAGAAGGTGGCCGCATTCTGCAGGAGTGCAATGGCTCCATTCGTGCCCTCGATCCCGATGGTCGCATCGCTGCTACTGCCAAGGCTCGTGCCTCTACTCGCGATGCAACCCCGGAGGAATATCAGCTGGCCGATATGATCAAGGAGTTGACCGAGACCGTGGTGAAGACTATTGACAACGGCAAGAGACGTATCGCTGACATGCCCCACGCCAAGAAGAAGCTGAACCCTCTCTGGGCTCTGCTCTCTGAGCCTCTGTTCCAGATCATCGCTGCAGTTGGTCTCTTGTTGAACGGTGTTCTCAGCTTGGTTGGCCGTCTTCTCGATGGACTTGGCTTGGGTGGTCTTCTGAATGGTATCCTTGGTGGACTTGGACTGGACAAGTTGATCAACAGTCTTGGCCTGGGCGGTTTGACCGATGCCCTGGGGTTGGGCGGCAAGAAATAAGTTATAAGATGATTCTTCTGGATTTGATCTTATCAGCGTTATTGAGTTCTGTTCTCTCAAAACGATTCCTCCCTGTATTGTTTATAAGTCTGCTTCTGATTTGTATTTCTCCCTTGCTCTTGGATTCTGAAAATTCCTGCGACGCTTGTATTGTCTCGTGGTTGAGATACTTAATAATCATCGATTAAATTGAATTTCTCTTCTGTTAAATTGAGTCTGTAAATATCTTCTCATCGTAGAAGCTCAAAAGAAGTACTGACCCCTAATACAAGTCTACTGTATGTGTCCCATACTATTACGGTTCGTGCCCGGGCGCACTAACCAAACAAGCCAAAAGACCAAATATGCTAGAACATAGCGTTCTAGCATACCCGGGACCAATATAAGTAGCGCACAACGTTAGGCCTAGGGGGACGAGGCCTAGGTCCTAACACATACTCCTTCCCCTTAAAAGTAGTCGTTACTTACAATGTTCCATCCCATTCACTAGATCTCTTTTTTCATGAAGATCGTCTTCATATCCCAAGGCTTTCCATTCCGATCCACCACATCATAAAAATTCTGCACTGTCTTGAAAGGGATATAACCCCTGCGGAGGTACCATTCCTCAGTCGTGAACTGCCCATAAACGTCAGATTGAACAAAACGGTATTTCGATAGCTGGAATTCGCCTACCTTGGGAACACTTCCATATGTTGCGAGAGCAAATTCCTCCCTCATTTGGTCTTCACCCGGAATAACATCGAGCATAAGTGTCGTCGCAAGCAACGGCTCTCTAACAGCCATAGACTCCACCTCATCCATTGCCGCCCGGCCGATGCCTTTGCTCTGAGACGCTCCGGACACGAAAAACGTTTTAATCCAAAATAGGCCAGGAGCTGAGCTAGTGACGCCCACTTTCTCTACTCCTGGGTTTCGTGAGTCTAAAGATATGTGTCCGATAGGAACGAATTCTTTCTGGGTAGCCTCTCGAGATACCCCGTTGATCGATTCGGCTGTATCACACAGCTTTTCATTTCCCTAAAATCTAATATTAGTTCATTGCTCATAAATGTCGAGACTAAAAATAAAAGTTTTACATTTGGCCCATGATTCACATTGTTGACTTGTTCATCTGCGCCCTTTTCATCTAGAGGCAGGACCTTTCAGACAAACCATCAGTACCATATCCGAAATGCCACATGGTCGATACACGTGGGTCTATTTTCACCAATTCAAGTAAATGGACAGGGATAACTCACAATCCAATAAATGCACTTATATCCTTTCGTCTGCGACTCTCTCCATACACCCTCAACTTTGTCCTGGTCCCAACCGCACTCGTCTCGTTGCTTGATAAGCCACTGTCGGTGAGTCAAGGACTGCGGATCCCAAGGAATCAGGGTAACTTTGGTGTCCGTCGCCATAATTGATCCAGTCACCAGCGAGATCACAGTGCGGTGATTTTTCTTGTATGATCTTGACTGCTAGTCAAATTAAATAGAAAAAGGGGATTACGAGGCTCGGGGCGCCACTAAATCTTGCGTGATATTTATAGATACTTCGGCCACTTGTAATAGGGCGCCGCTTGTACTCAATAGGGCGTTCTACCGTTTGGTCTTCCGGATGCAACAGGAGGTCGGTCTGGGGCTTGACAAACGGTTATGCTGGCTCACAGTATGTACTGTGAAGGTGTAGCAGTTGTCTTGTCATTTATCTCGAACTTGAAGATAAAATCTCTCCAATTCTTGATGAGAAACTAGAGATAGGCGAGTCTTTAGATCGGCAAAATATTATGTCATCATCGGGATTCGATCTGCCTCCGAACCAGACAAGTGTACAGATCTCACTCTCACTAGCCAAAGATAAGGGGATGAAGAATCGAATCAAGGGTTCCAAGCGTTGGGGCTAGAAGGCTACCAGGTAAACTTTATGCAGTAATGTTACTACAATATCGTTCCCAATCATTGGACCTAAGAGGAACGTAGAAAAAGCAAAGACCGAAAAGTCGATAGCGGCGACAAAAACATAGTTATGCATTTCAAGAACCTATTCGACTTTCTATCTTTGCATTTCAACTGTCATTGCACGGGACTTTATCACTGTCAATCTCCGACAAAAGAATTCGGATATAATTCAAGTGCGTGGGTGCACGAGTTGTGGAGACGAACAGCATGCTAGTGGAGGGAGTCTGCTTTGAGTCGTTGATTTATCAGCCAGCCTGGGGCAAAGCGGCCTATACATTAAAATTATAATTACTTATGGACGAGCAGTTAAAGATGAATTTTATCTCAATTTGAGGGTGTAAAGCTACAAGTCTATGGGAGCCTCGATAGATGATAGTGGCTCGTACTATGGTCCTCACGTAGTGCCAATTTGGTAGTATAAGAAATTTGTGAATCTAAAGTTCCAGGGGCGTTACTTTATTATCAAGCGGAAAAGCAATAAACCCTGAGTCTCGCAACTAGTAGAAGTAGAATACTGATTTGGCCTGCTATTGCACATGCACTCTAGCTCATATGCCCTCCCATAAACCTCGGCATTACGACTCAAAAGGCGGCTACTCCTGGTTCCTGCAAAATTGCCTGCCTCGCGTTGCAGCAGATCCGCCGATTAACATAAAAGTAACCCTTTTCATGATCGAGACTAACCCTGGCTAGTCTATAATAACCTCCAATGCACGTCAATGCAAGTTGCGATCCATAATCCGATTAATTATCAACTAGCAAGTATGGAGAGCCCTCCGTTAACGCCATCCCATGCTAATTTGAGAGAACTCCAGTATGCAAAACAAGACGCAATGAACAAAAAGCCAGTGTATCAATCCAATGCTGCCAGTTGTGTCTCCTGAAGCAATCTCAGAACCCGCTCGTATGTCCACATTGTCACAGCACTGGCTGGGGCTGCCTTGAGCAAGCTAACAGTCAACCCACGATACAATCCTCGCACGCCCTGCGTGCGCAAAATCAGATTAATGGACTGTATGACCCCGGTGTATTCGGGGATATTGCGGTGCACATATCGAGTCCGCGTCGGGCCTTGTACCTGCAAACGCTTCCGTACTAAGTCCAAGGGGAACACGCCGGTCTTCGCGATAACGCTAGCCAGAACACCAGCCGCAGCATCACCAGTACCGAACGGCAAGGAATCCCACTTGGCCATCGCTGGTCTGAACCCCTCGTATGCGGTGAAAAACAATCCCATGTATGGTACAATTTGCGCGACGGCCGCTGAGCATCCTCGGAAGAACCCGGCGGCACCCTCTTGCCGTGCGATTTCTAGCACCGACGATCCCAGAGATTTATAAATGCGTTCTGGGCCCTGGGCAGCGAACCGTGTGCGAAGCAGGTCAAGCGGGTATGTCGTCGCTGTTGCGATTCCTCCAGCCAAGGCACCGGAGACGAAGGATTCGGCGGATTGCGGGAGTCGGTACGGACCCAATTGCTCCAGCGCTTGGGTCGTGGCTCGGTATGCGGTGAACTGAAGGGCTCCGTAGCAGACATACATCATTTCTGCGGGTATGTTGCCTTTCCATAGACCCTATCCCCAGAAAATCGTTAGCTGGTCCCGCCTCCGCAATTGTGAACGATGGGTCCGGTGGAGGACTTGAGCCCATCACGACTAGATAACGCAACATACCGTTATCCCCTCTTGCACCACAATATCCCGCATGGTTGACAGAGTCCCCTTGTACACGGGCCCGACGACCGTGCGATGCGAGATCGGGTCCGACAGGGAGTGAATCTGCAGCTGCAGGCGGATCTTGACGACATCGAGCGGCGCAATGCAAAAGCGTGAGATCAGCCCTGCGGCTCCGCCTGCCAGGACCACTTGTCGCTTGGTCCCCTCATCTTTGAGATGGTGGCCCCCGGCTGACATGACTGTGTAAACGGGGGCTTTGTTAGGAACAGGAATCCATGATGGGTCCTTGGTTACCGGTTTGTTATTTTTTTTTATTATAAATTTAGCCGGGGGCGACTGGAATGGGGTATCCGCGGTGATTTACGTAAGTCCGGATTGTGGTGCCTTGACACCTAATAGATAAGGCAACAGGGCAGTAATATACGTCACCTCTCAGGCACAATCCACGGAGTAGTCAGCTGACCGTACCTCGGCATCCAAACTCTTTAACTCTTACAGTTCCGTACAGGCGGGTAACGTGCAGTCACCGCGGTTACAATAGCCCGAACTGGCGAGCTGCCGTTACTAGCGGAGTCCGGGGTCGAGGGACATCACATGTTGTCCCCATCCCCTCCTCTCTTGCCCCTCATTTCTTCTTCTTCCGTCCTGTGAATTGTCCCAATTGATTCCTTACAACCTCTCCAATGCGTCCGGCCTCCCTCGCTGCGGCTCGACGGATCCCGCGGGGCCTCGCTGGCCCTGCACGGCGCAGTTTCGTTACTTCGGTCCGACGGAGCCAGGCCGAGGAGGATGCGATGGCCCGTCTGACGAGTAGTGCACTTCTTCTAAATGCAGTGAAAACCGGCCGTTTAATCGACCAAGATGGCAAGCCTGTCTCTATCAGTCAAGTTCGACGCCCTCCCATAAATGGCCAGCCCGGATCTCTCGTTCGGATGGAAATCGCGAAGCCCGCGGAGGCGTACCTTCACCCGGACAAGTTGATCTTGTGGGCCGCGGAGCACGGTCGAACGATTCTGCCCTTGTACTACCTGCGCGACCTCTGCAAGTGTCCTAAATGCGTGGACCCTCACTCGAAGCAACGGTCTTTCCGGACGAGCGATATTCCCAAAGATGTCCATCCCCGACTCGTGCGCTGGGATGGAACACACCTGGAGGTAGAATGGGCCAATGATATTCCTGGCTATGAAAAGGGTCATAGATCTCGCTGGCATATCAACTATCTCAAGCAACCAATTCTGGACCCTCATGAACAAACATCGCCGAATATGAAGCCTCTTCGATGGACAAGTAATCTGATGAAACGGTTACAACATTGGGTGTCCTATGAGGATTACATGAAAGATGATGTCAAATTCGCTGCAGCTATGCGCAATCTGTCTCGTCTCGGTCTTATCTTTGTTAAAGATATCCCCGATTCACGCGAAATGGTTGCGAAGATTGCAACCAGGATGGGCCCTCTACGAAATACCTTCTATGGCGAGACCTGGGACGTGAAGACGGTCCCACAGGCCAAGAACGTCGCATACACAAACCAGTTCTTGGGTTTCCACATGGATCTCATGTACATGAACGAACCTCCGGGCTACCAGCTACTCCACTGCTTGGAGAACTCGTGTGACGGAGGCGAGTCCCTGTTCGCCGATACATTCCGTGTTGCCAACATCATGAAGACCGAGTTCCCTACTGAGTACAAGGCGCTCTCTCTTCGCCATCTGGGCTACGAGTACGCACACGATGAGCACAAGTACCACAACACTAGGCCCTTGTTCCAACTCGACCCCAAAACGAAGGAGCTCCGTTACGTCAACTACTCCCCGCCCTTCCAGTCTGCCTTGCCTGAATATGATGGCAAATTTGGCTCCGGTATTCGGGGCTATGTCGAACTCAAGCGGGCATTGACCCACTTTACCAAGATCATGGAGGGTCATCATTCAGTTTTCAAGTTGAAATTAAACCCCGGCGAGTGCGTGATCTTCAATAACCGTCGCGTCGTTCATGCCCGCAATAAGTTCAACACCAGCACCGGCTCGAGATGGTTGGCTGGCGCGTACGTGGACGAAGATGCGCTGTTGTCTCGCTACGCTGTTTGTGGAGAGAAGCAGGCTATTACGTGGAAGGCTGCTGATCCATTCATGGGTCTTGATGGGGTCCGCAGAGAGATCGCGGCGACTTCAGCCCGCGAGGCAAAACTGGCTATTGCAGAGGCTCGTTTGCAGGATGGACAGAAGATTATCCAAGAGGCCGGGCCTCTTGGAGATGTTGATTCGGCTTTGCAGGGACAAGATGGGGATCCTCAACCCATTGAGCAGAGCAAAGTCTCCGAGCTGGGAAACCCTACCTTGTAAATACAACGAGCACGGAAAGATGAAGCCTGGCGAAAGCTTGGTATGAGGTCATCTTCATTTTTGCATACTGGCATCTTTTTGAGCGAAGATAGCGTTGTGCTTGACCGGCAATGTTGCGGTCTACAAGAATTCCTGCATTCAATGAGAGCAATTGTACATATTTACGACATAAGCTTCATGAGACCACATGGACAGAGTGTAAAGTATACTGAGTCAAATTTAAGGTAGAGAAATACATATGCTTGAAGCGGGAAGGATTTTCATTTCAAGCAAATACGTTTATCATCATAGAATAGTTCTTTTTTTCAATATTCGGCCGCGGTGGTGAGGCCGTGAGGGTATTATGCTGGGACCGACCACTTAAGACTGCTTGTTAACCGAGAACTGGTCAAAGAAGCTAGGGTCGTTTTCGATCTCGTCACGGACCTATGGCAGAAAGTTAGTAAACAGACCGATTATCAATTGGGAGATATCAGAAGGGAGAAATGTAAAAACATACAATATCCAGTCCACCAACCAGCTCGCCGCTCACCCACAACTGAGGGAAAGTGGGCCAGTCGGCATACTCCTTCAGACCCTGTCGAACATCCTCGTCGGCCAAAATGTTGAAGAAGCCGTACTTAACGCTTCGCTCACGCAAAATCCCGACAAGCTGCCGACTGAAGCCACACTGCGGCGAGCTGGGTGTACCCTTCATAAACAGCATGACGGGGGCGGCCTTAACAAGCTGATCCAGGCGTGCCCACAGCGCCTCCTTGGACTGCTCGGGGGTCAGAGCCGGGGTAGAAGAGACATCAATGGCGTTGGCCGCAGGCTCGGGCGCATTAGACGCAGTAGCAGGGGCCTGCGTCGCAACTTCAGGGCCGTTCTCCCGAGGTGTAGCTGAGAGGGCAGCAGGAATGCTAGTCTTTGCGCCGTCCGCGGGCGCGGCGCCACCGGCGTGACGCTCAATGGCGGTGCGGACCTTGACGGCGTCGCTGCCGCTAATATCCTCCAGCCTCTGACCACCGCGCATCAGCACGACGAAGGGAACTGCTGTGACGTCGAGTTCCTCGGAGATATCGGGCAGCTCCTCTGCGTTGATGCTGACAAACGAGATAACCGGCGGGGAGGTGGCGGGGTATTGGCCGGCGATGGCCTCGAGGACGGCGCGCATCTGCGTGCATGGTGCGGCCCATGGCGTGTGGAAGTATAGGACAAGTAGGGCTGATGGCGACAGCGAGGCCAAGTGCGACGTGAAGTCGGTCTCCGAAGCGACTTCAATGAGGGCGGACATGATGGATGCGGGGGGTGGTTGAGGGAGGGGTTTCCCGAAGTCGGAGGGGGGGGTGGATGCGAGAAAAGAGAGGCGGATCGTAGGTAGGTATTTGATGACAATGCAGTGGCAAATAGAGCCTGAATATAATGAGAGTCGACTTTGCCGCTGGGGACAATGGAGGCTGTGATGGGATGCAAGTGTATAGAGGGAAGTGAAGATCGATGGCGTGACGACTCACGAGGGCGAATTTTCCGGCGATCGTCCGTTATCAGATCGTTTCGCAGTTACGTGTATTTTACAATGTTTCCGGCGATAGCCCGTAAATTACACTGTGTTGGTACATTCCTAGCGCCCGTGGCTGCCCAACTATGAACTGATAAGGGCATGGAGATCTATTATCGTTGAAAAACTGCGACCGAGTAAGGTTTTTCATGCACTCGCTTGTACAGCCGCAGGTGGTATAAGGTTTGAGAGGAAGATCAATGGTCACTGTATCCTAAAGTTGTACTGTATTTACTCGGAGTACTGTACTCCCTCAATGTACTTCGGAGTATACTCATAAGACATGGACATGATTAACCAGGTTGCATATCGAAGTTGTCCCCTTTTGTAACCTCGCTGATAGCCGTAGAAAACCCATCGTGCTATAGGTGATAGAGAAGTTCATCTTTAAATGACATAAGTGCGGCCGCGGTTCCACGGCCTAAGTCACTAATCTTGGAAAATGCTGATAACTACACATAATTGGGTATATCTAGATGGTAATACGAGAGCACATTATTTGCAAGGCTGATGAGATAATTGCAAATTGGCTTTCTTATTAATATCGGTGACATCCAAAAGGACATCCCCACAACGACTTCTTCTTTCTTTTGCAGTCACAGTTTAACCTATTGAATGACTCGCTGTCCTTTCCTATTATTTTGTCGAACCAATTCTCCATTTCTAGATTCCATCAGTAACCACAGGACTAAATAGGGAGGCACTACTAACCTTCGTCTTCCTTGAGGTCTAGAATGCGATTACTCGGACAGCTAGCCGTTGGCCTCAAACTGGAAATCCATATTTTCAACGAAAGACTAGCTTTGCGAATGTCAAAATCCACTCGGCCACTTTGTTCGTTTCCATTGTTGACTCTTTTGAAATAATAATAATAATTGCCGTCACAGATAATATCCTCCAATGAGAGTGTCTCTAGAGATAGCTCGTCCCGTAAAGTGTTCAAAAGGCTAGAGACACAAGTCACCTTTTCTTCATTGCGTTTCCATGCCATTTGGGTTTCCCAGGTCGGACAGACTGAGCCTCGAGCATATTCGGGTGGAGAATATGGGTGATAAGTAGACAACCACTTTGCGCTTGGATATTCTTCTGTCGTCGACTCGGAGGACTCGGAAGTCGAGGAGTGCTGTGGGGATTGGGGAGCACTTTCTGCCCGTGCTGTTTCAGATGCTGGCAGGACTGGTAGAGGGGCTGGTCCATATTCCGGCGGGGCCACAGTCGGTATGTACAAGGACGATGTCGGAAATAATGGCATTGTTGGTTGAAATGATGGCAACGTTGGTTCATACGGTGGCAATATTAGATCAAACCCTGGTAAAGTGAGATGAGGCGCTGTGGGTGTATACTGAAACGTGGGTGCGGCGGGGCGGGAGGGTGACGTCGGAGAAATGCCAGCGCCATAAGGTGTTTTGGTAGACATCCATGGGATAGGTCTTTCATTTTCATGATTGCCGGGAGACTCACTGCGTATTGTCACCCGTTTAAGTGTAAGAATGACCAGACTTTTTTTTGCACTAAGCAATAGTGATTTCAACGTGTTGAAATAGACATCAAGCTCATGAATATGAAGCTCTCGGAGTCGAGTGAAGCTAACGTCCTGGAACATGTTTCCAACGTAGCTTTTTGCCGGATAGGCAGGCATCTCATCTTGAACAAGATAAAAAGGCATATGATCTTGCGACAAAACCAGTTTTTCCAGTTGAGGTGCAAGCTTCGTGATAAATTTGAGCCAGGCGGCCTCATTGAGATCAATACATAAATGGAGATCCTCTAGGCCATTTAAAGTAGACAGTAGAGAGTCAAATTGTTCTTCGGAGAGAGCAATTCTAGGGCCGATATCACCACAGAAATTAGAATCGCAGGTACACAGCTTTCGGGGTCTGCAGCTTGAGCCACATAACGCAAGAAAAAGCTTCGATAGTGCCAAGGAGTTCAGTTTCCTTATCTGGCTATCCTTCTGGGTGTGGGTAAAGGCTCGCAGGCTGTAAACATCGAATCGAAAATCAATCCGGCTCATCATCTGTCGCCTTCCCAGGAATGGAACTGTCTGCTGCCGTGGATCGAGCAAAAATTCTGTTCTGTAATGTGCGAGTCCTATTACTTGGAGGTTCTTCAATCGATCCATGCATTCCCGAAGCCGAAAACTGAACTTTTCTGATTCCAGCAGGCTGATATTATCCGCAAGCATGGCTTGATGGACAGCATACCGACTTTCCAGCTCATCACCACTGACTTGTCGGCAGCTTTTCGATGATATAGACACCATGCCAAGGGGCTTTTCAGTACCATCGAACACAATGGGTATCATCCATAGCTCTTGGACGTGCTCGCGGAGACCCTTTGACTTGGATACTTTCTCCAGTTCGTGGAGACTTTCGCTTGTCACAATGAACCGGATTCTTTTGAAATACGTCTCCGCGAAATTCTCCAGTGAGCTTTGATACAATGCGTGGCATGATAACCTTAGAGCGACCCGATGCTGGAAATCTAAATGTTTACATATCTTTGAGATTAATTCAAAGGGAAGAGTCGCGATGGACATTTCGGCTGCGTTTCAATGTTGAGAACGATGATAATATGAGGCTCGGTATGTTATTCGCAGAAATGGGTAGTAATCATCTCAGTCTCTAGGGTTCTAGGATCCCTTTGATGAGAAAGCAAAATGAATGTGATATTTCTGCGCTGAAAGACAAAGAGAAGCGTATTATTGTGCAGCGCTGGAGCTGTTTATCGAAGATCCCATGGACCAGGGCAGTGGAGAAAAACATATCAACGGTCCACCTACTGTATTTGGTTCCGCTTTCTGCCACTATGAACTTGCTTAGGCGGTAATAAAGGCGGTCAGGTATCCCGTCCCATCTACGCCTCTCCACATTCTTTATCACTTATCAACACGTGATCCTCTTCTTGATTTCTCTGCTGGGAGACATAAACTCTTACGGACCCAACAGCACGAGATGGCGCGCCACAATAAGCGAAAGCGTGAGGACGAGGATTCTGATCCTGTCGCTGATACTAATGGAAGTGGTTTTGGTGTCGCAGAGACCCTTACTCGCTTGAATCATGCCTCGAGCCCCAACTCTGATCAGACACCTCCGAACGCCGCGCAAAGCACCAAGAATGGACAGCAGCCGAGTACCAAGAGGAAGCGAGTTGACGGAGAGAAGACCAAATATCCGGACCTGACATATGTGCAAGGCACACTTAAGTCGTCGATCAGAATTTCCGACTTGCAGGGCTTGCTACTCTATTGCTTCGCGGACGGGATTGCGCCCCAATGGATCTCGATTAAGCACTCTGGACACATGCGCAAGGTCGTTGTGCTGATGGTTCCTGGTCTCGAGATTGGCATGTTTGACGGCACACTGCCATTGGAGCCCCAGGAAGCGGAGAAGGAAAAGGACGAGGCAACTCAACCTGAGGTGCCAGAGGAAACGGCAGAAAACCGAAAGAACGCCGATTTTGAGCGATGGAAGCAGGGACTTCCTCTCGAGGATCGCTCATTCCGCTTCAATCCCCAAGCTCTCAATCCAGAGTCTCTGCCCGAGCCCCTGCGGCCATTGGGAAACATGTTCCCCCACGTCTGGCCCGTCAAGGCCCCCGGCGATGCCAAGTACAACAAGGTGCACTCACCTCTTCAAGCTATACTATTGTCATCACTGCCAAAGTCAAAGGAAAGCGGTGGCGGTGGAAAGGGTGCGCGTCCTCCTAGAGTGGACAAGGGCTTCGTGCCAAAGCGGACACCCATTACGACATTCATCAGCACGGCAGAGGATTTGCGCGAGAACGAGTACACTCTTCATCCGGCATACTTTACATCAGACGAAGAGAAACGGTCTCAACTGGCAATTCGCCAACAAGCAGAGCAGTCTACGGAACATGGCTGGGTGGATACCGAAGTTCCTACTTTGGAGGCGGGTGAAGTGCCTGACACCGAGATTGAGAAAGGCAGCGTTACCGCAGGCCGGAACGTTTTGTCTCTCGACTGTGAGATGTGCCTCACCGAAGGTGGTCAGTCTGAGCTCACCCGCATCAGTATGGTTGGATGGGATGGAGAGGTGGTCCTCGATGAACTGGTCAAGCCTGCTAAACCGATCATCGACTACTTAACTCGCTATTCTGGTATCACAAAGGAGATGCTCGACCCCGTTACAACTACCTTGGCCGACATTCAGAAGCGACTCCTCACCATTTTGACCCCTCGCGCCATTCTTGTCGGACACTCCCTTAACTCCGATCTTACGGCGCTCAAGATCACGCATCCTTTCATCGTTGACACTGCTCACATCTACCCCCACCCTCGTGGTCCACCATTGAAGTGTAGTCTTAAGTGGCTCACTCAGAAATACCTGAACAAGGAAATCCAGAAGGGAACGACTGGCCACGACTCCATCGAAGATGCCCGAGCCGTCCTTGAGCTTGTCAAACTCAAGTGTGAAAAGGGCGAGCTTTGGGGTACGAGCGAAGCCTCGAACGAAAGCATTTTCCGCCGTCTAGGCCGCTCCACCAAGAACGGAAAGTCCACCGCCCCCGGCGAAGGACGAACTGGTGCCGTCGTAGACTGGGGCAACCCCGAGCGCGGGTTCGGCTCGCAAGCCACCGTGTCGATTGGATGCCGCGATGACGACGATGTTGTCAAGGGCATCGCCTCAGCCGTTAAGGGCGACGAGTCCAACACGGCCATTCCAGGCGGCGGTGTGGATTTCACTTGGGCACGCCTCCGCAACCTCGAAATGACTCGGGGTTGGTGCACGCGTATGCCGGACGCAAACAACGCCAACGAATCCACCACACTCATCCCTTCCCCCGAAGAGACTACTCCGACGTCTGGTCCCGCCATCACTACGACAGACAAGAATCTCGCTGAGACAGTCAGCCAAACCGTCTCGGATATCTCTCGTATCTACGAGTCCTTGCCGCCCTGTACGCTCTTCATCGTGTACTCTGGAACCGGCGACCCGCGCGAGGTCAGCCGGTTGCAGAATATGCATCGCAAGTACCGTGAAGAGTTCAACGCGCGGAAGCCGTGGAATGAGTTGAGTGTGAAGTGGACGGATACTGAAGAACAGGCGTTGAAGCGGGCCTGTGAGCGCGCACGTGAGGGATGCGGTTTCATGTGTGTCAAATAAACTTTTTGAAGCGCGAATGCTGCTATGGATATCATAGTACAAATTAAATACATATCTTATCTTCAAACCAACGTCTCTCTCGGATCTGTAGATAGAAGTGAGTGTTTCTCACTTCTGCCTGACTACTCGCTATACGGCAGATCAAAGCAGGGCCCATTATTCGCTCGGCTGCTCGAGCTGTCCTCCCTAGGTCGCGACATCTCCCGTCGAATAACATCCATAACCTCACCCTTGTCAAGCATCGTAGCCACAGTGCCCCGCCTCTCAGTAGCACCCTCTTCCCGGTCACTATCACTAACTCTGCTGTCTGGATACTCCAATGTCTCCTCCCGGCCCAACTGCTGATCTTGCTGTTCCGCAATTGCCGCCGTGATTCGGTCATGCAGATCCTTCTCATCTTTCTCCTGCTTGATCATAGCGTAGTGCGAGCGTCTATACACACCAACCGAGCTCAGCACGAGACCACACACCTCGTACACAAAGAGAACGGGTAAACCATAGTAGAGCTGCGGGTTACACCCGCTAGACCAGATATCAATCAGGACGTTGAAGATGCTATGCGCAGGCAACGCATAACCCAATCTGTAGAACGCAGGTGATAGCTCGAATGGGAGGAGAATGGATGTAACATTCAACACGATCCACGATATGAATACCATCGGTACGAAAGGCGGGGATACCCAGATCGTAACCACGTCTAGGACGAGGAAATTCAGATGCGCGAATAGCCATAGCGCCATCCAAGTGATCATGAACTGGCCGCCGTGGACGTCCCAGCCGTTGCGGAACGCCCATATCGCGCCTGTCGTGCACAGGGACCCGATGAACGTGTATACGCCCGAGATTATTTGTCGAACGATGGCGATTCGGAGGGGATTTATGGATGTGTAGAGTTTGAACTGTTGGTAGAGACCGTTGACGTAACCCAAATAGAAGAATTCTTGGATCATAATTAGGATTATGACGAGGGTGTTGTAGATTAGGCGGGATCCTTGTGAGGTTGGTTTGAGATTCACAGAGGATAATGTCCAGGGATTGGAGTATATGGATAGGGCTGCGGCATCTGAGCTGTTGACTGATTGGATGGTTTGTTTTGCGTTGTTGTTCATGTAGGCTACTCGCGCGGCTTCGGAGAGGGTGGTTAACTTGTCGTAGATGGCTGAGTCCACGGTTGTCGGGTAGCGGGCTTCGTTCCAGACCATGGTGAGAACGTCGCTCGTGTTGTATGATGAAGCAGCGGATCCACCAGCGAAAGCAGCAGTAAGGTCATTGGAGGAGTTGGCGGTGATATATAGCGCGCCCCAGAACTTAATGTTGCAGACAGCCGAGTCAATGGACTCAGGTTCGGGATAGACCAAGGCGGCGCGCTCGTCCAGAGTTGGGAAACTCGGTCCTTTCAACTCCTGATAGGCATCACGGACGGCTGTACCAATGGCGCCTCCATCATAGTCGACGAACAGGATATTAATATTGTGGATGTGCGTGTTCTGCTGGAACAAAGAGCCAAAGATGTAGCAGAACAATCCTAGGAAGAGAAATTGCAGCACAAGCAAGTTGATAGTCGCCGCCTTCAGCAACGCCACCCGGCGTGACTTGACTGAAGGGTCATGGATGCTTGGCCGCGGCAGTCTTGCCTTTGAATAGAAGCCCATGTGTATGGTTGGTCAAATGGTGTCGGAAATGTCGAAGGATGGGAAGAAGGGGAATAAATAGTGAGAAATTAATTTTTAAAGGTAATGACAAAAGGATGTGTCAACAAAGTACTCCCTTTACCTAAGCACTTGCGGGCTAAAAAGGGAGTTCTTCAGTTGTATCGAAGCAAATAAGCGCCAATCCTGGTGACCGCTAATTACGAAGCTGGTAGTAAGCAAGCCACCCTTGACTGGCGCGATCGTCAGGAATGTCCACCTATCGCCGCTCAATGAGTCGTACCAGGAGTATCTCGGTGAAGGATGTAGCCCATAGACAGTCACGAGAGAGATCCCGAAGGTATGTCTGAATAAGGTGTGGGGGTTCTCGAGTGGGATTTGATCTGTGAGCTGAAGGTTTGGCTTCTGGGCGTCTGGACTTGGCCGCTTCGGGCAAGTGTGGAACGGGATCTGGGCAAATCCCGGGGGGATGCTTGAAAATGATTAAACTATTAAACTATTTGGCGCGGCTAATCGGCATGTTTTGCTTCAAAATTTTCGGTGACTTAATTCAGTATGCAAACTTTTATGATTACATGATCTTAGGCTTTATAAAGCTTTATGGGCGGAGTCATGTAGCCCGAACGCCGCGATTTCAATCTCTCGTTTCGCGTTCGGAGCTTCGAAAGCGCGACGAACAAAAGCCGATCCTGAATAATCGTCGACGAAAAAATGTCGCCGAAGTTTATGATCGGGGTTTATAGATCGGTGATTGATGTTAGATGGCCGACTCTCGTTTGTGAGGCCTATCACCCGAATAGGAAATGTTCTCGAAGGGTTCCACGGCGTGTATAGCCCGGTCGTATCAGTCTACCAGGTTAATCTTCACATACGGGATATTTAATTGACCTAGTGGAGACAAAGGACAAATATATATCAAATTTGCTACAGAAGCTTGAAAATTGTCATTGGTCATAATATCTTAGCGATGGAATTAAGAACTCGATGGCCAATTAGTCCCGTTGATGCGACTATAAGCTAAAACTGACCAGATTCAGGACTCATTCAAATCTCTCGCCCAAACCCAACTATACCAATTCCTTAATTAGATATTATCGGGCCAGGGAGCCTCCATTTCCAGGACAATATGAGACAGAAGATGGATTCTTGGTTGGATCCCTGTTTGGGGACAGGGTACGAAAGTAGCAGTAGCAGACAGGAGCAAAGAGGCTTCAACAGCCAGACCTTGATATCATGCTACTCAATTTGAGGGGGATTCTTACTTCACTGTTTTATTTAATCGAATGCCGATATTCAGTGAGCGATGAGAGGAAGATATGAAGTTTTGCGAGGACTTTCTTAGCAGGTGCCCGTCCTAAGATATACTCCACGTTTGTTGGAATCTTACTTCTTTTTGTATCACACACTGCATGATTACTATAGTACGCAGATATCCCATCCTCCCTATATTCCATGGTTATTCCGTCGATTCTAGCCTGAACTCTGATATTCCCTAGACTGTGGGGCAGGACCCCTGCCAATGGGGAAGTCTAACGCCAATCCCCATCCGGAGACCGGTCCCCACACGAATGTCAAGGATAGGGCGTGGGGGGGGGGGGGGGGGGGGGGGGGGATTTATAGCTGTGAGAATAAATTTCAAACCCAATTCTCGTCCTTCGTTCACGCCCTTTCTACGCCTACAGCCCTGCCTATCATGAGTGGCGCTCCTTCCGGTAGTTCCACGACAATGGAAACCTTTGAAGTCTCTTCTCGAGACAGCGTGGCTGACCACCACGAAATGAATTTGCCGCCGGTGGATCGCGGTCGAAGGGCGTGGCTGTTCTTGGCGGCTTGCTTCATTATTGAGGCTTTGATTTGGGGTATGTTGAGCTGTCAATTCGGGGTTTGTTTTTGTATTAAGTGCTAATGATTGTATACTTTTAGGTTTCACGTTCTCTTTTGGTATTTTCCAGGATTATTACAGTACTCATGAGCCGTTTAAGAGTTCTGGTGATACCGCCGTGGTGGGTACTTGCGCAATGGTAAGTCCTCTATTTTAGGGTTTATTGACGGACTTTTACTAAATAATTACAGGGTATTTCGTATATGTTGCTTCCGGTGGCTTTCATCCTACTACAAGCCGTTCCTCGTATCAAGCTATGGGCCGCGCCGATCGGTTTTGTCATTATGTGTCTGGCGCTCTCGCTGAGCTCTTTTGCGACAACTACCACTCATTTGATTGTCTCGCAAGGTGTCGGTTATGGTATCGGAGCTAGTCTGGCATATGCTCCCACGATCGTGTTCATGGATGACTGGTTCGTTCAGAGGAAGGGACTTGCTTTCGGCATTATGTGGGTAAGTCATGACTCCCTGGTTCTATACTATCAAATACATATCTCTAATCCTTGCTAGGCTGGAACTGGACTATCTGGAGTCATTCTCCCCATCGTTCTTCAATGGATGCTCAACTCCTTCGGACCCCAGACCACACTACGCGCCTGGTCAGTCGTGCTAATTCTGCTCGGCGGCCCACTGCTGTACTTCCTTCGCCCTCGTCTCCCAATTTCACGAAACTCGCGAACCAGACCCTTCGACTTCAAGTTCCTCTGGGACTCGACATTCCTCATCTACGAAACGGGCAACATCCTAGAGGCAATGGGCTACTTCCTCCCTACAATTTACTTGCCCTCCTACGCCCGCAGCTTGGGCGCCAGCAACATCCAGTCTTCATTGACAGTCATGCTCTTCAACCTTGCCTCCGTGTTTGGCTGCGTCATTATGGGCTCGTTGGTTGATCGTTACCACGCTACCACTTGCATCCTCGGGTCCACTGTTGGAAGTACCATTGCGGTCTTTTTGATCTGGGGCTTTGCCGATACCTTGGCGCCTCTGTATATCTTCTGCATCTTCTATGGTCTCTTCGCTGGATCTTTCACTTCGACTTGGCCCGCCGTTGTCAACGAAGTTAGGAAGAAGAGTACGTATGTCGATCCAAGCATTGTCTTTGGCTTCTTGTCTACCGGTCGGGGTATCGGCAATATTGTCAGTGGCCCGTTGAGTGAGGCTTTGCTGAAGCGGTCTGCTTGGGAGGGTGTTGCGGCTAAGGCGTATGGCTCGGGCTTTGGACCTTTGATTGTCTTTACCGGAGTTTCTGCGTTTTTGGGAGGTCTTCCTATTGCTGCGAGATCTTCGAAGCGGTTTCGGGCTGATTAAAGATATGCTTGGATGGGGACCAAGCACCTTCTAGATTAGCCTTCAAGTATATATTTCGGGACTGAGATTTCATGTGGTATATTTACTGTCTATAGATGTATCCTACTAAGGTTACCAAAAGTTCGTGAACATTAAATTGTTACAAATATCACTTAGACTTTACGCCGCGTACTCGTATGTGCGCATATATTTTCTGATTCTAAACGGCAAGTTTTGTCTGGAGTCCCCTGCAAATGGGTATTGACTCCCACTACGGATTTTTAGGTACTCATCTCAGAAAAATACCTCGTGGCTATCGTCCGGATTTAATGCCCGGTAATGTTTTCATGGCTAGTACTAGAACTAAGTAGTTCTGTAGCTGGTTGTATTGACAATGCTATGGATGCACGCCTCTGGGTATTCATGAACAGAAGAGACCAGCTCAAACACGAGCACAAACACCACTTCATAAGAAATTTCTATTGTACAACCCCCTATCTCACTTCAACGAGAACCATCCGTTTCCATCCGTTCCTCCTGCTCCATAGCCCTCCGAGTCATGGCGTCCCGCGCCGCGATCTTGGCCTTGCGTTTCTCCTCCTCCGTAACCCGTGCCTCCTCGGCGGTCTTTGCACCATTTTTGGCGGACCCCTTTGCTGTGGCGGACGCCGATTCGCCATTTTGCTGCGCATCATGATTGCCATTGCTCTCTGCACCGTTTGTTGGTGATGGCTCTTGAGCAGGTGTTTCCCCTGCTTCAACCTGTGCGGGCATTGAAGTCGGCCCAAAAGACTGTGAGCGCGTGCTCCGGCGAAGACGACGGCGCTTAGTAGTCTGTTGGTCTGGACTGGAGGGCGCTATCGGAACCTGAATGGAAGAATTCTGCGAGGTCGAGGCAGTTGTAGGTTCTGCCTGTGGTTCAGCAACGTTGGACTTTCGCGGCCGGCCGCGCGGTTTTTCTGAATTTAATTGAGAATCCTTGGTTTGCGTAAGCCGTGGCCGCTTAGCCACGTTCTGTTGTGGGTGACTTGCAGGTGGAGTACTGGTTGGGGTGCTGTCATTTTGTCTAGCCTCTATGCGAAGCTGAGCTGGGCCGGAAGGTAACTGGCGTGTGGGCTGTTTAGGCGGCACACGGACATTGTATGTTGGCAAGTTCTCGAGTGGCAGGTCATCCACCATGTCTTCTTCATCGAACGAATCCGCAATCGCAGTTGGCGGACCAGTCGAGAATGCGTCGGGCCAAGCTCGCTTTCTCCCAGCCTGGAGGAGGCCAGGGCTCTGTACATCAGCTATCCTTCCATTTGTCTGTGATGGATATTCGGGGCTGGCCGGCTTGCGCTCCTCCATAAAGCGATTCTTCAACTTCAACGCCTCGATTTCCAGCGTTAGCTTTTCAATTTCATCCGACTTGGACTTTAGCTCCTTCAGAACCGTCGCAATCATGTCGAAGCCAGGGTCACTGATGGATCCGTGGTCGCTTATGCTCCGGCTCGGCCCATTCAATTCGATACGAAGCGAGGTGAATGAATGCTTCAAGTCTGCCATGGTATCTTGCAAGTGGTTGACCGAGTTGGATATCTGATCGATACTTCGCCCTTGGTGTTGCATTTGCTGATGCATCGCTGGATCTAATGAAAACAGATCCTGTGCGCCCGATGGTACCAATGCATTATCCTGGGCGGAATGTCGAGGGGGTTTTGGAGGGGGCGGTGGGAGTAGTTTGTCAAGGGCTCCATCTTTGAATAGGGGGTCGGCCGTTCGCATCGTCACGATCTCTCTGAATGACACCTTTGACATCTTCCAGAGAATGTTGGGGCTAGAAAGTGCAGTAAGTGTCAGTCATCAATATCCAAGGTTTCTAGATTAAAAACGAGTCCATGCCACTTACCCATTATCCAGTCCGCACAGGACCGCCAGTTTCTGTTGGCACAACTTGCAGGAGACATCTTGGGCAATGCGACCTCGAAGAAGACTCATTTCAGATGTCTGCGGAATATGTTTCTGCTCCGAAGAAATTGAGATACGTTGCAGATTGACGCTTAACCATGCCGTCGCGACGCCGTAGACGCTGGATAGTTTGCCCCATTCGTTCTCCAGCACGGCCAGCGAGCTGGAGCACCGCAAGCACTGGCAAAGAATTGCCGGCCTCGTGAGGTCATTCAAATCCATATTCGCGATGCGACTCACGAGGAGAGTGTGCTGGTGTCGAGAGGAATGTGTGGATTCCCAGCGCATCCCAATCGCAAAAAGCTGAGTCAGCGGTCCAGACCCCTGGCCACGCTATTCCTGATTGGGTTATCGATAAGGGGTGTATCTGCGCAGTGACCTCATGGCAGTATGGCAGCTGCAAAGGATTCGGCAGTTACGGTTGCACAGGAATTCTGGGTTATATATAGTTGCTGTACCGATAATACTGTAAATATCTTCCAAACCAAACATCCAGACATCGACGACGTTTCACAGCATTGTCTATATCTCCGATGTGAAGTCACGTGAGGCTTGTACTCCCCGCACTCTTGCGCCGACCCCTCGGAGTTGCTGCCGATAAAGCTCCATGACTCGCTCACTGCAAGCCTTCCGTCGGCCATTTGCGGCTTTTAGGTCTTCTTCTATTCTCCGAAAAGCACCTCCAGCCCGGACCTTCTCCTTGACACACGTTACTATGGCAAACACCTCGGCTGTTAACGGCCAAACCAGCTGGCATGGAGCTGGGGCTGCCGAATTTGATCTGCGCAGTACGCCGTTCTCCACGATTGGGTAGTGCAACATACTAAACGCGTTTTATATTAGGTGACACGATGACAAAGCCAACCCCGGCCATGCTCAATGCAATCTGCCAGACCACCCTCCTCGACGACGTCTTCAACGAGGACCCAACCACCAATGCGCTACAGAGCTATGTGGCTGAGAGAACCAAGCACGAGGATGCCCTCTTGGTGTTGTCAGGAACCATGGGAAACCAAGTCGCTATCCGCTCCCATTTGACTCAGCCTCCCTATGCAGTGCTGTGCGACCATCGGTCTCACATCATCTGCTATGAGGCAGGGGGTGTCAGCGCTTGGACCGGCGCAACCGTGCAGACCGTTGTTCCCCAAAATGGCATCCATTTGACCTTGGAGGACATTCAAAAACACGCCGTGCTAGACGATGATATCCACCACTGCCCGACCAAGTTGATCAGCTTAGAGAACACCCTCAACGGCCTGATCATGCCCCTTGATGAGGCACGACGCATCGTAGAATGGGCACATGCCAACGATATTAAAGTCCATTTGGATGGCGCTCGGCTGTGGGAGGCTGTCGTCTCTGGGGCTGGCAGTCTTGTCGAGTATGCCAGTCTATTTGACAGTGTAAGTCTGTGCTTCTCCAAGGGCCTTGGCGCTCCCATTGGTAGCATCATTGTTGGATCGCAAGCCTTCATCAAGAAAGCCCGTTGGTTCCGAAAGTCAATCGGTGGTGGCGCTCGCCAGACGGGAGTCTTTGCTGCCGCTGCCCGGATCGCCCTCGACGAAACCTTCGGTATAGATGACCATGGCAAGACTGGAAAGCTTCCTGCCACGCATGCAAAGGCCAAGCAAGTCGCGGAATACTGGACCAGCCGTGGAGGCAAGCTGCAGTATCCCGTGCACACCAATATGGTCTGGCTGGATTTGGTGGCGTCCGGGGTGGGACCCAACGATCTCACATCCATTGGCCAGGAACAAGGTTTACAGTTGCTTGGGAACCGGGTTGTTGTTCATTACCGTAAGTGACTGTGATTGCGACTGTCCCTCGTGCAGCGATGACTCAAGTCTTTTTCTGACCTATCAACAGAGGTCTCGGACGATGCAATTGCGCGGCTGAGCCAAGTATTCGACATTGCTCTGAAGGGTGACTACCAGCGGAGCGAAGATGTGAAGAAAGCATATGGGAGCAGCAAGTAGAAAAGTCTTATATAGAAAGCTGCAGTAAATACTTAGACATACTTCGAATAAAATATCCGACCCCAGTGTGCCACAAATAAGATTTCCGATCGAATCCACGGTTTAGTGAGACTCGGACCAGCTTAACCGGCGAGCAGCCAATCAAAGTGTGGTGTGTCCGCTGATTCAGCCCCAGGAACCAGAGCTTGGCTGCCTGAGGCTCAGAGATCTTGCGGCTCGATCCTCGACTTCTTTCTTCGTTCCTCGGACGACGACCTACCAGTCTCTGTCCCGGCATCCACACCCCTTTCGATCTGGCCACGGTGATAATCTCATCAATTCTCAGAGCTTGTAGACGGACAAAGAGGGTGTTTGTCAATCCGTGTGAGTCAAGTCCTGTCGAGGCGAGACCAAAACAAACTGCTAGGATCAGCTTGTATCCCGGACAATGCGCTGACCTAGTCCCTCGATCGCCCACAGAGATACCCCCTTTCATCACCTCAGACTACCCTAGACAACGAGACTCTCCGAGACGGCCGTCATCAATGGTTCGAACCATAGCATAGGTTCCCATTCATCAAAGCGGTGGCCTATTGCCCTGCATAGGCGCCTACCTGTACCTCTACTCGAGCCCTCCTTCAACTCCTTCTCCCTCCAATCAGATACTCTCGGGAATATCAAATTTGCATTCCATCACACAAAGTTCTGACATCTGCACTCTGTCAGCGGCAGGGTGTTAACGGCGCTGCGTGGAGAGCTGACACGGCACCCCGCCTGTTAAGGGACCCCCAGACCACATTCCAGAACTATTGTGGTATCACCCATCTATTCGAATCTCCTCTTTTCGTTGTATTGAAAAGCTGGCAGCTATCATACCCTCTGCTGCCCAGTGTCTTGTTACCCGAACCTCTGAACATTTTCTTTTGTCGTGGCAGTTAACCCGGGTGATTGCCCTGGTGACTCGCCTTTTGTCCTATTTGCACCCGCCCAAAAGGTATATATGCCCTTGTCCCCGCGGACCTTGGATCATTCCTATTTTACTCACTGGCCCCTCACTAGGCCTGCATTCTGTGTATTCATGCCCTTTTTATGCAAAAGTCCGTTTTCAATCTGCTCATATACCCCACACCACATCCGTCATCAGTAGTCTTTCCCGCTTTCTTGCTTTTTCCCACATCTTAGCGCATCGCATTTGCATCTGCATTCTATCATCACTTCATCATGGAGGCTACTCAAGAATCTACCCAACCATGCGCGGACCCTCGCCGGATGGGGCTGAACAACTCTGGCCTTCACGAACAGGATCTGGCCGATATCATCTGTATCCTGCATCCGAACTCCCATGCAGCGCATGACGCGGTGGCTGCCACGGCCACCCTAGGCAATCAACACATCCTACAACAAGATGTCTTGGATTTCGAAACGTCCGAGACTGCGGCGCTTGATGTTGCCTTAAGGTTGTCATCTCAGGTTTGCGACCTCGGGGTGGGCTTCTGCTTTGGTCGCAACCGCGCTCGCTGCGACGTTCTCCTGGCAGTCGACGATGAAGCCAAGCGAGTGTCCAACACCCATTTCCGGATCTACCTGACTGGCGACGGTATCATCATGTTGCAAGACACGTCTACCAACGGTACCATAGTAGACAACTGCCGCCTCCGGAAGAATCAGAAGGAGAACAGTCGGATGCTCACCAACGGCTCTGTCATTCAAGTGGTGACTGGAAACCAAGGATCTGATGAGGTGCGATTCGTCGTGCGAATTCCATCTCGTGAAGGCTTCGCCGTTCAATACACTCAGAATGTCCTTCGTTACTTCGAGCGCGTGCAGCAGGTGGCAGGGGCCATGCAGCTTAAGAATCGGAATGGCCCCGCTCCACCTGTGCTATCGTGGTCGGTCGCAAATACCTACGGCATGCATTGGACGGGCGGTTCGATGTACAACGTGACCGGGCAAATCGGAAAAGGCGCCTTCGCAACTGTCTACAAGTTGGCTACCAAACAGCATGGTGCGATTTATGCGGCTAAAGAGCTGGACAAACGTCGGTTCATGAAGAATGGTATCCTGGATCAAAAGGTCGATAATGAGATGAAGATTATGCGTGATTTGAAACATGTGAGTTGAGCTCAGCTTCACTTCGATTTCTCCATGCTGACATCTATTTGACTTAGCCCAACATCGTTCAATATATCGAGCATCATGAACACGACCGATGGATCTACATCATCATGGAGTACGTTCCTGGAGGTGAGCTGTCTACATATCTGTCCAGCCACGGCAAGATTGCAGAGGACATGGTGCGGACAATCGCCCGCCAACTCTTGCGGGCACTTCACTATCTCCACAAACGCCGAATCACCCATCGCGATATCAAACCGGACAACATCTTGATCGCTTCTCTGGACCCCCTGCGAATCAAACTGTCGGACTTTGGGCTCTCAAAAGTTACCCAGGAGGAGACATTCTTAAAGACATTTTGCGGTACACTATTGTACTGCGCACCCGAAGTGTACCCCGACTATGAGACATACCGGCGCGGCGAAGTCAGAAAGAGACGCCGTGTTGGGGATCCGTAAGTACTGTCTTGTTTATGATGATTAATAGCACGCTGGCTGACGGATTTCTAGTCCTCCAAAAACGTCTCCTTACAGCCAGTCAGTCGACATGTGGTCACTAGGCGCTGTGTTGTACCACATTCTGTGTGGAGTCCCTCCATACTCTGGACGCGCTGAAGACCGCGGTGTGGCCATGCTTCGTAGCATCATGGAATCGGAGGCTGATTTCAATATCCTGCGAAGTGAGGGTGTATCAGAATCCGGCATCCACTTTGTCTCTCAACTCCTCAACCGAGATCCTTTCTCCCGACCCTCGGAAAAGCAATGCTTCCAGCATCCATGGATTTCCGAGGTCCTGGATGTGGATGAGTATGAAGACGATGACATTATGGAAGATACACGCGATGCTCTCTCGGTTATAGGAGAGGCCGAAGAGGAGCTTGATGCGTCCCAGCTGTCTATCCATGAAGAGGCTGCATACACCTATGCGGCCGGTGGAGAAGAGTCCAGCAGCAACGAAGCTCTCGCCAAGAAACCACGCATCGAATACATCCCTGCGGACATTCGGTACCCATCACTGCCCCAAATCGAGAGTTTCCAGGATGGTCAGATTGTCGCCGAGACTCACGCAAGACGGCTCTTTGGTGAAGTCACTTCTTCAGCTCTACGCAGCTCCCATGCCCTTGGCCACACCGGGTCCTGGGATGACGGTGACTATGATGCCGAGGGCTTTGCTTCTTCTGGTGAGTCGGTGAGCGACGACCGCAGTGTCTATTCGATCATATCTCTCCCGGAACAGCCCTTCGGCGGCACGGCACCCAGCCTGATGGGCGCAGAGAATCTCGTTAGACGACTGAATATGAACTCCTCGCACCCTCTATTCCCTGCACAGACCGGCTTGGTTAACCAAATCTCGACGCGGCAGACCAGCCCTGGACAACCCACGGTCCCCACGGAGTTCGCAAAAGCAGGGAGCACCCCACGTGAGGTGATCCCACCTACATCCAGTGTCAACGAGACAACACCTAAGGCGCCTAAACTCTCACGCCGTATCGACCTGGAGTTACCCGAGACCGCCAGCGAGCGTTCTGACAGCAGTGCGCCAGCCAGTCGCCGACAATCTACTCAACCCCCCGAGACGCCCGCAGAGGCGGACTACGATGTCGACTTTGCGACTACCTTGGATGCGCAAACCGGCCAGGCCATCCTGGAGCAACTACACTCGGCCGACGAGGAGCCCTCGGACCCGATCGTCCATGAACAGCCCGACGCGCCCGGCATCCCTATTAACATGCCGGTCACTGAGTTCACCAAGCCTCCCAAACTTCTGGGGAGATTGAGAAGCCTTCCCGGCTCGATGTTTGATCTAAACATCCGCCTCGAAAACCGAATGACCTCGTGGGGCCGTGGACCCGACGCAACAATCCGCCATCCAGACAACATGGACGTGCGCATACCCGCCTATGCACTCGAAATCACCTTCTGGGCCCCTGGACTTGAACGTCGAATTGCCGAAGGAGAAGACTGGACACAAGTGCCCGGCGTGATGGCCGTCCTCTCCACCAAAACACGCAAATGTATTTGGGTCAACGGCATGGAGCTGCGCAAGGGAGGCCCGGAAGGATTACAGTTCGGCAAGCTCTACACGGGCGATATTATCACCATCTACAAACATAAGGATAATGGGGAGTTTCTGCGACTACGATGCGAGTTCTACCACGGCGAGAGCGCGCAGCCCCGACCTACTCACGAGGCCGGGTTCGTGGTGCGCCAGGCACTCGTGGGCAAACCGGACAGCGCCAATCGACCTGCCCGGTCGAACCGCATGAAGGAAGCCGAGTGAGTAAGATAGTTAATAGATATTCCTGGATCGGAATGGCGATCGGAATCTGGATCAGCATGGTAATTGAGATCGGGGTTTGGTCTGGACATTTTGCATCTGCTTTCTGCGTCTGATTCGGGGTTCTTTGCGTTATCTCTCCACTCTGGAAATAGATTGACAGCAAGAATTGCACGGTGAATTGCATATTGCATCATTGGGTGTGAGTCTGAGGTAGCACAAGTCGGTATCCAGGCCATGTGGAGAGGTCTATAATGGGCTTTGTCCGGATGCGGTGGTTAGTAGATATTGTACTTTGTAGAAGGGGATGAAGTAGAGAGATCGGGGTTCTGGAAATGACGGAGTCGATCTCCCGAGCTGCTCTGCTATTACGTAGTGTGTCTGACGAGAGTTCAATAACAATTGAGCTAGCCGATAGTCTTGCAAATCAACAATGGCATTGTGTTCTAAACAATTATTCCGAAGTTACTCGAAAGAATACTCAGGATGTATTCTCCCGTGCCTGGTTCCGCCAGGGAGTCGCCACAAGGTTATCCAGTACGCATGCGGCATCACCACTACAACCTTCCTAAAACTTCAGTCTGCGACGGGATAAGCCCCCTGGGTCTGTGCTCGGCCAGGCCGTTAAATGGGATCCATCCACAATCTCACTTTCATCTTAATCCGTCGCAGGTCTACGCGGGCCTTATTTAATTTCGCTTCGCTGGCTTAACCCCCTTCCCTCCCACGTTTCGGCTCACACCATCCACTCTGACAGCAACCCATTCTTCAATCTACACCTTCACACTTCACACTTGACCCTTCCTACCGATCTATTATCCCACCGCTACAGCGAATACGTCGACAACGCATCACTTCATACCACACACACCCCGGCCCGCCGATCGCAACCCATGTCCCTGTCGCGATCACCCTCTCCCCACCCGGGCGGAGGGTGGTCCAGCCCGGGGTTAACCCCCGGCAGCGGCTCCTCGACTCCGCACGGCTATTCGCCCGCATCGCTGGCCCCCGGCGGTATATCCTGGGCCGCGGCCAAGGCTAAGAGCGACGAGGTGCGCAAGTATCCCTCCTTCGCGACGCGCAATAGCGGGTTCTTTTCGCGGCAGAAGCGTAAGATCTCGGCGCGCTTGCCGAGCTTTCGCGGTCATGCTTCGAAGCACGGGTATCTTGATAAGGACGTATATGGGCGTGGGCATTTGCATGCTGATGGTGGTGGGTGGGGGCCTTTGGCGGCGTTGAAGACGTTATTGCGACGGGGGAGGACGAGGGTGGTGGTTGGGTTGTTCTTGTTGTGGCTTGGGTACCTGTTTTTGTGGTCGAGTAAGTGGCGCAGGTGTACAGGACTTGTGTTGGATTGGAAGATGAGATACTAACGGGTTGTACGTTCTACAGCTATCGTTCAGTTGTATCGACGATCACCGCTAGGTGGAGGTCCCAAGTTCGTGATCATCTTGGGATCAAACGTGGAAGGCGGCGTGATGGAATGGAAAGGCGCACGCGAATGGGCCATCGAGCGCAACAGTGTGTGGAACAAACAACAATACGCCAACCGCTGGGGTTACCAACTTGAGATCGCCAATATGCTGGCCAAGAAGCGGTATTCTCACGAATGGCGCGAGAGCTGGGAGAAAGGCGATGTGATCCGAGAGGCTATGCACAAGTATCCCAACGCCGAATGGTTCTGGTGGTTGGATTTGAATACCTGGATTATGGAGTACGGCACTTCTTTGCAGAGCCATCTCTTCAATGACCTCGGATCGCATGTGTACCGCGACATCAACGAGTATAATCCTCTCAACATTACACACCCACTTCCGGAGTTCTTCCTCGATGACCTCGGTCGTTCACTCGAAGGCGATGGGAATCCGGACTCGCTTTCCTTACTACTGACCCAAGATTGCTCCGGCTTCAATCTGGGCTCATTCTTCCTGCGTCGGTCTGTCTGGACCGAACGCTTGATCGATGCATGGTGGGATCCTGTCATGTATGAGCAGATGCACATGCAGTGGGAACACAAGGAGCAGGATGCTTTGGAATACATCTATCAAAGCCAAGCCTGGATCCGTAGTGGTGTAGGCTTCTTGCCCCAGCGCAAGATTAATGCCTTCCCACCTGGTGCCTGCGGCGACGGTAATAACCCCGCCGTGCATTATCAAGAGGAAGAACACGACTTTGTGGTCAATATGGCGGGTTGCGCATTCGGGCGGGACTGCTGGGCTGAAATCTACAATTATCGCGCTATCAGCAACGAGCATAATCGTTCCGGATGGCAGTGGTTTACGGATCGCCTTGGCTCTGCTCGTGACTGGGCATTTGGGAAGAACGATCGGGATTAGTGATTGATCTTACTCTGCCCTTTAACCACTTTCTTCATGTTCGACATTGTTTCTTGTTCTTTTTATGCCTTTATGGTTCCACGGACCCGATACACGCTTAGATGGCCGGGCATTGTATGATACGGACTCAAAACTGGCAAGGCGTTGTTTGATTGTACATTGGGAAATTGGGAATTGCATTCGTTGGGGGAATGTCGGCGTTGGGGACTGGAGTTGCATATTCTATTGTGTCAATATTATTTTTTGTTGGGTCTAATCAATCCTCCTTTCAATCTCGTAACCTCTCCATGTCCTTGTTCCATCCTCTCCGAAAGCGTCCAATCTATACAAATCACGTGATCCACACCTGCACTTCCGGTCTCTCTCCCTCCCCCAATTCCCTCCCCACCGCCCAGCCCCCTCAACCAATCACAATCCCCCTAAACCAACCACCAAACCACCTCCCTCCGAACATCCAACCCATAACCTTCAAATCGGATCCCTCACGGCCAATTCAATCCCGCACCTACTCCCACCGGGCGCCGCATACAACCAACCCTCTCACCCTCTTCTCCTATCTCCGTCCACACCCCGTTTTTACCGCTCACAATGCCAACCCCCGAGTCCGCCGCATTCCTCGCCAAAAAGCCCACCGTGGCTCCGACCTACGAAGGCGTCGACTTCGAAGACAACGTCGCCCTGCACAATGCCCGTGACGCGATTATCCGCGAGCAGTGGGTGCGCAGTATGATGGCTCGTCTTGTCGGTGAGGAATTGGGCAAGTGCTATGCGCGTGAGGGTGTGAATCATCTTGAGAAGTGTGGTGTGCTGCGCGGTAAGGATGGCCCTGACCCCAACCCCGACCCCCGGTGGATTTAAGAGGAATTGTTGGGGGAACTGGATAGTTTGAGTCTGGGATTTGAGTGCTTTGGATCTATCTGTGCCCATTGCTTCGGATGGAGGCGTGTTTGAAGGGTTGATGTGAGATTCGAGATTCATGTGCTGATTTGTCTTTGCAGAGAAATACTTCGAGTTGCTCAAGGAGCGCAAGGTTAAGGGTTACCTTTTCCAGGAGAAGAACTACTTTGGTGGCGAGGCGGACAAGTCTTCTTAAGCGGTTATCGGCTGCTTGGATGACGCATGGTTCGGATTGATGGATTACCGGGGAGCTTTTTGCCGAGTCGAGGTTCCTGCATAGTGTCTGTCCGCCTGTTCCGATGCTACGATATGCGAATTGGCACGCATTGGATAGATGCTACATGGACTTCATCCGCTATCGACGCTGCAAGCTAGGGTGGTTCATGACTTTTGACGGGGATTTCAAGATTTCTGGTACGGCTTTACCCGGGAAAAGAAGAAGTGTGGGAGAGAGTGGCTTTCTCTCTGTTGTATTGTACATATAAGATATCATTGTCTGGTCAATTTCATTTTCGTTAAGAACATCTGCTCTTCTTATTGGGATCTGTAACTGAAAACTGCAGGGTACAGAGATCGCTGGAGTCGTGGAGTATCCTGCAAGCTCGTTTCTGGCATTTGCTTGATCATCATTCTAACTATGCTAGTCAAGGAACACTCGTGCTATTCATATTCCTGTCCCTCCTTCTGGGTATCACATCAATAGTACACATTCGAAGCAGTCTGGCTGCGATCAGGGAATCCACCAGGTGCTGTCGGGCCTCCGGCCGAGACAGGTTCCTCTTCGCTGTCATCCGGATCACTCCCAAATCGCATATTCACACTCTCATCCGGTAAAGCCTGCATACGAGCCAGCTGATCCTCATCCAAGGAGGCCGGCTTATACGGTGCAGGCGGCGTATGGATATCTCGACCGGACGGGAGACTAGCCAGCAATGGAGCAGACGGGGGGATTGCTTGCGTGTTGATCTATCTCATATCAGTATCGAGTTACTCGAGGGCATTTAAAGGGCAAATGGCAAAACTCACGGTATCGTTCATTTTCATCCATTTCGTCTCCAACATCGCAATCACTCGACCCTCCTCGTCACGACCTGCATCATCGCCTGCGTCTAGGACACCTTTATCACCACGGCCTGCACCAGCATCTTTACCAATTTTCTTCTCTTCTCTTCGCTCCGCCCATTCACGCTTCAATCTGGAAAATCCACCCTTACTAGATGTCACATTACCCTCTTCCTGGCCGGAAGAAGATCCGACACCACCACGCAAACCCAACGGCGTCCGCGCAGCCCGCAACCAAGCAATACCCTCACCAACCTTCCCAGCCAGCTCGGCATCAATACCGAAAAACCGACAAGCCCTGGCACGAGCCACACGTCCCAACACGCCCGCATATCGAGTAACCTCTTCATCAACCCTACCCACCCTTCCAGCCCCAGATCCAACGGCACTCAGCCCTGCAGCAGCCTGCTCCGCATACTCCGCCGCACGAACACAGAGTCTCGCAAAAAGCAATGCGCGAACTTTCGGGATCTCAGGTGCCCGCACCATCCACTCCCGATCATTCGGATTCCGCGACTGAATGCACGCAGTAATGTACGCATCATCCTTGAGCACAGCTAGCAACGTCGCTTCAGAAAGCGCTAGCGCCGATAATGCGGATTGCGTACTCGGATCGATATCAGGGACTGTAGCCGTCGTCGCAGCCGAGAACGCGGGTGACGAGGCGAGTAGGGCATGCACCGAGCTTGCTAGTAGTAAATTCCTCGTCGCGTTTTGGACAGCGGCTGTACGTTGTTCTTGAGATTGTGTCGTCGGCGCGTATAGTGACTCCAAGATTCCCGCGCGCGCGAGTCGACTGAGCACGTATCCCAGCGTCGTGAGTGTGAATGCGATTTCAAAATCAATGCCCTGGCCGGAGACTCGACCACCGCGGGGGCGAATAGATTTCGCGCCCGGCGTCGTACTCGGCGCGTGTATATTCAGCCCGCTGCCAGCGGAGAGGGTAGGTTTCCATGCAGCCTCGATCTCGGCGCGAAGCGATACTTCGATATTTTCCCCCCTGCTCCAACCCGCGATAGAACCTAGCTGCTCATTCTGGAAAGATTGGCCCGACAGACCGGCTGAGATTGCGAATAGATAGGGGATGTACTCGTTTAAAGCGGCGAGGACCGTTGGAAGGTGGGCGTCTTGTCGCGGGCCGCGGGGTAGACGTTTGTGGGCTTTTAGAGCGAGGCGGAGGGCGTGGCGGGCTGTTGAGGCTGTTTGGGGGAGGGAGGGATGTGTGGGGGAGTAGATGAATGTTTGGAATGAGAGTGGGGAGGTTGTTGGGAGGGTGAATGCGTAGACCATTGTGGAATTGGTGAGGAGTGACCTCAAGGCGCGGGGTGTTTGGAGAAAGTTGGGGATTTGAGGGCGGGATTCTGATGTCACTGCTGGCCAAGACGGGACGGCGATGGAAGGAAGGTGCCCAACGAGATTGAAAACTTGGTGAGTGTATATAGAAAGAGTTTTTAATGATCTATATTCGGTTGTTCGGTTTTTCGAATTTGTTCAAAATATTGGTTTCAATGTTCCTGTCTATCCAATCTAATATGTTCTATGTACTATCTACTAATCGAATGTCATGTCCACGCGCAATGTATGCTTATATCCTGATATATACTTGACTCTCCGCAAACATGGTGTTATTACACCTTGTCCGAGTCGTGGTTGTACAACCGCTTTCCTTGCCACTGCAAGTACACAGTAGGGAAGAAGCTGCAGCCCATAAGGAGCGCAGTGACGACGCCAGAGCTCTTGGCAATGCCAACGCTGTCAAACATGGAGGTGAACCTGAATCGAGGATTAGCCAATGTTACACACACTCATATGACAGCGTAACTTACCAGAAAGGTCCAATGAATCCCCAAGTCGATCGCACAAAGTTAATAAACACGCCAACACTACCCGCGTCCTGGGGATAGGTATCCACAGCATAAGTAGTCATGACGGTAGTAACGACCTGGTTACCAAACGCAGCAATGCCAGTTCCGATAATTGGCTTGACATTCCACTTGCCCGCAGTAGCCTGCTCTGTGCAAACCAAAAACACAATCATACCCACAATAGTAAGCAGGAATCCGATATAGCTGAGCCACAGCCGGTACTCGGGAGCGGGCTTGTGACCGATCGTCTTGGCACGAGCGTTCATCCACATGTCAGACATGAAGCCGCCCAATTGCTCACCGAGGAGGGATCCGATGATCAGACCGAGGAATTGCAGACCGAGTTGTTGGGCGTTGAGCTCGAATTTGCTCTGCAGGAGCTGGGGGACTTCGACGGAGTTGAGCACAGAGGCGAAGAGGAAGACCATGGAGTAGGCGATCGTGGCGAGGAGGACGGGGATGTTGGTGAATAGAGTCAACGGGTGGTAGAATTCGGAGACCTTGATCGGGGTTGGGTCGATGCGGCGTAGGGACATGTACTCGCGCTTGAAGGCGGAGGATTCAGACTGAACGTCGGCGCCAATGTAGCGAGTTTCCGGACCGAAGAAGAGGTAAAGGATGGCTTGGATACCGTTGGTCTGTAAAGAAAGTTAGTATAAATGTTCTGCATGTTTCATCTTACAATTTCAGAAAAGAGGGCTCAACTCACGATGGCCAGGACCCAGTAAATCCAACGATAATCAACCCGCTGAGCGACGAATCCAAAGATAAACGGACCAATCGGGACACCAAGAGTAACCATGATAGTCCAGATACCCATATACTTTGCTCGCTCATGACGGAAGAATGTCTCCGTCACCACACCACTGCCAATAGCCATAGCCGGTGAAATGAAGAAAGCCACCAACGCACGGCAGGCTGCCATGGAGGCATAGTCGGGGCTCTTCGCGCAACCAATGTTGCAGACACAGCTCAAAATCAAGGATAGGAGGAAAATAGGGCGTCGTCCGAATCTGTGCGAGAGGGGCTTCCAGAATAATGGGGCACCTCCAAGAATAGCGATTTGCAAGGAAGTCAGATAGGAAACGCGTTGAATAGAGACTCCCAGGTCAAGAGAGATGTCCTCGTAGGCGGCGATGATAGCCGCAGCGGTAAATGTGCCCATGCAAGCATGAAACGCAACAAGAGCCAAGTTAACAGTTTTCTAGTCATTGCGAAATAAAGTCAGCAAACGTCGTCACGAACTCATAAATATCGATAGCGGTGAATTTCTCACCTTCCACACGGCCCAGTTATACGGATCCGCCGGATCCATGCTAGGAATCGGATCAAGATCCAGCGTTCCATGACGTTCAATCAAGTACGCCTTATGCGACTCGGGGAGATACATGGTCGGATCAGTATTGATCGCCGTATGTTTCTCCTCGACATAGTCAGATGAAGACTTTGCGGTAGCTCCTCCAGGGATATTGTGCTCGTTTGACATCATGTTGAACAATACTGGCAATCGAGATCAATGAACAGTCGTTGAAGAGATTCACGAGGAGCGAGGAGAGTCCAAGATAAAACCATCCAAGGGGGGGGGGTTCCACAAACCCCGCGTGTGTCAGGCTCGGGGACCGGTGGTCTCCGGGGTATGGGGCCGCGTTTGACTCAATTCAACCTGTGTGGGCCATCCATAAACGTGGAGGTGCTAGGGCGCAAAAGGCATCCATGATCCATCGGATTCTCAGGTCACGACCAGGTTGTGCAGTGGAGATGGACTATATCTACAATAGCTACGGAGCCTACGATAGGTCCATGAAGGCGATACCAGTGTGACTTGGAGCGTCGTGATGGGGGTGTGGCGGTCCCTCCGGTAGTTCTAGTTCGGGGGTTTTGCCGGGGCCAGGATGTCGTTGGCCGTTTGATAGGTACACGAGCCGAGTGCAGGTCAAATTTGGCCTTGATGACAAAAGCAAGACGAGGCCGAAGATGAGCCGATCCACCAGGGTTCCACCGGGAACCTCGCTTGGTCTGGCCAACTGCCGATACAAAGTTCCGAGCTTCTGACTGGAGGAGTCGGCCTGGGCGTGCGCTGGGACACGGCCGAGTCGCCAGCCAAGTCGGGTGGCGCGGGAAGGCTTAGAGTTTTGTCGAGGCTTGATATAGAGCTGAGATAAAAACATCTCATAGTCAAATGTCGTTTTTGAATGGATCCTGAATGTTGAAATTTGAACAATTCGGAGAACTTTGTCGTCTTCTGCACTTCGAACCCCCCAGACTGTCCACATTGGGGGCGGGGAGGGGAATACCGGGGTTGACTCCACTGGGAACCACCCAAGCCACGAGTCCGGAGGTTTGCCGAGCCCAGAACGGGGTCCTTATTGACTAGCAGCAATTAGTGATTAGTGATATCCATTAAGGATAGTATAAGCGCAGAGATCTTGTGATGTGCAGGAATCTTCTGTCATTTCTCCAGCTGATTAGCCTGAGTAGTCTGGGGTAGATTTACCCCATCTTGCCACTAGTCGGAAAGTGCTGGCCCTCAGACTGGCAGTGTCATAGTCAGCGACTAGGGCAGAGATTTGGCATGGAGATCAAATTGACTGACTGACAATGCTAGCACCATTTCTCAACCTGTCAAAAATGTGCCTATCTCTGACAAGAAAGCCAAACATAGGACACATTCGAGTGGAGGTGCCAGGTTTACGGTCACGTGACATCAGTCTCCAAGTTCACGATCTCGAATCTCATGAGGGAGTTCCCAGGAGTTGAGAGAGTTCCCAGAAGTCATGCAGAAAAAAAGAAGGCGCTTCGGCTGTGAAGCGAACGGGTGACCCCGAGGTTCCAAAGATTATGTCCGTATCTACTGAGGTACTCAGAGGGTAACAGGCACGTGACCATCAGGACGTGTACCCGGTACGGAATATTGTTTCTCCGATTTGAATTGTAAACTCACCACTTTCAACATCGACCAATCATGTTCTATTCCATTTCATGGACAGTCCGCACTAAATAGAGTACCACATTTAAATAATTCTTATGCCAACTTCAATGACTACTGTACATTTATTGAAAAGTACTGCTAAGGTGTCAGGCAGTTTACATGTTGAAGAAGCGTAGCTCGCACTATTTGGTATCATCTCATTGCCAGTCATCGTGGAAGTTTTTGCAAAGTTCTAGATTAAGGCGGTTGCATCTAGCTATGTGAACATTAAGTTACCATCACAATCCTTGATTTTGAAATCTCAGGAGCAGATGCAGCACTTGTGCTTCTGCTAGCTGAATCAACATGAGTGGTCCAGAAGGGGAATTGCCGTCCGCGTCGGGATTGCAGCAACACTCTGGCAAGGGTGTTTCATTGGAGCATAAAGCTTCACGAGCACATGGTTGAGCAGTGTCTGGGGTATGTGAGACCATATGCGTTGGTCATACTCAAATCATCTGCTGTATCTCATAATGCAGAAGCGCCGAAGGACTTTCCGAGGGTTATCGTATCGGGGAGATCAAGGCACACATCGATTGGACTCTTTCTGCGTGACATCATGGTAGATATCTTGAACAAAAAGCTTGCTCTAGAGAAAGCATCCGTACGTAAAGGCGGGCTTCTGTCTGCGGTGTTGATTTGTTTCGAGGTGTTGTTGTCTGGTTGTTTCGGTGGGCGGTTCATGCATTGGCCTTTCACACTTCCATACGATCTTCCTCCGACAGATGACTCGGGGCGCTACTAACACCCGAAGTATCACTGGCACCAGGACTCATGGGTGCCCGAGATCGTACTTGCGCACCCCATTCTCGAATACTCGGCGCACCACCTTCAAGAATAACCGGGTGCTCTTCCGCACTCTTGCCCAGGACTGTCCCCGCGTATCGAGATTCTTCGCCAGTCTTACTGTGCTTTTTCTTTAACGCTGTCAGGAAGTCCTCTTTCTCAATTGCGTCCGGGTCCACCATATCGCCTTCACTCGGGACAAACCCTGCAATGCGCCGAATCTCACGATGCGCAGGCCCCGTTATCCATCCTATCAGTGACTCGAGACCGCGCAGATCTTCTTCACCTGCCCAGTCTTCCTCCCATTCCTTTAGTTGAGGTCGTAGCGCACCGGCATCTTGGAGAGCTTGGTAGACGTCTTCGAGGACTGGGGATGGGTCCTCGGGATGGGCGTTGGCGGCGTGCGCGGCTGTTGCGGAGGCCAGGATCATGAGATATCGTCCAGTCAGTTCGGATAGTGACTCTAGGACCGATGGACGCGTTGAATGAAATCCTTGAGCTCGGAGAATCTGGATAATGGGGGGCCGCAGGAGTGCATTGTGAAGGTTGTGACCGGACATTGCGGCCAAGTAGCTGCGGACCGTGTGTGATGTGAGACCAATAAGGTAGCAACAACCGAGGGTGAGGAAGAGTGGTTGAAGGTATTCGAGTTGCCGAGGTGAGGATTAACGCTCAAGATGAGAGATGAGAGTTGTACAGGACGCAATGAATCGAAGTGAATGGCGAATTGGCTGTTGGCTGTTGACGGTTGGATAGTGGGAGGAGCTCTGCGCCAACAGTTGACAATCGGTGTAATCCAAATACACAGATTGGTCTCACCGCCTTCTCATCCGCTTCTTTTAGCTACAACGCCTACCGTCAACATCTTAGAGAAAAGGCCTGACAGAACCTGGATCGAGCAATTCTTACTTCCAGAATAACAGAGTTTGGTGGATATTCAGTCTCATGTCTTTATTCACCTATACTCATCGAGTTTGCCGCGCAACAACCAACCTGAATGTCCTGCCAAGCATCGTTTAGGAACAACATTCTGCCGGCCCTATACCAAATTTCAGTACAGCTGCGGAGTGGCCGTGGCTGGCCGCAGGAAGTGATCAATCCCAGCGCGTCCTGACGACCCTAACTACCTCCTTCCCATCACAGCCTAACAGGCACCTCTCCTTGCCACCTTGATTTCGCGCCGAATACCTACACCCATCACGTCTCACTGTCCGTACCGATCGCATCATGTCTGAGCACAAGGGCCCGACCCTGAAGCTCAAGTTCGGCAAGAAGCCCGCTCCACCACCAGCGGAGCCTGCGCCAGCTGAAGCTGCACCGCCGAAGCTCACCCTGAAAATCGGTCGCAAACCCCAACCGCCGCCCGAAGCATCTGAAGAGAAACCCAAGAAAAAGAAGGCCTCGACGAAGAAACGCCCCGCCGAGAATGCACCCCCTCCCGAACCCCCCGTGGTGGCCCAGCCAGGTCCGAAGCGGCTCAAACTGAACGCATCCAAGCTCAAGTCGATTCGCATCAAGAACAAGGGCCATGTCCCCAACCGGCCGGTTGGTGTCGGGTACGACTCTGAGGCGTCGGATACGGAGATGGATCCATCCATCGAGGAACAGTTTATCTTACGAATGCTACCGGGTGAAGATTGCGACTACCTGCGACAAGCTATCGAGGAGAGGAAATTCGACAAGTCAGAGTTCTCATTCAAGCCGCTTAATCGAGAGGGGAGACGTGCCATTTTCAAGGTTCGAAACAAGCAGTATGCGGCATGTTTGGTCGATCTGCCTTGTATCATCGAGGGCATGAAGAGTTGGGATCGTCGGGGTTGGTACAAATCCGCAGACATTTGCCAAATGCTCCTAGTATTGGGCCCTGTCTCGAGCGATCAAGAAGCTCTAGAGTTTCCTCTCCCTCCAGAGATTGAGGCTGCCGACACCAAGACGCTACAATACCCCCATGGTCTAGCGCCACCTTTGCGATGGGTCCGCAAGAGACGTTTCCGTGATCGTGTCAGCTCGAGGACTATCGAGCAAGTGGAGAAGGCTGTCGAGGATTTGGTTGCACAGGATGAACAATCACTTTTCCCTCCAAGATTCGACCTGGTGGATAGCGCGGCCCTGAACCGTGCCGAAGGATTCGTGCAGGAGGATTACGACGATGAATACGATGAAGAGCAAGATGCTGAAGGCGAGGTCGACGAGATGATGGATGACTTTGAGGACGACCTGGCTGCCGAGATGGAAGCCGCATTGGCTGCCGGAGATGATGATGCAGCTGCCGCCGTCACTGAAGCAGTGCAGGCAGCAACCGCATCTACGCCGGCTGCGCGGACTGAAGGTGGAGGTGATTCATCAGGCGATGAGAATGAAGTATCTGATGAGGATGACGATATCCCAGAAGATGATCTCGATGAAGAACAACTCGAGCAACAACGCCAGCTCCAGCAACATCGGGAAGAGATCGCCGAACTTGAAGCCCTCATTCAAACTGAAACCGCACAGTGGCAGAAAGTACAAAACCAAATTCTACGCAACAAAATGGGTCGCCGCATTCAGGAGCTTAAGAAAGACCTGGAGCTCAAGAAGGTGTCTATTGGCATGCCCGGCGAGAACGATGTATGATCGGTGGGGATGGGTTTGGAGTTCAATTCGCATTTACAGGGAGCATTAAACTTGGCGCTGGCGCACATACCTTTTTTTGTCTAATGATACTCCTCTGTTGAAATTCCACAGGAAATTGTTTATTTGATCCGTGCATCAATCATGTTCGCTGAAGAAAGCCGGTTGTAGACCCTGACGTCATCCAGCCATCAGTATAGAAGCCTCCTACAAGAACGGGCACCGGTCTTCGATTCTTTCAGATGTTCACAATACCGCACTATTGTTCAAGCCAATCTGCTTATATATTTATCTGCCTTTGATCCATACACCCACCATCAAGCCTATCAACACCAAAATGCAAACTCGCAGCCAAACCGGCCAGCCAGCCCAACCACCCAAAGAAACAGCCTATACACAATCTTCCAATCCAGTCTCACAAACACCATCCGAGCAACGTGCACCACCTCCAACACGCCAATACGGCGACCCAACCACATCAATCACCCGAGGACCAAGCTCCAACCCATCCAACGACGAAGCCCGCGCCCGCCTGCAAGCCCAACACCGCGCAGAACGAGAGCAAATGCAAAAATCACCTGACGTTGACCTAGAATACGGTGTCGAGCAGCAACCTGCCGAGGGATACATTGCTGACACCGTTGCACGGAAGGGGATGGGTATGCAGCGGGCGCAGGCTGGTGCTCATGCTGGGCCGGTTGGTAGTGCTGCTGGGCCTGGACATCCGGGGTTTGGGGAGGAGAGGGATTTGGCGGCTAATATGGAGCTGAAGAAGGCTGAGCATGAGAGGATACTTGGTGAGAAGGTTGGGAGGAGTACTACGGCGGATTCTGGGGTTGTGGAGAGGGAGGCTGTTAGGATAAGGAAGTTAAAGAGGAATGAGGAGGTTGAGGGGGCACTTAAGGAGGCGTCGGGGACACCTGTTATTAGTTAATAGAAGGAGGTGTTTTAGGGATATATGTATCTTTTAAGCTGTCTCTATTCTCTATCACTCACTCTGCGAACGAGGTAGCAGGCCCCCGGTATACAGCTTAACATTTGAAACCCGAATCTCGTTGTGGATTCGCTCTGGGTTATAGTCATCCGCTGTAAATCCAAGTTTTTAGACCATATAATCAGTTAAGGGCTTCCAAGGACCGCCCGTTCTCAAGAACTAGTCCCAGGCCTCTTGTGACCTTAATTCGGAGGCTTCCATGGACTTTCCCAGAACGTCGCCAATGATGCCAATAGAATATCACTGAGTAAGGACCTAGGGTCCATACAGGTACACTTTCTTCTGATCAATCTTGGGCCAGTAGCCAAAATCGTGCCACTGACACGACCCATGTCATTGGGAGTGATGCAGTCGGATTTGGAATCAGGGCCGTATAGAGGAACATGGCCAGCAACGACTCCTACTTTGAACCTGAGCATATTGATGGCAAATCCTCCTCGGATCCATCTTTAAAACTTCAAATTTATCATATGATCACAATCCCGCCAGCATGGACTCGGGCTCTTCCGAAATCGGCAAGCAAATGCATTCAAGTACTCCATTAACATATTACTAATATGTATCAGATTGGAATTCTAACTGCGAATTCTTCAAATTCACGCGTGGCCGCTTTATTGTGGATGAGACAGAGAATCTCCGAAAGCGAGAGATCAGATTCGACCTTAATAGGCTCACAAGAGTCGCCGCAGACTCAGTCGGAGCTGCTCGGTGCGTTGCTGTCAAGAAGTATCCTGACGGTATGTTCAACAAAGCCACCCTTATGTCTATGGATAATGGGCGAGAGGTAATAGCGAAGGTCTTAAACCCGAATGCCGGTGTTCCGCACTATACCACTGCCGGCGAAGTGGCCACGATGAACTTTGTGAGTTTATCCTGAGCTCTATTAACACTAGGTCTTGCTAACACGCCTAGACTATAAGGCTGAAAAATCCTTGATACGCCTGTGCCTCGCGTATACACGTAGAACTCGTAAGCAAAACGCACCCCGTGGGGGCTGAATTTATCATTATGGACAAAGTCGAAGGTATTCCGCTATCCTAAGTATAGAGCACGATAAAATTACCCCAGAAGCTCCAAGTCCTCCTTGCCATGACACGCCTCCAGACGCAGTGGCTAAGCGTTTCTTTCTCCTATTACGGGAGCTTATATTACACGGGAGACGTGCAGCCTCTTATAGGTAATCACTTTATTAAGGATAGTGAGGTCGTTAGCGGTATAGTCCGGCTACAGCCCAGGACTAGTGTGACGTAGGCCGATAGATTTTAGACGTCGATAAGGGGCCATATACGTTATGAATCGTGCCGTTCCTGTGTATGTACTAATAAGTTTTTAGGGGTATCTTTGACGCAGTATCTACAGGCAGTCGGCACGCGAGAGGCGATAGCTATCTAGTGTTTAAGCCCCCTAAACAGATTGCCTTATTCTGTGGTCCAAAGCTCTACCGACCGGAAACGGGAAAGAAAAGCGCTGCTTTAGCTTACTACCGACAAGTCGTCGATGCCCTTATTCCCAAGGATATAGCTATCACCAGACCCTGCCTCTGGCACGACGATCTACATAATAACAATGTCTTTGTAGACCCGCATAATCCCGCAAAAATTACGGGTATCATCGACTAGTGGTCATGTTATATCTCCCCCCTCTTTAACCACAATATCGATCCGGCTTTCCTTAACTAGGACGGCCTTGAACCGGAGACACTCGATCTTGCACCACGGCCTAATATCTCCGGGCTTTCACCGGAAAAACGCTTCGCCGCCTTACATGAGTATACCACCCAAAACGTATTTATCGGTTGGCGGAAACTCATGCAAGCCAAAACCCTGGGGTTATATCGAGCAGTTAATTTTCGAAAGGCAGCAGCGTACGGGCTCATCTTCCTTGCCCACCGAATGTTTAAATACGGCGAGGCACACTTCCAATCTCTTTTAGCCGATCTGAAGGACACGTGGGCGGACTTACCTACCGTCACGAGCGATATCCCATTCCCGTTTAACTTTTTGGAAGCAGACTACGAGCGGATCAAAGTGGATAGCGATGGCGCAGTGGCAGGAACCGAGCTTGTTGCAGAGGCTAAGGAGAGACTGGGCGATTTGTGGCCTGACAAGGGCTTTATCGAGCGCGATCAGTACCGCGATTGCAAAATTGCGCTTGACGGAGTAAAGGATTTGATATTGGAGCAATTAGCTGAAACTGACGAGGAAAGGGCTGAGTACGAGCGTTATTGGCCGTTTGATTAATCGATATCATGTCACGGGCTAGAAGAGCTGCTTTAATGATCGACCGTCCATATACGATTGCAAGCGCCATGGACGAAATAGGTATCCACCTATTTGCGTTGCATTCAGACTAGTGACAGCACCTAGTCATCCATGTAGTTCTAACTTCTAACTTATACCACCGGGTATGAAAATATATTCTGTACGAGCAATCAAGAGTGGCCCATGTATAGTATGAAAACAATTATTCAACTATCTAATTAAGAAAACAGTTGCACACAAGCAGTTCTCATAATATTCAGTTACCTAATATAATGGTACAGAAAATAGCTTCAAAGAGACTCCAGTCATAACCTTTTTATGTAGTTAACTAGTCAACTAAGTAGGTTAACTAACTAGTTACCCGACAGCGGGATGTGCAGGATTATGTCATCAATGTCGGGGGATGGTCCCGGACCGAATGGCATGTGATGTCTGCCGAGGTCTGATTACAATTCAAATTCACGAAGAGCGTGATATGACCTCTGTGTTTATAAGACAGCCTTTGAGCAAGAGATAGAGTTACGCATTCTATCACCATATAGCATCATGACTACGCTTTTCTCTGTCCCAATCACCTCGACCGGTGGCACCATCGTGTGCACCAATCCCACCGCCAAACAGGGCAAGGAGCAGGAGAACATCTACGTTCTGACTTTCACTTCTCCGAAAGATAACCGACTGACTCCGACATTTATCGATGCCTTCATCCTGGCACTGGACATTATTGAACACCGCTATCCCAAGGGTGTCGTGGTGACGACCAGCGGTATTCCCAAGTTCTATAGCAATGGTCTCGATCTGGATCTGGCAACCAGCACGGAGGGATTCCTGGATAAATGGCTGTGGCGTTTGTTCCGGCGACTCCTGACGTATGTCATTCAAGGCTCATACTGCATGGCCGAATACGAGCGAGAGTAGGCGCTAACCTCGTGTTCCAGATACCCCATGCCCACGGTGTGCCTCCTGAATGGCCACGCCTTTGCTGGTGGCTTCATGCTCGCCATGTATCACGACTATCGCATCCAGAACCCAGACAAGGGCTTCTTGTGTGTCAACGAGCTTGAATTCGGAGTACCCCTCCAAACGCCCATGATGTCAATCTTCCGCGAGAAGTTGTCCCCGACCACGTTCCGCAATGTGGTTCTCGAGGCACGCCGATTCGGCGGGCATGACTCGCTGAAGGCGGGCATTGTCGATGCGGTGGGTGGTTTGGATGAAGTGGTTGGTTTGATTCGGGATCGCAAGCTGCTTAACAAGGCAGGGACCGGAATTTACGGCACTATGAAGGAGGAAATGTACTCTCGTGTTCTGAACGGGCTTGACGACCATGCAGGCAATTTGGCGTGGCGGGAGAAGGTGGAAGAGAGGAATGACCAGTTGCGAGGAGAGGGTCTCAAGGAGGTTGAAAAGTGGGAAAAATCATGCAAGTCAAAACTGTGAGGTAATTTGCTTGTCCCATCATACTGGCATTGTGAAATGTCTTTATCATTATAGAAGGTGATTGGTCCCTTTCGGTGCTATTATGGCCAAGTCAATCGAGCTTCCCGGGGTTGGACATGAGACTGTTTGCAGGGAATGACGCATATCATCAGGGCATAGCGATACGAGAAATCCTGTGTACTACCAGTCGTGTATAGATTCATACTAATATGATAAGGTCAAAAACCGAAATATTATTTCCTAGCGTATGGCTATAAGAAAAGTTCATATATTTGTCAAAGCTTGTATGCCTCATAGCATACCACCCAGAGCCGTCTGGAGGATAGTAAACAGTTCCTCTCCTAGCAGAGCCACGGATTCAACACTCAGCGAAGACAGTAACACGTTTTGTGTGTTACAGTCGTCACTAACTGGCTTCCCGCTCAACCGATCTGATATCCACTCCAAAGCACTTGCAGAACCAGAAATTGCCTCGGTTTCATGATTTCCCACCAGGTCTCGGTGGTATTCGATACGAGCACCCGCAGCACAATACTTCTTAACAAGCGCATCCGTATCTTCCACGGGACTGATCTCGTCCCCAGTTGCCTTATAAACGAACATTGGTGCGATCGGAGTGCCATGAAGTCCCATTTGACCAGACCACTGGAAAACTGACTGAGGCACTGCGTCGTAAAAGGATAACTCCCCGTTCTTGAAGTATGTATAAAAGTCCTGGCCGCTACCCATAGAGGTGGCCTGTGAAAAACAGCCGCTAGCGATCGAATAGAACTGTGCTGACTTTGAAGAGATCAGGTTTGCATTTAGCCAGTCGGTAAGGTTTGGGAATGCTTTCGATTGCCCATATATGCCTGAGAAAGCAAGGGCAGCGTGCGATCCAGTATTGATGGTTTGGAGCACCGAACTAATGTTTGGCGTTGTTCCTCCTACCGCAACCCCAGCGTAATTAAGTTCTGGGGCATATGAGGTTTGGAGCTCAGCGGCCCAAGTAGATGCAAGTGCGCCCCCGGAGTACCCCCAAAGTGCATACCGGGGATTTCCTGATAATCCAACCGAGGGGCCTTCGTCAAGAATGACTCGAGTCGAATCCAGCACAGCATGACCAGACTGGAGGCCAGCCGAAAACTCAGCCTCTAGACCTTCGTAGTCAGTGGTGAAAACCCACCAACCAAGATTTAGCGCTGCTGCAATCTGAAATGTGGTCAGTTTATCCATGAAGTGAGAAGTTATTCGTGGACTTACAAATGGTATGTCTTCGGAAACATTCAGTCCGGACGACATAGATCCTAAATTCTCATTACCCGCCCGCAGAGTATAAGATGGACTGCAATCCACATTTGCACTATCATAGAAAGCCTGATATCCAACGAGCTTGGATGGATCTGAGTGATAGGGCTCAAGCAGCGTCACCGCCGAAGCAACTGCATCACCAAGGCCATCAGTAGTTCGGAAAAGATACTGATAAACAGCCTTTACAGATACATTCACAGGCAATGATAATATCGATTCTAGCTGAGGGGAGACTGATCGAAAACGGATCATCTCCCCAGCAGCATAGTCACTGATATTGCTGGGCTGCTCATACCAGGGATCTTGAGATGGCGGTGAAGTTGAAGCTGCGAAAACAGCGATCAAAAGGATAAAAAAAGAGACGATAGACAGTGCAGCTGCCGCCATCGTGTTGCTCCACTTGCACACTCAGTCAAGCAACGATAGAAGAAAAAAGACAGAACTCGGACGAAAACCAGTTCACAGTCGCTTCTTGACCATATGTTTTGCATTTTGTTGCTTGACTCGTCAACTCTAGGATGTACCCCGCTCAAAATATCACTACATGACGACTTCATGTATGTATGCATGCATAAGCGAGGATGTCGATCTTGCCGTACGAACTATTCAGCTGACTGACTCGGGGCACTGGCCAGTTGTCGATCTCTTCCGGTTGCATCAGATCCCGAGAACGGTAACGAACTACCAGAATCGGATATTCGTTGCCAATCTTTCGTCATATTTTTTTAAAGGGGATTTAAGAGCAGTCCCCACGTAAATTTGAGTGATCTTACAATAGCAAATCATTCATGTAAAATAAGAAAAAGTGAGACAGGAACAAGACATACCAGAATGTTGGCTTCCCGGATTCCGACGCTCAGACCAACATCAGGCCGAGTTGAGGGGTGGAACAGACCTCGGGGACTTCCGTATTCCCTGTCTAGCTCTTGGGGTGGCGCTTCCTTATCGAAACCCTGAAGATCATCACCGGTTGTAATCAAGATTTGGTCGAAAGATCTCTGGGCAAGGCCATGTCGGTGTATGCAGTCACGTGACATCGCCATTGGCATTGTACAAAGAAGAGACCCCAGTCTTTTCCATTCAGTATGTTTTCCATTTACGATCAAGTGTATTCGAAAATGAATCTCATCCAGTATATTCTTCTTCGTGGCAGTGGCGAGTGTTTAATAGCTTGAGGCATGCTCTAGTGAGATTCAACCCTTCATTGACTATGATCCAGTATTTCTTACCTTATACGAGTCAGATAAGACATGAAGAACGAGATCCATGATGAATCATTAGTTTCTTATTGCTTAATAAGTCAATAAGTGTTCCTCAGCCATTTTCATGCGCTGAAAATTTCTCCTATGAAATTATCCCGGAGAAGGTGCCAGACTACTGAGCGGATGTCGCCAGGCTCACAGCCAAAATCAACTGTTTAGTCGGTATGATAGATTGACAAGGTGATATGGATGTTTTTATAACCTGGAAAGCCCCCAGTACCATTTACTTGATTCTGGTTTATTCCAACAAACGAGCCTACGGTTCCGAGGCAACGCGCATGTTTCCAATGTATCAACAGCTTGAACTTTCCGTAGCTCGGCTACATTCAACATATTACATGATAATTTTTTTCTATAAATAAAATGGGATCGTACCATGATATGTTTGAGAGTTATTGTTTACAGTTTGGTTGAAGGGATTCGACCTGTTGATGTAATTATTGCTAGTGTACTTTATATTTCTTTATAAAGTATTCAACAGATCGTTCCGCTTTTTAATTTCCACTTTTATCAGCCCCCCTAAAATTTCCGTTCCTCAACTAGCAAAAGAATCTTTGAGTTGTCACAATGAACATCTGTCGGCTCTGTTGCACGAATATCGGTACTGTACGATGGCAGACCAAGTGGCGAGCAAGTGCGTACTCTCTGACTCGACAGCGACCTATATTTAACACATTGAAATAGTCTATTCCTTCCAACCTGGCCATGAGGTTTACTTATCCGAAGTTGGCGATTCGCAAAAAAACGAAAGACTGGCTACGTTGTTTTAGCACTGTGAACCAACCTCTGCCTTTCCCAGAGGGGCATTTGAAGAAATTAGCTTCATTCAGAAGAAAAAGATTTGTTGGCCAGCAAATGCCACATTTACTTCACGAAAGTGTTGAATAATCCTTCGGCATCATATTACTATCGAGGAACTCGATCTTGAGCGACTCTTCCAGGCGCTTTCAAACATTCCTTTCCTCCGACTCTACCCTCTTTGTTCTTATCGCATGTGTATCATCCTCCACGTTGTATTCCAAGACATTTGAGCTAACAATATCTATGATTAGATAAAATGGACGGCGGTATCCCTGATCCATCCAAGGAGCCGGTATTCACAAGTTTAAAGCAACATCCACGTCCGAGCCATCAAAAACGGAGAAGAGTGGAGTTCCAGCCCTACAAAAATGAGATTTTGCCTTGGAGCAACCCGAGTGATATTTTTCGACGCCTTCCTCTAGAAATTATTGAGCAAATATTGGCTTATCTTTCTACATCAGACTTCATGCGTTTACACGAGGCTTCACGGACCGTGTCAGCCGTGTTCCATTGCCAAAGGTTCTGGAAGACCAGATTTTATGTTGGGGGAGAACGAAGCTTTCTCAATTACCTTTTAGTGGATTCGAGCCACGGGGGGAAGCGTTTAGACTGGCAACACATGTATCACCAGAATAAGAGGAGAATATTGAACAAAAGCACACCAAATCAATACAGGAAAGTTCTGTGGCAACGATGTGAATGGCTCAAGGATAGATATATGGCAACTGCGGCAAAAGAATTTGGGCGGCTCTCAACCAAAGAAAGACAGCTTGCAGGCAAATTGTCTTGGACAGCCCTAGGCATGCAAAGCGGATTTCCCTACAATTTGAGCCACAATAGCCCCGATTGCCCCTATATACCTAAGGGCCATGGCTTCGAGCAGACTCCTTTTTATCGATGAGTCAGTCTGCCGAATTGGTATTTCCATATTTGAGGAACACTATAGGGATGTGAGCAGTTATACAACCTTTATTGCTGGGCTTGAACTTATCTCCAAGGAGCGAGATCAACCAAACCGGCTCTTCGGTTACCGCATACCAGGAAAGCAAGTATACATTGATTTAGAATCTTGGAAGGATTTTCGAGGATTTGAGGTGTCAATGAGCCAAGAGGGCGTTCATGCTATACGAATCTGCCATGTTTAAACGTCGGACTGGGTAGGCTCACACAAGCCAGGCAATGCAGCGTGGAAAAGACTGGCTTCAACCCGAGAAATATCTGGGATCTGGGGAGACTTCCGTGTAAGCCGTATCCACTATCTTACTGTTGCATGGTTCCTACTAATACATTTCTACCAGAACTACAAAATGGTCAACTTGGGAATCTCCCACACCAAGGTGGGTGGCCATTGCCGACGGGCAATACCGGTTGATTTTGCTAATATGCGCACCCCATTGTGAGAGTTCCCCTGGCTATCAATGACGAGATCTAAAGGTCTCATACATGTGCATCCCTGCTATCGCTGAAGAACTCCTAGAAATAGCTACAGCAGAGATAAATATAATCTTTCCAAACAGTCCAAGTCATTAAGAAAGTTCCCCTGACCACAAGTAACGGGAGTTCAAGGTCCCAGACATGCATGTCTGTCACTCCACGCCATTGACCACGCGGCCGTGTAACATCTCGCAATGTAAGAAAATGTGTTCCTCAGACTGCATATGCAGCTCATCCAACTGAGTCATGTAACCAAACAAAAAAGCAATATCAGGAACTGGACGAGATTCATCCCCTGCGTTAGAATATCGGTCTATAAGGAGACACCGTGACTGGTGAGTATGCCGGTCAGCTCCGAATAGCATCGAACATCTTCGCCGAATTTCTAAACTACACGCAAGGTATACCTGCCTTGCAATGAGGTCTTAGGGCTATGATTGAAGTATAAGAATCGTGTGGTCTCCTTGATATTTGGTCTTATGCTCATCAGCATTCGTCTTTCAAGATCGAATAACACATTTAGTATGAATATTGATCCTTTTCCATCTATTTTGGTCTCAGCTAATGAACTCGATAGCTTAAATTTCGAGACAGAATGCGTCTACAGTTCCTTTTCGCCCTCCTCAGCTTGGGCGGTGCTGCTATCGCGGCCCCTCTAGCCAGCCAGGCTGGTGCGTGATCCTTTTGAGCTCGGAGATACCTATCGGCCTCTAACTATACTGAATTATAGGCGCTGATAACAACGACGGGGGTATCGGTCTAGGTGGCGGCGGCGGTGGCGGCGGCGGCGGAGGAGGAGGAGGTGGCGGAATTGGAGGAGGGTTCGGTGCTGGTGTTGGCGGAGGCTTTGGAGCTGGAGGAGGTGCTGGAGCTGGAGGAGGTGCTGGAGCTGGAGGAGGTGCTGGAGCTGGAGGAGGTGCTGGAGCTGGAGGAGGTGCTGGAGCTGGAGGAGGTGCTGGAGCTGGAGGAGGTAAAGGAGGTAGTGAAGGTGGTGGTAAAGGTGGCTGTCGCAAGTAGATAGATCGATAGATCTATCAAGACTGTGCTCAAGGCCCGCCATTCCACCACATTACTCACAAGACACTCCTATCCAGCGTTCTGCGTCATATTCGTAGGTAGCCGGAATATCAATCACGTATAACAAGATCTTAAGCTCATCATCTCGTGTTCGCGTTGAAAGATAGAAAGAAGTGTCGGGTATCTAACAAGTTGATGTTGAGTCCTCGAGTAAGAGTCTGGAAGGAGATAGAAATCCAAGGAAGGATCAAGTGTTTTGTTCTTGTTGCCAAGATATCTCTAGTGTAGGTGCATTTCGTATTGTAAAGTACATCACGTCGTAAGGTAGGTATATGGTCATAATCAAAAAGCGCTTGCCATCACAATCATGGCTTTTTGGTCTTGCTGGGCCGGGCCAGCCGCGCAGGTGTATCCAACTGATCAACAAGTGGACGATAAGGCGAAGCCAACATATACTCCGGCGCAGGTTCTCGCCTGGGTTCGCCGGCAGTAGGTCGTCGTAGCTGCTCTTCATGCATGCGATCCAGCGAATCGCCTATGACTTGGTATTTGGCCCAATTTATCGGCGGCATTCGTACCACGTTCTGTGGTGGTGGTAAGCGGCCAAACTTTGACGTGGAAGTACCGTCTGTCTTTGATTTCTCATCGCCCTCCTTATGGTCTTCTTCCGTGTCCATGACATCGTCACCCGAGAACTGAATCACTGCCCCGCGATCCTCGGTGCGCAAACGACCTGTCGCTAAATCATGCGCAAACCCCTCCGGGTCCGCACCAGCAGCCTCTTTCAACCGATCTAAACTCCGAATATCGCGCAGCGTTTGCTGCTTCTGCATTTGCAGGATAGAGATGGCGGATCGCAACGCGATAGCATCCGGATTCTCGCTCTCGGAGATAGGCACTGGCGGGGGTTCTGGTTTGAAGACGGGCGGGGCTGCTGGAGGGGGTGGTGGTCGGTAACCCAACAGAGGTTCTGGGAGCGCATGCGATGCAGGTGAAGGTGACAGAGGGGGAGGAACTATGGTGGCGTTGGCAGAGGCGACCAGGTCGAGGTGCGCGAATACCGGGGTCACTGGGGAATAAGGTGGGCGGGGTGGGGTGCCTGGCCGATCATTCTGGATCGAGGCCTCAGTCGCTTCTGGCGCGGACTGCATGGTATTGTGAGAAAGAGAGGATGTGTGAGCTTGGCGCAAAAGAAAGGCGATCAAAGGTGGTCCAGCGCGCCGTCAAAGGTGAGGTGTGGAATGCAGGATCGGAATCGGAGTTGAAGGCTGGAGGCGTTCCGGCGATCGAGACTGGGTCCACGGGAAGTGACGACACCGGGAGTGAGGCTGAGTGGAATAAAGAACGGCCACCAGCAGGGAGACAAAAGTTTGCCAAACTCAGTAAACTTGATTAATCCGGTGATCAGCGAGTGGTTTCGATCACCAAGTAAAGCTGTGACTCTCAGAGATGACAGGCCTGAGACACCATGAGACTTTGCCAGTACGGTCTTGCGGCTCCGCGAGCCCTATACCTGTGTCAGGTATTGGAGCCTAGCCTTGAATAGAACATCGGATTTACATCCAATGAGCTTGGGGATGATTGTAGACTGCCTTGAACAAGGGAGAAGTCTCTCGTCTTCTCGTCCCAGCAAGATGAGATCCAGCAACTTTGAAGTTGAAGTTGAAGAGTGATCTGACGACCTCCAAAACCAAGTGATTGACCGCCCCAGGTGGCTGCTCACCGCCCTGGCGGCAAATGTTAGTGGCCACAATGGAAATACGGTAGAAATGCCCGATGTTCTCCCAATCATACAATACATTTCCTTACTGGCCGCTATCGGTTCCGCACCGCCTCCGAAATTTTTAAGATCAGACCACCATCAAGTATACTTGTTTACTCTCGTACAACCTAGAAAATGAAGCGCACAACGGACCAGAGACCCTCACTCGATGGCAATGGCCTGCCGGAGTCCAAGAAGCGCGCCCTCTCCAGCGAGGAGGCTGGTGCGCGCTTCAGCGACGGCCTGTTCGACCCCACGAAGCAGCAGAAGTACACCGACGCATACGCAAAGTCGTCCCCGTATGGACTTTCTAAATCCAATGGTCTTTGAATGGCTTCGACTAACATATTTTTTGCTTCCAGGTACCTCCACGGTGTTATCTGCCCTTTGATTGAACCCTCCCTGCTGCGATCCGTCCGCGATGAGGTGCAAGAGCATCTGTCCTTCACCGAGAAGGAGACCGATATCTACAAGATCTTCCAATCCGGTGACCTGGCCAACTTGGATGGCTTGGACGACTCTTCTCTGTCCAAGCTTCCCTCCCTGCTGAAGCTTCGCGACGCCATGTACTCAGCCCGCTTCCGCGAGTACCTCTCCTCCATTACCGGCTCTGGAAAGCTTAGCGGCAAGAAGACCGACATGGCCATCAACATTTACACCGAGGGTTGCCACCTTCTGTGCCACGACGATGTCATTGGAAGTCGCCGCGTGAGCTATATTCTCTATTTGACCGACCCCGATACCCCGTGGCAGGAGGAGTGGGGTGGTGCTCTGCGCCTATACCCGACCACGACCAAGAAGGATGCCAATGACGAGGATGTCAAGATTCCCAGCCCGGACTATAGTCTCTCTATCCCGCCTGCCTTCAACCAGCTGAGCTTCTTCACCGTTCAGCCTGGCGAGAGCTTCCACGATGTCGAGGAGGTGTACCACCACCGCGAAGGCGATGACAAGTCGAAGAAGCGCGTGCGCATGGCCATCAGTGGATGGTTCCACATCCCCCAAGAGGGAGAAGATGGTTATGAAGAAGGTCTCGAGGAGAAGTTGGCCGAGCGCAGCAGTCTCGCCCAGCTCCAGGGCCGCGGTGATATCTACGACCTGCCCCAGCCGAACCCCGTGTCTTGGGAAGAACCAGAACCCGAGGTATCTGGCAAGGGTAAGGGCAAGATGGTGGAGCAGTCCGAAGGTAATGAGTTCACCGAGAACGATCTCGAGTTCTTGGTGCAGTACCTAGCACCGTCATATCTGACTCCCGACATCGCCGAGGAGATGTCCGAAGCCTTTGAGAACGAGTCCTCGCTCAGTCTGGAGCGCTTCCTGAACGAGAAGTTTGCCTCTCGCGTGAGCGCATACATTGAGGACCAGGAGCGACAGACCCTGCCCACTTCTTCTGAGGAGATTCAGGCTACCACTGAGTGGACTGTGGCTTGCCCTCCCCACAAGCACCGCTATCTGTACCAGGAGCCTGTCGAGAACGACATTAGCAACCCGATCAAGGAGATTCTGAACGTCCTTTTCCCCTCCCAGGCCTTCCGCAAGTGGCTTGCGCTGATCACCGGTGTGGACCACCTCCAGAGCCACAACTTCCTTGCCCGCCGCTTCCGTCGTGGTGCGGATTATACTCTGGCGAGTGGCTATGATGGCGAGGAGCCACGTCTGGAGTTCACTCTTGGCCTCACTCCCACGACGGGGTGGGAGAAGGAGGTTGAGGAGGACGAAGATGAGGACGAGGAGGATGGCGAGAATGGCGCCTCCTCGAAGAGCTCCAAGGCCAAGAAGGAGGCCCCCGCTGAGGCTTCTGAGCATCCCTCAGTTGGTGGCTACGAGATCTACATGGCCGGTGACGAAGACGAAGACGAGGAGGAAGACGAAGAAGACGCAGACCAAGTCCTCCGACCCAAGAAGGCCAAGGCCGATCCTGCTATTTACCGCTCTGCCGGCGCAGACGAGGACGACGGCATCCTGTTCAGCACCCAGGCTGGCTGGAACCGTCTCAGCATTGTGCTGCGTGATAGCGGTACGCTGAAGTTTGTCAAGTACGTGAGTGCCAACGCCAAGGGTGATCGGTGGGATATCACCGGTGATATTGGTGTGGAGTTTGACGATGAAGATGATGAGGATGATGACATGGGTGATGAGGATGAGGAGTAGACTCTGTTTAAAAGGAGATGTTGTCATTTGAGCATGGACAATTCAAAAGCTGTAGATATACCTATGCGATGCCATATATGATTTGTTATTCTTTCCTTCATTGCCTGATTCTCTGTACTCCTATGATATGTAGAATTCAAAAATTTGCGTGTACGACCGTATCGACTAGGTTAGCTCAGCATCCCCTGTTTCGAAAAGGTCCTCCCAAAACATCTTGTATACTATCGACAGAACCAACCTATGCTCACGCGTGATATCTCCAATTTACGTAAAAAGATTTGCCATCTCCATGAATCGAACCCTCGGCCTCTCGCTCCCTATGTACTTCATGACGATGCTCCATGTACAGCCCACGGCTTCAACGCGATACAGCACCGAGAAACAACACATAATATAACCACCAGATCACCTTTTTAATAATATCTAAAAGAGGGATCATATCCTATAGGATTTAGTGATCAATTTAATATAGATAAAGTATAATAAAAAAGACTTTAAAGGGGGTGTTTATGCAGGGATGTTAGATATCAAAAAACCTCACCCGCCGGGGGCCGCACCTGCTCCACAGAAGCTTCCTCGCAGTTACGACCGCCGAACCCACCGAAGTGGCTACAGTCGACTAGGGGTTGTCCCACTAGGCCACCGGGCAGGATCAGTTGCTGATTTCAACTGGAAGTAAATGATAACACCTCATGTCCTTCCTACCAAGTTATTAATTTGGTCATGTCTCCACTGTCACCCCGTCATACCAAGAGCAGCGAAACGGCAATTCATTTAGGTATTAGCTCTATCTACGACAGTCAAGAACCATGATTGTTACTCCTTTTCAAGTATTTATATGTTTAAAAGCCTAAATCACCTAATATATCGCAACACATTCCATTCGAAAGGCGACACGAATATCCATCTGCCATTCTCTGGACCGGTGTGCTCCAAGAACGAGACTAGCTACTCATCAGGGCTGAAGGAGTAATCGAATGCTAACTCGAGATTTGTACTGCTCGTAGGCGTCAGAGCATACCCCGCGGTAAATTGTTGTATAGGAACCATTGGGATTGCCCTGAGGTGAGAAGTCTTGAAAGACCACATGAGCAACACACGTACTGGTCAACCTGAAGAGAGTTGTAGATTCATTTGCCGTTGTTTCCTGTTCGATCGTTCAAATCGTCCTGTGAAATTCCAGAACGGTGTGCAAGTGACCAACATCCATCATCTACATAGACCTGAACATACAGAGGGTATGTGTATCTGACGATGAATATGCCACGACGGTTTGCCAAGTCTTGAGGTTGTTAAGGAGGTGTAAAAGGGGTGATGAAGAATAGAGTCGAGCCCCCACGGAACAGGCTTGAAGGCAGGGGCCAAGACAAGCTGCAAGTCCCCATTAAAGTTAGTTTAGACAGTGAAAAAGACGAGCGAGTCATGAGATATGAGTGTCTTACTAAGACCGCATGCATCGGAGAGGATACCTCCATTTTAGGTGCTGTCCAGTTCCACATAAACCAGGTAGTTGGTGGTTGTTGACATTGTTGCAAATTTTCTGCCTGGCCATATTTATCGTTTGATGAGTTCGCATCCAGGATGTTGTCATGTTGTCCTTGATAAGTGTATTCCCAAACCAACAAATCTCTCTCGGTAGCTTAGACCGTACAGAGACTTGCTCATGCGGTATCTGTCTGGTTGGTCATTCCCAGGAATCGATACCACGGATTTGAGGACCCTGTTTCCCCGAAACTCCGTTTTTGCCTGCGTGAGAACTTTGTCGGCATCCTTCTCTTTGGAACTCACTTGGTCCCCGTAACCACCTCTCTAGTGGTCAAGTCCGTGCCCGAAGTCGCCGGTAGGAGATCTCATATCCTCGGGTTCTTAGATCAGGCAGGAACGGATGAAGTAGTGCTCACGCACTAGCCTAGCAAGCCTTAAAGCTTTATTTTCCTTCGTTTGCCTTGGGGTCTCGATTATGTTGCTACCGATCCTGGATCGGTCGTGTTCTCGGTGGGTGGGCAAGGCCTGTTGTAGCGAGATCACCCCGCGGGTTGACGAACTGCTCGAGTGCGTTCTCACACAGGTAACCAGAAAGTGAGATGCTAGTTCCGCATCTTGAAGACTCGTCTTGAAGGCGCCTTGAGCAATAAGAGTCAGCATTCTTGCTCAGAAAGTCACGCAACAATGTTACTTGCCAAGTTCACCAAAGGTAAAAAGGAAAGGTCCGTGGGAAGTTACAAAATGAAAGTAAACTCAGGACTTACCCTGCTCGGCTCGCGGCGTTATAAATTATACCCGTAATTTTCCAGCCTCAAAGAAGAGTTCCAGCCTTGCTTAATTGGTCATCGAGCTCGTGTTGCATTTGAGTCTTGAAATCCCACTTGTAGACGACATTTCCACAGGTAAAGAGCACGCGGACTGAATGCACCGCATCCTTGACATCATCTTCGTAGCATCCTGGGTGGTCTTGGGCTGCATGAATAGATCGGTAGCTCCTTCATCCGATAATGATTTGCGTCGTTCTGAATACGCTGTAGAAATTACCAGGTTAAGCTGGGACTCCAGTGGCTCGTTCTCAGTCTCAACAGATCCATCTTTCGGTTCACATCAATCGAAGCATCAATAAACTCCTTCTTTTCCCGGCTCTCAAGAGCACCAGTGAGACCATGACGGGATGTTTGCTTTCTAGCCAAGCTCTCCGGTCAGCAGGTGCTAGTTTCTCCATGAGAAGGGGGAGGTAGAAGAGTCCCATGAGATCGTGAGTTTGGAAGGTGCACAAAGCGAAGATCTTGTTGGGAGGTTTGCAAAGATATCCGTAAAGGTTGCGGGAGCTCCAGGAGCCAGGACGACGCAACGACGTTCATTGTCTTGTCATTTGTCATTGAATGAAGCAGCTTGGTGGATCCTTCCTTATAAAGGCTCACATTTTCTCGTTAATGGAGAGTCAGACTGCACCCAGACTGCAGCTGGCTGTCTTGCGCGAATCACGCTGGTTTCGCTCGCTCACCTACTGGCCTCTTTCGATGACTGTTGGAAAGCAAGAAGGTTTTATGTAAGAAGGATATTATATCATGACTGTATATAAGAGAGAGGGTTGAAGAGAGAAAGAGTGGAAGTAGAAGAGAAAGACGCTTAAATAAATCAGTTTGCTTGGTCACATGGCTTATGCTATCTATGAACTATCATTTCTATGGTTGTTTCCGTTTTGATGGTTTTCTTCATTGTTCATTTTATTTTGTGCCATGTGCTTTGCGAATATGGCCGCCCTTCTATATATGGTAACCTTCTCATATCTATCCAGTTATGTATCTTCTTATCTACCTCCATAATTCTTCCTCTCATAGGTTGGTGGAATGAGCAATGTCCTTTACCAGTGTCAGATTCGCCTGCACGGCGTCAAGCTTTGTTTGGAATCGTTGAAAGCAGTCAGGGCCAAGAGGGAGTCGCAATAGGCTTTCTTTGCCTGCGCCAATTCCCGTGCCAGTCACGACGTCCAGAACCCGCTGGGCAGCTTTAACAGGGTCCCCATTTTGTTTCCCATCACTGGTTTTGAATACGTTTAGGGTAGCCTCGAGTGGAGTTCCAACATAGTCCTGGTTCAGCCCAGCGGCAGGCTCGACAAAGGCTGACAGGAACTTGGTTCGGAATTGACCAGGTTCAACGATGATAACTCGGATACCGAATGGTGCTAGTTCTCTTGAGAGACTCTCGGACATGCCTATAGATCCATCAGTATCAGACATTTTGATCGAGATTCCATATTCCCATCCACTCACCCTCAAGAGCAAACTTAGATCCCGCATACATCGCACAAGAAGGCAACCCATCCATACCAGCGATACTGCTCACGTTCACAATCGTCCCCGATCGCTGCGCCCGCATAAAAGGCAATGCACCCTTCAACACTCGCACGGGTCCATAAACATTCGTGCTGAACTGGTTCTCAATCTCTGCTTCGCTCATATCCTCGATGCTACCAAGCAGCGAGTACCCCGCATTGTTAACGACCACGTCAATCGCGCCACCAGATTGCCGAATTGCATCCTCCACTTTCTTGGGTGTTTCCGTACTCGTCACATCGAGTTCGAGCCATGTGCCTCCCAATTCTTCGATTTGCGGGTTCTCTTTAGCTGCTTTTGAGGGATTGCGGGCTGTTGCGATAACTTTGTTTCCAGCGCGAAGGGCTACTTCGGCGATGGCTGTGCCTAGGCCTGAGGAGGCACCAGTGACGAGCCATGTTTTGGGGGCCATGTTGGTAGTGGTTGTGATCGGGTTAAAGGCTTCGCGGGGCTGAATCGATAACGGTGAGGGGTAGTTCGAGAAAGTCGAAGATCAATGAGAACGTTGAGATTGAGGTTAATTGAACGTATGAAGGGCTTGGGAGATACGGCGCTACTTAAATGTGCCCGAATCTGGAGATGTGCGGATGACGGAATGAAGCGCGGAATTAAAAGATGGTGGGGCTCAGTCTTTCGGAGTTTACAGCCTCGCGATCCTGCAGTTTCCTATCAGACGGTATTAAGCCGGATTTAGCGGGCTTTTCTTAGATGTTTAAGACCTCCAAAAATTGTGTGGATATTCATTCTTCCTTTCTTATCGCACGCATGATTCGAAGCTAAATGGTTCTCTTGTTGTTGTCTCACAGTAAGTTATGCCGAGCTTGCGTGTCTTGCAACTCGCTATGTCTGCGCCATTCCAGGAAATTAAATGCATCAAGACGAGGATGAAAGCCTAGCTATCAAGCTAACCAAAGAAAAAAAACTAAATCAAGCTTATTCATATGTGTCACGGGGTGTACAGGATCCTCAGATGCTAACAAAATAGTTACTGTATGCCAGCATAGCCTTCGAAACGTGAGGTTTGGATACACCAGTGCCCTATTGGTCAGAGACAAAGCCCTTGAAGCAGATTAATCGTCTACTATGCTAGTTCTTTGCACATAAAGCTTCATTGGCCACGTTATCCCATCGCTATGAAAAGCGGGGAGAAGAAGAAATGTGGAGCTGATCTCATGTGGAAGGCCCAAGGATTTAGCCTCGGATCGCGGGAACTAGAAATACGCTTCCCCACAACAAAAGTAAAGATTAATGGACTTTATTTAACGAAGATACCCAGCTAGACTCGAGCTGAAAGGTTAATTTTCTGTCTACTAGATAGCCTTCTACACTAATAAAGCAGCCATGACAACTTCCACATTCGAGATCGATGATAAGTTTAAATACTTAAATGGCTTCAACGGCTACCATCAGTATGCAGGTTCTCTACAATAACACGTTCAAACTACTAATTAAATGCAGGTCCGAAGCTGCAGAAGGCGCCATCCCATCAGTCATCAACATCCCTCAGAAATCCAAATACGGACTCTACACAGAACGCATATCGGGAAGCTCCTTCACCGTGCCGAGGAAAGACTCAAAGCAGACATGGCTCTATCGGCTTCTCCCATCGACATGCCATGAAGAATTCAGTCTTATAGAGAATCATCCATTCAATCTCAACCAAGCCTCGGACTCCAAGTATCAGTACTCACCCAGTCAATCTACCTGGGCCCCGGTGCGAATCGCCAAAGAAGCAGATTTCATCACTGGTCTTCAGTTGATAGGAGGAGCTGGCAATCCAACACTGAAAGAAGGTCTGGCATACTATGTCTTCACCGCTGGAAAGTCAATGCCACCCAACCAGGCATTCTACAGCGCAGATGGAGACTTTCTTCTAGGTAGGCTCTCCGTCTCTCTTATCGACAACAGCTTCTAAGAAGAAAAATAGCACCCCAAAAGGGCTCTCTCGACTTGCTCACAGAAATGGGCTATCTACGAGTCCGAGCCAACGAAATTTGCGTTGTTCCGAGAGGAATCCGTTTCCACGTTTCACTCCCAACAGGTCCCGTTCGAGGCTTTGCGCTTGAATTGTTCGAGGGCCATTTCGAGTTACCTGAACTTGGGCCGATTGGCTCTACTGGCCTAGCTAACATTCGGGACTTTGAAATTCCTACTGCCAGCTACGATAACTCGGATGTTGATATGGATATAATTGCGAAATTTGCTGGGCAATTGCACGGGACTATCCACAGGGGTAGTATCTTCAATGTTGTTGGGTGGCAGGGTACATATTATCCCTATAAGTATGATCTGGGTATGTTGGTATCTACTCCTCTCTTCGTATTCTCGGTGCTAAAAGCTGGATTATAGGTAAATTCAACACTATCGGTTCAGTCTCATATGATCACCCGGTAAGTTCCACTGTGTTTGAAAGTTATTCGATCAATCGTGCTGACTCGTCTAGGACCCGTCGATCTTCACAGTCCTTACTTGCCCATCATCTATCCCAGGTGAAGCCGTCGTCGACGTTGCAGTCTTCGGTCCTCGCTGGCTCGTCATGGAGAAGAGCTATCGTCCGCCATACTTTCACCGAAACACCATGTCGGAGTTTGCTTTTCTCATCAAAGGCGGCTTTGATGTTACCCCGTTACCTCCACAGTTGGAGGGATTATTCTCGTTGAGCAACACGATGTGTGCCCATGGAGCAGACCCGGAGAGCTGGAAACAAGCGACTGAGAAGGTGCTGCAGCCTCAGAAGATTCCACCTGGAAACTTGGGGGTTATGTTTGAGAGCCGGTGAGTTTATGTCGTGACATTTACATCTTACACTGCATAGCGATAGGACTAACATTGCTCTATAGGTATATCATCGGTTTGACTAAGGGAGCGAATAACACGTTGATGAAATTGCCCGGAAAGTCTGCGGCTTTCGGAGAGTTTGAGAGGGCGAAGATATAACGTATCGCGAACGAGAGCTATCTATTGAAGTTTTTGTTTGGAAATGATAATATAAATCTACCTGCCTTACCTCGAGGGGCATTTTTTTGGCTGATGTTATGCATTATCAATGAATATATATGGCGAGGCAGGTTGAATTTTACACATGCCAATCCGATATACTACATATTTCAATTCCAAGAACACTGTACCAAGAACGATATTTTAGCTGCAATTGTTCTAGATCCCTTCCCTTCTTACTATATTCTCGGTTTCTAGTCCATAAGACCATGGGCAAGTCGTGGCAGTTCCTTGGGTGTTAGCCGCCATACACCAGCTTCAACGACCAAATCCACATCCAAACCAAACAATAATCCATTCGTCATCGAACAACCTATTCCTTAAAATCCAAAATTAGCACATACAATCATACCCAACCACGCAAAAATTATCCAAACAATCGTCAATCATCAATCATCAACCTTCTCCACAATCTATAGCCCAATGTCGCAGCCCCCTGACATGAAACCACCCTAAAATCGACACCCCCCACCGCAGCGCTTAACTAACGGCGCTGGCCATTTCTAGTGTATACTACTTCGCCTCGACAATTGACGTCATCTAAGAAGTACATTAGTACGTACCTAAACATCATCGCCGCGGGCGGCAATTGAAACCAATGAAACAGCCTAGGGCAGCGATAGTGAGCTGGACAGTGGCCGAGCGCGGACTAAATCGCTCCACATGGCCCGGGTACGATATGAAAGAATTTATATCCACTCGGTGAAAAGATTAATGTGGTTAGTAGATAATTACTTGAGTATTTATTGTTATTAGGTCGATCGGAAATAGGCAAGGGCTCTGATCAAAGGCTGGAAAGGAAGAATTGTCTCTTGTGTTTTGCGTAGTAGGTCTGGTATGTATTTTGCTCTGGATGCTGTACACTACATATCATTCATTCATGGTATTTGTGCACCCACATCGCCTCACCGAGACATGGTCTAGACTCGGGACACCTCAAATAAACTAGACAATAACCAAGACCTATTCTATCTCCAAGTCCAACACCAAGACTAGGTCCAGCCTAGCCTAGACAAACCTCCCCACCAAAACAATGTCTCTACCAGCCGAGTCCGGCTCAACTCACTCCAAACCCACCACTGCAGGGACCTCTGCACGCGAAAGAGAAGCCAGGGGGGGGGGGGGGGGGGCAAAAGGAAGGGAGGATCAGCAACCTACAGTCCCGCCTCACGAAGCACGCTTTTCTTCCCAGCTCGACGGGATCAGTGGAGCTCAAGGCCCCACGCTAAATGCAACCATAGCACGTCGCAGTGAACCCAAGGAAGTCAGAATCCAGGAGGGGGATTGGATAAAGAGAGAGGGAAAAGCAAAAGAAAGGAATGGAAGGAAAGGTGCTGATTTTCCGCACAGAATGATCGACCAATCCGATTCACGGATGCGATGTAACTCCCCCAGCTTTGGGGGGCGAATCCGGGTGATCGACGGGTTAAGGGCTTGGGACTAGCCAACTAGGGGTGCTTTCTCCGGGAGCCTCATGGCCAAATCATGATCTGTGGCTATCTAACAGGCCATGGGCTGGTCATGGCGTGGGAGTTAGCCTTCAGGAAGGGGGGTGTGGGGTCGGGGGAGAGGGTGCAGTTGCTGGAACTGGCCACTGGCTAGCTAGTGATTGAGTCATGGTTTTCTTTGTTATTTTTTTTGACTTTGAGTTTTTGTTTTTTGTGTTCTTTTCTGTCGGTACTCGGTAGTTATGGCGTGATTCACGCGGGAATGGGGCGTATCCAGGGTGTTGGGACAGTATTGGGTGCTGGGGGCATGGAGATGGGGGGTCGTGGTTTGCTCGCGTGTCGAGACTATTGAGTGGGCCAGCAAGGAGTGTGTTTATGGGATAAGATAGGCCATGATACCAGCGTGGTGGACTATGGAATTATGGAATACAGTATGTACTTCTGTACGTCACGCCCACAGAGATATGACCATTGGAATGGGGAGTTGAAGACAGGAGTGACTGTGGTCTAGTGGATACTTGGAACTATTTGCATAGCTAACTCTACCTGGGTGCCTTTTACAGAATCCTGACGAAACTTGAAAATAACAAATTAAGTCATCAAGGAATTGAACATGTGGATCATAAACATGGACAGTGGACCTACAGGAGTAAAAAAAAAAAAAAAAAAAAAAAACTGAGATGCCATCCCTTTCAGGAAACATGGCGTCTTGGTTAGCGCGAGATACGGAGTAACAAGCGACACAGAGTCGCAACGAGAATTCCTATCGAATCACCGACCACAACGGGTGTCCATGACCAAACATTAAGCTCAAAATAACTATAGGTGTCGACGCTGTGATCCGTCGGTGGCAACGCAGTGGATCCGCTCTGTGTTGCGCCCCGGAATGGAAGACTGCTACCGTCGTGCGAGAGAATGGGCCAAGTATGTACGCGTGTTCGATGGAGTGGCAATCCCCAAGCCCAGAAACATTCTGCAAGGATACGGCGCCATGTGGCAATGCTCAACCGGGATATGATAGGCGTTGAGACCGGCGGGCTTTGTGGACGCTAGTCGGAGCGATTGGTAGGAGAGTTGAGTTGTCGCTGGAGATTCTAGTTCAGCCGAAGCTGAAACACGATGTGGCGGTGCCCCACGACCACGTCTTTACCTTGTCTGGTTAGTTGATTAATACTGCGGCAGTTAAGATCTGATCTCGTATATCTCGTACTGTATTGGATGCATGTATTCTTGCTGCCTACCCGTTGCAGCGCAACGTATGTAACTAAAGTGGTGCTGTATCTAATCGGCAGGGCTGTTTTTAGAGATCTATCGGCAAACCCCTTGGTACCAGTGGAGTTTGTTGTTATGGGGATGGATCGACTCCGTAGGGGCAAACTGAACCCTGGGCGACCGGCGACAAGGCGACAAGAGCCGAGATCAAATTGACACATCCACTTCAGCAGCCAGCCACCACAAGTGGAATCGACTACAGATAATTCGGGGACCGGGGAGGGCAACAGGTTGAAAGTTTGCTTAAACAAAATAATCAGGTCGAGTATAGCGAGCAAAAGGCTGGCTCGGAGGAGTTCATCGACACCGTGGCTTGGGGGAGCCCTGGGTGGCTGCCGCCCGGGCGACCGTACACACTGGCAAACCCCCAATGATGTACTGTATTTTGTATACTTGGCTTAGTTGAACCAGCAATTCTAGAGATATTACCCGGTTGAGCTTTTGACAGGTCGAACCTCGAGCTATCGCTTTTCATCCCGAGTTCAGGCGCTGAGTGGCTTCGGTTGCTCGGGCAGCAAACCCTAGGTAGTAGGTACAGTCAGACAAAGCCCCCAGTCACTCTTCGGGGGGATCTAGAAAGCTACGAGAATAAGCTCTGACACTGCGCCAAGAGAGCTTTCGAGTTGTACAAGCGACTAGAACACTCCGAGATTAGGCAGGAGCCCGGATGAGAAGCTAATGCAGAGCGTGCGGAGAGAATCCAGAGAATAGTCTACTAATATACATTTGTGGTGGAATGTGAATAGGATACGATAGGATTACTTTGCTGGTTTTATATCAATCATTTATGCTACGTATTTATGACTGTTTATGACCTTCACATATACATCCAAGGAACGAGAAAAAAAATCTCTATATCTACAACCACAGTAGCTACTACTGTCACAGATAGCCGCGCGCGGACCGAGCGCACAGAAACCGCCATCCTGCGCGTATCCATCCTCGATTAGCAACGAGAGCATCGAATCGAGGAACGGGCCAGCGATAATTGGGTGACAGCGCGGGTGGATGCATCTTCCGGCCCAGTCCGAGTCGCGATCGCAAAAAAACCGTTCAAGCTTCAAGCTCGACTAGGAAAGAAGCTCGAGCCTAAGCATGAGCTTGACTGGATCTGGTTGGGTGTGGGATAGTTGGCAAGCTGACTGACTAGCTAATAATCTACAGCTACGGAGGAATATGGATTCTGTCCAATTCTCCACGCGGGCCGGGTGTGGTGTTACGGCTTGGCGACCGGCGATTTAGTTTCGACGGCGTGACGCTGTCGGTGTCCGTGTCCGGGGTTGCACAAACGGATTTGGAGGTGGAGGGTAGGAGTGGGTTAGTTCTGGCAGGGGTTGACAATAATGGTTAATAGCAGGAGGTTCGTTGTTTGGACGGGTTTAGTCGGGGAGGAAGGGAAGATGAATGGGCCGAGTATACATGTCAGAAACATGCAGGTACGCTGTTTGGAGCTGGTTGGGTTGGGTACTGGGTAAGTACTTTTTTTCCAAGGTGCTATTTTACGAATAAACTATTCGGTGGCCCTCGTAGGTTAACTATAGGCTTTGTATTTAGAGAAACGAGGTAAAGAGGAGGACGATCAAACTAGGCACCACCATTGAGACTATACCATGCAAAGTGGTTTTAGTGGGAAAGCGATCATTTGCCATGTGTGGGACGGGGAGTGCTTTTGCTGTGAAGAAGCGTGGCTGTGGGTTGGACAGGTCGTACAGGGGTGAGGAGAGAGACAAAGTGGACACTAGAGATAGGTATGTACTCCTAGTCCCGGTTGATCAAGTCGAGCAGGGCTTGGATGTAGATGCATGTACTCGATACTCGACCAGGCTAGACCTGCAGGCGTGCATTCGAGGTACTAGGAACCACCCCTGCCTTTGTACATACAGGAGAGGGTGTCCACCGATGGATATACTAGTATAAACTAGAGTAGAGAATACTCTGTCGAAGACTATGAATATAGTCTCCTTTCTACTGGGGTAACTGTACATACCAGCTCCTCTCCTCTCCTCTCTTACGAAATCACTAATGCAACCAGTCATGCACCAATCCCTGTCCAGTGTCCGTCCACCGGTCGGCCTGCCATGTGTCCAACGTCGATGGGGATTAGCGTGTTGCCTGCAGCCGCTATCCTTCTTTCATTCTTCCTTGCTCTCCTCCCCGGTCGCAAAGGCAAAATGGGAAGTTTGACAAGCCCCCCTCTTCCTCCTCCGTTGACTGGAACCCTGGGTAACCCACGCCCCGTTCTGGGGGTCAAGTGGAGCAGAAGAGCTTTCTGAAGGCAGCTAGGTGAATTACTACCCTCTCCTTTCTTAGGTCATACATAACGTCACTCATCACGACGACGTATAATACGTTCTCTGTGCTTGAAGGGGAAAAATGGCTGCAAGGAGATCACCCCTGAGGTCGATCATTTTGCCACGTGAAGTGGGGAGGGGAAGAAGAAAGAGGGAGATGGAACCCAACCCTCGTTTTTGGGGGCGATGGGGGGAAGACAAACTATTGTACTCCGTACACCCGTGGACTGGAGACTCGCTCTCAACCCGGAGCTTAATTATGAGTCAAAAATCGGGGAGCATAGTGTATTATGTACAATGATCCTCCGTAAACTCATCGTGTACTAGTGTACCTATCCAGTGGATCGCGCACATTTGTGATAGAGAACAGACCATGGCTCACGGGTTGCACCCAAGGTCACCCACGTTGTAGTAACATGACGTGAAGACTTTTGGTCATGATGTAATCAGGAGAGCGAGACCGTACTATTGTTATAGACTCGAGACGACCATTAATGCAAATAATCATACTAATCGCAGATCTTACTGCGAGGGAGAAGACAAAAGGCGAGACAGAGGAGTGTACTGTACAGTATGTACTTCGCAGTACAGAGTTGACTGCCAGAAAACGTGCGATTCCCTCCTTGCATCGCCCAGGGATCCGGAAAGGAAGCCCTCAAAATGCCGGCATTTGGGAATTAGTTCGGGGCGGGGGATCGGGGAATGTACCCATGGTGAGTGAATGGCATTTTATCACAAATACACATGTACTATACTAGTCTACTCCAGTTAAGATATCTGATATATGGTTGTGCAATATGGGTATATAGTTATCTAGTTAAATCGGGGATTCTTTTGGAAACACTTAGCGCAACTTCCAGACCCCCCCTTGAAACTGTATTTTACATTTTGGCTTTCTGTGTGGGCGCTTTTCCCTTGGACTTTTATGGTTTTATGGTTTCGCTGCCATGCGAGGATGGGAGCGGATCCACTTCCCGCCGAGTTCTGATCCATCCTGTTCCCGTCGAGTTGGTAGCGATGCAACAAGTTGGCAGCGTCCGTTCCCATTCCTTTGGTACACTTAAGCCTTACAGTTTCTTTTCTCTACAAACAGTCAATACTCGGGAGATGGAATAAAATATACGGCAGTTTCAGTTTCAGTTCTAGTTTCTGCACAGGTTCGGGATCGGACAGGACGGAGGAGAGGGTTATAATTATAATTATAGTTTGATCTCCACCGGGCACCGTTCTTCGGGTGACCACGCCCGGGGCGGGAATCGTGGTTCGTTTGTGAATAATCTGGGTAGAAAGGGAAGGGTGAATAGACTGGACTCACTAGAGTGGTAGTTTCAGCTAAGAATACAAGAGTAGAGTAGAACTATAGGGCAAATGCTATGACTCGAGGCCATCGGGGGCGATCATCGTCCATCACGATCACGATCCATAATTCTAATCTTGGATAAAAAAAAATTAATACAGGAGTCCTGTACATAATGGCAATAGTTGACGAGGTATAAAATCAGTCGAGAAGAAGGATAAAATAGAAATAAATAATAAGCTTTCAAGATGAATATGAGGGATTGAAATTTTTAAGATTTTAATTTTGCAGATGTAACTCTGAGGGAATTCATCTCCCTTGCGTGCCCCAGAAAGGGTCAGCCTCGTGGCACTCAGGTGGAGGGTGTTGCGCGCAGCAGCGCATATCCAAGGCTTGGCACATGCATGATCGTATTGATCGTATGGGTATTGTCATTGGAGGATCGAGTATCGTATTTACTTTCTATACTGAGGAACTCCGTAGTCCGTACTCCGGTATGGTAGGACTAGTCGAACAGAGTATAGTTGATTATTTAGACTACAGAGTAAACGTACAGAGTATATCATTATACTTAATTAGAACCTCCCGTTAGATTATGTACAATCCACCAAGACCACTATCGGGTCCTGGCTGACGCGGACGGACAACCCGGAGACCGAGTGAGGTTACGAGGGGCGATCCCTCCGGTCCGCAGACTCGGGAGAGAACCTGAGATGGGATCTGTCCACTAGGCACCGGGAGAAGAAGCAAATAACAAAAGGAAAAACCGACCGGGGGGTATGCGCATAGTTAACTAACGAGAACGAGGGTGACTAATTAGCTACAGTATAACTAACTAAGTTAGCAGTAGTCTCATATTTGAACTCGCTAGGCAGCTGTCTAGTTAGGATGATACAATAAGGTAATTCGATTCAGTCTGGTTAGCCCAAGGCCAAAAAGAAGCCTCCATTTGAGCCTTGGGTAGCCTCTTCAGGTACCCATCTACTTATACAGTTCACAACCAACTCGGTAAGCTTATCGATCATCATTCATATCTGGCGGCCTAAGTTTCTGCGCTGTCCATTTATCATCTTTCCTATACGAGATCCTCCATCGTTCCAGCACTTTCAGTCTCCACCTGGTTAGTTCGGACGTGTTGCCCTAAAGAGTATATAAACCAAACCTATCTTTGTGCCACGTTCCTCGCCAATTGGTACGCTTGATGCCGAGGACTGGGTTTCAGCTGTGTACGGTATTGTTCCGTAAGTATTTCCAGTACGCGTATCATACCCCCAAACATGATACAGCCTTTCTTTCCCCGGCCTGAAAGTCAATAATTCGAAAAGAACGAGAAAAAAAAATCCAAAAAAGAAAGCAAAATAAGTAGAGAAAAAAAAAAAAAAAAAAGAAGCTGGGACTCGACCCTGCCAAAATCTCGGACTCTGATCGGTGCAATACATTTTAGCGTGAGATCGTCTTTCCTCCTCTTTTCCCGGTCCATTATTCTCCCCCTCTCACCAAAAGAAGTCTGTTTCTTGTCCCCCCCCAATCTCACGGGCCACAACCAACCAAACCAACCGATCACTTTACCACCACCACCACCAACCTTCACTCTCTTTCTCTCCACTCTTCATCGGCCCTTCTTGAGCTTCCGGCCCCTCCAAACATCTGCAGAATCCCCTTCTCCCTCTCCACTTTACTTTCGCCCCCATTTTCCTTACTACTCTCTCTCTGCTGCGCTTTCTCGGCTCTGCAGAGGAATTGGCACCCGCCGTACTGGGTCCCTGTCAGCGGTTTCGTCAACCTTCATTTCTCTCTGCACGGTCGTTACCACTTGCATTGACTACGCCTTCCAATCCGTACCCAATTGGTCTCGCTCGTCGTTTGGAGAATATGCGATAGCCCTCGACCGCCGTCTCTATACGCCTCGATTCACTTCTTGAAACAACAAATTCTACTGGCTGCAATCTGGTCCCCCCGATATACCTTCATTTGATTCCCTCTTCTGCCTGCCGGTTGAAAACCACGTTGGAGCTCCTATAACTCGTCGTCATGGACTCCGTCGCCCACCGGCCGTGGGAGCCTGTCTCCTCGGGCCCTCAAACACCTGCCGCCTCGAATCAGACGTTACCCTCGATCTCAACGTTAACCGCGAGCATGGGCACTGCCATCAACCCATCCGAGAAATCCCCCGGCAACTCCTCCTTGAACACGATCGAACGAGACTCGGGGAATTGGTCAATGCCGCAAAGCACAAGTAGGACTCCCCCCGGGGCGGATTGGGCGCGGCATGCTGACCCTTCAGGATCCTCAACCTACTCGACTACGACCAATGGGACCGGCAACAACTATCCGTCCCTCACCTTCCTGACCTCGACCTCCCAACCCTCCCCGAATCGTGGCCACGTCGCGCCAGACCGATCGCCGTACCCGCACGATCAATCAACAACTCCTTCCTCGGCCGGCGCGCAACAACCCTCGCCCAGCTTCAACACCACCCTGCCAAACTCGGCGCTCCCTTCGATTAACCAGAACTTTGACGCCTCATCGCATCGCGGTAGTGTGGTTGAGGTACCGGAGTCGCGTCGGAGTAGCGTGGATAGTCGTGTGAACCAAGGCATCAGCTCGTTGGCGATCAACCCGGCCTCGCCGTACCACAGCACGAATGCGTCGCAGTCCTCGATCGTCTCGAGTCTACAGCGGGAACGGGGGATTTCAACCGACATGAACTCATACCGGGGGCCGCGGTACTCCGGGGGTAGCCAGCCTTTGTCCCCCTTGGGACCTCGACCAGGCGAGCACCGATCGTTCGCGGCTGGGCGTACGGCACCTGCGATCTCGTCCAACCCTCGTTCGGAGATTTACAATGCCGAGGCACCTACAGCGGGTATGGCGTACGCTTTCCCGGATCCCGATGTAGCTCGATCGAGCTCGATCTCATCCACAGAGAAGTCCAGTCAGCCATTCTCCCGGAAGGGGAGTACGGCAGAGTCCCTCAACAGCATGTACTCTGAGCGCATGCCGCGAGGACAACACGGTAAGTCGATAATCGCTATGGAAGGGACCAAGTCTGTTGAGGTGCAAGTTCTGACCATATTCCAGAGCTACCTCCGAATGTACACCACCACTCGCTGCAACATAAACAGGTCCGCGATCTGATTGGGGAATCCGAGTCGGGCTCCGGCAACACACCATACAGTCGAACGCCCGAATTGCGTGTCACGCATAAGCTCGCAGAGCGCAAACGCCGCAGTGAGATGAAGGACTGCTTCGAGGCTCTTCGCATGCGCCTCCCGCAAACCCAAAACAACAAGTCCAGCAAGTGGGAGACGCTCAGCCGGGCCATCGAATATATCAACTCGCTGGAGAAGAACCTAGCCACGGCACGTCGCGAGAACTCCGTGATGCGTACGGAGATGGAGGAAATGCGCGCTCAATTCGCGCAACAACAGGCTCACGGCCCATCGCGATCAGGCTCTATATTCGAACATCACCCGATGGCGACGACCCTGACGAACGGACAACCGCCTGGCCCAGGATTTGGCGGCTTCGGGAACGGGTCTGTTATGGCCCAGGAGCAGCCGCGGACACTACCACCGCTCATGAATGGCTCCTCGGCTCCGATGCAGGGCATTCAGTATACCGATGAGCGGCGGTAGAGTGGAACGGGGACCCCGGGGAATAAACTGCCGGTTTTTTGTGTTACCGTTACCCTCTTACCGATTGCCATGGGCTCCATGGATGAGAAATGACTAGTCATGCTGCGAGACGCACCCTCAACCACGACTCCTTTTATATCACATTGCCATTCCAAGATATCCTCTTTGTTTAGATATGGAACCTGGGCGGTGGTTTTTCGAGCGACCGAGATCCGGGGCTTGAGAATACCAGGTTTCCTTTTTTTCCTTTCCTATCTCTTTTCCTTTTTCTCCTCTCCTTGTCTTTTTTGGGTGTGGCCTTTTCCCTTCGTCCAGTCCCGACTTTTGACTTGGACTTGGGCACTTTGTGCTCTGCTTATTGTTTTTTTTCCTTGTGTGTTATCCATCATACCCGCAATTGCTCCATTGCTTTTCCTTCTGTCCACCACAAACCATTTTCCTTTCTTGGATGTTTTCTTTTTCTTTTTCTTTCCACCGTTCTGCTCTGTTTGGCGGTATGTGATGTCACCGCTATAGCATCATCGGTATAACTGCATGTGTTGGACATGATAAGGGAGGGGGGTTGGGTTGGTCACTGGGAATCGGGTTCTAGGCATCTGGGAATGACGAGTGTTTTGTGTTAGTTATGTGTGTTTTTTGTGTTTGCGTTCTCTCTCTCTCTTGTCTGTCCAGCTCGATTGCGAGTGTGTACCAAATATCCAAAATCGTGCCACGGGCATGCCATTTGATATCCTTATACTTCATATTCCTCGGCCCGCACAATCAAGAATCCAAACCCACCTTGCTGAATGACTCCCAACACTTTTAATCTCCGGTTCTCCATGTCGATCAAAACAAAATAAATGGTAGCTCATTTCTTCAGACTAAAAAAAGCCCTCGGAGATATTCTACTTCTATTTTCATCCCGTGGTCGTTGATTGGTCCCTCTAAGCGCCCGCCCTCCCACCGGCGCGTACCGCCCTGTCCCAGCCTGAACATCACATTGTCCCACTGTCAGGTCTGCCACTGGCTCTCGGATCTTCGATCGAGGAGCCAATTACGGCGCTAAGCATGACAAGCTACTGCAGGACGGTGTCTGGGATTTGTGAAGAAGATGAGCTTGCAGGGTACTTGATTGGGTGGATGGGATGATGTGCATGTTGGAGTTTCCCTTGGACTAGCACTAGCACTGGGACTGGAACTGGGACTAGGGGATTGTTACTTGTAGAGGAGGCTTGTAAATGAAGGGCTAGACCTTGGGGGTAAGCTGTCTGGTTTGACATGTTTTATTTTTAATTTTTGGGGGGCTCTCTTTTGATACATCGCTTCGCCATACTTTTGTTTAAGCTTGACTCATTTACCTTTTCTCCTTCTTCTCTCTCTCTCTCTCTCTCCTCTTATTATTTTTCTTTCGCGTTGTTTGATCAAGTACGCGTACGCTGGTGTGGCATTTTTTTTCCTTGGTGCTTTGTTTGGAGGTCTAGTCTTTGTGTCAATCTGTTTATGGTGTTGTTTCATCATTGCATTGTTTCGGGTGTTGCCTTGTCTTGGTATTAATAGAAGGTGCTGGTTCCTTTGTTGCCTCTGCCTAGACCTGGAAGAGTTACTCATTTTTTCTGCAGTCTTCTTGCATCTTGTCATCTGCAAATATCGTCTATCTTTCGATCTATTCTGCATTGCATTTCTCGACTGATACATGGTATGTTGTCAGATAACATTGACAACTGACATCTACCCGTTGATAGTTCAGTTCCACTCTGACACATTTATCTGCATACAGTCCCTTTGATCCTACATCACCAAACAAAATGCCTTCTCGACGACATCAACAGCCTCAGCTGCAGGTCCCAGTCCCTCCAACCTTCCCCCTCTCATCACCCATCAGCGAGGAAATCTCGAGTCCATCGTGTTCATCCGCAGAGGATAGAGATCTAGAGCGTACCCGGCCATTCGACTTCCTCGTCAAGGCGACGAAACACAAACTCGAGTCGAAGTCAGGAAAGGATGGGAATCGTTCGCCAAACTTGTCTCATCGAGATCGACATGACCATCACAGACGACACAGTATTCGGGGTATCACGAAGAAAAAGAAGAATGTCGCGAAACCCGTCGGATTGAATTTGGTTACGGACTTTTCACTCGCGGCGCCGCCAACGAAACAAGCTGATGATGGGCCCGCGCCGTTTGTCGATTTGAATGATCTCAAATTGCTGTCCAAGGACCGGGCGAAGGAACGAACTGGGCAGATCAAGGGCTCGACGGGAACTATTGATGATACCTCTGTGATTACGAATTCGTCGAATATCTCCAGGAAGAGAGCATCCTTTCATCAGCTTCCCGAGGAAACTAGCCGCATACAAAGCGAGACTGGGAATCCATTTCTGGATCCGAAACTCGAGAATCCGTTTAGTGATAGATTCGATCATGGTCTCTCCCCTTCTGATCGACATGTCATGATTGGTCTGTCTGTGCCTCGCAACGAGTCCTCGCATCATACGAGGGACATAGACAGTGCTGGTACACCACTTACACCTTCTATCGTTGTGACGCCCGCCCGCGAAGATGCCCCCTGGTCGACATCTAGTCCGGAAGGTCTACGGCCCCGCGCAACATCAAGTATCTATTCACAACCCACGCCTCGACTGTGGCAGAATGGTCCGGATATCCCGCCAGTACCGGCTATACCAGCTGAGCATTCAACAAAGAAAACGGGCGAGTCGGATTTCCTGAGTGCCCATTTCGCGGCTATGACTCGCAAACGTCGGTCCATGTCTGTGGAGACTCTTATTGAGGACGACGGTGCGGATCACGGACATGTGCATGAATCTCTGGATGATAATGATCAGGCTCCCTTGACGAGACTCAGTGTCAACACCCAGGCGACTAGACCCGAATCCCAGGGTTGGTGGACGTATCTTCTTTCGCCGCTTCTGGGGAAGAAGTCTCCTCTCAGTCCGTCGTTTCCTCGGAGTACAGCCCCCAGCGCGCCAAGTACGAAAGGCACACACAAAGAATGGTGGGAGAAAGAAGTTTCCTGCTTTTCTCCTGAGACACCCGAATCGGCTGTGCCGAGTCAATGGCGAGAGGAAAAAAAAAAGTCTAGAGCAGTCTCGCTCCCTGGCAGTCAACGAGGAGCCGGTCTCCTCGGCCAAGAGGCAAACCACTACATCGATGATATTCGGTGGACGAGCTATCCAGGGCGAAGCAGCGGAGTATTATCAAGCCAGTGCCCACGAATTATGGAGCAAAACAAAAACACCCTATTTCGAGTGCTACAATCATATCTGCTCCATCACGCCGGAGTCCGTTGTAGCGGCGATCTACGCTGCGCAGTTTCAGGCTGATCAAGGGGAAACTCGGGATCGGGGGTTGATCTTTGCTGAGGCACAGTTACAGCAGAAGGATCGCAGTTTGCCTGTACCTTCTGGTGGGAATAAGGGTCTTCTTATTGATGTTGACTCGCCGACGGAAGAGGGTGCAAGGGGTATTGAGCATGACAAAGAGATACATTCACCTGCGTCGACTAGTTCCTCGGATTCTTGGTCTTCGAGTATCACTGATGAGAATGAGGTCCGGCATGAGAAAACCTTGTCTGGGCCACCACAGCAGACGACTAGAGGAGTCGTTCCTGATGCTCCGGCTGCGCAACCGGTTCAACCTCCCCCTGCTGCAGTGCGTGTTCATGAGCCTGCTCCTGTTCCTACAGCTTTTATGCCTGAGCCTCCACCTCCAGGTCCAATTCCAGTTGCTCCTGCGGTCATGCCTGAGCCACCACCACCCCCAGTACCGGCACCTGCGCCGGCGCTGGCGCCAGCTCCTCAGATTATCAACACTATTTCACCGCCGACGAATAACATTCACTATATGCAGCCGCCTATCACGATGCCACCTGAACCTGCTCCGATAGAGAGGGCAGCTCCGCAATATGGCTCTGCTTTCCCTCCTATGAACGAGCCCCCACCCCCAGCGCAAATGCCTCAAGAACAACCACGAGCAATGAACGAGTGGCCCTTTGTACCTCCTCCTGCTGCTGCACAAAATCCAACACACGAGGAGTCAACTAGAGCTGCGCCGGTCCCTGTACCTGTGGCACCACTTCCAATCTCTGAGCATCCGCAGGAGAATCATGTACCACCACCGAATCCAAATCAGAATGAGCCAATATCACCTGCATTTCAACGGGCAGCAGGAGGACCCGGTGCAATTCCAATGAGCTCAATGAATGAAGTACAAGCTCCGGCTCCGGCATACGGTCAACACACCCGAGACGAAGCAGCTCTGCCTCCACGATATGCACTTCATCCAGCCCCTGGAGCAGCAATTATGAATCCCACCGGTGAAAGGGGACCAGGAGAAGCCCGTCGTCAGAGACTAGAACGGGAGGATGCAATTGGCAGAAAGGTTGGTGGATTCTGGCGCGGACGGGCCTGTTTCAGCAAAAAGGGTTGCTTTGGACGTCCAGGACGTGAAGGTCGGACTAAACGCCGCTGGTACTTTTGTATTTGCATGTTCTTCTTGATCATCGTGATTCTGGCTCTTGTGCTAGCACTCACGTTGACCAGAAAGGGTGACACAACTCCAGTCCAGTCGCAGTGGCTCAATCTAACGGGGTACCCACCCATGCCAACGGGTATCTCTACAGTTGCCGGTGCAGAGCCTCAGCTCGAGAGGTCGAGCTGTATCAAGCCCTCCTCCTTATGGAGCTGCGCCCTTCCCAAGGGTCAGCAGTCCGATAACAAGCCCTACGCCGCAGACGAGCCCAACTTCCGTCTTGAAATCCGCTTCCGCAACGGGACATACAACCACAGCACAGTCCCAATCTCAAGCAAAACCCGTCGAGGTACCAATTCCTGGGATCCATCACCCTCGCCACCAAGCATCGCAGACCAAACATTCCTAGGCAACACAACAGACGGGAACTCCCTCCCCTATGCGGGCGAAGAAACACCCTTCTACCTGACCATCCTCTCACCCGTCAAAATCACATCGTCCTCGCTCTCCCGCCGCTCCTCAAGCAACGACACAACAACCTTCCCAAACCTAACAGCCGTCATCCCCGCCCCGTCCGAGAACTCGGACGGCACAGCCGCAGCCGCAACACTCTACCCACTCCCCGAATCGCAACCCGTCCGCCTCTACAACCGCGGCAAAGACAACGAACACTACGGATTCTACACGTACTTTGACAAATCAATCTTCCTCGCCTCCCGCGCCCCTCTAAACGGCAGCGCAACCGATTCTTCCCCACTCGACACGAACGGGGGCTCGACCGAATCCGACGCCGTCGTCCGCTGCACGTGGTCTCAAACTCGCTTCCTCGTGCAAATATGGACTCAGCCGTCGAAAATGGGCTACACACTGCTCAAGTCCGGGAATAGTTCACGCACGAGCACAACCACGGCAACAGCGACGGCTACTTCATCTACTTCCTCGGCGACGTCATCTTCGTCCGCGACGGATTATACAAGGCCTGGCTCGTTCCCGTATCCGATTAGTATCACGCTTGATCGGCACGGGGGCGCGGAGAAGAAGAAGTTGTTGTATTGTTATGGTGTGGAGAGTGATCAGCATTATAATGTTACGGATCGGAAGTTGCAGCTTGAGGATAGAGGGGTTGGGGGCACGTTGATTAATCCTGCGTCGGGGATCTTTGATGATTTGGAGGGAGAGTCGAGTTCGAGTTCGAGTTCGAATTCGACATATGGGGGCACTGATGGGGGGACGGGGGGTTGTGCTTGTAGGTGGGCGAATTGGGTTGCGAGGTCTTGATGAGTGTGATTTGGCGTTTCTTTCTTTCCTTTTTCTTCACCTTTGGGGGGGTTCTTTTCGTTTTCTTGCATAGAGCGTCGTTGGTAATGACTTTTCCTTTGTTTTGATAGAAAATTTTTGAGATTTTGGCATGTCACTATTTCTTTTTGGCTCTTTGCATAAAGTAGAGTTTAGCCTTTTTGTAGATATTGCATGAGAGAATAACCTCTAGGACTCAGATTCTTATATTCGGCATGGGCAGATTGGGTAGTCGTATATCTGATTGAACTCAATAGACATAATCTCTAATAACTTCAGCTCTCTAATGAACCCCTTTACTTAGATCAGAGATTCCCTTGATGCATTAAATTATGTTAATTTAGGCAATATGGTATTCAGAGCCCACGTAAAGAGAGGGTGGACAAGCTGGATATTATCATTATCAGATTCATGTACAGATAAGCAACAGAATGTGGGGGAATGTGGGTCACCGATACGAGCTGTTCGTTATCGAGTCAGCCACCGAGTGCCACCTGGCACTTTGCACATGCGTTTCGCTATCCTCGATGCTTTTCAGCATTTTCAAAGTTTCAGTATTTGCTTCTTAAAGTCTCAACATACTACTTCCTAAAAGGGCAGGAGTCGGTTGTCGTTGTTAGCCTACGCACGTAAGTAGCACTTCAAGTCACCAACGATAGACCCCGCGCCAAGCAGTAGTCCATGTTGGTCAAGTTACACAAGCTCATGCGACCAGAAGGCTGCATGGGACTAGGCAGTGTAAGCACCATTCTAGAATAGAATTGGTTACAAGGTGCGCTGTGGAGTGGATCAGCTCAGCTCTGTCTTTCCCCAATTACTAAGCTCGGATCTAATCTAAAATTCCAGGCTCAACTTCCTCATGGAGAACCAGAAGAACCAGTTTTTTGCCGCTGATCCAAGCAATGTGAGCTGTTTCCAGTCCCAAGGTCTAGGTCTGAGCGGCGATGCCGATCAACGGTGTGGGGGCACCAATCCCCCTGTGCGTGATTGGCTATTTGACTATATGGCGAGCTGAAGACCCAACGCTGCGCATAGGATATTCCTGTCATTCCAATTCTTAGCGTGAAAGACTAGAATGGTGCTGCAGTAGAAAGCTGTGTGTATTGACGGAATTTCTTTGTTGTAGTAGTGACAATTTCCCTACCCTCGCGAGTATGGTGGGTCCATCTCGACCCATTTTGTATGCAGTTCGGGACACGAGTGCGAGCGAGCCTTGCCGTCATCTTTTAGACTATTCCCCATAGATTACAAGGCTCGGCCTTGAGAGGAGATATTTGGGGTCTGAAATTATTTTGAACGCGTCATCTCTGCGAATAACTTGCTTTTAAATAATTAGGTTCCCAGGTCGGGGCATTTTCGAGGACTATCATTCAGGAACAACCAAACATGACAGTATTTCGTCCAGAGGAGGAACTCCTCCCAAATGTCGTTGACTATTATGCAAAAGTCAGACCAGATCAGCTGTATGCTGAATACCCCAGGTCTCCTACCAGTTATGACGAGGGATTCCGTCCCATTTCCTACCGAGCATTTGCAAATGCGATCAATGGCATTGCTCACTGGTTGACAAAAACTCTCGGCCCAGGCAATGGCGAGAATCTAGCTTATATTGGTCCCAATGACCTACGATATCCGGCTTTGGTCTTGGGTGCTGTGAAAGCCGGGTACTGCATGTTTCTCCCCTCTCCTCGCAACAGCATTGCCGCCCATAAACATCTACTCGAAACTCTCAATTGCACGAAGATTCTCGCTCCCGTTCCGCGGCCGCCATTTATCACTGCTATTCTAGACGCGCTGCCATTGTCAGTGTACGATATTCCAAGTGTTGACGAGTTGCTCGCTACGGATTACCCACATTTCGAGTATACCAAATCCTATCCGGCAGATCGAGACGACAAATTTGCCATTGTTCATACCTCCGGCTCTACTGGCCTCCCTAAACCAATTATCTGGAAGTTATCCACGGGATGTGCACACACGCGCATGTTCTACCTATATCCGCCCGAGGGATTTGAAAACCAACATGGGTGGTCCATTGGAAAAAGACAGTTCATGCCTTTGCCGCCTTTCCATGCCGCAGGTCTAGCCAGCTTGACTTTCCTCAATATCCCCGCAAATGTGACTTGTATTCTTCCTACCGCCGCGGGACTCCCCACGGCCTCTGCTCTGGTTGAAGCTATGAAACAGACACCGATGGACATGGCCAGTCTCGTGCCGTCAATTGTGCAAGAGTTGGCACAAGAGCCAGAACTTCTAGATTATTGCGCCCAAAATCTGGAATACTGCTTTTATATGGGCGGTGATCTACCTCAGGCAATTGGTGACAAAGTCGCGGCCAAGATCAGGCTCTACAATCACTATGGATCATCTGAGGTAGGACTTCTCGCTCCGATTTATGCGGTCAATAAACGAGATCGATCGAAGGATTGGAGGTATGTCCAGTTTCATCCGGATGTGGGAGCCGAGTTCCGCCAGGCTACTGAGACAGAGTATGAGCTTGTTGTGGTCCGAACACCAACAAGCGAGAAATATCTGATGCCATTTACAATCTTCCCAGATCAGGAAGAGTTCTTCACGCGTGATCTATTCGTCCGCCATCCAGATCCTAATAAGTCTGATTTATGGCGCTGGAGCTCTCGCTCTGATGATGTGATTGTTTTTCTTAATGGCGAAAAGACAAACCCCGTTTCCATGGAACAGCACATTTTGGCCGCCAACCCCGGCATCACTGGTGTTGTGGTAGCTGGTGCACAGCGGTTTCAGGCTTCCTTGATTATTGAATATGGTGGTCAGAAGCTGCATTCGACTGAATGGGCTGCTACCATTGAAAGTATCTGGCCCAGTATTGAAGAAGCAAACAAGGCTTGCCCTGCTCATGCCAGAATTTCTCGAACTCATATCCTCTTCACCGCTCCTGACAAGCCGTTCCCTCGTGCTGGTAAGGGTACCATTCAGCGAGCCGCTGCGTTGACTTTGTACTCCTCGGAGCTGGAGACGTTGTATGCACATGCAGATCGCCTAGGCTTGAATGGTGAAGACGAGCCCACTGGGCCTGGGCGTGTCAGTGATGTTGAGCAAATTTCCGAGTTCATTGTGCAGACTCTAGCCTCGATCACTGGGTGGACTTCTGATCAAATCAAGACCTCGGAGAATTTCTTCCATTTAGGATTGGACTCTCTGCAGACCATCACAGCAACGCGATCTTTCAAGCGTGGCTTTGATCTGCCCTCTTTCAGCCCTAATCTCATCTATCTGCACCCATCGCTCTCGAGTCTCACACATGCAACCTTGAAGCTCATGGAGCATGATCAGGTTTCCGAAAAGGCAGTCAAGGAAGCACAACTGCAAGAAAGAGAGGAAATACTGAACGAGTTTATCGCCAAGATTGATGGTCCTCACATCGATGCAGCAAGCGAAAATCTTCCAACCTCGCATACCGTCTTGCTTACCGGCTCTACGGGCACATTGGGCACATACATTCTTGATGTACTTCTCAAGGATCCGTCAGTCTCGCACATACACTGCCTCAACCGCAGAGCAGACAGTGCTGAAATCCAGCGCCAAAAGAGCACATTCTACCATTTGGACTCTACTTTAGACTCTTCCCGAGTGACCTTCTGGCATGCAGATCTATCTCAAAATGACCTCGGATTGGAACCAGAGTCATTGAAGCTACTTCAAGAGTCAACTACCGCTATCGTCCACAACGCTTGGAACGTGAACTTCAACCTCTCCCTCCCATCATTCAACCCCGATTTGCTAGGCTTGGTCAACCTGATCAATTTCACTGCAACTGCTTCAAATGCACCGAATCTGTTCTTCCTCTCCTCTATCAGCTCCGTCATGGGCCATGAAACCGACTCTCATCTGACACCAGAGAGTATCATTTCCACCGACACCCCCGCCCCGAACGGATATGCAACCAGCAAATACATAGCTGAGAGGCTCTTGGGCCATGCAGCTCAGACACGTGGAATCCGCACATCCTTTGCCCGCGTTGGTCAAGTAGCCGGTGCAGTCCGCACACCTGGTCTCTGGAACAAAGCCGAGTATTTCCCCAGTCTGGTGAAAAGCTCATTGCAGATTGGCGCCGTTCCAGATACTGTCGGTGCAACACTCGACAGAATCGATTGGGTACCTATCGATCTCCTCGCAGATGTTTTGACTGGTCTGGCGCTACGTGAATCCCAGCCAAGTCACGTAAATGTCTACCACCCGTTAAACCTCCACCCAACGACGTGGAGCAGCATCATCGCCACTATCGCCGATGAACTTTCCCAGATTTCCGGCGGTAAACATATGGAGTCTGTCGATTTGTCCGAGTGGGTGCAGCGGGTACGACAGGATATCGAGACCTCTGGTGGTAGTCAGAGAAAGGTGGGCGAGTCGGACCTGCGGGCACTTTTGGAGAAGAACCCGGCTGCCAAACTGATTGAGTTCTTTGAAGGGGTTGTCTCTGTGCAATCTGAGAATATCTTGGATACGCAGGGGACTGCTAGTTTTAGTGAGAAGTTGAGGTCTATTGAGGGTATCAAGGAGGAGTGGATTCGTAAGTGGGTCAGGGAGTGGATGTAGCCTTGCCCTGTTGTTTAAGTCTTGCTCGGCTCTTATTAGCTTATTTAAATTAAATCCACTATTCAGTCTAGCGGGTATCTTTGTTCTCAGGAAGATAAAACGATGTTGTCTAGTCAGTAGGTTCACGAATGAAGGTAGTAAGTAGTATATTTGCAGATGCTGTGGAAGCTGAGTGTCAGGTAATAGCACTTTTTGATTTGGTTTGATCTACTTCCTAATTTTCTTTTCCAGTTTTGATTAACAGGGCTCTTGCTTGAGTGTAGCACTTGTAGGGTGATTAGGTTAGGTGATGTAAGAATACAAGAAGACTTGGAGGGAGCATCGCAAATGAAGTATGTGCTTCTCCTTGCCCTCATTTGTCCCAAGATTTCAAAGTCCCTACATTTTCCGACTACAATACGCTACGCTGAGGAAGCTTGAAGAAGTGACATAGGAAAAAACCGGAATCATGGAATCCGCAGCGGCGATCTCCGTCCTCTGGCAAGGCTTCTACATCCTTTATTTCGAACGTTTGCCTCTTCGGGTTTACTCGCCGAAAGGCAAACTAACGTTGTTGCATCCATAATCTGTAAAATCTAATTTCAAACTTTGAGCTTGTTCATATGACGCGTACCTGCGAGAAATACTACGAGCATATAAGCGAACTTCCCGACATTCAGGACACTGTTAAATGGCAACTCGTCACGCCACTGACTATTAATAGAGTATATGCAATCGTCACAGGTCCCAGGGTTGCATTCGCCACCGAGATAAGGTTTTAGTCGAGATATCATGACTTGGGTGGGCCTGGCTGGTCATAGCCTACAGCCTAGATTGCTGACAAGAGCGATTAGAATCATTTTGATTTTGACTTGATTCCACAATGCAATACAACACAGCTAAGAGAAGCCAAGGCTTGGTTAATTCTAAAATTTTGGGAATTAAAATTATATTAGTTCGGTATATTCACCCAAACATCCAGTGACAGTACAAAGAGCGCAGTCCAAAGCCACCCATAAACGCCATTCCTCTTCACCCCAGTAGTCCATTGCTTCTCGGTATCGACAATCATCCAAAAATCACAAGTTCAGTAAGACAGATGGACAGCAGCCATTGATATCAAACCGAAAATAGTCTCAAGGGATGTCGAGAGGAAAAGATAAAGTTCCGAAGGTGAAGGGACCGAAACGCCGGCATAAAGCCAAGAAAAGAAAAGATATTAATTGTTAACTTCCCGCTTAAGCCAGGAAGATGAGAGCGCCGTAGGCGACGCTGCCAAGACCAGCGCCAACCATGCCGAGCTGAGGAACAGAGACCTTGGCACCGGGGTTGGAGGGGAGGAAGCCGGTAGAGCTGGGGGAGGCAGGAGTGTTGCTGGCAGAGCCAGAGGCCGAGCCCGAGCCCGAGCCCGAGCCAGAACCGGAACCTCCAGAGCCAGAACCGGAACCTCCAGAGCCAGAGCCGGAACCTCCAGAGCCAGAGCCGCCTCCAGAGCCAGAGCCGCCTCCAGTAGTGCCGTTGCCGCCGGAGGTACCGTTGCTGCCACCTTGGGTACCGGTCATGATAGGGTGGGTGCCAGTGCTAACAGCAGTGCCCTGGATGGAGGCACTCTTCTGGTGAACTGGGGGCTCGTGTAGCTTGCTAGCCTGGACGCCGGCAGCAATTGCCAGGAGGGCCAGAAGGGGAGAGGAGAAGTGCATTATGGCTTGAGAGGATGAAGCTGAAGCGATTGGCTCAAGAAGGAAGACGGGCTTCTTGTCTAACGAATGACGAAGCTGGAACAGGGTGTTAGTATGCTATTTCCATACAGTTGATGTTTCTCATGAAGGAAACATACCTGGGGGAGGATACTAATGCGATGGAAGCTCTGTGGGAAGAAATCTGGAACCAGTCTCCGGGCGACGAGGAAGCCATTCTTATAGATCAGAAGGTGTCCAAATCCGGCCTATCAGGTCAGTGTAGTAAGTGATGATGCCATGTAACATGAGATAGAAATTTTCTCTCGCATGTCCCTCTCAATAATCTCCTGTGCCTCTCTCCCCCCTCGACAGAGCCTCGGTACCACAGCTATGAGACGAGATTTACTCATCGCGGGTTTCCGCATCCGGGGGTGGGCACCTCAATGTCACTCTGGGCCTCCGGCCGAGCCAGCTCCACCGTGAATCTCTGATAGGAAGCTCTTCGGGACCTCGACCTCGACATAATCAGGCGAATGGCGAGCAAAGGTGGAGTCCATCATCGCCGCAAAGGGTAAGTAATTATCACGTGATTTAGTCCCGAATAGGAAATCGATAGCATCGAAAACGGACGGATCACGATCGGCGTCACAGCATCAATGGGGAATACCTCATCAATGGGGTGAAACGTGGATAATTGCATTGTCTGGGGTGCAGCTATGATGGTAGTCTGCTTTCAGGTGTGACGGTCCTTTGGGGCGTTTTGGATGCCGCAGATGCCACATTCGCTATAAAGGAATGTACAATGTGTCACTGAGATAACGGCTGGAGGAGATCGCCAGTAGTTTAGACCGAAAATCCACACGGCAAAAGATACACATACAGAAGTTCCAAATAAGCTAATTGACGGTGTTCTGCAGGGAGATGTAGTGAGTCCTGGTGAGTCGCAGGGCCTGGAAGTCTCGACGGTCGGCATAAAGACAGAAGGGAGTATGAGTATTACGGAGGAGTTCTTGTACATAATATCGCCAGTTAAGCGACAATTTTCGTGAATTTGATTGCTCCAGTTTGAGTCAAAGAAGGTCGTCGATATCGACCGGGCTCTTTCGTTGATCGAACGGGTAAGCCAGTCGTCCTTGTGCTTCAAGGGCCACTCTCAAGCCATGGGATGCTCCAGAATTATGGCAATCGCCATATCCCACTGCATCCGGGGACGGTAGTGTGTATAGATGGCGCCAGTTCTGCTCAAAGTGACGATTGTCTCTGACAGTTGCGACCTTGATCGTCCATCCGGCAGGAATGCTAGAAGCATCGACCCCGGATTAGGGATCGTCGAAGGACTTGACAATTCCGTTCAACTTCGTCAGTGAAAGAATAAAGCCACATTCCATTGCATCTGTCAGAATCAACCCTTCGAGACTTTCGATATGTGCATTGCTTCCAGATTCAGATCGAGACGTAGTAGTAGCCACCATTTCCTGGCATCGGGGAGAATGAAAGCGTGAAGTCGTCCTGACAACTAAGAGACGAACGATAACCACTGGCCCTCTGGGATAATTCGTGCATATCTCAATAAACAGGAGCGAGGGCCATGTTGTGTTTTGTTTTGTTGCTCCTCTGGCGTCGTAGCCTGAGAAATGCACTGTCCAGGACTTCAGGCATGCTGTATTCTCCGCAGAGTGCCCATCGAGCTTCGATGATCTCTTCAGTGATTATATCCATCAATCCAGTGCACTTAGCAGTCGCAAATAGTAAGCAAGTGTAGTATACCGATTCCAGCTGGCCGCACAGCGCTTGTAAGATGAAGACTGAAGACAAAGTCTTGGCGGATCGGGGGTTGACCCGCCGCCGATCTCCCTTTTGCTTCGGCAGTCAACTTAACGCCCTTTAAGCTTCACGCTTCAATGTCTTCACGCCGCGGCTGACGCGCTCGCCAGCCATGCCACACCCGCGCAGTCCCTCCCTCCTCTCCCCGGCCAACTACGATAACGATGCGGCCTCCCTGCGATCACCGTCGGAGCAGGACTCTGATTCCGATGACGACGAGTTCCTTCGTCACCCCCGCAGCACTCTAGAACTTTCCCAACACGATCGAAGTGTCCTCGAAGATGAAGATGAGCTGGAAAAACTGTTGACTAGGAGTGGCCCTGCTCATGGGTTGCGCAGGATCTTCAGTCCCAATGGGAGCAATGTGCGCATTGGCAAGAGGGAACGGCGACGAGCGCGCAAAGAGGCCCGGTTATCGCGCCGGGAACGAGTTAGCGAGGAAGGAGAGTTGATGTATGAGATGGAAGAAGGACTCGGGGATGACGAGACCTCGTCCTTGATGAGTGGATCTTCGATGGACTTGGACGGGAAAGAGGACTATCTCTATGAGCCGGTATATCTTCGTGGCACTCTCCTTTTGACCTCTTGTTCTTAGCGTACTGACGCCCTTCTTCTTCTAATCCAGCCATCCAGGCCATCATGGTACAGAATATTATTCGTTTCCATTATCATCGCCATCCTGTTCCTCATCCTCTTTCTGGGCGCGTACAAGGCCTCCAGCACCTACCGAGCTATACATCCACATGTCCAGCCTCTCCTCTCCAACGGTACCTCACTATTCGCGCCTACCACGATACTGATCTCGCTCGACGGATTCCGGGCCGACTTCCTCGACCGCGGTCTGACTCCGGCCCTCAATTCGCTGATTGCGAATGGTGTCTCCCCGCAGTACATGACACCCAGCTTTCCAAGTGTGACCTTCCCGAACCATTTCACGCTTGTGACTGGCTTATACCCGGAGAGCCATGGAGTGGTCGGTAATACTTTCTGGGACCCTGATCTCAACGAAGAATTCTACTATACCCATCCCGCCGTCAGCATGCAGCCCAAATGGTGGAACGCTGAGCCCTTGTGGGAGACGGCAGAGAAGCAAGGAATCAAGACTGGAATTCATATGTGGCCGGGGTCCGAGGCTCACATCGGTACTGTGGAGCCGAGCTATGTGGATAAATATAATGGCACGGAGGCTCTGCCCCGTAAGGTCAATCGGGTCCTCGAGCTCCTTGATCTGCCGGGTCCAGAGGACGAGTCTGATTTCAAACCGCTCCGCCCTCAGTTCATCGCAGCTTATGTTCCAGATGTTGATAGGGATGGGCACAATTATGGACCGAACAGCACCGAGATCCGAACCACCATTTCCCATGCCGATGATCTTGTGGCTGGGATTGTTGCTGGTCTGGAAAGTCGCAATCTCACTGACCTAGTTAACATTGTGGTCGTGTCGGATCATGGCATGGCTTCGACTTCAACCGAGCGTCTCGTTCAATTGGATGACGAGATAGACCTCAAGCTCGTTGAGCGAATTGACGGTTGGCCATCTCGTGGCCTACGTCCGAAGCAGCCCGAGAATATGGAGATGTTGGAGGAGCAACTAGCAAGGCTAGCCAAGAAGTATGCAGACGCCGTGGAGGTCTATACTCGAGAGACCATGCCTGAACGCTATCACTTCTCGAACAATGATCGCATCGCTCCCCTGTGGGTAATCCCTCGGACGGGCTGGGCGATCGTTGAACGACCGGAATTCGACGCTCAGAAGGCATTGGAGACCGGGGAGGTCTATCATCCCAAGGGTATCCATGGGTACGACCATGAACACCCACTGATGCGTGCGATCTTCATCGCCCGAGGCCCTGCTTTCCCGCATAAACCTAACAGCCGCCTTGAACCTTTCCGTAAGTGGCTATGCTCGGAGGTTACTAGTAACCAGACTAACTCACTCGTTTAGAAAACATCGAGGTGTACAACATCCTCTGTGACTCATTGGGAGTCATTCCACAACCAAACAACGGCACGCTGCGTCTACCTTTGAGTCCAGTAGGTCTTCATTCCGATGAACACGCACCACCGCAGGTGCGGCCGTCCGATCCTCCAGAGCCGTTATCCGCCACGGTCACTGTGGGCCCCTCGGAGCCCACATCCGCTGCAACGGACGCACCCTCAGCGACAGAGCCTGCCAGCGATGATGATACAAACAATGATGGCAAGGCTTCTACCTGGTGGGGGACCATAGCGGGGAAACTTGAGGACTTTAAGCAGTGGGCGGGACAGCTTTTCTCTGCTGAAAAGGATAATCACCCGCAGCAGCGGTAGTGCCTGGCTGGATTCATCTGGATCTTTGCATTTAATTTTCTATTTTTCGTCAATTTTGGTGACATTATGATAGATACCCATGTTTGAGCAGATATATATAAATAATTTTCATTTCCAGTGTTTAAACAGAGGATATTCCAGTATGTGTAGTTAGGCTCATTAGGAAGTGGGTCGAGGGAGGAATGCCATGAGGCATTCAAGCCGGTCCATGAGTACCGGAGATATATATCTCACCTACAACGGACGTCGACCGAATCCACGCCCACAACTTATTCTCTTGAAATCTCGAATATTGTAAATACATTAAATCAAATATTGTAGCAAAAAATCCAAGTAGAATTCCTGGCCTAACCCACCATTATTACCTTGGAATGGAGTTATGAAAGAGATCGCTGCTCATAGATTGGGTGTTGGTATTACGCAATATATGGATGGCATTTGGAAGGCTCATATATTCAAAAAGTCAGATTCTGATATCAACAGCACCAAGTGGTCGAGCGGTAACTCGATTAACGTCTTCCTTGGTCTAGTGGTCATGATTTCCGCTTGTCATTAACACCGATAAGCGCGGGAGACCGGGGTTCGATTCCCCGAGGGAGAGTTTCTTTTTTGTACCTTTTCTTATTCTAATTTAAGTACTGGTGTCTCACCTTGCTGGTACTATTTTTATTTGAATGCAAGAATGGTGGAATGAGACATTGTCTTTGAATGATCGAGGTAGAAAATGTTCATGTCTTCTATGGAGCACCCTATTAGCTCGTTCGCCTGATCAGCTCGTAGGCGTACTGTCACACGGCGTGATTGGATTCGACGAAATTAGAGCCGCATGTAAGCATAGTTGTGGGCGAATGAGGAATAGTCGTAGGAATGATCAACATAATCAGGTGGCAGTGCAACATCCCAAGGGTCAAAGATAATTTGTCAGAGGATTAAGTATAGGAAACCGCACGACTGCCTAGCCTATGACCATAAGTTACCTGGCGATGATCGAGAGCGTGAGTAACTATCCCTAATGTCTCATCAGTTTTTCTGATATTTGTTCAATTTATTTCTTTCAATCGATACAATGTACGATAGGATTTCCTTATTCATTGTATGCTGAAAGAAATGATAGCGATCGAATTTACACATACTTACGTTGCGACGGGATCGGGCTTTAGTGTACTAATTTTTAAGACCTTCGAAACTCCGCAGCACATCAAACTTGTCCTCACAACTCCTCGTCATTATATGCACCTTTTACCTGTTCAGCTCCACATATCTTGGATGATACACTGCATGAGTCAGACAGTTAGGCAGCACTGGGAGGGGCTGCAACAAACCAGCTGCGCCAGCTGCGGGCGCCCGATGTGGTAGTTGTTAATGCGGGGTCTAAGCTTGGATAAGGCTGAGGCTGAAAAATGTTCTGGAGTATTTAAAGCTCTCTTCAACAATCTTTCTCATCTGTTTATTTCATCCTACTACGACTTTCTGTCAGCCATGGCTGTCAATCAGTCGGACCCCTCGTCAACGAGGGTTACTCTCTCACAATCCGACACGGCCATTTTAGAGGCCCTGGTTCCGGGGTATACTTTCATATCCCGCATTTTCCTTTCTTATCTTCACATTGATCTGGCCGCCTATCTACAATACTTTATTGCACTGGCCTTGTTCAGTATCTGTATGCGATATGTCTCGGAGTACTTGACGCAATTTTTCGAAACATACCTCATCTCCACGGCAGAGGTGCGCCTGGATGATGAGATCTTCAACTACATCATGTACTGGTGGTCCCGACAGCCACATACGAAGCATACAAATCGATTCCTAGCCGGCGTCCGGACGAATGGCTACTGGAGCGATGACGAAGATTCCGACCACGAGGAATCGGACAGTGAAGATGACGAGTGGGAGGGTGTTAATGGCTCCACGACTGCAGAGTCGTTCGATGACTACTGGATGAGAGTCATCAACCGCGACAAGTACAAGAAGCTGCGCTTTACACCTGCGCAGGGCCGTCACTATTTCTGGTACCAAGGGCGGCTCTTGATGCTGGACCGCCGGTATGAGCAGACGACGGCTCGCTGGGTGCTCAACAACGAGAAGCTGTATCTGTCATGCTTGGGTCGGGATCCTTCTATTCTTCACAAGCTTCTTGCTGATGCTCAACAAAAATTTGTCGAGCGCGATGGTGGTCGAACCATTATTTATCGGGGACAACGAGGTTCCTCTGGATCTACATTTAGTTGGAACCGATGCATGTCTCGACCACCACGGCCTCTGGATACAGTTATCCTGGATGATACTCAGAAACAAGGGTTCCTGGGCGATATCGAAAACTATCTCGAGAAAGGGACAGCTGCATGGTACGCTGAGCATGGTATCCCTTACCGGCGTGGCTATCTACTTTCTGGACCTCCAGGCACGGGCAAGTCCAGTCTTTGCTTCGCCGTGGCAGGAAAGCTCGGACTAAAGATTTATCTTCTGAACCTGAGCTCCCGTGCCTTGGATGAGGACAACCTCTACTCGCTATTCTCCGAGCTACCCCGACGATGCATCCTCCTCGTCGAAGATGTTGATACTTCCGAGATCACCCACAGCAGAGGACCATCGATTTTCCCTCAGTCTGCTAACAGCAAAGACGACGACTCGCCACCAAAGCCGGGCGGTAATTCCTCTCCGGACGATACTGGCAAGAAAAACTCAAAGGAAAAGGCAGAGCAACCCGGCATCACGCTCTCAAGCTTACTAAATGTACTTGACGGCGTGGCTGCCAGTGAAGGCCGTATCCTCGTCATGACAACCAACCACCCCGAAAAGCTGGACGATGCACTTCTGCGCGCAGGCCGCATTGATATGCAGATTGAGTTCAGGCTAGCAATCTCCGAGGACATCGAGAAGCTCTACAAATCAATTTACTCTGTCTCGAAAGAAGAACGCACTCGTCAATCGTCTCGCCGTGAAAATGGAAGCAGACCGCCATCGCAGAACGGTAGCGCAAAGAATGCAAATGGCTCAATCGAGAAGATCGGGAACGGACATGCAGAGGAGCACAAGCCAAATAGTGTCCAGGGGCGTCGGCACGAGCTGCAGACTCGCATTGAGTCTCTTGCTAAAGACTTTGCTTCTCTTGTACCCAGTGGAGAGTTTTCCCCCGCTGAGATCCAGGGATATCTCCTTAAGCACAAGGGTCACCCCGAGAGGGCGATTCGAGAAGTCGCAGAGTGGGTGAAGGAGGAGAAGGAGAAAAAACGTGCAAAGAAGGAAGCCGAGGCCAAGCTAACGAACAAGAACAAATCGTAATACAATCATGAATAGAAATGCGTTAATGAAAATCGACAATTTAATAAATCACCATTTTATCTATCTGTTTTACTTTCGAGAAAAAGTAGACTGAAGTTTGGTGGCTTGTTGATCGCATAATGTGCCAAATAATTTGACACTCGTCAACAGTGCTCTAGAATTAGCCTTTATCACCACGAATCACCATGAATCTACTGATTGGAAGTATGTTCTCTAACTCTCTTTGGTTACCCTTCGAGTGGATTAAGTGAAAGCTTCCTGTGCAAATCTGTTGCTCATCTTAATGAGACGCCAACGACAATAGATTTCAGTACCGAAGTATATGACAAAAGCAAGATTTCTGAGCGAGCGTAAGGGGGTATATAACACAAAACAATCAAAAATAAATCCAGAAGCGCCCAGTCAAGCCTAAGCCTCAAACTAAACAATAGTGGCAGTCGTCCCGCTCAAATGAAGATCCGCCACCCACATGCACCGCTTCTTCAACGAGCTATCACACCAGGCATGGAACAGCATGCGATCTCCACATCCACACACCGTCGCACCACCAGGAGAAATAAGACCACCATAATCCCCGCCCTTGATCAACTCGACATTCGACTTATGATAAGGCCCCGTGATGCTGGTCGCAGTAGCGTACCGAACATCATACTTGGGATCCGTAAAGCAGTGGGTCGAGTAGAACAAGAAGTAAACTCCATCGTGCAGCACCAAGCTCGGCGCTTCCACGAGGGGTCCATCGCCGTCGTTGGTGTTGCGGTCGAGAATCTGAACTGCGTCTCCGATTGGGGTGACGCCGTCTGCTTCGACCTTTTGCAGCAAGATTGGGGTGGATACTAGAGGAGCGACGCCGTTGTTGCAGTCACCTCCGTGTCCGACGCTGTTGCCGTCGACCTTGAAAACGACGTATCTGCTGCCGTCCTTGTCCCAGAAGCCGGCTGAGTCGATGGAGCCTCCTCGGTCTAGTCTGCAAGACAGTGGGGTCTCGTTGGGGACGTATGGTCCTGTGGGCTTGTCTGCGACAGCTGTCCCGATACAGTGATGGGGAGCATCGCTCTTTGATTCTCCAGAATAATACATGACGTATTTCCCGTCCTCCTGTATTTGGTATTAGTTCTGAAGTCTGGGCCGGGTTTGAACAAGACATTGACTTACTCGTAGCACTACATCCGGTGCCCAGTGATCTTTCTCCGTCTCCCAGCCTGCCAGGGTTGGCAGAGCTTCAATATCGAGAAGAGTCCACTTGGAAAAGTCATCCGAAACCGCGACTTGAACACGCTTGCCATTGCCATTCGTTCCAAAGGCATACCACTTTCCATCGGCGGCCTTCATGAAGCTCGGGTCCGGGAAGTCAGTGTTTAAACCCATCCAAGGTCCTTTGGCTCGCTTTGGTATAAGTGGTGAGCCGAGGACTACTTGAAGTAGGGCTAGAAAGAGGACCGCCCATATGGCAGTTGAAGAAAATAATGAAGACCCCATTGTATCTGCTTATGGACCGTAGAACGGGACAATGGGAGACGGTGTTCGGCGTTAATTCTAAACTAAAACCCTCTCCAACAAGGGCAGGTGGCTGGTCTTATAATTATCGCCCACCGCTATTACCGAAAAACACATCGTGGGTACCTATCCACCTTCCAAGCCCAATATTGCCCCCCCAGCTTGGCAGGATTGGTCCGAGAGGGGATGTATGACTCTGGACCCTACCACGGCAAGAAAAAAAAAGGCACGAGAAGCCGCACGCCTGACATAGAAGATCCGTCAGGTGCATTCGGGATGCGGGAGAGACTAATTCCTGCGATCCACTCATGCTCTAGCTCGTGCAAATGCTCGAGCTACCTGGGGGCTGAGGTCAGGCCAATGCTGTCAAGTGTCGTAGGGTAAAGCCCAATCGGTGGGTCAGATTCAAATAGACCCCGAGATATGGCGCCGTCCACTTCCGAAACAGGCGCAGCATCATGAGATAGTTGTGAGGTCAGTAGGGGGAGAGGGATGCGGCGATACGTCGGTGGAGACGGGTTTCTTCGTTGTTTTTTGCCGAGTACCTAATTTAGGAGAGATTATAGGGCCAGGACATCCTTTAGGGTCGAAATTATGACCTTGGAGAGTATAACGGGACCGACTATACGGTAGGCTAGTCTACTCCGGTGCTGTTAGTAATGTTGGCACCGCAGGATAGAGAACTTTTAGGACGGTTGATCCGCCCCAGAGGATTCAAAGTTAATCTGAGTGTGGAGTGTGGAATATGCCGATGGGGTCATCATGGGTGTGCTGATTGATCCACTCGCCAAGGGCTCGGCCCAACTTGGTTAAGGCACATGGGATTGGATGACTCGAGGGACGCTGTAAGGCGCCGATCGTAGCGGTCAAAGCCCTTGGAGACTATAGAAATATGTGTCTCAAAGAAGAGGGAAAAAAAGAAAGTGTCTTCAACACACCAAAAGGAGTAACGAGCTACCAAAGGTGCCATGCAAGGGCGAGTAGACCGCCCTGACGGTCGACCCTGAAGGAGAGATTGTACATGAAAAACTGACACAACAACTTCCTTGGGGCGAAAAAAGACCCTGAAAAAAAATAGAGGTAAGGGTCCAATGTGAGAACCATTGTGGACATAGCGCCGAGTATTGGGGGCGACTTGGCTGCTTAGCGACGATAATAATAAACCGTCAATTGTTGTTAGCTTCAGGCGCCCTGGAGAAGTAAGCCCCAGCCACCCGCGAAGACTATTTCGGGGGACCATCGTGAGGGCGCTGTCACCGTTGCACAGGGCGCGTGGTTATTCCGACTGTCCGAAGTGTGCTGGCACGAATGCCAGCAAGAACTATAGACTCGTGCATTGTATGATGGACCAAACACATGGCTAGCTTGGTGGACGGGGTTGCACAAAGTCCCAATAGTCGGAAACTAGATCTTGCGTCTGATTCGCTGGGTATACTCAATACTTCATCATACCTCCCGAATCTCAAAGTCAAGTTCAATAATATCGCTGGACATACTTCCATAGACCGAGTCTTGTGCCATGGATCCATCCCGAGATAGGCCATGGTTTTCAATAGTATTTTCCCCACACATTCCGCGTTGGACAATCAGAAAACAATGAAAAGCTGCGTGTCGAGTACCAGTCGAAAGGATGCTATAGGATTATTTTTTGGACCAGCTACAGTATGCCATAGTATTTCTATTTGTCATCCGTCGTTCAAAGCAAGTCCCACACGATTTTCTCTTCGAACAGACGAGCGTAAAAACAGGCGTGCGGGTGACTTAAGCCAAGCGGGCGATCTCCAATAAAGCACGTCGTGATCGTGAAGATCAACATCGGCAATACTCCTTCTGTAGATCAGGCTGTGTACCGTGCATCCCGATTGGAATTCATCACGTTAAGGCAACAAGAAAATTGTACACGCCGTGGATTTACCCCGCATACTGACTTTTCAGCCCAGCTGTTGGAGGCCAGTGCCGACCAGTCGGTGAGGATATGCTGAGCGACCACGATACAATGATGTCACCGCGAGGCTGTCGATTACTGACTGGTCGCAGATCGACAGACTCGCATGACAGGGATGGTGGGTAGTGACAACATGCTAGGACCCTTAACTGCCGATGATATCGTCGAGTGTGAAGATGAGCAAAAACGAGTCATTTGACTATGTTTTTGAATTTTAGGGGTCCAGGTAAGGGTGGGAACTGAAGTAAAAGACTCGGCTTGACTCGGGATAAGAGATGGACTAAGAGACGACGAGGGCAACGTCTGTTGATGTCAAAGACTCACTAGACGAAGTTACCTCGCATGTTCTAGTCTCCTGATCGATTAGGTCTAAAGGGTGTAGTTTATAGCCTGAACTAGACGACTATTCAATACAAAATCACTATAGCATAGCTCTGAAACATGCCGCATTAACCTCATAGATACTGGTACAATCTATACCCCCGACACAGCACTAGATCAGTCGACCTTAATACATGCTCGTGCAAATCTAAGTGGTTGTGACTTGGAGACATGACGCCGATTAGCAGAAAATCTCCAGTGATTACGCGTCCCCGAGGCTTAACTCAACGCCTACCCTCTTGCTTAAATTGACTACATGTTTCCCAAGATTCTAAACCACTGACCGAAATTGCATTAAAACAAGACAATATTTATTCGGTCAGGGCATTAGATGAATCAATAACGAGGCTGTAAGTGCTGGCAAAACTGACAGCTTTCAATCATGGTAGAGTTCTGATACAGATTTACCACACCCTGATCACCATCGACTAAATGAATAACTGTCTGTATTATACAAGTCAATGAAGGAGAAAAAGGAAATCCCAATCAAAGAAAACCGAGATGGTCACGGTATAAGTAAATCAATGAGCACCGTCGCATCTATGTTCCCAACGATATCGAACTATGTACATGGGAGGGGGAAGCGCCACAGCCAGTTGATATATTCAAGGGGTATCTCAACAACAGGTCATAAATATGGAAGAAAAAAATGGGCCAGGTAGGTTTGGGTGTTTCAAAGAATGAATAGGAAAAGAAAAGAGAGAAAAATTGTAGACTCCGGAGCCCGTTATATCGTCAAAGACATGAAAGGAGATAGCCAGAAGAGAGGCGGGAAGCAACGATACGCATGATTACCGCTCGTCGCTGCTGGCTACTGCGCTGCCGCCGTTGCTGCTGAAGTAGCTCTCGTCAATCTTTAGGATCCATTCCACCTTTTGCGCTTCGGTGCGCGTGGCGAAAAGGAAGGTGTTCTGGGTCCCGTAGACGGCGAAGATATTGGGCCGGCCCTTGGCAGAGAGTGAGCGATCAGCACCGGCACCAGATCCATCAAGTAGTCTGGCAAAGTCGGGCGCGTGGTCGACACGGGAGTTGCGTAGGTTGATAGCGTTGATTTCATCTCCATCGGCGGAGTAGATGTGAAGATACGGCCGGCGGAGCTCCACGAACCGTCGAACCCAGACACTGTTGGTGTCATCAGGAGTGAGCACATAGCCCGACTTCAGGGCGGAAGGGTTCTTTGGGAGAGTTTGAATGGTGGCTACGAAACGCGGCTTGAGCAAAATTTTGTTGGCGGCGTCAGTGCCATTCGACTTGCGTTGCGCTGCGATGGCTGCGCCGTCGGCAGGGGGCTCAGTGTTGCTCCGGACTAGGATGGCATCGGTAGGGTCCTTCTTGGTTGACCAAAGATCGAGGTACTTGCGAAGCAGCTTAGATTTCCGCTCGTTGAGATCCTGGTTGCGCATAGGTGTTGATCGTCCGCTGCGGGCTGGAGAAGCCATGAGGCTGCCGGCACTGAGTGCCCCACGGGCAGCATGAAGCTCAGCCAGTCGGTACCGGCGTTTGCGAGCGGCAATGTAATCCCGAACCAGCGAGACCTTGCGGGGTGCCCATGTCGTCAATAGCTCCTCTCCCTTGACGTAGTCATTTTGTGTGTTCATGCGCCAGAGATCGGCCGCACGTTTGGCAGAGATTGGGCGGATGACTAGAGAGTACATTTGCGTAGTCGAGTGCACAACTCGCGTAGAGCTCCAGAGTTGCTTGAACATCGACTGCTGACGAACGTAGGTACGTCCCAGAATTTGCAGAGTCTGGTCGACCTCGAACACGACAGGGGTCTGAAGACGGGACGAGACGAGGTCCCAGCGAACAGTGACCTGGACTCGATACTTGTCTGCGGTTACTCGGTCAAGGAGCAGAGAGCCGTGCAAACTCGAGTCCCACTGTCCCACGATCGTGACATTTGAAGTGCCATCGGCATTGTCCTTGACCATCGGTTCCTGGAGGAACTTGAGAGGAACATCCGGGGTCTGAAGATCCTGGTCGGGGATTTTACCCCACGGGTCGAGAAGGCGAACGGAACCGACACGCGCATTGGCAATATCATCCCACGGCAGGCTTTCGGTCGAGCTATAAGTCATGTTGATCGAAACACGACGCTGCAATCCTTGGTGGAGTTGGTATGTGCCGGCGTCAAGGGGACTGTTCTGAACAACCTCCACAGGAAGGTACTCGCCAGACTCAGCCATCTCAAGGATTTGAACTCGGGCAAAAACATCATGTCGCTCCTCCGAGTAGAACTCTGACTCTGCAATCCGAGGAGCAGTGCGCTTCTTGGGTGTGATCTCTGCTGAATCCCGCATATCATCCCAGCTAAGCAGCTTGTCAAGGTGAACCGACGTCACACGAGCGTAGACACAGACCTTCAGCGCGGCGGACCGCGGACTTGACAATGGTAGACTCATGCTATGCACACTTTCAAACCGGACAGCGCTCTCTTCAAACCCGCTGATCATCTGCGTGGTGGTCGCGCCGCCTTCCTCTGAGATTCCTGGAACGAAAAGCTGTGCGTGAACGTCAGATCCTTCCCATTCGGCGAACCCGACCATATCCCGCATGACGACATTAAACTTTAGAGTGGACGAAGGGGCTTGTGCAGAAGATGGTTCAAGAGATAGGCGAATAATGCCGATGACACTCTGGGTATAAGGCGAAGTGATCTCGATGGAGAAGTCTTGAACCCGAGTTTCGAAAACAGCAGTCAAGGGGATATCTGCATCACCGATGAGGGAATACTGCGGTGAGCAGGGCTCAGAAAACGGATTGTCAAGTTTGAAATGTTGTATGTAGTCCGGCCGGTCGATATACTGGTGTAGTTGGCGCATAGACTGTACGCGGCGCTGGAGTTTCTCAATCGACCACAAGTGAATCACACATTGCTTGTAGTCAATGACCCGAACGCCAACGCAGGGCTTCTTCGTCTCTTCCAGCACAATGTCCTCGTCGCCAGAGATCCCATTCAGCACGAGATCATATGAAGAAGCCATGCTATGGCCATGGTCAACAACAGCGAATTGGAAAACCACATTCTTATCCATGATTTGACTCATGACCTGCGCTTCCTTGAGGAGAGAGGCGTGTTGCAGGATCTTCTCAGCCATACGAACGTAGTTGCGCTGCGACCAATGAGTGAATACGGTTCGTGCAATCCCAAGCTCGCGCTCGTCCAACTTGGCGAACCCGTTCTCGTATATTTGCGGGATCGGTTTGCCCATATCACGCATCTGCGTTTCAAAGGTTTCCTTTTGCACCCTCAATTGCTCTTCGAACTCCTCCTTGGCCGTCCGCAGGGCGTCTTCCATGCGTTGTTTCTCTGTTTGCAGTTCACCCACGTCTTGATTAGATGAAGTCTCCGCGAGCCGCAATTTGTCCTGAAAATCCTCTCGTTGCCGATCAAGCTGACGCTGCATGTCCTTCTGGACTGATTTGAGAGAGACACCATTCGACCCATCGTCGTCAGTTTGCCGTGGCGTGCCTGGCATAGTGATAGCCGTATCGAGAGAGAAATTGTCGATCGTTCCATTAGACATGTACTTATCGCGCACCGGGAAAGAGCTCAGCGAGTCCGAGTCTTCTTCGTTCTCAGGAAGCCCGCGACGTACTGCTCGCGCTTTTTGCACATCCTCGAATAAAGCGTCTAGCTCATCGTCGGGCAAATGAGAGATATGATCCGGGCCCAACATAGCACTGACGGCTTCTCGTCGAGCAAGGAACCAATCGGATTCCCTCCCACGTTGCGAGGGCATCGGAGAATCTGCCCTGCTAGAATCACCATCCACCTCGGACCCGACTTTGCTAGGCGAGCGATCATGGGTCTTGTTTGGCGCTGGTGATCCGAGTTGGCTCGTTGTCACGGAGTGTCGTAGCAAGCTTTGTTCTACTCGTTCGGCACGAGCCTCTTGTGGGTGATTGAAACGGAAAATGTGGAAATCACCCAGGATAATTCGGAATCCACTCTTGAGTCGCGTGGGCTTGTCGATGCGTAGACCGTTGACCATAACAGCGGCACCTTCCGTCGGAACAATAGTCACAACATTGTCGACATTCTCAAATGTACAGTGCTTCGTGAGAATCTTCGAGCCATTCAGTCGAATCTCAACGCTGTTTCCCTGGTCCATGTGACCAACTGTCGTAGTACCTGGCTTGATGTTGTAGACCAGACACTCGGCGAGCAATGGATCGTCGCTAAGGTTGACCAAATGGGGCATCTTTTTCGGAGTGCTCAATCCGATGAAACCCTTCTCGATGTTGATACCAAGTTCCTCGAGAGCCTGCTCACGTTCCTTGTGAATCTCCTCTGTCTTTTGTAGTTTCTCCTCCCATGTCTGATTGAGATCTTTGTACAGCTTCTCACTCTGGTTAAGCTGCTCCACAATCTCAGCTTTGCTGACTTTGGTGACTGTACCGTCGGCTTGCTGGATGGAAACCATTTGCTTCTCCAATGGGGTGTCGGGAGGATAATATTCTTCTTGCATCGCCCCAGGGGCCCCAGGAACTCCTCCTGGAACACCACCTCCAAGTTTGGACCGTAGCTGTGCCAATTCCTCCTTAAGTTCTCGAATCATGCGAGCGTTCGGATCCTCGTTCACAACTGCGTGGTTCTTGATTCGTTTGGCGGAGTCGGCATACCGTAGCGTACTGAGGGTCTCGTCAAAGTTGATATCCGCAGGCGAAATTGCTGCGATCATAGAAGTCATTGAGTTACCTCCCAAGGAGTCCTTCAGTAGCCAAGTGAGTACTGAATCACGATATGGTACCATGGATGCCTTTTTGAGCTTGCCAGACGAGACATCGGCCAACGCAGCAATGACACGACCGAGGGTAGACAGAGATCTGTTGATCTCAGCACCTTCCTTCAAACGGGCACCCGTGGCACCGGTCGAGTTTGCTCTCTCGGAACCAGCCAAATCGACCAAACTGATCTTCGACACCTTCTCCGTGTCCATCGAGGTCTCCGCATCGTGGCGTTTTTGCGTGAGAGTCAAAGTAAACACGGCGTGAGATCGACTGGAGGTTTCGTTCATGTTCGTCGCTGCCACCGTTCGAGCCTTGTTACCCTCGTCCATCAAATGATCGATTTCGTCGAAAGAGCGAACAACCAGCTTCGCCAGATCCTCCACATATGGACCGGTCGATGGATGCTCACGGACTTTGAGATTGCCCTTATTCGAAGGGTTGAGCAAGTCGCGAACGCGTTCATTGTAAATTTCCAGGTATGACACCTCAACCGTGACGTTCAAGCTCTTGTCTTGTTGGATGTCGTTGATCCGAGTGAACATCGACTGACAAATACGCGGGATAACACCATACTCCTGGCCATAACCCATCATCGAGTATGATTTTCCGGAACCAGTCTGACCATAGGCGAAAATACAATTGTTGTATCCGCTGAAGGCATTGTCGAGGAGCGGCGTGCCCAGGTCGTCGAAGAGATTGTCCTGGCCGGCGTAATTCTGGTCTTTCTTGTCAAATGACCAGTACGATCGATCGAAAGCGAACACCTTGGGCCCGTCGCCGCCGCCCTTGCCAGCGCCCTTTCGCGACTTATCCTCCGCGCCAGGCGGTGCGGTGAGCACCGTCTGGTTGCCTTTCATTTGGACGATACATTTTGCGCCTCGGTCGATTTCTAGAACGAGTCGACGGGTGCTAGGTCAGCCACGAGTCCTCAAGGGGGAAGGGAGAGGGGCAGTGAATTTATCGTCTCCCTTCACATTCTCCGTGCAAGCATAAACCTCCCACTCACCTCTACTATTGAAGGGTCGCACTCGGACCACCACCTTTATATTGCCTCCGCCTCCTGGAGCCATCTTGTCCTTCTACTCCATACACCGGGGGTCGTCACGAATTCAACAGCTCGCTAGAGAGTGGGATCGGAACGCAGAGGGGTGTGGCACAAGCGGTGACGGGTCAACGCCGGTGCGCAAACTCCGCGAGGAGCGCGACTCGAGGGCGATGTCGCAAGGGTGTGAGGTATGAGATTGGTGAATCTCGTCTGGGTACGGTTCGTCTGGAGCGGTGTCTGGGGTGTATCGGGAACCGTAGATGTCAACAAAGACGTCATGTATCGAATATTCAGCGTGTGTGTAGGTTGTGGGGTGGGTCAGTGGGATCCCGTGAAGATGGCGGTCAGAGTCAACTAAGAGGCTCGAGTCGAAAACCGCAGCGCTGGTGAAGGGAGCACTCGAAGCATAAAGAGTCGAATGCGATTGTCGACATCTTCATGCGGAAAAGCCACTTGCCCCCGAGGCCGCGGGACCCCCTTGCTGAGTCAGTCGACTTTTGAGGGGAGGCCCATTTCCAAAGGTTCAGACCAACACTTGAAGGGCATCTGTGGATCTTGGGATGGGTTATTGGGGGGTTTCATAGGAGAAATTCGATGGTTTTCCATGAAATTTACTAACATGCAGACGCTTACTGTGAAATGCAGAGTGCATATAAAACATACGCGTTATCAGGACAGCGCATAGAACGCTCTACATGCCATATTTCCTTTGCCGGGTGGGGCTATCCTTTCTAAGCTATCGCCACTTTTACGAGGGTAGTTAAGAGTTAGGCTCATGGAGCAAATATTCCATCAATCCAGGCTCAAATTCAAAGAGAGGGCACCTCAATAAGCACTCAGCCGAATTAACCAGTTCACTGAGTACTTAGAGATTCATCAAAGCCATCAAGACATCTATGAAGCACTCCGTCCCTGACAGAGTCGCAGAGTCTAAACCCAAAGAAGTACTTCGCCCCACAGGATTGTTTACTTGATGAATCCTTTTTTGGGCTCTTTTATCTCATCATGATGGTTTCGGTGCCTATAAGAGGATTGTTTTTGTTCGAGACAAAGGAAAAAGTGATATCAAGTGATGTCAAAGACTGGGAGAAGATACAGTAATAATATTCTTAACCTTTGAACGCAGTGAATACGTACACACAATCTTGCATGAGTACTCGAAAATTGTTTTACTGTTGAGCCTCACTTTGTTTGAAGAAATATGGATGTAATTAGGGGCTTAGTAATAGGTCTAGGGTAACTATACGCCTCCAGACAGAGTTGGTCTCAAGGTGCCTCATAAATATTCCCTTCCTTTCCCTGATGCCCAGCTGAAATAACCCCCGCCTCAGTATTAGTCTTAATACTGCCCGAATGAGAAGCAAGCTCTGCTTTGGCGGACTGCTGTGCCATGGACACATACTCCGGCTGAATAGGCTGCATCCCCGGTACCCCGGCTTGTTGGTTCAGGTAAGTCTGCCCGGGTTGTTGTCTGGATATGTCTAATTCGGGCTTGTTATAATGTGTTTCGATTTCGTAGCGAGATGGCTCTTGAGCCGGGGGGTTTTGCGGAGGAACTATTGGGGCCGTTGTATGTGGCGGTATACCTGTGTTCACGCCTGGGTTTGCGGGATGAGTGTATTGGAAATTGGACGGTGGAGGGCCTTGTGGGTAACTAAACGCAGGCTGTTGAGGCTGTCCTGGCTGGGGTCTCCGTCTTCGGCGAAATAGGAAAAAGATAATGGCCCCAGCAATTAAACCGAGAAAGATCAGGCCACCGATGACACCGCCAACAATAGCCCCAATGGGGGCAGAACTACCGTGATAAACGGATGGAGTTGAACTAGCAGTTGACCCTGAGCTCCCTTGGGACGTGCTCGAGGCAGAACTGGAATTCGTGCTAGTGCTTGAGCTTGAGCTTGTCGTTGAAGATGGCGTAGAGTATCCAGCTGGATATTGTGTTCCAGTCGAGACGCCGTTTGATCCAGTGTAAACGGGGAACGCGATAGGATCGCTAAATCCACTCCAATATGGCTCCATTTGATACTCCACGCCCTCCTTTTCCGAGCAAACGAACGACAGGTAATCGAGGCCATAGGAGAAGGTTACGCAATAGGGCTGAGTACCGGTACTGGATATGGTAGATTTCATGTCAATCAGTGATTTTAGGATCGGATATAATGCGCCAACATACCATCTTGCAATACTCGAAGAGCAACCAGAGCCACTGCAGGACCAGGTGCTCCATTGCGCTTCTCCTACACACGCCGTTTGTGGTGGAATCGCATTGCCAACGAAATGAGCGTCGCTGTTCCAGAAACATGTCACTGAGAGGTCATTGTACGTCCATCTTTGATCTGAGCAGCACGCAAGATTTAGCAAATGCAGTGAAGGGTTCGAAGGTATATCGCAACGGCAGAACACATACCATATCCCGAGCCCGAAAACCAGCCGCAAAAGTTCGATGGGATCTTGTCGGCTCTCTTTGATAGGTTGAACGCGGTCGGACTTGGACTTAAATCAGGACCCGATGTCGGCGTTGGAGGGAAGACGGTCGAAGACACAGGAAGAAGAGCAGACGCCATTTCTCGATGCTATCGACACTGTCTTTCTGTCATTGCTGGAGTGCAGAAAATGCGGGACCTCTCGTCTCAACGCTCGCCTTTTGAACCCCCTGAGACCCTCTGGAAGAATCATTTGAGAGAGCCTCCAATCAAAGAGACTGGCCTAGCACCAAACTTCGAATAACAAACGAATTTGGGGCAGAGCGCACTAGGGAATACGAGAAAAGTGGACCTAACCGGAAGGGATCTACAAGTCTAAACCTTACTTAATTTTCACAAAGCGACTTGGAGGACAGCATGTTCAAGCAAGCTAAAATATGACAGACTATGCACGTAGTGGGATGGATAGGCAAATGAGACCAAGCAGAACCACTCCATAAAAGGCGACCAGGCATAAAATCCTGATTCTGATATTGATGTATGGTTGGACGAGGACTTTGAGAGCTAGGAGACAGAATGCGGCCTGTGATGGGGGCCATTTTTCACTCTCCATACAATCCGAAATAAAGTCGTTAAAGGGAAAACAGCCAAACTAACTCATGCTTGATCACCCCTATCGATTAAGATATTTGAGCCGCAGGCAAGAATATTCCAGCGGAGGTGGGGTAACATTGGGCCAATTAGAACTTCGATATAAGAGCCGCGAACCGCCAAGATAGCAGCTTAAAGACCCGCTAAGAGGTGTATAAACTACACAAATCAAGGCTGATACATAGATCATCTTCCATCGAGTATTCCTCTCTACGCTCTATGGTCGTACGTACTTGAAATTTATGGGGAGAATTCATGACAATAGAGGAATCATTGATGCCCTCTGTAAAGGGGCGACCTGGTGTTGACTGTGCGGGATAAGTCCACCAGAGAAATGCTAAATTGATGGCAAGTTTCAATAATGAGGTTAGGGACGCTAGCCACATAACCAGTTTCAAGGAAACCAATGGAGAGCGATGAATCTTGTTCATCTCGGTAGATTCAGGGGAATCTGGGCCACGGAAGGAAACATGCGACTGTAGGTCTTGACAACATCCATGGTTGACCGACCCAAGGAAATAAGCTCATTTGTATGTTTACCAGAAAAGAAAAGGCGCTGGTTCCAGAACTACATATAGATACGAATTCAGATAATTTTGGAATTAGAACTTCGAGGAATAATTAGTACGTCACGAAGTCACAATTGTAAACGTATATGGCAGCCCTCGACATACCGGACACCCGATGATCTCTCTCACTCTGTTCGTCTTTACGCTGCACCTATATCCAAAATCAAAGCTCGATCTTCTATCTCGCGTTAAACATCATCTTTCGCCTCAATGACCCTAAGACGTCGCGATATCCAAAGATGTTCCTCGGGTTGCTTCATATTTTTCAGAAGAAAGCCCCAAAATACTACACCATATCTTGTCTGGACGAGCGCATGTTAAAGAAAATCTACCAAAACCTCTCACTAGTCGATCAAGCCTGTATATCCCTCATTTTCTTCAGCCTATTCGGGAAGATAGTGAAGCACAAAACTTTCGAATTCCCTCAACTCTTGCGTATCAGGAATCCAATACTATGCATAAACAGCCCGCATGTACTGCGAAATTAACCACTTCTTCGACTCGAATCTCGTCACTGGGTCTACTGTGCAAACTGTTTGAAACTGCATCCACGAAAAGAATCTACGAGACAGTTGCTGAAACAGTCCTCTCTGGAGAGATCATGCCCATACTACGCTGGCATAGCAGACAAATGTCACTATATTTCTTTAACAATTCGAGGTTGAGACAGGATTATCAAGATCCTCAAATCACCCTCGACGCCGGCCAGGACTAGATATGGCCCGTTCGAGTTTAACATTGACGATCGAGGACAGCACAGACTCGGGCACGCCTGTATATTCAACACTAGATCTGGTTACGAGGTGCTAGTTGCTGTGGGTTTGTTTATTAAAGAGACTGACCAGTTATGTAGTGGGTGTCCCAGATGATCAAAATGGAAGAGGGTCCCTCGTGCAACTGACTCTGAACTGTTCAAAACCTCATCAAGATCTCCTCTCTCTTGGTCCTGGGATCTAGCCCCAACATCATGTCGCGTGTGCCAGACTTTGATTACAAATATCCTTTGTTTGAAGACATGAAGCAGGCTGCTTTCTAGATGGCTCGCAATCTAGGAAGCTGTGAATAGCCTACTAATCGACCTTGGATTGATCAGTGTCGCCACACTGGAGGGCAGTTTTGGCTTAATAGAACATACTGGTGAGTTTATCGAAGTATTCGTGGCGAAAGAAGAAGTATTACTGAATCTCTCACATAGGTGTGGACCGAAGAACATGTTTAATATGATGCAAGGTGTTTCCAGTCAGTGGGAAAGAGATTACAGAGTGTAACAGGAAAGAAGGTTATATCAGCGAAGCCTCACGAACTGCATATAAGGGATAGAGATAGCTTGCGCTATCTCAGTGCTGCTTCTTGCAGCGGTGTGTCATTGAAATGCTTCGTCCGATGGTACACCAGGGCCCTTGATCGAGTCAGCGATGGGTATAAAGAATCTAATAACATTATAGGAATCCTGCCCATGATTCGATGATAACGTGATATGGAGCCTGCATTACGAAAGACATTTGGATAGGTAGGAAAGCGTGTGAGAATGAGATACACGGATATTCGATGTCAGAAAAGTCCGCAGACTGGGACGAAAGTGACTAAAGCAACTTGAGAATGTTTCATTTTTTGACCCTCGCTATAGGGAGCACCTGTAGGCAGCAGTTTTCTAGTCAAATTACAGGTCTAGGACCTAAGAAATGCGCGGACCTTGGGGAGCACCCACCTCTCGAGCAAGATATATATCGATTAGATTTCACTGAATTTCGAAGGCGGACAAGATTCTACTAGAAGAAAATGATCAAAACCTCGGATAGAAGAATAAATTGCCTTCTAATTATTCACGATATTCACTTTTGACAATAACCAAGCAAGAGAACGCAAGTGAACACCTGAAAGGTGAGCGGCTCTGCCCAAGAATCCGGCGAAATCGGGATAGCGTACATTTACTAATCCAAATTAAGTCGACTTCTTTGTAACAGTAAGACTACATTCATTGCTGATACGAATCGCTTATTCTCTCAGCCTAATCTCCTTTATGTTCTTCCATCAACGATTGTAATTAATGAGCATTCATCTACATCTCTAGCATGAGTGACAGCTCCAAGACCACCCAAGCAGCGCCTCGGAGAATTAGGCAGCTTCCCAGTCATCAGTACAGCCAAGGCGCATAAAACCCTCATCTTACTGGGCACGAGAACGTAGCCGCCTATCCCTTCTTTCGCAAGATACTGCACCAGCCCTACGAATGGCGCAAATGGCGGTTCGCAACATACTACTGACTACACAGTACACACGCTTTTACTCCGAACTCCATACTCTATCCTCGATAGCGCATCGCCACCCTCTTGCGTCATTTCAATGACTGCCAGCACAGCAGCTATCCCCTAATCGAAATTGAGATCTCGGGCCCATCGACTTCGACCGGGGTAGTGAGATGGCTCGCGCGGGCCGGATTGGAATGGCGCGCGGATCGACCGCCTCACTTGTTGGCGTCACACCCCGTCACAAGTCACAAAGTCATAATCAGGGGGTGTGTGTGTTCAGGGTTAGTCACGGCAGTGGGCGTTTGGATGTGTTTATCCTTGACTATCAATTTTGTGAGGAGTGTGATTCCCCGGATCCTATACGACCGAGGGGGGTGGTAGGCGGGAGATGAGACTTGGGGTGGAGGATTCCCGAATAGGAGAGACGGCCGAGGGGGGCTGGGGAGGATAACCATAATAATATTGCGGAAAGGAAGAGAAAATTGAGCAGGGACAATATCGGCAGGGTAAACAAAGAAAAAAAATGATGGTTGCGACGAGTGTCGAAAGTGAAATAAATTAGGGAAAATACGTTATCCCGAAATACATACACGATGACTTCATGACTATCTTGTAGGGGGGAAAGATTACAGGACATAGGTTTCTGCCCAATGTGCGATGGAAAGTGAGGAAGCAAGGCAACCTGCCTAAACATGAACTAAAGATACAACTTTCGAGTCCAAGTATACTTTGTGATAGCGGTGAGATACACCTTATCACCAAAGTACTCCAAGTCACCGTGTTCACCGCCGCGCGAGTTTGGGTTGCACATGACCAGTGCTTCGGGATGCCCGGGATTCCCTGGACTCCCGTGATTTAATGACAAGACATACGGTATCGATACCGTATGGTACGAGTAATGGATGAAGGAACGTGATGACTCTCGTCGGCACGGGCCAGCCAGAAACCGCGGAATTGGCCCCCACCGGAGTCCACTTTTAGCTCCGACTGACCAATCAGACGACGGGTTGGGCAGCGACGGAATTCGTGTTGGCTAGGAATCACGGTAACAAAAGTGATGTAAACATGTGTAAGTTTGGGTAATGGCTCGTCGAGGGGTGTAATCTCGAGGAAATCAGCTTGACCTACAGTATCCAACTCGGTTTCTCCACTGGAACGGTTTTGATACGTCGTTGGCCGACCAGCCGGACCAGCCAGAAATTGGCTCTTCAGCCAGTACAAAATGCCCCGTCCCGCCCGCCCCCTTTTCGCCTTTCTCCTCTGCCTCTTCTCGTTGGTTGCCCGCCCTCTCCAGCCTGTTCGCCCTCCAACCATCGCACAGCGCTGGCCACCCTTACTTCCGCCGTTTGGTTTAATCTGATTTCCCCCGTTCCATTCGTCCATTTCACTTGCTGGACTGGTCTGTTCTGGGACTTTGAGGGAGAAATCCAATCACTGTTCTTCTTTGATTCTCATTCGACGTGGTTGACTGTGTTTCCCCACGGTCGGCTCTCTCAAGTATACGACAGTTGGACAGTCTGCGACTGGATCGAGTACAGTACCTGGTAGCTTAGCTACAGTACTACAAAGTACTCTACTCTACTGCCTAGAGTCCTATCAAGGATCTCTTAGCAAAACCTTTTATCCCTATAGGTAGGTTTTCTATCAAAATTGATCGTTTTATTTGCCTATCGCCTCTACCATTTGGAAGCTCGTTACTTTTGCATTTTTACCTTTTTCTTCTTCTTCTTTTTTTTTTTTCCCTTTCCTCCATCTATGATGATTGCATCTTGCATATCTCGAGTCCCTCAAAGAAAAGGCACTGGGTCCGAGCTTTGTCCATGAAAGACCTTCGTCCTATATACTCGGTCCATCTTTCCCCGTGACTGCTTCGTGCGGCTCTTTCTCCCTTAAGAGCATTCCTCATTCCTCCTGCAGTGTAAACATTACCTCTTTACCACACTTGAATCCTTCCTTTTCATTTGTCCAATCCTTTCTCTTCTCGCGCCTCCCCCCACGGTGTTTCGCGGAACTGGCCGGGCCTTGACATCAGTGGCCCCCCCAGTCGCGCACAGAACTTAGCACCACCGCCTTCTCGTTGGCACGTTTCCTTCGATCTCCCGCCCCCTCTTCCCCCCCCATCCATCTTCTGCCATCGTCAAATCACCGTTTGGCTGGGATCCCTTGATCACTTCGGATTGGAAGTCCAACGGAGAATATCCACGTCCTGGCCCTGTGGCTCTCTTTTCCCTTCTCCCATAAGGTAATAATGCTCCCAAGCTTTTTTACCCCCTCCCCAATCCCACGTTGCGCGCGCGATGTTAGTGGCCCGTGGCAAAACACAACACACGCGCCCTCCACTGATCGTTGCCCATTGCCCGTCTGTCATTGCCCACTTCCAATTGCCCTGTCCATACACTCCATCCCTCCTCGGTCGCATGCAAAGCGCCTGTTTCATGGTCGGTCCAGTTTGATCATTATTGGCTCTCCCTTCTCTGTTATGCGCCTGCCTTTTGGTCCCGTTTAGTCTGGCGTTCAATACCCGACCTCGTCGCTTGTCGCACGCGTCGGTCCCTGGCATCGTTGACATCATCCTTCGAGTTGCGCGATCTAACATATATCTTTTTTTCTCTCTCTAGAAGTCGCGACACTGATTCGCTAGACGCGATCAGCCTCGCCTCGTTATCTGTCCTGCCTCTGCAGAAGCCGATCGCTTCAGGTATGTTCGCGACCTGCAGCCCTTTTGCCCAATTCCCGTGCCAACGCATACATCGCCTCCCCTCTCTTTCCCTGACTTTACTCTTTTCCTCTCTGCCTTGGGTTGCCCGGCCTAACCCGGTCAATCCCAACCCCTCCTCCTCCTTAGTAAACATGTTCTCATTGGGATCGTCGTCTACCTACCCAGCCCCTCCGCTCGGGGCCAGGGACAGCACATCTGTCTTGCTTTTATCCAGAATGCGACGTACTGATGCTTTGTTAGATCTGATTCGTGGAGCTCGTTGACGGCCGCCCTGACCGAGGCGCATCAACTCTTGCACGATCTGCTAGCCCGGCCCACATTGTGTCGCGTTCCCCGGATTTTGTGTTGAACGTGACAAAGCCAAGAGGTAAGAAAGAAAGAGAGAGAGAAAAAAAAGAGCCTCGAAATTCCCAAAGAGGACCTCCCTCGGTCACCGAAGAAGCCTTGCCCCTCCGTGCCTGAAATCGGATTCCCCCAGCGCAGCCTCAGCGGGGTGGCATCATTAGGGCGACTGGTTCTGACAACGCATCAAGCACTCTAGTTCGAGGGGTACCCTGCTGCATCACAGCCCAACCACGTTACACCCGTGGGTCTTGACCGATTTGCACAAAAGAGATCAAACCCTCCGTTCACGACGCGTCGTTGCTCGAGAACTAGCCTTGATCCTTTGGGACCAAACATTGCGCCTATCGTCGACTTTCCCCCTCTCTGCAGTGCCTGCAGTTTAAGGTATGTCATGTCACTCGCCCTATCACCTCTGCCTGATCCATTCATCCCCACTCTGCGGATCCAGTGACCGTATCCTGCTGCGCTCTTGCTGACGTGATGTTCCGAGGCTGCAGACTATCGACTCCCGCTTGTCGAATCACCGCGCGACCACGCCAACTTCTGGAAGTGACTAACTTCCGTCCTGCACGCGCTTGGAGTGATATCGACCCAGTACGTCTGCCAAACAAAATTGAGCAGACTCATCTCGATCTCCTCTTCGTTGCTATCGCGCCCCAAACCCACCGCGGCGCCTAGCTCCCCCCCATCTCAGTCCCTTTGATAGGTGATTCGGATTGGTAGATCGTCACTCGAGCCAATCTCTCGTGCCTGTCATCCCAACCCCCCGAACCCCGGTACCACACGCGCGCGTCGCCTGTGTGACGGAACCTTCTCTGGACCTTCTCCCCGAGGCTTCTCAAATCCCATCCGTCAACATGGAGTATCCTCCACAGTACCAACAGCCTCATGGCCAACATCCACATGCCCCTTCACACATGCCTGGTCCATACCAATCTGGACCACCGCAACCTGGTGCGCCCGTGGGATCGATGACCTCACCCACGAATGCCCAGCCCCCCATGCAACCACAACATCCATCCCATCAGACATCACCGATCGTCCCATCGCAACAGCATTACCAGCAGGCACAAGGCGGACCCGGTGCGGTTCACCAGCAGATGAACTTCCCTCAGGGTTATGGCGTCTCTCCCGCTATGCCCCAGCCATACGGTATCTCGCCGACGCAGGCTGCCGCGATGGCCACTGCTGCCGCTTCCGGACAATTCTATCCTCTTCAGCAACACGATGGTATGGCCGGTCAGATGGCTCCTGGAACACGAGGGTCGCCGCGTATGGCCGGTGTGCCTATGAAGGCGGATCGGAACCCTCGTTCCCCGCCGCAGATGCCTGGCCAGATGCCCCCGATGGGCTCGCAAGTTCAAATGCCGAACCAGCAGATGCCACCAGGTCGCCGAATGAGCCACATTGGTAGCCCTAACGTACCGACTGCGCAGCCGGTGATGAACCACGTTGGCCGACCCTCCGTCGCGCAGTCCATGCCCGGTGCGACCCAGGCCGCCATCCAGCAGAACCAGCCCTCGCCCGAGATGGTGCCTGGTGGTAACCAGGAAGAGTCTCCCCTTTATGTCAACGCCAAGCAGTTCCACCGCATTCTCAAGCGCCGAGTCGCACGTCAGAAGCTCGAGGAGCAGCTCCGACTGACGTCTAAGGGACGTAAGCCGTATCTGCACGAGTCGCGACACAATCACGCCATGCGCCGACCCCGTGGCCCCGGTGGCCGTTTCCTGACGGCTGACGAGGTTGCCGCGATGGAGAAGAAGGCTGCCGAGGGTGATGGTGATGCGGCCGCTGATCTCGGCAAGGAGAACGGATCTGCCGGTCAAAAGCGGAAGTCAAGCGAGGTCAATGATGACGGTGGCAGCGCCAAGAAGACCAAGACGACCGCCAGTGCCGATGGCAGTGAGCAAGAATCCGCTGAGCCGTCTGATGAGGATGGTTGAATGATTCAGCCGCCTCCTCTCACCAAGATTGATATTGAGCTTTGAGTATGCTCGGTGTCTTGTCTCGGTGACAATGTTTAAATTTTTTCTTTTTGTCTTTTTTTCCTATGTCATTGTTGGATTTTTCTTTTGTCGAGACTAACGGCTTATGGATGGACGTCTTTGGAACCCCTTTTTTATTTCTTTCAGCGAGCGATGTGTACGGATGACCTTCCACCTTTTACCTCTATCACGCCACTTTCTGTTCTACCCTTGATATGCTTCTCAACTTCTGTTCACTTGGCCTTTTTTTCACCTTTTTCTCATCCCTTGGACTAACTTGACCCCATGATCTTTGTTAATAGCTGTTGATTACTGGGACGATGTTTTTGTTTTAGGTTATCACCCTTTGCCCTGATCTTATCATCTTTGCCGGAGCTGTCGAAGCCGGTCCCCACGTTTCTACAATCGGGACAGTGTCTGTCTTGGAGCACCGTGATGGACGGGCTCTACCATCGAAGAAAGTCAATGTTAACAAGGCTCAAAGAGCCTTCAGTGGGAACGTGGGACTGTGGGACTGAGGGAATGCGAATTACTTAGGCTGAGGCCAGTGAAATGTCAACCGTGACGATTTTTCTTCTTCTTTCTTCCCCTTTTACCTTTTTTTCCCCCGCCAACACTTGCGTTGTCTTGTGTATATCGACAGTACAGCCACTATCTTGGAGGTCATCTGTCTTATTTTGTGTTTTTTCTACTAGCCCATTCCTGCACTACTCCCCCCTTTGCCCCGTGCTATCGGTTTCTATGCGTTGCGCGTTTTTGTATTTTGAATTTTCGTTGGGACATTAGAGAGGTTCTCCTTCATTGGAAAAACAGGTTCAAATATGTTTTTATGACGTTGTTCCCTTGGGCTGCGGTTGGAAAGACGGGTGTTTCTCTTTTCTTGTTCGACGTCTTTTGCAGCTGCTCTGATGTCTATGGTATGGGATGTGTCTTGGATGTTGATTGGATTGGATATGATATGCGCTGTTTCCGAGTTATGGAATTGGGATTGGATTGTTGTGTTTGTTTTGACTATACCATCAGATCGGAATGAAGATATTGTTTTCTGAGAAATTATCTACTGGGGAAGTAATTTTGTAAAGAAGGAAACACTCACTGGGTATTCGATATCAAAAGTCACTCGCTAAATCATCAGTAAAACAGATTCTATATCCAAGTCGTAGTCTTCGAACCGGCAGACCAAAACTCCAGAATTTACACAATCCCCCAATAAATAGGAAGGATAGAAAAACATAAACACCAACCATGCCATGTCCCTCCAGCAAACCCTCTCAAACAGCCTCCCAATCCATCGCATCAACCATAAACTCCCACCCCTCCTCCCTCCCCGCATCAACTACATCCTCCCCAACCCTCATACACAACTTAACATGTTCCCTCGCCCTAACAAACCCCTCCTCCAACCCACCAAAAATCGCCCCCAAAATCCCCTCCAAATCATAACTCTCCAACGGCCTCACAACATCCCGATCCCCCACGGGATCCCGCAGCACCTGCTCCGCCGTCATATCAGCCGTCTTCCAGCGATTCCGCAACTCCTTCGCCTGCCGCAGCTGCTCGAAGACGCGGCCGCTGCCTAGCACCGGCGTTAGTGGGCTGGATTCTTCTTCTAGCGCGGAGAGCACGTTTGCGTGGTAGCGGTGTAGACTGGCGTTGGAGGGGGGCGGCCTCGTGAGGAGGAGACGGTTATGTTGAAGACGGCGAGGAGGTGCACGATGCAGCGCTCTAGGAGGGCGTAGTATTCGAAGAAGTCGATTTTGAACATTATTTCTGCTTCGGGGTTGATCGGGGTTGCGGTTGCGAGGCGGTAGGCTTCGGCGAGGAAGGGGAGCTTCCAGCGGAGGCGGGCAGTGATCTTGATGAATCGGGCTAGTTCTTCGGAGGGGGGGAGGGGGCTGGATTGTGAGGGTGGTTTTGTGTAGGAGGGTCTGGCTGGGGATGCGGGGATGCTGTGGGTGTGTGGTGATTTGGATTTGGAGCTTTGGTTGCGTGTGTTGGTTCGGGGTTGGTGGTGTGTGCCGTTGCTGGAGGAGGGGTTGTCGTATTGGTTGTAAGGATCGTAGTCGCTGTTGCCGGGGGCCCAGCGGGAATGGAGGAGGGAGGTCATTGGGTGGTGAGTGGTGTTTGAGGTTTGAGGTGTGTTGATGATATGGGGTATAGTCGGCTTATGTATGGTAGTGACGGAGTGGGTTGGGTTGGTCGTGCACGGGCCTTTTGGGGATTTGGAGATGATTGATAAGAGTATGACGATCGAGATTGCTTGTTGTGGGCGGTGAGATGTGTTTGCGATGACGTCTGGGGTGTTTGGAGGTTGAAGTTGGAAGGTGGTCGCGTGTGTGGGAGGACGAGGGTTTTGTAGTGGTTATGTCTATTGTGGTGGTGATTTTATGTTGTGCTGAGGTGAGGTGATTATGGATGGAGCTTCTTGGTTGGTTAGGGAGGGATTGTGTCGGGGATATTGAGTTACCTGTGTCAATGGTAATTTTCATGGATTTTCTTCTTGTATAGATTTGAAGGATATGGATTTTGGAGAATTTGAAGATTGTCCTGATCGGTGGGAGCTATGGGCTTGTATAGGGTGTGCGGGTATTAGATCTGGAGATCGCTCGTAGATAGATAGGCTTTTCCTATTTTCTAGTACTAGCCAATGGGAGAACCTAACATTAATACAATGATACGAAATTTAGTAGAAGTTTAGGAAAATAGAGAGGCAAGATGTCATTCTCTGAATAGCATATGGTAGTTCTTATATGTAACTAACAATTCAGGGTCTTCAACCCATGCCATGCTTTGTTTTATAGGAATTTGGTATCACCAGCGGAACAAAGGACTGGCCATTGAACTGTGCTCAGTACTTATAACAAACTATGGTCCTTTTGGCAACTAGAAGGAGCTTCTTCCAGTTTCTACGCAAGTGTCTGTTTACCTGAATGTACTAGTCTCCGATACGGCGATAGTTCCAAGTAAAGCATCATTGGCCAGTTCGATCTCGGCTGAATCCTCGAGCTTTCAATAATTTACCTCTATTGAGGTACCAGTTTCCAAGTCTAAACTCCTCTAGTTATTTCAATTCATTTGCAATGTTTTCTTTCATTGTGATGTGGATGTCTCCGTTTGCTGGCATCTAAGCGCCAGTTCGGTTCGACCTATCGACCAGATGATGCTGGTAGCCAGACTGCCAAGCCAGCCATGGCAGGGTTAAAGAAACTCAGATCAAGCAATGCTGAACTGATCATCCCGGTCAAGCCCACAAGTTTTAGCCTTTCCAAGGAATACGAAGGACTCGTCGGCAATGTCTTTTCATGTCTTGCTGATTGGGCCTGAGCAATCAGGGCGTTTGTTTGACCTGAGACACTTCAACTTTCCACCCACCCAACCTTGACCCCTTGACTTTCTCAACCTCTTTCTTTCCATTTCGATCCCTCCAGTATCTTCAACTCTTCTGTTTATTTTCAGCAAAACACCCCTGCTGTTTTTTTGTGTACCTCTCTCGGGCTCGGGATTCTCATCTGGTCCAGCCAGCTCGGGGATCAGGTGGTCATCAGGTGACCGGGTGACCCGTGCCAATCCAGGAACAACGCTAGTCCCCTTCAGGATTAGCGCTTCTCCAGCTCTCTCCAACTCCAACCTTGCACTCTCCAAGTGATCTCACCATCACTCTCCTCCTCCACCCTGCGCTGGAGCTGTTGTTCTTGGCTTCGATTCCAATCGCCATCTTATTTTGGGCTTCTCTTGTAGGTGGCCTATCCCTCTTTTATTCTTCGCTTCCTATTCTGCCTCTGCCATTTTGCCGTGTTGGAACGGCTTTCTTGCCTTGTGATCGTCCCCGTTTCTCCGTTCTTCCGCCATCGCAAGCTCTCCCACCCACCCGCACCCCTATATTCCGAACATTTTTCATACCTTCCTTGTCCAATTATTCTTTGTCATTGCCATTCATGGTCCGGATCTCCCGGATGGTGCGGCGTGCGCTATCGCCAGGCTTGCGGGATCCATCGTGACTCTGCTTGCTTGGTTCGGGAATCCTCCGTCAACGGACCATCTTCATCATCTCTCTTTACTCTACCCTTCCGCTCTGGCCATGTGCCGATGCTGCGGCTCCGGATTCAATGGGCGCTGGCTTGATAGCGCCTTCATCTTTCTCAATTCCTGATTTACCTTGTCTACTTTCCTTGTCTTTCCCCACACAACCCCGGCAATCGTCCACGTGCCGCTCTTCCGCTCTGTCTTGCAAGTTTCATGGCCTGATATTGACGATGCCGAATATTAGCTTCCCGCGCCCTTTGCGACAACTTTGATCGAGACCGCAGGGTTTCTCGTTGACGTTTGCCTGACCGCGTCGGAGTTCCTCACAGCTGTCTGCGGCAAAAGCCGTGATTCAAAGATACATCCGGAGTCGCTGGGATAAGACAAAATGGATTCATATGAAGGCTATGATGCATCTCCTGGAAGGAACCGCGATGCGGACTCCTTCTCCGGAAGAGCGCCAGCGGAGTATCGCCGCCGATCGCCAGGTATGTCCCTATCACATGGAGGGGTTCTATCCGGTGAAGGAAGAGGAATTTCGCATATTGACTGACAATATTAGCATCTCAAGATCGCCGTGGCCGTGGTCGTGGTCGTTCCCGCTCTCCCATGATTGATCGCTACGAACCTTCCGAGCGCCGCCCCCGAGATGACTTCTACAACAACCCCCGTGAACACGCTGCTCGTGATCGTGAAGATCGCCGACGCGCCCATTCCCCCAATGTTACGAATATCGACCGTTACATCCCCGGCCAAGACGGTGGCAAGCGTCCACTTCCAACAAATCCTCTTCCAGATCCTCTCAGCCTAGACTTTCAAGTCGGTTTTACCTGGTTTGCCGAGTGGTGGAGAGCCGAACAAGCCATCGGCGAGGAGAGAGAGCGCGCCAAGAATGGCGGCCGTCGTGTCAAGGGCGAGCGTGAAGCTCGTGAGGACCGGGATAAAGAACGGGCGCAGATTCAAGCTGCATATGATTCGTACAAGGTTGACCTACAAATCAAGCTGGCAAGGGCATTCGTGCAACAACACCGCGAAGAAGAATGGTTCAAGGAGCGGTATAATACGGAAGTGCGCGACCCGATCCGCAGCCGACTGCTGGACTTCCGCAAGGGAGCATATGAGCAGTGGGAGCGGGATCTTAACGGCGGATTGTTCGATGAATTTACCCTCGAAGGCATCTACAAGAGCGAAAGCGACGGCGCTGGTGGTGTCGTTGAAAAAGAAGAAGGCGAGACCACTGCCGTGGGTGAAACATTGGGAGTTCTGGATCTACTCCCCGTTCGGGGAGGTGAGCTCCGCGATGAGGCGCTGTCTCAACCCGCCTTGCTTATCAAGACTCTTGCGCCCAATGTGAGCCGTGACAAGATTGAGGAGTTTTGCAAGGAACACCTTGGAGAGAATGAGGGCGGCTTCAAGTGGCTCAGCCTTAGCGATCCCAACCCGTCCAAGAAATTCCACCGTATGGGTTGGATCATGCTGCATCCTGGTGGCGATACAACAAATACTGTGGAACGGGGAGATGGTCGCGAGGAGGAGATGGATCATGACAATGGTCTGACTGAAACTGTGACTATCACTGGCGCTGAGAAGGCGCTAGAAGCCGTCAATGACAAGACAATTCATGACCCGGTACACGGCGATTTCACCTGTCACGTTGGCGTTCACGTTCCCCCAGCCCAGCCCCGCAAGAAGGCTCTTTGGGACCTGTTCTCTGCCCCAGAGCGTATTGACCGTGATCTTGAGCTGGCTCGACGATTGGTCTCTCGGATGGACGGTGAGATGAGTGACGTGGATGGATTCAGCAAGATCGAGGAACGTGTCGAGGACCTTCGCGGCAAGGGCTGGCTCCAGCCTCCCGTGACCGGCCCCGTCAGTGTCAAGAAGCACAAGAATGGCTTCAATGATGACGTCGATGAAGGGGAAATGGAGGAGGGTGAAGAGAGAGAAATCTCCGTGGATGACGACGTTGACGACGAGGAGATCCTGGCTAAGAAGAAGAAGTTGGATCTGATGGTCGAGTATCTACGCCGTGTTCACAACTTCTGCTTCTTCTGCGTTTTCGAGAGCGACTCTGTTCACGAGCTTGGTCGCAAATGCCCAGGCGGTCACCTTCGTCGCCCCCGCACCGGTCTCTCCAGTCAAGCCAAGGAGGTTGTTCGTGCCAGTGCACTAGGGCAACCATTCCCTGTCAAGAAGAAGGAGCCGAGCGAGGATGGAGAAGAGCGGGCTTCACCCGTGCAGGAGAGACGCCCTCAGCGTGTTCCCAAGTCGGAGCAACAGCTGCAGCGCGCATTCAATTGGGTCAAGACATTTGAGGATAAGCTCTTGCAAATCCTAGAGCCTGAAACCGCTGACCTGCGCAAGCTTGGCGGTAAGCCTGTGGAGGAGGCTCTCGACGAGGAGCTTGCCAAGTATGTCAAGCAGGAGACCGACGACCGGTATCGATGCAAGGTGCCCGAATGTACGAAGCTGTTCAAGGCGGAGAACTTCTGGCGCAAGCATATTGAGAAGCGTCACGCCGAGTGGCTCGACAAGATTCAGCGTAATGTAAGTTGACCGTTGCATGTCCGAACCTACCTATTGAGGGAAACACACTAACCGCCATCGCAGCTCTACCTCGTGAATGCCTACGTCTTGGATCCTTCACGCATCGCCCCGTCCCGTTCCGATGCCAACAGCAATGGACACTTCCCCCTTGCTTCCGGTCATGGTCAGGGTGGAACCCCCCGTGGGTTCAGCCTGCAGAACGTGCCTTACCTCGGCAACCCAGGGGGTCTTCCTGGCGGATTCCCCCCAGGAGGTATGCCCGTCGTGGGCGCAGGTGGCGCCTGGGGCGGCAATGGTATGGCTGCCGGTGATGGCGCACACCTGCACCAACCTGGCGTCATGCGGCGTGGTGGACACCGTCAACATAACCACCGTGCTGGCCCTTACGACCGTCGCCGTCCTCCCAATGGCAGTGGACGCCTCAGCCCAGTTCGCATGCCTGGCATGTATGGCCCTGGCGGTCGTCTTCCTCCTGCCAACTTCTCCGTACCCCCCGGCCACCCGGCCGCGAACATGGTTCCCCCAAACCCCTTCCCTGATTCCATGGGCGGTGGAGGTGGCCCACAGGGCATCCCTCCACGTGAAGCCGTACAGGGCCGCAGCCTCAAGAGCTACGAGGACTTGGACGCTGTAGGCGGATCGGGCAGCGGGGAGCTAAACTATTAGCCAACACCTTCCATTAACGTCTAGCTACACTTCATTCTCTGTTTCGATTTTTCTTTTTTTTCCTTTACACCTACCTTCCCTTCCTATTTCCCTATCAACAAATCTCGCTGGCGTCGGCGCAAAAAACGGATTGGGTGAATCTGTCGGGTGCGTTTTCATTCATTTGTTTTTTTTGGTGGTATACCATACCATATCTTGTTGCGGGGATCTCTACCTGTGGAATATTTTTCATATCTTTTGTCTGGCTGTCAGCACCTTTTCTTTTTTCTTCAGTCCATTGTTTGAGTTTAGCTTGCGTCTTGCATGTACAATATCCGTCTTCGATTGTTGATCGAGTGACAAATGGAAGATTGAACTCAAAATGTTTCTAAGACTTTGTAGGGGATCTCTAGATGGTTTTGTATCCTTGTACAGACAGTATTCTGGAACCATGGGATGTTGAGAAGGCTATTTCATCAGATGCTTGGTAAACTAGCAATATCCAGATTCATAACATCGTATCAGGGTATCTCGTCTATCTTAAACACATTACAACTCCACATGACATCTCGCTCCCACGGAAGAAACCAAACATAGCCAAATAAACCCCCCCCCCCAAAGCGTATCATATCAGGGCATCTGAATAACAACCTCCTCCCAAGAATCCACCCACTTCAAGCCCATTCCCCGGACACGCCGCTCACTAGCAAGATATAGCATGAGATAAATGTGCATAGAGACTTCGCCCCATGCATAGACTTTTATCAGGGCCGCTATGGGCGTGTTGTCTGCTGCTGCTGCTGCTGCTGTAGTAGTTGTGGTTTTGTTAGCGGTAGCATTGGGTGAATTGGTTCCCGGTTCTGGATCTACGTGTTCGGCAATACACCATACGCCCCACCCTGCGCGGGCGTCTTTTGCGATGAAGTTTGACAGGAATGTCCAGAAGTGGGTGAATTGTGGTTCCGTCCATGTTTGGGGGGTTGGTGATAGATCAGCGCCAGAATCCCCTTCAGAGGTCCCTCGTTCTGTTTCTTCCTGTGCTGGCGTTGACTCTGTCGGAGCGATATTCACACGCATAGCCCAGTACCCGCGTTCAAGCGTATCCAGTTCCCGGGATTGATGAATTGGCTTGTACGTGCGGGCGGGTTTGAGGCGCTCGGTGAGCATGGCTAGGGTTGGTGTGATGTGTGTTTTGAATGTAGAGGTGGATATTGGGGGTGGAGGGGGTCTGAGGGAGAGGGGGAGGGATTTGGAGAAGGGGGTGTTTTGATGGTGAAAGGAGAGGTCATTTCGAATAGGAGGCTGCTTCTGATGCTGCTGCTGCTCGGTCTCCGTTACCCAGACAGCAGCATCTGCAGAAGCGGAAGCAGAAGCAGGATTCGGGACATGCGAAGGGAAAGGGGAAGGGGAAGGACGAGTATGCGAATGTGAGTGCAGATGGGTCAAGGGAGGACGTGAACTTTTGTCTGCGTGCCCTGGAAGTGCTTTTTCTTTTTCGTGATGTGTTGAACATGAAGTGATGGTACTTTCTATTTCTGCGGCCTTGGTGATAGTCTGGCCCGCTGGGGACGGCGGGTAGGGTCCGACCCGCCGCCGTTTAGGTGGGTGATCTGGTTGATCTTCCTCGTGCAGCGGTGGTGAATCCTGCGGTACTGGGGGGCATGGTCGTTCAGCGTATACAGCTAGTTCTGGCTGAGAGTCTGGGATCACGCTGATTATACTCTCTAGTGAGTCCGGCGCGAGTCGAGACCGAGGCTGAGCCTCGAGACCACTTTGATGCTCAGCCTCACTAATCGGATTCCCAGGCGCCAGTGCTGAGACCAGATGACTGGGCCTGATTTGATTTGCCTCAGGATCAGGACCGGGTAAGATCGACTGGCGATCACGCCGTGGGCATGGACTTGGATTTGAATTCGCAATGGGAGTAGCCGTGACAGGCGGATCGGATAGTGGACGGTCATGCGCTGGAGGGGACTGCGGATTGCCCAACGGCTTCTTTTTCCGTTGGTGCATCAAATCCCGATCACAGCGACTATCACTGCTAGTCTGGCCCACTCCATTTGGCTGGCCAGCTATTGCCGCACTTGCATTTGCATCGTCCACAGCCTGGCGGGGGACCGAAGATGGCGCGGAAATGAGCTCGGGCGCCTGCAGTAGGAAAGAGGAGGCTGCGGGCTCTGCATTCTCTGCATATCCCGGGCCATCCGCAGGTGGCAGGGCTTCTAGTGTTACTCCAGCATCTGCGATCAGCGGCTGGCGCGAGATAGGCTCGAAGGCGCGAATAGCGGCGACTTGAGCACGATATCGGGCGTCGTCGCGGGCGGAACTGGGGGCGGAGACATGAACGAGGATCTCCATGGGGGTGAGACCCGATTTGGTGGGAATGGCCCGGAAAAAGGATCCCTTGGAGAGTGTGGGAGTACTTTTCGTTAATCCTAGATGATCATAGGTGTGCCTGGATAGGCAAATGGGTCATTCGACTGATTGGAGGGGGAGTTCACTTAGGGAAGGATTGGGGGGTGAAGTGTGCCCGGCAAAGTATTTGTCACGAGAGAACCACCCAAATGCAGGCAGTTCGTGGGACTATTGGAGGATTGGGAAATACGGTGATTGGATGATCAGAGGAGGAGGGAGGAAGAAGAGGGGCTATTGGGGGTGAATTGGGATGAATTGTTGGGTTTATTGGTAGACTTGCATGCTATCAAGAGAGTGTATGTTATTCTAGTCTGTTAGAGTGGTGTACTTGTGTATAGTTCGTGGGCATCATATCATATCCAGTACGATGTACTTGGATCTCATAGGGCAGAATACCTGGAAATAAGAACCAACCAGGATAATATCTTTAATTTATACGACCTATACGCTGGTAGACTCGCATCTCCGCGTCAATTATTCTTTATTATTCGTCTCTATTCTTAATTGTTTAGGGTCGAGGCCAAAGGAGCCACACCGTTTTTGTGGAGCCCATCGTGACGAACTGACGAGCTAATAATTTGGGGGTCGAATATGTCTAGACTAGAGACTAGAGAGCTCAACTTGGAATACTCTTTTTTTTGGTACTCGCTGATCTTCTATACCATGAATCATTTGTCCACTGTTAGGCTTAGTACTTAGTATAATGGTAAGTGTGGCAGTGTGAAGAAAGGATTTTTAGTACTTTCGTCGTACGACAACTTGGAAAGTACAAAATCAAACTAATCGGGTCTCCTCGTAGTTGATAAACTTGTCATTTTATTTGATCTCTCCTCCTCCATCATTCTCTTCCTATTTCACCTTCTCCTCAGCGTTCCTGTCCACCCTAGCACAACTCCCGCCAAGCCTCCTCAATTCTTCGTGATCCATCACATCCACTTTTGCCCGCCCCGGCCCCAACGGTGCCCGCTCGGACTTTCTTCTCCCTTCAACTCCCTTTCGGCCACCGTTAGAAACTTTGAGACACTCTTCATTCTTGTCTTGTCTGGCATCGATCTCTTGTCCACACCATGGCATCTGGCGGGGTCTACCCTTTAGACACTCAGCAGCTTCCTGGTGAGTTCCGCCCCCCCTTCAAGCTTTCCAGCTCCCGTCTCCGATCGATCTCGAACCTCAGCCGCCTCGGAAGGCTCCATCTTTGCGACCGTGCTTTCGATGAGATCGGGTCCGATCTGGTGGCGGGTTTTTTCCCATCGCGATGGACGACGATTCCCCTGGCTTCCCTTCCCCAGATTCAAGAAACATTCCAACTCTATTTCCAATCCCTCGCAACCATGGCTTCCATTTCGCCTGCTAACTTCTCCGCGCCGGTGCCCGCTTCGACGGGGTATCCGGTGCCTTCCATTACAGCTGCTGCACAACCCGAAACTCCAACCAGAGGTGCCTTTGGCACTGAGTTCTTTAAGATCTTTGCAGGCCCCAAGAAGGTGACTCGAGGTGGGTGAAGCTTCTAGCCTGCGACAATCGATCCCGATCTAATTAATACCCGGTGGTTTGTCTATAGATGGTACTGCACCCAAACGTCGCGGGCCCAAACCCGATAGCAAGCCCGCTCTCACTCGACGACAGGAGCTGAATCGCCAAGCTCAGAGGTACGAAATGAATCGCGCGATCATGGTAGTTGGTATGTATCATTGACGGACTGTCACAGGACACATCGCGAGCGCAAGGAACAATACATGCGAGCTTTGGAGACCGAGGTCTCGCGGTTGCGGGAGGCTTATACCACGGAAATCTCCGATGCGAACGTTGCTCTTCAACAACACAAGGAAATGCTTCACGTGGTGCGAAATGAGAATGAAGTCTTGAAGGAAATATTGGCCGCACACGGCATCAATTATGCTGCCGAGTTAGAGCAACGGATGGCTGAGCGTGGTCCGCTGGCTGGTTTCCAGTCGAGTCCCGTCGCAGCTAGCAGCACTGGATCAAATACCGCCCCTTTCACCAATGCGACTAGCAACCAGAATGTCACACCAGCAACTTCGATTTCAACCGGGCTAAGTCCTCAAGCGACCGGCGGCGTGGAGCATCCCGATGTTTCTCCCCCGATGGGTTTCGTGCCTCAGCAGCAAGTATACCACGCGAGTCCGAATGAGAACCTGGGATTGGACCGGTCTGCGTGCCAGGTGGTCGATACACCCGTGCCAGCGATGCGCGGTGTCTTCGAGAGTGACCCACAGCTTCAGATTGACTTCATCTTAACGTACGCTATGTCTCTGATCGTTACTCCAGAAATCTTTCTAACAATCATTCTCTACACAGACTCGAAGGCCCCTGCCGTGAACATACTGACTACCTCTGCCGTCGTTCTATCACCGAAGCCGACGATGAGGATATGCCCTTCTCCGGCCACGCCCTGATGGCCACCTGCCCACCACCCAGTTACATCGCCAACACTACCCCCGAACAGGCTTACCCACACAAGACCTACGATCTGCCTCTCGCCAATCTCGGCACTTTGCTCAACCTGAGTCGCCAGCTCGTCACGGACGGTCAGATCACGCCTATCATGGCGCTGCAATGTCTGAAGAATCACGAACTATATCACTCACTCAGCCGCGACGACATCAAGATTATTATCGAGACGCTAAACACCAAGGTCCGCTGTTACGGCTTTGGGGCCGTTGTCGAAGACTTTGAGCTTATCGATTGTTTGAGTAGTGTGCTGGGCACGACGGTGGACTTGAGCGTGTCCCGTGTCCGGGACGACTCGATGTACGCTTGATCTGCTCGCATGACGAGTATGGAGGTGTGCGACTTCTAGTGTGGGGACGATGTCTTCACCCTTGAAGGGAAACGATTATGATTCTGACGTTTGGAAACTGTTCTTTTGCGCTCTCTTGTGGAGTGGAATCGGGTGCTCTGAGCCCTTCACCTTGATTCATTTACTTTCGGTGTTTGTATGGCTTGATATTGCCCGGTTCCTTTTGCTTTTCTTCATGCTCTCCCGAATTCCTGTTTCATTGTTTTTTCTACCCTTCTTTCTATTCTGACCCAAAAGTGCCTCTTCTATCTGGCTGACTTTGGATCTTGACTTTTGTGTTTGACTGGGAGACCTTTTATTCTTATGGAGATGTATATACTGAAAATGGCCCAGGCGGAGCGTGGGCCCGGGGAGTTATCATTTTTCTTTTGTGTTTGAACTTTGGATTGACTACTTCTTACTGTTTCCTTGCCCGTTACTTGTCTACTTGATTTGAAATAGGCAATCCATCATGACAGGTGGTTTTCATACAAGAAATTCCATTCTGTTACCGTGCCATACTCCACTAAACATTTCATTCTCAACCCTCCACTCCCTCCCATCCCCATCAACTTCTCTCTCCCCCTACTCCTCCTCCTCCTCCTCCTCCTCCTCCTCCTCCTCCTCCTCCCCACGATCAATCCTAACAGCAAAACACCCTGGCCCCGCATAATGAACAAACAAAAACCTCACCCCCTCATCCCCAAACAACTCCCGCGCCTTCCTAGCTAACTCCTCCCCCTTTACAACCGCAAACCCAACCATCATCTGCTCCGCATCATACGCCCGCACAGCCACCAGCCGTTTCCGCTGCTGCTCCGGGACAGACCCGTTACATTGGTATTTTGCGCAGGGGGTGCGGTGGATGTAGATTGGGCTTGGGACTGTGTATGGCGATGTGGAGCTGGAGCTGGAGGGCGAGGGGAAGGGGTTGTAAGTTAGGAGGAGCATTTCTTCGCCGGGGAGCCCGTCTTGGAGGCAGTTTCGGCAGGGGAAGGAGTTGGCGTGTGTGACTTGTTTTATGTGTGTTGTTGGGTTGGATTCTGGGGTTGGGGGGAGGGGAGTTGGGAGGGGGGTGAATTTGAGCATGCTGTTGGATGGCAGAGGGGGTTGTGTCTAGGGTGATAGGGTCAGGTTGGGTGTTGTGGTTTGGATATTTGGAAGGGGGACGAACATATTGAGTGATGGAAGTATTCAGTGAAGAAAGAGTCCCGGGTTTGGAGAATGGTTGATTATTTGGAAGTACGGGCTGTCTTGGATGGCTATTTATGGGGTTTGTATGCTTTCAATGTGGCCAATCATAGGGTGGGGAGTTTTAAAGTGGCGGTTTATCTTCACGGGCAGCTGGAGTGGTTTTGAATTATCCAGTGAGGATTGGAATAGTAGGTAAGATTAGTATGTTGTTGAATTAGCCTATAGGCGACTTACAATGGAGTTAGAGTAGATAGCTTATACGGCCTAGCTATCTAGATAGACCTGAAGTCCAAGTATATAGTGTGGATGGGCTTAAGCCCAGGAATGCCAAGCGCGAGTTTAGTGACAGACGAACTGGATATTTGGAGCTAGGAGCAAGACGATTTAATTAATAAAACTGCTATTTCTATTCTATTACAATAATTCCTCCATCGTTGATATAAACCCAAATAGCAACCTACCAAACCACCGTCGCGTCTGATAAGCGCCACACGCGACCCCGGACCATATCCAGGGCTCCTTATCAACCAAAAAAAGTCACCACCCCCCCTTTTTGCAAAACCCATCTCAATGCCCCCCAAACACCCCAATCACCGGGTAAACCCCGCAGATCGACTCGCGCTGGCGATAATCGGACTCAAGACGGGCAAATACACCACCCCCCGCGAAGCAGCCCGCCAAAATGGGGTCTCAGAAACCACTCTCCGCGCGCGCGTCAATTCCATACCTACATGCGCCCTTCTACGCGTAAAGAAATCCACAAACAAGCGGGCCAAGATTCTCCGCCTAACCAGAACAGAGGAAAACACCCTCTACAACTGGATAATCCAAGTCCACGAAGGCGGGCGTGACATGGACGCCTCCTCCATCAAGGACATGGCTAATACGCTTCTCTCCAAGCGCGACGGAACACACGGCTATCGCGTGTCAAAGGACTGGGTATCGGGATACCTCCAATTCCACCCAGACATCTCTGCTATTGTGGAGCATCACAAGCAACGCCTTGAACGGCTCAATTTACGTCCGATAAATTCGTTCGCGAGAAGTCGGGATCCTAGGAAGACATGTGTGAATTTCTTGCATAATACGAAGATGCACGCTATGGAGCAGAATCGTCTGGAAGGGGAGTTTTTGGAGAAGTGTGAGGAGATGGCTAAGGTTGATCCGGGTGCGGTGCGGAAGTTGTTTTTGGATGAGGGAGGATTGAGGGATGTGCTGGATGTGTCGGTGAAGGTGGGGGGCTGATGCGTGTGTGAAGATGATTGATTTGTTTTGGGAGGAGGGTGTGGATTGTCAGGAGTTTTTCGATGCGTATGATGAGATTGAGGATGTTATGGATGATACGAAGGAGTTGAGGGGGGAGATTGAGAGGGAGTTTGGGGGTTTGGAGGGGGAGGAGGACGAAGATGAGGAGGAAGATGAGGACGAGGAGGAGATTTGAATGTATTTCTTTCATGGAGTTGAGGTAAAAAGTGTATATAGGAGGTTGAAACTTCCAGCAATGGGAGTTTTTGCATGTATAGTATTTCTACATTTGAATATAATTAGTTTCTGGCCGAGGGCAGGTATAGTGGATTTATTAATGAATCGTAATGAGGCTCACGTCATTTCTTATCAAACTTTTGCAACGTATGCACATCCAGGGAAAACAGGTGATAAAACGTAAAAAATCTCTAATCCAAGCAATAGAACAGCACATCATAGGAGGCATATATCTACTCCTCATCCTCCTCGTCATTCTCCTCATCCTTCTCCTCAGCCTCAGCCTCCTCATCCTCATCGAAAGTGGAAGCAGGCACGCTGTACAGACGAAGGACGTTGCGGTTGGGGTCCTTGATCAGAACGTACTTCTTGACAGCATCCTCGGGCTCATCGGCATCCAGAGAGCGGATACGGTCGACAACGGTGCGGACAATACCCCAACCGTTGCTGAGGTTCAGGTTCATCTGGGTAGCGAACTCGCGGGGCTTGTAGCCAGCAACGCCGAGAACGACGTGGCCAGCGGCGGAGCGGGGGTTGGCACGAGAGACGAAGCCGAGCTTCATGCCGTCGGCCTTGGCCAGGATAGCCTGGGTGGTCCAGCGGGCGAGCTTGGAAGAGTTGTTCTTCATCTCAGTGGCGAGGACGGCACCACGCTGGGAGACGAGCTTGCTGCGCCAGTCGAGGGCGTTGCCGGAGCCGGGGGCCTTGCTGTCGAACTCGTTCAGGGCCTTGACAACCAGCTGCTGGTCGGCACCACCGCCGGGGTTCTTCATCACAGCGTCGACCTCGGTACGGACGATCAGCTGGAGGGGCTCCTCGTCGCGCTCGAGACCAATATCGAAGCGGCGGTACTTGTAACCCTTGGAGGCAAGGGGCTCGGTCTCCTCGGCCTCGTTGTAGAAGGGGTTGGGGTGGGTGAAGGAGACCTTGGCCTGGTCGGACTCAGTCACGGTCTGGAGGGCGAAGTTGTGGTTGATGAAGGTGGCCTCCATGGCCAGAGCGCTGGGAGTGTTGATCTGCTCCTGCTTGCCAGAGGCCTCGGAAACCTCGAGAGGGGCATCGTAGGCGTTCTCGTTAACGGTCACCAGGTCAATAGAGGCACCGGCACGCTTGTCGAGGTAGATCTTGCCGCCCTGGTGGACGATAATAATGTCCCAAGAGTACACACTGCGAGTAGCACACATGAGCATGGAGAGAATGTCGGAGGTAGCGAAGACGGTGGCCTCGTTCTTCTCGGCAAGCTCGTGGATAACGGGATCCTGGGAGGTGGTGACGTTGTAGGCGGCACGCTCGAGGCTCAGGAGCTTGCGCTCAGCACCCTTGACGGGGGCCTTGTCGTAGGAGCGGTCGTAGTAGTGCAGGAAACCGTAAGACTCAAGGTCCTCACCCTCGGGGGCCTCCAGGTTCAGCTTAGAGAGGCGGCTGAAGTCAACCTCCTCGATCATCTGCCACTCAGGGCGAATGTTGACGGAAGGCTCGCGAGTACGCTGGGGCTTGTCATAGTCCTTCCAGCCGAAGCGACGGCCACCACGGCCACGGTTGCCGCGCTGATCGTAGAAGCGGTCCTGACCACGGCCACCGCCAGCACGCTGGAAGCCACCACGAGCACCACCGCGCTGGAGCTGACCACCACGCTGGCCACCACGGCCACGGAAAACGGTGCCACCGCCACGACCGAAGGTACGCTTGGCGGAGGTACGAGTGTTGTCGACAACGGAGAAGGAAGACTCGTCTTCGGCAGCCTGGATGGTGAACAGGCTGGTGGAACCGGCACCGTACACCTGCTGATCTGTATTCGAGAAAGAAAATTGTTAGAGATACATTCCAAACTAGTGTCGATCATCCGGCGGGATGGCAAAAGAGCGACACAAAGAAAAAAAAAGTGTGGTGCAAAGTCGATCGCTTACCTCTGAAGTTGCGGTTGTACTGCTGGCGACCCTGACCAGCACGGTCCTTGGACTCAGCAGTCCAGTCAGCCATGCGGCCCAACTTGTCGCCCTTTGAGAAAGGAGCGTAGGGAACGCCCTCGAGCATGTTGTCGCCCGAGGTGGCAGGACCCCAGGCATCCTCAGCCGGCAGAGCGGCGACGAGGTCCGCAATAGAAATCGGGGCCATTGTCAAAATTGTATGCACCGATGACACGAAGGACTAACGGTGGGTTGTGGATAATGGAGCGTGGGGTGAATGATTATCGGCGGGAAGTTTTTGTGTCGCGAGAATGTGGCTGGTGCCGCCCGCAAAGCGGTGAGCACCGCCACATCACGTGTTGTGGCCTAGCCATCGCCAGGGGCAGAGAAGTATAAAAGGTCCTTTTGGGAATTTACCTTGGGAATTCATGTCTCATAGTCACTGAGTTCCAACATGATAAACTGTGGCATAACAAGATATTTCTCACCTAGCAGGACTCTTTTCATCGATGCTATACACTGCGTCCTAGAGAAAGCCTAAGTTTAAGGTGTACTGCACGAGAGAACAGAAAGTCAAGCACATGCACATCTCAAAGGTGTTAGTAGCTATGGAGTACTCACCGAGACTCCAATACTGATTAAATGTCTAAAATGATATGTTTTGTTCTGAAATACTGGCTGACACATGATTTTGAAAGAATATGATACATCAAAGGTCAACAAGTCCCGTTTTGTCACCAACTTCAACCCCTTAGGATGTACTACTGTTGCGGTATCTTCAGTATCTTCAATTCTCTTCACGTAAAGGAATCCTATTTATCAAGATTGATGATCTTGACAAGAATAATCACCACTAGCGATTCCAAGGGTCTTGGAAGAGCCTCGCTTCGAGAACTGCACCTGAGAAGCCACTCAGCGCCACGATCGACCGCCATCGCTCTTGGTTCTAGCGATGATTCAAGGGGTATCATCGTCGTTCGGATCGAGACTGGGCAATCAACGTCTGTTTGCTTATCTCGACTGTCCAAAGGAACGGCAGAGTCAACTTCCGGTACACTAACTAACCGCAGTATCCGCTTAATACTGACAAATTAGATGCATAAGAATACATAGGGAGACGATATGGCAGATTTGCTTTTTATTTCCCATTATCAACTTGGTTCTTCTCCAGGATTTGACCAGTCTGTTAAGCCAACCGGGTTATTGACGTTCGTTACAGTGGGTCGTCCTTCTTGGCAGTTGCGAGTCGATCTCACTGGACAATGCGCCCCCGGAATGGTGCTCCACTGATAAGGAACAATGCCACCTCCCGACCACCAGGAACAGAGAACCCACGGTCATTGACCCGCAAACTATTGGACTGCAACATAAAGTGTGAGATCACGGGCATTGGTTCGATCTAAAAAGATCAACAAGGCCGAGCTAGGACCATCGATGATCGGCAGCCAAAGACAGCCTCGCTTAGGGCGTGGCCTGGAGGCTCACCGAACCATAGCCTTGGAACCTCGGTCAATAATCTCAGCATTTCTGATCTATGCATTCAGCTGAATTTACCCAAGTAGACGGTGCTTGTACCTGCATGATGTCGGCCATTCCCTGGCCCACAATTCTGGATGGATGTCTTTCCGAGTGGGTAAGTTGATGTTATCTAGAGTTTCCTTTGCAGATCAATTGGGGTTTATCATGGTGGATTCTTGTAGACATTCCATCCCATCCATTACAGCTCACAATTCTAATGACTTGAGTCCAAACAAGAACTGATAAGACTTCTTTTCTGTAGTTACGAGGCAAGTATCATCGCTTGGCAATGGCAGAGATCACCTCACTGGAGAATTATATAAAGGGCAGGAAGATGTCGTGGGTGGGAAATCATCAGCTCACAATCCAATTCACTCTTCTCTCTACACACTTCAAGCTTTATTTTTTCGTCCATCCAGACTTGACCACTTCTATCAAAATGCGTTTCTCCCTGATCTCCGTTCTCTCCCTCGTCGGCGCCGGTATGGTGTCCGCTCGTCCTTCCGAGGGCTCTATGCTCGCCATGCGTGATTCCACTGAAAGCAAGGTCAAGGCGGCCGACGCTGCTCTGGCAGGCCACAAACTCGAGAACGAGTCTGAGGTCTCGGAGTGTATCGCCCCTCTGCTTTGCTGCAGCTCTCTCACTACCCCTCTGGATCACATCGTGGATCCTATCCTGAAGGATCTTGGCATTGACGCCGCCAAAATTGTCGGATCCATTGGTCTGCTGTGTAAGCGACTTACTTGCTTACAATAAACAATTTTGAAGATTCTAACGCTCTATTTTTAGGTGACCCCTATACTTCCGCTTGCACCTCGGCCCCTCAGTGCTGTACCGAGGCCAACCTGCTGGTGAGTTCCTGCATCAAAACCGATATCATCCTTAATGATTTACTAATATCATGACTCAGGGTGGTGCTGTTGCTCTCGGCTGCTCCGAGTACAAGGAGGAGGAGGAATAGTTTCAGTCCTTTTAGGATTACTGAAAGGTGTTTAGCGGAGTTGAAGACGTCGCCGTCTTTCTGCAGATCATGTACATTCATTTCGAGGAGATTATTATCTCTAATTACCTTTCATTTTGTCAGATAAATACAATAATTCATACATATTGTCATTAAATGTTCACCTGTGTGATAGTCACGCAAGAGCCTGCACCGACGTTGTTTATAACAGAATGCACCTGGTCCATAATATTAAGCATTGATAGAGACCAAGGAGAAGACCAATCGGGGTATCTGGCCTCAATCAAGCTATTCTTAAATATTACCAATAGTATCGTAATTAAGCCCTCTCGCTTCCTACCCTGCTCTCTCTTTCATCTCTTGTTCCGATGTCGGCTTCGACCGAGACCAACGGGGAAGTTTTTCAGTCTCAAACAATATCACCACAAGTATGACAGCAATTCCAAAAAGACCTCCCACGGCTCCATAAGCGGCTTCTCCTCGAGTAGTATTTGCTGCAAGTCTTAACCCAAGGCCCCCGTTGATAATCCCCAGCAGAATAAGGCATCGGCCATACCAGACATGAAAATGCGTCCAACCTCCACGCTCTTGTGTTTTGCGAAATCGGTAGTGATGTGCCAGCCCTATAAACGGTTGTAGAAGCAGTAAAATCACAACGATGGTTCCGAGAATGGTATGGGTGTTGTTGTGAAGCTAAGTCTTATCAGCCGTAAGCCTCCCTTCCCATAAGAGGGCAACTTACACGATCGAGGATCTTTCCCACTCGAATGCCAGAAGCAAGGCCAGCAATCATGAGAGCCCAACTGAGAGTTTGCCATCCTGCATGAATCCAAACTGTATTCTTGCCTTTGCAAAACCGAATTACAAATACCCCGATTGGCATCATGACAGTGAATACCAGGCCCATTACTATTCCATGCGCTTTCAAATAACCAGGAACCAAATGTAGATCCTCATATATCACTTGGGCCGTCGAGCGTTCGACCAATATGCCTGTTCAAGTCAGTATGCCCCATTAATATGAGGAAAGTTCCGGTTAAAAATGCATACCCATAATGACGCAGATAGACAGGAATGTGTGTGAGGCTCCCATAGTGGCTGTCAAAACACTGTCCGATTTAACAACCAGATATCTTTGAGTCCAACTGATGGCCAGAGCTCAACATTTGGCAACATGCCAGTATATATACCCCTTGAGGTTGTGATCACTTCATAGTGTTCAATTGTATGCATTCTCCTTCCGTCCAATAGGATCGCTCTGCGACCCGAAACCCCGAGAAATGCGAAGACGATAACTTGGCTGGCTTGGCATAGCATAGCCCCTCCTCGTATTCGCGAAGTGGACTTTACCATGATAAAGATGACCGAGATTCCCGAGAATTCTGGAGATTTTCTTCTCTCCGTTGACAGAATCTACAGATCTTCTGCTTTGACGGTCGCTTCAAAGATGGCCCCACAAATAATCAAAATCAAAGCCTGCATCGGTTGTCGAACAAGAAAAGTGAAATGCGACCGGGGATCACCATGTACCAACTGTAGCCGGTGGTCGATACCTTGTACATACCCACCCTCTGTGAGAAAGTGTCAGAGGAAACCGAGAAGAGAAGAATATGATGTCACCTTCGATTCCGAGAAAAGCGATCGATACCTGAACACATCGAGTTCAGTCACGCCGACTAGAAATCTAGTCCATACTGGAAATTCAAACGCCGAGGAGCAGAGTCCAATACAGGGCTCCCAATTCCGGAAGTGCTGGGAGTACTTCTTCGAACGCGTGGACCCTGTTATCAAGATATTGCACCGCCCTAGTACTGCCCGGATTCTCGAGGTATCGGCAAAAACACCGAGCTCTCTCAATGAAAGTGAGCGGGCTCTCACTCATGCTATCTATTTCTCCAGCATAGCCTGTATGTCACATGAAGAAGTGCATGAGATTTTTGATATGACCAAAGAAACGGTTATGGAGGTCTATCGCTTGTCAACTGAAGAAACGCTTGCCAAGGCAGTCTTGCTGAATATGGAAGAGGATCTAGTCGCATTACAAGCACTTGTCCTCTTTTTATCTGTCAGCAATCTAACGGGAAAACCCAAAGTTGCTTGGAAGCTTACTGGCATAGCACGGAGATCTGGAGTGTTCAGCCAAACTAGGCATTCCCCTTTTCAGATTGAGATGCGCAACAGACTTTGGTGGCAACTTTGGTACCTTGACCACCGGGCTGCCAAAGACCTTGGGCAAAGGAATGGGTTGGAAAATCTTCATACTTTCGAGCTTCCTTTAAATGTGAACGATTCAGACCTTGACCCTTCTTCAAGTCACCTGGCCACCTCCCGAAACGGCTGGTCTGAACAAACCTTTGCTCTTGTTCGCTACAGAATCGCACAGACCAGACAAATGCTGAGCGAGGATAATGTAATGACACGGAAACAGGAGATCATACGGGCCTGTGAACAACAACTACATGATCATCACCTCCAGTTTTGCACAGACCAGCAAAGCACAATACAATGGTTGACTCGTCATGTCGCTCATGTTCTCGTCATGGAGATGTGGTTCGAACTATACAGTGCCGATACGATAGACATTAGCTCTGTGGGCTTGGCTGATGACGGCCAGCATGAGCAAGGTTTCCGAGATTTTCTATTTCTGAATGCGATCGATATTGTCGACACTACTACTCGTCTAGAGTGGGAAACTCAATCTCGACAGTGGGCTTGGCTACTCAAGGGTTATCAGCAGTTCCACCCATTGGTATTTCTACTTAACGAATTGCAATATCGTGAACAATACGCGGCGGTAGACCATGCGTGGAAGGTGGTAGAAAGCGCACTGAGTCGCTGGCCGCCTACAACCCGAGACTCATCAAATGGCAGAGTGATGGAAAATTTGAAAGACAGTTGGTGAAATCCAGCGAAGGCTAAGCAAGAGAACTAGGGAAAGGTCTTAGATTTCCATGACATGTCATTGGTTCGGATATTGATCAGCAGTGCTCCATGAGATGCTTACATTTTTAATTAAAACTAAATTGACATGATCGTAGCCTATTCAGAAACCGGTCTGTTATACGACCAACCCTCAAAAAGTCTCATCGTTGCAGGCGTAAGACCTGGCACAAAGTATGAGATGCAGCGGAACCGCTCTCCTCGAGCAAGAGAGGTCCAATCAACTCTGAAGGAGATTGGCCACCTCCCATTTCTATTGGATTGTGTTGGCAGCTGCCTTTGATAGAATAAATGTGGCAGATGACGATTTCTCACTTGACAAGCCTCATACGAGGAAGCTGCTCCATGATCAAGCAAATGCTGTTTGATTCTTGTATCCTTCTCATTGTTTTGAGTATCGTATGATGCCCATGAAGTCCATGTCAGCGCCGTCCAACCATGACTGTCCATCGCATTGATCTCGGCTTTCCCGGTACGGAGAAGATATTTGATAGTATCTTCATGTTTACTCCTGGTCGCTAATTGGAGCGGAGTTAAAGAATCATAGATCTTTGGGAAGGGTGCCATTTCGGCACCTGCAGAAAGTAGTATCTCAATAATCGCCGTATGACCCCTACACGCAGCCCAACACAGTGCTGTTGAGCCGAGTGGAAGATCTGGCCATTTCCGAAGATGTGACGAAAGAAGGAGCTCGACGACCTCCTCATGCCCGGCAACAGCCGCCCAAGTTAATGGACTCCAGTCGGAGCTGAAGTCCTCGCGTTCCCGACGGACAGTGTTCTCAACGAGTAACTCTACCAGGTCATAATGGCCTTTCATGGCCGCATAGGAAAGTGGGGATATGCAACTTTCACCATGAGACTCTATAGACACCCCGCGGTCTATGAGAAACTGCACAGCACTAATGCGGCCATTCTCCGCGGCCCACGAAATAGGAGATCGATAAGATTCCGGCGAATGAAGAGATGCACCATGGTCAAGGAGTAACTCCATTAATGGTAGATATCCACATGCTGCTGCCCAGCAAAAAGGAGTGCGAAGCTTCTCATCCAGGAGATTAACGTTGGCACCATGTTGCAGAAGAAGCTTCAAGACCTCTTCATAGTGCTCCCCACAAGACCAAGATAAAGATATGGAGGCTAATGAGGCAGACTGGTCAAGGTCTTTTGCCTCAGGGCATTGCGTGCAATATCTCTTGATATTCTGTGCATCATCCCAGCTTATAGATCCAACGATGTCTTCTTCAAAATAGGCCATGACCGGACAATGAAAGGGGAACCTCGGATCCAAACTTAGAATCTCCGTATTACCTGGTATGTTCCGAGGTCCTTTCATTGGCTCAGGTGAGCCAGCCCAGTGCAAGGGCGTTCGCTTGATATCATCTTGAGTGTTTGGGTCTGCACCGGCTCCCAAGAGGAGGCGAACTATATCGAGGTGCCCTTGTTCTGCAGCGAATGATAAAGGAGTTCGACCTTTGGGGCATTTTATGTCCACAGGGATGCTCTCGATCTCCAAAAGAAGTCTTATCATGTCCACATCTCCTCGAATCGAGGACCAGGCAAGCAGACCCAAGCCACGATAGCGGAAATAGTCGCCTTTCATGAGGCCATTCGGATTAAGTTGAGATTTTCCTTGAATCGATCGGTCGGCATTCAACCGTAAAAGTAGTCGGACGGTACTGATATGTCCCATTTGTGTGGCGAACACGAGTACCTTATGGCATCCGTCACGATCAATTTCACTATCGTACAACCATGGCAGGAAAATATCGTAAAAATCACGGTTTACACGAGCTAGGCAGCTCAGGTCCTTGGGTAATCTGAGATCACCAATGATCTGTCTCAAGAGCTCGTTTGGTAGATTGAGAAGCGACATGTTGTGGTACTTGTGAATAGTTAGCGCAGGAGAGTAAAATGGAGATGAGTTGAGGCTAAGATTAAAGCAAGACAGTCGATAGCATTCAAGAAAACTGTTTCCTGTAATACATCGTGGCAGATGTCGCCCTAGCCACCACCGTAAGCGAGGGCTGAAGCTGGTAATTACGTCGGACTATTGGGTTCACTTCCCTAAAACCCCTACATCCTAAAAGTGCCTTCACCGCTTATTCCACCGCCCTATACCCTCTAACTAAATATTCTTGACGTACAACTATGGAGGTTATCTTATAAATCACATAGATATTTATCTGAGTTACTATAAGCTCCTCATAAAAGAGTAACTATTTACTAGGATTATATATACTAACGTGGCTAGTTTAATAATAAGATTAGTTCTAAGATTGGTCTTGAGATTAGTAAAATATTTAGTAGGTTATAGATAATATTAAAGTTTAAAGTAATTGGTTAGGCTAATCTGAATTAATCTCAATCCTTTTCATGCGGTAAAATCGTGCTTCTATAAGCTATATAGGAAATACACAACCAGATTATGTGGTAAATTGTGTAGGATATAACGAAAGGCCAAAATCGAGTGGATTCTGCCGGGTTGAAAATTGATGACTAAGGGGTTTGGGGAAGTGCACCTACCTAATTAGGTAGTCCGTTGTAGGTAATCTAAGACCGAGGGCTTATCGATCGCTTTCCATCAAGTTATGGCCTTTAGCTATCGTACCGGGAAGCAATACTCATGTTACCGCTAATATGCTATCAACTATTTCTTAAATTTAATCTAGCGATACGATATGAATCTTGCCCCATGAAACCCTAGGCAGCAGCTTTCGATGACGGATGAGGGTACGAGGTAGAGCTCAGCCCCACTAAATCCGAGGACTTGAGCCCTTGCTTATATTCGGTGATTACCCCCGATTTCTTCGATGTAAGATTGTACTCTGTTCCATATCAGATTATTTCAGATATTTTTCGAGTCGCACTCCAGTATTTCTGACATTAAATCGAAAGGACCTGTTATCTTAATTCCCGGGGCCCTTTACTCAAGTATTAGACTGTCGAATCAGCATTTTCGACCGAAAATAACTTGCCATCATTCCCCTTGCTCTCGGAGAACATTGTCATGGAGCAAGCCGGGCTTCAAGGCTCTAAGCTTGAGAGCGAAACTACTACCATTGCCGATGGCAACACGATTGCTCGCTGCAATCTGCGCAACTGTGCCGTCACTAGCTCCTCGGTGAAGCTCAGCGACTTCTCTGACTGCGTATTCTCGCATGCACGCTCAGTAAAGCAATCGACCGGGACGAAGACGCACTTCCACGATGTATCTTATGCCAGCCGCAGCACATTTTCCAATAGCATTATTCGAGACCAATCTATTGTTCATCGGAGCGAAGTAAAAACGTCGACAGTGAGGGATGCGAGCAATGTGAAGCGCAGCACTATTATTGGATCAAGCATTTCCCACACTTCAGTATCAAGAACAACTTTGACCGACTGTGATACCGAGGAATGCTTCTTCGAACGTTGCTCTTTCAAGGGTATGATACTGAAAAATGGATACTGGAAAAGGAATCAACTCGTCAAGAAGGTAGGGAGCAAGGAGCCGGTTGCTGTCAAAAAGGGTGACCTAGTGCCTGTGGTGAGTACAATCGTATACCTCGATTCACAGCAAAAAGGGTAGCTACTAATTATTTCCAGAATCCTGTAGCCATGCCGTCTTCCTCTAATGTTCCGGTAGTCCCTGAGACGAGTTCAAAGTCCGAGATGCCTACTTCAGGGCAGGCTCTCCGTCGTGTGGACTCCAATGTCACTTTTGAAAGTGAGGAATCTGACGATTCTGAAGACCTGCCTCCGCCATACAAAGTTTGAGAAAACATAGGACGAGAAGGCTCAAGCTTGAATCTAACAGTTCTAGTTTGATCCTTTAACACTTTATGAATTACGATAATGCTATGTATAATCTGATGAGCATTAAAGGTTTGACTATTTTGGTAACATTTTCTGTCACATCGAATGGTTCAAAACAAATGGCATGTATTGGTTTTCTGCAATTTTTATCAAAGCAGTGTTGGTATCAAAACAAGAGAGTATAAAATCGATTTTGCTTAAACATCCGACCGTTTCCCAGATTAATGTCTCCCTCATCTGTGCTTAATCACTGGTAGTACCTGCAACAACATACTGCTTCTCAGTCTTCAGCTGACTGAGAGTGCTGTCGCTCAGGTTCAAAGTATCCTTGACAATCTGCTTCGGGGTAGATGCAATCCATTGACCAAGGGCCATATCTACACATCATGTCAGTGAGGAGTCTTGCAAAGATAGGAACTGGGGTGGTGAAGACATACCTGTAAATTGAGGTGCTTGTAGCACTTCAAGGAACATCAACTCCTCGTCACCAGTATTCTCAATATAGTGGCTGTTCGACTTCGGGAAGTACCCAACATCGCCAGCGCGATAGTCAAAGGTTGTCGCAGCATTAGGAGCCGTGAATAATGTTGCACGACCCTGACCCTTGATGAAGAAGGTCCACTCATCGCTCGTTGGGTGCCAGTGGATCTCACGCATGCCGCCTGGGTTAACCGTGACAACGGCAGCAGAGAAGTTGCTAGCGACAGGGAAAGTGAGTGGATCCACAATCTTGACAGATCCACCCGCAACCTCATGAGCAGGCTGTTCTGAGAAGTGGTAAGAATAGCTTTCTGAGCGAGGAACGAGACCGGCAGATGTGGTGACGTTTTGCTCTTCAATATCTGCGGGGGCAGGAGTTCCCTTGAAAATGTAGAGTTCGTCGTCTGGGATATCATCGAAAGCCGAGACGGAAACTCCGAGGTTCTTTGCCAATACCTCTTTCTGTTTGAATAATCAGCTTGTGTTTGTTGTTTGTCCTGCTGGAGCTTTGACTTACGGGGCTGTGGAGGAAGACCTCTGTGGCCAGGAACGTGTTGTCCTCGCTAAAGTCACCCTGATCAAAGACCAGAAGGAATTCGACGCCATCATCTAGTGCTTGAATAGAGTGGGGAATACCACTGGACACCGCGGTTAGACATGAGACTCAACCACAATAAGGCATTCACGACTCACGGAGGGAAGAACCAGACATCACCTGCTTGTAGATCGTCGATGAACGTCTCTCCATTTTCGTTGATAGCCTAGTTACGTCAATTAGTTGTTTCTTCTTGTGTGATCTGTGTATGGTTTCATACCTGAATCCTGCAAGACCCATTGAGAATCAAGGACCACTCAGAAGCAACATGCCAGTGTAGCTCACGATAAGCTGAAGGCTCCAGTCGCATATCAACACCTGCCATTTCAGTGGCATCAGGCATAACAACAGTGTTCTCTTGACGGGCCCAACCGGCATTATCGATTCCCAGTCTGAATAGAACGTTAGTAAGCCGCAAATTTGACCTGGTCAATTTATTTACCTGTTGTGACTTAGACCTGTGTCAATTATTAGCAACCACTTCTCGAATTTGTTAGCAACATGAGCTTACCCATGGGCCATTGTGCATTAATTGTCGCTCCATGATCGGTACCTGGCGGCGCTAGCTTATCACTGTTGATGCGGTCATAGTAATAATTCCCTAAGAACCATTTGTCAGATACTTTATCTTACAGGGTGACTTGTGACTAAACTTACGAGGACCAGGATCATCGGAGCCAGTGGTCCCTCGGATAGGTTGAGGGTTCTCAACGTTCTCGAAATCGAGATAAGAGCCAATGTCCGGGTCTTCCTTTTGTCCCGGAAGAAGAGTATACTTGATATCAGGCTTTGCTCCAGTTGCTACTTTTTCAGTAGGGGAGTATCCAACGAGTGCCTCCGAACCTCTCAGGCCAGGGTTACTTGAGCTGTCATCCCTTCGGACGGAGGCAGGAGCAGCATCCACGAGGCAAAGAAGAGCAGGGAGCAATTGAACAGCCCTAGAAAGGATCTGAGGCTTCATGGTGACCAGATTATTAATCCCAAGTTTGAATGGTTAAAGAATCGACTTGGTATTGTTTGACAAGCTGCACGATTTTCCCACCCGTCGAGCTACCGAGGCCTTTTTATAGGTATCTCTGTAGTGTACCTTGGCCACCAGTACTCTGGAATCTGTCTACTATTACGAAATTCGCACAAAATACTTCCCCTCACCCGACATGGGAGTCAAATGCTGCTATAGTGGGGATAGCTCTAATTTCCCCTCACCGTGGGGCTATGGTGATGTAGGGCTGGAGGATTTCATTTCTTTTCCGCTGCTCTTACTCGCTAGAAGGATAATAGGGAGGCTCCGAGCGAGAGGGGGAGATAGTTCTTGCGGAGAATGCGATGAATCAGGCCTAGAAGGATTCTACTCTGCATGGTGTCCCCGCTGGCGGACATCTGCGATCGAAGAACAGCAACACCAGCTGTTGTGCAACAGCTGAGCCTATGAAGTAATTACATAAAATGCAGGCACCAGATGGGATTCAGGAACCCTGCTGCCTGGGTAGGTAAAACAGCTCAGCATACAACGCAAAAGTACACGCTCCTTGGAAGCAAGGAATCAAATCCCTATCGGCTATCTGGGTTCCAGGAACAGCATGCGTTTGGTAAAGCCAAACCAGAGGCAGCCCGCATAATATCATTCGAGACTAGACCGTAATTCGGGCTAGTTTTCATTTTCCCTAATAGGGTGGGAAAAAAGGAAGCGATGTGAGGGGTGTCTCAATATCAAGATCACATATACTCCACTGAGGACCATGGAAGGTTTTCTACATAAACGTTGTCATGCACCTAAACTGGTCATCGGCTCCAAGCGAGGTAACAGTAACGATGAGATTGCCCAAGTGGTCGCACAGGAAGGCCTGAAAATGATTTGCCATCGCGATCGACAAAGATATTTCCCATGGGTGAACAGCTACCTACTCGAAGCGATGTCGGTGGTCATACAACAGCGCCCGAAGAAATAGAACAAGGTCCGAGCCAAGCTCCGAGCTAAGGAGACCCACCCGCAGCCATTCAAGAAACAAGCAATTCAAGAAAAAGTCAAGCAAACCTCGGGTATCACGGGTGTTACAGTGGAACTTCGGCGGCGGTACCTTAACATGACGAATTTGAGATTGTCTCCACCCGGTTTATCCGCCTCATTCCCTTCTCCGCGCGAGGGGTGAATTCGGACTTAAGCCAGTCGGCCCTATAGCAGGGATGCTTCCAGGCCACCCTCACAAGACTAAACCAAAATGAAAGGCTTTATCCGTCTATAGGATAGCTTGCCATTCTCCGTTGGGGAAACAGGTTGAGGGGATTAAGTTAATTGAATGCAGAAACTACCTTTCCACCACTGACTGTTACACCCGCTGCAGCTCACTGCCTCGTAGGGATGGAGCTAGCATGGATGTCTGGATGAACAATATAGCTAGATGTCGGGGAGAGAGGGGGAAAACTACAAATAGAAAGTGGTATGCACGTTAAATATAGAATAAGGCGAGCCGAAGATCCCGCGACCCCGCGCAGTATCAGATCAGTCATAGTGCAGGATGTAGCCATTCCAGACCGACTGATCAAAGTGTGGTAAAAAGAAGCAAATTCGAACTTTGGCGATAGAATGTTTTCATGCACAAATTGCGACAGATATTCTATACGAAATTGGTGGTTTCTATTTCAAGACTGCTAGGCTTCATAATTGAGAACCTTGTGAGTGGTTAGCGTCGATTGAGATCCACTCGGACCGCGCAACCCAGGAAATCGCGTCAACTACCAAGGTAAGAAACGTGGCATTGCAAGGCTGTTTGAGAGGCATACTGTAGTCGGGTAATCATCTAGCCGAAGTGCATAATTAGTCGTTTGTACACGCCAGCAAACAACGGGCGTACTTCGCAGGCAACGGTTTTCGGCAGGACGTGCAGAGAGTAACTGCGGGATATGATCGCAATGGAGCATGCAGAAATGGGGTTAAAAGAAGTAGAAGATACTCGATATAGTACGAATTCTGTATGAACCCGAACCGGTGGCTTTTGCATATTGTGGTGGCTTATGTAGTAAAGATGTACTTCGTATCTTATCTAGGCTTTGATCTAAGAATACGAGAGCGAGTCCAAGAACTTGAATTATAACACCAACTAGGGTCATTGAAAGAATTATAATAAGTCTATAATGAGTCCAGGGCGTTCAATGTTGGATAGCACTCTAGATCTAATAATTAGTGGCAATGCTCAGTGCACTGCCAGAAGGTGTCTTTACCGTCGCCCAGAAAGTTAAAGCTATGGATTGGTATAAAATGGCGATTTGTTCTGACGAGCTAGAGACTAGAGAGATCACATACCTCGACATTCACTCGGTCGCTGGTATAATTACCATTCCTTGACTGTGCCTCGCTCAAGAGGCCTTGCCTCTCAGGCAAACAATTCATGATGCAAGCCTGAATGCCTGAGGCCAGAAGCCATACATTGAGCTTCGTGGAAACCTCCAAAGGCAATTTTAGGCAGCCCTAGACTCGCTGCTGAGTAATTATTCTTGTAATCCTCCACAAAACGACTTGATTGGATAGAAATGCCGTAGAGTCAGTCCTCCTAATAACACATTATTCAGCCAACCGCTAACGGTAACCCTCCAAAATGAGTGGGCAACCGAGAAATCATGCCAACAGCCACACTCACCTCCAAAAGCCTTCCACTATACAATCCACGCAGAACTTGAAATACCGGAGTACCTGGACACCTTGTATATGTACAACTAACCTCCCCTCGCCATGGCATTCACACCAAAAGTAACAAAGACGGCCCACCGCGATCGCCCAGTGCGGGGTTGCCAAGCCCCAGCCCAGCGCATCCGGGCGCTATTGGACCCAGCCGATGAGCCAGAGAGTAACTCTACAAGTGGGGAACTGGCCGAATCATGAGATCATCTCGTGATTCAGTGACGACGCTCTTACTAAGTTAGCTATTATGATAGGTCGTCTGAGGGGCTGCCTTGTCCAGCGATAGATGGGGCGGGGCGGATTCTGCACCGGATTCTTTTGGGGAATAGGGGGTTTGATTTGAGTGGGCTGGACAATGGCAGTGTGGCGTTGTTACATTTAGGGTCATTCTAGGACGGGGGTTAGGAGATTCTGGGTGCATATTCGGGCGCACAATGAGGAAACTTGGTAGTTTCTGCATGTTGCGTGTGGAGGATTGAAATACTCGTTTCTCACCCCGTTGTTTTCCTTTCTTCAGGTGTTGATCGAGGAGTATGGAAGCCCCTTCGTGCATAGAGTTGGCTTTGAGTCTGCCTAGATTGTCGCTCGACATAACCCCTAGGGTGTCGCTCATTCTTTCTAGTGCTGGTCTGGCGCTCGAGCACCATTCGGTAATGATGACTCCCTGACTGCCCAGGAAGGGGCTTGATCTGTGATCGCACAACTACGTGATTATTAACGGTCTTCGGGTGTACACTCCATCATTTTGCTGGATAATCTATTCTGAAGTATTCTACTATTTATTCTACAAAGACACAGATTACTTAAATTGATAATATTGATAATAATAACATTCGTGTCTGAGGTAATAGTAGCCCCAAAACTCCGGGTCTGTCTTGCCAATCTATGGCGATAATGATAAAGGATCGAACATCTTGATAGATAAAAGAAAGGCCCTGCCTAAGCATTCCTCCTCCGCGTCATTCCATAGCCAGTACGGGGGTCGAGATGAAGGTTGCATGTCGAGAAATCAAGTGTCAAAGTGTGAGGGATAATGTGTGATGAACAGAAACATGGATGATAATGATGGCAATGCCGATGATCCGGATTCAAAAGAAACAAATCTCGTCAAGTCATCTACCTGACGTGTTTCAGGTATCTCATGGTGAGGTAGACAGCCGCCAGGCTGGTGTAGACACCACCAGCAGCGGTAACCCAGACGGGACGGTGGACGTTCAGCGAGGTGCGAAGCAACTGGCCCTCCTTCTTAGGCTTAGCCTCTGTAGGATGTTAGATAAATGATACTTTTGATGGAATGTGATGACAGAAGGGCAAGAAAGAGATGGATTTGATGAAAACGTACCCTGCTGGAAGAGCCTCTGGCGAAGGTTGTTCAAGCCCTGACGAGAACGGGCAGGGAGCTGCTGGAGCTGGGCGATGATAGGACCAACTGGTGCTGACATGGTTGATGATATTGATGGAAATACCAGATTTCACAGTGTAGTTGATGATACAAGAAGTGTAGAGAGGAGAGTTGTCGATAGGAGAGAATGGAAAGGAGAGTCCCCTTTGGCCCCCCGCCCTTATATAGCAGAAATCAGATGACAGCTGAATGCGGGGTTTGCCAATAGCGGGGGGTGACAATTAAGACATCCGGGGCATCCCTGCGCGGTGGCGATGCCAGTAGAGTTTCAGCTTGTATCATGGTGGCTTGCTCGTCCAAAATGCTAACATGGTGGCCTACGATGGTCGCTCGAGTGTCTAGGAGTGATGATGAATCCCTTATGAATAGCTCGTATGACTTGTCTCAAAAAAATGGCAATATTAAAGCCAGAACTGCAAAAATCGAACGATCGCAGCATGTATGGCCTGATGGGCGCGACAGACGATCAGGGATGAGGAGGGCGACCAGAATGACCTCCTCCGCATGCCTGGGTGCAACTCTGTCTGGGATGATTGGCTCCTAGGACCGAGCAGTTGTCTCGACTACGCAACACTGCCCGGTATAATTGTCCATGATGACACAACTATGAGCACCAGGCGCGTAGCGAAAGGGAATTTCTCTCCATGGCTATAGGGGGGTTCCCCTGACACCATTCCAATGGCATGATCAAGCATAAATTTTGGGTTCGCCAGGGGTTCTATACTCGTATAATTTGAGCCTCAAGGACAGTTCTTCCATAGAAGTATGGCTACAACATTATATCAACTTCGCTATGTTATCTCATTCAAAGGATCGCAGCTGGGCGCGTTGGGCTACAAAGTGGAGTCGCCCGTTCGGGGCCCACTGTGGAAATCCGGGGATGCGATCGTGTGTGGGGTTAGTGTATCCACTGCTTAACCACCTTACTCGAAGCTAAATGCTAACACAGTTACGATCAGTCAAGTGATGGGAATTTGACGGTATTCCGAGTAAAATACACATACCTATCTGATTTGTATACTCGAAGAAATCGCGCTTTAGCAATTACCTGCTGACCAGCCCCTCTAGCACCACAATACAATGAGCCAAGGCGGTCAATCTATTCTAATTATTGCCAGAAGTATACAAAAGTAGTAGGCGGTCTACAATTGAGAAAAGAGCTGCTCACAACAACGCGCTGAACTCAGACACCTTTTCATCTCTGCACTTCACTCGTCTACTCACACAACTATCAGCAATCATCACGCACTACTCACAACATCAAAGACCCAACGGCAAATACATCGGACATCCACTCCCTAACGCCAGCGACGAGTCCAGCACTCAGCCCCGCACCACCGGAACATGATGCGAGGCGTGAAGCTAGCCCCGGCGAGCTTCTCCTTCACCCAGGGGTGGTCCTCGTTGGGGCTAAACAAATTCAAGTTTACGCACCCATCGGGACTCCACATGGTGAGGACTCCCTCGTTCAGCGTGGGGAATTCGGCGCCGGTTCGCGTTTTCCAGATGCTCTCCGGATACTCGATACCGGCAAAACCCTCGTCCTTGGCGGCCTTCCACTTCCGCCAGAGCTCTCGGCCCTTCCCCTGCTTCACCCACCAGTCCAAGTGTTGCCGCAGGTTGTCAACCTGCTGGCGTCCTCCAGTGAAGTTGTTGAAGAACCTGATAACACTCTCGGTCTGGGTGCCGGGCCGATCCATGCAGAGCCAGCGGTATCGCTCCAACAGGGTTGCATCGGCTGGGTCGACCAGCTGGATGGGCTCATCCGCCATTGCGCCGAATACACCCGCCGCCCTTACATCGGCCTCCTTGGCGTGGATGGGGATTGTCTCCACGATAATTAGCGGGTCATACCACCCAGTAATGGGAGCATGATGCATCCCAGGGTCCGCTGTCAAAGTTCCGGCCCGAGAGCCCCACGGATTGATCATCGTCGAGTAGATCGCCGTGTCAAGGGCCTTCTCCTGAAGCCACTCCATACCCTTAACGGAAAAGGGATAGTCATTGTACCGAATGGTGGTCCCAGACTCATCCTTTTGGTACATCATCACGATGTCCCTATTCCTCTGGAACCAGAAACCGAATGTTCGTCGGATCTGGCGCTGGGGGTCGATTTGCCTTTCACGGACGGCAGCGCGGGTGGCCACTACTCGAGCCTCGTGGCTGACTTGCGAAATTGCTGGCGGCAATGTGTTCCGCTTGGATGTCCATGTCCCTGTGCATTTGTCCTTTTGGGCTACCCACTGAGGGTGATTGAGTTCCACCACTCGGTTTGGTAGGCAGAACTCCCAGATCTTTATCCGCAATTCAGCCGGTAGGCGACTGAACAAGTGGAACTGAGGCTCGGGACGCCTCGCGACAGTCTGGGAGCTGATCATGGTTCGCTGGGACGGGAGCGCTACTGGCCGCGGCAGGTACATGACTTGCTGGGGCTGCATAGCTTGCCGGGACGATTCCATGACTTGCCGGGGCAAGTGCATTTCTGGCTGGGACCGCTGGGACCGCATGGGTCGCGGGGACGAGAGCACGAGTGGCGGCGGTTGGTACCTGGTTTGCTGGAACGGCATTGCTGGCCGCGGCGGATACATGGCTGCATGGGCCGGGTACATGGCTTGCTGGGGCGGCATAGCTCCCTGAGACGAGCTCATGCCTTGCTGGGATGAGAGTGCTACCGGCCGCGGCAGGTACCTGCCTTGCTGGGCCAAGTACATGTCTTGCTCGGACGGCATGCCTCGCTGGGACGAGTTCATTGCTTGCTGGGATGGGTCCATTGTTCCCAGGCACAAGCAGAAGGTTGAAAGAAACCTGTGGTGGCGGCACAGGTGGGAGAATGGAGATGTTGAGAGGGGGGATAGCGAAGGATGAGAATGAAGCAGTCAAGATCTCTTGGTGCGATCGAACGACCACGAGGAGAGGTCAACACCAGATGAACGGTGAACCTTGATAGCTTGGAGAGTCAGAACGAACGAGGGTTGAGAATGAGGATGGAAAGAGGTCTTACGGAGATTGAGAGACGATGAGATTTGGTCCACACCGACGAACGACCACTGTTTGGCTGGAGAGGGAGGACGTTCAGGATGAAGGTGTGAAGAGGAGTGATGATGAAGAGGGTTTGGAGAGGAAGTATGAGGACGAAGGTGTGAAGGGGTCTTGAGGAGGCTGAAAGACGAAGAGAGTCCAGAGCACGCCAAACGAACGACGAATGCCGCTTACCCGGAGAGACAGCACGAGGATTAAGCGGATGAGGATGAACGAACTGGGAGCTCGATGAATAGGCTTTAGCGGTCTGATCAGCGGACGACGAACGAGAAGGCTTGATGCTTTGAAGAAGCAGGATGATGGAATCGAAGACTGTCAACGGGGCTGTCGACAGGACGCGATAAGCGAAGCGAACGAGGATGGGAAAGGGAACGAGACGGAGAGAGTGAGAAAGAAAAGAAGAGACTGAGCAACAGGAGGATGACTATCAGCAGTGGCAGAAAGTATCCGACTTCTGCTTGTGCATATCGTCGCTTCCTCGTATCGGGGATCACCAAGGAGGTTGCACGTGAGAGTCCTTATGGGGGATTATGATCGAGGAAAATCTCCGCACTAACTGAACACTCAATTTGCCCATTTGGCTCCTGCCACTGCTGCTGCTCGGCCACGGGCCAGTTCTACGGGTTCAGGAGGTACGTTCTACTGCCTGACAACTAACCTGAGACGATGAGATTCACAGATACCAAGGAGTGCTGGGTGCCAGAAAGTGCCTTGCGATTGCGCCACTTCGTTTGGACCGTTGCACTGGGCATGGATCTTTGATTGCATGAGAAAGCTCTATACCCAGGGCAATCGTTCGAACAATTCAATGAATCAAAGGTACTCCTGGAGTATACTAACAATGTTCACAGTGCACGAGCTCCATTCGATGGACGGGTTACATTTCTGATTTCAAAACGGTGAGTAACAGGCAGCCCGTAGAGTAGAGAGAGAGAGTCCATATCAAGGCAATCTGTAAGCTCTTTAAACGTCCAAAGATAGATACATGAGAATAAAAGCAGTCGATTCAAGATCTATAAAAGACCTATAGGATCGCAGCGTGGCTGAGTTAAGCTCATCTGGACCCGCTTATGCGGGTCCCGACGCGGGTCCAAATCCCAAAGCGGGTCCTGTGGAAAGGTTCCGGAATACGGAGCTTTCGATGTGATTGTAAACGAGAAGGAACAGGCGACATTTAATGTTCTTGTAATGGAACCTTCCATTAAGGGCAGGGCTTCATAAATCACATGACTCGGGCTACCTCACGTAGCCCTTGAGAGATAACAGCGCCAATCAAACACTGATGCGCTCTGGATAATCTGCTATAGATGGGCTTGGCTCTTGCTTAGGATAGCATGACCCATTGGAAAAATTATAGTCCAGTTCATACTGGTGGGAAGAAAACGACTAGGGCTTGTGTCATCTATTAACGCCGGGATGATGCTTTTGATGCTGATGGATGACTGGTTCTCATATCAACCTAGCGACCCATGACGGCTTCATCACGACAATATTGAACTGGTGATTGATATTATACATTGTTGATTGTCTATTTACAGTTATATACACCTGTCTCGAGCAGATTCTGGTTCACCCCTCGGGGAACGCGGCAGAGGTCTCGGGCTTCGTCGGGCACTGTGTTCCAGATAACTTGGCGAACTTCCTTTCCGACTTGCTCAACAGCATCCATAGCCCATAGGACATCGAGATGCTCATACTCCTCAATGACCTTCGAGTGTACGACTCGCACATGAGGCTCGAAGCCCCTTTCGAAGCGTTGTAGAAGTCGACGACCATCCACGAGTGCATCAGAGCCACCAACCCACAGCGCAAACGGAGGTACTTGAGGGCCGAACCAGGCTTTGTCGCCAGGGGCAGTTAAACAAGGGTCTCCAGGATCATCTCCGTGATCTAACCCAACCTCGCCTTGAACGTGATGGTTTCCCTTTTCCTCGAAAGCAGACTGGTCTCCCGTAGCAAGGATGCACTTGTGTTTTGCGAACCCGTCACTTCCCAGCCACCACCGCATGATCTCAGCACTAACGTAGACAGGAGCGAATTGAAACATGCGGTCTCGCAAATCTCGCTCCCAGCGGGAATCGGACCAGTCGAAGAGGAATGAAAACACACAATACGCGAGCGTGCCGTATATTTTGGGATGAAAGGCACGTTGGACCGTCATCATGAAGGGGATGAAAGCGTGAATCCCAAAAAAGACCCGAAACATCTCAGAGGACATTATGCTCATGAAGCGGAAATAGGGCCTGCTCACTAGGGAGCCGGCATAGGCAGCGGGTGTGAGGGCACAAAATACGGAGATACGCTCTCCAAGCTCGGGTCGGTGCTCCTTCGCCAGGGCCACGAAGGTTTCCGTTGTTCCTTGCGAGTGGCACACAAGACCCAGTTTCTCGAAACCGGTCTCATAGAGAACACGGGATGTAAGTGCAGCCAGGTCGAGTGTACCGAGGTGTCGAATATCCCAGGACCACATGCGTGGGTCGGATGGAGACAAAGTGGTGTGCTCCGGTGTCATTCCGCATCGGTTGTTTCCCAACCAAACATCGTATCCAGACTTGCAAAGGAAGAATGCAAGACTATCGTCATCATTAGTGCAGTAAGCGCCTGCGCTCTGCAACAAACCGTGAATTAAGAGAACAGGGTACCGCTGCTTTGCACCGGAACTGGATGAAGGCCAGCTCTTTGTGCCATTGAAGACCGCGGGTCCGCGCTCACGTCGCTGCTCAGCCGGAAGTGCTGCATATTCCTGGGGGTCGTAGACATGCCAGAGTGTGATGATGAACCCATCCTCAGTTTGGACCCGGAAGGTCTCAACGTCCAATCCGACCCGTCGTGCATAGTAGGCTACGTCGCAGACCACGGAATCCTTGCCCCCTTCCAGCGGTGGACATTCATCCGGCCCTTGCTCCTCGTCAACGTGTTTTTTCTGTTGCCGAATACGCCATTTCCGGTCTGAGTCGGCTCGTGCTAACCTCCGTTTCATTTCCTCGGCTTCAAATACCCTCCCTGATGCAGGCTTTCGACCTTGTAGTCTTGCAGCTGCGTTGACAAGTACTGTCCCAGCGGTACGAGACAATGCGCCGACAAATATCGCAGTCAAGAAACATAGTGAGAGGACGAAGGATATAACTCGAATCACGTAGTATTTGATGTTCGAGGCGATGGTCGGGGGACCGTATGCGGGCAGAGGCGGAAAGAGGGGATGTTCATGCATCTCGAACGGGACTTCCTGCTCGCATGCATTGCCGTGTTTCTCGGCTGCATACAGATCGCCCTTTGCTGCATTATCATTTGTCGTTCCTCGTGAACTGTTTATGATGGGGCCATTGTATCGTGAGGAGGGTGGATCAGAGGGGACCTCGGGGAATATTGATAGGACGAGCTGGGATTCGGGTGCATCCGTGTGCGCTGGCGCAGTTATGGTGGTTGTTCCATGGGGAATTGTGACCTCCATGGTCATGAGATCAGGTAAGCGGTAAAAAAAGGCTATAACACATCCTGGAATCCGAAAAAGATAAACAGAACAGGCGTGGAGTTCTCAAGATGAATGCGCGTCCCTGAGCACCTCCCCGCAAATGACCGAGGCTCCCGTCTGGGTCAGGGACAATCACGTGCTAGAAAGCAGCCAATCAACGTGCGTCGGGATGAAGAATCATATTATGGCCTCAGGCAGAATGGACTAAAATAGGGAGGCAAAACCGGTTATTCAGAAATTTAGGTGATGAGGTCATACCATGTTCAATTTGAAGGTGATCATGAAAATGAGAAAACTGGTTGCAGGTATGTACTGTCTAAAGGTCCGAGGCCATGCCTAAATCAATGAGTTGACCCCGAATTAAGCTTTCCGTGGTACTATGCTCGTGACACCTTTAATTCGAGAATGTTGCAGCCAATTGGATCTGTTGCAACCAGATCATGGCTTAGATGTATCAGTCTTAAGCCAGAATCTTTCACAATAAACTCACCAGATATAGCATAGAGTCTAGAAATTAGGTTCAGTGGAGCGACTCTTCCCTTTAACTGCACAGAAAGAAAATTGGCCTCAATCGAATCCTCACAATGTTTTTTTGGATTCAACGAAGTCTGGAGTTTCTAAGTCTGGTATTGTTGCTGATGAATTTCTACATGGCCAAAGATAAAGCACATGCAATAGTGTGCATTGGTACCTGTAGATAGTGAAGCTGAAGAAGAAGGAAATCCGCCATCAATCTAGCCATATAAACAGAAGGCTAAAGAAAGAACGAGAGCAGAAAGATCCTGAAGAGCCTCAGGCATCAAAGATCCTCAACAGTTTCGATCATGGACGTTTACCATTGAAATTCCTAAATTTAGGTCAGTATCGCGCGAAATATGCAATATTCAAGCGAGGAGAAGATGCTTACTTCGGTATGTAAAGTAATCGAAGGACCATTGTCGTACGTCCGTTGATAGATGGCATCGCGTGTGGTCTCAATCATCTGGACGGGGCCACAGGCGCCGATCCCAATTCTTGACTCCGAGCTGCATTGTGAGATGCAGCTAGCAAGCAGATTCGCAACATCCGGTCGCCCTTTCCGGTGGGCAGAAATTGGAATCACTTGGCCTCCTGTTTCATCCTTTCCTTTCTCCACGTCTGCGGCAATCGGTGCTGAATCCAGGCTCGAGCTATCCTCAGAGACGACCTCGTCCCGTGAAACATGGATAAACAGGTTCACGCAAGGGCTTGCTTGAAGCTGTTGGAGCTCCTTCTCAAACCAGTGCAAGGACTCTGTACGTATGTGAGTTTCATGTTGGTCCGATTGTATCTTTGTCAGGTCGACGTACCGGAGTGTTTGACGGACCAGATAAAATCGATGGTCTTGGTGGTATTCTCCATCTCGCCCTCCTTTAGGACACTAAGGGCAAGCGCAAAAGTGAAACTAGCACCACTACCACCTGCGACAAGGATTACCCGATCGAATTTTGTGAAGTTTGCAATTTGGCCGTATCCTCCATCCACGGAGCATCGTAGGCGCTTGCCGGGCTGTCGTTGGGCCAGCTCAAACAAGTCATGGGTATAGCCATCGTATTTGCGGATAAGGAACTCAACTGGGCTGGTGGACACAAGTGTAAATGGGTGGGATTCAAAAAGTCGAATTGACGGCATCCACAAAAACGCGTGAGATCCCGGGGTACAGTGTAGGGTGCGGTGAAGCTTCACCCGAACCGCTCCGTCTTGCATGGGAGTGAGTGTGGCATAGTTGCCAAAGAAATTCCAACAGAGCTTAACAAAACGGAGAAGACGATCTGAAGCCCACAGACAAGCTGTGAAAATGACGATAACTACCGTGGATTTCGCAAAATCCGGTCGGTGCATCCCGACCAAGATCACGATTAATATGAACATCACCACATGAATAATGTAAAACACTTTGGAAACATCAGTCAGTAGACTTACTTTAAAAAGTTATGAATTAATGTTCAGACTTACCCTCGTAATATCTGCGAGCAAGCCAGCCGATTGTTGAAAGACCGATAATAACCATTGCCAATCCTGCAATCGCTCCCGCAAGGTTCGCTTTCTCACACATGTTCTCCAGCTCATTTGCCTGAGCCCAGGCATTCAAGTAAACGATTGCATGAATGACAGCAGTGACGATGCAAGTGTAGCCGGCGGTTTTATGGAGTGGCCGGAGCTGTTCGTAAGAGCGTCCGGCTAACGGTGCAAGTGGCGTGTTTCTTAAAGCGAGGAATACCAGCAGGACAAAATTTGCCACGGCAATCCTGTCAAAAGTTAACTTTGGGAACTTCAAATATACTGCCCAACAACAGACATACCAGCCGAGCCGCTTGCCAACCTAGAGTATTGTCAGAGATCATTTACAAAAACCAACTTTACGTGAGGGGCGAGAAGGGGACGAACATAGGATAACTTATGTAAATTAACGTTAGTCAGTGTAAGAGTCAGATTGATTGACCAATAAACGAGGTACAAAAGCCATCGTTTGGAAGGTATCCCGAAAACGGAACAATTCAGAGACCGTCTAAGCATACTGTTACATGTCAGTGTGGCCGTCGCAGGCCAGGAGCCTTTCAAGGGCTTTTGACCTACCGGTTATACCGGACCAGCTTCCTCAGGAATGGCGTTGACCTCCCCACGCTGTATTTCAAGTATAAGAAAGTGTACCAGTGTGAGATAACGAATAGCGCCATAATTGCTCCAACAGCAATGGCAAAGTACTTGTTGCTCCAGACATTGTTCGCTTGACGAAGAGTTTTGGAGTCCATTGTGCGAAACGGAAGAGCTTACGCTCGTTGAATAATGATCGGGAGGGAAGGAATCGAGTATATGAAATGTAATCTCTAAACCCGGTTCCCAACCAAGGGACGCTCGCCGTTATCAATCAGTTGGTACCATTGACTCGGCGCACGTCCGGCCACCCCAGCAACTACCCCAAATGCCGAAAAAGCAACAGAAACTCATTGTCAAACGAATTTCTCGCAATACGAGACACACGCTGGTCGAGGGTCACTGTGGGACATCATGGTGGGAACAATCACCAAGCAGATCAGATAACAGACTAAGTTTGGCACTAAACTAACCTTGTTCGGCTTAGTGCGGGAAATTTTAGATCTTGGCGAGCTTGTACTGGCAGCAATCGTCCCTTTAGGTCACACAACCCCGAGTCTAAACCCACCGTAGTGGGATCAAATTCACTTTGGGTCACCACTTACGTCCTCTGGACCCTGGCACATTAGCAAAGTCAACCCAAGTGGGGATGATTTGTAATGACGCTCGGTGAGGAGACGATGATGGAAATTTTACCTCCGCTGTGGCCGTGATTTTCCTTCATTCATGCTCAATGCTAGGACCCTAGCGTCCGCGACCTTTGACACATTACCTAGCATGTCAGAAGGGCAAATGACCTGACAATGGAAGATAAGGGTCAAAAAGGAAAAGAAAGTTCACAAGATGCAATACGAGGATCCAGTCACTGATCGAACCCGACTACCATATTTCTGTATTCCAGATGGAAGAATGCCGATCGTCGGAGATGGCGGGAGAATGTAAAAATTAGTAGAAAAATTCTACGAGGGTGGTCTCGGGTCCTTGCGGGGGTCTTCTGGCGGGTCTCCATCAGATACCAAGCAGGCTAAGCAGCAGCACGAGGTGGATATCAAACTTTTCGAACGTCCCGATATCTGCCAGTCCCGGGATCTCTGTGCCATGTGTGATTTTCTTTGGGTTTTCCTCTGCTTTCCCTACACTTGAGGAGTGTGTATAGTAATAAGTCTCAGTTGCGTGCTCTAGTCCATAGTTTCTTCTGACTAGTTCTAGCTTACTCTCTCTACAAATTGGTCCTTGGTAACCCTCCCACGTGAACAAATACCTATCCGTGCTCAGAAAAGAACGTTTCTTGGCCTTTACGCCACACTGAACCTGTTTAACTTTCAGTTATACCGATCCGTTGTAAGTGGAGCTGTCTCAAGCCAGCACGCTCAGCCGTCACATTTGCTCGAAAATAACAGAATCCACTTGAGTAACTTTAAGACTATATGTTTTTATTTTTCATATAATACTGTAAATGATTCGTTGGAGGTTAGTCTGTGCCGATTGTTTCGGAATTTGATAAGAGAAAGAAGGCAAATAGCCGAACTCTCTCGATCGGGGTTTAAGCAATGATGAGATTGTAAATCAATACATGAGATAGAACAACAGAACAAAAACGTGCGCAGGTTGGATGACCGTCACATCGAAATATTACCTAGGAGGAACAACTCCCATTGCTAAACATCGCCTGCAGTTGATAACTACAGTATCTGGAACCCGCTCTACCGACGTGTGTTTACTCTGTCAAACAGCTGGGCCTGGATCGAGCAACTAGATCCCAGACAATACCGATATATCCCGATCGAAGTTGAATTAGATACACATTTGTGTGCACAATTTCCAGTAGTGATTAAACGAAATTTTGGTTGCAGCCGTGGAGGCAATATGCAAGCTGATATCTAGGCTGCCAAGGATACAAATACCTAAAATAATATTACTCACATGGGAAAAATTAATTACTAGGAACAGATAACTATAATATATATTGTGAAATACCTCTTAGGCCTTCTTACTCAGAGGAAAGAGTGGGGATTGTTGATGGAGTTGAAGCCTTGCCACACCGAAAATTTTCGATAGCCGGTTAGAACTGGGAAGGATGAGATTTGGACCTTTGATCAAGGAAATGATGTGAAAGTTAGACCTGCCAAAGAATTGATACCAGACCAACAATTGCTGCTAGACAGCTGAATACTATAGCAACGATGTCCCTCGTAGTGAAGCCCTCAGGTAAGTCGGCAACATGTTTTGGCTCTCCCGTGAGGCCAAGGAGGTTTTCCTTGTTACCAGCAGCATCCCCTGAAATTCGAATCCACTGGCATTGAAAGAGCCATAACCCGTCGAGGCCGAGTCAAAACTTGAGCAGGACTGATTGTACGATTGTGTAACTCACCTGGGTTATCGGCTTTGAATCTAAGGACAATGTAGCACCCGGTCGAATTCTCCTGTAGCATCAGATAAAGTAACGCCGCCACAAGCGCGAAATAAAAATGGAGCAAATCAGAAATTTCTTCTTGCTCTATAAAAGTGTGTTTCAGTTCAGTCACATGGTTCGCAGCTTGGACCACTTGGGGATAAAGCTTATTGATCGCCTGAGAGAATGCTAATTGACGGTTTTTGGGAGGGCATGGAGCGATTTCAGAGGCAGCTTTGACCGATGGGAATGGCCGTACAGTACTTCGATTTCCGCTTTTACCCGGAATAAAGTTTTATTGGAGGGTTTTATCAATCTTATAATCAAGATTCCCCACACCCGTTGGACCCTTATGTCTTATCAATCTGATGAGTCTAAGGTAGATACCGCTACTGTAGTGAAGGAAAATTCTTATTAAGCATTTTGTATTAGCCATAGGGCTCCAAGAGCAAGGGGGAAGTAATGGAACATGCTGCACTTTTTCATGCCTCAATGCGATTCTGAGGCCATTCATATAAGCATTGCTCCTCGTGCTTAGCGGAAGACACATATAGTATCTTGAGTCATTTACCAATTTCGGCTTCTAGGCAACAGTCATATTGATATGTCTTCGATAGAGAATGATTGGTCGGACAAAAAGCCAAGAGTCTTGGCGGAATATAAGATTCAGCATGGCGTCTTAGCCCCCGCTTCCTTGAACCATAGAAAGTGCTAGTTTATCGAGGTGGAGTCTGCAACGGACCGTGCCACTAAGAGAATTCCGAGTTGGACTGTATCATGACCTGTAAATCTGAGATGCCGTTCTCCCTACTTGGAAGATATTTTCTGTGAACGATATCATAATGGGTTCCACCATCATCATATCATCTGATAACGGATTTGATCTACCCAAATCAATCCCATCATCTTGTCCTCTTCCCGGCCCTTTATCCACAAAAAATCCAGACCCCTTTTCCAACTGACGAGCTGCTTTCAAGTAGCAAAATGGGCGTGACGGTCTTTGCCGTTCCTGTATTTCTAGTTGTTTTTCGAGAGACGATTGAAGCGGCCATCATCATATCAGTTTTACTTGCATTCCTCAAGCAAACCCTCGGTGGTGCAAATGAGGAAACACATAAAGCAGTATACAAATCCTTACTGAGACAGGTGAGCTTTGATGACAGACCTATGCTTCCTTCTCTATTAGCAAGCCATTTCCCACTAATCACGAGGGGTTCTAGATCTGGATCGGCACGGCTCTTGGCTTTCTACTCTGCCTTATCATCGGAGGTGCTGTAATTGGCACTTTCTATACTGTGGGCAAGAATGTTTGGGATACGACGGAGTATATTTATGAGGGAGTCTTCTACATGGTGGCTGCACTCATTATATCCGTGCTCGGCGCAGCTCTTCTCCGAATTGGCAAAATGCAAGAAAAATGGCGTGTGAAGGTGATCAAGGCCATGGAAAATCCCGAAAGTCAGGGCCGAAAAGGGTTCATCAAACGATTTGCTGGAAAGTATGCCCTATTCTTGCTCGCCTTTATCACCGTGAGCCGAGAGGGAATTGAAGGCGTCGTCTTTATTGCTGGGGTTTCGTTTTCTGCCCCCGCGACTGCTGTTCCTCTTCCGGTCGTTGTAGGCTTGATCGCGGGCTGTATTGTTGGGTGGCTCATATATAAGTAAGTTGTCTTGGGTTTTCCTAATTATTCGATGACTCTAACCAATTCTAGGGGTGGGTCTTCTGCAAAACTGCAATATTTCCTAGTGGCATCAACCTGTGTGATGTACCTTGTGGCCGCAGGACTGTTCGCTCGCGCTATATGGTACTTTGAGCAGCAGCATTGGAATAAGATGGTAGGCCAAGATGTCTCTGAATTAGGCGCTGGGTCAGGATCCTATGATATTAGCCGCAGTGTCTGGCATGTCAATGTAAGGATTTCCGTTGAATTAGGCTGCCGACAAAATGCTAACTCTTTACAGTGTTGCAGTCCCGAAGTCAATGGTGGAGGTGGCTGGGGTATTTTTAATGGAATACTTGGATGGACGAACTCCGCAACCTACAGCACCGTCATATCGTACAACCTCTACTGGCTTGCCGTCAGCATTGCATTCATTGCAATGCGGTATCATGAAGTGAGGGGCCATTGGCCTCTCATGCAGCCGAAGACCCGGGTCGAGTCCACCTCTGGAGAATCGCCCGTGCAAAGTGCCACGAATGATGTAACTAACGCAGCCGAAAATGGCGTGTTCGTGGCTAAGGTGGAAATGTAAGAGAAGAACAGAAGTTGCACACTTGTTTTCACCACAATAGCACGCAGAATCAGAGTTGCAATGACATTTATTCTGCCGTCTTAATCCATTTGACAACCTTCAAACCACCCCGACATCTCGGTCCATTACGTTCTACGGAGTTAGATGATAGGAGTCCTCAAGTGCTTAGGCTTAATATTACCACAGTGCTATGATTTATTCTTGTCTTAGAACGATAGTGCAATGTAGGTTTGACGGGGTCTAGTTAGTAGACTTCGGGAGCATATTATATTTAGATCATACCTAGGCTTATGATAGACTCTCTATCGGGACTCTTATTTTCAGAACCCCGGAGGCTGATCTACATATAATATAGGATATTGTCACTAGTATATAGTCTCCTAGGGTAATGGTACCTAAGCCTTAATACCTAGAAAATCTCCTCTACTTCCCTTAATCTACCGGTACATGGCTTCTAAGCCTGCTCTATAAGGCTGACTTCTACGTTTTCAAACCTGATATGCCCAAGGTTTCTTATAAAGCATCAACAGTGTTTTTGACCGATGCCTAGTTGTACGGAGAGATAGCAAGCCAAGAAAGACGACCAGTACTTCTAATTTATCATGCAAAATTGTTCTCGGAACACTATGAGACTTTTCCATCTCTCGACCTTACATGAGATATACAATAAAGACAAGGAGCATTTGCTCCCATCAAATGCTATCCGGGGGCTTCAGTTCAATTTGCCTATATAGTGGTTAACCAGCGACGGTGGAGGTCAGCAAGATCCATATTTTTACCCAGCCGGACGTAATAATTTGACCCCGCTTTACTAAAGCCTGCCGTGGTATAGTTCATCCTCGGGACATGTTAACGCGAGATTGCCGTAGACTATTGGATTTATTGTAATGAGTTCGGGTCTAGATATCTGGGTATTAACCCATAATTTTCCATAACAATAATATTAGGCATCTGAGGGTAGTATAGAATCTAAAAATTCATTTTACGATCACTAAAATTAGCCGTCGGGTAATTACTGCAGCGCGTTACAATTGCGACTACCTTCGAGAACGACGTATGATTTAGATACTTAGTTCCAGGCCTCTTTCCGTGTAGGTACTACATCAAACAGAATCCTAACTATTCCCTTAACACTAGTGTGATAAGGAGGCGGGAATCTACGACCCAAATCAATACTTAACCTCATCGTTCTCGTGTGCTAGCATGTGTGTGCAGAAAAACTCTTAGTTTACGCCCGTTATGTACAATACGAGGAATTTATGGATTATCGTGGTCCATGCTTTATTTTGAGACGTTGTTATCCAGGGTCATAAAGAAATATCGGTACTTCGAGAGTCGATGTTACATTTTCCAGAGAGCAACGTATATAAGGCAGAGATCTGCACAACCCCGCAAAGAGCGAGTCCCGCGTTGCAATCATTGAGGGGCCATGTTTTTTATCAAGCGGATAATTAAGTCGACCCCTCAAATCCAAAATATGCTACCTCAAAGCGACACTGACATCCAGGATAGCTAGCACTCCGGGGATAAATAGTCGTCCATCATCGTATTCACCATGTTACCAGTGTATTTGAAACCAAGCTACGCGACGATAGTAGATCGACACATTGGCTCAAAACATCATGAAGCTTTTCTTCAGTCTACTACTCGGATCATGCTCTTTAGCTCATGGCCTAGCAACAAGCCCAAGTCTTGTCAAACGCGATACCGGTCCAAAATATCGCATATCACCTATTGACGGTTCCAAGATCGCACTGCCAACGAAGGAACAATTAGTATGGCAGGATAAAGAAATTGGTGTGATTATCCACTTCGAAATCGCCACCTACCTCAGTGTCGACGGCTGCAATAACATTCCAAACCTTCTGCCCAATGTTTCTCTGTTTGATCCTACCTCATTGGACACAGACCAATGGGTGGATACGATCAACTCGCTGAGCGCAAAATATGCCACTTTAGTTGCAAAGCACAACTGTGGATTCACGACATGGCCGAGCGAAGTGACCTTTGAGACCCGAGATAACGAGACAATTCATTACAATTATACGATCGCACAGTCTCCCGTTCATGGAAAGGATGTGGTGAAGAGCTTTGTTGAGTCGGCTGATAAAGGAGATATTGGCTATGGATTCTACTACAGTCTCATGTGGAACAACTTCTTGAACGTGCAGAGTGGAGATGTGATCACAAGCTCTTGGACTCCTGGACAGGTCAATATCACCAATTCAACATATAATCAAGTCGTGCTGGACCAGTTGACGGAGTTGTGGACACAGCATGGTAATTTGACTGAGGTCAGGCTGCCCGAGCAATATACAATTCACACTTTGCCACTTACTCTAAGCTAATCATTACATACAGATCTGGTTCGATGGTGGATACACTGAGACACAGCAGGCAAAAATCCAAAGTCTCCTAGAGACCCAGCAGCCAGGGGCAGTTGTCTTCAACGGATGCCAGACAAATGGAACCTGCATTTCTGCAAATCCTGGTAACTGATCAATTTTTGTATTTTTGGAGACCCTCGGCAGCTATACTGACAATCGTAGTACGATGGATTGGGACGGAGGCTGGAGCAGCCCCTGAGGAAAATTGGTCAAGGTAGGCTTGCTGACCCCATCCACTGCCGCGACGTTCGTTCTAACTTTTCACTGCAGTGGCTTGACCAACGACGGAGGGGATCCACAAAGTCCATACTTCTGCCCGGCCGAATGCGATACAACGCTACAAACCGGAGATCGTTGGTTTTACGGTGTCAACCAGACTCTTCGCTCGCTCGAGGAGATGATCGACGTCTACCACAACACAGTCGGTCGCAACTGCGTTCTAGAATTGGACCTTGCTCCTGACCGCAGTGGCCTCGTTCCCTCTAACCAAGCTGCCCGCTACAAAGAATTAGGAGACTTCATCAGGTCCTGCTATGGGAATCCCGTCGCTCACAAAGTTTCTCGAAATGACAATGGCGTCTACTCATTCACTTTCAAGAAGCCCACTCCAATCGATCGCATCGTTCTAATGGAGGATCAGACGAATGGCCAGGTAATTCGATCTTACCAGGTGTATGCCAAGATCGCAGATTCTCAAACCTCCAATGGCCATGTGCCATATACCCTCATCTCCAACGGCACCAGTGTGGGCCACAAAAAGATTGATATATTCAACGAGACCATCTCTGTTACCGAGGTCATGGTCAATTCTACTTACGTGGATACACCCAAGTGGCGGTCGGTTACTGTCCACCTATGTGATAAGTGAACTGTGTGGGAGAGATATATATATCGTCATTGTGCCTACTAGTGGATAGGGTAAGACGGAATTTAACAGTACAAGCCGGGTTAATCACTTTTTAAACCAGTCAAGAGCCGGGAAATTGTTATTTAAGATCTAATACTAGTAGATCTAAAAGATGACTGCAGTGTATACACAATGCCAGCTGATTTTGATGTTTAGTACGGTCCGACCTCTATATTTTGGAGTTAGAATCGTTAGAATCCCCCCTTGTAGGCAAAAGTCGAACATTTCTCCAACAATTGGACGCTTTGGCCGAGTGGTCTAAGGCGCGTGACTAGAATCCTTATATCGTCGGATATAACAAGCTAATCACGTCCGTTCGCGGGCGTCGGTTCAAATCCGACAGGCGTCGTTTCTTTTTCGTTTCTTTTTTGCCTCAAGTAGAGGATAATTTGGTACAAGTTCTAACTTTTTGTGGCCGCTAGAATGGCCAGAAGCGGGTGTGGAGTACGGGATCGATGGGCGGGAACTCTGTCGGCTTGGTAGTGGTCAGCGAACGAACGCTTACTACTCGCCGGGTGATATTTCCTTTAGGATATGTTGGAAGAAGTTTATTGCGGTACATTTTATTGATAATTATTATTGGATAGCTTTTGCTATAATTCGAAAGTTGTCCATCTAGACGAGCCCGCCTCACGATTACGTATTACTGTAGCGTAGGTAGATTTACCCGAGTTTAGTTTCTTGCAGTCCGAATTTGGCGGCAGTGGAAGCAGGTCACATACGAACGCCCGATGCAAAAGACTTTATTTGCCTTCAATGAGCGGATTAAATATTCCTAGTCGGAATTGTTCAGGAGCGTAAAACAGCCTGCCACGATCGTAGCAATATGACAGGTCAGTTGTTTGCATACAGTAAAAGACGGAAACGGACTCGAAGATCACATGACCATGAATTATGGCCTCAGGCATGCACAAGGCATACAAACCGCCACAGCGTAAAAGGCACACGAGGCGCCGAACGTATCCCTGGTTAGCACTATACCAAGTTAAAATTCTTAGATACGACGAATAGGTTCGACTCGGCAGATCGCCCAAGTTTGCCTTACGGCTTGCCGTGGTTTTCCACGGAAAAGCACGGCTGGAAAGAAAAAAGGGCCAAGGAAAAATTAAACTGGCCTTAGTCAGGGAAAAAAAACTCTTAGCTTCGAGTGGCGCGTGGCGTCAATCAGGGCTAAAAAACAGGGCTGAAGCCGATTGGCTTGGATCTACACTTCTGAAGAACCTTCAGAGCCGCACTAGCAATTCAGGCACCGTTTAGCTTCAATTATACTGTGCTATTATGTACAAGCGTCCTGACGGCGTCTAGAGTCAAGATAACAAGCATAGATAATCAATGAAAAGGCATGTAGTTCAACTGAATGACTGACAGTCGTGACTAACGAGATCTCGTATAACCCAATGGATGTGACTGCAGTGGAGAAGAAGCCTCGCAATCGCGGGTGCAACGGTGGGGCTCAGGGCAGGAGGTGAGCTGTTTCGGGAAGGTGCCGAGCGATTGATTTGTCTATTGAAATCCTTCACCAACCGAGATTTCTCGGCTTTGAGTCGGCGTTGAGTCCATTTTTACTTAATATTCTTCTTTTCTCCTCTGTCGCGACCTTTCGCGTTGTCCTCTCCGTCCTCCATCCCGCTTCGTATACTTCCTCCTGCCCGGTCCACCCAACGTCGTTCCGATGTCCCCGAGTAAGAACAATGCCGACAAGGTGATTCCATCTGAGGATGGGGTGGCCGATATGAGTGATCGGGAGCAGCAGATCTACGAGGGCGGCATCCAGAAGTTCAATCGTCTTGGATGGAAGCGCCTGACCATCGTCCTGATCGTCGAGGCCGTCGCTCTCGGAACCCTCTCGATCCCGGCCACCTTTGCGAAGCTCGGTATGGTGGCGGGCGTGATCTGCTGTGTTGGTATCGGTCTCATCGCGGTGTACACCAGTTACATTATCGGTCAGGTCAAGGTCAAGTTCCCGCATATCTCGGACTACCCCGAGGCTGGGAGACAGATGTTTGGGCGATGGGGATACGAGATTCTCTATATCATGTTGGCCCTCGAGCTCCTTCTGTCCGCTGGATCCCACTGCTTGACCGGAACCATCGCATTTGCCAACATCACTGAGAGCAACATCTGCTCTGTGGTCTTCGGTGTCGTCTCCGCCATTATCCTGTTGATCTTCGCCATTCCGCCCAGTTTCTCCGAGATGGCTATTCTCGGATATATTGACTTTGTGTCCATCATCATCGCCGTTGGAATCACCATCATCGGCACCGGCGTGGAGGCCAGCAACTCCACTGGACTCGCCGCTGTGAACTGGTCCGCCTGGCCCAAGGAGGGCCTTACTTTCTCGGAGGCCTTCATTGCGCTCTCCAACATCATCTTCGCCTACAGCTTCGCCCTCTGCCAGTTCTCCTTCATGGACGAGATGCACACTCCTACCGATTTCCCCAAGTCCGTCTGGGCTCTTGGCCTCGCTGAGATCTTCATCTACACTATCACCGGTGCCCTCGTCTACGCCTTTGTCGGCCAGGATGTCCAAAGCCCCGCCCTTCTGTCTGCGGGCCACCTCCTCAGCCGTGTGGCTTTCGGTATCGCGTTGCCAGTCATTTTCATTAGTGGCTCCATCAACACCGTGGTTCTGGGTCGCTTGATCCACGGCCGTATCTTCAAGAGTTCCAACATCCGTTTTGTTAACACCAAGATGGGATGGGTGACTTGGCTGGCCCTGATCGTTGTCCTGACTATCCTCGAGTTCGTTGTTGCCGAGGTCATCCCCTTCTTCGACGACCTTCTGTCTATCATCTCCTCGCTCTTCGTGTCCGGCTTCACCTTCTACTTCCCGGCTATCATGTGGTTCATGTTCATTCGTGAGGGTAGCTACTTCGAGAAGAAGAACCTTCCCCTGACTGTGATCAACTTGATCATCCTTGCCATCGGTCTGATTGTGCTGGTTGCCGGAACATACGCCAGCGTTGTTGATATTGTAAGTTTCTCGAACAGCTCACTCTTGTCTTGTTGTTTGCAAGTACTAACAGTCTATAACAGATCAACTCGTACGCCAACGGCACCGTTGGAGGTGTGTTCTCGTGCAAGTCCACTTAAGTTCCCTTTGTGGCGGCGTTTGGAGTGTGTATAGAAAAGATAGATCTGTTGCTTTCCTGTAATATAGACTTTGCATAGCTTATCCCCAATGCATATGCCTTTGGCATTATATGATCACATTTCTTGCGCCACCACTCGAAGAAAATATGTTACGCTCCCCGCTCCATGGCAATAGAAAATTGGTACTGACATATGATATTGCTTCAGCGAGACTAAGTTCCCGAGAGGTCGAACACTGGGGATACGAGCTGCTCTGAGGCCGGGAGTTTGAATGACAATGAGTATGAGGAAGAGGTGTTATTACTTCACCCGTTTTCTTTTACGGGTGGCTCATACTCGGCGATGGGTCTCGATATAGTAAGCATGCTGATATGGATTTTACTAGAGCTAAGCTAAAACATGTTAACTAATGATATGTTTCGGTGTCTTGAAGCTAGTAAGAATACTACAAATTACGGATAGACTATGTTCATTCAGTATATCCCATGGTTGTAGTGCCACGAAGCCTTCTTGTAGTGCCATGAGTATGATCCTATTTCTAGCATGAGAAAAAGAAGCATCGGGCCCTCTATAGCCCCACAATGGCCACCTGGTCCTGAAAATAACCAGCATAGCCTCGTAGGGAATATCATATAGGTAGATGTCATTAATATCAGCCTGGTCTATATTTTCTCAGTACCCATTCATATCCATGAAAAGATTACGTTCCCATCCGTCCAAATTAGGGTTATAATTGCACCTGCCAGATACGGGCCAGACAATCATCGCCACCATTTACACGCATCTGACCTCTCTTCCATCTTCTAACTCCCATGTCTTCACCCTCAACCAACTTTCCTATCTCCCACGCCTTACTTCCTCGCTCTCAAATCAACAAAGCTATTGCAACTCCTGCTGGTAATGTTCACCTCTATTTATATATTTCATTTCTATTTAATTACACTTGACGCTGAAATATTAAAATAACAATCGGTGGAAAGTCACGGAACAACCGAACTCAAAAACTCATCTGAGCCTGCGATCTTTTCTCTCTTGATTTTCTTCGTGTTGGAAATTCTCGAAGCAAACTGCTTTATCTTGACTAGGAAGAAAGACGAGGGAATAGCTTGAGAGCGTTTCCACGATTGGTTTTATCCTCATCTTGCTTTGACAGCTTAGCCTCATCTAATTCCCTGCTAAAACGTCTCACCGTCGCCTCAGGAGCATATGGGAAGTCGCTTCCAAATAGAATATGATCAGGAGGAGCGAACTTCTGTAACAGGGGCAAAGCAAACGTAGAGTCTGTCAGCGCCAAGTCAAAATAGAACATGCGCGCATTCTCCACAAAATGTTCTGGCGTCATAGTAGATAGACCAAGGTCTTGTAACATAATCGCCGGGCGCCTGGCTAACCACGGGAGATTACCACCGGCATGGGACAAGATTATCTTGCAACGATGATACTTGCGGACAGTATCGGTGGTAATAAGATCCACTGCTGCGCGGGTTGTCTCATGCGGGTAATCAATCATAGGTTGAGGAAGCATTTTGTTGACGAGGTTGGTATCAACTGGATGGGTAGGGTGAATAAACACCACGGCCGCACGCCTATGTAGCTCCTCCCAAATAGGCTCGATTTTCGGATGGCCCAAATAGTAGTTGGCATCCCCATAGCGAGTAAATAAAGTTACCCCGTCGGCTTCGAGCTCGTCGAACGCGTATCGAATTTCCTCTAAAGCCCTGTCGGTGTCGAGGATATCCGGAAGCGCAGCAAAGAAACCATAGTTCTTGGGATACTTGTCTCTTAGAGTCTTACCAAACTCATTGCAATCTCTGGCGAGACGGGCAGACTCAGCCCCTTTGAGAATGCTAGTGCCTGGAGCAGTAACAGACAAGATTGCTGTTTCAATGCCGCAATCCCCGCATATCTTTTGATCAGCGTCAATACTCCAAGCAGGTGTCGGCCATCCGGAAGGATCCCCGCCCGTTTTCTCAAGAGCTTATAAACAATATGTTAACCTTATTCAAGACCTCTCAGTACATTGGAGGGAAAGCACACCTTGTAGGTAAGCCGGGGGGATGTAGTGGTGATGAACATCAATGCGTCGTGCCATTGTCGTAGCTTCTTGGTGTGGATTTTTGTTAGTGAATTAGCACTGGAGAACAGGATTACTTGGGAACGGCCATAGGCTGTATTTATATTCATTGTTTCTTGCGTATCTTATAGAAATTTTGAAGGCTGTGGATAATCCGGATGCTTAGCTTGGCCACTCAAAGCTTCATTTCTCCGAACGGAATTGCACCGAAGACAGTCCGTCCGAGGACCGTGAGCATAATCACAGCGCATTATTAACCACAGGCTTTCACAATTACAGTCATCCCCACTATGATGTTTTCGAATGTGAACCTAGCATCTGCGGATCCCAAAAATGTTGGTATTTGACGCCATCAGTCCCCCTTTGAACTGAGATAGGCTGAAGAGGGCCGGGCTGTAGTTTCTCACGGGTGCCGCTCCCGCCTTTAAGCTGCGGAACTAAATGGACCAAAAGAAATTGGCTAGAAGTCGCACCAATCATTAGAATACAAGAATATTGAATTTCAAATACGCTCTGTATTCGTATGAGTCCCTCCCATTTGATAAAAGGAAAAAATACAAGCCGAAAACGATCTGCTGCAAGCATTTACTACCTAAACGGAATTACGGGGAATCGGTTATGCCGGACCGACTGTGCCGTAAGCCCATGGATATGTTGCCGACCATGTGAGTCTCTGGGACATAAGGGGCAGGACATCCGGGAAATCCGAACCATATAGATTCCATAGTAACTCGAATGAATAGGGTATGCCATGAAATATCATTGGTTGCTTTCGCCGGGCTAGTCGCCTGAGTGTGCTCATTCTCGTTCATTAAATGCTACTCGCTTGGAACTTTCAGTGATCCTCAGAAATGTATTAGCAACCTGCCTTCGTGGCTATCAAACCATGAATATATCATTACTTTTGGCACCGGGGCCTCCAGATGAGAAGCCCAGACAAGAAAAACTTCAAAGCGCCGCCGAATTATCACTCATTCAGCAAAACACTCACTCTTCAATTCCCATTTCGATTGGAAATTCTTGCCCCTCGAACCGCATTCTCCGGTGTGATGATTCTCATCACAAAAACAAGCATAGTGATGAAATATCAAAGTCTTACCGACAACAGAGGAAACCCAAGTATGAAAAGTTGTATGTATATCAATTCTCATCCTTTCGTTCTTTTTCCGAACTTTCCTGCGCCTCCAGCCCAGTCGTTCAAGGGAAGGGCGTGCGTGGTCGAGAGAAGTTTGATATCGACAAGTCAAGCGCTAGAACTAATGCGAAGTGGCGCAAGGTCGTATTTAGAGCCGTCTCTTTCGAGGAGAATCAATAGGATTGAGGATTTTATTGCTCATAATCCAGCGTTGGTGTATCCCCACACGGATATTTCGTTATCCTGTGCACGAAATGAGCTTTCCGGTCTGTTGGATTTGAAGAAACTGCGACGTCTCAACAATAAGTTGGAGAAAATTGAGATATTGTTTCTCCAGAACACCAATTTTCCGAATACATGGCGCAATGACTCAGCATTCTGGTGAAAATTCAAATGGTTGAGTCATGGGAAAGCCAGCTCTTGCATGAACTGTTACTCGATACCCTTGTTTTGAGGACAAGCCCATTCTCCAAACACCACCATTCTACAGTGCAAACATACACGTCGTTCATTATCAAATCACCCCGACAGAAGAAAAGCAGCATCATCATTAAAGTACAACATATGATCTGGTAATTTTCTGACAAAACTTTGGGGAGAGGGAGGTTGGGTTGTAGTAAGACACTTGCTACGCTCAACCAACAATGCAAATGGGAGTATTCGATTAGCGATTCTCCCTGGCGAGATACTCAAAGTTTCCCAGTCCGAAACTCCCTACTCAGTTATGATCTTTATCAGAATTCTCATATGTGAATTTCTATGTGATGAGTACTGAAACATATAGACCAGGATGAGACACTATGCAACCCCAAAGCCATACGAAAGAAGACTGTCCACCATGACATGACCCCAATAACAAACAAAAGAACAAAAACAAATCCATCATCTATAATTCATAATCCATCAAAATCTAAGCCTCCATCTTGCCAGTAATGCTCTCCATATGAGTGGCATGCTCCCCACTCCGCTTCTCATTAGCCTCAGTCTCAAGCTGAGCCAGGTCATTCCCGCCCTTAACATTACCAGCCACATCACGCACATCAGTATAATGCACGGAAGGCTCCCAACCAACCGAGTTCCAAGCCCGAGGAACCTTAGCGTAGAGCTCATCAACCTGCTCCAGCGAGAGACCCTTAGTCTCATAGATGCAAGTATACACGAAAAGCGCACAAATGAAGCAAAACCCGCCCCAGATGAAGAACACCTTGGACTGCAAGTTGGCATTGCCAGGTCCACTGTTCACCATGTATGGAGTGGCGTAGGCGATCGCCCAGTTGAGGAGCCAGTTTGTCGCGGTCGTGATGGAGAGACACTTTGCGCGGGCCTTGAGGGGGAAGAGTTCGCCGGTTACGACCCAGGCGACAGGGCCCCACGAGGAGGCGAAGAAGAAGATGTAGACACAGACGAAGGCAATGAGGACTTTGTTTGCGACGGTGGAGGAGGCGGCTGTGCCGACGATGGCGACGATGAGTTGGGAGACGCACATGCCGACGGCACCGAACATGAGGAGAGGGCGGCGACCCCATTTCTCGACCATGTAGAGGCCAGGGAAGGTAGAGACGACGTTGATGATGTTGGTGATAAGGGTGATGACGAAGGAGTTTTGGATGCCAGAGTTTTGGAAGAAGGTTGTACCGTAGTAGACTGGAAGGTTGGTTGTTAGTAATCTGTAAACTGAGGTGTTATAGGTGGTACATACAGATGAAGTTCACACCGGCCAGCTGCTGCAGAGCCTGAATTCCGCAACCAGTTGCCAGACGCTTGCCGATAGAGCCGCGCAGAATCTCCAGGTAGGTAGCCTTGCCAAGACGGAGCTCGAACTCGTGGTTGGCCTGGATCTCGGAGAGCTCCTCGACGATAGCGGGATCATTGACGTCGACGCGGCGGAGACGGGCAAGTGCCTTGGTGGCGTCCTCGTAGCGGTCCTTCTTAATAAGGAAACGGGGAGTCTCGGGCAGGATAATCATTCCAGCGACCAGAATGATAGCCCAGGCGAATTGAACAGCGACAGGGATACGGTAGCAGCCGGTATCCATGCGGTCCTTAGTAGAATTGTTGACAATGGCAGCCAGCAGCAGACCGATGGTGATGGCCAGCTGGTAAGCACCGACAATGGTACCACGAATCCACTTAGGAGCAGTCTCAGACTGGTACAGAGGAACTAGAAGAGATGACGTTAGATATAATCAGTAGACCTATTGTCGGATATTTCTCAACTTACTAGTTGCCGAGAGAAGACCGACACCCAGACCAGCGAAGAATCGGCCAGCCACAAACAGGGGGATAGAAGTAGAGGCTGTCTGCAGGATAACACCGAAGCAGAAAACAAAAGTGTCGAGAATCATGCCAATGCGACGACCGAAGTAATCCGCAATAGGGGCAGCGCCGAGAGCGCCGAAGAAAGTACCGGCAGAGAGAAGGGAGACGATCATCGAGGACTGGGACGAAGTAACATCGGGGAGGCCGTCCTTAGGGTTAACATATCCAGTCGAGAACATCTCGCGCCATTTCTTCATGGCCAGAATACCGCTGATGGTACCGGTGTCATATCTGTGAAAGGAAACGGTCAATGCTAATCCAGAATTGTAAAAGCAATAGAGACGACGATACTCACCCGAAGAGCACACCACCAAAGGCAACGAAAAGACCGATAATAATAGCCGGGGCCGCCGAACCGACAGCATCGTCGGGCTTCTTCAATGCGAAGCCCATGGCGAGAGAATTGAGCGTAACAAGTTTTAGTCAAGGAGTAGGGTATCGGGCAGCAGAAGCGAGATGATAGTATAGGGAAGTGCTGCACTGCAGACACGCTCAAATGGTAAATAGAAGACAGAGACGAGAAAAGAATAGATGAATATCGCCAATGGAGAAACAATCAAGAGAAAAAAAAGAAACCCAAGAAATTCAAGCTAGGTTGCAGAGGATCCCACGAGGGTTTAATAGTCCACGCCAAAACCTAGAAATACAATAAAACGAACTCAGACCGGCCATGATCAGCAACGCCCCGGGGGGCCCCAAAGTGGCCGAAACCAGAAACCAGAAAAAAAACCACTCGAAGCGTCTTCTCCGTACCCCAGCAAAAGCAAAAAAAGGCACTCCGAGATTCCCTGCATGGGGGGTCTGTTAGGGTTGGGGGTGGAGTAAACCAGACCGGCCAATGCGGCCACGCTGTAGAGTGGGGATATTTCCAGGAGAAAGCGGGTGGTCTGAAATGGAGTGCTATTGGTTAAATTGGATTTGACTCTTCGGCTCAACCGTGGCCGAAAAAGATTCTCGAAGGGCGTTGCTAGGATCGGCGCCACCAGGGATGAGCCAAGGGGAGCTGCGTTCAGGATGGGATAGGTAGACTTTGGTGTCTGGTGACCTGAATATACTAGATAGGTATGTGGAATGAAAATAATAAGAATAATAATGTAAAATAATTGATTATTCTATTCTAGAAGGATAATAATAGGCATGTCTCACGAGGGCAACTGAAAACGGGGTTCGCCGGTTGCGACGCACAACTTGATTAGTATGCAAGGCCGATCGCCGCTTTGGGCAAAAGAGAGACCGTCATCCCTAGTTGGCTCAGGAACACAAACATTAACATTAAAGCACCTTGACTATTTACCAATGACATGACAAGGACATGATACAATCATATCCATGGTGCCTCTGATTGTTATGAGAATATCAAGGAATTAAGCAAGAACCAAGAAAAGCCACAGACGCGGATCGTGGCGTCGTTCCAGGCGCCAACCACTTACGTTATAGCACTCAGGTACTGGTACAATAGACTGTATACATTTTACATACGTCAGGCCAAAGTAAAACAATAGAAGTAACTAAAGAACCAACAATCAAAATTGTCACCAATTCATATTCATTGGCTTTCCCCTCAAGTTCCAACCCCAATTCTCCAGATTATCACCCTCCACATCCCACATCCCCAGAAAGTTGGAGGAAACCCATACATCTCCAGACTCAGCACCGGTCGGCCACCGATCGTCTCACGCTAGAAAAATACAGTTTTGATCGACCATGCATGTCGTCAGCGTCCCGGTTATCATATGAAAGAAAAAGCCAATCTTACGCCCCGATACTGAAAGTCTGGTCCGGGTCGACGCCCCATCCGACCGTAATGTATATGCTGTAGTATCTCTATAATAGGATAGGCGGGATTTGTAAAGACCCGCATGAAGTCTAGGACCCCTTTCGCTTTATCTCAGGGTTCTCACCGGTGCCAGATTTGGGGGGTTGTTTAGGATGGGAGACATGTGGCGATAGGTCCTGAAACGCGCAAAGTTTGTTGGAATTGTGGTTGTATCCACCTCTAGACAACGTGTAGCGTATAGCGAAGGGTGTATGGAGAAGCAAGAGAGTAAATGGGTGTTAATGTATGGGAAGACAAGGGAAATTCTTCGTTGCCTGCAGTCTGTAATCTGCACTGCGAGGGTAAGGGTGCTCATCAAACTACTACTGTATCCAACCAATACTACCATAGACAAGGCGGGATGCCTGGCCTTCTCGGGGCGACCTCGGGCTGCAATGACACCTCATACGGAGTAGCTCCATGCAATATCCTCTCTTAACACTCAATTCTAAGTATGAGGTATAGATTATTATCACAGAATAGGTATTCTATCTCCAGTACAGTACGTCCTACCACGCTAACACCAGTAAGATCAACCTAACAACCTCTCTGATGTATCCTCCGGCCCCCGACAAACCCACCCGTAAAACGATCGGCCCGTGTTTAGGGATCCAGGCTGAAAGGCAAAAAACCCCTAGTGCGGCATTTTTCCCGCGCCCCGGATTGGTTACTCGACCCGATGGCACTCCGAGATATGCCCGTTTATTCGGCGAATAAGTGGGGTAGCCGGGGTGTTGTTTCTGGGATCGGGATTGGGATTACGGAGGAGGGACTCAGGGACTATGTAGAACTAGGCTCGTTGTAGCAGCATTACAGGGGAAAAACGGGATTTGTGGGGATCGGTCGGGGTCGGGACGGGAGTGTTGGCCGGGCCAAGGGGTCGGGATGGAGGATATAGACGTAAACAGTGTATAGCGTGTATTTTCTATAGATTGCTATCATGGAAGACGTCATTTACAGCCATAATGACTGTATTTAACAAGGTCTATTATTGTCTATACACTATACGCTCTGAACAGCTCACCAGGCTACCAGCGCCAGATCAGAACAAAATAAACCCCCAGCACGGCAATCGCAACGGACCGAACCAGACGCACAAAAGTCCGCCAGACAAGGACAGTCTTCGCTCTAACACCCTTCGCCGCAACGGCTGGTCGATACAATCCCTTATCTTTCGTACTCACGACGTCGTCACCATCTAGACCCCGATAAGTATCGTGGTAAGGCTTGCCGCTGGGGTAGTGGCGGGGGGAAGGAGAGATCCCGGCACGCCCGATCAGGCCACCGGAGGGAAATGTGGAGCTGGACGTACCGGATGTCTGGTACTGGTGGTTGGGGTGGAAGGTGTGTCTCTCGGAGAGGGGGAGGACGGAGCCGTTCGCGGGGTGTGGGGAGTTCGGGGGAATAGAATGTAGTGTAGAGGGCTTGAGCGAGGAGGATGGTAATGCTCAGGCCTAGGATGCAGAGATAGTGGATGAAGATGCCTAGTTGATCGGGGAGGAGGCAGAGGTGGTTTTGGATGGTGGGCGAGGAGCTTTTTTGTGTAGTCTCGCCGGTGATGGGGTCAATGGGGTTCCAGAGACTGGTGAGGAGGAAGCCGGGGTGTCGGACGCCCATTGCCCAGGACAAGCTCTTGACGGTGATTTCGTTAGGGGAGCCGTTGAATTCGCGGTGTATGACCTCGCAGTAGTCGTGGTCGTCGCCGGAGTAGACCTGGACCACGTTGGGCCCGGCCTTGGACACCAGTTCGTTGGAGATGGTCTGGGTCAGCACGTTTTGGTATTGATAACCACCGCCGAGTCGGAGCGAGTTGGGCTCGTCTTCCTCTAATCCTGGCGCAGATGGAGGAAGACGCTCACGCAGCGGCCCGCAGGGGGTCGCCGCCTTGCGATAGAGCGGAACGTGCGTGAGGAGAATGGTAGGGAACCCAGCTGACTTGGGATTTGGCAGCTGCTCAACGGAATCGTCCCCAGCTTCCACAATACGATGCTTGAATAGTACATCTTCCGACCGATTTTGTAGCACCCGGAGTTCCTCCGTCTCCGCGGTAGCTTTGTGGGTGACCATTTGGTCCAAGAATTCATCTGCATCTTTCCAGATTGGCCGAGCAAACTCGTCCTCCTCGCCCTCGCTTGTGCGGGAGCTCCCCGTCAACGGGTCCGGTTGGTCCATCGCACTCAGCGAGACAGTGTCGATGGAAACAAAAGTATGGTTTCCAATAATATCCACCCGGTTACCGTTACCAAAGTGGCTTTGGAATCGCCGGCGCACAGGTTCCTGAATCCCATTGCCAAATCCCAGATCGTGGTTTCCCGGTAGACTAGCAATGATCCTGCGTCCACGGCCGTCAACCGGATCGGAATATTGCTTGAGCCAGGGATCCATGAAAATCTTCATGAAACGGCCATATTCCTTCTTCCAAAATGAATCCTTGATCTTCTTGTATCGGTCCTCAGGGCTAACGGATGTGCTGGTAGCCCATTCTCGCCCGCCGTCAAACAGATCCCCTAAAAAGAGAACGGAGTCGGGCTCTAGATTATCTTGTATAGATGCAAATGCCCGGCGCATATATTGGTCGGTGTATTTGACGGTCAGCGTCGAGAGGGGCCATGGGCGGCCGGGGTAAGTGTGGGGATCGACAAGCTGGGGGTCGGCAATGAACGCGACATGATGCGGCGTGGCACCTTGGGGCTAGATATGAAATTGTCAGTCTCCGGCTATACCAACGATGCGCAAATGGTACGGCTTCAAGCGATCGCATAACATACCCATTTCTCCCAGCTCTCCCAAACACACCGATCAATAGCGTCTTGGAACACCGTCCGCTCCCCCCACCACAACGTAAACAACCACATGACAACGATGGCATTAGCGACAGTAAAAAGGCGTCGCAAAACCAATCCTACCACGCCACGGGGATCACTCCTCCCCCTCGTCCCCCGGAAACTTGAAGCCCCCTCCGCAAACCATTGTTTGGCCGTAGCCGGTAGTCCCTCCAATGCCTGTCGCACAATACCCGATGCTTGCCCGGGAACCGAATTAAACGAGGGAAGAGACGAAGCGCCGGCGCTGCGTGGGTAGGCGTAGCTCATATTGGCGACCGCTAAGCGTGCCTGTGTTGGAGGTGTGTAGCTTGGCTACCCCGTGGAGACGGGGTTGGATAAGAAATTAACGAAAAGAGAGTCGCTGCATGCTCTGGAATGCACAAGAAATGGACGAAGGAGTGGATGGAAGGAAAGAAGTGTGTCCAAAACGGGGATTTTTTTGGACCTTATTGCATGGTGTGTTGCAGATTGAATCAAGGGGCCAGTCGTTCTGGCTGGTCCCGTCTGGGGATCTCCAGGGTCGATGGGTCACGTGGTCGAAGGTTATAATTAGCTTAGTCCAACTTTGAAGTGCAACTGCCTATTTGGGCGTGGGAAAATAGATTTGATAACTTTCATTTGACATTCATGAGGCTAAATTTCCTAACTAAACCGAGATCAAGAAAGTGCCGAACCGGCCATACAGTTTGCGTGAGACCGCTGGCTCTCGTGGAACAACTACAGTTAAAATCCTAACCCACCGGATCGAGCATTTCAATTAATGATAAATAAAAATACATGCAGGTGGTGGTACGAGATATCAAGAACCATCTCGACCCCGGCGGTAAGAGCCCAGGACAAATGCCACACCACCAATGATACAAGGAGACCAATCCGCCAGGGAGGCCAACCTCTTCTAGAAACTGCCAGTCCAAAAATCCATGACGGGGTAAACATGAATGACCACGAGGAGATATTAGGGAGGATAACGAGTGAGAAGACACGCATAAAAAATAACCATATAATATGAGAACTTTAGGAGAGGATGGATAGGATAGTAGGGTAGTGGAGGGATGAGCCTCTAACAATCACGTAGGAACTCTGGCAAGGGAACGAATGTATGGGGGAATCAAAATCAAGTGGACTTTTTGGGGCAGCACTGGCCAACACGGGCGCAGTTGTCATCGCACTCCAGGAGGCAGGCGTGAGAGTCACCCTCGCGAACGCTGGCCGCACGGCTGGAGTGGCTGGGGTCATCGTTGCCGGCGCGGGACGAAGATGCCTGGCCATTGTTTTGGTTGTCCTCAGTATCGCTATCGGGAGTGAACTCGGGCTGGATGGTGGAAGAGTGAATGCCGTAGGCGTGCAGGCAGCGGCGCACCTGGCGCGCCAGGCGCATGTACCGCTCCGAGCCCTCGCCCTTGATTTCCGTGTCGACCTGGATATGGATGGAAGCAACCAGCTTGGTGTCATTCAGTTGCCAGACGTGGAGGTGATGGGTTCCGATAACGCCGGGAAGACGCTCAATGTCCTCCTTGATGTGGTCGACGCTCATGCCCTGGGGCGCGGCCTGAAGAAGGATGCGCGAGGCAGCCTTGCAAAGCGGGATGGCCGAGGCAAGAATGATGACCGTGATGACCAGAGAGATACCGGGATCGACGTAGAACCGCCACTTGTAGTCGGTCAACCAGATGATCAAGGCAGAAGCAATAACACCAATGTTGCCAAGCGCGTCGCCCATGACGTGCAGGAAGACACCGCGCATGTTGAGATCGTGGCCGTGACCATGGCCGTGGCCGCCCTTTTGGCCCTTAGGCTTGGGCTGAGCATGGTTATGACTCTTGTGAACGTCTTCTTCAGCGGCATGGTCTGGGACTGTAAAGGGGACGCCGTTCTCATCGGTGTAGTTTGAAGCACGGTCGCGGTTGCGCAAAAGACCGGATCGCTCGGTTGGCACTTCACCCTCACGGCTGTCAGTGTCGGAGGACTGCTCAGTGTCGAAACCACCACGGCTGGCGGCAATAATGTCCTGTCGCAGGGTAGCTGGGTGCACGTATATATCCTCGACATTTGCCAGAGAGGTGCTGTATCGGCGAGAGCCGCGGCTCTGCGAGTCGGTCACTCGGCGCTTGCGTGAAGGGGAAGATGGGTCGGTAGACGAGTGAATGAGTCCATTCGGCCCAGTCTCAAGACCAGAAGCTCCATGGCTACTCTTGGCCAGCGTGGCGTTCACATCTCCCTGGTCCGAGGCCAGGAAGGGCGTACCTTCATTCACGTGGCTTTGACCATGGCCGTGTCCCTGCTCAACATCCTCCTCGTCATGCTCAGCACCTTCACCGTGGTCGTGACCGTGTCCGCCGTGAGAGTGGTCGTGGAAAAGTGCCAAGCCAAGGATGTTGGAGAGAAGTCCAAAGCAACCGACGATGCAAACCAGCTTGGGGTTTTGGACTTCTTGAGGCTCCACCAATCGCTGGATGGCTTCTAGGAAGATCGAAAGACAAAGGGCGACCAAGAAAACGCCGTTGACGAGCGCACCAAGAGTTTCCGCTCGTTGCCACTGTATTCCAAAGAATTGATTGTCAGACCGGTTTGTGCGCGGGGCACCCAGGTACCTTGAGGGCCGGACCACTTACGCCGTAGGTGTACATCTTCGAATTCGTTTCGCGATTGGCGACCTTGACGGCCCAGAGACCGACGCAAAGCGACAAAACATCATTGAGCTAAGCATATGTGTCAGAGGAGGGACTGGAGGGGATAACGTTGGTTCGAATCGGGTCCTACCATGTGAAAGGAGTCGGCGACCAGAGCAAGGGAGTGGACGGCATAGCCTAAGAAGCAAACATTGTCAGATTAGGCGCACTAGCGAGAGGAGCGTCGGTCAGATTCGAGGTAGAATATACTCACCAGTAATTAGCTCTAGCAGAAAAAAAGCAGAGTCAATCACCAACAGGATGATGATCCTGTTGGTCTTGGAGAGTCCCATGGCGGCGATGCGCTCGCGATGCGCTCAGTGGCGCTGGACTCCGTGGGAGGGAGGGATCAGGGGGCTCGTCAAAGCACGAGTCTGGAAACAAAAAAAAGTGAAAGTGAGAGAGTTCAACCTGGCGGGGGGGCTGTTGTTAAGAGGGGAAAATTTGCGAAGCGATAGGGCGGAAAGCGGAGGGCTGCAGGTGCTTTTGATGCTGACGCAGGTGGAGGTGGAGCTTAGCACATCAACGGCCGGGAGGTCTGTCCGATCGGGTCCGAGGTGGCGTTATCGTCACGTTGCTCATCTTAAAAATGTATACAAACTACCTAGATGGTGCTGTCTACAGTGCACACTCCTTTATTCTTCCATGATAGACCAGCAGCAAAGATCCTTGTTCCCCGGATCTTCCGAGGTTGTGTGTTTCATTCGTACCAAATACTCGGTTCTTTAGTACATTGGAAAATCGAAGCGTCTGGCCCCCACCGGAACACGATCCAGTTCGAAACTACAATCCTTCACTACGGTATATACAAATCCTGCTTCTTTCTGTTCCCCCACTTACGGCTGCTATTTAGGCTCCAATTTTCTCCATTTTCTCTGCTCTATGTCTCCTAGTATCGGCCCTTTTACTATGTATTTATTACCCGCCCTTCTCAACATACTCGATATACTCTACGTTTGCGCATTCGCATCCAGGCTAGTCCCACAACACCCAACTAATAAGACTTTGTAACACCGCAGGCTAGCAATCTTAACACAGAATGTTTGTCCCCATCGGCAATGACCGTACGGAATCGCAAAATGCCCCTCCTCATCTCTCATCTCAAATCTTGTCAAGACCAAATCTCGGCTCCAAACAAGAAACTCAAAGCCCCTCCCGAACCCACTAGCGGCCACTAACAAACCCACTTGAGCCACGACTGAATTTTAGGACTATACACAGTGGCTGCAGAGATGTATTGTGGCTATTGCCCAGACACCGTTCAAGCGCCGTCGTACACGCTACGCTCGCAATGGTGGACAAGAAACACGCTAGAAGGCGCACCAGGTAGGATGCGAGTTAAGTGGAGAGTTGAATTAGTCTTAAACTTCCCCAAGGTCCTCTCGCCCCACGTTCGGGGGTTGCCGTTTGCCGAGCATGCAAGATGCTGAATAGTTAGATGACTCCCATGATTCCATGTGGAATTCTTTTTCGGCAGTTGTCACAGCTATCGAGTAAGGCTCTTGCTGCAAGAGGAACGAGACCGGATATTTTATCTTGCAGATGTTGCCGACTCATTCAATGCTACTAGGTGAGCCCCAGATATCCCCACTTGTGGCATTGATATGGTGGAGCTTTGCTTATTGCATCGCAGATGATTGGAGTGACTGTCCCTTCTGTCAGCCTTATCGACCCTGTCAATTCTTCTTTTCGGCGGATTCCATCCGATTGGAATTGCCGAGAAGGATGGCAACACATCTCTACAGGCTTGTCTCGAGTACTGCTTATTGGCGACAACGTATGTCCAGTACAAAATCGCTATCGGTTCCCCTAATTTCAGGAGCTCTTTCTGAAGATAGGTTAATAGTTAGTGAGCGAATGAATAGATGAGTTGATGAAGGTATGCATTTCTATAAACGTATACCTTAGCGAGGCCTCATTTTGCTCCACCTTCTTCTCACACACTGATCTTCTTACGAAGAGCTAGAATACGATCAGTCGCCTCAGAGAAGGAGTCCTTCGGCAACGAGCCATTCTGCAAGGCTGATACCAGCGCGTCAAAGACAGCCTCGCCTTGTGTAACATTCCGAGCCGACGCAAGTATAATATCCATACCAGCCTGGCTAGCCAGGACACCACGTGCCGCATCATCACCAAAGGCTTGAAGAGCCCCAGCCTCGATGGCGTCCGTGATAGTAACACCCTTGAAACCAAGTCTCCCGCGGAGTTCATCCTGAATCCAGGCCTTGCTCAGTCCTGACGGGTACTTGGCGTCTAAAGCTGGGTACAAGGCCCAAGAGTTCATGACCATGTCGACGCCGGCAGGAATAGCCTTTGTGTACGGGATTTCGTCAACTGTGCGAATCTCGTCCAAGGTGAGGTTGATGGTGACGGGCTCCTCGTCCGTGTTCTCGGTTTTCCCAGCTGCTCCAAGACCGGGGAAGTGTTTCGCTGTTGCGATGATACCGGCTTCTTGTTGGGCGCTGATAAATGCCGGTCCGCATGTCGTGACAAGCGCAGATGTATTGCCATAGGAGCGGCCATAATTATCCAAGAAGTCCCCTTCTTCGCGGTACACGCCCAAAATTGGCGCAAGGTTGGTGTTCACTTGGTATTTTTGGAGAGCACTTGCAGCGTCCTTGCCAGATTGCGTCGCAGCGACTCCCGTGTTACTGGACTGGCCAATTTGTTTGGCGCTCTGAACTGGTCCGCCGGGTAGTCGCCGGACTATCCCTCCTTCTTGGTCGGTCATAATCAAAAGAGGACTTCCTGGGTATGTGCTACTCTGCTTGTAGGCATTTTGGAAGTCGCTGATGATTATGCTGAGATTGTCGGCGACATTCTCCCCAAAGAGGATGATACCGCCCACTTTGCCTTGCTTGATCAAATCGAACAGATGAGTCGGTGGGTTGAGGCCTGGATAGGAGAAGACGACATGATGTCCAACCTGCACAGACAGGTCATCCGATTTCTTAGCCCGGCCCGAAGCCACAAGAGACAAGCAGATAGTAAGAAGCTGTGAGGCTGTGGTCCACCGCATGGTGAGGTTCTTCAACATTCAAAGTCAAATTCCAGCATGCGCAGATCACCCAGCTTTGAAGCGACAGTCGCGGTTTATGTACATTTTTGAAACTCGTATTAACTACCGGAGTACGGTTGCCTTTTGCATTATCCGAGGTTTATGCAGGTACATCAACAGGGGGGTGTTACATTGATCGGCGCTCACCAAGCCTATTCTGGGCGAGGGGTCCCTATGAACATACGAGGTTACTCTGCTATTGTTGCCCCGCGTTTCGACTAGACTATATTCATATCTTGAATGATTCAATCTTGCTCTCGGCTATTTATTCGTGGCGGTGATCATCGGCCATGTGTGACGGGGGCCATCCACTAGGCGAGGTAAGACTCACTGCTAATGTTGATGATGCTGAGCAAGACAATATCTGGACCGTAACCGGAATATGGGATGTCTCTTAAGCTTTGCAGAATCTCTTTCAAGGTTAGGATGCATCAATTATGTATCAACACACACCGTAAAGAGTCCGGATAGCGCTATTCACAGGGTTCGTCTTACTGGCCTCATTTTTGTTACTTCCAGTTGTTCATGGGGCTTATGTCTGACTGGCCGGGGATTGAATAGTTTATTTCGCTTCGTTTATGGTTAATGTATCTATCCATAGGTAAGCCCGTACCAGTTACTATCTCCTCAAACATACGTACTTGGGTACTAGTTTCTCGATGCCCCGGCTGGGAGATATATATATTCCCGTCCATTTCCTCTTGCGGAGGAGTATTCATCCAAAAATCCATCCAATGGCCATTGATTAAGTAAAATACCTGACCAAGGAACAAAATCTCTTTCTTCGTAGCGAGAAGACTTTCTCACGACTTTCCCGAATCCACCTTGTTATTAGTCCCGAAAATTGCACACGAGCGATATCTACTGTACGGTTATCGGGGAGTGGATCTAGTCACCGATCGGCATAGAGCAGGAACGCCGACGCCGACACACCCGGCCGTCGATAGGTTGAACTTTTCTATAATTTAACCACGCCCTGACTCCTAATGATAGCGAAACCTCATTCGTCGAAACAAGCTCAATAAAAATAATAACAATGAGCAGTCTCGCAGCTTCTAGGGTGCGATTAGCTTATGAATTGCATCGCGCGACTAAAAGCCACACCTCGACGCGTCTAGCGAACCATGCTCCCATCCTGTTTCTTCATGGCTTCCTTGGATCAAAACGAGAGAATCGGCAAATGAGCAGGTAAGAAAGTTTTACCGAGCATCTAAAACACGCGTTACCTTGCTGACTAGCGGCGATACAGGAATCTTGCCAAAGAATTGTCGCGCGACGTTTACGCTTTGGTATTGAGAACCCAGAGATTCGGGAATTTGAGATGATAGACAATCTAACTGGGGTTAGGATCTACGAAATCATGGCGACTCTGGTCATCATCCGAAGCACGATTATATGGAGATTGCATTGGACGTTGAGTCATTCATTGCTCAACATGGACTCGAGCGACCGACGCTGATTGGCCACTCAATGTAGGTTGACCATGTCGAAGACTGTCGCATTTGAGTGCTAACAAACTTGCCCAGGGGTGCAAAAACGGCTTTAACTCTTGCTCTTAATTCGCCAAAATTAGTATCCAGTGTCGTGGCCGTTGACAATTGTCCTATCAAGTTGCCCGTGGCGACTGATTTTCTGAACTATCTTGAAAGCATGGGAGAGGCCGAGCGAGAACAAGTTCGGACGCATGCCGAAGCTGACGAGATTCTCCGAGAATATGACCTAGTAAGAGCCTCACAGATGATGGGTTGACGACTTTTCGGACTGATAGTAAAATATAGGATCCACCCGTCCGACTCTGGCTATTGAGCAATTTCGTCAAACAGGACGGTTCGCCTTATTTGAGACTGCGCGTTCCTTTGGGTACCTTGAAAAATGCCATGGGACCTCTAGGGGATTTCCCATATGACGTTGGAAATGTGCCAGCCTTCCAAGGCCCAACGCTTTTCCTTCGAGCTCTTCAAAGCAACTTTATCCCTCAAGGTTCATTTCCGCTGATTTCCAAGTTCTTCCCGCAATCGGAGATTGTGGATATGGACTGCGGACATTGGATTGTGCAGGATAAACCCCAGCAGTTTAAAGAAGGTATGTTCAAGATTTTCACCGAAGCATTTTGGAAACCTTGCTTACGTGCGATTTGTTTTATCAGAGGTCGTAAGATTCTTGCAGAAATGTTGAGTCAAATGGTACCCACCTATCATGGATCGTCCCATGGTTTGCGCGTCAGACTATTTGTACATTACTTTCCTTCTCTGTCTTTAGATGGTGTTTCCGGTTATATTAAATGGGCCCTGGAGCGAATTAGACAACTGTCACCTCTAAAGGAGTATGCAACAGGGCGTAGAGAACAGTCCTCGCAACTTTGGCTTCGGCAAATTCTGGCTATTGTATCACATATCAGGGCCAATCAGCCATGCCGACAGATTGTTAGAGTCGGTAATCTGACCACTGAACCATCCACAGAGATCCTCAATAGAGCCCAAGGAAGGTAATGTATCAATACCGGTGCTAATTGCTTCTGCTTCCGTCTCCCAGATTCCCTGCTCTTCGCCACCCGAAGCACCTGGCACTTCACTGGGATTATTCCTCTGACACTCGATCCCTGCCCTAGACTCAATTCCAAGGACGTGGGAAGCAATCGCCTGGATTTCCCTCACATTTCGTGCTGTCCGTGGCCACACTTTTCCCAGTGCCTTGAGACAGCCGATGGTCATTCGGATTTGGTCTCTTGCAATCATCAAGTCTTTCCCACCAAGGCAAGATTTGCAAGCCGAAAGCAGAGCCAAAGTCCCCTTACTAATCATGCAGGTGACAAAGGGGGTGTGGTGGAATCTTTCAGCAGGTAAGGCTATAAGCTGAACCTGTGCCTCCACTGCGCGTAGCACACGCACAGTGTGCACATTGATCAGGTCCGGGGTGGGCATATCAAGGTTTGGATTTCGGCCGCAACTCGAAACTTCTTCAACAGAATAATATTTGAGATCTGACAATGGCCGGTGCAAGACAACGGTGGCTCTAAGGCATGATTAACATCACGATACTCTCGTATGACGAAAGAATCCGGTTGGCTTACACATGAATAAGCATGTGCGCTTGAAACATGAGCTCATCAATTTCTCCTGCCTTATCCATGACTTGCTTGCGATTCTCCGGCAACAGAAGCAACCATCCTTTCAATATGGAGTCGGCAGACTGTATCACGTTCGTTGAACCCTCATTCCCAGCGATCTTTGGGACTGTGGATATTGCCGAGGCTATGCATCGTACAGCACCGATAAGATAGGCAAAGGATGAGAAGGTGATATCATCCGAGGTGAATTCACGACAGTCGAAATCTCGTAGAGTTTTGGGCTCGGGGATCTCCTGTGCCTGGGTAAGCTATGTGAAATGTGTGGATACCGGGAAAGTACTGGATTAATGCGGGCCAAGCAACTTTTAACCATACTTACCCCTAATTCATAGTCCGATTCGTCACAAGGTAATGCCACCGAAGTTCCGATGTTCAAAACTTCAAAGTTCATAGTTCCCAAAGTCCCCGCATAATAGGCATCTACGGTGAATAACATCCACCATGTCCGTCTCCAGCTTTCCTGTACTACCGAATCGTTGCCGCCATGCTTTAGCAAGAATTCATAATCAGACATTCTCAAGTCAATGGCGAGCCGCATTGCAGTTTCCATCTGCCGTTTAGCGTCAATGTTATGTTCGTACCAGAACAAAGGTATAGAATATAAGAGTCGGCACTGGACTAGAATGGGATCTGTTGACGGTGCTTTCAAGAAGGAGGCTTCGGCATGATCTTTCAGCGGAATAGACCATTCTTGCGACCTCATAATATTGCCGACAAAGCGCATGATGGCGATCAGTGGTTTGAAAGTGGGATGTTTACACGGATCTTGAAGAATCCTCGTCAAGGCCATCCGTGGTAAGAGGAAAGGGTGTAAATGGTGGAAGTTCCTGTAGTATGAATCGACTAAGGGGTCATTTTCAATGTTTATAAGCTCGGTGGAGGAGCCCGTGATGAATGTTTCTCCTGCAATGGCGACTCCAGCGAGTGGGCTGTGAGTATGAGGGTTCATTTCGACCATTCGAGGGATAAATCCCTGGAGCTGCTGGCTATCCATCGGCCGAGGAGCACTCATGCTATTGATAGGTGCAGAGCATGCGGCTGTTGTCCACCGTGTGTCCTGCTCTTTCCGAGCCGCACGATCGAGTCGACCTCTTCGTGACCGGGCATACTTGCATTCCTGGCTGCTCTCAGCGCATCGGCTGCAACTTGGTCGTTTGCCGTCGCATTTCCGGTGTCGCGACCGGCAAGGTAAACAGGCTAGTGAGGATCGGGTTGGTCCGCCTATCCGTTGATTCTTCGTGGGATCCATGGGGTCACGCGTTAAGAATATGTCGAAAACGAGTTCGAGGTCATGTGCTTCATAATTTGACGACTGAGTGCCGTGCGCGTGGTGCTGTTGGAGGGGTGGGGTACCTAAGTTAGTTGTGGAAGTCTTATGGGCTGACAAACATCCTCCGATCTAACTTAACTAGTTACATAGTGGAGGTCCACTTGGCAGCGGCAGCATTTGCCTAATTAGTTTGCATTTAGTTACCTTATTAACTATGCACCATCAATCTGCTTTCAATTACTATTTCAAGATTTGACAAAGCTCTAGCATTTACTCTCGCAGTTTTAGAAGACTATTGAAATACTTCAGAAGGTCTCTTTTTTATAAAGTTGGACGGATGATATCATTTACAGTCTAGACTTATCCATAGCCTGCAAGTGGGTCTACGGCAGCCGATAGATGCTATAGGAAAATGCGCTAACCTGTGTTACAATTTTTACCTGACAGAAAGATTAGATAAAGATAGTTGGTTAAACATGGCGGATTTGCTATTGCAGAGAATGATGGCTATAGTTATTCCTCCACTTAACGTGGAACGGCCGGGCGCCTCATTACCTTGCCACTTACGTGAAAGATGCCCGTCAATCCCGGCGCATGAAGTTCAATGATTTGGAATCGACAATCGGCTATGCCCACCTCATCCAGGTACCCTCAAAGTACGGTTAGAATAGAATTCGTCAGGTCAAAAAGAACCATGGATTTATGTGTTTAACGTTAGTTCGTTCGAGATCAATCACTGTGCAAAGAGATGTCACGTTGCAAACCCCTTAAATTAACATCATTCTGTATTTAAAGGAGACCAGACAAATTATTCCTTGCCACATGCTGTGACACCAAGAAGTCCAAGTTAAAACGACTATTAGTTCAGCGATAAGTCAAAAACGATCTTCCCCTTCGAGTGTCCTCCATCCAGCCTTTTGAACGCTTCTTCGAACTGTTCCAGTGGCCATACACTATCCACCATTGGTCGACACTTGCCGTCATCTACTAACTTCGTTATCTGCTCCAATTGCATCCTGTTCGGCTCCATAACGAAAAAGACATCGTGGACCGCTTCGCCCTTGAAATCCTCTGGACGAACCTGCGTTGGCGGCTGGAATATACTCAAAATGACGCCACCGTCTCGGACAGCCCACCAAGCGTCCTCGAGGGACTTCCGGCCGATACAATCGATCACAACATCCACCTTCTTGCCCGGTTGCTCTGCCCAGTCACGCATACTTGTGGTCCGATAGTTCAGAACCTCGTTTGCGCCAAGAGACTTCACAAGGGCCAGATTATCAGGACCACAGGTCCCTACAACATCGGCTCCAAGCAGGGCGGCTAGTTGTGTGACCCACATTCCGACACCGCCAGACGCAGCCGTGACAAGCACTCTTTTTCCACTCCATGCTTCTCGAGCGGCGGACACATCGGTATCTTCCCCCTTGAAAATGCCCGCATGGATGAATAAGATCTGCCATGCAGTCTCAGCTGAAACTGGAACCGCAGCCGCCTCTACCCAGCTCAATGTCTTCGGTTTATGCGCAAGTTCGTCGGTGACGCCAATGGTAAAATCACGCGCATTAGCCGGGCGAATGTAGTTGGTCCGAGCGTACACCTCATCTCCAGGTTGGAAGGGTGAGTCGGTAGGTGCAGAGACGATGATGCCGCTGATATCGGGGCATGGCACCAACTCGCGAGGCTTTGGTGGAGGAAAGTTCTTGGGCCAAAGTAGTTCACCAGCGCACGGGGAGCAAGCATGGACGCGAATCAGGTGTTCTCCTTGGGATAGGTTGGCAACTGGAAGTTGTTTCGTCGTGAGAGAGAGATCCCTCGACTCAGAACTTGGCTGGACGAGAGCACGCATAGTTGTTGGGAGTGGCATTGTGAGTCTTGAATAGCAGGGTCTGTAGAGAGGGATTTTCATGGTTCAAGTAGGGTGGGGATATGGCTTCTTCGAGGTACTTATATATGTTCAGTTTACATTTACGATATGTAGGCTCATCGTAAAGGTCGTACTTTTCTTAGCCGTTTGCGGGTAGGGGGGATGCATGTCGACAACGCCACCTTCCCGCATAGCCTACAATAATCCCGCCTGGAAGTTCCTCCACCCCAGTTCTGAAAGCGCAAAATAACTAGGACCTGGATAATAACATGTTCTCATCAAAACAATGGAATACTCCTCTCTTATACGTGATATAATTGGGCTTCACCGTTAGACATTGACACGGTCTACTCGCGCATAACCCGCGATAACATGCGGATAGGACCCACCATGCGGGTATATGTATTCGGACTAACAATAATTCCGTATCCGATAGGCTATCAACCAAATATGACCAATCATTTGCGAGCTCTTGGAAAATATGATCTCTTGTAAGGTCCTTGAGAGATGAGACTTTCAGAACGATTCTATCTCATTGTCTTCCCAGGCGGGGTAACTATCAAGCATCCCTTCTGATGATTGTGCACCACTTCGATACTACGAGGCATATACCCGAGTAAGTCTCGAATTTGACGCTGTTTTATTTTCAGTCGCTCTCGATATGCTTGAATGTCTGAAAATAGAGCTCAAAGAAACTCTTAGTAGCTCGTCGATGATATGCTCGTAGAAAATTGGCGCCTCTCTCCCGGTTATTTCAATCGGAACAAAGACACAACAAGTGTTAGGTATCCAGGTATATTTCTTGAAAATCTGGCAGCCGCCTATCGTTGATCTAAGGTCACTATGAATCTCTCACGCTAATCTTTTTGTGCCACTAATTCCGATGGACATTATAATGGCTGGAGACAATTTAAGCTAAAAAACTGAAAACTGCGAATGCTAAATAGACAACTACCACGTGCATTTAGCTATTGAAAGAGACCTCCTCGGGGTTTTGTCGCGACCAAACTTTTCCGGACTTTCCGCTTTCCGGAGACCCACAAAATCTGACAAGCCCCACTACTGACAACTTCCATATCGGGAAGTTGTGAGGCGAAAATCTTGGCCACGACTTTAAATCGGCGGCCACCCTGAATTTTGATGGCGGCTTGGCTGCTATTAGGTAAGAATTTTCATCAGAGAGTAGAATAGTAGCCTCCCAGTTCGGAAGATTAGTATTAGCAAGCATGTTCAACCTGTATTCACCTATTTAGGAAGTCATGAGTAGATGGACTTGGTGGCTTAAAAATCAACGTCGTTGCGGTTCATGAACTCTTCGTTGTATAAAGGAGAAATCATTTCGGATTCGAGGAAACATCTCTTCACGCCCATCTTTTGTACATAATTTCGACGCATAATGCAGTCAACACCTACTGATGTTTCTTCAACTTCCAAGTCCCCAAACATGACGACACCCGAAGAACAAACGAGTACTGCCACGACTATGATCGATCTCGAGAAGCTAGGCAGAGAGCGTCCGCAGACCTTCTCCGGGATATGGCCCGAGCTAGCCTTTTGTTTCTCGATTTTCATGTCCCAAATACTTGCAGTAAGTCATGACATGCATGAACAATCCACCGGTTGGTTTATCTAACGGACAACTTCAATAGGAATTCTATATTACCGGATCCAATCTCCTACTTCCAACCCTCGTAAAAGAAATCGGTATCCCCGCCGCCTCAACAATATGGCCCACCACCGCCCTTTCCCTGGCCGTCACCTCGACGCTCCTGATCTTCGGTCGCTTGACTGATATGTACGGCGGCTATGTGGTCTACAACGCCGGTGCCATCTGGCTGACTATCTCATCCATCCTCTGTGGTGTCTCGCAGACTTGGTTGATGTTGATAGTTTGCCGAGCTCTGCAAGGCCTAGCTCTAGGAGCTTTACTTCCATCCGGGATGATGATTCTGGGAAGCACCTACCGACCAGGTCCGCGGAAAAACCAAGTCTTTAGTATCTACGGGGCCTGCGCTGCTTTGGGATTCTTTGCTGGATTCTTTATCTCCGGGATCTGTGGTCAGTATCTGAGTTGGAGATGGTACTTTTTTATCGGGGCTATTCTATCGGCGATCATGGCGACGTCCTCGATTTTCTACGTCCCGCGCGACTACACAGAGAAGCGGAAGCTTGGTATAACGATGGATTGGGTTGGATTCGGCCTGTCTATCTCGGGGGCAACGCTGTTTGTTTTCGCTATTGCGGACAGCTCATATGCCCCGCAGGGCTGGAGGACGCCATATATCCCGGTACTCTTTGCTATCGGTGCTATCTTGCTGGGCGTTATGGCTTACCTCGAAGGCTGGGTTATCAAAAATCCTTTACTTCCGGGTGATATATTCCGAGTCAAGTTCATGACACCCCTGGTGCTGGCACTGCTCTGTTTATACGGAAGCCTGGGAATATTCCTCCTCTATGGAGTTCTATAGTAAGTGTCCTTCTTCGCCGTTGGAAGACAACTTACTAATTATATTCAGTATGTCAAATTTCATGGGTGCTACTCCCCTTCAAATTGTGGCCTGGACTGTACCGATGGCAGTTGGTGGTCTTATCCTATCAATTGCGGGAGGTCTTATCCTGCATAGAGTATCAGGCACGATTCTCATGATTATTTCATGCCTCGGATACGTTGGGTCGGGCCTATTGTTCGCCGTTATCCCCCTCGGCGGAAACTATTGGGCTTACGTCTTCCCGGCGATGGTTTGCGGTACTATCGCAATCGATATCAGCTTCAATCTCGCCAATATCTTTATCACGACTAGCATGCCAAAGGCAAAGCAGGGTCTGGCTGGCGCTCTGATTTACTGTACTATGCATATGGGCATCGCGGTTATGCTTGGATTTGCAGATATTGTCGAAACGCAAATGAAGCACCTAGGTGAGCGAGAGAGCTACAAGGCGGTGTTTTGGTTCCAGACTGGATTGTGTATCCTTGGGCTACTGATTGTGCTCGGATTTGTGAGGATTCGCCACGCTAAAAGCGAGTTGACTGTGGATGAAAAAGAGACCATGGAAGCGGAACATGCGACTACGAGGCATGCTGAAGAAGTTTAAAGTTGCATCAACTACAGCACAGAATAGAGTTCGTTTAAAAATAATATGAATAGAAGTTTTGATTTGTCATGTTCTACTCAAAGCCTTCGCACAAGTAGGGCCTCAAGTAAGTGTATCCGGGGTACTAGGATACGTGTCCTCCCCATAGGTCGAGTTGAGAGAAACAGATCCTACAACATCACCAGACTCAAGTCGAATCCAAGTGTCAATCACCATATCCTTGAGCTTCGACTCGGTAACAAGGACCTGTCGGGATCCCCGAATCCAGCTTCCATATCCACCGTATCCAGTATGCTGTCCGAAGCAAAGATTGATGCCGTTTCCTTTCACCGACATTCCAGGGATGAGGGTATCCCACTTGTAGCACCAGGTATCTCCGTGGTCATGACCTGAGAAAACACCAATAACACCGGGCGTATCAACCAAAGCCTTCATGAATGCCACATCTTGACCACCATACACGCAAGAGCTGTCATTGCTTCCATCCGCGCACCAGCCCTCTCCTTGCTGTGCGAGGACATAGTCGTCATTGATGCCTGGCTCCTTGTGCGCATTTATTCCAAGTTCAGTCTGGATAGCCTGGGATGCATTGGTGGGGATGTGGACAAAAACGAGAGAGGGGATGTTCTTGTGGTACTTCTTGACCAACTCCGCATTGGTCGTTTCAAACCAGTTCACAACACTCTCATCAACCCAGTTTGGCTGCGCGACCTCGTTTCCAGAAGAATCGAGTTCTTGGTAATAGTCACCACCGCGGCTGTCAAAGAACCACAGCAGCATTTCGGGTGCTCCAGAAGCTTTCTCGTTGCTGGATCCGTAGACAGGGAGATAGTAATTGGTGACACCAGCATTGCGGCCAGAGACCATCTGCTTGGTTCGTGAATTGGGCCACCGGTTTTCTCTGGCCAAGATGGCTGAGCGGGAGAGATTGTAGGAACTATCGTGGTTTCCGTAGGTGGAGGCCCAGGTCAAGCCACGGTCAACGAGAGGTGCGACAATCTCGTCAATGTAGACGGTGCTGTTTTCCAGGAAGGCATTTTCGCCGGTGATCAAGTCGCCGTTCAAGACGACGAGATCTGGGGACTCGGCATCGAGGACCTCATTGATTACTTTGACGGAATTGACATCCTGCTCTGGTCCCCAGGAGTCCCATGCATCTTTTGTAAAGTTAGCACTCGGAAATTCATGAAATAGCGTGGGAGACTTACTCTCTCCAAAGTGAAGATCTTCCAAAATAGAGATCTGGAATGTTCCATCCTTAGAAAACTTCAGAGGCGCAAACCGCTTGCCAACCGCACTCTGAAGAGACGGCGCAGCGAAAAGCGCGGCAATGGTCAACGGTTTCCACATGACGAATGCCGAGTAAGCCTAAATCTTTGACTAGTCTCTAGAAAGGGAAGGAGCGATATCTCCTTAAATATCATTGTTTACACTAAATCCTCCTTCCTATCCGGAGTATATCCCGTGTTTACCGGTAAGACCGGAAGTCGCGCCCTACAGTAAATTCGGCAGCAGCCGAGGACTCCGCATCGGATAAAAAGAGCGCGCCTGGCTCTCCACGTGTGAGGAATGTTGACGTTCTATGGGTCAGGGGCTTGCAGGGATGAAATGACAGAGTGGGGTAGAATCGAAGACACGATCGTCCAGATACGACTTTGATTGGACGGGCTAATTTAGCTTCTAGACTAACACACGTTGCCGATATCAAGGTTTACTTGTCGCTTAATTAAATTCATGATCGAGAGGGGAGCTCGTAGTCTTTGCTCGATGAGGATATAGGTAGCTTTCCGAGTAGTCCTACATGGCGTGGGGTACTGTTTTCCTTGGTCTACTAGTATATTGTGGATCTTTCCGAGGAATAGCCGACGAGTATCGAGAAAAAAGATGGAGGTCTACTTCAGCAAATTCACGCGACGAGATCTTGATTTTGATTTTCGGAAATTAAACTAATTTACGTAGGTTCTTTCTAGCGTCGCAAGTCCATTGACCCCTTAGGCCAGTAGTTCCACCTATCCGCAGAGGGACTCGATATCCTCGGGAACGTAAACACTCAGGATAGCGATCAGATCGGAAAGATGAATCCAATCCAAGGTGCCGTGGATAGTCTGCACAGGCTGGCCGCTGTAAAGAACGCGGGCATAGTAGCCAGCGCTACCCTTGCCGTTGGTTTTCCTGCGATGTGTCAGAAGATATTTACTGAAGAAAAGCGTACGAAGTCAGAAACTTACCAAACTTCGAAAGCAACGTTGGAAGCCATAGCCGGCCACCGCAGGGCATTGATACCTAGCGCCCCAAGGATGGGACCAATATCGCCATCGTGAACGAAGATATGGCTGTAGTCAAGAGAAGACTTTCCATCCAGGACGGCCTGCAGGCGAGCGACGATCTCCCCGATGAAAAGACCCTCCACGACTTGAATGTACTTGGTGACGTACGGGTTGGTGCGCCAGTAGTAGTTCCACTCCCAGTCACCGGCACGGAAGACTTCCTCTGCCATCTCCATGGTTACGCAAGCAGACGAGTTGGAGATGCTGCAGGGCAACTCGTAGCCGTTGCACAGGCGGGCCTGGAAGTTGTCGGAGAAGTGGTCGAAGGTGCTTTGCCACGAGCTGGATGTGGCACCGAGCATAGAGCCAAGCTTGGAACGGAGCTCACTGGTCACAGACAGGTGCTCCTTCCACTCGGTGGTGGACTCCAGCTCGCTCAGTGTGGAACTGATGGCGCTGCAGGAATAGCCCTCGTTGACGGTGTCGACCGAGGAGACCATCTGATGCAAAGGCAAGGCACCATCGTAATCGGGCCAAACTCCACGCAGAACGGCACCGGCCGAGCCCTGAGTCAAGGCGGACTCACTGGAGCGGAACCAGACGCGGTCGTTGGGCTTCTTGGGAATAAGGCCCAGCTTCTTGCCATACACGTTCCAGAGGTCCTTACCGTGCTGATATCCATCCTGAACACCGCCAATGGTGATCTGAGGATACTGGCAGGTGCCGTTCACACCCGGAGTGAATGGGTTGGTGGGATCCTGGTACGTCTGAGCGTACATGGGCATGGGCTGAATCCCACTGTCGCTGTTTCCGCCAGCATAGAGATAAGGGCGAACATTGTCGCACTCATAAGCTTGGTTCTAGAAGAATGTTAGTCACAATTGAATGTACTCAGGGAGAAAGCAGACTCACTTCACCGCCAGGGAGAATGTTGTAAGGAGAGCGACGCTGATGACGCTGAAGGTACTCGAGGTAAACAAGCTCTCCCTTCACCGACCCATTCGCGATGGGCCCTGGCGACTTGTACTCCTGCGAGCGCGGGTGCGGCATCGAGCAGTAGTCATAAGTGCCATAAGGGTCACCACCGGTCGGGCCATTGGTGGGAGCCTTGTAGATGCCACCATACGTTCCAATGGAGGAGTTGGAGATGTATGAGGTTTGGTTGAGAGTTGGTGGGTAGAAAGTATCCAGGGGTGACAGGCCGAGGACCGGGCCAGCAGCCCCGAGGACGAAACCAGCAGTAAGACTGCGCATGATGAGTTGGAGAGTTACAAGTGGAAGAGAGAACAACTCAACCTGTGCTGGATAGCCATTTCCTTTCAAGCGCGCGTCGTTGAATTTATCAATCGTGTTGACATCAGAGCTCGGCAGCTTCGGTCGCACTAGAGATCGACTACCAGGGGTATCCACCTCCTCAGTGGCCAGTCGCGCGATCAGCTTCACCACACGTGGGAATAAGCACTATCCGACGCGAAATGAACCCCACGCCTCAACGTTGCAGAGATGTTGTTTGCCGTTCCCGATCTGGTCGTCGGCAAGAATGTGGTGAATCCCAAGTAAGTTCGTGTTCGGAGGTTTGCCGAAGATCGCGCCAGTCGGTAGTTGCCCAAGGGGCGTTTAAAGACGGGGCCTGCATGAGGCCAGTGCAGCCAAGAATTATTATCCTTTCTTCCTGAAGATTCCTACTTTCCACCATTCGAACAGAAAAACAAAAACAGTTGAATATGCGCGGCATCACCTTGCCCCTGGCTGTGTTGGCCACCTCGTGGGCCTCTGTGGCCCAAGCATCCTCGCTGTCTCAATACGCTTTGCAGAAGGTCCTCGATGATGCCTCCCCTATTTTCGGCTCCTATGTCAAGCAATCCAATAGCAAGACAGAATGGATGAAATCCTACTCTGATGATACCCTTCTGGTTCACATGAACATCCCTGGCACCCACGACAGTGCGACCTGGAACTACACCCAAGCCACGCAAGATGTGATGCGCGGTATCACCGACCTCAATCAAGTGACTCTGCCAGTTCCTGAGGCACTGCGCTGCCAAGAGCTGCCCATGATTGATATGCTCAACATGGGTATTCGAGCATTCGATCTTCGCTACGCTTTCGACCCCACGAACAGCACCATCATCTTCTATCATTCTCAGGGGCTCCTGTCAGAGACTGCGACTCTAGATGATGTTCTGTTCGGTTTCTACAAGTGGCTCGATGATCACCCCTCAGAGACTCTGTTCTTGTCCATGCAATATGAAGGCTCGACTGCCAAGTATGCATCCAACGATGCCGCACTTCAGCTGAAGCTCTACAACGCTTTGACCTCTCCCGCTGCCCGACAGTACTTTGTCCAGACCAAGGACCAGCTGGGAACTCTGGGACAGGCCCGTGGAAAGATCACCTTGATGCGTCGTTTTGACCTGGACCAGTTGTCATCTTCCTACACAAACTCCCTACCGGGTCTTCACTTCTCGCCCAGCTTGTGGACGGACAACAGTCCCGACATTGTTTTGACCTATAACACGAAGGAGAACTTGACCGCTTATATCGAGGACTACTACGAGCCTCTTACTCCCACTGGTTCAAATGCCACCGAGAACATCCAGTGGAAGTACAATGCTACCACAAAGAACATTCTCAAGGCTACCACTGAATACCCCAACAGTCTGTTCTGGACGTGGGCCTCCAGCACGAACACCGACAATGCGCCCCCAGAGTGGCCTCGGATTATGGCTCTTGGAAACGGCACATTGACCCCCGCTGGTGGAGTCAATCAACTTCTTGTTCCTTTCCTGAAGCAGCAGAAGGGCAAGCGTGTTGGAATCGTGATGTTTGACTTTTTTGACCAGCCTTCCAAGCTGATCGAAACCTTCTTGAGCCTGTAGATATGAGCTGAACGAGGCGCCTATCTCATAGTCCATGAAACTGATCTTCCATTTGGATGTAGTAGAAACGCCTTTTTGATATACGCTCTTATTATTTCCCACGGGGATGTCACTTCATGTTCTGTATACTCCTAGAAACCCATCGTTTTTGACGAGGATCTAAACTGCGTAAGAGTTTGGGTATGGCCGTTGGATCAAGGTCCGCCCCATCTCTCCACGGACCGGCTATGTCCTCTTATGTCTATATTGGAGTTTACCACGCTTGGGTATTGTCCAAATTAGATAATTTTAATCCAATAGGATCATCCAGTGGTGATTGTCGCAAAGTAGGCCACTCTGTAAGGGAGCTATTAAGCAGATGCCAGAGAGTATGTGGCGCTTGGTCTTGCAACTTGAGTAAAGCCCACATGAATCTTGTCAAAACAGCACATCGCGTCTGTGCCCATTGAATACATCTCTCACTTCCGACCAAGGAGCAGCCGAAAGCAAAGTTCTGGCCAAGACTTGTTGGTGCGAAACCCGGTTCATCAACCCTTTATCCTGGTGATCCCTGGCTGGCCACACAACTCCCTTAATATCAGTGAGCTGGGCAGGTTTGGAGCCAAGGGGGGAATTCAGCAATTTTCCTTGGGCCAGGCTCTTGATCGACGTCAAATATCCAGAATGGATAATCTACGCCGATTTCATCGAGTCTTTTGGTGCGACCTGAGTCCGCCATGGGGGTAGTATGAGTTTGCGGTTCGAGTGGATTGATCTCAATAGATAATGAGATATTCAACAGTACAGGGACGTCGACCAATATCCTTCATTCGTCCTATCTCCCCGCTGCATTACAAATATGACTCACAAAGCTGACCTAGGTAGATTCCATCATCCTCTTATGTGTTAATGAGTCCTTAATCGAGCTTATGCCTAAGGATTGAGGCAACAACCGGTCATGGGATCGATCGGCACGGCGCATCGTCGTGGCGTTCTCGGTCCATGAACCTCGGCCCAAAACTCACCACAACCGCTTCCCTATACTATCGGGTTGAAAACCTTCCGCGGTAAAAGTATACTGATAGTTCTCTCTTTCAGCATTCCATGAGGCACAAATCGGAGAGTCGGACTGGTTTGACTACCAGAAGTTTAAAAAGCAATAAACCGAGAGCCAAGGTACTGCTGCGAAATACAAACACTTGGCTCTGTTTCTTCAGGGACAATTTCAAATGAGTTCATTTAGTTTGCGCCATGACAGTAGTTTAACTTGGTAAGGACCCAAGTGGCCGGGTATGGCTTGATTTGTAATTGTTGAAAAAGTATATCCCCACGGAAAGTTCTTGCAGATATATTGGTGATTAGTGAACTTGACTCAGCTGGCAAAATTATCTTAGGAACCTTAAGCGGAAACCTAGAAGCTGTCAGATATTGGCTAAGATCAAAAATCTCCCCCTCTCTATCACCCATGTTAGGGTTAAGGCTGGTTGTACTTATGCCCAGCCAAGCAGTGGCCATACTCGATAAGGCCGATGATGCCGTGGGCCCACAGATGGAACGCTCGGGAAGCCGGACCCTTCTGACATCATTGACTGAATAGCTCGGAGTGATTATTTTTCGATCGCACGAGCCGAGGAACTTTGTCAAACTGTATGAGAACTTTGACGAGATTCTACTGCGGGTTGAAATATTATAAGTTCAGAGTTCATTTTCGCATTCGAATGCCTGTTAGTCTACTCCTCAAACCAGACACTCACCCCGCGCCGATCTCCCGATAGACATGCCCCCAGTAACGCCTGTTACTGGAGGGGCGACCTCCGACCAAGATGACGGCATCCGATCGGAGGACTGGCCCACGGAGGTCAACGATCCCTATTCTCATGACAGTGGTGATCGAATGCAATTCAGCGGCGACGGACTGAATACCGGAGTTCGAGTATTAGGTGCGCAGGCTTGGATTAATTTGCAATTAAGTTTCGTTACTAACTTACGTCTACATTAAAAAGGGGATGGGCGCTTGGATATCCGGATCAATCAGCACAAGCCTAGTATCGCAGGACTACTCAACCTCCAGCGCACTCCTATACCGTCCGAGCTCGAACATGACGAAGAAACTGATGGTGCCGCTGGAGTACCCAAGGAGGATGGCAAACACTTCCCGCTGAACCTCAATATCGTTATCCAAGTCATCGGATCGCGTGGAGACATTCAACCGTTTGTTGCTCTAGGAAAGGAGCTAAAGGCGCATGGGCATCGGGTCCGACTTGCCACGCACCTAGCCTTTCGAGACTTCATCCTTGATGCCGAGCTGGAGTTTTTCAATATCGGAGGTGATCCTGCAGAGTTGATGGCATTCATGGTCAAGAATTCCGGACTGGTGCCTAATATGAGTACGATCCGGAGCGGCGCAATCCAAAAGCGCCGTCGAGAGATGAAGGAGATAGTAGATGGTTGTTGGAGATCTTGCTTCGAGATGGGCGATGGCACACATCTGCACCAAATCAAGGAAGACCCTTGGAGCGATGCAGTAGATTATCGCCGGCGCCCCTTCGTTGCGGATGCTATCATCGCCAATCCACCGAGTCTGGCACACATTCACTGCGCTCAAAGACTGGGGATACCTCTTCATATTGTTTTCACGTAAGTCCCAACGCTTGTCCTTATTCGAGAAGCTGGCTACAGAACTAATGATGCTTGTTCAGTATGCCATGGTCACCCACCCAATCATTTCCGCATCCTCTTGCCGTAATTCACCAACAAAACTGCAAACCAACGGTCGCAAACTTCGTCTCCTATGCAATCGTTGATATGATGATTTGGGAGGGTCTTGGCGATATTGTGAACAAGTACCGCCGTAATATCCTTTCTTTGGATGCGCTAGATGGAATTACCGCTCCAAGCTTGATTCACAGATTACAAATACCGTGCTCGTATCTCTGGTATGTCCTCTTAAATGTGCTAACAATGATATAATATTGCAGCATTCGCTGATAGTTCTTCCAGGTCTCCGGCTGTTCTTCCCAAACCCAATGATTGGGGCGACCACATCGATATTTGTGGCTTCAGCTTCCTCCCTTCCAAGCCCGACTATACTCCCCCAGATGAGATTGCACGATTCCTGAACGCTGGGCCAAAGCCTATATACGTTGGCTTTGGTTCAATTGTAGTCGATGATCAGATAAAGTTGACGAGGATTGTATTCGAGGCGATCAGAAAATCTGGACAACGTGCCATTGTTTCGAAAGGCTGGGGCAATCTTGGCGTTGACGACATGGATGTGCCTGAAAATATTCTTGTCATTGGAAGCTGTCCCCATGACTGGCTATTCCGACAAGTATCATGTGTGATCCATCATGGGGGTGCTGGTACAACTGCCGCCGGGTTGGCACTGGGCCGTCCAACAATTATTGTCCCATTCTTCGGTGACCAGCAGTTTTGGGGAGACATCGTCGCGAGGGCTGGTGCTGGACCATCGCCCATTCCTCACAAACGGTTGACAGTGGAAGGCTTGAGTGATGCAATTGAATTCGCTCTGAGAGATACGACCTTTGAGAAGGCTGGCGAAATTGCAAAGAAAATGGAAAATGAGTCAGGCGTGCGAGATGGCGTATGCAGCTTCCATCGTCAGCTTGATCTCCGGGCTCTACGGTGTGCGATATGCCCGACACGTCCTGCCGTGTGGCATCTGAAACACACGAATCTTGGATTCAGTGCGTTTGCAGCGGCTGTACTGGTGGAAACAGGGAAGCTCAAACCGGAGGACCTGGTCTTGTGAGTACTCTTTTGTCTCAATCACTTATCAATCGCAGCAACTGATCGCGCGTAGAAACCGACCGAAGGAATACGATACGTATCGCGACCCAGCTGGGCCTTTGACTGCTAGCGCCCAAGTTCTTTTTGGAGCCATTGCCAACTTCGTGACTGGCATCGCAGACGTCCCTACAGAGGTATACAATGATTTCGTTGCCGCTGGCCGTGCCTTGGGTCACTCTCATGAACACCTTGACCCAAATACCAAATGGCGACACCGAAAATGCCACCGTACAGATTCGGGCTTCCAGAGTGATAGATCTCCAGATAACGAGGGAAGCTCACAAGAAAATGAAAGGGCTTCACCCCCCAGCCAAGCTACCAAAGTGATTCTGATGAGCCTCTTCCGGACGAGAGCGACGAAGACGAGGAAGATGAAGATATGCTTAGCAGCAACAGTGATTCAAACACAATGGACATAGTCCCAGATTCAAGTATGGAAAGAAGGCGCAGTCTTCAACTCGAGAAACAACAGACAATGAGCTCTGAAATCGCTCCGCCCAAGCCGCACACTGTTCTCTCCGAGGCCGCAAATTTGAGCAGCAAGATGTCGAAGAAATTCGTTAATCTTATTATTTGGTTGCCAACAGATCTCACACTCAGCCTTTCGAAAGGGTTTCACAATGCACCTAAATTATATCATGACCCGATGGTGAAGTCGATACCCAAGGTGCATGATGTTCGCAGCGGCTTTAAAGCTGCTGGGAAGGTGTTTATTTCTACGTTTTCACACGATCATGATAACCATATACTAATGGCTTGATAGGAATTCTATGATGGCTTTTACTACGGCGTGACAGGTCTGGTGACCCAGCCTCGATACGGATATAAGAAAAAGGGCACTAAGGGCATGATCAAGGGGGTAGGAAAGGGTCTTGGTGGAGTTTTTTTGAAACCACCTGCAGGTATGACAGAAGGAAACCCTTAAACTTGAAGTATTTTAACATCTGACTCGTCCTATCAGGCCTCTGGGGATTAGCGGGCTACCCTCTGAGTGGGTTACGACGGAAGCTGTTAAATTCCCTAGGCAAATCTAGCGAGGGACATATCGTTTTATCGCGGATTGCACAAGGCCACGAAGAAATGTGCGCGTCTTCGGCTGACGAGAGGGCGGAAGTGGTTAGCAAATGGGCCATCATCGAAGAGTCGCTGAAGCATGCAAAGAGGACAAGCAGACGTTGCCACTCGCGGTCTCAGCATATCACACCGCAGGTGCCCGCGATAATATCTAGCAGCGCTTGACAGACGCTTCACTTCTAATGAGGCCGTCTAAAGATCGCGGGGTCTAAGTAAGCTGGCTTACTGAAACGAGACACATTAGTTTGATACCTGAGTACTCCCTCCTTTCGGACAATATATCACACTCTATCAACACAGGTAGTCGTAGTAAGATGATCACGGCATCCAGCGATCTCTCCCTTTTCAAGGAAGGTATTAGTGGTGACTACCTCGCTAAAGGCCATATATTCTATCTGAGATTCTATGGTACGAGCGGCCTTCATTACTTGATTAACTAAGGGAAATGGGAAGGTCCATATGAAGGAATGTGATTCTAGTATAGACTCCAGTTTGTTAACCAGTTTACCAGACCTCTGACCAATATCTCTAGAAAAGTTTAGAGAGTTTCAACTTAATGCCGTATTCACTATACAATACCGGTTGTATAGTTCTCTTGTTTGCCGCTTGATCACCACCAGAATGAATCACAATCTATAGCTCATCGTGCCCCTTTGGCAAAACTTCTTGGTGTCTGGTTTCTTCCCTGCCTTTAATATTCAAAATAACCCGCCGATAAGTCACCAACTCACCATCTGACACCTCCAATATGATATGCAAATGCTTGTCTGCGTTTGGATGAGCGCCGCGTCCCTCCTTTTTGACAACTTCCTCGGGTGGAACAGTAACAGCAATGATAGGATCGTCCACTTTTTCAAAGGATAATATCGTCACATCCCGCTTCGGGGAATTGTTATTGGAACTCGGCTCCAAATACTGCCACCACTTGAAGGAGAGTGTGTCACCATCCGGATCACAAGACCTCGATGCATCCAAGATTACTCGGTCATCGGGATTCACAGTATATTGAAGAACATCGCGGGTTGAGCTTCCATTTAGAGTGACAATGGGATGGTGATTGGCGTTGTTGAACTTCGGTTGAATCCCCCATTGCATCCGAACCTTGAAGTCGTTTTGGAACGCGGCCCTCCATCGCCACACTGTTACCTGGGACCCCATCATATGATGGCCATTTTCATCAACAATCGTATCAGTGCTGTCCGCAAAGTGGCCTTCACCCCATACCACGGGTCCGTAGCGACCTCCCCAGGAGCCCCATTCAGGATGCTCGGGGTCTGATAATCCATTAGGAATCATATAGAGGAGAGACGGAGAATCGCCTAATATTCAAGCCATTAGTCCTGGAAATTTAGCTGTTTAGAAAATGGCAAACTAACCCTCGATAATGAATTCTCCACTGGGATACTTCGCGCCTAAGGGTCCAATATTTTGGATATTTTCTCTTATCCAGGAGGTTGAGACCATCTCTTTGTCTGCATTGGTCGGGAAATGATAGTAGTCATCCCCAGAAATTCCGCTCCAAGCTGCGTTGGCATATCGATTGAAATGGTGTACACTGGCAATGTAGAACATGCCTGGCCAGTTTCGCCGAATCCACGGACCGCTGTTGTCTTGGTCGGATATAGCGTAGACCCGCAATTTGGAAATAAAGGTCTCGATTTCTGAGTCTGGCCTTGTTGCATTGACATGCCAAAGCGCTTGTGCAAGGGTATTGGCACCACCCCAGACGAGGATCCACAGAGGCTCATCAGATGAATCAACAGCTTCCACTAGAAGAGAAGAGCCTTCACTGTCATGCCCTTTTCCGACTCCATCCATGCCGTACTTTGTTGATCCCGATTTGACAAGACTCAAGAGTTGCTCAGTCTCTGGCCAGCCCGAAGCATGCTGTTGCAAATTCTCCAAAGATCGCCCATATGCTCCAACAATTTCTCGCATCTGGTCCGGTCGCGTGGTGTCATTAAGCCAGTAACTTGTAGTGGCTACCAGCCCTTCGATGTGAAATTCATTGGCATATACTAGCAATCTTACAAGAGACTGCGCGTCGTCGGGCTCATTTGCAATATCACTCAACAAGAAAATTCGACGAGATGGACTTGGGTGGAAACGGCATCCAGCAACTTCCGTGGACCAAACACCACTGGCAAGCCTCCAAAAAACTGCGGTGAAGCAAATCAAATTCCAGCCGTTAAACATGGCGGCTGTACAATGGGAACTTTCAAACCATCCGTTATTTGCACATGCCGTCCGTAACAGTGTGATAAATAGGTGGTCAAAGTTGAGAGATCGTCCGAAGCGCTAAATTGGGCAGGGGTGGCTCAAGTTTCCGCTTTTCCAAGTAGGGGCCGAATATGCACCTACCGACCGGATTTCCTATGCCCCATCCTGCCTTTCCCTGTTCGTTTTGGTACTCAGACTCTCGCCGCTTTTGCTCACTGAATAGAACTGGGCACGTCTGAGATACGACGAAATGCGGATGCGCCCGAAGGGCATTGCCAGATCTCAATCTGTCGTGTAACTTCGAACTTGATAATTATTCCACTCCACATAAGCAAGTAGTAAAATCACGTACCCTGTAACCATCCTCATATTTACCTAATGCGGACCGCGTGCTCACCACCTTTAGGGGCAAAGTCCATTTCGGCCTGGAGCCTTTTCAGTAATTGGTCCACGATTCAGCCACCAGCTCTGGGCCACGGCTGAATCACAAACCGCTCGACTCTGACACCAGTGGGGCACTTTTCTCTACACATGCTATCTCGGGCTAGTCTGCTATAAGCATACTCAGCTGACACTGAACTAAACTAGTGATCTGGAATGCTTAAAGGTGACAATTAAGATCTGCATGGGGATTTAAAGGTTCACCCCTTTCCCCGAAACTTGTCGTCAATAGGAACTTGCGGTTCCAAAAGCTCACCATGATCGACATAACACAGCTCTTGATCCTCGGTGTCGTGATGGGACTGGGTTACTTTATGTTTGATGGCTCGCGACACGATCCTCGTGAACCACCGTTAGTAATTAGCGGTATTCCGATCTTGGGACACATATTTGGCATTTTGTGGCATGGAGTCAATCACTGGGGTAATCAGGCGTAGGTTTTCTCCGACTTATCCGAAATGGTGGAGTTAGGATGATAACAGACGAATTGAACAGCAAGAAGCACCCTAGGCAACCTATTATTAGTTTGGACATGTTCTTTACAAAGTTTTATGTGATTACCTCGCCAGATCTGATGCAAGCTGTGCAGCGTAACGCCAAAACGCTTAGCTTGGAGCCGCTACTATTCTTTAGTGCTAAGAATATCTCCGGTATCTCAAACAAGAGGACTCTGAATATCCTTAAGGAGAGAGATGCTGGCGGTGAGGGTCTTAGCTCTAAGATCTTGCACGCGATGACCCCGGCACTGTCGGGGAAAGCTTTGGATAAAATGAACATTCAGATGATCCAGTTGCTTCAGCCATTTATTGATAAGTTAGGAGAGGGAAAGTCAGGGGAAAGCTCCATGTTCGACTTATACGAATGGTGTAAAGATGCTACTATCGCTGCTAGCACAGAAGCTATATACGGCCCAATGAACCCTTATAAGGATAAGGTAATTCGGGACGGGTGGTGGTAGGTTAAACCTTGTTTTTATAAGACTCTTGATACTAAGTAATCCTAAGGGACTTCGAAACCGGCCTAACTATGCTAATGGCAAATACGCTACCGTGGCTTACTGCACGAAAGGCATGGAAGGGTCGTCGGAGAGCTACTAATGCAATTCTGAAGTACTTTCAGGACGGCGGCCATATCCAAGCATCGGAACTTACAACTATGCGGTTCAATATATCACTAGAAAGTGGATTCACTCTCGAGGAATACTCTAAGCTCGAAGTCGGTACGCTACTTGGTTTAGTATCGAATACTATTCCCGCGATGTTCTGGTGCCTCTTTGACCTATACTACCGACAAAAGCTCCTCGACGAAATCCGTGAGGAGATTCAGGGGAATGCTCTTATTATAGCTACGGATGGAACATATCGTATTGATTTGACAGCGATTCGGGAGCAGTGCCCTCTTCTACTCTCTACATTCCAGGAGATTCTTCGGACCCGGACTAATTCCGCCCCGACCCGCCTCGTTTTGAAAGACACTCTCCTTGCGGATAAATATCTTCTGAAGGCCGGGAACACGGTCAGCATCGTATCGGAATTGGTGGCTCGGCACCCAAAAGTTTGGGGCGAGACCTCTGAGGTTTTTAATGAACGTCGGTTCATGAACTCTGGCGAGAAAAAGGAATCTCGTCGGGTGGGAGGATTCCTGACATTCGGTCTATCGCCAACAGTCTGCCCCGGCCGACACTTTGCTAGCTCCGAGATTCTGCTCTTGGTAGCCATGGTCATTCTTCGATATGATGTTTCACCTGTTGGTGGAGTCTGGAAGGAGCCCAAAATCGCGGCGAGTATGGTTTCGATCATGGGACCTATCAAAGGGAAGTTCCTGGTCGAAGCTAGCGCAAGAAAGGAATATGCAGGTATCAAGTGGGGTTTTCATGTGGAAGAGGGCAAAGGGCAGTTTCCACTAGTTATAGGATAGTTAATTATCCCATTAATGAAATGGGTAACTATGTTATCTCATAGGACACAACCATACAAGCGGAGTTCTGTCTCATTAAGATTCTAGTTGAAGACACAAGTATGGCAAAGGCTCTCATGGACATATGAGAATAAGTTCGTGACCAGGTCAGCCGAGCTTGATCATCACAAATTGAAGTCAGGAGCTGTTGTTTACGGAGGACCATTTCAAAACTACTGCACGGTACACAGGTCACTAGCCCTAGAAAATACTGTATCATATTATACACTACTATCCTACTCAGCCCCCCTGCCCTGCCGATACTCTCTGCGCTCTCTATGTTTGCTGCCACCTTCTAGTCCAAGCAGTTCTCCATGCATTATAGGCCTCTGGTCTAGAATTTGGTGCACCCTTGCGGCTAGTCCTTCGCTTCGTCCAGGGCTATGCAGGCTCAATCCCATTAAGATCTGGCGAACGGGGGCACCAAATTAGTCTATTAACAGCTGCAGCATCATATACACGCTATTGAATCTGGTGACTATGCACAGGAGCCTTATCCTCTTGGACAAGGGTATTTGGCCGATCAACCATAGACTCCATTGCAAAAGGGATAAGCTTCGGTAGTAAGATAATCTATTAATATCGATACTAACCAATCCCACTCTTTTGGCCTCGGCCAAGCTTGCTATTTTCTTGATTAAACTTCGAAGTAAGCTTCTTACCAGCAGCTTGACGCCCAAGATTTACACGGCGCATTGAAGTCTCAAGCTCCCATTGCTCGCGTAAGATAGGCGATTGCCCTAGTAGGCTTATTTAGAGTATAAATTCGGCTACATAGCGGGTAGCCTACGAGTATACTTATAATGCGTCGAATCCCTAAGATCGGCTATCCGGATCTTGTGGAGGAAGGTTTTCCTTAGGTTAGTGTAAAGATATACTCTACAAGTCAGATACAGACCTGTCAATAGGTAGGAGAAGAAGCCAAGTAAATTGTGTGGAATGGTCAAAGGCTGTTGCTTGAGGAACGTAAGGACTCCTCTTCATGATTCAATTTATATACAGTCGTACCTCCTAGAACAGGAAGGAGAATCATCCTAGTCATAAAAGGGGATCAAGATGAACACGAGGCTTGTGTAACCTTTTCGCAAGGATTCCCCTTGGAGAGATTCGCTCCCATGTGGCGAATGAAAAGCCAAGGAATTGTTGCCGAATGGGCGCCGAGCCGGAAGCCTTAAGCACCTAGATGTGAATAACTTCATGTCGGGTATATCATAAGAACTTTCTAAATTTAATACTTTTGTCACAGGTTAAACCCGATTCTTACTATATAGCCCTGCTATATAGCCTGCTCCCGTTCTGCCACCGCCTTGCCCGCTTCTTCTATTGCTGTTCCGCTTATGCCATTCCTTCTCTTCTCCAAGCTTTTTGTGAACAGCATGTGGGCCTAGTTAGATTGAATCAAGTCTCACTTTAGCCCTTCACAATTTTAAGTACTTATAAATTATAATTGGAGATTAGATTTAATATCTAGAAGAATAAGTATACTTTGATTATAAATTTAAAATTATGTTATGTAATTTCAAACACTTGTAAGATAGTTATTACATCCCTATTAACTATCATACACTAGTACATACGAGTTATATGAAGTGCTAAACCGAATTGATTTAGCGACTTTAATGCTAGGGCGGATACTATTTAGATTCTGCGGATGATCGTGACTTGGATGTGGATAGTCAAGCGATATCCAATATCCGCATCGGCGGATTTGCCACAGCCTACTCTTTAGCGACCTTATCTTTCATAGCAATAGAAATATCTCCCTCTGTGCCCTAGGAAAGCTCCATTGAATCTGAGACTATTTTAGAAAAAGGATGGGTATTGTAGTAAAGAGCGAAGGATTGTTATGAGGAAGTTGTAGAGTGAAAGAGTAGAACCTCTATTTTGTACTTCAATGTCTGTCTAGGCACGGATCACCGGTATTCCTTAACACCAGGGGCTAAAAAACGGCTGTTTTCCGGTGCCTGCCTTTTTGCGGCATTATTATTCGAGTTGTTTATTCTCTTAGAAAGATACAATAACTCAAGAAATGGCTTCATGAAAGGAAAAGGGGGCTACACAAAAGTGATTATCGAAATAAACAATATGGTGGGGCGCTGCTTCGAGTTAGCCTAGGCGCGGCGGACGGGGTGCTCAATAGATGCCTCTGATCAGTATCTGAGTAATTAGTGAGCTGACTGACCACACTCCCGGAGCGTCTCTGAGCGTCACGTGAATACTCCGATCAGTCTTTAGTCTGATTCCGGTCTGAGATTTACTCAGTGAGTCTCACTAGTTATGTGTTCCGTCATAAAAGCAGCGGTATTTGATAAAGGAAAGCCCCACCAGGCAGATGAAAATCGCTCGGTAGAGTGACCTACAAACACTCGATGGGGTAAGGGTGGCTCAAGTTTCCATTTTGGAAAACCCGAGCCAAATGTATTTTTGCTAGATATAAGACCTTTTCAACATAGTCAGTATCTAGATTAATCTCAATCTTCAAGATCTAGCCCAAATCTCCTGGCCCTCACGCTGTCATGCCATCACTTGTTACCGTCGTTATCCAATCTGCCCTCCTCAAAGCAGCCGCCAACATCACAGCTCAAACCATCGCTCAGTGGAAATCACAGACAAATACCCCATTTGATTGGGGTCGAGTGCTTGAATTTGCAGTTTTTGGAGTCGTGTCGACTCCTCTCATCTCTTTCTGGCAAAAATTCCTAGAGCAAAAGTTCCCTACACAACAAGAAGTCCATCGCCAGCCACCCCACGCCAAGTCTTCGAAGCATGCACCCCACACTAAGCCCTTGGAGCAACCAACAAACCAACCTCCGCAGGTTAATTGGAGTAATGTTCTTGTGAAACTTTTTCTGGATCAGACTATTGGACTTTTCATCACGAATGTCATCTTCATTACTTGTACAACCGGGGCTAGGCTCCTGAGCGCAACTTTGGTTATTCGAGAGATTGAAACCCGCATTGCAGGGATTTTAAAGGTTGGATGGAAAATCTGGGCCCCGGTTGCCCTAATTAACTTCATCTGGGTGCCATGGCAGTGGAGAGTGGTAGTTGCTTCAGTTGTAGGTTTCGGATGGAATATTGTTTTGAGTCTGTTGTCGAGCTAGACAGCTCCAAGAGTAACGTAACGCATGTCAATAAAACACTCGCAGGGTCTGGATTATTATGTTATTTTCAAGAACTATTGCCTGTACCCAAGTATCAAGACACAGGTTGTTATGCTCCATCTTCTTTTCCTTTTTCTCAGACCATCACGTACTCTGTGTGCACCTAGGTTTATCCTTTGCTTGTCCTGTTGCTCGTCAATGACATAGGGAAATAATACAGAATTGACGAGGAAACCTGAATCCTACAAATAAACCGTATACGGACAAATGACCCCCACGGTAAATGACCCTGTATTCGATCACAGCAGGTAGTTGTGGCTACACTTGCTATTCTGGACCCTGGGGCATTGCTTCCCCGCATCTCCACATCCTCCGCCTTTTTGGGGCATTATCTGAGTACTAAAGATGATAATGAATGTACACGATGTAGCCAAATCTTTTAAAAGGGGAAGAACCCCTCCGTAGTCAGATAATAGCCTCACCATCTCACACTTCTACCTTTGGATTCAATCATGGCTTCGTTTAAAGAGCAACCGTTGATACAGGACCTCAATTGGCGCCTCGTATTGATAGGTTTGATCTCTTCCCTTGGAGCTATGGGCTTCGGGTTTGATAATGGATGGTGGGGTGGAGCTCTAGGGCTGTCTCAATTTCAGATGAAATACGGCGAGTATGATGGGAAGCTTGGACGATGGGCCATTCCTTCGGAAAAGACCTCTGTTGGCACTGGAACTGGCTCAGCTGGTATCATCTTGGGTTGCATCATGGCGCCCTTCATTACTTCCAACTTCGGAAGAAAGATGGGATTCCTCGTGTTGTCACTACTTATGATTGTCGGCGTTGTGTTGGAGGCCAGTGCTATCACGTCATTTTGGCAGCTGGCAGTTGGAAGAATTATCGTTTATTCCGGCATCGGTCTTGCATCTAATGTCGTCCCGACCTATCTTTCCGAGTGTTCACCGCAGCGGGTTCGAGGTTAGTCCTGAATTACTCGATAGTTTTCTGTCTTTTGCTGACAACTTAGGTGCTTTCCTCGCCCTATATTCGTTTTTCACATCATTGGGAGTTTTCATCGCCAGCCTAGTGGTGTACCTGTCCCGCAGCCGCAACGACAAGTGGCAGTATCTGTACGAAAGTGTCCTTGGGGTATATGAGAAAGTGAGCTAACCAGGGCTTTCAGAATTGTGATTTGCTGCCAGTTATTTGTTCCAATCGGCTACTTGATTGCCTACCCTTTCCTACCCGAATCACCCCGATACCTGGTCTACCGTGGGCGATTCACAGAAGCAGAAGAAGTCATGAGAGGTCTGTCCAACCATCCAGAGACCATCTCGCAGGAGATCCAACTCCTCAAGCTGCAAATTGAGGAGCAACGTGAACTTCATAAGGCCACATCCATACTCGACTGTTTCAAGGACAGCAATCTTCGCCGCACAGTCGCAGCCATGGGAGTTCAGATTTTCCAGCAGGCACAAGGAGTGTCTTTCATACAAAACTTCATTGTGACATTCATGCAACAACTGGGATTCCCAGACCCTCTAAGGACCAACCTGCTCGTCACAGGATGTTCATTTGCCTGCCACGTCTTGACTTTTGTCACCTTCGATAAGCTCGGCCGACGATGGTCTCTGCTTCTGGGCTCCGTTGGAATGGCGGCCACCATGTTGGGTACCGGAGGCGCTATAGAATCTGGTGGTGCTGTATCAGACCTATCGGTGCAAGCCAAAAACGCCTGTGCCGCACTACTGATCCTCTGGTACTGTATCTACGGGTTTACGTGGGGTCCAGGGTGCTGGATTGTCACCGGCGAAATCGGAACCGGTCAGCTTCGTGAGCGAACTATTTTCCTCGCTTCTATGGGCAGTTTTTTGACCTCGGTACCTATTAACTTTGTCAACCCTTATGTGCAAAAGGCAATTGGTGGCCGTGTGACATTTATATATGGCGCATTTTCCGTTCTGTCTATCCTCTTTGTCTGGATGTGTGTTCCCGAGACACGTCGCAGATCTCTCGAGGAGCTCGACGAGATGTTCCAGGCGAATGTGCCCACCTGGAAGTTCAACAAATACGTCTGCACCGGGATGGGTGCCGAGATTACGCGACTTGAGCATGGCGGGAACGCGGATAAGCCTACCAAGGAAGAGATAGAATGAAAGTTCCAGCATGGTGGCAGAACATGATAGTGCAGTATTTAAGAAAATACAGTAAGTGAGATGGTAGCTCTATGCATACTGTTGGGGGTACGGTATTTAGAAGAATCCAGTATCTGGCAGAATACGGTATTGAAGCTGAGATAGTTTTCTTATTACGACCTGAAGTGTATGGCTGTTGGGGAGATGTGATCTTGAAATAAATTGATCTCTTCTTTTATCTCTTCTTTTTTCTTGCCTTTTTCTTGCCTTTTTTCTCGAGCATATCGGTGAGTCTGGACTAACCGGTCACAGCTGCCGACTTGAAAGGGCCTTCTTGCCGGCTGGTCTTGACTGTATGGGAAGCTGATGATGGTCATGTTATTGATTGAAATTAAAGCGTTAACTAGTACCTCCCTCCATCGACCTTGACCCTTGATCTGTCGGATCTCAGTGGCATTTTTCGAAGATATCCCATAGACTCGACACCGTTGAAGCTCAGCTTTGTGGAGCCTGCGCGAGGCTACAGACACGATGGATCGCCAGCTTTGGGGAGGTTCCGACCCACACTCATAACCTCGCGATAGTCCACTCACTCCTTCAGGCTCTCCCCTCCAGATACCGCACGCCACTTTCAACCTGGCTCAACAGGGTTCCGGGGAGAGAAGTGGAGCTGGTTGTGGCGCCCCTGTGGGTAGATTCTGCATTACTATTTCCGTTAGTGTTTGGATTCATCTAAGATTAGGAGTGATCAACTGACACGGTGTATCTAGGCAAATTGAAGAAGCAAGGCAACAGAGACGAGGGTCTTCGGATGGGAAGGCTCTTTGAGATCTTGTTATTCGATTCACCTTACTCGAATGGAAGGGCGAGGCCTAGACGCTTATATTGGTCAGCAGATGAGCCGATTGATTTCGATTCAAGGCAAGAAACCAATATAGAAGCGTTTCATCAAATGTTGAGTCAATCGCATCTGGTTATATATACCTCGCAAGTAATCCAGTGCGTGATGGGATTCCGGGATAATTTTAGTCATGGACACTCGATTAAAGGGGACCTTATTGAGGCGTATCGAGAGCATGGCTTGGATATTGATTCCCAGAAAGAAGAGATGAAAGCCTATAGAAGGTCGGCGAAGAGAAAAGAATGGTTGGACATAGATTCGGAATCGGATGAAGGCGACTCTGAATAGCTTAATGAGCCGCAAGTATGGCTTTTTCAAGACATCACAGAGGGTATAGGTTAAGTTTTTCGTGAGCTCTCAATGACACGACCTCTACATAGCCTAATTGAAATTCGATCAGTGCTGTTCTGATATTACAGCAGGATGGATGTGAACTACCAAGTCATTAGATCTTAGAATCGGAAGTCTGAGACGTAGAAACTAAGGTTAATCACCCCCCTCGGAGAGAATCCCACAAGAATTTAGGTTACATGTCTGTGATTGTGAACGCTGCACCCCTGACGGCTAAATACACCACGTTACTAACAGCTCCTTTCATTCTCAGCAAAGGGATACATAGCGACGAGTGTATCCATGCCCTGATAGGTCAGATACATGCGAGTCTGTGACGGTCTGGAAATTCGGTGATTACCAAAAGGGTTTGAATGAGGGGTTAAGCGGCGATGATAGATCCAAAATCGATCCTGAAGCGTTCATTGTTTGCAAGAGGCTGGTAAGAGGCTGACAGATGGAGCGGGCCCTACCTCTTCTAAAAGACGAAAATAAGCGGCAGATTCGTTTTCCCCTCCAAATGACACCTTTAGTGACCTTTGAACAAATCATTATCTTTGAAGAGGTGCTAGAGCGTCGAAATCAGCCATCAGGCATTATCCTCCGACAGAATCGATTACTGGACTGCTAGAAGCATCATCACGTGACTGGAGAGATGTCGTCGTTTCTTTGTCTCACTCACTTCTGTTCTTCCCTGTTCCCTGTCACTCACATTCAAAAAATTCCTCTGGTCTTCAGAATCATTACATTGCCCCTTTCTCTCTGAATATGTCTCTGGTATTAAAACATGCTAATTACACTACGTTACTTTGCCTCCATCTCTTCCCGCCTTCCGGATACACTAGCCCAGCTACTCCCGTGGTACATAGCCATGGGCCTTGGTCAACGGGGACTCGTCCAAGCTAAAGAAGAAATAAACTATGACACAAACTATGCAGCTCGCTCTGTTACTTGCACCCACATATCAGAGATCGCGAAAAGACCGAGGACATTCCGCGTCTCCCAGGGGCGCGTCGGGTTGATGATTGACAGGTCGAAGTTGCGCAAGAGCTGTGTCAGACCGGCTGAATGTTAGCATATTACCTAGAAAAGTGAAGGAATCTCTTAACAGCCCTGTTGGAATGTTTTACTGACCTCGAAAATAGTTTTTCCGATTTCGAGTTGAGCCACCGGCTTGCCCAAACACTGGAACTTCCCGTGACCGAATGTGAGATCATTGGTCCGAGTCATTTCGACCAACTTCTCTGGATCAGACTCGAGCCAGCGCTCGGGCCGGAAGGCCTTTGCGTCCTTGCCATATATCTTCTCACTGTGGTGCATACCATATGCCGAATACCCGATGCAGACACCGCCAGGTAGGAACACGCTCTCACCGTCGACGATAACCGTGTCACCACCGGGTGGAACATCGCGGGAGAAGATGTTGGCGACGGGTGGCCAGACTCGCAGAGCTTCGCGGATCACGGCCTGAAGATATGGAAGTTGTTTTGTCTGGGAAGCAGTGACCAGGCCTTCACCTCGACCGGGTGCAAGGCCATCCCGTACGGCGTCATCGACCTCGCGCTGCAGCTTGCGGTATACGCGAGGGTTCGTCATGATGTGCAGCAGGATGCAGCGAATCGCGCCGGCGGTGGTATCGGAACCCGCGATAATCTGTTCTAACGCCTCAGTGCGCAGCTCGTCTCCTGCCAGGCCGTGGCGCATGAAGGAGGCCAGCATATCGGATCGTTTATCGGTGGAGCTTGCGGCACGCTCGTCTACGAGGCGGAAGCATGCGGCCATCATTTTGCCGAAGCCGTTGTTGTCCTTGGGTGAGGGCGCGACGAACTTGCCGATGAACGGGGCTTGCGCGATCCAGCTGAAGCCGAGAGCGAGGGCGTTGTGACCTATGGTTAGACCTTCCTCGCTCGATTGAAGGTAGTTGTCCACGTCACGATCACTTCGGAGCATGCCGAATGCTTTTCCGAGGCCCACGCTGCTGATCACATCCAGTGTGAAATATTGCACCTTCGTCGCTAGGTCCATGGGTATGATTTCCCGGTCGGTTGAGACATATTTCGACCTGATAAGGTGCAAAAAGTCCTCGAGCCGCTCATTGACGGACTCCTCCAGGAGGAGGTTCTCCCTTCCCGAATACTGTATAACGATCACGGGTCAGCAGTGTCGAGCGACACGCACAAATAGCGAGGGATTTGGAAAGCTGGACAAGCCAGCCATCATACATACCCCTGGCGCCATCTGCTTTCTGCGCTGCTCATGTTTCACATTATCGGTCTGACTGAAGACGTTGTCTCTCCGGTACTCAATGCGCGCGGCTTTGTAATACCAGTCCGAGCGCTTATAACCGGGTTTGTTATTTACATGCATCCAAACTTCTGGAGAAGACGTGATCAGCACCCGAGGCGCGACACGGGCGATAGGACCTGGCGCGCGACGAGTGTGTTAGTTGCCGTCGGGGATATGGCATCTGGACTAAAGAGGCAAAGCACTAGAAAAGAGCCTCGAGGATGATCCGCACCATATTTCTCGTTGACCTCTGCATACCACTCGTGGCAGTTGCCACGAAGCATCGCGATGCTATGGGGCCAGTTCGAGATACCGGTCCACGTGGGGCCCCGGAACTGGCGCAATCTGGCATACGTGGTGATTGTCCTGAGGAGATAGAGGGCCAAAAGGCCACAAAGAAGCAGCACAGCTGGCCCAGACATGGTGACTATCTCCATGGCGCAGGCAACATGAGTAGGGAGTTGACGAAGGTGTTTGAAGTCTAAATTTTGTCAACCCCCCTCACCCATGTCTTACGTGGATACTCTGGAAAAGGCCGGAGTGGTTCGGGGGCCTGTCATCTGCCGATGGCTACATAGGCCAAGATCTGCTAATTCTCATTGGGTGATGCACTTCTGGTGAGCACGTTCCCGTCTCCAACTAGTTTTAGTGCAACTTGGGTCCCGAGTGTTCGGGTCGAAAAGCGGTGTGGGGGGCTATTGTCACCGAGCGGAAAACTATTCCCCTTATCTTGCATTGGCAATTCTCGCTATTTGTCAACCATATATGCACTTGAACTTGTTGATATTTCGGGACTATGCACAACCTTATTTCCTTCCAACAACTGCGTCCAGTAAGGGGGTTCTGGACACGTTCGCTCTAGGACGAGACAGGTAAGCATCTACAGCTAATACACAGGGGACCCCTTCCAACCAGGAACTCGTAGACTATAACTCGAATCCCATGCGGTCGATTGCTCATTTACTGATAAGCTAAGAAGGAGAAGACTTATTGAACTTTTCACTAAAACTTTTTACTATGACATGGATCTCTCGCAGATTAATCACTCTTGGGCTTGTCCGACGACTCTGCCTGGAACAAAAGCAATCGCCTGTGCTCGAAAACCTCCTTTACAGCCGGAGCGATAGTGTCAAACAAGGAAGCCTTCAGGAACAACTTGCCAGGGGCCTTGGGGGTCTTGGTGTAGGTGGGGCTATATAGTACTTATTAGAGCCTCTCGATCTTGTCGGTATCGGAGAGTTGGTTGATCAACTTACCTTCCACACTTAGAGCAGAAGTATCGCTGTTGAATAAACATATTAACACCGATTGAATTACTTACATTTTGGGTTTCATGAATTGAGGCCTACCTGGATAACATGTCCTGCGGCAGTGTTTTGGTCATCGTAAACGCCCATGGCATTATTAGAATCCTCGACGGTGATTTCATCCTCGGCGACAAAATAGTTCACAGAGAACGCTGAAATAGGTTAGCTCGAGAACATCGAAGAAAAAGATTCCAGAAAAGGATGTCTTACCACCACCAGCTCTTCTGCAGTTTTCGCTATATTGGAATATAATGTCAGTATTGAACGCGATGACAAATGCTGTTCTCGGAGCTGCGGATACGAACCAGTGGCAGATAACCGAGCCCGCGGGTTGTTCTTGGAGCGTGATTCGAACGCTATTGCAGTTGCAGTGTCCAACGTATGCCATTGTGCTCAATGTTCTTGAAAGAATCTTATTTGAAGTCTGATCTACAAGAGAAATGAACTGCAGGCCACGAAACGGAGCTGATTTATATTTCCCGGTGTCCTTGAGGTGTGATTAGAAAGCGGAGAGGGACCGTGGAACTAGGAATCGCGGAATGTTTCTAGAACCTCCGCACGCCAAGCTGTGCGCTGACGTCATATATCAGCGGAAATAGAGTGTGGTTCTTTAAACTTGAACCATGGGCCGAATCACAATCCGGAACTAATGCTTCGGCCACGCACAAAGCCGAGGACAGGCTCTTCCTAAATAGGAAGTTGTCGCAGGTCTGGCTGGACCCTGATTCTCCAGTCGCTATATTCAAACCATTGAATTGTAACTGTACACTGACCTTGTGTCCTTTTCCTTAAGCCGAGAATCCGTGATTGATAAGCTTATGCATCAAGCAATATTGACTAATCGATGTCCATCGTGCAACTGCCTGGTTTGGCAAGGACAGATTTGAATTATACCTCGATTCTATACTCCGCTCAGTCGTGAGCCGGAGGCTCCTAGATCACCACCGGAGACTTCCACCACCAGCGAGTGTTTGCCCCCTCCCTTTCTTAGTTGACACCTAAGGTTACAAGACGCACTTTCCCTCCAAGACTTTTGCTTCTCCGCAGACGTTCCCTGACTGCTTCCTCTTTTTTGAATCGCTCCAGACATCTTTTTCTTTTGTTTCTTGCCTCTCAGCGCTTGGGGATCTCAAAAACAGAGACTGGCTACGTTGGTCGTTGATTTCTTGATAGAAGCCGTCCAGATATACTTTGAGAACAGTCAACGACTCCAACTGGTTGCACTAGTTGTTCTCCGCTCCCTTGGTGGCACTGCTCCTACGATCCAAGGCAGACGCTTTGGCCCCTGCGATAAGCTCGACGACTTGCGCTTCGCTGCGGGGTCAGGAACACGAACGCACCACGGTTGACCTGGAATACGCCATGAATACCGGCTAAATACAGCGATCCCGATACATTCCCCATCTTGTTCAGTCACCCTCCAGATTATCGACATATGGGGCCTCTCATCACTTGGGGGAAAGGGTTCCTCACTGATATCCTCGCTTGGTTTGTCTCCCAACTGTCCAGAAATATAGACTGGCGACTGACGGCATATCCCACAGAATCCCCCGTTCATACCGTAATACCTGCCTGGACATCTGATCGCTGCAGTAACCGGTGCATCAGACAGGGACTTGTCATCTCACCCCTGCTATATATTCATTATTTCAACGACAGGAATTCAACAACGAGGACAAACCTTGTTCGACTCAGACCAGCCTCATATCTATGAAGTTCAAATACTCAGCATGTCATCGTTAGTCCCCCGCGACGGATACGTTTAATTACTCTGGAGGGAGACGTCTCTGAAACCCAAAGCCTCCCTAATCCCACCACTATACATATGGATGCTTCTACTCCAGCAAGAGGAACTCTAGACGCCCATATTTGACAACGGTATTCGGCAAGAGCTCTACAGCTGATGAAGGGTTGACGAGGCTGATTTCATTCCTAGCGTTCGAGAGGAAGATAAGGATTTCCACATCCCGGCTGATGAGGGACCACGCCAGCGTGGTATTCCAAGCTACAAGCTCATTATTCTCAATGCAGCACACCCATGGATAGATGCTGGGCTTGCGTTGATGATTCTGATCTCCAGAAAGACCCGGGGGATTTTACTGAACTGGAGTGCATATTGAGAGCGAATACTCTATCGCAATGTGAGATTTTCCCTGGATATACGTCCTCGCGAATGAATGCATCCATATGAAATATATCCCCAGCCAACCACACGCAGACCGCCCCGAAACATTGCACTCCCGAGCAAAGCTTTGCTGGAAAGTACCAATGGGACTCTAATGTGGAATCGCATCATCGATATATACGGGTTCTGTAGTCTTCTGCCTGGTGGACTGAATCTCAGCGACGTGAATCCGAGGAAGCAACCTACGCGAACACCGTTGCGAAGAACGGCGGATGGCCGACGATGCGTATGGATCCGAAAAATCTTGTCATCATTCCACAGGGGGATAGAAGACAACACCTCGTCCTACCCCTCAAAGACGTTCCCGGTTTTCGCCCAACATGTTCGGACCCTACGAAAACCGTCGATATCAATACCGCGAAGGATCATAGGTTCGCGGGATACGACGATCTGGCCGCACTCCCATGGACCGTGGAGGACCCTACGACCCCACATCCGGAGCGTTCGAAGGATACGAAGGTTACAAAGGATCCGCAAACGCCAGCGTCGACCCCGAAGAAGTCGAAGAAGACGACGAACGATGATCAGAACGCTTTGATCGTCGATATTTACGCGTGTGTGGGCACGAAGAGCGGGACAACTGCACCCCCTTGGAAGGATTTCGCCTTCATGACAAATATATTGCGGAGATGCTACCTGTGAATCCTTATGAGTACCCTTGGCCACCACTGACTGATATCTCATATATCTCATCTAAGGCCTCGGGAGATAGTATGATGTGACTATTCGACACATCCTGTGAAGGTGCGACTCGCAGCGATTACTTTGGTAATCCCTTCCCCCCGTCCCTTCGTCATCGCGCTGACTCTCCTGGAAGCTCCCGCTCCCGTCACCCGCTTTGTCTGGACGCGTCCTGAGAATATTTCCATGAGCAATCTTAACCGAAGAAGAAAGTCGCCACGACTACTCTGCGACCGAAGCCTTGTCAGGAACATGAACAATTACGGTTGAGGATGTCCTTGTCCACAATCGCCGGTCATTTTTCATTGTCTTATTTTGGCCACTTTGTCAAATTGGGGCTTACGGTGCCTTGGGCTTCAACTACCCCATAGCAATGGCTTCATCAAAGAAAGGTGGTGACTCGACCTCCATTAGCCCTGACCTCAACCGTTTGGCCATGCATGATTCCCCCTACAGGTCTTTTGGTGATTGCCAGGGCCAGGCCCTTGTCCTTTGTATCTTGTGGGCCTATTAAGGTCCTTTCCCCCTCCCTTTCCTTTTGCTTCTTCGTCCTCTTCCTCTCTCCAGAGATAGACCAGTTTGACTTCCTCCCTCCTCTGCTTTCTGTGTGCTATCAAAAGGCACCAAAGCATCGCAAGCTCTCCAGCCGTTCAACACGGAAATCCTCTACAGCCACGATGAAATCATTCAGATGCAAGGCTCCGTCCAGCACCTAGCCGGTGCATTCGGCCATGACACTGTTGAGGACATTTACAGAATCATACAGACAGAGCCCACGCCCGCAATAGAAGTCCTTACTGAATACCTGTTGTTACGGGACAACAAGTATGGCTCGCGGCAGACTTCGGAAGATCCCTCGGCACCACAATTGAAGGAGGAGGCGATCTACGGGTGGATCAAAAAGCTAGAATTCCTCAAACTGCTGAAGAATGACGAAGACCCCACGCTCTCAACTCCCGTCAACCCGTCCTCGCCTCGAACGCGCGAATTTCATCACAATGTGGTACGCGGTTGCATTGATGAAGTGCAACCCAGAGATGTACCCCGCCGGATTGGATGAACTCACTCCGGAGAAGCTTGATAAGGGCGAGCTGACGATCAACCCTTACGATGCTGTCCACGCCGTTTCTCTCCTGTTACTCTACCAATATCCCATTCATTGACGGAAAGCCCGTCCTGAAGCCCGTGAACGATGTGAGAGGCATAGAAACCGTCTTGGAGCCCTGGCAGCCATCCGGCATTGCGTGGTTGATGCGCCAGTTGCATAGCCCCCTTTATGGGGGTATCCTTTCTGACGCATGTGGGCTGGAAGACCCTGATGTCTCTGTGCCTTCTCTATTTCGCGGCCCGGCGTACCGTCCAACGGAATGAAGCCGCCAAGGAGGAGGGTCGTCGTCCAGACCAGGTCAGCCTCATTGTCACTCCTGCGCGCCTCATATTTGCAATGAGTGGACTAGATCGATAAGTGCTTTGGGTCTCATTTCAATATACTCATCTTCTGGGGCGACCCTGACCATGTTTCGGACTCCGTCCGAAAGGACCGCACGGTCAAGACATTGGAGGACCTGCATGCCAAGCTGGATGCGCTAGACCCTGCCGATCCCAAATCCGCCCACACCATCGTAGTCACCAGCTATGACACGATGAGACTCAAGATAGGTCAAGAGGGGGTACTAGGATGGATCCTTGCGTTGAGGGATCTCATCCTGGGTATGGAGGATGCCGTTGCGGAACGGATTTGGGGCTTCGTTTGAGGAATCCATTGCTTTGGAATGATTAACTGAAAGGGTGGCAGAGGGAAGACGGAGGGATTTTGCTGGCCTGTAGATTACGGCGGACAATTAGGCTCACTTCCCTAAAAGTTTAGTGTTGAGATTAGCATTGAGATTAGTCTTGTATAGTTTGTGGCGAGTGCTCTCCTAGGGGCCGGTAGGTTACGATCGATAGAAAATGATGCAGACGTCACATGAACACCACGGTGAGTCTACCAATTGCTTATAAGGGAATAGAAGCATGTTATCCAGCCATCTCTTCAGTCCTTCTATTTTTGGTGGTTATTACATAGACATTAAGACATGTCATTGGCCCTTGTTACGCTGCTTTATGAGAACCCCCAAAGGAACATCATCCTCGTCGTAGAACTCAGCGTCCTCATCAACGCCAAAGTCTCGCAGGCGTTCGCCCTCGGCATTTCGCCAAGACTCCTCGCCTTCATCCGACTGGTCGCCATATACAGGCCCTGGCCCGCGCTCGTCATCGCTGTCTCGACTATCCTCTTGTTGGTACCGCTCATGGAACCGCTTGCGTCTTTGGATTTCAGAAAAGGGTCTGGTGCGGCTGAGATCTTCTGCTTGGCGACGGCGGAATGCTTCAATCTCCTCTCGGGCCGATGAGTACGTCTTCAGTAACTCAGGGCCATCTCCTGGCAAGGGGCCAGCTGGTAGTGGAATGCGATCTGGGTCGGGCGGGGGCCATGATAGACCCGGATCTAGATGGTGAGCAAGTCAGTCTTTGTCCCGACGAGTAGTTGGCATCCACGATAATTACCTTCAAAGTCATTAATTTCAAATTCCCACCCGGTCTTTCGATTGGGCGTGGCTGCCAATGGCCAAAACCAGCTGATAATCTAGAATGAGATTAGCTCTCGATCTCAACTAGGAAGTTCGAGTCACTCACGTTAGCGCTTCCACCCATTCCATTTTTGACATTTGACCAGATCCCGATATCGTAAGGGAATTCTTGTTTTCTGATTGGAATTTTCTTTCCACCGGGTGCTTCTAGATAGCCGCCCAGGACCCGAGCGCGGCGAACAAGAGTTTCGTGTCTTTCAATCTCCCATGACTCGATAGTGGTGGTATTGAAGACAAGAGACCAAAGGCTTCGCACGAGGAGAATGAATAGAGCAAAAACTGTCATGCTATTCACGACGATGAGGAGAAAGAGATGAATCAGCTGTCCAATGGACGGACCGAGGTACTGGAAGACAATCAGTGGATGAACAGTGATCTACCATCGGCGGGATGTCTTACACTGGGAAGATCCCTACTTTTCCAGACAATGGATCCTCGCTCCCAAAGAAGGGTTTCGAGATAACCCATTCCAACCACCGCATAGAACAGGAAGCGAATGAAGTGGGGGAAGGTAAAATGCGAGACACAGTTGGAAGTCCAGGGACAATGATGATCCATTTTCGGGATGCATCTGAATAAAGTCAGTCTCAGTTCAGATATTTCACATTGTGGAGAAGCAGACCTCTTGCATGTCTTACAATGGTGAGCTCGAGGGGGTTTGTAAGCTTCGCATCTTCGACACCACCGTGGCCGGCCCGTCGTGGTATCTTTGTCGGCCTCGCCAGGAGTGATCGATTTTGAGCTCAGAGGAAGACGCCCGGGATCTACATAGCATGCACGGAAATAGCAGATCCAAATGCATAATGCAAATATGTTGATCTTCCACACTTCATCCTTTCGGAGGGGCGCCGACTCGAAGTGGAGAAAGAAATATTGGGAGGTGTAGGCGAGGAAACTGATCAACAAGCTGACGGAAGGAATCGCCAGCTGAGATATTGTGAAGTCATCACTCAGCATTTCGAAATTCACGATCTCGCAGTCGCAAGACAAGCTCGAGGAGAAGAGCTTCAACAGACGTGGAGGACGTGTTTCCAGACGGCCCGGGCATCGGACGGGATGACTAATCGCCGAGTGGCCGTCGGGTCACTGCCTGGTTATTGAGGCCGTCGACCACTCATCTTCACGTTGACAACAAGTGAACAACAATCCATCAGTTGCGCACCGGAAGGTCTCTGCGCAGAGAATATATACTGATCAATTGGATTTTTCTTGTTGAGTCGGGGCAATGACTGGCTAGTCGCACCTTCCCACAATGCCAATCGAGGCTCTCCCGCAGGCCACTGTGAGAGCAATTGGCTCCACTTCAGTCATCTCAGATCCCTGCTCGGTGGTCAAGGAGCTTCTAGACAACGCTTTGGATGCATCAGCCACATCAGTTTCAGTCGAAATCTCACCGAACACTCTTGATGTGATTCAAGTCAAGGACAATGGACATGGTATTCCTGCTGAGGATCACCCTTGCGTCTGCAAGCACGCTTTTACCAGCAAGATTTCGACCATTAATGATCTGAAGAATGTCGGCGGGAGTTCTCTTGGGTTTCGTGGTGAAGCGCTGGCCAGTATTGCTGACATGTCGGGTGGCGTTACCGTCATCACACGCGTCGCCTCAGAAATCGTCGCGTCAAATCTTGAATATGGGAGAGACGGAGAACTTTCTCAGTGAGTCCACACGCTCGGCTCGACGATATCATTCTGACTTGATTAAATAGGTCTCAGAAGACTTCTCATCCAGTAGGGACTACGGTGCGCATTCGAAACTTTCTCAAGCACATCCCTGTGCGACGGCAAACCGCGCTGAAGGGAGCAACGAAGTGTCTCGCCAAGATCAAGGCTTTAGTTCAAGCTTATGCTATGGCCCAGCCCTCCAAGAGATTTTCATTCAAAGTCATCAAAGCCAGAAACGAAAACAACAACTGGTCATTTGTGCCAGGGGCGGATATAGCCCTCGCAGACGCATCTGTTAAGGTTGTTGGACGTGATGTTGCTTCCTGTTGTACCACGAAGGAGTCCACTTGCACACCAAACGCGCATAATGCTGCCAATTTGGACCAAAAGACGTATCTCGTTACGGCATTCCTCCCAAAGGCTGACGCAGGTAATGCTTTTTATCTATAAATTTGAATTCAATGTGCTGATCATCGCAGATTTCTCCAAAGCCAACAACAAGGGCCAATTCCTCAGTATCGATGGGAGACCTCTTTCCACATCTCGAGGTGTGGGCCACGACATTGTCAAGTTGTTCAAATCCTACGTTCGTGCTGCTAGCTCCAAAGGGGAAGCACCCAAATCAGTCAGCGATCCGTTTCTTTGCCTCCAGCTCAGGTGTCCCTTGGGAAGTTACGATGTCAACATTGAGCCTGGCAAGGATGATGTCCTTTTCGAGGACCGGGAACTTGTGTTTGCACTAATCGGAAATCTTTTCGCTGACAATTACGGAGCACTGCCAGATGCGGCAACCAAGAACTCGGCCAAGAAGGCTGCATCTTCTAACGACCCCGCTAATGATGCTGGTTTCGACCTGCTTATGGCCCGGAAGCCTGCCCAAGCCTCTCAGATAGTGTCCATCGAAGAATCAGGTCCTTTAGACGTTCCCCTCATTACTAGCCCTGGTACCCAGAGGTCATCGCATTCCCCCTCGGTGGCATCCTCAGAGCAGACGCCCCATAATGGAGGTCGAGGTAGGGGACTTGATAATAACCTGGTCTCTGGGAGTGGTAGTTCGCGTCACATCAATCCATGGTCAATATCGCGGATCAATGCTTCATTCCAGGCCCCAGAACCTGGAGATGCCCCATCTTCTGCGGTACCTCTCAGTCCAGCGACTACCTCACAAGCAGCCAGACAAAGACACACACCGCAAAGACCAACTTTGACCTCTCCCGTTCGAAATTCCGAGCAGTCTAGTCCGGTTTATTCTACACGGACCCCTGTCTCTCCGCTGAATCACCGTCGAAACCCTCCAACACCTCATGAATCCCCACTTCAACCGGCTTCATCGATCAGTGCCTCCCGAAGGGCCGCGCGAGAAAGGGACCGGGAGCGCTATGGGAACGGTGCTCTAGATACTTGGTTCCAGCGGACTACTCAGGCGTCGCTTGATGCGAGATCGCCAGAGGCTCTGGGCGAGGCTGACGAGGCTAGTCTAACACTCTCCCAGCTGGCGGAACAGCGATTCAATCCACCACGGGGTGTCCCAGTCATCACCCTACCGTTGAAGAACAACACTCGATCATTATCACATGATCCACGGAGGGAGCAAACACCTGACCCATCTCCCCAGCAAATTGACCGTTCTGCTTCGCCGGACAATGATCACCAGACAAGGTCAATGGACAGCGGTCGAGGGTTCCCCGTTTTGGAAAATTGGGCTGCCAGTATCCATGAGGGCTTCACCCCTGAAAGCTCTGCCGAATTGGAGAAGGCGTTGGATTTTGAACGGCGAAAACGAGAGGCCAATCAATTATATCGAACCCGATCAAAACAGTTGAATGTCGGGGCGAGAATTCCTTCATCGAACTCACCACACCGCAGTCGGTATCTTGCGGCCAAAGCTGCGTTGGCTGCAGACAGCACCGGAGATAGCCCGCCATCTGCCATGGTCCTTCCCCCGGGCGATCCGCGATCGTATCTCATATCCCTCCAAGCAAATCCATTGTCGAATGACTCTGTTGATGCCCCGGGGATGCTTCGGCGAAGCCGAACTAGCAGGCTACCCTTTGAACGGATCCCAGAGGGTCTTGACCTTCACAATCTGCGCCTTCCCGTCAAGGCCTGTTCTTTGGATATTCACGAGTCGTTCAATTTGACGGCTCGTCACGATCACTATACCGGGGGTGGAGATGAGCCGGAGTCATCGCTATTGTCCGGTGTGACCGCACTGCTCCCATTCTGGAACGAGAAACTGAACACGATTCTTAGCAAAGGCTACAAGACGAATGACAGCTTACAGCCTCCAGATCTATGCATAGATATCAGCACGGCTATCGCGGATCTTGGAAGACATTTCCGAACAGCCGAAAGCCAATCTCCGTGAGCCAATATTCACCCTGCGGGGAGTCGCGCTTGTCCAATGTATAACACATATTGTATCCTATCGAGAATTTTTAGTGACGCGACCGGCGAAGCCCTGTTTCTCTTTCTATCATACCTGAGCTACTACCTTTATGACCTTATGCAAGGATTATAACGATGAAGCAGAAATGTATCATTCATAAATCGAGTCCATTAAACATTCATATCGTCAAAAAAAAAGTGGCAAATAACCCGCAATGTCCATGCCCATTTCATTAATTTTCATCACCCAATCCTTTGGTCCATCCCCTAAACTCCACTGCGAATATACAGTTCATCCTCATGAATAGTCTGGCCCCTGATCTCTGTCCTCTCCTCTTCACTAATACTCACCTCTGAAATCTCAGAGCCATGACGTGCTCTCGAGACACTCTTGTTCGTCTCAAAAGCCTCCTGGAAATACGACTGGCGGCCAGTAATGACATTGTCAATTGACAAGGAGGGCACGCTGGACGCTGTCGAGGGGCTGCGGTAGTGCCCTGGACGTGTGGAGTGTGCCGTCTCGCCTTCAGGAGTTGCTGGCGAAACTGGCGACCGCATTGGTGTTGAGGCTGGAGATGTAGCGGGTGTATCTGAGGCGACGTTGTATGGCGTGGCAAGTTCAACGGGTGAAGAGTCTAGATAGGGTTAGAGATTACTCCACTTGTGCTTATGTGGTGAGCTAACGTACCCTGCATCTCGTATACTGTTCCTCCTCCTGATTCCACCGTGCGGGGCGAAACCGACGTTTGCACGGAATCTTGTACGGAGGACTCGTTCACCCTGGACTCCAGGCCTGTCGATGTCGATTGGGGCCCAGGCATCGGAGAGGTTGGACCGCTGCCGTACATTAATTGACGCACTTCTGTGCTATCGGCCTCTCTGGCACCAGGTGTCTTGCCGAAGCTAGGTGTGACACTTTCAGGACGCTGGCGACGGCGGCGACGCCAGAACCACCACCCGAAGAGGAGGAGGGCGACGACGAACAGTCCAACGAGTACACCGATCACTGCTGCGGCCCATTTGGGTAGGCCGCCGCTCTTGTGGGTTGATGTGTCGGTGCTCGTAGTATTTGTGCTATTATATGGCCAGTATGTGGTGATAGTCTTGGAGTATTTCTTGTCGAAGATAGCGGCAAGAGAGGAGTTGGTCCATGACGAGGGCTTGGTAGTGGTTGCACCGCCCGAGGAGCTGCGGGAAGGGTTAGACTGGATATATTGCAATTCGTAAGTTGACACTCACCTTCCGCCAATCTTCGCTGTCACAATGTCTGGTACCTTATAGTCGCTCCATTTCTTCGGGTCGTAGCTCTCCTCAAAGGTGAGATTGTTCAAATTGAAGTTCACAACAATTCCTCCTTCCACACAATCGGTGGAAGACACATGAACACCTCCAAGCGACAGCATTTGGTCTGGATATACCTTGATGCAGCGGTGCCCGCTACGCCCGTGCGTGTTATTGCCGCTGTAGGCTTTGATCCACGTGAAAGACGGGAGCGACAAGATATAGACATCATCTGACGCAGCACTGTCCAAATCAATACCATTGTACCCTCCATAGATGTAGATGTTATGCGAAGAGCCATCCGATGCGCTAGCCAAGACAGAGCAGAACTGCGTCAATTGAGGCGGCGTATCGCCCGTCGTGTTCTGCATGTACCACTTCTGACTTTTGACATCGTAGACGGAGACTGTCTCCATGAAGGTCGGGCTGATCTTCTTGCTCTCCGCGGTCTGTGTGGTGTTCAGTCCGGTGTTCTGGTAGAACTGGACTGGGTCCACGACTCCTCCAATGGCCACCAACACACCGGAGTCGGAGACGGGCACCCAGACTAGCTCGGCATTTGCACGTCCAGGGATGTTAGGGGGCAGAGTGGTGTTTGTCCAACTCGAATTGCCCATTATGGACATATCCACAGTTATCAGCGTGTCCGCTGTGACGTTGGCGTTGAACTGGTCGTATGTGAATGCGCCCCAGTTCGCAGCGCGCATTCCACTGAAGTAAAAGCCCAAGTTCTCACTTGGCGATGAGACTCCAGCGCCATTGGTGATATACCGCGTGACATTAGTGGGGAGGTCTTCTTTATGCCAACCGGGCTGCCAAATGTTGCGGTAGGCGCCATACTGGTAACCTTCATATCCGAGGACCTCATCAGCAGGCGGTGGATCGCTGTTGTCCGTCAAAGGAATCATTCCTCTGCAATAATTGATTACAATCAGTAAATTATCCTTTCATAGATTCGGCGAATTCGACAAACCCATAGAGATAGAACTCGTTCTCGTTTGAAAACATCACACCGTCGATGTAGTTGGGGGCCAGATTACTGGCAGTGCCACCGGCGACGGTTTGATTTTGGAGGACGTCGGTGAAATTCGAACTGGTGTTGAACGAAGTCCCAAGGTCGAGGGTATAGATGTAGCCCTCGAAACTGTCTGTTCGCTGTTAGCTTGGACAAATTTCTTCGGTCGCATCACGCTCTTCTTCTCTTCGATCTTACTATCAGCCGCATAATTAACACAACCATCGTCAAATCCTCTGCAATTGTCAGTTCCGGCTCAAAAATGATGAAAGGAAAAAAGTAAAAAGGTATCGCATACTGTTGTAACCAAATATGACCGCCGTCAAGGTAAATTGTGTCGCGAAGGATGTTGGCTATCTCACGGTCAGTTCAACTACTGCTCTTGCTTTCCTATACAAGTCCCAACACGAGGATGACGATGACGCTTACCTCTCAAGTTTTGCCAGGTGCACATCGAAGTGTTGATTTGTCTAAGCCATGTTGAACACTCGCTCGCTGCGCCGTCCACGACCGCCAACAGAGTCAGCGCCGTTACAAAAGAAAACCTCATCGCTGGATGGTCACAGCCGCATTGCCAGCAGCTCACAACCGTGATCTATCAGTTTTGTTACGACGACAGGATACTCCACGGAACGAGGCGGACGACAAAAAGAACAAGCGACACGCATGTTGCATATTGCGGTCGCATTTATCCCGCTTTGTCAGGCTAGTTGGACGCCAGGTCTGACCCCTTCCCAGCCTTACCCTCGTCGGCCACTAGTAGTCAGCTGCGGGTCGAAGGAAGAAGCGGCTTGACCAGCGAGGGGCAATCAGGCTGCGCCTCGAGATGCGGCTTTGTTCTTGTCTTCTTTGGGGTCTTACTCCTTCTTTGTTGTCTAGGGTGCATCGCTTCTCCACCTCGCGTCCCCGTGCGGTGCGGCATAGCCAACGAGAATTGAGCCCCTCGCTGCAGGCGGGCCTGACCTTTTCCACGAACGGCCCAGCCCCGGACCAAGACTGTCGATCAGTGGTGGAACGGAAGAATACATCCAATATTCCTCGGGGAGTCGGGTCCGGCTGATTTGGCTGACATCGTTTCTTTTCATCGTCATTCATTCATCCATTGGCTTCGCCTCGACTAGTGGCAGTCGACCCACCTCGTGTCCGGAGCTTTGCATGGAAGCTCGGATTCTGAGCTGACCGACTCCGCACGATGATGGTGCAATCATTCCCAGCCGCATTGATTGTTTACGAGCCTCGCAGGATGCAGCCCTTTGAACATGGAGAAGAAGGAAACTAGCGGGGCCGTGCTGCTGGGCAGCATTTCTTCCTCGTCGGCCACCCCGTCTTTGTGTTTTTTCCTTTAGTGCACTTCACCACTCTCCGATGGTCTCGAAGCAGTCCTTGTCAATTTGCCAAATAGGTCTACGATGAAGGTTTCACTCGCTTGCCTTTCGCTGTGGGCGACCACTGCTATTGCGCTAGCAAGAAACGGTGTTGACGGGTCAATTCCAACGCTGGTCCCGACGGTTCCTGCGACGATTCCTAACGATGTCGACTCACCAGCAGTCACTCCTCGCGCATTGGGACTTGGAGTGAGCGCAGGCGCAGACGTACTGGGAATCACTGCTACTGTCACAATTACTGTTGGAATCACAATTGATATCGGAGAGACCATTACTTGCACTGAGACGGTTACTCGGGAAAAAACAGTTACAAGAACTGTCGCCGGTCCAACTACTACGTTGACTCGAACTATCACAGATGTTTCGACCACAACGAAGACTATCACGACCGGTGGAGCAACCGTGACGGACGTTTCTACTGTCACAGTTACCGGGCCAGGCTCAACGGTTACTACTACTTTACCTGGATCAACTATAACCGAGCCAGCATCTACGGTCACAAGTACCGTCTCAGGGCCAACGGTCACCGAGCCAGGGTCTACAATTACGACGACTCTGCCCGGGTCGACTATCACTCAGCCGGGATCAACAATCACAGAGCCTGGCTCGACAGTAACTGAACCAGGTTCGACGGTTACAACAACATTGCCTGGCTCGACAGTGACAGAGCCTGGATCGACTATTACTCTGCCTGGATCTACTGTGACTGAGCCTGGATCGACTATTACTCTGCCTGGATCTACTGTGACTGAGCCTGGGTCTACTGTGACTGAGCCTGGATCTACGGTGACTGAGCCCGGGTCGACAGTGACTGAGCCTGGATCGACTATTACTCTGCCTGGATCTACTGTGACTGAGCCTGGGTCTACTGTGACTGAGCCTGGGTCTACTGTGACTGAGCCCGGGTCTACTGTGACTGAGCCCGGGTCGACAGTGACTGAGCCCGGGTCGACAGTGACTGAGCCTGGATCGACTATTACTCTGCCTGGATCTACTGTGACTGATCCTGGATCTACTGTGACTGTGCCCGGGTCGACGGTGACTGAGCCAGGCTCAACAATTACAGAGCCAGGTTCAACAATCACTGAGCCTGGTTCGACTATTATAAGCACAGTCGATGGGTCGACTGTGACTATTCCGGGGTCCACAATTACAATCTCAGGATCAACAATCACCCTTCCAGGTACGACCATCTCTGGGTCTGTCACCACTATTCCAGCATCAACCATCACGATCCCAGCCTCGACAGTAACAACTACCATCACCCAGCCTGCGAGCACTATCACATTGCCCGGAGGAACCACTACTTTGCCAGGCTCAACTATTACCTCCACAATCACCTACCCAGCAAGCACGGTCACTATCATTGGATCGACCACTATCATCGATACGGTCACCATCCCAGGTAAGTTCTCACGTCAGATATCCATATCATGAATATTTCTAACATAACTAGGTCCAACCGAGACAGTGCCCACGACAATCACCGAGACTGTTCCTGGATCAGGAACAACTCGGACACAGACGAACGAGAGGACGGTCACCACGACTATTTCGTTGTCTGTGTGCTCGACCCTTGTCGCCAATCCAACATATACGCCCACAACCGCGCTTCCCGATGACTACACCTGGGGCTGTGCTCCGGGATATCTCTGCCAGCCCCCTCATACGGGCGATCGTGCTAACTGCAATGTCGAGGCCAACCTTCCCGCAGATGGCTACGTCTGTGCTCCTTCCGAATGTGTTCTTGCTCCTCCCTTGATCTATAACCATTCTATTGAGGGTGGCCAGCAGTACAACTTCAGCCAAGATTATTACAACCTTGACCCGCGGGAGTTTGGTCTGAATTATAGCATCTTCCAGTACACTGAGACTTACACGATTTCCAGCCGCAAGAGAAGCATGTTCGCTCCCCTTGTGGACCTTGTCGCCCCGAAACACAAGAGGGCGTCTGGCAGCATCCCCTCTATCTGCTATAACAGCTGCAATGATGCTGCTCAAGAGCCTCAATTGATTGGCAAGGTAGCAGCACTATGTGAAAGTGACTCTGCCTTTATGATAGACTTGAACAGTTGCAAGTCGTGCATCAGTCGTTGGGCCTCAACGCCGTCAGAAGTGTATTCGCAAACGCTGTTGCCATCGTTCTCCCAGTGGCTCAACTTCTGCGCTGATGTGACGACGACTGCCGCTAGTACCACGACACAATCGACAGCTGCTACCACCACTGCCGAGACTACTGCTACAAGCACGGGCTCAAGCTCGACCAGCGACTCAACGGCGACGTCGCCTACGCCTACGGCCACGGGAGGGAGTACCCAGACGAGTGCATCTGCCAGCACCCAAACTAGCGATTCGAGTAGCTCATCTACCAGCGAGTCAAGTGTCTCTGGCTCGACCTCTGGCTCTTCTGACACTTCTGGGTCGACTTCCGGAACTTCAGGAGCCACTGGCTCAGCGACCGGATCTAGCATTGGCAGTTCCATCACCGGGGCAAGTACCTTGGCAACCGTCACAGGCTCAAACTCCGCTGGAGCAAGTGGAACGACAAGAGACAACACAGGCTCATCTTCGGGCTCAACAGGCACCGGTTCCGGCGCAACGGGCGTCGATGCCATTGGTGTTGGGGCTACCGGTACAAACACATCTGGCACGAGTCCCACTCAAACGAGCTCCCAGGGTGTCGGCGGCTCATCTGGCTCATCCGGAAGCCAGTCTGGCACAGCCAGCGCATCTGCATCTTCTCCCACATTCAATGCGGCACCATCAATGAAGAGTGTTCCACGTACGGGCTTCTTGGGTCTGTTGTTGGCTATTCTCGCGTCACTCCTTTAAATGATTAATGGCTACGATATGTCTTAGTTCCGGATTATATTCCGATGATAATAGTTACAATGATTTGATCTCGATCACGAGTATTTTGAAGATAGCAGATTTGTGCGTACATTTAGTTGTCCACTTGTCGGTATTTCATGTTGTAGGCTAGCTCAGATGACCGTAAACTCTAGCTGAGTCGCTAATAGACAAATCTTGTTGGTTGATTTGGGGAGAGGGATATCTCGAGGGGAGGGACTCCAGCCTCCAGCTTGTGTATGCAAACTGGCTAGCCTTTCACTCTATCTATAATCCAAGTACATACGAGTCTCACAGCCTCCTAGCCTCGTAGTAATTTCCCCTTTCATTAGTTTAATTCCCCCTGATGACAAGAATGCATCGCGATCTCGGTCCGGTTACATAAGACTGACATCAACAATGCGCAACAAGTACCTTTATAAGTTAATTTCAAAATTTCACTGCACTCTTTCGATAGCATACTGACAATACCAATCTTCCAAAATTGAGAGCAACAGCCCGTCCAATATCATCGCTATGGCGGGGGCTCCAGCCTGTTCTATGATGATCGATCCAAGACCCCATTCACGGGCTCCACCTCCTCCAAGCCCCGGCTTCAAAATGACAACCGGAGATGTCGGTATCCTAAAATCAACTCTTCTCCCTTCATTCGGGCTATACTCCGGCTTGTCAATCACAGCATATGCCGTCGCACGATCAACCGACCGTCTCGAGATTAAAGACTGGCTCTGGCCATCGGCGCAAGTCCTCAATGCATGGTTGACAGCTATAGGGCGGCCGATGTATGAAACCGGGATTACGTTCCCAGACGCCTGGAGGGGACTTACTTGGTCTGAAAAGCTGCTTCTTAGTGGCGTAACTGTTTGGGGGACTCGACTTTTCGCTCGCATCGTGTGCCGGTCTTTGGCTCGTGGGAAGGATGATCCCCGGTATGAGGCGCAGAAGAAAGAGAAGGGGTTCTGGAAAACGGCTCTTTTTAAGATATTCCTGCCTCAAGCTGCTTTCTTGAGTTTCATCTCTTTGCCTCTCACGGTGCCCTTCGGTATGGGTGATACTACACTCTCGGTGAGCACGAATACGCTTAGTACCGTTCGTGCATTGGGCGTTGGACTATTTAGTGCTGGCTTTGCCCTCGAAGTAATGGCTGATACACAGCTCGAACTTCATCGGAAGGAGAGAGAAGATCTGTGTCGACATGGAGTCTGGAGTCTTGTGCGACACCCCAAGTATGTCTTGTCTGGGATATGCACATCGTGTTTGCTGGTTATACTGACGCTTCTTTAGCTACCTTGGAGACACGCTCGTGCATTTATCATTCCTCTTGATGAACATCACAGACTCCTTCAATCCGATTGTTTTGCTCGGTCCGCTGGCCAATTATCTCTACCTTCGCTTGGTGGGTGGTGACAGGAAGACCGAGGAGAGCCAGGAGAAGCGCTACCGAGAGCAGAATTATCACAAATACGAGCAGCTGCGTAATTGGCGAGGGCAGAAGAATAGCTTCTGGCCGTCTTTGAAAGATTTGACCAACCCTTGGGCGTTGGCAGTCGTTGGATGTGGATTGATCGGTGTTGTTACCGAGGAAGTTGTGCGGAGTACTTTCACCATGCGGTAAAAGTTGTCATATCATCAGATCATAGAAAGCTAGACGTTTTGCTCGTTGAGTTCGGATTAGAAAATCTGTCACTAGCCAATCCCATTCGGATGTAGAACACTGTATCCCATTATGAGTTGTATAATAATATCCCGGGATGTCAGGTGATTACCTTTTCATGTGAATATTCCAGGGCTCGCACTTCACCTCCAAGCAGAATATGCCCGAAGGCAGGACCCCATCGGCGCATTCCTTCAAATTCATTCGAGGACCTCTTGAAGACCGTGATCTCTTTTTCAAATGGAAGATTCAAGTCAACCATGAACGACTCGAGGTCGGTTGTCTCAAAGAAGAAACGCTGACTCGCTCTGGGCAGACATCTCTACATGGATACTTAGAGTTCTACGGTCGGCCTTATAGCTACACAATCACAACTGGACGATAGCAATCCAGACCAGCCCGTCAGAATCATGGCGTCTGATTATCCCAGTGAGAGGCGCTCAGGAGCCCATTGCCGTTCACACGGTCAGCCCGCCACCACGCCGTTTCGTGGCCCCGAGGGAGGATAGCGCGATGTTTCAAGCCAATCACGGAGCGCGAATGTCCCGCTTGTAAACAAACAAGATGGAAGGGCCGTCGCCATATTTCAAGCACACCTTCAATCCCGTCGCGTTTTTCAAGCTTCAGAAGAGGAGAGGAGCGCGCGAGGGGGGGGTCCACTATCAATTCCCACCCTGCTGTTGAAGGAAACCAATTGCCTCTCGAGCGATGATCGCAGAGGTTCGGAACTACGCGAGACAGTCGGTTCGGGTTGCCCCGCTGGACTAAGCTGAGTCGATGATCCGATTCAGATCTCGCTATCTTTCTCCATGTTACTAAATTCTAGTGTGCTTTGATCGCGGTTTGAAGAGGAGGAACTCGGGGAAAGCGAAGGATGAGCAGAACATGTGGATGAAATCGGCACTTCGCACGGTCTCGCGGGAATTGATGGCTCTTGGCTCTGGCGGGAGTGGAGCTGACATCCCGTGCAAAGCAGCTCCACCGAGTCCACTCGAACATGTTCACCCCCTCGATCTCGGGCCATCTGCAGAGTGCCAATCTCAATCATTCGGCGAGACCCATGGTCGCTTGCCTGTCATGCACCCTTCCAATAACACATCCGGGCGGCTCACTGGCTGTACGAGAATTGAGTCACCCCCGATGACTCTATTTGTCACCCTACTATCTCGCGAGAGTATCCCAGCACGGAGGATTTTTTTCGTCTCTGGCGGTTTCAATTTTCCACTACAGAGCTCGTAGCCGTCGATCGACACTCTCTCCGTGCCCGGATCGCGATCCAGGCCTATGATTCTCCGAGTCCTCCCAACCCGACTCCACCGTTCTTGACTACTTCTTGCGAGCGCTCCGTGCAGATCCCCGCCTGGGCTGGACGCCACATCAGACTAAAGCTGTGTCCAGCTCCATTCAGGGTCATTGCTATCTACGGAGGCTTGTCCACCCATTCAAACTTCAGCCCGCATGCGCGGGTCCCAACTGAACACCCGCTAGCTGAGGCTGTTGGCCTGTTATGATTGAAAACAAGGGATCCTCTGTATCCGCCGGGCTGCCAGACCCTGCAGGTTTCACGCACCGAGGGATACCGTTTCAAGTAGCAAATCACGCACATCGGCAGTCGAGGGGTGCTGAAGGGTATGCTTAGCTTTTCTTCATGTCTCGGCGGCAGTCTAAAACCTGCACTAAGGTCGGTGGCATCTGCACCTGTCACGCCGGCTAGTAGTACGAAGGGGGAAGAGAAAAAAAAACAAAGAAAAAACAACCGAATCGTGCAGCCGATTAATGATCCCACAGCTACAAATATGCACAAGCACCCCTTTCTTTGAGTTGTGGTGTTTTTAGACCTCGATTATCTCCTGTTGTTCCTACCTCTGATCTCCTAGTGCGCCGGCAGCCATGGCAGAAGGAAGTAGAAGTCAAAGCTTATTGCGCAGAGTCATCGAAGCAGTTCTGTTCCGTGAGGACAACACACCTCCACCGATGGCCGCTCATGCTGCTGCCGCTGCTCAGCGCACCAACAGTGGGCTCACTACTCAGCGTACCAATAGTGGGCTGTACGGATATGCAGGCTATGGCGCCCCAGATTTGGAGCAGGGAAAGCAATTTAGCAACTTGACGAGCAACCCCGACCATCTCATCCCACCAACCGACAAGCTCCTCATCTTCCGTGCCTTGACGGGTATCGATAGTGTTCCTGCTCTCACTCAAGGCGGACATCTTCTCCGAACCGCACCCAATGTCGGCATCTATACTCGTGTTGTGACCAACGAGGCTAAATCTCGCCGTGCCTACACCTTCTTCAATTACCTCATTAATATCTGTCTGGGCATTCAAATCGTTGTGGCGGCGGCATTGACAGCCCTCGGCGCTGCCAGTGGTCCCCACTCCGCCATCACAGCCTTCGGCGCCATCAACACCATCATGGCCGGTGTATTGACCTACTTGCGTGGCTCGGGCCTTCCAGATCGCCTGAAGAGCTACCAAAACAAATGGAAGAATATACGAGAATATATTGAACAGCGCGAACGCGAGTTCTGTTTGGTGGGCTGCGATCTAGACGTGCAAGAGGAAGTCTTTATCGTGGAGAGCATGTACCAGAATGTCAAGTCGGAAATGGAATCGACTAAGAGCAGCGGTGAATCCAGACAGCAACAACCCGATGACCCTCGAATTCGTCGCTCGCTTCTACCCACTTCCAATCACCTCAGTGGTGGTCACCGGAATACTGCAGCGCCCGCTCGACGGTCCGATGCACAGACAATTGGTGCTCATTCTGGAGAAGGAGACGTCAGCCCTATCACTATTCCGGAGCAGGCAGTTGAGAAGCACTGAGTCAAATTGTGAAGAACGACAAGGCATTGTAATTTTTCACAGATTTGACAACAATGCATGGTGATGGCACTGCCCTGAACCAAGTTCTCATCACCCGCTCCAAAGGGACTGGTCATATCTTCGTCGCCGCCCAGCTTGACAGCAAGCTTAGCTTGCGTCGCTGGCCAAAATAATTACTCATTTCTAATTGCTTCGGACATGGGCTCTTTCGTCAGTGTTCGATTTTTCAATGTCTATACTACGCCATGTCGCCTTGGGGAACACAATTATACATACCCAAGGTGCTCACCGAAAGCATTCTGTCCCTTTTAGGATAGTTATGGATTGTGTTAATTTTATTCTATGCCTATCATAATGGTCGATGATTATAAATATATATCACAGGCATGTACTTTATCCTATCACTATACATTCAATGGCCGTCTGGCACTGTCAGCCTAAATCAAAATTTGGGGTAATGTGTCTAAACACGCAATGGTACTGTTACAGGGAGGACACAAGGAGGACCTGTTTGAGCATAGACCTTTGTTACTTTGGAACTTTAGTCGCAAGCCAACAAACCAGCCTGGTAGCAGCGGAAAATTCTGCCGCGACCGGGATCCGCTCTCACGCAACACAAAAACCGACTTGCCCAAGTCGCAAACTTGCATCTTGAACGCCAGTCAAACCGTGGCAGACACGAGGAGGCGGATCAAAACAAGATCTATCACTACAGTCTCTCAATCATGGCGTCCGACGTGCAATTTGCCCAGTCCGCCGACGCGCCCAAACTCGCCGAGGTATTCTTCGCCGCCTTCTCTGATCGTTTCAACAGAACCATGTTTCCGGATAATCCGGAGGTGCGTGTCTGGATGGAGAAGAACTTGCTCTGCGGCGAGGGAATCGCGGAGAACCAGATCATGCTCAAGGTGACGGACCCTTCGAATCCTGACGTGGTGACGGCGTTTGCGAAATGGATTCGCCCCTCATCTGGATCGAGTGCGGATCCCGATCGGCATGAGGAGCCCGCTGTGTGGCCCGAGAGCAGCGATGGGGAACTATGTGATCGGTTCTTTGGGACCATGGATGGGCATCATAAGGATGTTATGGAGGGGAGGCCTCATTACTGTATGTTTGCCTTTCCAGTTAATCTTGTATTCCCATCCGTGCTTGTGTTCGTTGATGATGAATGCTTGTCTGGATACCCCCCTTGAATCCCTATGCGTTCGCGTTACCCAGTTTAACTGACGAACAATAGATCTTGAACTTTTGGGTGTTCACCCATCGTACCAAGGGCGTGGCTTGGCCTCCAAGCTTTTACGCTGGGGTCTTACGCATGCTGATGAAGAAGGCGTTGAAGTTTATCTGTCAAGCTCCCCCGACGGCAGGCCGTTGTATGAGAGATATGGATTCCAAGTTTTGGATGGGCGCTTCTCGCCTTTCCCTGGCTATGAACAAGTGAATATGATTCGGCCTGTCCAACAAAAATAAACTGATGGATATCTGAGCTGTTCTATTTTTCTTGTGGCAGACGTCAATAAAAACGTGTTTGGATAGGCTGGGCCTCGTTGAGGAACACATGGGGTTTTCTTTCTTTACTCTCCCGTATCTAACTAAAAGAACATATTTTCAGCAGCCAGATGTAATGAGAAAACAATCCATTTATCGTCATCATGACAACATTACAACAACGTAGAAAACTGATTCGAGCGATCAAACTTCCGGAAGCCCGTGCTTCCCATGCGCACTAGCACTATGTATCTAGCTGTTGGACGAACTCATGTTCCTTCCAACGTGCTACACTCTGCACGGGGGCATACATTGAGGATATCGCTCTCACTACAAATCGTCATGAGATAAAGTCGCATAATAATACCAGATTGCTCAATAAGTGGCAACGAACCAATCTTGCCAATTATCAAAACTGGGCATCAAGTATGACTGAAAGCGGAACCACGGGAAGGCGCCATGTAAGCTTTCATCCATGGCTCGCCGTCTACCACGTTCAGGTTTTTATACATTATAGCTTACTTCCACTTGGCAAGGAATTATCAAGTCCTTGATTCAAGATAACCATTCATCTAGAATTTGAAGTTGAGTACCAATCATTATCATTTATCTTCAGAAAGCCCGCAACATTTCCTGCTTCTATCCGCTTCATGTGTCATACTTAAACCCAAATGAGATGAATGTCCAGGTTTCCAGCGACATTCAGTGGCTACGGATTCCGCATGATCGATTATCATGGCGTCAATGAGTCGCCAAAGTATCAGGCCTTCTTGAGGCAACAAAATATTCAGGCGAGCTATATAACGCAGTGGATCGAATCCTAAAGCATAACCGTTCAGCACACGATTATTTTCATAATCTCGAAATAAATCCATTGATATTGCAACTACTGGCTCTCTAAAGCTACAGGATTTTCACGGAAAATGTCGAACTTTATGCACAAGGTAAAGGACGCCGTGACCGAGAGCCACGATAGAGACAGAGTGCCCAACTCCGAAGTTCCAGGTGAGATCAGCTTGTCTTTATAAGAATAATGCATGTGGCACGGTGCCATGATACTGACGAGCATATAGGAGCACACAACACGTACAAATCCTCGAATCCCTACACAAAGGATCCTGTTGCGAGCCAAAACAATCCATCGATGATGGATCACGAATCAGGACCCGGAACTAACAGACTTGGCAATCATGGCGGAGCTAGAGGACCTGATACATACAGCTCGGCCACCACAGGGGCCAATACAGTCAATTCTGGACCTCACAACTCGAAGTTAGCCAACAAGCTTGACCCTCGTGTGGATAGTGATCTTGGTAGGTCGTGGACACTCTCGATGGACCGACGTTCATCATACTAACCAAAGACTTGGAAGATCATCGAGCCCAGAATGCAGGCACCATGGGATCGCAAAATCTCGGCGCTGCCCCTCAGGGAATGAACGCCGGTAACATGGCTACTGGTGAAAAACCTCGTGTCTTCGGTTCCGACAATCATACGTCCAATGAGGATAACTACAGCAAGTCTACGCAAGAGCACAAGACTCATACTCAGCCCAGTGTCCCCGGTTCAGGCAATCAGGTCACCAGTGAGGATACCTCCAGTAGCTCCTCGCAGGAACACAAATCACACTCTAGCACTACCCATACCACACCTTGTCAGATGAATCCTCGTCCTGAGCCGGGTCTTGAAGGTCGCGCTATGCAACCAGAGTTTGGCGGCGGTGCAGCTGGAGGCAGTAGCTATACCCAACCACCCGTCCGAGAGCCAGCTGGTATGCAGAACACCAATCGCATGGGTAAGGCTGACCCTCAAGTCCAGGGTATGGGTTATGAACAGAATGATTTGGCGAACCAGAGAAGTGCATATTAACCTTTTCTTTGCCAAATACTGTCATTACTGATCAAGTTGATTCGCTATGTGTTATGATTTTTGCTCAATGTTGCTCAATTTGATGTCCAGAAAGAAATATATACAATTTGAAAATCGATGTCTAAGGGGTATCTCATGGAATGATCTCAGAATGTGCCGAGCCTGTTCAATGGGAATGGTGATGGTCCGAAAAAACGCCTTGCTCTGCGCATGCCTTACGGCATTCCTCCAAAATCTTCGCCTGGCGAGCGACGTCGGCAAGGCGACCGATAACTTCTTTGTTCCCATCGACAAAAGTAAAGACAGCGTAGGGGATCTTCACATCCTCACAAAACTCCTTGACAAACTTCTGCGTTTTGCGCAGGTTATGACGGGGAATGCGAGGGTACAAGTGGTGGATCGCTTGGAATTGGAGACCGCCATGGATGAAGTCCAGCCATTCCGGGCAGTCCACATCCATCGTTGTCCGAAGCATTCGCTGAGGGAAGGATTCAAGGGGGCCGAGATCAGCGGTGGACATGGCATAGTGTGAGAGTGTAATTTGCACGTGGAGTGGAGCGGTGACCATGTGCGAGATAAGAACGAATGCGATCTTGTTCCAAAGGCCAGGAATGCTGAGGTAGAGCACACCATAACCGAACCACGTCCAGAAGAAGATTTGGCCAGCGAGCTCAAACCACCGGTGCCACCAGCCCGCGCCGTGTTTGGGACCAAGGCCGAGGTAGATATGTTCCCAGCTCAAGTAGTAGAGGTTGAAGCGACCGAAGAGGAGGATTGGGTAGTACAAGTAGTGCTGGTACTTAACAGTGATCTTGGCCACTGCGTCATATTCCATGATCCGATCGTAGTAGGTGCTACGCAAACTCTTGAAGAAGCGTTGCGACACGGCGAAAAACGGCATCAGTTCGATATCAGGGTCGTGCTCTGGGGCATTAGTGACGATGTGGTGAACATTGTGGCTTCTCTTCCACCAGCCTAGGCTGAGTCCACCTAAAAAGTCTGCGATGATCATACCGATCACTGTGTCTGTTTGGAAATCATGTGTAATACCCATGTGGCCAGCATCATGGGCAGAGAAGACGAGCTGGTGCCAAAAGCACCCGAGAAACAAGCCGGACAAACAGAACCAAGACTGCTTCAAGAAGAAAATAAAGAGACCGAAAAATAATGAATATCGGCATATTTCAACCGCGTAAGCAGAATAGTTGCAGTTGTAAAGCCCGGCTGCGCGAATGCGCTCGTTGAGCTGACGGTATTTTGTGGTGATGTACTCTTGATGTTCGACATCGAGAGGGGGATACTTGGACTCGTCCAGTTCGATCTCCTGTTGAGTTCGCGCATCAATCACGCAGATTTGGCGTTTGGCCTCTGTGGTTGATAGAGGAGTAACACTGATCGAGGAGGATATCGTGGATATGGATAGCCTGCGTCTTAAGCCGAACATGTCTTCTGATGGTTCGAAAATCGGGGATGGTGGAGCTGAAGCATCTTCGCTTGAGACTTCGGAGATCAACAAGTCTATTTCGTCTGTTTCTTCTTCGATTTCGCTATACGGGCGGAAAGTGCCGCCTTGGATGGGTGGGAGGAAGTTGGTCCATCTTCCTTCGATGCGGCCGATCTGGAATTTGCTCATGCGCTGGCGCGCTTCCTGTGAATGCAGTCTTTGGATCGTTAGTCAGTACGTTGGAACAGGTTATGAATGAGGGATTTAATGGAGACGTACGCGTTGACCTCATCTGTAGCATCTTTGCCAACCATGTGCTTGATGGCCATGTCACCGCCAGGGTGAAATTTAATCCAAGCATCCAGTCTGAGTACTTTGTCGTCAACAATGATAATCAACTTGTCCTCGGCAATCATGCCTTCAATCTCAGCCCTGGAAAGGACATTGTCCCGGCCTTTGCTTGAGAGAGACATGCTGATTGAAGGTGAAAGAAGGAAAATTCCGTTTCATTCAACCCTCGAGCATATGAGCAGAAATAATAAAGGCTTAAGAGGAGAAGGACATATCTACTTTAGGATAAATTCTCCAGTCAATCTACACTAACCATACGTTATGAGCTTAGTAGCGCTGTGGCGCAGATTTCCCTCCACTTCCCCTTTAACCAAGGGGACAAAGGGGCAGTGCCGTCTCCAAAATTCTATATGCGTGGCGAATACAATGGGAAAGGGGAGTTGTAAGTGGATACGGTACTGAATATGCGTCGGGTTTGCGGAGATACGAATACGCCAGAAGTAATTGCCAGCGGTCAAAGACTCAGATAGAAGCAAAGTGGACACAATACGGCCGCGTGGAGAGTCACTGACCAAGGGAGAGGATAAATATGGGGTCGCTGGTGGGCCAAGCAACGTACGCGTATACCAAGCCCTACGACGAAAATGACTCGCCGAGCCAAAACAAGCTTAAACTTTGACGGCAGCCCCTGTAACAGATTGACCCCTGTTGCAAATTAAAAGGCCAGATCGCTAAAACTAGCCTATTCCCCGTACCCATTTAGACGATAGTTAGTTGGTCCCACAATTTTAGGCGCGGGAGGTTCCAAAGTTTGCCCTTGAGAGGGTTTTCTGGAATTTCTCAGACAAGGTTCGCCTACACACGGCTATTGAAGTTCTACTATTGCCGCACAGTCTGGTCATCTTGGCAGTCTCATTCCAACAACAGCCACAAAAGCGAAATGCTTTTTTTCAAAGAGGCAGAGGTTAATGTCTCAAAATAGAAACTAGAAATTATTAGCGTCTTTTGTAGCCCACATTCGCATCGGATTCGTATGTGGAACAGCTTATCGCAGTAGCCTATGCGCTTGGACAAACTAAGGGGACAAAGCTTTTCCACGTGGTCACATCAAGTTTGACGGATAGTATCATTCAGGAGACATAGTTTCTATATGACGCTGCAAGCTGCTCATTGGCTGTTTGTATCATGATAATCGATGGCGAGAAACATCTCAGTACAGGAGAAATGGCATTGACCGCGGGGGAACCGACCGTATACCGTATTTGTGGATAGAGACCATCTTAACCACTTTCTGAACCGGCTAGTCGCCCACTCAGAGTGAGTTACCTAATTGTTGCCCCCACACTGGGAGGCGAGTGGCTGCGCTACCCTACGTACCCACGTACGTATTTTTATTCTCTTCCAGATCGAGGGGCAAATTTCTTTCCCTCCTAGATATTATCATTATTAAAAGTGTCGTTTGTTCCGTTCTGATCGGGTAGCCGATTACATGGGCGTGAACTTACAAATTAATGAAACAAGACGGGTAGATATCTGTTACGTAGATTGTTATAACTAGAAAGAATGCTTTGAATAATGACTCTGGGTTTGAAGGATGCCATTTTTGGCTTTTTTAACCCCTCTTGATGCTTGGCACCTGGGCGCAATAGCATATCCCCTTTAATAACCGTCGAGTTTTCGCATCGACTTGCCCAGGCAGCAGCCATTGCTCGGACCTTTGTCGGTAAGCCAACTGCGCCTGCAAAGCCATAGACAGCCTTGATGAATCCAAAGATTAGAGCCCACTCTTGGTCCCCATTATAGTTGTCCTTTTAAGCGTGGGGACAGTGCAACCCCTGGTTGAAACAAACCCTAGAAGATCTCCAGAGGACCAGCAATCAAAATCTATCTCGGCTCGAGGTCAGAATAGCCTACGAAGTTGAGCGGATAATCTTAATGCCATTTGTTCAATCACATGCTACTCGTCCGCTCTTTAGAATCTGCAAATATAAGCGAAATGGCCACTTCAGCCCCTGCATGCTTACGTTGAATAGTAATTTCTCCGGCCTCAAAAGCAGCCACAGTTGGATATGGACTAGTACCTACTGCGAGATGGAGAGAGCAAATTTCCGCTCATCATCTAGGGCGAATATTGCAATAAACTTGCGATCTGAGCCATGAGGAAACGATTGTTTGGGAAATATGACCCGGAATTGAGAAATCTAGTGTTATCCAGAAGAGAGCATAATCTTGGTCTATTTGAGCATTGTAACTCAAATTGCACTTCGATCCTCCACCGTTATAAGAAATGCAAGCAAACCAAGCGCCCGACCACGAATTCGGTTGCCTATTTGAGTGTCCTAGTTTAGCTCCGTGCCTTGAACATCACGGCACTACGGGGTTCTCTTGAAGGCGGAAGCAAGATTACAAAAGACTAACGTTGTATACCATCAAATTCTATATGATTGAGTGTCTGCAATTTCAAGTAGCGCCTCGAAAACAATGGGGAAATTAGCTGTTGCAACTGCTACTGCTGCTGTCAAGATAATCTTTGCTTCTTCGCTGGAATTCGAAGCATAATCTTTACATCAGCTTCAGAGGTACATTCCGGCCACAACAGAAGATATCCTTGTCAAGAGATATTAGATATCATTTCTCAGAATCATGGAAGTTCCCACGTTCGCACAATAATCCAGCTTCTACAATCCAGCTTCTTTCTTCAAAGGGGGCTCAAGATAAGGATATGATAAGGCTGGCAAGCTCATGGACTGAAAGGGGATAGCCTCCCTTTTCAACCAATGAGAATTAAAGCTGCCAAAGATCCAATTTCATGCATTAGAGATGCATCGCGAGCTAATGGTGGTGAGGCCCGAATTCCCCACCGACTGCTTACAAATGCGTTCTACTCGCGGGGTCAAGATCTCAATCAACAGGAATCAGAACACGGAGGAACAGCTACCTTTCTTACCAATAGCAGCCTATTTGATACCGACCTCACTCCCACCACCGCCCATAAGATTATCGCTCAAAAGCTTATCACACCTCAAGCGCTCTCGAACTGTTCACTCACTTTAGTCCACAAAGTTCCTCTGACGTCACATATCTATCATTGCTCCATTTTGGCCGTGGCCTGACAAGATGACTAAACTATTCATGTATGTAGCTACCCTATCCACCATGAATCAGTTGGTTCTTTTGCTAATCAACCCATAGTACCGGGGCAACTGGGTACATTGGCGGCGACGCCCTTGCGACTATATATGCTGCGCATCCCGACTTTTCCTATGTCGCGCTGGTTCGCAGCACTGAGAAAGCCGAGCAGGTCAAGACTCGCTTCCCAAATGTCCGCGTGGTCATCGGTGATCTCGACAACTCGGCTTTGCTAGAGCGGGAGAGTGCAGCAGCAGACATCGTCCTCCGTGGGAATCCCAAGAAATTATTCCTTTCGAATAGGACTAACAATCGACTTTAGACACTGCAGACGCATCTGACCATGTGGGGGCTGCAAAGGCAATCGCCGCAGGTCTGGTTGCTGGGCATACGAAAGAAAAACCGGGGTACTGGTTGCACACAGGTGGAACTGGAATTTTAACCTTTGAGGATAGTGACAAGGGGTCGTATGGTAATAAGAGCGACAAGATATACGATGACTGGGATGGAGTTGAAGAGCTTTTGAACCTACCCGATCATGCTTTCCACCGCAATGTAGACAAGCTTGTCTTGGATGCTGCCGCGAAGCATGCGGACGTCCTCAAACTAGCTTTGGTCTGTCCTCCAACCATTTACGGTGTGTACCCTCCAAGAGCTCCTCCATCAAATTAGAATCTCACTAGTTAAGTAGGACGCGGACGAGGCCCATGCTCGCAACGCGGTCGCCAAGTCTATGAACTCGCGAACGTGACACTGCGGCTGCAGAAGGGCCCAATTATTGGTTCCGGCCAGGCGATTTGGAACAACGTCCACATCCACGATTTGAGTGATGTTTATGCATTGCTCGTAAATGCTGCGGTCGCCGGCCGAGATGACGATGGGATCTGGGGTCCGAAGACCTACTACCTCACCGAGAATGGGGAGCATCGCTGGGGAGATCTAGCGAAGTCCACCGCGGAGGCTGCGGCAAAGCTAGGTTTCATCCCAGAAGCAAAGGCTGAACCTATCGATCTGGATAGTGCGAAGCAATATGCGGGCTTCGAGTCGCTAAGCTGGGGGATGAATTCTCGTGGGCGGGCACTGCGAGCCCGTAAGCTTCTCGGATGGAATCCATCATCTCCCAGTCTGTTGGATGAATTACCCCAGATTGTTAAGAGTGAGTGGAAGCGACAGCAAGAGCAGGAATCTGATAGATAGGGTCTTATTACTGGCACGCCTAAACATCTCTGTCTAGAAGTCTGAATCCAGTGACCAGAGAAATTTTCTAGCCAGATATGCTTAAACTCACGCTCTGTTTGAAGATATTTCTGAATGTCTTTGGACCGTCTCCCGAGGCAGCTTTTGAACCATCCCTTGGGCTATCTTTTGGTTTATGATCAAGAGAGTACTCCTGAAATATAGTCAAAGAATATCACAGAGTATTGCAGTACTCGACTTTTTGGCGTGCCAATCACAAGATCCTATAACAGTGATGATGCTAAAGCAAGGGCGAATCGCATAGGAGATTACCACCCTTGAAGTTTCTAATATGGTCAAATGCGTGGAATCAACGTCTTCTAGTATGTTAGTCTCCCAGAAGATGTTCCACTTTCACTGCAAGGGCAGCGGCATCTCATGGTGTCGGCTTCAGCACAGCGACGATCGGTCTCGTTTTTCTGTCATGGATATCTTAGAGGACTTTAAACTCTGGCCGTATAATAAGAGACACCAGTACGGTCTATAAATAGCAACATGTATTAGGATTCAACCGGGCTACCAGTGGCCTCATAGTTGACGCTATGGGTGCTCACACAGCTGCCCCCAGAAGCACTATAATCGAAGGCTGTTTCGACAACATTGATAACAAAGCACGAGGAGGGTAGGGTGAATGTAGTCGTTAATGGAATGACAGTCGTGGATGTTGACATGGTGAAGATGTTGTTTCAATCATTGTAGAGACTTGAGAAAAATGCCCAGGGATTTTCAGCACATATCTAAACATAAAATGAAAAGGAGTGAAGAACTAACAAAAGTACGACCATCGCGGCATTGAGCCTTCGAAAATCACTTCCTAGGGCCAAATCCATGCTTGCAGGGATTCACAGTTAGGTCAGTCGCTCCTCGAGACACTAAATGCATGTAAATGAAAGCCCTCGGGGAGATAAAATCCGTCCATCTCCCTTCATCCGCGTGGGTTGCGATTAGGCTAATAAAACGAAAAAGTCAAGGGCTAATCACAACTCTCACTAGAAACCTACTGCTAGGACCCTAGATGCACTAAGTTATTCGCGTCTGATGGCCTTCCCTTAGGGCGTCGTCTTTGAAGCCACATGGTTTCATGACTAAGTCAAGCACAGCAACCCTTTCTCGCCGCTAAATCTGGTTTTTGCATTCTAAAAAGTGTCCTAGTGGCGCATTAGTTCGAACGGTGACAGTAAATCAAAATTATTTATAGTGAAATAGGTATAGTAGATGCCATGGTTCCAAAAGTAGTGAGGCAGACCTACATGTCGCCCGGGGACTACAATCTAGCTGCACCAGCGGTAACTCCGATGCGTGTCTGAAAAAGTCCGGGGACTTTCCAATCTCTGTCTTTCTTTTCGTCTTGTGGACGGATCATGTGAGAAGCTACTATCTATATATCTATCTGGAACTCTATCTATCTATCAATCACTCTGTCATTCCCAATGAAGACGTTAGTCTTCACTGTTAAGTGTGTATATCAAGGGAAGAGGTCTAACTGGTTCATAGCTAGACAAACTGTATTCAGTACTTCGTACAGTACGAGTCAGTAGTAGGGACATTAGTTAACTGGTTAGTCACTTAGCCCAAGGCTAGCCAACTTTCCAAAGTCGATGCGCTAGTCCACACGCGTGACACACAGAATTAGGGCACAGCCGAGCAACCGAAGACCAGTAACAGCTACACACGGTGGCTTAAGGATGAACCTGAGGAGTCAAGACAAAGGGGGAAAGAGACATAAAATCAACTGCCAATTATTGCCTGTCGCCAATGTTAAGGGAGACGAAGAAAACTGACTGGATCATAGGCCATAAGACTAATAAATATCATAGTCAACAAAATGGCTTCTCAGAAGTTCCAGGTTCAACCCTGTTGGTTACTAGCCTTAAGACATGTGTACCTTATATGTTTGGAGTAATCCAAGATCCGGTGTTTTTGTCAACTGTACCCGTTCAACACAAAATTTGAACCTTGCGGGTCGATTTACACAATCCTTTCTTGGTCGGGACGATGTGATGGGTGCTGGGAAGAGAAAGTCAGTATTTCCGATATGGACGGAGATACCAGTCGCTACTTGATACTATATCTGGGGATATCGATTTTCTAGTTGAGTCATGGCCGGAGAAAATAATCATCACGTATACTACCGGGAAGCCGGACCAACTAGTGGGGGGTTAAAAGGAGAATTATTATCTTCTCCACCAAAGAATCACCCGGTTAGCCTAACAGCAATCGGGCCAGAAAAAATCATCAACACGGCCAGCACGCTCCCGATGGCGCATGATCTCCATGGAAGCCCCATGGAATTGGGCAGGATTGCACCGATTCCCGGCTGAGTGGGGGGCGTCGGCGTGGAGTTGGCCCGATTCTTGGCATTTCAGCCTCTCGGAGACAGCATCATGACAGTGAGATCCTGAGATTGTGGCTTCGGAATAGCCTAAATTTTTCTGCCTATCGCCAATGTGCTTGTGTAGAATACGCGACGGGGGAATACTTCACCCTGCTCCAAACGAGATGGAGGGTCTAGTTCAATCCGCATGGCGGTTTGTGCGAGGGGCCTCATCATCACCGCTTGTATATAGACTTAAGGATGCAGGCTGTCCGGGATCCTCCTTCAGGACATTTCAAATATAAAATTTTCTCTGGGACTGAAGGCAGCTTCATCTTTCTTTCTAATTTCCTATTGCCTTCTCAGCTCTCTTCTTGTTGTTGATCAACAATGGCTTCCGAAGATCCATTCGTAAATGACTCGGAGAAGCCAGATCCTACGAGCACTATGAGCAACCCTGGATCAGAGATTGCCAGGGACCAAGAGTATGATAGCAAGACCGAGAAGTTTTCACTTGGTCGGCGAGGCCAATTGGTGTTTTTTACCTTGGCCGTTCTTACGCTGATGGCTGCTTTGGATGGGACTTCTCTTTCGGTTGCTTTACCGGTAAGGATACATGATTATTTTGATCTCCTTTCCGGAATAGAAGCTAATAAATATTAAGACAATTGCCAAAGCCTTGAATGGCACAGCTATTGAAGCCTTCTGGAGTGGAACGTCTTTCCTACTCTCCTCAACAGGTAGGCAGAACTTCTTCGAAATGTTCAAGGTGGATATCTAACATCATGGCAGTCTTTCAACCTAGTTTCGCATCCTTGTCCAACATTTTCGGTCGGCGCCCTATGGTTCTACTTGCTATTCTCTTCTTCTGTGTTGGCGCCATCATCGCTGCAGTTGGCGACAACTTCACATACATGTTGGTCGGTCGGACTATACAGGGTGTCGGGGGTGGTGGTATCATTGCCTTGAGTGAGATTATTGTCACAGATCTCATCCCATTGAGATATCGTGGTCAATACTTTGGTATCCTGAGTGCCATGTGGAGTCTTGGCTCTGTGACAGGGCCTATTCTTGGTGGAGGCTTCGCAGAGAATGTGACCTGGGTAAGTTGAATATCGTCTGTATAGAGGTACAAAGCTAACTCTGCTCAGCGATGGATCTTCTATATCAATTTCCCCTTCATCGGATTTGGCGCTGTCTTTGTGGTTCTCTTCTTGAGGCTCAGCGTCCTTCCAAGCTCTCTAGTCGAGAAGCTTCGTCGCATCGACTATATCGGAACAGTATTGTTCGTTGGCAGCATGTCATCATTTTTGATTCCTCTTACTTGGGGTGGAGTCTCATACCCCTGGGACTCATGGCATACTCTGGTACCATTGATCATCGGTGCAGCCGGGTTATTTGTCTTCGCCTTTTATGAATATCGTTTCGCCGCCGACCCAATCATTCCACCAAAAGTCTTCCGCAACCGTACGGCAACAGTTTCCTTCATCGGAAGTGTCTTGCAGGGTCTGATCCTGTGGTGCACGTTGTACTATCTTCCTCTCTACTATGAGGCCGTGAAGGAATATAGCCCGATCATCTCTGGGATCGCTCTGTTCCCGGAAACCTTCACAGTCGCTCCAAGTGGCATGGCTGCTGGTATTCTCATCACTATCACGGGCCACTATCGTTGGGCAATCTGGCTTGGCTGGGTGGTGTCAACTATCGGTCTGGGATTGATGTGTATCATCAAGTCTTCAACCAGCATCGCGGGCTGGATTTTACTCAACATCGTTCCGGGTATAGGACTTGGCCTGCTTTTCCCTTCGCTCGGCTATGCCGTCCAGGCATCAGCAACCTCGGAGAACTTAGCTATTGCAGTCGCCATGTTTAGCTTCTTCCGTGCTCTGGGTCAGGCAATCGGCGTGGCTGTTGGTGGTGTTGTCTTCCAGAACCGTATGCGCCATAATCTGTTGAGGTACCCTGCGCTTGCGCCCATGGCCGACGCGTACAGTCAAGATGCAGCTGGTCTGGTCCAGATCATCAAGGGAATGGTAGACGGCGTCAACAAATCTGATCTCAAGGATGCATACACTGATAGTCTACGCATTGTGTGGGCAGTTTGCTGCGCGATCTCAGGAGTTGCTCTTCTATTCAGTCTTTTGACCGAGTCTTATGATCTCGATCAGACTTTGGAGACGAACCAAGGCCTGCGGGATCCGGATGAGAAGGAACAAAGCGAGAAGGATCTTGAGGCCTCTGCCGACAAAGCTGTCCAGGGGAATACACCCTGGGCCTATTGATTAGCTACGTCTTTTGATGATTGATGATGCACGTATAGATTGTACAGCACAGTTGGATATTTAGTTCATAGCATTAATAGTGACATTCCCCATTCATGCCTTTCAGCTATTCTACTATCCATCCTATGAAAAGTCCACTCCCCGAATCAACGTCTTGATACCCTCGCCCCTCCTCGTCGTCTCCCATGCCTCGGTCACTTTTTCAAAGGGAAGCACCTTCGTAATAAGCGACCGGAGATCAATTTTCCCCATTAGCGCCAGTTCCAAGGCCATCTTGTAATCTCCAGGGCCGTATCGGAAACACCCCTTGACGGTGATCTCGTTCATGGAGACTACCGTAATAGGAAAATTGACATTCGGATTACCGAGGCCAGTCTGCACGAAGGAACCTCCTACCCTCAAGGCATGAATGGCCATTTGAATGCAAGGTCCAGCCCCGGTAGCTTCAATTGCAACGTCAAAGCCAGGCACATCCGCGTCTGAGAGGGAACTCTGCTCCGTAGCTCGGAGATGTTCCGCATTCTCCTCTGCGGGAAGGGAACTGTCCGGAATGACAGTCGCAAATTTAACGCGTCCATCGGAAACGAATGACTGCGCAAAATCCAGCTTTTTGCGACTGATATCCACCGATGTAATCAAGCTTGCACCGTATTCTCGAGCAACCGCCGCACACAAAAGTCCTATAGTTCCAGCTCCGAAAATGACAACTTTGTCGCCAGGCTGAACTCCAACTTGTCGTACCGAATGCACTGCGACAGCCAGTGGCTCAATCAACACTGCTTCGTCGAGGCCGAATGGCTTCTCCAGGTTGGTCGGGATCTTGTAGCAGCAATCCGCGGGCATCTTGTAGTATTTTGCCAGCGTTCCATGAGTGTAGGGCGGGTTCGCCGCAAACTGCATCTGCGGACATAAATTGTATTGACCTGCTTTGCAGCGACTGCAGAGACGACAAGCTGAGCCGGGTTCGATGGCGATAGAGTCGCCTGGTTGCAGGCCTTTTACTGCTGGTCCTACTGCATGGACGATGCCCGAGGCTTCATGGCCCATGACGAGGGGTCTCTCTTGGGAGACCAGATTCTTGACGCCACCGTGAAGCCAAAAGTGAACCTATTCTCAATATTTAGGATAGATCTCGCAAAGACATAAAGTGTATAGGGTGGGAAAAACAGGGGATTACCTACGTCACTTCCACAGACCCCCACGTAGGCGATGCGAATAATTACATCGTAAGGATCCTCGATTTGAGGCATAGGCCGGTCTTCAAAGCGGACATCCCCAGGGCCATATAGTAAACAAGATGGATTCTGCATGATGGTATCCGTGGTTGTTCTGATGAATGTCAGTTCAGGCTATGGATCAAGCTCTTATAGTTCCTAGTTGTTCGTCTATTTACGGAGAAGAAAATGCCGAGGAGCCAGTCATCTGACAGGACAAATATCCGTTCTCGAACGAATCGCCAATGCGATCTAGTCCCATCTGGGGGTGGATATCGGGCGACAAAAAGCCGATCGTTTGATCAGGCGGCCTGAGCGTAACTGGGATACAGAGGTGTGTCAAGTGCGACGTTGATAAACCGGGGGCACACTATCCAGTCTAGCCTCTCAGAAGTATTCGCATTCCAATGTACATCGGGCCAGTAAAATATTCAATTGAAGCATGGTGGTCGTCACCACAAACTCGGAACTCAAAGAAGACCAAACCAACGAGTGGTGAAAACACCGAAAATTCAAAACGCCAGGTGAACCAGACTTTCAGAGACGCAAGTCATTGACAACAAACACAGAGTCGTAACATCGTGAAGGGAAACAGTAAATAGCAAAAATTAGAGTCGAGAGATTACTCTCGACCCATGACTCTCAAACGTTCCTTTAGCAGGTCCATCTCCTTGTCATAATTCATCCCTGTCTTCTTCTCCAGCTTCTCTCTGTCGCCGTCTTTCAGCATAATCGAACGATAGGCGCCATCGCCATCAGGTGCACCGACTGTGACCCAAACAAACTTCGTTCCATGGCTTCCGCCGGAGGAGCGGTCCTGTGTCCCTTGCCAGAACATTTCAGCGGGTGCCGACTCATCTCCAGAAGCAGAGCGACCGGGAGACGGACGACCGCCGAGTCGTCCATACTTGATCCAGACTTTAAGAACATCTCTGATGAAGCTGATCTTTTGCAAGAACGAGTTGGCATCTAGGATTTCACGGATGCGGTCCTCCACGGAATTGATAGACTCTCCATTGGCGATGCTGAGGAAGGTAGCGGCTTCATCTGAAGCGACGGCACGAGTGTCAAAGCCCGAGGGATGCATCTTGCCCTTGGCAGTGAAGTAGCGAGCTGCGGATGGGGAGAGGTGATAGAAATCGATCCATGGAGAAGAGCTGCGAGTGCGACCGGGTGCAAGGACGAGTTTGGTATGATCGGGAAAGTTGAATTGGAAAGCGCCGTCACCAAAGCCCCAGATGCCGACATTGCCAAGGCGCTGGTAAAACTTGATGAACTGGCCACTACTCGGGGCTGGTGTGTCGTCCGTGATCCCCTCATCGCCATGGCGACCAAGAGATCCAATCATGTATTTGCCAAACTGATCGACCAGTTTGACCCGCTTGATCTTCTCAACATCTGACCTTTCAGACTCGGATCCAGAGTTGGCTCGAAGCTTCATCACCTTTGAGTGTTTAGCATCAAAAAGGGATGTATCAATGAAAGCTCGTCGAATGCCGCGGCACCCAAGGAGGTTATCATCACGGTTCTCGTAAAATTCCACCGGCACCCCGGCGCGAGGAACAAGTTGGTCTGCCTCGGAATATGGGATACCCTTTTCCTCGGGAGTATCAACACTACGTGCCTTGCGACGAATATGCCTCTCGCCATCTCGAACCACAACGCTAGTGGCAGGCTGACCATTCTCTCCCTTGAAGACGCATCCCACACTGCCGTCGTCCAAGACGTACCCAATACCGTATCGGTTGGTATAGTCAACCCATTTGATCACATAGGCGTGGGGTTGCTTTCTGGAGCCGACTCGGCGCCGGGTGGGGCCTTGGGTAATCAGGTTTGCCAACATAAGGCGTAGATTGGTGTTGACATCGGCCAATGAAGTACCTGGCAGGTCCTGGCAGACATCATCTTGGTGGAAAATAGGGCTCAGTCCCAGACTGGAGCGAGCTTTGCTGGACTTGCTATCAGTCCGAACAAGACCCTGGGGTTGGGCTGTTGACTTAGTATGTTGGGTGGATGAGAAAGCTGACTCGGTTGGACTGAGCTTGGGTCGTTCAACCCGTTCAGCGGCAATCTTCAAGTCGGTGCGGGACACGGATCGCAGAGAGGCTTGGCGACTTATTGTTCGTCGCTCCTCGGCTACTGTAGACAGCTTTGCGTCACTAGTAGGGACAGCTGGCTGCGACCCTTGGCTGGCAGCTTCCAACCTCCGGGATTGCGATCGTGTTTTACCGATTGTTAGACCAGAAGGCATGCTCGTAGACTTGGCCAGTTGAGGGACCACGTTTTCACGCAGCGTAGGGGCGTTGGAAGCAGACACCATCCTTCGCGTGCGAATTGGCCTCTCGGCGAGCCCGCCTGCAGGAGCATCAGTGCTAGACAAAGGTGCAGGTTCAGAAACTTTGGGCTCTCGGTAGGGTCTGGCAGAGGGCTCTGCGAATTCGGGGATAACTGGCGCTTTTCTGACGGAAGCCATTCCAGGGCGAGCCTGTTGGCGAAGTGTCGCTGCATGATTCTGACCCTCCATCCTGCGTTGTTGGGCAGCCGCAAGTGCAGCGTTCGTTCGAGTAGTTGCGACTGCGTTGGTGCGAACCGACACGCTGCGCCGAGACAAAGTGCTACTGTCCATTGCGGAGTCCTCTGTGCGAATCGTTTTACGAGAACTCTCCATCAGACACCAGTCTCCCTCGATCTCGTGCGGCCATCGATAGACAAAATCCATGGGTAGAGGCACGAGAGGCCGGAGACCTCTTGCATCCTCCGTCTCGCACTCCGAGTATGCCGATTTTGAGCAGTTTCGACCAACAGACTTGCGAGCAGTTCCATCGGGTTTTCTCCCGACGCCACACAGCGAGTAGAACGCAGCCTTGCAAGAGTGATACCGTTGGCTAGGATCATCCACTTGATAGACGTAGGCACGAAGCTTCTCATCCGAGTCGAGGCCATAGCCCTTAACCATGGAGTCGCCTCGGGGTGATTGGTCTTTGAGCCAGATTGGCTTGTTGAATCGACATGCTGGGTCCAGTTGGCGAGGGATACAACCGTCGTACATATTGAAGAAAGGATGCTCAACGATGTCATCGGGGTCCGGCCGTTCCTCGTCTACCAGGTTCAAGCAGGCACTGACCAGATCTTTTGCCTCGTCTGGAATGAAATTGGAGTTTTCGGATTCTTTTGGCCATACATAGGTCAAATTTCGGACCTTCTTGTAGATCTCTTCCTGTGTTTTTGATTGGAATGGTGGGTATCCGGTGAGCATTGCAAAGCTGGGCAGAGAATATTAGCCAGGTTTGGATCAATAGTATTCTGCATGCACTTACCATATAACACCCAATGACCAAATATCGACCTTTTGGGTATGGCCGCCCTTGCTCTTGTCAAGAACCTCGGGCGCAATGTAATTCGGTGTCCCGCACAAAGTGTTTCGCCGCTTAGCGTCTTTGTCTGACAAAATCATCGCAGCAAGGCCAAAGTCTCCAATTTTGATGTTCATGTTACGGTCGAGAAACAAGTTCCCCATCTTCAAGTCGCGGTGTGCAACGAATCGCTTGTGTAGGTACTTGACGCCGGCACAAAGCTGAATCATAAATCGCCTTACTTCTGGAAGACTGAGACACCTTCGTTTTCGGACCATATCCATCACTGACCCATTCGGACATAACTCGAGAACGACGTATGTACTCTGCTCGAAGGCGAAAGCGCGGTAAAATTGAACGATGAAGGGGTGACGCATTTTCGAATGGATTTGGAGTTCTGTTCGAAACTATGCCAATGTCAGCATGCGCCCTGAATATCTCTTAGCAACGGTCGCTGTACCTTTTCTTCCATCTTTTTCTGCGGCATTTGTGACTTGACAACTTTCATCGCAAACACGCGGCCATTCCGAGCCAAGGTGCCCTCATAGCAGACCGCGAACCCTCCCTTCCCCAAAAATCCGCCAATGGAGTATCGTTCCGCATCCTCCTCGGGCTCTGTGACTATTGATGGGGGTGGGTCTGCGTGGTTCTTGGAAGCTGAAGACGACTTTGGCGCCGCGGCGACGTTGTGTTTATCACCCATTTTCCTGTCCATTGGAGCCTTAGGCTTTATCATTTGGTTCGTCGTCCGAGGCGAAAGAGCTTCCATTATGGATGTTGCGACGTTGGGGTTGTTGCGTCGAAGCGATCAGGGCTATCGCGACGGGTATGTTCGGTGGGATCAGAACCTCCAGTAGCAATGTCAAACGTAAAGATCATAAGATGAAACAGGATATTAAGCGGTCGTGCAAGTTGGTGGGTATCAAGGTGCTGCAAAATGGAATCCCTGCAACGATCCGGAGCGTTAGCACTTGACTTGAATTGATCTCCGCCCAGTCGGCAAACCAATCCCAGCAGCTCGGTCGGAAAAGGCAGACGATAGTCACTTACCGGAATGCAAAGCGCTAAAGAATCAAAAACTGTACAAATCTCCCAAAGGGAACACGGTTCAACTCGACCGGGGGTTGAAGTGGGGAGAAAAGACAAAGTCCAGGTGAAGAAACTCGGACCATAATAGTTTTCCCGATTTGGAAATCGATAAACAGTGGTTCCCAGTCACGTGACCCCATAGCAACCTCGAATTTTCAGACCAAACGATCTAAATAGCTACTCCACTCTCTAATGATTTTTGGTGGAAAGATATTCATGTGTAAGTGAATTAATCTTCTTGTAATCCGCTCAAGGTCGGCTTGGATCATTCCACTCATGTGTTGTGTTGTTACCGTATCAATATTTGACACCCAAATATATTTTTCATTACCCGCACCCCGAATCGCCCCTCACGTTTAATCCTGTAGAGATTCTACTGATCTACCCAATAGACTGAGACGTTGTTTCTCACATGGTAACAAGACACAACAGCATTATCTAAGGTTCACTGTTTCAGTTTGGTACCTCCCATCAATTTCTGAGCTTCAGACTGTTCTGTTTACAACTTGAACCCCCGCTCGACATTCCGGGATTCGTAGTGGAGCCCAACGCTCGTCGGAAGGCCACCTCCGCAATATTTCGTGTGTACCTAGGTATGTGGTTATTTACTCCGTACGGATGGGGGTCAATACTGTTGGTGATCAAGGCTGTAGATGTGTTGGAATCTCCGAGCTTAAAATCAATTACCGGAGCTCATCTAATGCCTATGCATTGGGACACTATCCACGCTACCACAGAATCTAGGAACAAGCACTTAATCGTTCCAGCTCATTGGCTAAGACATAGCAGGACCCACCTGCACTGACTTCCAAATTGACATGTCTGTCGATTTCAACAGGATCCATTTGACTCCTCAATGTATCCGTATTGTCGCATCAAAGATTCTAAACTTCCCATGATCGAGCTGGAGTAGTTAGGTAGCTTTTCGTGCAGACAGTCTCTTCCATTGATACATACGGCCGGGGCTGAATGGAAGGCGTGCTAATATATGACCAACAATTGCCCAGATGGTGACTATGGACAATGCTCTCTACATACTATCCATCCTATTTCGAGGGGTTAGTCGGCTCGACCGTCGTTGCCGTGTAGCATTGTTTGACCCAGCCCAGTTTTGTGTAGAGCCACCAGCAGAAAAATCCTACTGATGAGCCCTTAAAACACACTCTCGAATTTCAATTTCCCTTGATCTACAACGCCTTACTACTTTAGAAACAGCTGTTTTGATAGGGGCAGCTTCTGGTGTTCGGTCCAGTCTCTGTGCTGACTCAGCACGGACTATGCCGATTTTGCGCGGTGGGGACTGATGACCGGGGCTGATCAACGTCACGGGCATTTTACAGTCGTGAGTCAAGCTCGAGGCTGCTTGCCAGGCTCTGACTTTCCTTTCTCAAAGCACAATGTCGTTGACACTCAAGCTTTCTTCCCTTGCCATTCGCACTCTTTCCAAGCCCATTGCCGTAAGCATACAAGCTCCGCTCACCACCCCCCTAGGGCTAAGCTGACACTCTCGCAGAACCAAATCAAGGCTCAGGCTCGCGAACATGAGCGATTCCGCAACATTTGTGTCTCGATGGCACAGGCCCTCCACCGATTCGATATGCGCCTCCGATTAGGATCCATTCGCAATGATACCGCAATCCGCAAACAAGCCGAGGCCGCGGCCGAAGCTAAGAAACACGTCCCCACATCGCCAACGGTCAAAACCGAGGCCGCAACAAAGGCGGAGGAGGAAGCTCTCTCGAAAGCCAAAGCTGCAGCTGAAGAAGCGGCAAAGCCCCATCATTACAGAATTCGACCATTGTCCGAGTCGAAAGCTATCGAGTCCGGCGCCAACTTCATCAGTGAATCCTTCCTTTTCCTCGTTGCAGGCGGTTTGATCGTATTTGAGTCGTGGCGGTCTCGTCGCAAGGAGAGCACTCGCAGAGAGGGTGTCGAGGACCGACTAGCCGAACTCGAACAATCCGAGCAAACTGCCCGGGAATCTCTGGTAGCCTTGGAGAAGGAACTGCTGGCTCTCAAAGCCAAGCATGGAGAGCTACCCAAGCCAACACACCGCATCCTGCCTCGCCAAGTTTGGGAGGTTCTTCCTGAGGTCGAGGAGCCCGAAGCCCCAGAGACATGGTGGACACGCATCACCTCATATATACCTTTCGGCCAAAGCTCTACCCCGGCTGCTCCGGCAGAGCCAACGCCAACAAAGGACATTACACCTGCCACCGAGAAACCAGCCACGCCAGTGCAAACAAGTGCATTAAATGGAAAATCCTAGGCTGAGACCAAGTGCCCATTATGGATTTCTCCAATACCAATTAATACGTATAGAGCGTTTGAGCATTGCTACTTGGCGCTTTTCTTTTCTCTTGATTCATCTCTTCAACTTGGATACCCTCCGCTCTCCATCTTCATCTGGCGCCTTGTACATAGACATCTGTCCATATTCAGGTATATATACTTTCGAATTCATTTCTTGAAACTCGACGCTTAGCACTTATCCGGCACTTTGAAATGGAGGGGGACCGACTGTGCTTTGTGAGACCCATGCATGGCTGTGCGTCTTCCTATACTCTTATTCTTTCCTCGCCATAGTGTATAAAATGATTGCTGTGGACGGCCGTACCCTTCATCTTGAGGTTCACTGCGTTAATGTTGGCTCGAGGATCCTGGCTTTGCTTGTCAGCGTCTCAACTAACTCTTATTGAACCACCATATACAGGTGCTTGCTGTTTTCAAGTCTATTATATCTCGTGAACAAGGATATTTATAGGACAATGTTATTGACACGACAAAAAAATTCACGGCACGACAGAGCTAGTCCTAATTAGGAACGTACCCCCCAGATACAAAATGCTACCTTCGACATCCACATAATAATTGCCAAGCCCTTATGTATGCATATTCCCATACATAAGCGCTTCCCGCGGATGCTCTAGTGTCGTCAGCGGTCATACCCGCCTCTATCACATGACCTCTATTTGTTTATCTCCATGACATACCAAGTCGGCTTCCTAACCCACTTCCTACCATCACCCTTTTCCAAGGCTATTTTACAACCACCTAATTCATCTAAACATGCAGGGATTTGAAGCAGAAGCAATTTCAAATTTCAGAGGCTAATTAATATATTATCTAGATCGATTTCACCCTCATACACGCCCTTCCCGCCCAATCCGCGCAGTACGCTTCCTAACAACCTCGAAACCAGAAGGATCTCGCTTGGTAGATCGGTCTAATCGATTTGACCGGCGGGTGGCTTTCTTGGTGGTCTTCAAGTTGCTAGCTTTGGTGGTTTTCAAGTTGTTAGCTTTGGTGGTTTTCAAGTTGTTAGCTTTGGTGGTTTTCAAGTTGTTGGCTTTAGTGGTCTTTGGCTGTTTCTTTGCTGCCGTGGCATCAGCAGTCTCCTTCGCTGCCAATACAATGGGGTCTTTTCGAGCATGGTTAGCTCGCCCGGGGGGGCGCCCTGCAGCTTTCGCGATTGCTGGCTCCTTGACTTGAAGCACACTTTGTATGTAAAGTGGCTGGTAATCGTCTTTAATTGAAGTAAGGAGCCACCACTGGCGATGGAACTGATCCCTTTCGAGAGGCAGATTGCCTTCAATAGCCACCAAAATCTCATGGATGCATGGTAAACCAAGTGCCTGCCGATGGTAATTGGTGCAATCGACCATCTCCAATTCCTTCTTCCTATATGCATCTAGTTGCCTAGCAACCGATTGAAGGGCTTTCCGGTGCACCCAACCAAGAACCTTACGAAACAGGGGCGTAAGGAGGTTCCCTGGCAGCTTCTCACGCTCCTCCGCAATCGATTGGTTGATGGTAATATGGCGAGCACTGACCGCAGTTCGAATCCCACACATAACAGTGTGGAGGTCGCCAACTGAATACTTAATGAATCTCTTCAAATAGGCATGGGCCCCTTCCACTCGCGAGGATGAAGTTTCGCCGAAATGGAAGGTGTTATTAGTATAACAGCGGAGAAAGCGTTGCTGCATACCATCCTTCATCCATTGATTCGAGATGTAGTCAATTGCCTCTGTGAAAACCTGGTGCTTATAGTGCTTCTTAAAGCTCTTCCAAGCAGTCTCCATCTCTGCTATTGTAGGTGCAAAGATGACTTTATTGAAGAGGTCCTTTGCAGAATTCCATCGCCCGTTGATATCGTCTCGAATGTCCCCTTCCTTCTCAAGATAGACAAGAAGATGCTGGGCAATCTTCGGCCGCAGTCTCTTCTCAATATTCTTCTGGATATGCCATATACAAAGCAGGGAGGTTGTATTTGGAAAGGCCGTTGCTATAGCAGCCAGGAGACTCTCTGCATCGTCAGAGAATATAGTTGTTGGAAAGGGGATTTGGTGCTTAATAAGTTGATCCCGAAGGATCTCCAGAACCCACCGATATGCACCCTCTTGCTCATCCGATATAAAAGCGCAGGCAATATAGAAGGTTTTCCCATTAGCTGACCTTCCAACAATATTAACCATAGGCATATTGAACCGATTGGTCTTGTATGTGGCATCAATCCAAAGGAGAGAGGAAAATCGAGCGAGAAGGTCGAGGCCCGAATGAGATGCGCAGAGTATGTGTTGGACCCGGCTTTCTCCCCCCTCGGTCTCCTTATAAAAGACGTCCCAGCCCGGCAGCCCCATCAGGAGGGCCGAAGTAGGCGTACGTCCCCTAAGAAACCGCTTCCGTGCACGATAGCGAAGGTTCGCCAAGTCTCTTGGGTTGAGGCGAATGCGGGATTGGTATGGGTCTTCTGCATCAACTTCGGCCTTGCTATAAGCTCCCTCTTGCCGTAGGATACTGATAACTTCGAGGTTCGAATGCCTTAGCATGAATAGTTGAATTACCCGCTCCTGGGTCTCCTTCATCTGCTGGCGCCGGTGAATTGGGTGTATTGCAGGTGCAGAAGCCGTGTGGCCAGTATGAGAGCCCTTCTTAACGGTGAAGAGCCAGCCGTTGGTTTCCTTCTTAAGGTAGGCAGAGAAGTGGCAACCGCAGCGGCGAGAGGTAGTCTGGCGGGTGGTTTTAGAAGGGTGCTTCCTAGGCTGGCCACCCCGATCGCACTGGAGGGTAACCGACCGATCGTTCGAATTCGCAGTGGTAATGGCGTATCCTTGGTGAGAGGCAAATTGGTTAAGGATAGCCCGGGCTTCCTGGCTAGTTTCGACCTCGATTAGCCAGTTGTTCGGCGGTGGTTGAAGAGCCATGTTGAATTGGTAGGAGTTGAATTGGTAGGAGTTGAATTGGTAGGAGTTGAATTGGTAGGAGTTGAATTGGTAGGAAGCGAATTAGAAAGAGATATCGGCCCTAAGGAGAGAATCAATTAGCCATTGAATATAAAACTTGGTGGTAGGAAGGGGGTTAGTATGTAGGAATGAGTTTGGAATGCCGACCTGGTATGTCATGGAGATAAACAAATAGAGGTCATGTGATAGAGGCGGGTATGACCGCTGACGACACTAGAGCATCCGCGGGAAGCGCTTATGTATGGGAATATGCATACATAAGGGCTTGGCAATTATTATGTGGATGTCGAAGGTAGCATTTTGTATCTGGGGGGTACGTTCCTAATTAGGACTAGCTCTGTCGTGCCGTGAATTTTTTTGTCGTGTCAATAACATTGTCCTATTTATATGAATCATACTCTAGTAACGCTAAGACGCCAAGCCTGTTCAGGAACGTACCTTACGAGTAGTATAGTACACCTAATGGATCCGATATCTGTATAATACCTATTAAGCCTTTCTGTACGGTATAAACAGTGATACTTTGTGCCGAGCAGTGAGAGCACTACACAAAGCTTGGCGCGTTAAGAACGCATCGAGCTCATCCGGGTATCCTGAGAACCTCTACTCTGGTCGTTATTATCAATAACGACGATCTCTACGATGATCCACTCGAGTGTCAGATTTGCTTTCGTGGCTTTCTCGGTACTGGATAGCCTCCGGGATCACTTCGAGAGCTCCCATCCCGAAAAGCAGGCTAACTATCTTGGCTATATCTTTCGGTACTGGGACAACTACAGATATACTTGTACCGTGAAGGACTGCGAGTGGACCTTCAAGCGATACGTCTACTATATTTATCATATGGAGAAGTTTCATCCTGGTGTATCTCTTGGTGAGCGTGAGACTGAGTACTAGGCGTTCCCACCGCGATGCAGAACGATCCTAGTGAGCGCGTGGTGACAGAGCTGATCCCTTCTACAATTCCTGTCCCTTCTACGACCCCTGTCCCTTCTACGCCACGGCACCGGATGATCAACGAGGAGTCCTGTCCGTTGAGAGCACGTGCTCTCAGAATTACACTAACTGACCACGTTGAATCCTCCATATACCCTCCCCTTCACCACGGGAGTGGGCTTTATCGCCATGAGTATGGAAAAAGAAATCCAGAAAACAGAAAACATAAGTATAGCATAAGTCCCGAATATCACACATGATACCCCTCGAATGCTCCCTTGACCTTAGGCCATCCCAAGCCCAGCAAGTTCATAGCGGTTGTCTCCACGTTAGTCTCCTACTTGGTGGTCTCGACATTGGTAGTGCCATCAGCGTTAGTGGTCTCGACCCGGGCCTTCTTTGTATCCGGTTGATCGAGATTATCCTCCGCTGCCTCTGCCTTGCGCTTTCGAATCCTCTTCGGCTTGCCATTCGCCGCTCGGTTGATATATCCATGGAAATTTCTTGCTGTACTCGGCTGTGGAACTGTGGAGGGATTTTATAGCACTTCTGCCTCTCAATGTACAGGTATCGCAGCGGATTTGCTGTGTACCAGGAGTTGTCGGAGGTCCATAGCAGGCCCCAAGTGTCGTTAGTCTTCAGCTTAGACAGACAGATTGCACATGGGGTAGGATTTAGCGGAGATACTACGACACGATGATCACAAGAACCAGATTCGGAATTGACCAGATTCTGGTTCTGGTTATCTGCGGGGGCTCCAGAGGGATTACTCTACTGCGAGAGGCGCCCACAGAAACGTAATTGGCCCTATCTACGACCTTATTTACTAGTATGATGTAGGGAGAAGGCTTGGCTAAGGTACAAGCATACGAGCGGTTAGGTTAAGTGCAGGTTATAAGCTTCCTGTCGAGTATTAAAGACGGAAAGGCTAGTCTACATAGTAGTAAATATAACTAGGACGTAAGATTGGTTATAGGATTGGTCTTGAGATTGTACTTAAATTTCAGCTCTAGTAATCTTATTAGTTAATTAATTCAAATGAATTTCAATCGTTTTCCAGTGGTAAAATCGCTGACTCAGAGTTTTGGGGAAGTCCACGTCCACCATGGCGGTAAACATGTCAGGCGTCAGTTTTCCGCTGGGTCCATGCCCAATGACGTCGATGCTGCTATTCTTGACCCGCACGAGCCACAGTCCCTGACGCTCGTGGCTAATAATTCTCTTGTCAAAGTTTTTCAGTGATAGACACTAAAGAGGCAAAAAGTGAAGAGACTAGTCAGAGTCAGTAATCTCATACCTCGTAAATGTGCCGAGACTTCCGACTTCTAGTATCTTTGTACCAAGTACTTTAGTTCGCCGCCCCTGAGGCAGCAACGGAAGAGAACCATAGAACCAGAACCCTCGCAGTGTGGCGCAGTTGTGCGGGTTGTTTGATTTGGTTTGTTCTGGTTGTACGTAAGTCCGCAGCCCGCCTTCCGCTTCCCTTCGATCGTCCACTCTGGCCCTTTGTCGCCTCAACATCCCTCCTCGCTGCAATTCTCCTTTCCGAGCGAATCGGACTCTCTTGATCACCTTTGATTGATTGTCCAAAATTGTTGCCCGGGCGCGAGATATCCGGTGCTTGACACAACCATGGTGAGTTGCTCATCATCCACCCCCAGTGTCGCAAGACAAGGCCCCCGGATTGATCTGAACACTGACCCCGCAACTTTTTCACGACTTTTAGGGTCAGTCACGACGCCCCGCTGGCGGCGAGAAGAAGAGTCGCTTCGGGCGCAATAAAGCAGTCGCCGATGTAGGCGACGGCCGACAGACGGGCAAGTCACAGGTCAAGAAGGCCACTTTTGAAAGTTCCAAGAAGAAGGAGATTGGTGTTTCGGATCTCACGCTACTGAGCAAGATCTCCAACGAAGCCATCAATGATAACTTGAAACTTCGTTTCGAGCATGACGAGATTTATGTAAGGGAGCCGCCGGCGCAGCCGACTGCGGGGCAAGCCCGCTGCGCGGGATTAGAATGAAGGCTAACGAGCGTCATACCAGACTTATATCGGACATGTGCTGGTCTCTGTCAACCCGTTCCGGGATTGTAAGTCGATATGTGAGCTATTTCTCTCGTCGCCGAGTTGCTAACGGACGATTTCTCCTATAGTGGGTATCTACACTGATAAGGTGCTCGACTCCTACCGCGGCAAGAACCGACTCGAAGTCCCCCCTCATGTATTCGGAGTCGCCGAATCTGCATACTACAACATGAAGTCCTACAAAGACAACCAATGTGTGATCATTTCCGGAGAGTCGGGTGCCGGAAAGACGGAAGCCGCCAAGAGAATCATGCAGTACATTGCCAGTGTTTCCGGGGGAAGCGATTCGTCGATTCAACAGACTAAGGACATGGTGCTGGCCACGAATCCGCTGCTGGAATCATTTGGTAATGCGAAGACATTGCGAAACAACAACTCCTCGCGATTCGGCAAGTACCTCGAGCTCGAGTTCAACGCCAACGGCGAGCCGGTGGGTGCCAACATTACAAACTACCTTTTGGAGAAGTCTCGAGTTGTGGGCCAGATCACGAACGAGCGAAACTTCCACATTTTCTACCAATTCACAAAGGGCGCGCCGCAAAAGTACCGCGACACTTTCGGCGTGCAACAACCACAGACCTACCTCTACACGAGCCGTTCGAAGTGTTACGACGTTCCGGGAATTGACGACGTTGCGGAATTCAAAGATACGTTGGACGCGATGAGAATGATTGGCATGAGCGAGGCGGAGCAAGATAACGTTTTCCGTATGCTAGCAGCGATTCTGTGGATCGGCAACATTCAATTTACGGAAGATGATTCGAGCAATGCGTCAATTACGGATCAATCGGTTGTCGATTTCGTTGCTTATCTGTTGGAAGTGGATTCTTCCCAGGTTAACAAGGCCTTGACCATTCGCCTGATGGAGACCGCTCGTGGAGGACGAAGAGGCTCGGTATACGAGGTTCCATTGAACACGGTTCAGGCCGTCGCAGTTCGGGATGCTCTAGCCAAGGCCATCTACTTCAACCTCTTCGACTGGATCGTGGAGCGTGTCAACCAGTCTCTGACTGCCCGAGGATCTATCACCAACTCGATTGGTATTCTGGATATCTACGGGTTTGAGATTTTCGAGAAGAACTCCTTTGAGCAGCTTTGCATTAACTACGTCAACGAGAAGCTGCAACAGATTTTCATTCAGTTAACGCTAAAGGCGGAGCAGGATGAATACGCTCGGGAGCAGATTAAGTGGACTCCCATCAAGTACTTCGATAACAAGGTCGTGTGCTCCCTGATTGAGGACAAGAGACCCCCTGGCGTGTTCGCTGCATTGAACGATGCTTGCGCTACTGCCCACGCCGATTCTGGTGCTGCCGACAACACCTTCGTGGGCAGACTGAACTTCCTTGCTCAGAACCCCAACTTCGAGGGTCGCCAAGGCCAGTTCATCATCAAGCACTACGCTGGTGACGTGAGCTATGCCGTCGAAGGAATGACCGATAAAAACAAGGACCAGCTTTTGAAGGATCTGCTCAACTTGGCCGGCTCCAGCAGCAACCAATTTGTCCACACCCTCTTCCCCAACCAGGTCAACCAGGATGATAAGCGCCGTCCGCCTACCGCTGGTGACAAGATCAAGGCCTCTGCCAATGACCTTGTTACTACCCTGATGAAGGCGCAGCCCTCCTACATTCGTACCATCAAACCCAACGACAACAAGGCTCCTCGGGAGTATAATGAGGGCAACGTGCTCCACCAGATCAAGTATCTTGGTCTGCAAGAGAACGTGCGCATTCGTCGTGCCGGTTTCGCCTACCGTCAGACCTTTGACAAGTTCGTCGAGCGATTCTACCTCCTCTCGCCCAAGACCTCTTACGCCGGTGACTACACCTGGACTGGTGATTCCGAGTCCGGTGCTAAGCAAATCCTGAGGGATACCAGTATCCCTGCGGAGGAGTACCAGATGGGTATCACCAAGGTCTTCGTCAAGACTCCCGAAACCCTATTTGCACTTGAGGCTATGCGAGACCGCTACTGGCACAACATGGCCATTCGAATCCAGCGTGCTTGGCGCAACTATCTGCGTTACCGTATCGAGTGTGCTATTCGTATCCAGCGATTCTGGAGACGCATGACTGGCGGTCTTGAGCTTATCAAGGTTCGTGATCAGGGACACCAGATCCTGCAGGGCCGCAAGGAACGCCGGAGAATGAGTTTGCTTGGCTCTCGTCGCTTCCTGGGTGACTACCTTGGTGTCAGCAACAAGGGTGGTCCTGGTGAGATGATCCGTAGTGGTGCCAACATCAACAGTAAGTTCAAATGCGTGTTTCCAAATGAACAGTACCTAATATTTTATCATAGGCTCTGAAGATGTGCTCTTCTCTTGCCGAAGTGAGCTCCTGGTTTCCAAGTTTGGTCGATCTAGCAAGCCTGTCCCTCGAATTCTCGTTTTGGTAAGTTTCTGAAACCAGCCTCTTTGTCAAACAGCGACTCACAGCTTGCTAGACCTCCCGTCATGTGTATATTGTGGCGCAAAGTATCGTCAACAACCAACTGGTTATTTCGTCCGAGCGTACCGTTCCCCTTGGCGCTATCAAGACCGTCAGCACTTCGAACTTGAAGGATGACTGGTTCTCGTTGGTGATTGGTGCTCAAGAGCCCGACCCTCTTCTTAACTGCGTTTTCAAGACTGAATTCTTCACCCACCTGTCCAATGCTTTGCGCGGCTCTTTGAACCTCAAGGTTGGCGAAAGGTAAGACGAGATTTCCCTTTCAACATTATGAGAACATCTTCTGACTAGTGAATAGCATTGAGTACAACAAGAAGCCCGGGAAGCTGGCGTACGTCAAGGCCGTTAAAGACCCGGCTGCGGGTGCCGTGGACAGCTACAAGAGCAGCACTATCCACACTAGTGCTGGTGAACCTCCCAGTTCCGTGTCCAAACCCACCCCTCGAGCCAAGCAGGTTGCTGCTCGGCCCGTCACCAAGGGCAAACTACTCCGACCGGGCGGTCCTGGTGGTGGTCCCTCGAAGCTATCCGCTGCGGCTCGCAAGCCCGCACCGGCCCCCCAGCCTTTGCCTCAGTCAACTCCTCAGCCTGCTACTCAAACTCGGATCGTTCCTCAGCCCGTGGCTGCGGTTACAGCCGCCGCTGCCGCACACTCTCGCAACGTGTCGACCGGCTCTGTGAGAGCTCCTCCTCCCCCTCCCCCAGCAGCACCCCCGGCTGCTGCTGCAGCCCCCAAGAAGCCCACTGCAAAGGTCTTGTACGACTTTAGCAGCGACCGCGCCAACGAATTGACCATCCGCACTGGTGAGATTGTGCAGATTGTTTCCAAGGAAGGAAACGGTACGTTTGGCCCCTCTTGTAACAATGAACCTAGCACTGATTTCTCTCCAGGATGGTGGCTCTGCATGAACACGACGACCTCTACTCAAGGTTGGACTCCCGAAGCTTACCTCGAAGAGCAAGTCGCTCCTACACCTAAGCCCGCACCTCCCCCACCACCCCCAGCTGCCCCTCGCGCCACACCTAGCCCCGTTCCCAACGGCGCTGGTGCCGTCGCCGCAGCCAAGTCCAAGCCCGCCCCGCCAGCACCGCCTGCCAAGCGTCCCAACATGGCTGGTCGCAAGCCCGCCCCTCCTCCTGCTCCCCGGGATAGCACCCTCAGCATGAACTCGGGAGACTCTTCTGGCGCGAGTGGTCGGGGTACGCCTAACAGCACCTCGAATGCTAGTCTAGCAGGTAATCTGGCCGAGGCACTGCGGGCCCGGCAGAGTGCTATGCAAGGGAAGCAAGATGATGACGATGAATGGTAGAATATCCCCGATCTGCATGTGCCAAGATTGTTCGTGATTCCGTTCTGTTGTGCTTCATGTACCTGGTCGGTCGCAGGTGATGGATCCGTCTCTTCGTTTCTGCGCTTAGCGTTGGACCTTTTGATTTTGCTCTGCTTCTTGTTACACCCCCCCTTGTTGTATCCAAATTCTATTTCACTTCCTTTTCGACTTCTATGACTTTTTCCTGTGTCTGTGAGAAACGTTGGTATGAAGTCCAAGACATTGTTCATTGATTCTGGGTTTCTGATGGATATGATCCCAAGTCATTATTGTTCTGTTCGTCATGGACTGGCAGCTTCTGACTGCCCTGTCCTTCGTCCCTTTTACTTCCTTTTCAAGATTCTTTTGTGGTTTGAACAGTAGAAGATACGCGATTCAAAGAGTGGAAATACATACTATCTACAAAAGAAGTCATACTTCTGATCAAATTGATTCAAATAAACATCAAAGATTATTGGCATGCGTATCCTATGCCTCGAAGATATTCATAGCCCCAGAACGTAAACTTTCCTTCGCTGGAACTAACATCCTGTCAGATATCATCCCAAACTAGGACAGGAACTTGCTAGCCAGACTCATCAGTCCAGAAGCACTACCAGTTCCACTACCACCACCCTGACCCTTCATGTACATCTTAAGAGCCATCTCCGCAGCACTGTTCACAGCAGACTGCTTATCACCAGACTAGACACAACCATTAGCATCAACCGCAATCCCCTCCCAGAATCAAAGTCATAAAACTCACCATACTAGCCCCAGCCCCCTGCTTCTCCTCCCACAACTTCCCAGCCTGAGCCATCGCCAACCCAATCAACTTATTCTTATCCATGCCCCCATCACTCGAACCCCCAGAAGTAAACATCTTCAACGCCTGCATCGCCGCACCCGCACCCACAGTCGAAGAATCATGGCTGCGACCCTCCTCATTGCCGCCTCCATTGTACATGGCGTTGTGAGCCTGCACCGCGTGCTGCTCGTCCACCTCGATCCGCGATGGGTCCTGGAATTGGCCCTTGCGCTCGTTGAGGAAGGATAGGGCGGAGCTGAAGAGGGAACTGTCTTCGGAGGAGTGGTGCGATTGTGCGTGCTGCGCTGCGCTGCTGAAGTCGTCGCCGCCGCTGTATTGCTGGTTGCCTGAGTAGCGGGTGTCGTTCATGTCGCCGTGGCGTCGGTCGTCGCGGTTGTACGAGTCGTTGCTGTAGCCCTGGTTACGGCCTTCGTCGCGGCCGTAGCTTTCATTGCGGCCTTCATTGTTGTAGCCCTGGTTACGACCCTCATCGCGGCGGCCGGAGGAACCCTCGTCATACGAGTTTCCCTCGTTATAGTAATCACGGGAAGCCATGGCGTAAAGACAGGAACTCAGTTTTCGTTGAGTCGTGTAAAGTAGAGTATTCCAAAAAAAAATAAGAGAATTGAATTGGGGGGGGAGATGGTGGAGAGAGCTGAGAGAGGGGTATTTACGTTTGCTCTGGATCGGAGTGGCGTGGTGGGGGTGTTTGGGTTGGTGGGGCTGGAGCTGGACGATGTGCTGGATCAGATCTGATTTGGAGGTGTTTGCCACGTATGTGTCAGGGGGTTGTAGTGTGCTTTATTGGTTGGTGGTTCTGGGAAGGGTTCAGGTTGGTACTGTAGGGGAGGTATGTATTGTAGAAGAGAAGAAGGTTGGCGGAGACTTTTCTACACTGCGAGGAGAGCTGTAGACACGTGGAGAGCGAATCTGTAGTAGAGGTTGCCACGTTTTTCTACGAATAGAAGACAGAGATTCTATTTCAATTCCGGAATTACTTTTACCAGGACAGCCATAAATGCAGAATGGATTGATTCGCGTCATTCTATGAATTCAATAGCCAATAACACCAGAAACCAGAACGAAGAACACAATGCTCGAGAGAAAGAACAAAAGCCCAGGGTATCAGATGCGAATCGCAAGGAACAAAAGAAAGAAAGAACCACCCATTTACAACATAAACATCTCATACTCCGCCTCATCCAACGTCCTCAAAAACCTCAACTCCCTCTGCCTCCGACCAACAAGACACCTCTCATCCCCTTCCAACTCCCCCTCACCCAACCACTCATTCGGCAGATCCGCCAATCCAAACGCCTGCCCCCAATTCCGACGCTCATACCGCATAAACCCGCCAAAATGTGGGTCCGTATTGGCAACCCAAATCGAGCCACCGTCAGGCGCGTAGTCGGCACCTCCGATTTCGCCGAAGAAATCGTGTACCTGCCTCGACTGATACATCTGCGCGTCAATGATGGAGATTCGGTCTGCGGGTTCGGCGCAGAGGAGGGTGCGGGGTCCGCCGCCGACGGGGGAGAAGCGCAGGGAGCGGTAGCCTGCGACGTCCGAGTCGATGGTTTCTAGGGGTCGCCAGGTACGTGCGTCCCAGATGATGACCGTTTTGTCTTGGTTGCTGGTTGCGATGTGTCGCATGTCTGGGGACCAGGCACAGGCGAAGCCGAAATCACGGTGGCCACGGAGGGGGTGCACGGGACGACCGGTGTCGGCTTCGATGACCCATGCGTCTGGGGAATCGCCAATGACGACGCGGAGTCGGCTATCTGGTGATGTCGCGGTGCAGTTTATTGGGCGGGAGAGTTCTTGGTCGGACAGGAAGATGTTCGCCTCGCAATCTAGGACGCGAAGGTGTCGGTCATTCGAGGCGAAGACGCAGATGGGTGAGTCGCCGGATCGATTACGGATAATATCGACGTGGTTGGTGATGCCGTCGTTGAAATCGGGGGTGACGAGCCCTTTTGCACCACAGCCTTCACCGCTGGTCCCACGTAGTGCGTACTCACCGCAGAACCCGCCTGCGACGGTAAGACCGTATGCTGATTTCATACTGGAAATCTTGACTGGACTGAGGAATCCAGACTCTGGTGCTGGGCGGGTAAGATCGATAAGACAGCGGATATCGTCAAAGTCTGGCGTCCACGAGTAGACTTTAGACCGGCTAGCAAAGTGGACAGTGTTGTATCCGGGCACAGACATCAGATTGCGTAGCTGGAAGTGCTCCACGGTCGCCTTGTACTCTGTATGCATAGACTTTTCTTGGAAGAAGTTTTCGTCCTGGGGAAGCCGTTCGGCGAAAATATTGTGCGAATAATCGAGGTTGTGGTAGGAAGTGTACCATGCATCGCGGAGTGCGCGAGCATCAGACCGTTTCACCTTGAGTGTTTCTGCCCAAGGCATCTGCTGTAGATCGTAGAAACGGCCCTTGAACCCTCGTGGGCGGTGGATTTCTAGTGGCTGTTGCCAGCCCATCATTTTGGATAGAGGACGCAGCTGGGGAGGAACTCGGTTCTCGGAATGGAAACCATTGGGGATGATATTGGAGTGGACCATCCAGCGTTGAATGAACTCATCGATGGTCAAATTTCGTTCATATGCTAGAACTGGTTAGAGATGCCCACAGAGAAAGATTGGGGGCCTCATACTTGTTGTGTGAATGATAGACGCAGGATGCCATTCAGCGTCCTCTTCTGGTAGAGGCTCGACAGGAAGTGGACCTGCAGGGGGAAACTCAGGTGCTACCGCAGGAACTTGCGGTGGAGTGGGATTCGTCGGTTCGTAACTGATAGTCTGGTAAAACTCATCCAGATTCACATCGTGCATTGCAGTCTCGCGCGGCGAGTGCCCGGCAATATACTTGCGGTAGTATTCTTCCTCGTCGGGGTAGAAACGGAGCAAGTCATCTAGATCATCATCCGGAACGGTCGATGGCGATGGCTGGTCCTCCTCCAGAACAGAGTCATAGTCCATGACCATCTCCTTCCGCAACTGGTCAGTCTGTGCCGCTATCGTCGCGATGTTCTGCCATGTCGCGGTTCGGTCAATCAAGTCATGTACGATGCTCTCCATATCCACATCACTCTCACTCGTCTCCGAACCCGACGACGAATCCTCCGATTCTGATGGGAAGCTGTCTGCTCCAGAATGCGTCGAGTACAACACGTTGGCCGAAGGATCCGAGGTATTTCCTTCCACTTCCATGATCCCGGCTCCAGATCGGGGGAACGACGAGGCACCGCCGGTAACAGCATTCACAACCTGATTAACAATAAAAGAACCGCTCTCCTCGTTGACGGCATGGGGATACTGGGCTACAGCTGCCAAAGCCGCAACCCCCACATTGTGCAACCGCCGATCCTCCTGCGCAGCCATATCGCCAACCGCAGTCGCCAAGGCCGAAGAAGAGGAACCACGAAGAACTTCCATGCTCAGGGCCGACGCAACGTCGCCATCGAGAATAGCGGACCTGCCGCTGGGGACGTCTGACGAATCACTATTCATACGTGAATGAGCTGGCACTCCAGCAGTATCACATGACCCATTTCGAGACGCAGGTGGTGAGAGATAATCTGACTGGCGAGGCAAGTCCGATGAGGGCAGCGTAGTTCCAGCGTTGCTGTCACCACGCATTGCCCGTCATGGAGGGTCGGAAAGTGCGCAGGTCTCCCGGTCCGGGGAAGATACCGAAATGGCGGGGGGGGGGTGTGAAATTCGGAGAGAAGCGAGAGCTAAATTGCCTTTGGGGGGGGGGGGAAATAAAAGCCCGCAGTTCGGAAACGGAGCGAAGTCAAGAAAGTGATCTGTAGAGCGACGTGCCAGGCACAATGCAGAACAGAGGCAGATAATTAATGCCGGAAAAGAGAATAGGCCGGGGGTTGATTGGCAGCGCGGGGTTACACAGTCGAAGTAGAGGCTGGCAGCGTAGGCAGCGTATCTATTCTCGCAGAACCCTAGATGTCGGGGGGGTTTTCTTCTTTCCTTCTTCCTTTTCTATCTTCGGTCTTCGTCTTGACTTTCACGAGGGTTTGTCGACTGGCAGCTGACTGATACGCACTGAAGTTTGTCGCCAAAAGCGTGGCTTACTGGGTCTCAGGCGCCGACGAGAAAGACCGTAGTTAAATGCGGGCGGAAGTAAAATGCCGAGGGAGAGCAACGGTTGGAGTCGGCGAGAAGTATAAGATGGTCAGATCGCACGGGCTGCAAAGGCGACCAGGGATGGATAGACCGAATAGCGGGGTGCGGGCAAGGCAGTAGTCAGCGCAGGGGGCAAAGAATGAAGGGCGTAGGTTATAGAGGAGGGAGGTAAAGTAAACCCGTACTCCGTAGTCTTGGAACGGAAAGAGTCGTTTTGTCGGCACGGGTCAAGCGACTTCCAACGTGGCTTTCACGCCGTTAAAGTCTCCAACACGGAGACCCGGCGCAGTAGAGAGAGAGAGAGTTGGGGACTGAGCGCAGGCCGTTTTTTTGGGGCTAGCGCCTTGAGTCTTGACGGGTCCAGGAAAGCGGCGGATGCAGGCGATGCGATTGGGAAGGGCACGTAACCAGGAACCCAGGAATTTAGTTCAGTAGGCACCGACTGTCCGAGCGTACTTTTGCCTGATGGGCATGACAGGTGTGGGAAGGATGGGGGAACGTGGAGCGTGGTCGGAGGTAGGGCAAGGAAGATCCCAGTTTGGGTATGATAGTAGTAGCGGAGACTGGAGATCGTGGTCGAGTGAGAGCTTCAAATTATCCCAATTCTGGCGATGCAGTCCCAGGATACAAGTCGAGGCTGATAAGCGGGATGTAAGATGACGAAACGAGAAGTGGAGTGAGAGGGTGGGGGGGAATCTGCTGGGCGGTGGTGGTTGACGGTTGAACCGGTTGGTGATGGGAGAGGGGCAGTGCAGGCAGCTGAAGAAGGAAATAAAGATGATGTGCGAATAAGAAAGTGAAAACACAGAGGTTGATGAAACTCAAGTAGGAGAGATGAGGAGCTGAGCTGTTGCCTCCTAACTGCTGTACGAACTTCTCAAAATTGAGGTTGGACGTTCGAGGATCAGGGTTAGTCAGCAGAACCACGTTCCATCGTTACGTGATCCAAGGGACTCGGCTGGTGATTCCTGGGGTAATAATCCTGTCGATATACTTCAGAACCGAGGTTCACCTTAAAGAAGGAAACTATACATTCATATATACCATATTATTCCCTCCTAGAGCGAATATATCCATCTCCAATTCATTCCTCAATTCATAATCCCTACCCATCGCCCTGCACCTCCATGTAAATTATCATGCAGGGAGCGACGCATTGCAGATCCAATCCTGGCCAATGCCCGGATGACCTGCGCTTTGATCCATTAGGCACGCTTTGGGCCGGGGGCAAAAGGGAAAATGGTGATCCAAGCCACAGCCCTGAACCCAAGCCCCGGGGATCGGAGTTCATAACCGGGTCAGTCATCATGTAGCCCCGAGTAGCTTATAGCAGCCACAGTAGTCCTCGTATGTGGCGAGTGTGGAGGGGGGCGAGGGAGATCGAGGAGACGGGCACACTATCGAAGTATAATATCCTGGTGTTTGGATGAAATAGTCAAATCAAAGCTGGGACGGAATGTATTTCCGAGTGTTTAAAAGTATGATGAGAGATCTACCATGCTCTTGAAGCCCGGTCGATCATCCGCTACGTAGCTTGTGGTTGCATATAGTACGATATCTACAGTTCCGCCATTGTTGGGCTTTCTAAGGATGGAGATGGGAGGTAAGATAAGTTTCTGCATCAACTGACAATCCGGAGAAGACAATTACTAGCTGTTTCATACAAGTCGAAACCAGAATGACACCATTCGCGGGCAAAACAGACAGATCCAAAAAAAGCAATATCGATGTCAATTGGGCACAAACATGCTGGAAACGGTAATATCAGGTACCCGATCTCCAGATCAACACACCAGTCAATAGCCCGGTCGCTGTACAATCTCAAGCTAACAAAGGGACAAAAGGAATATGAGATAAGAAAGATCCAAATACCGATGACACACGTAAGATGTATGTAAGCTCTCGTCACTCGTGCAGCGCTGGTCAATTGGCGAACACGGATTAGATCAATGCAAGTCAAGTAAGTCCACCATTATCCACAATCTCCAAAACAGCTGCGTAGATTAAGTACAAATAAAATGCAAAATATAATATTGAAAACGCCGTCCCGAGAGTGATAAGTGCTTCATATGGTAAATACGATGGTATGAAAAATGGTATGTAAATGGCAAGAAATAAATCACAATCGAAAACCGACCGCAGGGCAAATTAACAAAAACCATAAGGGGAGGGTCCGTCGACAAGGAAACGACGTCAATAACTGACCCACTCTAATAATCCGAGTACGCCTCGTAATTTCCAGGGTACCCGTTGCCAGAGGCATGAGTCTGCGGCTGCGTCCAGCCATTATTCCGCATACGACGCTCCTTCTCAAAGTCGCGCCACCGCTTCATGGTGATCTGCGTACTGTCGAATTCGCCTTCTGCCGCACCGTGACCCTTGTCCTTCTCGCCGGCCGTCTTCCGGGTATCACCCCAGGAGAAGTCGTCGAATTTCCAGAACGCATAAGTAGGCAGAACGAAGTTCCAAATGGGAAGGGAGCACAGGTAGATCAGCATCCAGAGGACGTAGACGAGACGGTGGGCAGTGACCACGATCAGGACACCCGGGAGACCGAGAATCAGAGCAAGCAGGACCAGAGGAATGACCTGCACTGGCCTGCGGACGATGGAGGAAATGACGACGTAAATAGTGAAGGCAATGGCGGCGGGGAGGACCAGAGTGCCGATAAGCTCAATGAAGATGACAAACTGCATACTGAAGCAGAACGTTCCACAGAGATCGCGAACAAGCACTAGTTCTAGCAGATTGTGCACAGTACTGTTGATCCAGCGACGACGCTGGGAGAGTAGGACCATGAACTTGTCGGGGACGACAGTCTTGCAAACGGCTTGCGGGACGAAGATCTGTTTGCGCTTGGGGAAGGTCTTGAGCATCAGTGTGGTGAGGTATCGATCCTCACCCAGGAGAAGCAAGTTCTTCTTGTGCAAGGTATCAACCACGTTTTCAGAGTAGTGCTCGACAATGTCCGGGTTGGCCAGAATGGGCACCCAGTAGTTTTGACCACCCTTGGGAGCCTTGATACGGTACATCGAGAAACAACCGGGCAAACAAGTGACACCACCGAAAACGGACTCGAATGACTTGGCCTGGTGATGGGAAATGAAGTATCTATGAGAGAAGTATCGTTAGTATAGGGCACCACCAGCAGCAGACGATAGAGAAACGTACTCGAAAACTTGAATCATCGTAACCCAGCTGTCAGTCTTGTTGGCAATCTTGGTCTCTCCACAAAGACCCATCACATCGGGATCCTTGACCATGGCCGAAATCATATGCGTCAAACTATCCGGGAACACCTTTGTATCGGCATCGACCATGAGAACGACCTCGTAGAAGTCCGGCGGAATACCAGTAACATTCCACATGCCATTGAACATCTCAAACTCAAGCTCGGTCATACGCTCGTCAAACATGACCTTCTGCAAGAAGGACATCAGAATAATCTGACTATCACGCTTACCACGGTTACCGGGCTTGGACTGGGTCGCTTCGGCAGGGGTACCGCACTTGACGATAACCATCATCGGGACACGCTGTTGCTTCTCGGGAGGAATCATGGAGGTCTCGCCATAGTCGTAGAAACCAGAGTAAACCTTGGCCATGTTGTGACGCTTGGATCCAGTGGCAACGGCGACATAAGAGAAAGGCTGGACTTCATCGGGAGGAACAACGTGGTCCTTTACCATGCCGAGTACAATTTCGGGAGTCGAAAACTCTTCACCCTTTCCTTTGATCAGACCGTCACAAATAACGAGAATCGTCTTGTGACTGTTAGGGTAGTCGGTCATGGCAATCGAGTCGAGAGTCGTCCGAATACCTTCCTCGCCTTCAGAGTAACAAGTGACAATGCAAAGAGCGTGGGCCAATGGATAGCCAAACGGCTGCCAATCAGGTGGAGGTTGCGGAACAACGGATTCATGAATGAACCCTGCGGGACCGGGACCTTCAGATTCAGAAACGATAGTGGAAAATCCGGGTTCTTGCTGTCCTTGGGGCACGAGGCTGGTTCGGCTGGCGCCAGGGTTATGACGAGAGTTATCCGCGCTGAGGGTGCCGTTACTGCTGTTGTGGCTGAGTTTGTACATGGTGTTGCTGTTGGCAGAACTGGGCATGAGACGAGAGGTCGAGTTCTGGCTGGCCATGGTGACATATTGCCTGTTTTGTTTGCCGCTGCCGGTACTGCCAACCACATAAGGACTGGAGAAACGAGATGTAGTGGGCAAGAAACTGGCACGCTTGCTGACACGATCAGGAACGGGGGGATCAGCAATACGAGGAGCGGGGCGATAGATATCATTGGACCAGTCTTCGATCTGCTGATTGCGAGTTCGGGCATCGGAAGCCATGCTGGTACTCTGGGCGGCGAATCTGGGCGCAAGGAACCACTGGAAAAGCAGGGCAAAGGCGAACTTGACGACGACGATGGACAGAATGAAGATCAAAGACACGTAGAGCACAACCTTGGAGGCAATACAACCGACGGTGTCCGTGTCGATGCTGCCGACCTTGATGATCTGGGTCAGACATTTGCCAATCTTCTTCTGGTCTCCGCTTTGGAAATAATAGGTGAGATCGACACCACGGACGGCAGAGTTCTCGCGTAGCTCATCAAATTCAGCAGGGTATTCCACCTGATCAGTGTTGAACCACCGTAGCAGATCCAGATCCAGAACATTGCCAGAGTAGACGGCCAAGTTTCGACTCTTGTTCTTGGTATCCTCCCAAGTGTAGTATACATCTCCGGATCCAGTCAGGTCGTAGAAGGAATTACGTGCGGACCCACTGGTATGACAGGCCCAACCCTCGTAATAGGAAGTTGTGAAGTTTGGCTCCGAGGAGCCGTCCTGGTTGAACGCTGTGCAGGGGAAGTACCAACCAAGGTCGCCCTTGGAGTTAGTAGGAACACCGCCGCCATCCTTAGCAGTGATAAGCCCCTTGCAAGCACCGTTAACTTGTTGGAAGAAGAAACTACCATCCTGGCCGCCGTACTTGTGCGGAAGATCGTACAGAACGTTGGTACCGGACGGGATGCCCTCAGCAGCAGGGTGTGTCGATTTGGTCAAATCGTAGGCCTTGCCATGGAAGATCATGTATCCACTACCGACCTCATTGACCTTTAGACGAACAGGGGGTGTACCGCAGACCACGGCCGTGAAACCGAATGTCAGGAAACCCACAAAGGCGGCAATCATGAGAATCAAACTGATCAAGCCAATCTTCTCTCGCCAGGCAGTGCGCTGCTCCTTCTGCGGCATGCCAAAACATTTGAGTACAAAGTCGGGGACCAAGCAACTAATCAAGGCACAATAGGTCGTCCACAAGTCTGGCGGCCGTGCCTGCTCCATGGCCTTCTGCCGCCTCCTCTCCTCAGCAGAGGTGCCGCTCTTCGACGTCCGGTGAGAAGATCTCTTCTTCTTTTTCGACCGGTGCCGACTCGGCGCGCGGTCCATGGGTTTATTCACGTTTCCATGCGCGCCGTACAGCTGCTCCTTCGACTTCGAATCCATGCTCTTCGAGCTGTTTGTCTCGGCCTCGGGGTCGCGGTCGAGCAGCGGGTCATCGCCCGTGGAGGAAGGGTGGACGGGCATACGGTGAGATCGCTGTCGGTAGTGGTAATTGGGGTGATCCCGATCCATGTGGCGTCGCTCTGGCTTGATTAGGCTCTTCTTGCGCTTCACGTCACCGCCGCGCTCCATGCGTTCCTCATCCGTTTCGGCGGCCCTTCGGTGACTCTGCGATCGGCGGCGGTGGTGTCGGTGGGAGGACGGCGAAGTTGGGTTGTCGCTGAAATTGCCAGAGTCGATGTCTCGGTGTCGCCGACGGTGAGAGGGCTCGCGGAAAGCGCTGCGCTCCTCACGCCGGGGCGAGGCCTTGCCAGGCCTTTGCGGCAAAGACATTGCGGTCCTATCGGCGGGGTTTCAGTCAGACGGGCTGTCAGACAGCAGACGAGATATGAGTCGCCGTAGGATAGAGATATCGCGCTCACTTTTTAGATCGCCGCGATCATGCAACTGCAGTGTTGTTTTTTTTTTGCTGCGATGCTCGTTTTCTTTTTAGGAGGTGGATGTTTTGCTGTCGCGACTAGCACATAATCGACCCTCGATTTGATCAGTGGAGAAAACGGGGGTGCCCGATTTGCGCAAGGTGCGTCTCCCGGTCGCGCACTAGAGAGCGAGAGAAGCTCAGTTCCCCGTCAGGCACCGTTTCTCAAAGTGCGGTTCGAAAATGAGCCGATGAACTCTGCGCGAGTTCAAATTCAGTCTCGACTGGCGGACACTGCAGGTTTCCAGGTGGTAGCGCTGGACAGCGGTCGGCCGGTGCAACGATGGCCGGGGGTGGAGAATAAACAAAGGTCCACACAGCGATGGGTCAGTGAGCGACGGAAAGACCAGCGAGGTCAAAGAAGGGGTCGAGTTTGAACGAGAGGATAGGCCACCGATAGCGAGTGCAGGATGTACCTCTTAATGGGATGAGGACTGGTACCTGTGAAAGTCGAGTCGAGGACTGGAGAGAACCAGAAGTGAGACAAAGACGACCGGGTGATTCTGTGGGGGGGGGGGAGGAGAGACTCAGGGTCTCCGAGTCACGGGCCCAGAACTTTAGTACTCTTTTCTAAGGGACTGACTTGACTAGTAGTCGCATATAAGGAGGTATTTTATTACTACTAGTGCGTACAAAACATTAGTAAATGTTTAGCGTTGCGTTCATGAATTTTCAGAGACAGCCCTTGGCCTTGCATAGTTCCTTCGTCAATACTTGTGTAGTAGTGACTATGCTTTACCTGATAAAAAATCTCTGCTCCGATTCTTCTCCGTGCCCATGATATTGACCCCTAATCACTAAACCCTCGAATATTGTGGACATGAAATCAGCCCAAAAAACCCCTAAATTAGCACTGCAACCAAATAATCATCTCCTGGTTGTCGCTAGGGGCAATGGCCTCTGCATCCCACCAATCACCATGCGATTGGCGACTCGACCCGTGGAGCTCCGCCCAGTTGCGCCGCGGGAACAAATCACACGCCCAGAAGAGCAGCGCCATCCCTCTCAAGGCTAGGCCCGGCTCGGTTGGTGCTTTGCTGAGGGGGAAGATCAAGCCGAGGGCGTATTTCGTGCTTGTCTCGCGAATCTTTTAGTTTGGTTAGCAGTTAAATTAGCTTGACGAGATTGATGGAGCTAAGCTTTATCAGGAACGCGACAGTGTCTTCTGGTCACGGGGGGTTGCTATTTTGGTAGACAGACAGGGTGAACTGCTGCTTATTATGCCGTTCATAACTATCTCGACATTCGTGGTTATTGACTACTGTCATATCTTCGATATTCGGAATACCTACTACTTATTGTAGGAAAACTATCAAAGAAATCAAATGTTGATTCGAATCATTGATCATTTAATCCTACGTTCTAACAATGATGATGCGTCCCTGCTTGCGTCCTCCAATGACTATTAATGCATTGCAATAGCCGATTCCTACCATAAGTACCAAGTACTTCGCATATTGGTTGTACAACTCCCCAGCCCTCTGATCTATCGCTTCTGTCTCCCTGTTGCATTCTTCTTTGTACCCGGGATAGAGAAAGGAAGCTGTTAGCGGGCTACACTGTCCTGCCTATGGGCAGAATACGAGCCTCCATGCGAAGGCCTCGTCGTGTATGTCATGTCTTTCAGCCGCTTCCCCGCAATAACCCATGGATTCGAATGGGCGCAGCATAACGAGTGTAAACAACACTAATGGTCAGTATTCAATTGAATAAATAGGGGATTGAGTCGCTGGTGGCTCCCTGTTATTGTCTTTAGTAACAGACGCCTTGCAGGATATCGGATTGATCGAAATGTAGGTATTTCTTCGTGTCAGAATGGGGGTTGGGACGTCTTAATGATCCTACACTCGACTCCTACTGACACGGCAAATATAATCGAGCCGTTCGAGACCGTTGAGGCTCTCGTGTTCCCTCGTTGTACAAGTAAATGAACCTCGTAGCCATCATGTCTCACCTTTAGCGACACATCTCTACGATGGACACTGGACAGGGGCTGATTCGCCAATTTGGCCCCTGCGCTCGAGCGTCCTTACGATGGGATCGACTAGCGTGTGGGCGATCATCGCGGTACTTGGTCCGCCCTCCTCGAGCTGACAGGCTTGATATACACGAAGTACGGAAAGTAGTGCTTGGTATGCTCTTGACCGTGAGCATTTTACAACTACATTAATTGATACGTCTCAATATATAGGATACGGTGAGTGTTTATTTCACATTTCAATATCTTTGCCGCCTGCGTCTCGAAGCTAGATTGACCGGTCGGCCTAGGAACACTGGACCCTGTGCTGGATTGCTGGGACGGTATCCCTTTCTGCAGCGCGGTGCAGCGCATGGGAACCACGTTCTACAGCTTGGACTGGAATGCGGTGGATCTTTGCATCTGACACTGGTGATCGGGAGGGGTGTGGCGTTGGTATGCGCCAAGGTCGTATGAGGGAGGATGTTGCAGCATTCTACAGAGTACTATCTGATGAATACATACTACAATTACCTCCTTCTGTTGCTAGTATCGGGGAACCAAGTACTGTAGTTTTCGAAGCGTCGTCATCTAAGACTAGTATATCATGATAAATTCGTAATCCAATTCAAGAAATCGTCTCCTCTTCACTCATCCACGTACACCAACGCAGCAAGGAGGTCGATGTATAAGAGATGTACGAAGCAAGAGGCCCGTGGCTCGGGCCATGCGAGACGAACAAGGCACCAAAGAGAAGACTCGACAAAACTCAATTCCTCCCTTCGAATTTCTCCCGTTGGATACTCTGCATTCAACGAAGAAAAAACCAGGAAGACTCGCAGACGCAGACGGTATACTTGCGTGCCAAGACGTTCTCGCTGGCTTCGTGCTGACTTGACCGCCAGTGTTAGATTGTCTCATCGCAGCGGCTACGGTGGCGCCAGAGGGCCAGGCTACCACACGGGTCACGACGGAGCGTTGGAATGCGCTGTCCAGTACTGGTTCTCGATACTGTACCTACTCGGGCAGAATCACCTCATCTTTCTCCAACTCATGCGATCGTCTCATACCTACGTGAGCCGATGAATCAGGCTACTGCCAAGAACCGGACAGGTCAGCCTCCGCCCCGAAGCAGTCATGTCTGAGGTGCATTCTACAGTATTTCAGTATTTCAGTATTTCTTTCGATCTCAAGCAGTCTTTCGCAGATGAATTTCTCTCAAGACCCGCCCAGTCGCAGGCTATGCCAGTGGCGCGGGAGCTGAACTAGAAAAACAAAAACACTTTTCCCTTTCGCTAATCGGAGGCTGAATAGGAAAGAAGGACAAAGAAGACACGGGAATGACAAGAGATGTCCGCAGTAAGAACCAACCAGATCGCAAAGTATCCGAGCCTCGAAAAAGGCTCATTTCGTGCCGCCCCAGTTCTTAACCTAATTCGAGCCCCTCGCGACATCTCAGGTCTTGGTTCTGGGGGATTTTAACATCGGCATCGGGCTTGCCCTTGGCTTCTACTAAGTTCTAACTGAACAAGGGTGAACTCCGCGTGTTTGTTGGTGGAGACGGTGGATCACAGATCCGATCCTGGCCTGGTCGGACAGAGCAGAGCCGTGCAGCTTTTCTCGGATTGAGTCCTCGAGTGGGTAGATGAGGGCTTTTTATTGGAGGAGGGGGTTTTCTTTCCTTTGGACCCCATCTTGAATTGTCGAATTGGGTTACTAGCGTCAAAAGGGGATACCTGGAGAATGAGATCCCTTTTCAGCCCGTGTTATACGAGGAGAAGGGACAGCACATAGCAGGCTAGCAGGGCAATTTTTTTGATGGCGGTTATAAGGCCGGAAGAGGCGTGGGATGGGCATAAGAATAGAAACCGCCTAAAAAGTTGGTTTCTTGCAAGACTTGCAGTAGTCTCCCAGTGTAGTTGTGACTTTTCCCGAGTATGGGGATCGAATTGAGTGGTTCACGTAATAATAGTTCCCCCCACTTTCTGCGCCGCATGATGTCCGCATTTTTTTTTTCTTTCCTTTTTTTTTGGTCTTTTGTCTCAAATTCTGACTATCGCGGCAATTTTTGGCAGCCTAACAATTTTATGGAAGATCTTAAAGATCTAGATAAGTTGTCAGGCTTCTACTATGAGTAGATAAACAAAACAATAACTCTTCCAGGATAATAACCCCAGCCTAAAGACCATAGGACGCAAAAAGTCAAAACCTCCTCGTAAAGCTTTATGAGTAAACTAGCGATGGCGGAGATGACCCTTGGACCTTGACTGCCTGAATTATTACTTATTACAGTATTCTAAGTACATCGTGCACTGTGCAAAGGACACCAAGCCCACTAACTCGTGCACTAAACTGCACTAACAGAACCAAGTAGAGTATGCCCACTTCCTCTTACTCCGACTCCTCCAACTCTTCCCCTCCCCTCGCTTCATGAACCCATTACCTTCTTTTATTCCTTTCCATATCAATAACTGATCCAAGTCGGTAAATCCGGTTTCTTCAAAGTCTCCCTCTCCTATTCCTCGCCTGGTAAATCTGCGCGGTAGCTCTCCCCAACTCCACCTTTGAACTGAACGAATAAACGACCAGAGACTGGGGCTACCCGACCAGGCTCCACGACCCTTTCGAGCTTTGGAACCCTGTTTCCCTTTCCCCAGAGTTCAAGGGAGGAGAAAAGAACGAAAGCTGTCCTGGTCACTCGATTTTGACCGAGAAACTTACCTCCTTCATCTCATCTCCTCGGCCTTTCCATGTCGCAATAAGAACCACCCGCCCTGCCCCGTGCTCCCGTCATTTCGCCTCACTCGTTTAAATTTGGATCGCCCGTCTCATTTCGCCGCCTGTCGTTACAACGGGGAATTTCCTCTAGCACGACCCCTCAAAAACACTCGCTGTATAGCTTGCAATTCGCATCTCGTTTCGCAGCAGCACCATCCAGGGTCTGGAAAATGGCCTCTCCCATCGCTGCCGAGCATCCCCCCATCCCCTCTCCTCCGCCAGCATACCTCCGATCAACGCCTCCATTCCCCTCCCCATCCTACGAGTCAACCCCCCGCACGATTCCCCAGCGCCCCGGGGTGGTGCAAATCGCACGGAAACCGCTGTCAGTGGTGACCCCGGACTCCGAGACCCTACCAGTTATTCAAGCTTCTCCGCGTTCTCCGGTCAGAATCGACCATGGTACCACCAAGATCCCCCCAGCATCGACCGCCCAAATCGAGCACTTCAACAATGTGCCCGAGCCACCACAACTGGAGATTCCCGAATTTGCAAACATCTCTATCGAGGACCCTGCGCAACAACGACAGACTTGGAACCCCGCATTCCCACCCAGGCGAGACTCTATCCAAGCTCCGCAGTATCCGCCGCAGCATCCGCCACAGCATCCATATGGCCATACCCCGGCCAGCAGTGGATCGTGGTCGGTGGTCGAAGGTCAGGTGAAGGAAGATGGCCACGATCCGAAGAAAAGCGGTTCCTTGCGCGGTCAAGAGGGTCTTAGCCAGAATAATTCCTCGCGCGGTAGCTTGGAAAGCGATGCACAGAATTCTGATCCCTACGAGCCTTTGCCCTACTTTCACCAGCAGCAGCAGCAGCAGAGCACCCCCAATGTGCGACACTCCACATTGGGAATGAACTTGGCAGGCAATCCCTCCGGCTCGACTGGTAATTTGGCTGTCCGGCGGTCTCGAATTTCACGGCCTGTCTCGAATTACTCTTCAACGTCGGATGTGGCTGGTGGGAACCACCGTCGCAATCTTTCTGCATCGCCATACATGCAGGGCCGCTCCTCATCGCGCAATTCCACTGCATCTCCCGACAATCGTTCGCTCTCGGTCTTGGATCTGCTCAACACATCATACCCTCAGCCAGGCCCTACTGCCCCGCAATTCGACAACTCTCACCTCCGGTCCTCCGTCGGAAACAATGCCTCTCTTCTCAGCCATAAGCAAACGTTCGAAATGTACCTTGCAAATGTCAAGAAAACCGACGAGCCCCCCGTGCAGTACGAATTCGCCGTGTTCATGATCAATTCCATGCGTGAGATGCCGGCGGTCGACCTCGAAGATTCCACCTCCATCACCCGCCAACGACTTCTGCGCGAGTCGAAATCCATTCTCCAGCGTCTCGCAGACCGCAGCTACCCCTTCGCGCAGTACTATCTCGCCGACGGCTATGCCTCGGGACTCTTCAACAAGGGCAAAGAAGATTACGACCGCGCCTTCCCCAATTTCCTTGCTGCCAGTAAGCACGGGCACATCGAGGCGTGCTACCGTACTGCACTCTGCTACGAGTTTGGCTGGGGTGTCCGCGTGGATGGAGGTCGTGCCGTGCAATTCTACAGACAAGCCGCGTCCAAGAACCACCCCGGCGCTATGCTCCGCATGGCTAAAGCCTGTCTGGCTGGCGATATGGGATTGGGCAAGCGTTACCGTGATGGCATCACTTGGATGAAGCGCGCGGCGGAGTCTTCAGATTCACAGTACAATTCTGCGCCGTACGAGCTGGGTGTCATGCACGAGACTGGCTACGGCGATGACGTCTTCAAGGACGAGTCTTATGCTGCGCAGTTGTTCACCAAATCCGCGGAACTGGGCCACCCCGAGGCTGCGTACCGTCTAGGTGATGCGTACGAGCATGGCAAACTTAATTGCCCGCGTGATCCTGCGCTCAGCATTCACTTTTACACCTCGGCTGCGCAGAGCGGACACCATGCGCTTGCTATGATGGCACTGTGTGCGTGGTATCTTGTGGGCGCGGAGCCTGTTCTCGAGAAAGATGAGAACGAGGCGTATGAGTGGGCTACACGGGCTGCTTCTCTTGGTAGGCTCCCCTCAATTACATTATTGATAAGACATATCGTGCTAATTATTTGATACAGGTCTGTCCAAGGCGCAATACGCCGTCGGTTACTTCACCGAGATGGGCATTGGCTGTCGCCGCGATCCGCTCGAGGCGAACGTCTGGTACGTCAAGGCTGCAGACCAGGGTGACGAACGCGCAAAGCATCGTATCGCTGCTATCCGGGCTGCAGCCGACGGAGCCAATCCAGCTCTTGCAGCTCGCTCTGGAGGGAGGTACCGCAAGGGCGATGCACAGGGTCAAGGTGAGTGCTGCACGCAATGAGGGAGTAGATTCTCGAGGCTGACTTGTTTTAAAATCAGATAAAGCGAAACAAAAGCGCTTCGTCATTTTCTAAACCTGCCGACTTCGTCTAAATTGTGTCACGTCTTATGCAACTTACATTGCCTTGTCTTGTCTTGACCCGTCTCATCCTATCGACCATGATTCCCCACCGCATCCAACTCATTCTCCATACGCTCGCATTGACTTTCGATTTCTCTTTCCCAATCTCGCCTCGATCTGATCGCCATGCTTGTGGCTAATACATAATTCGATCTGCATCATCTCACGCCCAAAGGATCTCTATTGTTTTTTTGTCAAAGTTGATTCTCCCTTGGACATCACGATTCCTGAATTGTGGTTTTTGTGTATAGCGCTCTTCTTTTCTCTCCTTTCTGTCTTTGCATTTGATGCGCACTCCTTTTTATCATTATTTCCATTCTTCCTTCTTCATACTTCATTTTTATCTTGCCCCGTTGGGCTACGCACATGGTTTCGATATTGACTTTTTGACTGTCATCTTTCCTTCTTTTCTATACGCGGGGCGTTTTTTTTCATGCTGGAGCTCTTTCCGCCTTTTCGTTTTCATTTTCCCGTCATATGAATTGAATCTCATGAGATCAGTGGTCTCTTTTTCTTTGGATCTGGTACTCCAATTAGGTAGAAATTGTTGTTGTAGAACCGTCTTGAGATAATGCTTCAGCTTAATTGAGGGCTGTATATGAATCGACCAATAGAAAGCAGAAAGTATGTTGGGTTAAGTTATACTGTAAAGAATTCTATAATGTATCCTAACCTTTCATTGTTTTCATATTTCGAGTCTCTGAAGGAAATGAAAACCGCGGGTGGCTCTTAATCTACAGTGGTTTTAGCACCTATAAGTCTCGAGGTCATAAAATTCTACTTTACCGCGTCATCATATTTTATCTCCCTTCTTAGACGTCCCATAAATTACAGCCGTGCGATATAGGTATCTTTGGTTCCCTAAACATGGTATCCCAGTTGACAAGGGCCAATTTACAAAGCACGTCACCTCCCGATGGAAGGATGAATATGGGGGGAGCGTGATCAAGGTTAGCGTTCCCCACCACTTTAGCACTTTAAGAACGCAGAATTGGATACAATTATCATCTTATCCCTTCAAATTCCTAATGATGCTGTATACTTTTTTTGCCTTTTCGTGGTGTGGCAGGTATATCTGACTTATCCTCCCAGGAGTAATCATGACTAAGATGCACAATGTCCTTACAAATGTTTTGGTCGTGGCCTCTGGCCAATGATGGAACTGGCATTAAAGTAAGCATATGCGTAAGGCAGGCAAAGGTCCGGTTAATCAAGGCTTACCCAAGCTTACCTTCTAATTATCAGCCAGACGCACAGCTATATAGAGGCATATAAATGTGGGTACTCCGCTACAGTAATCTCAAAACAAAAAGAGAAACGGATAGGACCAAAGCAGCTTTAAATCATGCTTGTTCTCCAGCCGATCACATTCGCCATCTTGCTACCACTAGCCTTGGCCGCCAGGCCGCAGTGCTTCGATTTCAGCCTCCCGGTCCAAGTCTCTACCCCTGTCACGAAGTTCAATGTTTCCCCTTTCCATAATAATTCCGAGTCCACGTCTTTGCTTGTGAACTCCGTGGCCCGCACGGCAAATGTTCAAAATCTTGTAGCTGGAGAAGTGAACATAAGCCGAGCTTACGACATCAATTTCCGCTATTGCGAGCCTAGTGGGGGCGTACCCCGAAACGGCATCATACAACTCTTGACCCATGGTCTTGGGTTCGATAAATCGTGAGTTATTGCCTGATAATCATAGACATCTACTGATACTGTAATTAGCTACTGGGACTTTGAAGGATACAGCTACATTGAATCTGCCACTGCGGCTGGGTACTCTACCTTATCATACGATAGACTGGGTGTCGGACGATCGGAGCTTGCAGACCCTTACCTTGACGTACAAGCGGCAACGCAAGTCGCAATTTTAGCAAAAGCCTCAGAGCTTCTGCAAGAGGGGAAGCTCTCTTCGAAAATATCGATCCCCAAGAAACTCGTCCATGTCGGCCATAGCTTTGGCTCATTAATCACGAATAGTCTCGCAGCAACGCACCCAAATTTGTCCAATGGCATTGTTCTTACCGGGTTCGGTCACGACTTTTCCTGGGCAAGCTATTTCCAATTATGTTACGGGTTCGAAATAGCACGGGTTAACAAACCGCTTCGCTTCCGCAAGTACGACTCCGGTTATCTGACCTGGGGTAACGAGTTTGATAACCAGTGTGCCGCTTTCAACTACCCTTATTTTGACTGGGATATTCTCCACAATGCCGAGCTTAACAAGGCACCATTTACGATTGCCGAGTTGCTTTCATTTGGCGTAACCCCCCTTGCGGCGCCAGACTTTGCTAGTCCTGTTATGGTACGTGGCTCACCTACAATATAATATATCCTTGGTGCCCGTAACCACCTCGAAACCAATTCCGGGCCAAGAACTGACTGTGTGTTTCTTAGATCATAAATGGCGCTCAAGATCTTTCTTTTTGCGGTGGTAATTGTTATGGTGTGCTCGACGCCGTGGACTCTCCTTCTACAGCGGTCTTCCCGAGCGCGAATCCCCTTACTAGGTATATCCATCCTAATGCGGGGCACGCGTTGAATCTGCATCATAATTCAACCGCGGCTTACGAGGTCATTCTCGGCTTCTTGAAAAACAATGGGTTATAGCGGTAGAATATGAGGTGTCTCTCATCCTAGTGGTGGTATTCCGGTCAATTCAACCAGGGGGAGAACCGGAGATTGAGATATAGAAGGGGCAAAGACGGAGGGGCTCGTTTAGACTATGTGCTTTGTTGGTCAAGAAAGATAAGGAGAGAAGTTGATGTTCCGTGACAACTAGTCTGTCACTATCTGTCAACAGCCCATGTTCAGGATGTAGCGATGCGTTCTCGAAATAAAGAATAAGGCGGCGAAAGATCCTAATAGAAGTCTATATACTTCTGTCTATTTAGTAAGGTAAATAACGAGCTTTTTGTAAAGCGACCACTAAGGCAATCTAATCCGTGCAGTATATCAAAATTTCGATTGAGCTGGAAAATATCCGACTCGTGGCAAATCTCGCTGTAAAAGCGTGCGGATATAGGGAATATTGACTTCATGTTCCTGGGGATTCTACTTTTAACATCGCATTCAAGAACAATTAGTTGATGTTCAAGCGGATTCAGGAGGAGCTGAAACATGACATTAGAATCTAGGCAATGATAGATTCGCAGTGTCGTCAACCGTGGACAAAATGATGGCCGAACATGCGATATATAGGTAGATAGTAAAAGATTCATACGATATCAGAAGAAAAAAAACTCATAACGTGAAAGGAAGCAGGAATTGGAGCCGATATATATATCTATTTATAGGAATAGTCGGAGTTGGAGGGAAGATAATATTACTTTTATAGGGTGAGAACCATCAAGTTGGTATCTACTTATTGGACTATTAATTTTTATGAACTATATAGAGACTAAAGGACTTTCGATAAGTCCACAATTCCTATTTGCAATGCAAAAAGAAAATCGTGGTGCTTTTGTCTGGCGCGTGAGCAGATCACGGCGTTAACCAGGCTAGGATTAGCTTGATTCACTAGTGCGATCAACAAAGAGGGGACGACCCGTGGGGCATCTCATTTGGCAATAGCAACTCCTGTAGACACCCAAGTAAGTCTTCCAGCGGCAACATCGGCTCAGCTTTTATCGAAGACGGCGAGGATGATGAGCTAAGAGAGGAACCGGAAGTTGAAGACGAATCACTCCCTAGCAAGCTGGACAGTGACTGCAGCCTGTTTGGCCGTCGTAACAGCATCAACATAAGGTTCCATCGCTTGCGCAGATCTTGCATTTCGGTAGCAAGGGCCTCTTTTTCTTTAATGATCTTAGACACCTCTTTGGACTTCTGCTCGAATCCCTCCGAGAGCCTTTGGCACTTTGCTTCGAGTTCAGTAGCCCGTTGCTCGAGTATTTGATGACGCTCTTCTTTGCGTCCGCGGAACCGGCGCTGCGCGTCACGGTTTTGCATGCGTCGCTTGGTCTGCATTTGAATGATCAGATTCAGTCCCTTTAGAGAAGGTCATATGATATACTTTGATGCTTACAGTATGTAATTTATGTTTCTTGCTTTCCACGTCATTTGTGACTGAGCTCTGGGCTTCCTGTGAGTCTGAGTTGGATGGCGAAGCCGGAATAGAGGTATCAAAGGAGATTGTGGAGTTGAGATTAAGAATTTGATAAGCCTCCGGTGGCTGTAGACTGCAGTCCACTTCAGGTGTCGTCACTGAGCGAGGAATGATGGCGGGAATAAGCTCGAATTTTTGGTATCCAGTCATATGTTTCTTCGTCAGTGAGCGACGTGTTTCCACTATAAGACGGGAGTCAAAGTAGCCGAACTCACTATTTTAGGCCCTAGTAGTGGTATCTCCCCACCCTTGTATTGTATGTTAAAAAGGTTGGTGTTTGGAGAGTTCCAATAGTCCTCCATTATGTGCATGCGTATATTTGTGCGTGGCTGTGTAGCTGCGTAGCTTTATGCTGAGAAATGCTGTGTGAGTTCTTGCGACAGATGGAATTTGATATGACCAAAGAAAGGAGCATATGCTTTATATATGCAGATTGGATTTTTTGTTGATCTTGCACGGTGCCTGCAAGGACATGAACGTTATTAACCTTTAGCCAATCAGAGCTACCCAATGCGATACCGTTAGAGGAATAGCGAACCATTTATCTACTATATACGGGTTGGACTCATTCAATGATCTTAGACGGTACTTGTAGAGACATGGATATTATTAACCGTCCAGCCAATCAAAGCTACTCACTATGATACCGTAAGAGGAATAGCGAACCCTTTATCTACTACTGCATAAGCACGGGAAGCTGCGGGGAATACTAGCCTTCTTTGGAGATAGCGTCTAGTCACAGCAATTAACGGAAACCGTTTGAGCACTCCTCCATCCGCGCGGTGTGACTTACATTGATTTGTAACGTGGGCTGTGGAGACTACCTAATGCTGAGCCGGTAACGGGCAATCGTCCGCTGGTGTACTTCGGATCTACTGGATCATGGATAACATTAGTTTTAAACCATCCCCAAGGCCCGTGAAATCGATTTGAGACCTACTGTCAGCCAATAGGATAAAGCTTAGAACCATCCTCATCAGGCATGATTGCCGCCAAGTCCATTTTGCAGCCCAGCGTTGTTAGTGACATAAAGACAGATATAAGAATACAATTCTGCTCTTTTCGGAGGTGAAGCTGGTAACGGCGAGATAGTATGGATCAGTCATCTTCTTGAACTAGGTACCCCTAGCTCCTGCTATCATTACTGTGAGATCTCAACATTGGACTTGGACTAGATTCCGTTAGTTACATCTGCATCGAAGACCATTTTTTGGAGGGAATCGTGCCCGCATAATAACGCATTAGTCGCTTGGAGTATGTGGTGGGACCACCGAAATGGAATTCTCAAATTGATGAGAAAACCGATGACAGAGAAGTAAATCATTTCCGAGCGTTCGACCTAAGCCGAATCTGGCTGCTTCAGAGCCTGCCACGATTGGTCGGGAAGAAATTCGGATCTCAACCGAATCTGGCTGCCCTAGAGCTAAGTTAGAGTCTGTCACGATTAGTCAGGAGTGTGTTTTGATCTTAGCCGAATCTAGCTACCTCAGTAAGGAATAAATTTGGATCTAAGCCGAATCTGGATGCCCTAGAGTCTGCCATGATTGGTCAGGAGTAAATCTTCACATACAACAGAGGTTCCATGGGCATCGTCCCCTCGCATCTGGTTTATATCTTTAATTGCCACTGTGAGAGCTATGAGCCCAAAATTATTTGACCATTTCATAAGTTCAAAGGCCCCCCCCCCCTTGATGACCTAAAAGAATTCTCTTCTCATTCAAACTTGATTGCTGTCGCCATGGAAAGCAAGGATCTCATAATTTCCTTTCATCTACAAGACCTCCAAACCAAATTCGACCTAACCCTACCAGACCTTCCATGTTGATCAAGAGCTTACAGGTAGGCTATGCCCAATGCGTTGTGACGGACCGGGAATTTTCAAATTGCGGAGTTATGTGTAACTGGCTGATTTTATAGGCTTCAAGACAGACTGAACATTCTCCCTCCCCTCTGGATGATATACTCCGATGCGAAATGGCTATGGTAGCGTGGAGAACTGGCACATACCCTACTCAACTGGCGATAAAATGGTGCAATCAAACAACCGAAACCATGATTTGGCCGGACTCGCCTCGTATCACGCTTTTTCGCGAGATTTTCTTCTACAGTCCTTACCGCCCTAAGCACTCAAATACACCTCATGTCAACTCACAGCAAGTTGGTCAAGAGCTTCTTATCGCCAAATTTGAGGGCTGAAAACCATCAACAGGCTCACGATTATGACGAGCGCCTCCAACATCTTACACTCGTGTCACGCCACAATTCCACTGTTCGAGACGCATGTGTTCGCCGCCCCTCCTTTGGGCCAAAACCTTCGTTTTTCGGTTCAAAACTGGCGAAATCGAACCAACAGAGTTAGTCTCACCATTCGACCCGTGATGAGTGGGGTTTCAAAGACCCTTCGTTTATGGACAATGCTTGCCTCGCCCCTATTGGCTATTCACCGCCTAGCGTCTGACAGGTGGACCTGCGAGATAAGACAGCGAACCCTTTCTGGTGCGATTATCTAATGGCTAATTTGCCGACGGGACGGTGAGGTACTCTGGTGTTGGCACTGCGGGAAACAGCGACTTCGCATGTAGAAAAATACCATTGCAAGACTCGACACTGCAATACTCGCATCTTTACGACTGTAGATTGCTTTTGCGTCTAGAATGTCCAAATTATCAAATTCGTCGACCCCCGAGTCGAGGTACTCTCCATCGTCTTCCATCTCGCCGCCATCATCTGCATCGTCGTGTTCCGACCCTCTCGAGGAGGCACGCCCGGCCCGGAATCTGCCTCACAGAACCACAAAGCCTGTGAAACCACAGTCATCATTCTTCTTCGTAGACTACCAAGAAGACAAGCTACAGAAGAAGAAGCTACGCAACGAGAAACAAGGCTTTATACTCAGGAATTACCACAGAAAAAAGAAGGAAGCGTCCATCCTGCGCTTGAAAACCCCTAGTACAACCCCCGCCAACCATTTTCTAGTCGATCACTTAACAGGCGAGCAACCAACCTCAGATAATGCAGACTCTACCAGTGAGAAGGATGGATGGGCTGATAAAGGCGAACTTTCAAGAAGAGTCCCCGGGCAGGCCACACTGCGGTCTGAGATGTGGTCCCTTAAAGCCTATCTCAGTCAGGGCTATGTCGATCCATTCAGGGCGTCAGCGGTCACGATGACAGATTCGATGAATATGTACTTTCATCATTGTATGCAGATCGTGGAAAAGCGGAGATCTAAATGAACGAAAGCTGACTCATAATAGTCAGGCTCCATACCATAGCGGCATGCTACCCAGTCGATGCTACGAGAATGAGTGTATGGTGGTGGCAGAAGGCAATTACACAGCCAGCTCTCCTCCAGGCGCTGCTGTTCTTAACAGCGGGCCACCAGGCGACATTAGAGTCGAGCAACGGTGTCTCATCTCTGGTCATCAAGAAATCCATGCGAGATTCGCTTCATCTCCGCGGCGATACACTCAAGATGTTGAATAATATAATGCAAGATCCTCTCACAGCAGTAGCTGAGTCTACAACACTGGTTGTTGCTTCACTTGTCGCGATTGAGGTAAGCTTTTCGTCAAATTGGTGCTCGATCTTCTGGCATGCTGGGAGGAACTCTAGGGTTCACAACATGCTAATCTCATCTATCCTAGGCCGTCGATGCAAATATAGAGGCTCATGACGCACATATGAAAGGACTCCAGAGGCTTGTCCAATTGATGGGCGGATTGGATAATCTGGACCACATGACCCAGTCAAAAATTTACCAGTATGTTCTTCACACGTCTTTATATTCACGATGGATCTAGTCAATAACAATTCTCAGGAGCGACGTAAAAAGTGCTGCTCTCTATAATACCCGACCAATATTCCCTATTTCTACCCGCTGGCGCAGCGAAATCATCCAAGACTTCCGACTCCTCCTTACGCGGGATGAGATTGATACGCCCAAAGACCTTGCTTCCCTAGGCGTCACCATTTTCTCTTCCTCCTGGTATACAACGCTTGACCGTACTCTAAAAATCTTCTTCCAGGTTATCCAGCGCTTGATTATCTACTACGAACATGCACAGCGCAACCCGGCTTCTGTAATGCCTACAGATAACGATCTTTTTCTTGTTGCCGAGCACCAAATCCTCTCCGCATGCTTCGAGACTACAGACCCAACCGATATCAATGAGCCTCTCCGCCTGACTTTAGTCATCTACCTTAACCTACGGGTGTGGCACTTCCAGTCTTTCCCGTTCATGCAATATGTCGTGGAATCACTCCGTCAAAGTCTTGAAGTTCCATACCAACATCTCCAAAACGAAACGCCAGAGCTACTATTCTGGATTCTTGTCCTTGGTGGCCTTGCGTCGCAGGGGTACAAGTGCCATCGGTGGTACCTCACCAGGCTGATTGAGATGACGGAGCGGTTGGGGTTGAGCGAGTGGCAGGCGGCGAGGGCGGTTCTGGGCCGTTATTTCTATACCGACCAACCTAGCGAGAAGAGGGCAGAAGAGGATCTTTGGAATGAGGTGCATTTAAAGGGAACCTGTAAGTTGTTACTGGAAGGGCAACGGTCGGGTGCTTTGGGCCACTGACAATAATTTTGGTAGATGCGTATATTGCACCAAAGCCAACCTGATACCATAACCCGTGCTGTGTCGGGTTCTGCGGAGGATTGAGTTTATAATGCCAGTTCAGGAACATTTGGGAGGACTAGGCCTTCTAGGATTTCAGGGCTGTCGCTGATACACAACACGAAAAAGGGTAGCCTCGTCCGTGGCCAACAACGCTATGTTCTGGTTATTCTCGTGATCATTCTCGAGTCATGCACAATTTGTTTTCGCTAATATTTATTCCGTTTTGTTTCATTCGTGATGAATTCGCATCCCGAAAAGACCGTACGTAATCTACCGTCAAATTAAGCTCAACTTTAATTTGGGACCATTGCTCGTCCATCCCTAAGCTCTTTAGCTTATTGCTTTCAATACTGTACTCTATTTTCCAGCTCTAACATGAACCTCTGCAACATCCCTCGACACCCCAAGATCATCATTCACAGTAGAATCTACAACCAGGTCACCCGTGCAAACAAATCCCTTGAATCCCCTCGCAGCCACTCCCTTCAAAAACATCTCATCAATCTCCTCCAACGGCCGACCTAGATACTCCGGAACACAGTAAAAGATAAAGACCCAAATACACACCCCAAACCCACCATACATAAACCCAATCTTCGCCTTGAGGTTCGCGGCGTTCGGGTTGATCAGATAGGGCAGCACAGCGGTCCACATAACAGCCTCGCTCCAGGCCGTGAAGACAGCCAGCGACTGGGCCTGCGAGCGGAGCCGCGTGCTAGCCGTTTCGGAAATCACGGTCGAGGCGACGACGACGAGTGAGATTGTAAATAGAAAGTTATACAGAACGATGAATGTAATCAGGATTTTGCTTGCGATCATGCTTTGCGGGTATGCGGTCCCCACGGACGAGAAAATGAATAGACAGACCACGAACCCGGCGACACAGAGTAGGAGGAGCTTTCGCCGTCCTATTACGTGAACAAGCGGGATTGAGAGAACTGCAGCTAGCAAGGCCGATAGGTTTAGAACCATACTGATAAGAAAGGGCTCGCGGACGCCGGCGATCGAGAAGAAATACGTCCCGTAGCTGAAGAGGAAGTCGCGGCCGCCAAAGTTCTGGCACGTCATTAGACCCATTGCAATTAGCGTCCGGCGCCGGTCCACGCCCCGGAAACAGTCCAGGTAGCTGGTGCTCCTTTGTATCGCTTTTTCGTACTCGACAAACTTGATGATCTCTTCCATCTCGCGCTCTCGGGGGTCTTCGGCCTCCATCGAGGCTCCGTGCAGTCTACCGTAAGCGAGACGTGCATCCTTGACGCGGCCACGGCTGACAAGAAACCGCGGACTATCTGGAAGAGCCCAGGCTCCTAACAAGAAAATAGATGGGCAGACGAGCTGCGTCAGTAGTGGGATGCGATAGCTCCAGCTACTCGCGAGACTGTGCGTCCCCTGGTTGATACACGTTCCAATGAATCCACCGAATGTGTACGTAAGCGAAAATGTGCCCAAGAGCACACCGCGTAAATGCCCCGGCGCAACTTCAGCCTGATACACGAGGATGAAATTCGTTGCCATTCCGATGCCCATGCCGACGAAGATTCGGCCGCATATCAGCAGTGATAATGTGCTACTACTGGCCTGGAGAGTAGAGCCGACGATCGATGTAAAAGCGCACAGCATGAGTCCGTATCTTGGTCCGAAGCGAGCGCCCAGGGGACCGGCAATGATTGAGCCCACTGCGGCACCGACATTTATCATACACGTTATGAGAAGTTGTCTCGACGGGGTGATGTCCCAGGCCTGTGTTGCACCATTGAAGAAGCCAAAGTCCTTTAGGAACCCGGGCATTGCTGTAAATCCGGAGATCTGAGCCGTGTCCAGTCCCTGCAGGAATGCCAGGAGAGAAACGAAACAAGCGGCGAATATCGCGACCTTTTCATTTTTCACCGAATGGACATCAATCGACATGTTGAAACCCTAGCGACAACTACGTTAATTCGGAAGCCAATGGCAGTGACCTAGGAGGGCATCTCAAGTGAGGGAGTTCAAAGTGACCAGATTTAGGGAGCAGCTGGACGATTTGCCCATAGTTCTCTAATAACTTTGCCCAGCTTCCGACAGAGTGGAGACTAGTCTGTATCTGTGTCCTCTGTGAAGCGCTCTCCGACGTGAGTGTCTCCGCAATCGCTGTCACATTTCCAATACAGTTTTTCGTTTGAAAAGCCACTGAATTAGCCGATTCAAATAATCTAATTATTTCCTCTTGAGCCCTCTGTGGCAGGTCTACGCCATGTACTAGCTTCCACTGCTTCGCGCGCTGCCTGCATCTTTCTTCTTCAGGTTAATTAACCGATTGGCATCACCGGCTTATGGCGTATTTATTTTCAGGCCAGAAACTAAAGTTCTAGCTTTGGAGTGCGCGATAGACTCGAGCATATTGGGTTGTAATTAATTTGACTAGTTCCAGCCGAACATTAAAAATGTAACGGGGATTGCGGGCGCACCCACAGTGGGAAGATGTATAGAGTCGTCGGGGTATCACCGAGGGCATGGATATAGTTATTTGGGGTCCCTGACACACCCGAGCATTCCCACATGCAGCTACGCACGGAGAAATCAGCCCTCTACTCCAGGAGACATGGTTGGGCAACCAGATCTGGCCGAGTGTCAACTCCACAGGGATTAAAAGCCTATGGAAAACTCTGAACCGATCAGTCAAGTAGGCACTTCGGTTAATAAGACTAGTCCTCTTTGGGAGAAGTTAATCTCTCCGATGATTCGCCCACCGAGCTCGAGCTCTGTTCCAGGTTCCTGACTTCCATCAAGCTTGCAAGATTTAAAGCATGATACTTTGCTCCTTCTTCAGTGATTCCTTTCTTTTTGATTTCCTGCTCCCAAACGAAAATCTTCCCTCCAGAATGTCCTGCCTTCGCCGATAAACTTCAACTCGTCCCGCCTCTGGCAAATTGGTGCTTGCCTAAGTGTCGGGTCCAGTCTGACCCAAGTGGGGCTGAGTGTTGATTGGTGATGGTCCAATTCTTTGGGACCCCTTGGATGCATATTGGACAGCAACTTTTTCGAGTCCGTTCGACAGACTGGCGTTTGAGGCATCACACTTCCCGGCATATCTACCACAGGGATCTATTGGTCTTCATCTATCACCGCTCTTTGACATGTTCATAAACGGAGATAATATAGAGGCCTATTTTCGAATTGGTCTTCCCTTATCGCGGCATTAATTGCTAATCCACCGGCGGAACCCTTTTCACCTCTGGTTGGCGGTGTTTCCGCTATGGCTGAAGCCACCTATCTGGCGCTAGGGACCATGACACGAGCCGAACCTTTGACAAGAGATCGATCACCCTTGGAATCAACCTCGACCACATTCTGTTTTAGGAAATTGGTACTTTGAGCAGATCCCTCGGAGAGCTAACCCTCTTGAGCAGGAGGTTAACTGCTGAATCTTATCTCCTGAAAAATAGGCGAACGTCTCTCCATATGCTAAATCTAACCGAATAGAGCCCAGCTAGCATCCATCAGTAGCGGCTTCATGAGATATGATAGGGCCCTCGCATTTGTACCGCTATGCTCGCTTGTAATGGAGCTCCTTAGGTATACCGTTACCGATCCCACACGTTGGCTGCATCGAATACTCTTTCCGATCCCAATCCTGACTATTTACCGAACCCGTTCTCACTCCACCCAGCTAGACAAAACCAATACTACAAGCATACTATCCACTCACAAATCGGCACCCTGCCAACAATCCACCCAAGGAAGCGAAAGTGTCAAAAAGACGGGCGGAACATTGACAAAAAAATGCCAACCACCCCTCCGCCAAATTCTCTGCTGTCAAAGGTTGCCCTAGTCACAGGTGGCTCGCACGGCATCGGCGCCGCAACGGTCACCCGCCTCAACGGCTCTGGCGCAACGGTGATAATCGTGGATCTAGCATCAACAGCACACAGCGCACAGGAGTTGATTAATTCCTTGCCCTGCCCGTCAAGATCATGTTTCATGCCCGCTGATATTAGAGATTGGGCTGAGCTGCGTAGCGTGTTTCAATCCGTGCAGCAGCGGTATCAGCGACTTGATTTTGTGGTGGCTAATGCGGGCACTATGGAGCACGAGCCGATCCTACAGGATAGCTATGATTCAAATGGGATGCTGGAGGAACCCGCCGAGGCGTATCGGACGATCGATGTGAATCTGAAGGGGACCTTGAACAGTACGTTTCGTTTCATCTGCCGGTTATATCCCGGCTCCTGGGTTCCCGCTAACTTGTACTTCGCCACTCAGCGCTCAAACTCGCCATCCACTACTTAAAGTCCTCGCCACCCGATAGCCCTCGCTCTATCGTTCTCATCGCCTCAACAGCGGGGTATTTCGACGGCGCAGGGACGCTTGCATATACGGCGTCCAAGCACGGGGTAGTGGGCCTCCTTCGGGCCTCGCAGACTGAGGCAGAGAAGCATAATATTTGCGTGAATGCCATTGCGCCGTTCTTCACGACTACGCATTTGACCTCGGGCATCTCAGATGCGTGGCTGCGAGCCGGTCTCGAGGTGAACACACCGGATACTGTTGCGGAATCGATAGAGGCGACGCTGCTCTCGACAGAGTCAGGGCAGGGATTGTTGGTAAGTGATACTATACCTGCATTTTCCGGTTCCGTTCTTTTGCAGACAGTATTTGCCCATAATTGAGTGTGTATCGCTAACGTGGTGGTCAAGATATCTGGTAAGTATATTCGCGAATTGGAGCGCACAAGACTAGGGCTTTTGTCCTCGTGGGTAGGGGATGATGTAGCTCAGTATATGGGGCGAGCAGGCGATTTCTTCACTACCCTCGGCGGATATATCCTGCCCAAGCCTCGCAACAATTAAATTTTGTTCTATAATAGTGTACTTAAATCGTATAGTTACTTTAGAGTTGAATTGAGAAGTACAAACAATCGATAGGTAATAAGTTTGAGGTAACTATCTATTTACTAACGAGGACATCCGGTATTGGCGAAAACTCAATAATAATCATCATTCATCCAAAAAACCATAGCAGGCGATGGTATAATGACCACGAATCCGTCTGCCAGTCGAGACGTCTTTCCAGTTTCCAATCAATACCTTCAACATGGACCCGAAAAATTGACGCGACGAGGAACCTAGCATTGTGCCTCAGGGGCCATCGCTGCATAGCTGAGGTGCTCGCTTGTCGTGAATGAAAATAGCGTTTTGTGAGTGATAATAGCATGAGCGCTGAACTGGGGTATGCTGATCTTTTATAGAGATGGTCTTTTCCGATGGTACAGAGTCTCAGACTCGCTGATGATCATGAGATCAAATACTCTGCTCCAAATTGATATCTTTTAATTTTCGAGGTGCCGGTTGTCTAACGATTGCATTAAGGCATAGTTTCTATTAACACCAGGTGAGTTGGTAATGACACCAATCCCTTCCTTACTCGGTACTGCTGGGCTCCATGCTTCTTTGAAACCAGTGGGCAATTTAAGCGGGCTTTAAGTTCAGAAAGTGGTCGTAATTATGATCATAATTCTATGGTAACCTAGTAAATATGATGAATTCTACTCAGTAAGCAAAAGCGGCGATCGGGCGAGCACTAAAGGTGAAGGGGAGCGCCAAGCGTTTTCAGATATTATCCGGTATAGCATAATACTGTACGGAGTAATAAGGGGTGACGGTGAAAAGACCACGATTGTGCGTGGCTTTTGGAAGGAGAACCGTGGTCATTTCACCAAGCGCCTCGGACACCACGGCCGGAGCTAATTTAGGCTTAGCGTGACTTCCTTTTACAGTTCCCATGGGATCACCCGGCCAAGTTTATTAATTAGCAGATTCGATTTCGGCATGACAAGGTTAACAAAGGCACCGGTGACCGGGCACATAGACACCTTTTACAATAGGAAATTGCTGCCTGGTATGCCATTCTCAATTCTTGTGTTTAGCTACCTAAATCTCCAAAAACTAAGCAATAAATGCACACAGCCAAGTCCACCAAGATTCCGACTTCGATGTGGAATAGTCCACTGGACCAGAAACCACCAAACCAGGACCCACGAAATAAGCCTCTGCCATTCTAAACAGAAAGGACGGATCCTTATTTTCAAGGCTAGTCTGAAGCTTCCTTGCAAGTTCTGTCTTGTCACTCGCCGTAAGTTCAACGTCTCGGTAGGTGGAACAGCAAATGCACTCGATCGTACAGTGCCCGATGCCCTTCTTCCGCTGAGAATTCAAGTGACGCTGACCACAACATCCGCAACTTCGACTACAGCAACCCCCTCGGTCCGCACAGTCTTTGGTAAGCTCCTTTCTCATGTACCATGCTCCATTCTCTCTTAGCAGATCGTAATTCCGCTTCAGGGGCCACTCAGGGATCAGCTGCTCGTGTTCGTAGAGCTCCAAATCTTGTTTCCAGCACTCTCGCTGAAGCTGCTCCAGCTCAACCTTCCATTCATTAAGCTGGGTGTTATTGTTCTCAATGGTTGCAGCTTTTTCCAGAGCTTTGACTTTATTTTTTACCATATCCACCCGTTGGACTGTAGCTCGGAGACTGTGCTCGATGCAGATAATTCTGACAAATATATCACGACGGCACGTGAGATTAGGACCATATTGAATGCAGTACCTGTATCCACAGTCGGCGACTGCTGAGAATGCGTGACCAGGATTTTCGAGCTTTTTGTTGGTTGGCAATTTCGAAGACATTTGTAAAATCATCCACTGAGGCGCTGGTTCGATAATGTGATAGGAAAGAGGATTCGTGAGAATGAAAGGGAGGGAAAAAATAAGGAAAATAAGATATGGGCTGTGACCGAAGAATGACTCTTAGATTTGCTTCTCACGTCTCTAACCCGCCGCCACAAATGAGAGTCCGCAACCTCGTTTATTATTCTGTGCTAGGGTTTGGCTTGATTTGGCTTAGTTTGGCTTAGGTCCGTCTATTCAAGAGCCGCCATAGAGTAGCTCGTGGCGGGACAATTCATAGTATTATACAATTAAAGAGCTTCCTGAGATCATCATGTGTAGTTCAGTAATCCAATAAAGCCATTGGTATTCAGCACTGTGAAGTTCGGAGGAAGAGGAGATCGCGAAAAAGTTATGTTCCTCTCTGGTTTGAATGGAATGAGAAGTGCTGGAAAGCCATGCGTTGATACGAAAACGAAGGTATATAATTGTATATTTTCAGGTTCATGCTTCAGGCTGCCGGTATCGTGATAACCTTCAAAATCAGAATTCGTCCTTTTTGTTGAGCTGCGAGAGGCTTATCTCTTGGGTCCTGCTCCAACGTACTACTCTACATTGAATTCAGAATCTTGGTGGATTTAGCTGCGCTGCGTGAATGTTGGAATTTCAAGGATCTGAAGTAACTGAAGCGCTAGAATTGAGAGAGGAATAGGTAGCAGATGAGTTACTGATACTGCTGATTCGGCCATTGAGTTGGCTCATAATCATACGGACATTAATTATACAGAGTAAACAAAGGGTGGACCATCAAAGTCCCATCCTGAAGAAAACACAAAAACCCCACAGGGGACCTCACAGGAGAACACACCAAACACTGCACAGAGGAAAACCCTTTTACTGACCCTGGGGACCCTCCTTTTTTACGTCAGCGAGGGAGGCTTGTTTCCACCCAAGGGAAACCCGACTAAAAGGACCTTCCCGCCCACGGTGACCTGTTCCATGGAATCACGGTCGTTGCGACTCTTGTACACAAGCAGGAAGGGTCTGTCGTCTACACACATTGTCTGGTCAGTACAGGACCTGCCAATCCACAAGCCCCATACCCCCAGAGAGTGTAACTTACGTGTCTGCCTGAGGAGGTAAGAGAGTCTCAGGGTCTGCTCATCGGACTGGGCAGCGGCGAGAAAGACACCTAACTCCATCTCCTTTATCTTGAGGCGGTAGTTGGTTCTGTAAAACGATTCCATGTCAGTACTGCAATGTCAAAGTCTCTACATGCCAGTAGAATACGGTATCCCAGGCACCATTCAGTGTCCCAAAGTCGTATTGGGTTTACACCGGCACCATCACACGTCCCAAGTGACTTACATGATGGTAACCAGGTATACAAAGAGGTATCCAAGGCACGCCAAAACGCCAAGCCAATACAGACTATTGATAGAATTCTCGCTCAAGCCGATCAGACTAGCGACGGAGGCGAGGGGAACAGGGCCGCAAGACGAGGAGGAGGCATTGGAGGCAGCGGGGGCTGCGGAGGCTGCGCAGGAAGAGTTTGCAAGAAATTCAGAGATATTCTGAGGAGCCATGTTGTTTGCGAATTGATGTATGAAGGTTGAAGAAGTACTCTACTCTGGGGGCAGGGAGGTATTCAAATGCCCAGATCCCCGTCCATTGCTTCCTGCCATATTAAAACTGCGCTTGCCCTATGTCCTACTATGTGTATTCACTATTTCGAACCCATAATCAACTTTTGTCGTTCGATCTGGCCATGTTTGACGGATTTTAGTCGGATAAATTCCTGGGTTGGCCAGCACGTCTCGGGCCAGTTTAATTTCAGGTCAATTAAGAGATTGTGCTCCCAGATTCAACGAGATCAACGATGGAAATTGAATCAGTTCTGATCAAACCGTCAGCTTGTAATAAAGGAACCATGGAAATGAATTGAAAGGGGGTTGCGGAGAAGGGAAGGGAGGAGGTCAAGTTGTTGTATAGTTGTGGCTCGCAACCAATCAGATAACGGCATTCCAGATCTTGATCTTGACCGTCCAATTAAAAGTGGAGCGCTGTACTTTATTATTTGGCCGTGTTTGAGTCTAATCTTTATTGCAGCGTTTCTGCTTTAACTTCGATCTTGAATATTGGTGAAAGATCAATGGTATTCGATATGGAATCTTGGAAAAACGGCGCATTCTTGTTGTTCTTGTTGTTGGGGTGACCCGGTGGATTTGGTGGTGGTTGCCCATTGCGTCCCTGGCAGGAGGGAGTCCTTCCGAGTAAAGCAGCAACAAAATCATCCATCAAAACAAATATTCCGTCATAGATATGTCATTGAGCTCATAGATATGTCATTGAGCCTTTGCGAGCTGGGGCATACAGGATGGGGTCTAGACCAATATCCATATATTTTTGCAATTTTGACCCAACTTCAAAATGTGACGTCGTGTGTGGTAGGGTAGTGAGTAATGCCACGGGTAGTTAAGGCTACTAATACCGTCGCCCTCGAATTACGCCCCTAAGATAAATTTAAAGCCCTGCTAGATATAGACGATTTTCCCGAATAAGGGAAGGACGAATCCGCGAAGTTGAAGCGGCGATAAAGGGGACTTTATAGAAACACGCACAGCAATAGCAACGCGCAGAGAGGCGCTAAACCCGAAACGGCACGCTAAACTCTGCGTAATTCACCGTCACCGGATTATACGGAGTAATCAAGGGTGTTGATGAAAAGGCCACGATTGTGCGTGGCTTTTGGAGGGAGAATCGTGGAGCGAAAGCTGGGATCAGCGTCGGGGTGGGTGTAGGGGCCCTCGCATTGATTATCATTGCGGCTGGTGTTCTCTATCGAAGAAAGCGACAAGCGAGGAAAGTTGCTGGAACCAAAGATGACAGTGGCCTTGGAGAGTTACCAGGTGTATTGGGTCCTCAGATGAAGTCTTCACATGACCCGCCCTCTGAATTACCAGCAACACCGAGGTATGAGCTTTATGGGAATTCAAAGTGAGCTAGCAAAAGTGCTCTCAATCAAAGCCTCTAGGGCATAAAGGAAGTGTGTGAATAACCATGACAACTGTCATCCCAAGACGGTCACCACTTTCGATATTCTTCAGACTCCCTGAATCAACACGGGCTTCATTACCCAGACCTGTATCTATAGAATTTAGTGCAGAGGCAGCATGCATATAGATATCATATCTATACTCGGTACTTTCTCCTGTAGCACTGCATACCCCATAGTTTGATGCGGTCCTGAAGTACCGAAGTACTTGGGCTATAGTTATGTTTCCCTGAAGCAGGCCTTCCACCTGCAGATAGGCTTGCAGGGCAGCTGTTCCGTTTAGCGGCGGTAGTATTTTTCATATATCGAGTTACATGATTGTTTCCAACCCGTGTATTCGCTTATCGGTATCATTGTTTCATGTATCTTTCTACTGCCCCGAATTCTACCAAAATTGCTGTATCCTTAGGTCACGCAATTATTATTCCAGGTGGCGACTACGAAAGCTGGACGCAATGCAGATCGCTTCTTGCGCATGCAAAAAGTGTATTGCAGTCTCTACATGACGTAATTGAAGATCGATTAAATGCCGCCACCCTCTCATCTAATTGTGAGTGGTTTCTTAGTCTTCAAGGAGCTTACAAAGAGGCAGAGGTGATGCAGCGATGGGGATTAGAGGCACGAGAGAAAGTGCCTTGGACGCGAGCATCCCGACACGCTCACTAGTGTCGATAACCTTGGCAAATTGCTCGATAGGTAAGGGAAATATGATGAGGCAGAAGCGATGCATCGACGGACGCTGGAAGCACGAGAGAAGGTGCTTGGACGCCAGCGTCCTCACACGCTCTCCAGTACGAATAACCTTGGCTGGGTGCTTAGTAACCAAGGGAAATATGAGGACGCGGAAGCGATGCATCGACGAGACCTAGAAGGGTATGAACAGGTGCTTGGTTGCGAGCATCCCTACACGCTCATCAGTGTCAGTAACCTTAGCAGTGTGCTCGACGGCCAAGGGAAATACGAAGAGGCGGAAGCAATGCATCAGTGGCCATGTAGATGAGATTTACATGCGTCTAGACATCAATTGCCTGAAACACTTACTCCTCTGGATATTGTATACATAGCTTGGATCAACACGCCAATCGTAACGCAGTTTCATAATTCCCAGCCTGCATCTATAGCATTTGGGTTAGAGATAATCTACATCGGGATCTAATCTTCATACTTCCCAACTTTTCCTGTAGGGTTGTATACCTTGCAAGTCTGATGCGGCCCCGATCACTTGTACTAGAGTCAACTTTTTCTAGCAGCGTCTCCTATGCGGATCGGGGTTGTGGCGACTGTTCCGGTAAGCGGCGCTAGTATCTTTTACAGTATCATAAATCGAAAAATAGTAATCTAGCGTTCTACCAACAACAAATCCAGCATCACTGGCTGGATCTACTTTGATGCGAAAAGGTAAGTACTGTATCACTATCACAAATGTGCTTCCAACACAAGCCCTACAAGCACCCGGGTTGTCATCATCCGCACCTCTTGAGGAGACTATTGCTTCTTCGGTCGACTTTCCCGCTATTCATATCTTAGGCCTTCTTGATGTTGCTGTGAGAGAATATAGCAGCTGGCAGCAGTCAGGTTTAGGGGATGAGGCATTGAAAGCCGAGGTCAGGAAGGCGTGCGATGTAGCCCTAGATGATGGACTAGATTTGGCGCAGATTGATCTCTACTACCGATCATGGCTCTATTCTTCTTATATCTCGACTCCAAAGGTTGACTGAGCTAGGGAAGTCTTTTCAGCTCAATAGACTGGACTCCAAGGATACAACGGAACTACTCTTGTAAAGTACCCATTTATCAGCCAGAGATATCGTTGACGAACTTAAGAGCAACCGAGGTACCTAAGTCCTTTAATACACAGATCCGAGTGATAGTACTAACTTTAATAGATACCCATACTGTTGCTAGTTGTCTAGATGGACTTCCATTAGCAATCGTAATCGCCGGGGCCTTCATGCGTGAGACTAAAACTTCTACCACCGAGTACTTGCAGTATTACCAAGAATCTTGATCCGAGTTACAGCTACAGTCAAATCCTGAACGCCAGTACCAGCGGGATAATTTACTACAAACATGGATGATCTCATACTATAAGATCCAGAAGCGGGACCCGCACGCGGCGAAGTTACTTCTTTTACTTGCTTACTTCGATAATCGAGGTATCTGGTATGAGTTGATAAAAAGCAGCCACTATAGCTCAGACGTTCCTGTTTGGCTTGAAAGGACTATATCAAGTGGACTCGCGTTTAGAACCGGCGTCAAGAATCTCATCGGCTTCTCTCTGCTTAGGATTAAGGAACAAGTTGGAGGCTATACGATACACCCAGTGGTGCAAGACTGGTGCATTCATCATTCAAGCACAGACACAAATATTGATTCGACCCTGCTCTATGAACTTACACTGATAGCTGTTGGATACAGTGTCCCTAGCCTAAGTGACAGAAATTATTCCGAGCTGCAATAACGGCTTATTCCACACGCAAATTATGTGCGTCATGGGGGCTGGTCACATGACAACATTGACGTTGCGGTATGGGAAGCATTTGATGGTTTAGGGAGTCTCTACTCTGGTCAGGGAAAGCTGAAGGAGGGAGAGAGATGTACCAGCGAGCACTGGTAGGCTGCGAGAAGGCCCTCGGTCCCAATCGCAATTTGACGCAATAGGTTATCCAAAGATTAAATGCGTTAATGATTACGAATTAAAAATAGTCGATTACTGTTACGGTCAAGCGAAAAGATTATGAATCAATTCGGTACTGTTTAAACGAGGCAACTAAATCTAGAGAAAGAAGAAGAGAAGGAAGATTCTAATCCACCCAAAGGGATTGCCTTTATATGGCCCTCCCTTTTCGGCAACTCCCATGCAAACACTTCTCGCCAGTTCGTTCGCAAGACTTTCCGCATCTACGAATCGTAACATTGCCCCCTTGTTTAAAAGGACCTGGCCCTCCAGGTCACGTGCATTCGGGTCTTCCTTTCTGAATCGACCAATCAGATCGCTTTGTTGTCATCTGGGTGATCTGGCTCAAAGCGATCGTTTAATGCAGCTTCAATCCATGCAGTCAATCGTACTGGCGGACCTGGCAGATCTGGGTACTTTCGGTGAAACTCCATCAGCTTTTCAGGCGCATTCTTGTAATCGTGCGCGTAGTACCAATTGTCATCGTCGTTGCCGATCCACTTCGCCTTGTACTGAAGCTTTCGGTAGTGTAGGCGCACTGCCACGATCTCATCGACTTCCCATTCAGGCTCGTCGTCAACGACTTCCGGGGGTTTCGGGTCTTGTAGTTGCCCAGGCAACGGTTCTGTTCGTGCCGCTAATCGGAGTTTCTCTGCCGAAAAAACTGGGTGCACACGAATCGATTCTGGGAGGTCTAGCTTGTACGCATTACCAACCTTCTCCACGATCATGTAAGGTCCACTTGCTTGGTCTGCAAGTTTCCTACCTGGTCGGTCTAGTTTCCAGTGCCTTGTCGTCACAAATACTCGGTCACCAACACCGAAATCCTCTGCCCTACGGTGCCGATTCGCCTGTTGACGCTGACGTTCCTGCGCATGTGTAGCTTTTCTCTGCGTATCTTCCCATATTTCCTGCATCCTGTTGGTGTAATCGCTTGCTTCTTCGTTCTGCGACTCGTTCCTTTGTCGAGGTACAATTTGACTAAGCCAGTCCAAGGCTTCCGCCGGTTTCCAATCAAAGGACACCCGGGGTTCATACCCTCGTTCAACAAAGAAGGGTGAGACTCCCGTCGTTTCCTGGGGTAAAGCTGCGAAAGCGAAGTCTATCATTGCAAGATAGTCTGACCAGTCGTCTTGGTAGTAACTCACGAAAGGTCGTAGTCGCTGTGCCATATACTGATTCACAATCTCGCTTTGACCGTCCGTCTGGGGGTGATGAGAAGTTGATAGTTTTCTTTCAATTCCGAGGATTCGACAGAACTCCTTCCAGAATCCTGATACAAACTGAGGCCCTCGGTCGGAAACAATCGACTCTGGCAATCCTACCCATCGATAGACATGGTCCACGAATAACCGGGCTGTTTCCTTTGCATCAACATCTTCGTGACAAGGTATCGAAATTGGCCGTTTGCTCAGTCTGTCCACAAAAACGCAGACGGTATCATATCCTCTGCGGTCTTTCGGGAACGAGCGGAAATCCATCGTGAGATGTTGCCACGGTCTTCCAGGGATCGGTAGGGGTTGTAGTAATCCTGGGGTTCGGTCTCTCCATGCCTTCGTCCGCTTACAGATTTGGCAGTTATCCACATATCGTTTCACGTCGTTAATCATCTCTGGCCAGTGGTATCTGGCTGTAAGCATACGCTTCGTCTTTTCGATTCCGGGATGAGCGATTGACGGTTGTCGGTGGATTTCATCTAGTAATCGTGCGCGTAGGTCGCCTTCGTCGGGAACTACAAGCTTCCCTTCATACAGCAGTAGTCCTTCTTCTATCGTCCATTTCTGATCAGAATGCACTAAGTCACGATATTCGAGAAGACTCTCGCTTGTGCGGTTCGCTGATATCACCCTTTCGACCACCGGGGATAACACCGTTCTTTTCAAAATCTCGGTGTGTCTCGGAGTCGCTGGACTAGCTCCGTTAGGAGCAAATGATCCCGTAAGTCCGCAGGAGACGGGGGTGAGCTCCACGGGCAGTGGATCATCTGGATGGGTACCCTGCTCTAGTGCTTCTCGGGGTAACAGGATCTGTTCGGCTCGCTGGCCGGTCGGTCGGTCCTTTCGAGACAGTGCGTCGGCCACCACATTGCCCTTCCCTGGGCGGTAGCGGATTTGGAAGTGAAACCGTGAGAGGGACTCTCCCCAGCGTACTTGTCTTGCGTTCAGCATTCGAGTAGTCATAAAATACTGGAGGGATTGGTGATCAGTCCAGATATTAAATCGATCTGTACGTTGTAAGCCCTCCAGTTCGGCTCGCCACTCTTCCAGTGCGCGGATAATCGCCAGCATCTCCTTATCGTGGGTGTAGTAGCTCTGCTCCGTAGGATTCATGGTTTTTGAGAAATACGCCACTGGATGCCAACCGTCGTTCGCTCCCTTCTGCGAAAGAACAGCGCCTAAACAACCATCCGAGGCGTCGGTTTCGATCTGCGTGAGTGCGTAAGGGTCATAGTGTGCCAGTACGGGCGTGGTCGTCAGCATGTGCTTTAGCTTCTGAAAGGCTGCTTGGCACGCGTCGTCCCATTTAAACTGCACTTCCTTCCTGGTTAATCGGTGTAAAGGCCTGGAAATCTTACTGTAGTCCTTGATGAATCGACGGTAGAAGTTGCACATTCCTAAGAACGATTGCACGCCTCTGACTGTACTCGGCGACTGCCATGCGTCGATCACTTCAATCTTGGCAGGGTCCACGCGAATGCCGCTCGTTCCGATAATAAAGCCTAAGAACTTCGTCTCCATAGTGTGGAACTCACACTTCTGGATAGCTACCTGTAGGCCTGCAGCTCGCAATCTGGTTAGGACCTTTCTAACGTGCTCAACGTGCTGCTGCTCGTCACCCTCTGTGTAGATCAAGATATCATCGATAAACGCGGTGCAGAAGTCGTCCAGATAATCTCCGAGGGCATGGTTTATGTATCGTTGGAAGGTCGCGGGTCCATTCGTCAATCCGAAAGGCATCACTTTGTATTTATACGAACCATATCGAGTGCGGAAGGTCGTCAAATCTTCGGATTCCGGGTGCATCCGAATTCTGTGGAAACCCTGCTGGATATCCAACTTGGTAAACCGCTTTGCCCTCCCTACTCTTTGTAGTAGTTCGTCAATCAAAGGGATAGGGTAACGGTCTTTCCTAGTCAGTTCGTTTAACTTCCGGTAGTCCACGCAGAATCGGAGGCCTCCACCTGGTTTCATGGCCATTAGGATTGGTGAGGCGTACGGTGCTGTGGAGGGTACTATAAACCCTTTCGCGAGGTTTTGCGTGATGTAATCCTTAGCAAAGCGTAGTTCTTCTTCACTCATTTTGTACAAGGGACAGTAATTCAAGTAGACAGATCCGTCGAGTTCAATCCTGTGATCGGGACTACCTCTCAGTGGTGGCAAAGTATTTGAATCGATCTTAGAAAAGACATCGATAAACTGATGATAGGCAGTTGGGACACGCGCACGAATCTCCTCAGCTTCTAGTGCATGTTCTGGGCTCTGCTTCTCTTCGAGAATTCGATCAATCTGGGCTATCGAGGTTACGAACGTCTCTGTTCCTTCACGTTGCATATGACGGTGGAAGCCGACTCCTCCGATCGCTGCAATCTCGATACCTTTCCGGGGAAGATCGTCGACCTCAAGTCTCTTCTTCTGGGAAATAACTAACTCGTCTCGGAGAGATCGGTTCATCTTGCCCACTGAGTCTTCTTGGTGGGAGGCTCCATAGGTTGTTCGAATCGTTCTTCGGGATTCCTTCACGATCTGGTCTTCTATTAACTGGTCTCTCCGGTCTGCGTCCTTCTGGTGGAGATCGTTGACTAGTGGTCGCTTCAGGATCTGCCTCGGGATAGGTTTCACCATGCCAGTTTTTACCTGGTCTTGTAGCGAGGGCTGGTCTGGCCACAAAAGCCTTCGGTTCTTGCAATCAGGAAGTATCCTATAGGTTTCGAACCATATCCTTCCGAGAATCAGGTCATGGTTTCCAAGATCCGTCACCAACATAGTCTGACGTTGTTGTACGCGCTGACCAATCATCAACGAGAGTTTCACTGCGTGGGTAATCGGTTCTCGTAAGGATCCGTCAAACCCAGTGATCGGACACTCTCGGGGGAGTCTTCTGGTCCGTAGGCCTAGGCCATTAATCATTGTTTTCACAAGGTCGTAGTCGATAAAGATATACCCATCTGCTCCGGTATCTGCAAGGCAAGAAACGCTCACTGTTCGTCCATTGATAGCTACTCTAGCTTGAAAGGTTAAACTATCTTCTGCAGAGGACAACAGTTTCCGTAAATCCACCTTTGACACCATCGAACCTGGGATGGAGACTTGCCCCAGGTTTACTCTTTTCCCGAATCGCTATCGTTCTCTTCCGCGGCTTTCAGGTCGTCCGTCTTCTTCAAATTCGAATCCTTTCGCTTCGGTTCGGCGGCGGCGGCAGCACTTATGGGGGTGGACTTCTTGGTGGGGCAGTTTCGAGAGATATGGCCCTGTTCGCGGCACACAAAGCAACGTCCTTCCTTTAGGAGGGTAGCCTTCTCCTTGTCATCAGGGCGGTTTGAGGGTTTCGAGTTCTGTGGGTCGCTTGGAGTACGATTCGAAGGGTTCGTACGGTTCGGGTTACGGTTACTTGCACGATTGGCGATCTGCTGCGAAATTAAACGGGCAGCAATCTGACACTTCTGCACGAACTCTTCAAGGGTAACAGAGCCTTGACCTGCATCAATCATCACCTGGTTCTGGAGGAGGGCAGGAAGCTTCCGGTACAGATCACGCTTTCGAAGATCCACAGGCTGTTCGGCCTCCTCCGCAAGGTAGGTAAATTCGGCCAGGAAATCACCGAAATCCTGCTTAGGCTCCATCTTTAGGGCGAGGTAATCGTCACGGGCAACTTGCTGATGGTTCGGGTCGTGGAAGACACTCTGTAGGTGGTCGAAAACGTCCTGCGCAGTTCGGTACGCGGCGGTAGCGTCTTCTTGCATTCGGGGGTTGATGTGTCGGAGTGCCTTTCCTTCGCAGCGACTACTCACGTACGCGAGCTGGTGGGCAGAAGTTGGATAGTGGTCCTCGTTCAATAGAAGCTTACGCTTCATCTCGGTCTTCCAATCCTTGAACTTCACATCCTTTCCGTCGTTGAACATGGGAGGGTCAGGCATCTTGGTTGACTTCCTGTTACCAGCAGTAGAAGGGGTCACCGAGGCTTCTCGCAACACACGGTTATCGTCGGTTCGCATCATATTCATCACGGTCAACAGGCTATCACGCTCCTTCCGGAGGGTTTCAGTTTCAGTTCGCATTCGGGCGTACTCCTCCTCCACCTGCTGGTCACGGGCAACGGAATCCTCTCGTTCGGTCATTGAGACAATCTGCTCACGGAGGTCGACGATCTCTTCTTGGTGGTCGGCGGTCAGGGCAGCAATCTGGCCTTTCAGGTCTTCGATATCCTTCATGCGGTTGCACAAGACCTTCCATGCGGTCTCGGGGTCTTTCTGGATCCAACGGATCAGCTCGTCGGTATCGGTCACCTCGATCTTCTCAGCGTCGGGCTGCTCATCGAGGGTCAGGGATCTTCTGCCACCACGGCGGGGGCGTTCGGTCACGTTGCTAGCCATCTTGGTGCAACGGTTCTTCGTAGGTTCGTTCGGTTGAGTGGTGTAGTCACTAGGTAGCTAGAGAGCACGTATGTACGCGTCTCTTCGCTCAGCCAGTGACTAGAAGGAAAGATAAAGGGTGAGATTTAGTTGTATGTTACGGTCAAGCGAAAAGATTATGAATCAATTCGGTACTGTTTAAACGAGGCAACTAAATCTAGAGAAAGAAGAAGAGAAGGAAGATTCTAATCCACCCAAAGGGATTGCCTTTATATGGCCCTCCCTTTTCGGCAACTCCCATGCAAACACTTCTCGCCAGTTCGTTCGCAAGACTTTCTGCATCTACGAATCGTAACAATTACTGTGCCCCGCCTATACTGTACATACTTTTGTCCAGTGGGTCCCCACAATAGTAGTTGGTTGAGTACATGGTCTCCCCTCGATTAAGGCGCAGCCGCAATTAAAATATAGAGGGTTTCTCAAGAGGCTTACATGCTAATCTGTCTAATCTCTAACTAGCTAAGTTAGTTAGGTTAGTTACCAGAAATGATGACTAAACGGAGTTTAGGGGCGACCTAATATTGCGGAATAACGGTCGCAGTTGTGTATACTAATCAGTATTTCAGATCCACATCGTGCAATCTTACATTAGGAGCTGATGCTATCAAACGGATCTTCTCGAAACAAGGCAACGGAGCATCCCAGATTGGATTTGCAGAGATGGACTAAATAGTACTCTTGCTCATCCTAATTAGGAATAGTTGTCGAGCTGACGCAGAATTCATGAAATCCGGAAGATCGCGGTGCAAACAAAACAAATATGACGTTATGTCCCGGGTGTCAGAGAGATGTTCCTGTGCCCGCAATCTAACTTCACTGAATTAACTTAACCTCAATCTAGCCCCTTTCACGTACGATTACCTATAGTCTAGAGCCCACTACCCTCGGCGGAAATCTGACAACCGTTTCGACATGATCATGCTCCCTGAGCATCGGGGTGAGCGACCCGTAGTCATGATTCTGCGGGTTTGCATAATGGTCGTTCAGCGCCTGTTCACCCATACCGCAATCCCGTACTCCTTAATCGCTGCCGACGCCATCGCTTCCTCTAGGTACGGCTCACAAACAGGTAGGGTTTTCAAGTCTTCGGGTTTTGCAATCTCCACTAAGCACAATTACTATATTAGCTAATGACAGCTCATTGCTATTTGGGGGCCATCCATTCGTCTAAGACCGAGCGTGGTTCTTCACCTAATCATGGGGCAAAGAATATTATGCTAGTCTGCGAATGGTGTTAACGTGAGTATTCCGTAGCCACTAGATCCTAGCGGATCTGATTGTCTACTAGTGTATATACGTAGAAGTAGGCCCACAAAACTCAGCCTTCGCGCTCCGCTTAGAGAACACGTACCCCCGCCGTTGCGTGTTTGTCGCGGGGCAAAGCATTTCCTAGGCTCGTAACGTATTGCTTCCATCTCCCCTCCAAGACCTTTGTCTCCTCTCCAAAATCCCCTCTTTCTTATATACCCATGGTCACACTTGCTGTCTTCATGAGTCAACTATGTCTGTCCCTAAAGAATACACTGTTGGTTGGATTTGCGCCATTAGTACAGAGTAGCAATGTGTACAAAGCAGGTGTAGTTCAGTCCGGGAGATATTTTTGGTCCAACACAAAGCCATAATACTGACTCACTTGATGCTGGTCCGATGTGCTTAGACTTATATCAGTTAGTGGCTATCCATTAAGTCTCCGATCTCGGTCTTTGCTGCCCTAAAAGCAATGAGTTTAAAGGTTTAAAGAAGAGGATTTTGACCCATTCCAAATTTCAAGCTACATATGATATGGAATGCCCACCTCTAGAGATATGATCGCACGCCGTTTGTGGCAAGAGGGCACCGGAAGGATCCAGATTCTGCATAAAGTCGTAACCCACGTCCTCCAAACCTAACGCCTGTACCACATACGCGTTACCCGAGTCCCCCGAATCTTCTTCTGAATCAGAAATATTCCGTAAACCAAGGCTTCAGCAGTTGGAGGACCTTTCAATGTGTTCAATAGTCAGTCGGGCACAACATGTACCATATATAAGCTGGGGGATATGCCACTCACATCCGGGAACGTAGACGTCAACAGGCACAACTCGATCGCAACCTCGGACAACGGAGTAGCTGTAGTGATAATATCCGCCACCGTTTGCACAGCTGCCCATGCTGATGACATATCGTGGCTCAGGCATCTGGTTGTAGACCTGACGAAGTGCTGGTGCCATTTTGTTGGTGAGGGTTCCTGCGACAATCATAAGGTCTGACTGGCGCGGCGAAGCACGAAACAAAAGGCCCAGTCGACCAACGTCGTACCGCGGTCCGGCGACATGCATCATCTCCACGGCGCAGCAGGCAAGGCCGAAGGTCATCGGGTAGAGGGAGCTCTCGTGAATCCAGTTGGCGACTTTATCGAGGGTGGTCCTGAACATCCACCACGTTCGTCAGCTCTTGTAGCAAAAACAGCTAACCTTTGGGTCACCAACAGGGCATATTGGACCATGCTAGTTGATGCTTCCTCGCTAGGTAGAGCGGCGTCCTTTCGAACTTGTCCACTGGCGGTCAGGGCATGCTTCAGTCGTTGACCTTGCACCGGAACCTGGCTGGCTATGGTGAACATGTTTGGAGACCATTGTCGGGCTTGAGGAATTCGGGAGTCTGTTAGCTTAACCTCGCTGATTTTGCCGGTATCATATACTCACATTTGAGTCCAGTGGCTATCATTGCCCTGGTGAGAGCGGCGCGCATCATGCGTGGGAACATGGTGACAGGATGGGTATCCGAACGTCGGAACAAGGGTTTGTGTAGACCTTGGACAGGAAAGTGGGAAATTGCGACGATTCAGTCAACCCAGATCCGACTCGGTCTGTAGGGAGAATGAAGAAGAAGAAATCAAGCGACCGTGGCCAGGGATCGTTTGATAGGTGATCAAGGAAGTTCCCATAAGGAAGTTCCTCAGAAACAAACAAGCTCATTCACCGAATGATGCTTCACCCCTGGACATTTCTCCAATTTTTGCAGCAGATACACTAATAATCTGGTCATGAACCGAGTCGCTCCTACCAAATGGCACAAATCTCGCTCAGAAAGGGATTGATAGAAGTATATTATACTTCCCGATGAGGTATATCTTACGAATATAGGGTCAATACAACAAAATAGTTATTTTACCTCTTTCCGTGAGCAAAGCTGGAGGTAATATGTGTAAATTACCGTAACATTATCATAGAGCTAAAGAATTCGTCAAAGAGAATACCGTATTGAGTAGCTTCATATCCTTAAAAGCAAAAAGGCCATTCCAACTGGACAATTCGACAAGCCAATCCTCATGGCTCGAGAGTTCCCCACATGAGCTGATGCCTACACTCTATCCCCAAGTTGCTCTGGTTGGTCTCCACTTGGCGGGTGTTGCCTGACAAGTGGCCAGGCAGCAGCCCCTAACAGCCTGATCTTTCAGGCCAACAACACTGCCGCATGTCTCATAGTTGACACTTAAAAAGCCGACGAGCTCAACTCACTTTCTCTTTCTCTCTCTAATATTCTTGCATCAATCGCATCTTTCCTTCTTCCTCCTTCACGGTCTGGTACTTGGTGCATAGCGTTGGAGTTTCAGCTTTTCTCTCAACACCCTTCGACCACGCTACTCCACACGCCCTCGTATTCCCTCGGCCTTGGCCATCTCATCTCCCCCTTTCCCCCCAACCTGACTTTATTTCCCCATACATCCTGTCGCTATTTTCTTGAACACACACACAATGGCTCCTCGATCATTCAAAAATACGGTCATGGCCGTCAGTGGCACTTTTCCGGGCTACAAGCAGGGTAAGGAGCTGAGCGCGGGTCTCGGGGGATACCGACTGACCCCACGCGAAAAGTGGAGATGAGGCTGATTTTCCGTGTTTTCTCCTTGCAGCTGATATTAAAGCTCTCGTGGAAAAGCATGGTGCTACGTTTAGCTCTTCGGTTACCGATCAGTGTACTCACTTGATTACTACGCCCAAGGATGTTGAGAAGAAGGGTACCAAATGTGAGCATTGACCTGACAATTTAATTTACCAGTTTATTGTCCTGGAGATTTTGATGTTGACAGATTGATTCTAGACCAAGCAGCTTCCAACTCTGCCACTTGTCAAATTGTGTCGATTGACTGGCTAGTGGAATCAGCGGCCAAGAAGAAGCCCATTGCTGAAAAGCCGTATCTGCTAGATGCGGGCACTACCGCTGATGTCGCTGCTGCTGATGGAGCCGATGACACCAAGCAAAATGTAAAGAGGCCAACTCGCAAAGCTGCGACAAAGGCCGCCGACAAGGATTCCAATGATGCCGACGGCCAGGACGCCAATGGGGATGACAAAAAAGCCGTCAAGAAGGGCGCCAAGTCTGCGTCTGCGACAAAAGCTGATAAAAAGCGGGCCATCAAAGATGAAGATGATGAAGATGAAGCTGAAGACAAGGCCAAGGTCACCAAGAAGCTGAAGAGTTCGCAAAAAGCTTCTTCCAAATCTGTGGTTGTCCCCGTGGATGAGAATTTCATCTACGAGAAGCCCAACTTCAAGAGTGAGTGACCAGCTTTGCTACCTTGATTCTTAATATTGACAGTTCCGAACAGATCCCCAGGTCTACATTGACAAATCGAACTTGATCTGGGACGCCACTCTGAACCAGACAAACTCCACTGCCAACAACAATAAGTTCTACCGCATTCAGATCCTGACTACTCCGGATACCAAGAACTTCGTGGCCTGGACCCGCTGGGGACGCGTCGGTGAGAACGGCCAGTCTGCATGCCTTGGCGATGGCTCCCTAGACAGCGCGAAGAAGAACTTTGAAAAGAAATTCAAGGACAAGAGCGGTCTTGCATGGAAAGACCGTCTCAGCACTCCTCGGAATAACAAGTACACTTTCCTCGAGCGCAACTATGAAGAGGACGACGAAGAGGCCGAAAAGGAGAAGGAAAAGAAGGCTGTCAAGAAGGAGCCCACCGATGACAGCCCCCCTGTGGAGAGCAAGCTGGAGAAGCCAATCCAGGACCTGATGGCCTTCATCTTCAACCAGCAACACATCAATTCCGCACTGGCATCGATGTCTTACGATGCCCAGAAGCTCCCCCTGGGCAAGCTCAGCGAGAGAACTCTTAAGGCGGGTTTCTCTGTGCTTAAAGAGCTGGCCGAGTTGCTGGTCGATCCATCCCTCGCGATTTCCCGCTATGGCACTACCCTTGGACCTGCTCAAGAGAGCTTGAGCAACCGGTACTTCACCCTGATTCCCCATGTCTTCGGCCGCCAACGACCCCCGGTCTTGGTCTCAGACGCTATGATCCGGAAGGAAGTCGAGCTTCTGGAGGCATTGACGGATATGGATGTTGCGAACGAGATCTTGAAGGACTCAAAGCAGGCAGACGAAGTACACCCGCTGGATCGTCAGTTCCAGAGTCTGGGCATGGAGGAGATGACACGCCGTAAGTACAATATTGCCTGGTACTACAAGATTTCAAACTAACAATTCCAAGTGGACCCCGAATCAACCGAGTTCAGCGAGCTATCTGACTACCTGAACAACTCCCGCGGCGCCACACACAACCAGGAGTACCAGGTACATCCCCCTCCCTCCATCCCCTTGCCCTCTTTTCAAACCAAACACACTAACCAAACCCAGGTAATCGACATTTTCCGCATCGAACGCCAAGGCGAAACAGACCGCTTCACCTCCTCCCCCTTCTCGAAGCTCGAAAACAGCGACCGCCGCCTCCTCTGGCACGGCTCCCGCAGCACCAACTTCGGCGGCATCCTCAGCCAAGGACTCCGCATCGCACCCCCCGAAGCCCCCGTCAACGGCTACATGTTCGGCAAGGGCGTCTACCTCGCCGACACATCCAGTAAATCCGCCAACTACTGCTGTGCCTGGAACAGCGCCAACACGGGCTTACTCTTGCTCTGCGACGCCGAGCTGGGTGCTCCCATGTTCGAACTCGCCCGTAGCGACTACCATGCTGGGGAGAATGCGAAGAGTGAGGGGAAGATTGCTACGTTGGGTATGGGTCGTGATATCCCCGGTGGTTGGAAGGATGCGGGCGTTGTGAATGGGAATTTGGAGGGGGTCAAGATTCCGGATGTGGGTGTTGGGTCGGTGCAAAGGGAGGATGCGCATGTGTACTTGCAGTACAATGAGTACATCGTTTATGATGTTGCTCAGATTCGGCAGCGGTATTTATTTTATGTTCACATGCGCTGAGTGATGTGGAGAGGAGAGGCGTGGGTGCGCTTCCAGCTGGATGTTGTCTTCTGGCGTTTGACAAAACTGATATCGGGCCTTGCACTGCGATGGAGTTGAGATTTATCGGTTCGGGAAATGTTCTTTATTTTTTAGCTCATCGGCTATGTTTCAATGGATATCAATGTATTTCTAAACATGATTGAAACAGGACTGGTAGCATGGAAGGAGTTCAGAATGTCGCTTCATGACATAAGATATTTTTCATGAGATAGGCATAGTGAAGTGCAATGGTAAGATATCCACTCGCTTCTAAGAGGTGTATGATAAAAATGCAAAGAATAGAAATGCTCAAGTCTCCCGCCCATCCAGCCTCAAAATACTCATAATCGGCGCATCACATCAGTTCCATCAAATCCCAACCACAAAAGCCTCCATATCGACCGAGCGGACATCGGAGAGCGACTGATCAGAGACGGTTTCGTCTGCACCGAACACACGCCCGCAGTCTACAATCTGGACATTCTAAAATGAACTCTTCCATGATTGTATTGCATATTTCGCACGCGTGTTCACCCTCGATAAGCGGCCATCGTTCAGGGTGGTCACAGACCTGGCCTTGGCGGATTCTGTTCACAACCCGTTGGACTGCTTGTGGATTTGCAGCCGCTGGCCGAGCCACTTGTGCGTTCTGCGGGGCTTGCCGAGCAGCAACCACTTCTGCTCGCTCGACGAGTCGAGTTTCGTCCCATGTTGCGCATTCGCAAGTCTTCCACCGTTTGGCGCAGGCGTAACAGAATTCGTACCCGCAACGGCAGCTGATGATCAATCATTTCGTTAGTCACCTGGATTTCTAGAGCACGACCTTATTATAGAGCATACGTACGTAATGTGGTTGCAGCCAGTGTTCAATTCAACGACATGACCGCACCGACAGCGTTGCCAGTTTTGCTCAGCTGCAACGTCTAGAAGGTCATCATCCGCCGTTCGGCATCGCCCCTTGTGGGACTCCCTCTTGCAGATTGTGCAAGTCTTTGCTTGACACTTTCCGCAAGTTCCGACGTAGCCAGATACGCGATCTGGCAGGATGTACGCGGAGCACGTCCTGTTGGAGCAATACGTCTTTTCCGGGTCCGCACGCTCGATGCATTTTTCTTCATATCTGCGCGTCAGATCCGGGCCGATAAGCACGCTGATAATTGAAAGTGGGAGGGTCATGCGGCAGCACCGCGGGGGAAACAGCGACTCGTCGATGATAGATTGTTCAACAAGTTGAACCAGGCAGACCGCACAGTAGTGGTGCGCACATGGCGCTTGGATGATATCAATTTCGTCGCTGGCATCATTACATGCGACGCACACACACTGTGGAGCAGTCGAGAGATGCTGCAGCTTAGCCATAGAAGATGGCTCAGGCGACTCGCCTCTCTTGCGCTTGTTGATGCCTGCCTCACTTGATTCACAGTCCGGGGGATCTTGAGACGGTTTCACTCGCTTAGATGCCTCGGAGGCATCAGGGCTTTCAGACCGAACTCTCTTTCGCGCGGTAGGGCAGTTTGGCCCCGCAGCCGTACTCGATCCAGCAGTAGCACTTGGACCAGCGAGTGCTGCGTTCATTTGATAAATCCTCTCTCCGTCGAAAGGCACCGAGTCAGTTTCTTGGACCCTCCCACCCATCCGAGCAAGACGCAGGGCCAATTGGCGATCGGCACGTGCTCTAGCTTCCTCTTGCTGGAACAACGTGATTGCTGCTCCGTCATCGCGAACGGCTCGATCAAGGCTTCTGGCCATGGCGATATCGATCTCGAGCTGCTCTTGGTTCCCGAGCTCTTGATCCCACTCCTCAAGAGCGACCTCAATATCACTGGGGCCCAGTCTCGGCTGCTTGCCCTTTGTCGTACTCATCATTTCATTGAAGTCCTGATGCAGAAGTTGGCTGATAAGGGCTGCTGATTCGGGGTCGATAGTTAATAACGGACGTGCGGGGGTTGATGTGGTGGTCTGGCTTTCCTGGGCCTTGGTCGTACCTCCGATGGAGTGGGAAACTCCATTGGAAGTAGGAAGACCTGCGGGCGTGGGTGGGTTTGTGGAAATAGGCGGCACCGAGGGAAAAGGTTCCTTTGTAGGAGGGGGTGTATCGGGAGAACGGGGCTCACTTGCTGGAGCAGGCATCACAGTCGAGGTGGCCGGAGGTGAGAGCTTAGATGCAGAGGGTGGTGATGTTGAGGAAGACGCTTTCTCTTCGGTATCCGACATCCTGACAGTGTATAAGTTGACTTGAGATCAATATTCTGATAGAATCTCGAGAAGAGTGATGATTTTGGATGGAGGAGGGATGGGAAGGGGGAAAGGTGGAGGTTGGAGAAGGTGAAGTTCAATCGTGGAGGAGTGGTGAGCTATCTCTCACTTCACCCCCCTTCCTTTTACGCCCCGCCGAGGACGACCATACCTCTGACCCTTGGATACAGTAGTCAAGTGACCTACATGAATCGGTTCAAAAATTAGATGGTTTTAAAAATACACCATTTCTCGTAAACGCGACATCGTCGTGTCTATCAATCTGGGATGACAGCCAGACCATGTTCTGTATAAGCCCCAGGCGGTCGCCATGTAGTCATTAAAGCTACGTTCCAGTGGAATATTGTGCTTTTGAAATTATCATATTATATTGAAGAGTATCTTCCACTTCGAAATGTTGGTATGATCTATGAAGCGCATGGCATCGAAAATGATGCCGTAGACTACCTCACGAGTGCGTATCATTGGTTTTAAGCGAGCAACAGCTAATCCTCCTTGCCCAAGGAGTTCCAGGGACCGTGAGTGTCACAATGATAATGATAAGAATCCTTTGATCTTGGCCTGGAGTGGTCGTAGTGCAATTGAGTGTCTCATTTCTGGGATTTTCCGGCTGGGGAAAGAGTATACAAAGTCTTGGCATCTCAATCTACGTCTTTCCTTTATCAGGTTAGCGTACTCCTCGACGAATCCCCGGATCTCGGAGCTCTCTAGTCTCTAGTAATCTACAAGACATCCTCATTTACCCCATGAAATGCTGTCCCCCTCATTACCGAAGACAAACGCAACACCCCCACAACCCGTTCGAGTCGAAGCCGAGGACAATCCCGATCGGGAACCCGAGACGCGAGGCGCTAAACCATACATGGTGATTAGCCGGGGCACTAACCGCTTTTGTCGAGGCATAGCCTACGCGCGCCTTCTTTGGTGAGTGTTTTCTCGGTGAGTACCTCGATATTATTTCACGATAACCAAAGCAAAAAAGAATGGGGTGGATTACTTATAGCATTGCAAGGGCCTAGATTGAGATTTAACCCCTCCTCTGTGATTTTCAGAATTGTCTTCTCCAACATTCATCACTCGATATATCGCTGCACTCTCCACTTGCACACAACCAGCAAGACAGCATACAATCGCCAAAATGGGCATCAAATCCACAATGACCACCCAACCACACATCTGCGTCATCGGCTCCCTAAACATCGACTTCGTAACGTCAACCCCCCGCTGCCCGGGCGCCGGCGAAACCCTCACAGCAACCTCCCTGACCGTCACAGCCGGCGGCAAAGGCGGAAACCAAGCCACAGCCTGTGGCCGCGCCTCCTTCACAACGAACACCACCCAAGACGCATCCGTCAGCATGATCGGCGCCGTCGGCGCAAACGACGTCTACTACTCGACCCTCCTCAGACCCGCGCTGGAGAAATCAGGCGTTAGCACGGCGGATATTGAGGAGTCGAGTGTGGCGCAGACGGGTTCGGCGACTATTATCGTTGAGGAGGGTGCTGGAGGCGAGAATCGGATTCTCGTTGTGCCTGGCGCTAATCATGCGGGCGTTATGGGGGATGTTGGGGCCATTGTGGATGTTGTTAGAGGCCAGAGTGTTAGACCTGGTGTTATTGTTTTGCAGGGTGAGATTCCCAGGGAGACTACGTTGGGGTTGTTGGAGTATTTTAATGGTGGCGGTGTTGGGTTGGGAGAGGAGAAGGTCCATGTTGTGTTTAATCCAGCGCCTGTTTATCCGGAGGGGATTTCTTTGCAGGCGTTGAAGCATACTTCGGTGCTTATTATGAATGAGACTGAGGCTGTCCAGATGTCGAGGTCTATTGCGGGGTTGCCCGTTTCTGACTCGACTCAGCCGACGGACTTGGATGATTTGCAGCCTGAGGAGCTGGCGCCGCGGTTCCATGAGACTGCTGACGTGCAGCTTGTTTTGATTACTTTGGGTGCAAAGGGTGTTTATTACTCGACTCGCAGTGGTCGTCGGGGTGCTGTGCCCGGAATGCGGGTTCCCAAGGTTGTTGATACCACAGCTGCTGGTGACACATTTGTCGGATACTTCTCGACAGCTTTGGCACGGTTCCTCGCCAGAGGAGAGCCCCTGGAGGCATTCGACAGCGAGATCGAGAGCTCCGTGAAGACTGCCAATGCCGCGGCTGCCAAATGTGTCGCTGCGCCAGGTGCAATGCAGAGCATTCCTTTTGCCTATGACCTAGAGTGAAAGAAATATGTGACAACATAGATACTCGAGAAGCTTGATATACAGATTAAAAGGAAGTGGCGTCTTGGAGTATACATGATAGAAATGACATTACATATACATATCATCCGAATCCTCGTCAAATCGTGCAATTTTCCACCCAGATTGAAGCGCTTCTGTCTCGTGGTCCAATTTGATCCCAGTCGTAGCTGTGATCTTGCGGAATATTCCCATCAACACTGCCTGCTGTGACTGGTGGGTCATATCTCGTGCAATCAGTAGGAGACTAGCAACGAGAACAGGATCCCATTGCTCGGGTGACTCATTGCTCGCTGCGATGCCCGCAATTGATTGTGCGTGCCAGATGTGCGACGTAAAGCAGCGTGGCCCCGGTAAAGATTTTAGTAGTCGAGGTTTGTGCCCCAAGAGCAGAAGCGATGTGATGTGATACACAGCATTGGCGACCAGCGCCATGGGTGTAGTGTAGATCAGGATTGGCAGGGCTGAGTCATGATTTGGATCGATCTTGTCTGCTTCGCCACCGCGGACATCCACAATCTGTTGTGCGTCAATCGGGCGCTCGTTATACCATTTCTGGCAGTCGCTCCAGAGAAATGTCCATTGTGACAAAAAATGAGATTGTTGAAGGGCAGGGAATGCTGCGAATTCTGAAGGGGTAGCGGTTTGGGGAAGTGATACGTCGGGGCCACCATAGATGAGGGACAGGCAATGACCGAGCAGACATAGTGCATGCTTGTAGACTTGATTGATGGAGCGTGGTCGAAGAGGGCGGGGTATTTGAATTGGTGAACCGTCGCGGTTGAGGTAGGATTGGAAGGGAATGATTGGTTGTTTCGCGGTGAGGATCGAAGCTGCCAGGTCGAGTCTGAAATGGAGCCAGAAGACTCCCTCTCCTAGCTCCTCTTCCAAGGCGGCCGGGTGTAGCAGGCCACCAGGGGACTGTATGTGCGGTACGAGAATGTTCCTCCAAAGCTGTAGCCCGGACGGTAGAAGATCTTGGAGAAGTAGCAGTACCTGTCCAGCATGCCCGATCACTTGTGATTCTAGGTCAAGACAGTCTTCTGCCTCGCCTCGAAAGCGCAGGCTGCTATCTAGATCGTCGATATGTGACGGAACGGAAATAAGTGGCCGTTGGGTGGCAGCTAAAGCGAGTATCGCTGCCTGCAAAGGCCGGTTTGTTCGAGAAAGTAGGAGGACTTGAATTCCCAGAGCGCAGTCGGGATCTCCGACATCGATCCAAGGGCCAATGTGATAGCGAAAATGTCGGAGAAGGTCTGTTTCATGATTGCTGCTCGATAATGTTGTCGTTCGAGATGATATCTGACCAAGGAGTCGGGGAACACCCTGATTGAACGACTTAAGGGGTTGGAATGACGAAGGTCCTTGATGCGACTCGACGGGCACGTTTGAGGTGAGAATGTGGTTAAAGTCAAGAGCAGTGCGAGTTTCGGGCAGGTCGTGATATACAGTTGCATCTCCAGGATTGGAAATCTCTGATTTTGCGTAGCTACTGGCTCGTAGTTCCGATGCGCGGTCACTGAGCTGTTGAGATTTCTCTTTCGCTGCTGCGCGTGCAGCTGGCGAGTCGTCCACGAACTATATCTCTATCAGCACAACATCCATCATTCGACGCGATGCGAGACCATCCACTTACCGTGATGGTGCCATACACCTGTCTCCCCCCAACACCAGCATCCCCCGACCGAGGCGGCACAAAGGCTAAATCAGCACCATACTTGCAAGTGAAGCCTTTCACCTCACAGTTGGCACATCGCGGCTTCTGTTCATCACATTTTCGTCGTCTTTTCCGGCAGGTTAGACAGCCCGTCCTCACCCTCTGCTTTCCCGCAGGCGTCGGTTTCCGAGGCATGTTTGTTGGACTATAGCGTACATGACCCCAGACGGGGAAGTGAAAGAAGCAAAATGGGCGATCTGGAGGCTCCATACCCCCCAAACGGTGCTCAGACTCTCTGCGGAGGATGCCGTCAAAACGTGCAGGGCGAGTCCATCCAGCCGGGGAAGTGGGGCGGGCCGAAAAGGGCAGGCCGATTCGATGCGGTTGGCTCCGCTTCGGGTTGGGTTTTTTTCCTCTCCCGCATCGTCATTTCTTCTGTGGTGTCGGACGCCACCCGAATGCAAGCCACGATTGACCGGCGATGCTTGATTTTGGGATCGAGTTATGAGAATTATTGAGATGGACTTTGTTTCTGGGGCTTTAGGTGTGGATCCTCTTCCACGTGAATACTTTCTTTAAACAGCAGGTACAGTCATGTGACATCATTCTACTTTTACTTGATATGCATCTCTGTCGCTTTACCTAAAGGGGATATAGAGCTTTTATGGATTGCCATTCGCATTTGTCACGAAAAAAATGCATTAGAACATCCCTGAGTTATCATCTGAATCCATCACAAGACTAAGTATTCATGAGCACCATAGCAAGTATGGCACTTTTTACACAGACTCGATATAATCCGAGCCCTCCTTCTTATCCATATCATGTCCAGTAGCTGATCCCAGTCTCTCGACAAAGGCAGTCAGTCCAACATCGCGCTGGGCCTCGCGTAGAAGCTCGGCATCCTCCTGACCCTTCTTGCTGCCGAAAACCTTGTCCATCTCCTCAAGAGAGGCATTCTTCGTCTCGGGAAGGAAGAACCACACCCAGAGAATGCCGACAAACAGGAAAACAGCGAAGAAAATATAAGTCCCCCACTGCCAAGCCTGCAGCATGGGAGGAACAAAGAAAGCGATGGCAAAGTTGTTGACCCAGTTGCTGGAAGCACCGATCGAGGCACCCTTGGCACGAATGGACAGGGGGAAGATCTCGGAAACGAGAGTCCACGAGCAAGGTCCCCAGGTAGCGCCAAAGCCAGCAATGTAGAGCCAGATAAGAGCTAGGAGGAGTTGTTAGTTGTATTCTGAATTTTTGTTTGGGAGTGTTACATACCAACGGCGGTCCAACCGGCGGCGACGTGTCCAGGCCAGTCGTGCTGGAACTTGGCAACGATGACTCCGACGATGACCATGCTGCAGAACATGACGATCGATCCAACGATGAGCATGGGCTTACGGCCGACCTTGTCAATGATCAACTATAATGAAAAATGTCAGTAGAGTGATCAATGGAAGACTCAAACTCATTATTAAACTCACCATGGCAGGAATAGTCGAAATGAGGAAGACGACGCCAGTGACACCAGTGGCTAGGAGGGCAATAGTGCCACCGGTAAGACCAAGTGACTGGAAAACGTTCGAGGCATAGTAGATGACTGAATGTACATTAGCAACTGAAATCGACTCATTACAGTCTTCCAAAACTTACTGGCATCAATACCACTCCACTGCTGGAAGAACATGATCAACCAGGCAGTAGCGACACGCTTGAAGTTATCCATAGAGCGCACGCAATTGGCATACTGCGCAATCTGGTTCATAAACACACTCTGGCGCTCACGCTCAGCCAGCTTGGGAGCCGACTTGGCAAAGGCGCGCTCCTCAAAGACAGCCTCGGCCTTGATCTCCAGATACTCAATTTGAACGAGCTCATGCTCAACGGGAATCTTGCGCAGCCAGGCAAGAGTCGCCTGAGCCTCTTCATCACGGCCCTGCTTAACCAGCCAACGAGGAGAGAATGGCATGAACCAGATACCGCAAGCCAAGCAAGCAGCAGGGATACCCTGAATAATGGAAGGCAGGCGCCAGGCGAGATCCGACTGGCCCTCGCCAGTTCCACCGATATAGTTGCTTCCATAGCCAACCCAAAAAGAAATCATAATTCCGAGGATAGTCGCGAGCTGGTAGAAAGAGACCAGCAGACCGCGCATCTCGGGGGCAGCAAGCTCTGCATTATAGAGAGGACCGACACCACTGAACAGACCGACACCGAGACCGGTGAAGAATCGACCGGCGTACAAGCAAGCAGGGTTACCAACGGTGGCACCGACATAGAGATATGATCCGAGAATTACCCAGCAGCAGGCAATGAACATGGTGTACTTGCGGGAGATGATTTCGCCGAGAACACCAGCGGAAAGAGAGCCGATGATACCTCCAACTTGGAGAATGGAGGTCAACCAACCGGTCGCAGTTGAGGAGGCCACAACGGTCGGGAAGTTCTCTGTAAAGCGGGTCATCACAAGACTTTGTCCGAGGACACCTTGTTGATAGCCATATTCGAAACCGCCAAGACTGTATTCGAGGTTAGCATTTGAAGAAAAATTGTCCTAAGACATTGTGCCGAGGACGTAGTCGGCATCATAAGATAAACATACGAGGCGAAGAATGCGATAAAGAGAACCTTGGGGTTGTCAAAAATCGACTGCCACATGGACTTCTTTGCGATTTGCAGACGCGGAGTCTCCTCCACATCCACCGAAGTTCGGTCGGCCATTGTGCAAATATGAGTTCGGCCCGAGATCAACTAACTCCTGAACAGATTGAAGAGAGAAGGAACAAAACGAGGATATCTCTTCGCACAGAAGAAGGGATGAATTATCGAGGACGATCTTCAATCTTCAAGAAAACATAGCGGGGCGGAGATGCGTGTTATATGTGTTTTTTTTCTTGGACCATATGCCCTGCAAGAAAACTTAAAAGGTCTACCCCGGGCTCGGCCTCCCGAGAAAAATCGCGTGGCCCCGGAAAAAGAGGAAACGCGGAGGCAAACGAAGTGCGGAGGACCACCAGACTAATCCCCAAAAGACCCTGAACGGAGGCTATGATACCTTCTTTGGGCGAGTCTTAGCTAAGGAGTCTCGCTAAGTGGGGCGACAGCTTAACCGAGCGGGCGGCGTTTGGCTGAGAGTTTGTTGCATCCCCACGGACCCTGGCCGGCGTATTCAGGGTTTCAGCCAATGACGGCGATTCTTATACAGCCTAATGCCCCCAGGGGTGAGACTAGCACCTGCAGATGGTGGAATAAGCCGTCGTCTGATGGTCTGCTTTGGGAAGTCGGAGGCACTGCCCTTCTCTTTTGGAAAGTCAATGCGGGGAGATCGTGGAGGCTCGTGGAGTATGCGGAGAGCGATCGTGCGGATATTCGATGTCATGGAATTCAATTTTATGGGGAGAATGGAGAGAATCGGCAGCGGCCGATGAAACGATGGGCAGGCAACAGGTTTGGAGCAGATATAAAGGTTTCGGCGAGAGAAGGGAGGAGAGAAAAGTTGAGTCTAGAGTGCTGTTGGGCTTTTTTGAGACTTTCTGTGGCTGATTGGGTCGAAATTTGACTATATTGCCTCAAAAGAGAACAAAAACATCGCATAAATTGACATCATGCATTGGCGCGTTTCTTTGTCAGCGCTCTCTCTCGCTGCTGGGGCATTCGCTAAGCACTATGCCATTATGGACAACGATTGGTATACCGCCGGATTCGTGCCTTATCTGATCGCTCTGGACGGAGATATTGACGTTCTAGCCTTAGCCTCGGGTAAGCATTTACCACATTTACCGCGGTGGACACAAAAGAAATACGCTAACCATTCCCCCTAGATACCGCCAACAGCTGGCAGCCACAGGTAGCACTACACGCCGTTGCTACACTCGAAGCCGGCAATTTGAGCTGCATTCCCGTCTATCCAGGCGCCACATGGCCTTTGATCAACACTCCCGAGCGCTTCCAAGCATGGGAAACTACCCACGGCAAACTGCCTTGGGAGGGTGCATTTGCACCGGAGAATGCGACTGCTGAAGCTGCGGGCAATGATCCTACTTCGGGAGATCCCAACCGTATTGTCAAGGCCGCCTTCAAGGAAGGGTTCCCCAAGGGCAGGCCCAATAACTCGACCTCTGCTGCAAACTTTATGGTTGAGATGGTGCACAAGTATCCTGGTCAGGTTTCTATTTATTCCGCCGGTGCCTTGACAAATGTCGCATTGGCTGTGCGCATGGACCCCGAATTTGCCTCGCTTGCTAAGCAGCTTGTCATTATGGGCGGATACGTTGATTTGAACATGCTCGAGGCTACTGGCAGTATTATGTTGGCTGATTACCAGTCAGATGTAAGCTTTCGTCTGATAGAAGAAAATGTGGTTTCACATATACTAACTTTTGAATCTACAGATCAACCTCATGATCGATCCTGAGGCTTCCAAGATTGCATTGACAGCCGATTTCCCCAACATTACCATCGCCGGCAATGTGGCCAACCAAGTGTTCCCTACTCAAAAGTTTGTTGACGAGGTCAAGACTGCCGACAATGCCTACGCTCAGCTCTTTGCCAAGTACTACGACCTCTCTTTCCCCTTCTGGGATGAGACCGCGGCAGCTCTGATGGTTGATCCCACAATCGCCACTAATCAGACATCTGGTATGGAGTACTCCAAGAAAAGTTATTAATTATAGATCTAACAGTTATATTTTAACAGTTTACCTCGATGTTGATACCAGCTATGGTAGCCCCAACTACGGTAACATCCACGTTTACCAGAAAGCTCTTGCTCCCGGTGGCATTCGTGAGGTCAACTATGTTTTCGAGGTTGATGCCAAGAGACTCACTGAGCGGATTAAGCACTCCTTGATGCACCCCAAGGCCTGTGCCGACCTCGAGTGAACATCAGCTCGAGGCCGTCATAATCTGTTGGCAAGTATGGGGGCATAAGACAGAAGGATGATCATATAGACACTGTAAATATCCCAGTTTAAAGTACTTTGAGACAATATGTATATTACAGGAATACTCAGCGACCGGTCCCGAGTATTCTGACAGGGAGATTCAACTGGACATCTAGATACACAAAATTTGGGTATCAACCATTTATCAGAAAAACCGGGGGAAAACCCCAAACACTCGTATTCACATCTCAAATCGCTGATAAAATTTCACCCGGCTCATATCCCCACGCTCGCTCAAGATCCTTCAACCTCCATAACGCACCCCAGCCAGTCGTCTCCTCAACAATCTTGAACAACTTCGCCACCTCAATGTGTTCACTGTGGTGGCTGAGAAGTTTCCCCGCAATATACAACGGTTGAATAGCATTGATAAGATTCCCAGAGTGAGGATTCGTCAAAGAAATCCCACAGACTCGGCGCGCGTGCCACACAGATGAGTAATGTGGCTTGGCCGGAGGCAGAATTTTCTCAGGGGGTTTCATATCCAACATCATTATGCAAGCAGCGTGATAAAGTTGATTTCCCGAGATAGCAGCCCAGTGTGCGAAAAGGATTTCAGGGAATATTTGACCCCCGCCGATTCCGGTTGTTTTAATGGGTAACATGGCTGGGGGTCTGTTCTCAAGCCAGAATTGCAGCTCTTCCCATAGACAGGTCCACTGCTCGGCGAAGGGGCGTGTGTCTTCGACCATCTCGCCTAGTTCCACGTGTCTGGTTTGACGGCAGGATAAATCACACGTCTTTGCGCAGAGATATACTGCCCAGTTTGCATGCATATCTGGAGATGCACAGCCGTCTTGGTAGAACATGTCTCGAATCATGAGTTCCCTTTCCCTGGGACTTGCGGTCTCCGGTACGGCGGGAACCCATTTCTCCAAGGGGAGCACGGTGGACTCGGCGCCCCCGGAAATGATCGCACCGCACAGTTCCATGCGCGCATAGGTCCAGAAGGTAGCAGAAAGGTGGCCACCAGATAAACCGTTCACGTTGAAGGAGTCAAAAAGAGCGGCACATCCTTCGACGTGCCTCCTCCAGTCGCGTGGACTAACGGACATGAGCTCCATTACCGCAAGAATGCAAACCGTTACCAAGACATTCGGATCTTTCGCTTGAAGTAAAGGCGCTAGTAACCGGATCGACTCTTGGTAAAGTTCCAGACTATCGTATGCCTTATCAAGACAGGCCTTCCGCTCAGTCTGACGAGCGGAGAATGCAAGAATAGCATAAAACAAAGCGGGCGACCGCTGCGCAAGAATCGGAATGTGAACGCCAAAATGACGCGACTCGTCAAATTTATCCAGATAAGGCGCGCATTCGGTGATCCAGTTTTTGAGGTAGAAAATGAGTCGGATTTTAGGAATAGAGACTCTTGTGAAATCTAACGTTGGTCGGGATTTCGTGGGCCCATCTGGTTGTTCTGAAGGAACTGGTGATGTGTATTCACCGGGATCGAGGCTGGCAACGGATGAAAAGAGCACACAGCGGAGCTCCTCTTGTAATTCGAGGAAACGTGGATTTGCGGCATACTCGTCTGCACTGGAAAATGTCCCTGGCGATAAGAAAGCCTCTTCTTCAAATAGTGGGGCGGCGTTATTGAAGGATTCTGACATCCTTGTGTCCGGTATGACAGTTGCAACAGGCTCATCCATGTTGAGAGATAGTGGCATGAGAAGTCTGGGGTAGAAAGGAAGGGAAAGAAAGAGGTGGACCGGAGTTGGTTGGAGTTGCCCGCGTGGGAGGCGAAACTTAGTTATCGTTAGTCACGGCCCACTGCCTCCATTCCAGTGTGGATGGGTCCCGAGAGAAGACTTGGTACAGGAACCATATAGGAATCGGGGAGACCGATAGGGAACAAATTATCGAATTTCAGTTTGGCCGTCTTTCACGATAACAGAGGGTCACAATGCCCTTGTTCCACACGGAGCACTCTGGTAAAGTCCTTAGGTTGGTGCTTTGACAGGGCGATCTAACAACGAATATTCCCTTCGGTGCCGATCTAAATATATATCGTATCATCGAAAGTGCATGGGTCTATAAAACACACAAAGAACTTTGATGCAACAACAAAGTTGCGAAAAGATTGAAAAGCTTTTCCTTATCTCCGTATAATACTCATCTGTAGCGATGAAATGTATATAAACTTCTCGGGCTCATGCCTATCCTCGGTCGCAGGATCAAAGTCTAAGGTTCGTCATCTAACCCACGCTCTTCCCGCCTACGAGTCTCACCTACCTCGTTATATATCGCGGTAAGACTTTTTTGACAAATTACACTTCTATTCACTAGCCTAACTTGCCGTATTGACCAAGATGCGTTCCTGCCACGTCATCATCCATCTCAGCTGGGAGGACAAGTTCCGGGATACTACTTCCTTGCTTGAGACGATTCTCTGCGCATTTGCCCAAGACAGTAGGCCAATCGAGATTGTGGACTTTGCCGAGGCTTTGACCCCCGACAGTTTGCCAATCAAAATCGAAATTTCCCAATCCTTTGAACTGACAGAGCAAAACAAAAATCACCTTAGGGGCCAGGCACATGATGTTGCTCGAAACTGGTTATTCCGGTATGCCTCGCACGGTGAGATTCCTCCTGCTTTTGAGTTGGTCCACTGGTCTCGTCGATAGATAGTTCTTGCCTTGCCGAATAATAATCCTTCCCTCACCAAATCCAGCTGTGTAAGCAGCGTTCGATCCGAGTGCAGTTGCATTTAAACGGAAAAAATCTAGAGAGATTATTCTTGTGCTACAATACATGGTAACACCAACAAATATAGAGGGCCACAGCCCGGCAGGTATGGGTTGGGGATACCATGTGTGTTGCAAAGAACTTAGTAGATTTGATAGATAAGCACAGAAAGAGCTGTACTAGAGTTTAATTCAATAAAAAGAAATTTGCTGGCAAGTTTGTAGCAAAAGCCTATCATAAACTTATTCTTTGATCTTGTTGAACTCCTCCACTGCCTTAGTCGCCAGCTTGACAGACATAGGGGCGCCGTGCTTGTGGAGAATCAATTTCGCAACCTCATGAATTTAAATATTAGCTGTACCCACGCCTGATATCATATTCATTGAGTCTCACCTGCGTGCAATCAGCCTTGACAAGCTGCACATCTGTGAAAAGCTCAAGGAGTTGATCGCCAGTCTGAACTCGGCAATATTTTGCAAGGAAAGATGGTCCAAATGTAACCCAGACCTTGCTGTAGTTCCACCTCGCTACTTGATTATACGATGCTTCCATGCCGTGGATCAAACGCTCGACTGTGTAGCCATCGTTGCTGAGAAGGAATCTGGAAATTCACCATCTATGTGTCAGTAAAATTACCCTTATTGCAAATTGGTAGATACCGAGACCAATGCATGGCGGTGTTAAGTCCGTGATGAAGGAAATCGGAGAAGGCCTTGATAGTCAATTGAAGTGATCCTTCACTAGTGACTAGGATGAGGTGTTTGATCGATCCGTCTGCTTTCCCTGCGGCGAAGGCTCCTAGTGCGGCTCCAGTTTCGTAGCCGATGCTGCCAAACACGGTCTGGTTGAAAGATCGAACGTTGTTTACGTTCATCAAGTTCGACGCAGGGATGCCGTAGCTGGAGGCAACGGCTTCGGCGATGACGAGGTCACGCGACTGGAAGTATTTGCCGAGTTGCTAAATAGAATTAATGACTCGAGCAAAAATTGAAGAAAGGTTGGCTTACTGCCTAAAGATAGTCCTGCGTCAGATTGTCGGGTTTGGGGGTTGAATCGTTAGGATATGAGTCCCAAGTGACATTTCTTTCCGCAACGACCGAGTCAGGGTTTGAAAGCCCCTGGATCATTTGGGGAAGGAGTTAATACATTATCTAGTATTAAAGTTTAGTATGGGGCCGGAACGAGACTTGCAGTGTCCTTTGACCAAGCCGATTTCGAGGGGGCCTATAATAACAGCAGATCAATTAGAAATCTTTAGGAGAGATGATAAAGATTATTGGATATCTGCTACTCCTTTCTCCACCTTGGGGAAGCAAAGTGTTTGGCTTCCGACCACATAATTCACAGACCACTATTCAATCACTCATATAGACATCCTTGAACCGGCCCTTCTGCATTCGCCAGTGTTGTAAGGGAACAGTGTCCAACAACTGGCGGCTGACTCTCCGCGTCCGAGGGAACAACAACCGCCCATTCAACAGGAAGCAACGCAGCATCACTGTCGCCCTCCGGTTGGTGGCATGCCGCACTGATAGCAGCACTACACGTCGAGACCGGTGGAAGGAGGAACATTGTCCTCTGGAACCCAATCCCGATGAGTGTAACAATAAGAACTATCCCTGTTGCTAGAGACAGTATAATCCCCATGGTGGAGTAGCAAGCTCTTGATGAGGAGTCCGAATCGATGGGTTCGCCGCTTGGCAGGAATGCCGTTGACCGAGCCAGGAACACACTCTGCGACACAAGCCAATGGAGCAGTAGAAGACATGCACTGAGAGGGACACTATATCGAAACGGTAGGGAGAGGAAATACGTTGACCTTTGCATGCCCTTTGGACAGGAGACGCGGAGGAACTTCCGCTCCAATCCGTAATGACTCCATTCGACTGCGACGCAGAGGCGGGTGAGAAGGGTGTTGTATAGGAGGTAGAGCAGGCTGATCTCTAATTGCCAGGAGTTTGCGAGGATCACGGCGCCCCAGAATTGCGAGGGGCCACGATAGATGAAGATTTGGATGGCGGTCATTGGGTTAGCACGACCGAGTCCAGGTTCCCAGAAAGTGCTCAGGCTCATCTCCACACCCTCGTTCTTTTGCTGTACAATGCCCCTTCCCAGGAGCGCGAGGACAATGACCACTATTGCTGTGCATCTGGAGCCATTAAATCCTGATCAGCCCGTAGAATATACCTAGGCATCGCTAGTAGTCACGCTGAGATTGTTGTGATCCAAACCCTCCGACTGGCCAATGTGAACTTGCGAATTAACAGTGGACCGGGCCATGGTCGACTAGCAAGGTTGCTGTGCCAGCTTCCCCGCTCAAAGTCAAACTGCGACACGAGACACATCTGCCTTGTGTGATCATCGCTTCGATTCAAAAAGGATTGCATGCAATCGCCAATCGTTACCAAAGCCTCCTGTGCAGTGGAGTCGTAAGCTCTTCGCTCCCGACGATGGGCCCGCAAGGATTGAATCCAGGTATAAGCAACGCCTAGGACTTTGACAAAGTTCATCACACAAACTATTATCATGATTGTGGTGTTGAAATGAAGGCCACACCGGTTGCTCAGGTCCTGGACTGGCTGGCCGAGACAATATTCCACTGGGATAGCTTGACCTTCGACATTCACGGTCCAATTGCCAGCATACGGAAGCAGCTTACGCTCTGAGTATGGACGATGCGGATAGTCGGGACTATCATAGATCCATGTTTGCAACCGATCCCAATTGCTCGTGTCCCAAATGCGGAAGCTTTTGACGAAAGAGGTGGAGTCGTTGTTTGTCAGACTATTGTCTAGCAGGTTGGTTAAAACCACAATGTCCCCAGCGCCTGACAGTGGGTCCATGTATCGTTGAATGCAGCTTGTTCCATTAAGCCGGTCAAATTCCCGTCCGTTCGTCTGGGGCGCTCGAGTATGATCATCTCCAACATCCCCCCATGGGTTGTTATTCGTTAGGTAATCATCTGTCACGAAAACAGTTGTGTACGAAATGAAGGGAAACGATTCGAATATTGCTGAGTTCCAGCTGCCACATGTATTCAGTACATTACCATGGTAAAATAGGGGATGAAATACTGACAAGAGATGCAGAGTCGCCGAGCTGAGCGCGAGAACAGCATACACAATAACACGCATTCGGCTGATCATTCCTAGGTTTTTCAGGCTGGGAGTGCCGATGTTGAACCACTTCTTTCTGCTATGGGCACGATCAACCTCTCCCCGCGTCGGGCTGGCTAGTATCTGCATTGAAAAGTTGCTGGCTCCGAGAACAGCAGTCGACAAGATATTGATGACCAAATGGAATCCGGAGTTCAGCCGGTTGGCCTTGGTGCAACTTCCCTGAAACACAGTTCCCGTGTCTCCTTTGATATCATATCGTATTGTTGCCCATACTGTTGTGGATATATTTATAGCAAGAAAAACAATGGTCAGGCCCAGCTGTAAACCTAGGGCAAGGTGTCTTCGCGATAAATAGGAGACTAGAGTCAGGGATTTCTGATCGTTTGGGTCAATTGTAGGCAACCAGGATTGGAGAAGTTTTATGCTACCGAAATGGGTCTCCGGAGGATTGCTTTACCATGTCAGATATAAAGTAGAGAAGTGCATCAGAGACTCATAGTTACCGCTGTAATAATGTTATGGTTTCACTGCGACTCAACTCGGTCGAGATTCGTGCATATTGAGACAGGGATTGAGGTGGTGCTTCTTCAGAACATGCAGTCGTTGATAAGAATCCGCTTTCATCAAGTCTGGAGACAGGAACCACATCTGCGAGAGCTCCAAGATCATATTCATCAGGCTGCTGAGCGAAGCCAAGCCCGTCATAGCTTGATGCAGTCCGATTCGCCATAGTCGTGAGGACTCAGAGATCTTGTATTTCCAAAAATTAGTGCAAACGTGAGCAGGAATCTTTAAAAGATGTGAGGCTACTAAACTAATCTGAGGGAAGTATACCTTGCAGTTCTGATAACCCACAGTAACATGTTGGGTTAAATACACTGCTTGTAGGCAATGATACTGTTCGCGAATAGGGGGCCTAAATATTTGCTTTTCTTTGGATAAGGCTTGACATGCAGGTGTATTTCATTCTTGGCCTCCGAAATCATGTGCTTAATGATTTGTTGTCGCATTCGACTTCCTTTTTTGGGGTTCCCATTACCGCGTTGGTGTGGCGCAACAAAGCTAATTAAGAGGCTTGTCCAATCCTTCACGGTACCAAGGCGTTCCCTGAAAGCATTATAGCTTAGTAGCATGAAAATTCTCAAACTTTCCTAGCCGGTGCAAGTGCTGGTGCATCACTAGGCCCAGTAATTACAATATGGCAATGGCCGGCCACCTACATGTGCAAGGTCCGTATTGAAGGTCGCTGAAAAGACGTGTCGATCCCTGTTCCGGCCGTCGCCCGGCGCTCGTACCGGTCGAACGACCCACCGAGCCTGCATAACATACCCAGGGCTTAATCGACCTCAAGTACGGAGATACGCCCAATTGGAGGCTTGGGAGCGCTCTCACCGCCACGACCTGATGTATCCTCCTGGATGAAAAACGGAAAGGAAATATGACAAATACAAGGGAGCGGACAAGACAGCTGGTATAAAAAGCACTACTTACAACGCAGCCATGCAGCATGCGGCGACCAATCGCGTGCCAATTTCCAGTGAAAATGATAAAAAGGGAAAGGTGTGAAGCTTTATCCACACGATCATAGGGCTCTGGCTCCTATAGCCAAGGTGGCCGGCTACGTCGCTAGAAAGCGCGTTCTCTGATATCGATTTAAAAGTGGATCATCGCTGACCTCTGAGGTAGTCATTCCCAGAAACGAAAAGGTTTCAACAGAATCACGTCGTCCGAGTGCCTAGGGACCAATATAAGACGCATGCCATGGCGCAGGGGAACACAGCCAACTCTCAGAACGGACTGAGGAGGCAGTTCAAGGAGCATAACAGATGTGCATAGTAATCACTACTATGAGAAGATCGGACATGACATACACAAAAACATGAGCAGCCGTGACACAACCGCACTCTGAAGGTTACAGTCCCGTCAATGAGGTTATAAAGTGACTTAATAGGTTGTCCTTAATGGTTTCGATCTTGCTTTGGGTATGGTTGAAGTCCTTCAGACCCTAATGCTTTCACCAGTCTCATACAGCATTCCAGAATCCAACGCTCCGAAAGAATTGACCAAATCAAGAAATCCCTAGGTAGTAGAGCTTGATCCCGAAACAAACGTATACATCCCCTCCTGCCGCCTCGCCATATAAAACCCATGTTGCCCAGCCACCACGGTGCTCATGAGATTTCCAATGGCCTCAATCTCCGGACTCGCGGGCAGGAGATGGTCATGAGCTACATGCAAGGGCATGATGAAGCAGAGGACCCCGTAGACGCCCGTGTCATTGCCTATGGATTGCTGTGCCAGACATAAAATCTCGCTTGCCAGATCGTGCTTGAGTTGTGCTCGCGTGTGCGCGGTTGATGGCCTGTCCAGCCTGGCCGACACTTCTATCTTTCAGCGATGGAAAAAGGAAAAATGTCAGCCTCATTGCCGGAGATCTAGCCAGCTGGATGCCTAATGCTCGTCCTTAAGACAGCGTGGGGCACCGAGGTATGACGATGTGTGTAATACTCAGATTTGAGACCTTACAATACTTCCAGTAATGACAGGGATATCCCGGGGAACGCAAAAATAGACTAGTGTGGCTGAGCATTGGATTTTGAGAAAGAATCCAAGACTGTGCGTAGTGACACCGATTTCCGTACGCACACGATGTATTTCTATGGGCGACAGTCGGTCACGCATGACACTATTATGCGAGCATCCTTGTCGCGGGCATGATCAAGGGTTGCAGCTGACTGCGAAGCTCTTTAGCTTATACGTACGGCTAAACAGTGACGTACTAAATTTTCAACAAATGAAAATCGTTCAGATTAAATTATATACACAATCTAACTCTATTTGAACCTATTCTAAACAACCCATATTTTCAACCTCATCATGCCGTGCTAGAACGACATCCACCGCCTCTATCCCAAAAAATAAAATGCTTTTTAGTCAATCAGGCGCTGTTAGCACAGGACCAGCTGCTGGAGCCCGAATCGCCGTGGATCGCAACGCCAGAGACGTAGAGACCCAATCCACACTGGGAAAAGTCAGTCATGTGACGGGACGGAAAAATTTACGTGCTTGAACCGCAACCCAGGTAGAAGCTGGTCACAATCGGGTAGAACTTACGATGGCGCAAGAAATAATGAAAATCAGAACATTCGTAATCGTCAAAACGGCCTTCTTCCAGTTGCGGAAGTATTGGCCCTTGTTCATGTGGAGCCAGAAGACGGCAGGCAGACCGACTGTAAAGGATGTTAGATACGGGGAGCCCGAGCAGAAGGTGAGGTAGTGTCAAACTTACAGCTGAACCAACTTCCAAACAGAGCGCTCTGTAGTTCAAACCGACGTTAGTTGACTCTTCCAAAGAAGAAAAGTGATTCTCGAACTTACAATGAGACTTAGGAGGTCGTTGAAAACGGGAATCGACTCAGCTACAACCCAGGAAATGATCCAGACAGCGATGCAAATAGCGACCCAAGATCCGATGGAAAGTAGACTGCGGCTGTGCATCTTGTCGGAACCACGGAACATACGCACGTATATGTACTTGCAAGCAACGTGACCCAGGACGACACCGGAGAGGATAGTCTAGAATGGTCAGAGCAAGTCCATAAAGCATAAGATAGAACAGAATGAAGTTGGAAACTATTTCGGATACTCACAGTAGGAATAGCAATACCCCAAGCAACCTTGCTCATGACGGGGCTGAGAGACGAGATAGCGGGAGACTGGACGTTGGGTCCAATGTAGTGGTAGATTAGCAAAGCGCTGACAAGGTACAGGACAGTGTCAATAATCTGAAGCATCGCAAGCGACTTATTGAAGGTGCGCGGGTCCTCCGTCTCTGACATGAAGCCGAAATAGGCAACGTGGGCGACTACAGTCTTAATGTTAGCTCATCCGCTCTCAAATTATTTAACGGAAAACCCCCATTGCTTGTGAAAATGGGAAAGCCTGCACGTACGGTAGGCGAAGATGATGTTGGTAACGGCCAAGAAGCCCTCGCGGAAAGAAACGTCCGTGGTCACCTCGTTCACGACGTGTTCCTTGGCTTCCACGCCGGCGGTGATCATAGTGATGATGGTAGCGACCAAAACACTCAAGAAAGCTGGGTACATGTTAGTCGAGATTGAACTGCTTCCAGAGGGGTCGGAACTCCTTTCAGCTATTGCAGGATATACTCACAAATGACGGACATCCAGTAGACCTTCTCCATGGTACGAGGCAAGGCACCAAGGAAACAGATTACAAGGCCGACTACGCCAAAGACGATGGTACAGGTACCGTGATCGGTCAGTACGTTCATCAAGATGTTAAAAGTCAAGATGTTGCTAGCCATGAGGAAGATAAGCAGCAGAAGCTGACCAATTCCAAGAACTTCACGACCGACACGACCCATCAGGAGTTCACCAGCGTCTCCCATGCTGTGGATATGGGGGTGACGGAGCTTGAATTGGCCAATGGCATAACCAGTATACCAGGAAAGCGCAGAGATGAACAGGATCATAATCGCAGCACTGGCGAAGGTGGTTAGTCAAGTCAAGGGTAAGATTCAAGAGTTCAATACATACGGTACCATGCCCAGAGTTGCGACCGCAGAAGGGAGCGACAGAATTCCAACGGAGACATTCTCCGCGATCATGACTGTTCATACAGTTAGAAAACCAACTTTCATGGCGATAAAAAGGGCCGTTGTTGATAAATACTCACGCATGCCGCAGTGCCTAATACGTGGTCAGCTTCAATAAATTTCAAATGTCGAATCTGCCACATTTGGAACAGTCACTTACCACCACTTCATAGTTCGATACTTAACCTCCGTAGTCTCTTCATTGCCAAAGGGCTCCAGGTCCTTTGCAGACAGAGGCTTCTCGTCATTCTTCTTGAGGGGCTCATCGAACACTCCCTTTCCGTCAGTACCGGATGACTCCTCGTCACTCATGGTGGATAAGTTATAGTGTTGCTTCTCGGCCTCGGCTTCAATGTCAAAATTGATAAGATATTTCAGCCCTAGCGAGTGAATTGACACGATAAGACCAGCATTGACCAATAACACAGGTTAATGAAAGAAGAAATCTTTACAAGAGAGAATTCGATGCTACCCCAGTTCGGCCAAGAAAAATCTGTCGGGCAACTTGGGTGGGTCTAGGAATTTCCCGCCTGCCGCGCGGGTTCAATAGGATCGGAGACTGCCGAACGCGGAAGAATTTACGCTTTGCGGCTATGCAAAAGAGGCTGAAAAGATCCCGAGATTCCGATTGGCGTGAAATGCGCTATATAAAAATGTCCTGGCGAAGTTTCAACGTTGAAAAATGTCTAGAATTGTTTCAGAGTTGATTTGAATTTTCCCGAGGGAAACTTCCGGCGTGGATCCCCATCTCCGTCATAGGAAACAACGATTTGCGCGTGAGGATTTTCGGGATAAGCTCGTGACAAAGGGCTTGGTCAAGATTAAGTACGCATGTAGCTTATTTTGCCCCTAATATGCGCCTCTATTCCCCCCATGAAAAGCCAAAATCAACATCTCTCTATTTCGTCATCTGTTAGATCCCCGTACCTGACCCACTTGTTGGCTTTCTGGCTTTTGTGGGGTTTGATGCCCAGTCGGGCCCCCAGATTACAGTATGTAGTATGTATGCTGTATGTGGCCTCGATGCACCAAGCCCAAAAGCCGTACAATAAAAGTAACTCAAGATAACAACAAATCCGAATCACCCAATCTTACCCGGTATTTTTATTTAGAAATGCATTCTCGTAAGTTTCACGGTTCTTTGATCTTCCTTGTCGTATGGCTGCCAGTCACGTGATCCTTTTTGTTTGAGCCTCCTGCCCTTTTGGTATATATCAACTCCAACATCTGTCAAACATTTCTTCTTGTGCATTTCCTCTTTTCCATCGTCCCTCGTCCTGAGAGTCCATATGGCGCTCAACCAGCTGCCCGTGGAGATCATCCTCCTCATCACAAAGTCTCTACTGGGAGATACCAAAACCTTGGCAAACTTAGCAACATATACTAAGCGTCTTCACCAGATCCTCATACCGGTTCTTTACTCGCATATCACAGTGATATGCAAATTAGCCCCCATTTCCATGTGGGACGGGTGGTCGTTAAGCCTGGATGGTCTGTCTGGGTCATCGAGAAGCGAGGATGGTCTATCTGAGTTGTCGGCAAGCGACGATGGTCAGGAGTACATTCAGAGACCCTCCGTAGGAGACCAGCAGGTAAGTCGACCACAACACATTACCTCCTATCATTGATATCAATGGAAGATTCGAAACCTGACCCGAACAATCCTACACAATCCGCACCTGGCATCACACGTGCGCTCATTCGATGCTTCAGACTTGTTCCATGAGCCTTGGGTCGACCGGAAGCTTCCACAACCTGACGCGATGGAACACCAATCGATAACAACCAAAGCTGACCCTGACCTCCAACGTCTACTAGATGCGGTGCAAATCCTAAAGAAGCCTGAGGATACGATGGATCAAAAACAGTGGTCGGATTTCTGCAGGCGATGGCAGGGTACGCTTAAAGCAAATGCTTGTAATAGCGATCCCCAGCTCGCGGTTCTACTTGCACACCTGCCTGCTTTAAGAACATTCAAACTTGAGACATTCGCCAAATCCTGCAGCGGTTTCACAATACCCCTGTTGAACCACCTGGCTGGAGGGAAAGATCTTTCTGGCGCAAGGCCCATCCCTGGGTCTCTGACTCGCCTGTTTGTTCAAAACCCTCAAGTCTCCAATTCCCCCCCTCGCCTTGAAGTTGAAATGCGTACAATTCAGACCCTGTCTTATTTCTACGGTACGAAACTTGACTTGATAGGGACTGAGCAGAAATACCATGTGAGAAACCGTCCATTTCAATCACTAGTGTATCTTCAGCTCATGGAATGTTTCTACGAGCCACGTGCTCTCGAAATCACTCTGAGGCAGTGCACTTCCCTGCAATCATTTGCATTCGAGTGTGGCTGGGAACCCGACGAGTCGAGAATGTCATCGACATCGACCTTTTGCATGCCTTACAACCTCTTCACCATAAGCTGAAATCTCTCTTTTTATCCTATTGCAATAATACCGATGTCTTTTTTCATGGGTTTGTGGGGCCAGTGAATCTAGTGGAGTTCCAGACCTTGACTTCGCTTCATATTGCGGCTCAATATCTTGTTGGAAAACTCGAGGAATGGAACCAGTATGAGTGGCCGAAGATTGACTACACAACCTGGGTCATTAATGCCAACATTGCGCTTTACAAGAGGTTACCAGAATCTCTCCAAGTACTACATATCATGATTCCTGAGGGCCGGGAAGAATTTGACCTTCTTGTCGAAAGTGTACGAGAGATGATCCGCATGCGCAAACTGCGGTCCGCCCCCCATCTACGCGAAATTCGACTTGAAGCACCCTTTGAGGGAGATGGCTCAGCATTCGGGGTTTTGTCGATGCAAAATGAGGCAAGCGATGCGGGAATAAGGCTGCGGAATTTGGATACTTCCCGGCAATATTCCCATTCATGGATTCGAGATATTTCCAAGACCAGGGCTACAAAGTGGTTCGACACTCCGCATGTCCACATGGGTCTAGACGGAGAATTGACATGGGAGAACCGGCCCCCCTACAACCAAGCTGTTGAATGAGACTCTTAACAAGTGTGACTGAGTGTTTCTCAATGCATCATTGTTCACTTTAAGCTATTTTTCTGACTCAAGTACTCCGTACATAGCTAACTATCATCATGATGCCTGATGACATACAGTACCAACACTTTGGCCCCCTTTCTTCAGCCCCACAATTACACCGCTTCCACAGTTCGCAATCGACGCTGTCCATCCTCCGCCAAGAGTCTTGGCTCGCATGCACCAGCCCACTACAAAGTGCAAACAAGACCACCACATCTGCCTTGCAGGATGACATGAGATCTTATTACTCGGACAGCTAAGGGCTGGTAGGTGGCTTATGACTCCGGTCTGTCCTTCGGTATTTCAAGATATGATCGCTGACAAGGGCCGCGATCAGGAATCGTGCTGTTATGTTCTTGTCCAATGCATCATAACTTGATTTTCCTCGAATTTCATTAAACGACCCACAGATTTTTCGAGAGGCGCTAGCTTATCGGTTAGATTGCAGTTCTTAATGCCCCAATGAGTAAACTATTTTTGTCACAATGTGAACATAAACAAGATCTCGGGTGGCACCAGCCACCTTGTCAAACGCGCACGAGGCGGAAGCCACTCACTCAAGAAACCCTCCTCCCCAGTTGGATATTTCCCGTTCACGGTAGACTGCAGAAGTCTCCTATCGGTCATAGGACTATCAATAGTAATTGGTTGGAATGTTGCGAGGTAAATACTGTAAAGACCAGCCCAGCCAGACCTGCCACTGCCCGTCAAAGAGACCTTCTGTTACCCAGCCCACCTGATTGCCCAATCAGCGTAGGTCGATCGGCCCCCAGCTTCCCCTTGTAGATCTTTCCTTGGCGGCGATGTTTCACTTGCATGGATTGGCCCAGCATTGGCCCCTGCTGGGCCTGCTCCATGAGTGCGTGGCGGACACTGGCGGTCGCGCTGCTCCTGCAGCGGATCGTTAGGAATGCTATAAGACGTTCCACCCCAGTGACCCGGCATTCTTTGAATAACTATTGCTCGGGTCTGACATATCTGTCTCTGTCTCGAATATTAATCTGGTATGTCGTTGTTTGAGCTTCCTCTGTGGCTCTATTTTACTCTTCGCAACTTCGCAACGCTCGCTCCTGAAAGAAGTGTCATCCTGCCTGTTGGAATCGCGCTGCATCCCTTGATTCCCCTCAACACTTCGCTTTGGTTCACTGCTAACTCGGTCTGATTTTATTTAGAGATACTTCACGCTCGACCTTTGATCAATTCAACTCCCTTGATCAAAATGCGATTCTCCGTTCTCGTCCTTGGCCTCCTCGCCAGTGGCACTTACGCCTTCCCTCGTGCCCAGGAAGTCTGCCGTGGGGTAAGCTTTAACACAGCAAGATGAGAAACAAGGGACTCTCGTACTAACCGCCTAACCAATTTCTTCTAGGGCAATTCCACATGCGATGCCTCTGCGCCTTTTGGAGACCCCACAGCTTGCTGTATTGGCCTGTCGTGTGAGAGCGGAGTAGGTTGCGACTCTGTTCATTTTTATCCAGCCAGAAACTAACGACTTATCTTCGATTTATCCAGATTTGCGTGCACTAACTACTGGCTCGCACAAAATTCGATAGGCCAAGATCATAGACTGAACCATAGCGCCCTCGGGAATTTGGCCCACGCATTGCACATATTCTCATTCCTTCTCGGTCGGCAGTTCGGTTTCACGGCATATAATAGGCGGAAGGCAAATGACTGTACGACGAAGAACGATCGCCTGTATCTAATTTGGTTTAATGGTATATACTTACTAAAGGTTGCTGCTAAGGTCTTTGTTCTAGGATCTGGAAAGATGGAATTGCTGTGTCGATCATTCTTCTCCTTCCATTTTCTCCATAGTCTGCTGGGGTGGCGACCTCGGGATTATGATTGAAAAGGAGTCGAGGACAAGTGGTGCTGGGGAAAGGATGAAGGATTTTCAGTATTCTTCTAGCCCAGATGGCTTTCCTGGCTGCTTGCTAGTTATTGGTAATTTGGTAGGAGAGAGTCCGCGATCGCTATTCCTGACCCATGCTCTAGATATACTTCACGTCCATGCATTATTTCCAACATTTCCTCTCAGCATGATTACTAAGTCATTCGTGTACATTTAGCTAACTAGTTAGTTACTTATTTATTCTTTCTGGCTACTCGGAGCGGGGTAGTGATACAGGAGCTAATCAGCTTGTCTCTGACAAGGCTAAATGCCGCTTCGACCGGATAAGCAACATCCTCAGGATCAACAAATACGCCGACTGCTTGGCACCCAACAACTACAACAGGAGCCCTCCAAGATGCGCATGGATCATTTCCCCTCAACTGGCCAGTCTCAAGTTGACCAACAGGATGACGAGAACACATGGTCACCTCTTCAGCTCGCCGCTGCAAAAGGGGACGTGGATGAGGTCAGGCGGCTTTTCGCCCAAGCTACGGTTGATCCTAATGAGCCACCTCGAGGGTACTATGGGAAAACAGCACTCCAAGCTGCCTCGTTTAATGGACACCTCGCTGTAGTTGAGGCATTACTAGCCGTAGGGGTAGACGTTAACCCCCCTGGAGGAAACAACGGGGGCCAAGCAGCCGTGGTTCTGGCCTCGGGAGCAGGGCATATGGATATCGTTCGTCTCCTGGTCTCCGTGGGAGCGGATATAAATCTTCCACCCCATAAGTATATGGGCCGGACCGCCCTACAGGCTGCTGCGGAAGGGGGGCATATCGAGCTGCTAGAATGGCTCCTTGAGCAAGGCGCCGACATCAATGCGCCTGCTGCCAATAATAATGGCCGCACCGCCCTCCAAGCTGCTGCATCAGCAGGTCATGGCGATATATTGGATATCCTACTACAGCATGGAGCGCGTATCAATGCGCCGGCTGTTAGGTATAAAGGGGTTACGGCGCTTCAAGGCGCAGCGCTAGGTGGTCGTCAACACATCGTTCGGCGACTGTTAGAAGCTGGAGCCGATGTGAATGCGCAAGGCGCGTATTACAATGGGTATACAGCACTTTCGGCGGCGGCAGAGAGTGGCCATTATGCGATTGTACGGATGTTGCTCAACGCTGGCGCCGATGTATCCGCTGTGTCAGGAAACAAGACACGAACTGCAGCACAAATTGCAAACTTCAGAGGGGAAGAGGATATCGCACAACTTCTCCAGCGGAGTGGCTAGACTGTGGACATTTTATAGGACAGAAAGCATCGATATTATGACAGACTAGAGAAAGAGCCTAAAGCAATTCAACTTGTTGAAAGCATGACCACAAAATGCCAATTAGGAGAGATAGCGTGCGATAACGGGCCCTCTGACGAGATTCAGATTCGTGCTCGCTACGTCGTCCGTATGGACGGTGGATCGAGCTTCGTTCGGCAAGCAATCGGCCTCCCTATGGAGGTACTTCAAAAGCACGACGATGAGCGGCTAATTTCCGACTTTGATATAATTGATACTGTTTTGAAGCCTCAGCTAACTTCAGTCCATATAGAAGTCCCGCGCCCGTTCTATTGGGGGCCTAATGGTGCCGCTCAATGCTGCATTGATATGAAGCTTCTCCCTGGGGATCCTGACGAAGTACGCACGCACGCTCACGCACTTGAATTCCTGCAACAGAAGGCCGGCATAGCACCGACATCGGCGAAGATCACCAGGAAGGTCACTTATAGTTTCCGTTCTGAGATCGCAAGGCACATGTGAGTGGGCAACGTGTTTATTGGGGGTGATGCGGCACACCTTATGACACCCGGCATGGCGCAGGGCTCTTGCAGCGCGATGCGCGACGGTATCACTATGGCAAGGCTGGTTCTAGTTAGACGCGTGGACGAATCAATCCTTGATGACGATGAAGCAGAGCGTCTCGCGCATGCCAGATCCCTTGTTGAAGGATCAATCATCATGTGGAAACTGTTATCAAAGACCGACCCGGCTAAAGCTGCTGCCAGCGACGCGTTTATGCATTCCGGTAAGGCGAAGGCGCCAAAGATGCCAACCATCATGTCGGGTTTCTTACAGCAAACCGCAAATGGTGAAGTCAGTCTGCTGGCCGGTACATCAAGCCCCCAGGGACGACTATGTATCGGCGAACGGGAAGGACTGCTCGATGACTATCTCGGCTTTGGATTCCCACTAGTGAGCAATGTTCCTATTGAGGTCCTGCTTGCATCTACCCATCGGGACCTACTGAAAAGTCTCGACGTTCGCATTATATTACGTGGGTCTGGAGACCAGAAAACAGAGGACATCGACAAACCCTATCAAACCTACCTCGAAGAGCATGGATTGGTGGCATACCTGAGCCGGCCTGACTTCTGCATGTTCGGTACCGCGGCTACTATGGACGACATAACTTTTCCAATCGACGCTCTTGCGACTGAACTTTCGCCGACCAAATCTCACAGAGTCACTGCCAAAACTGCCTCCAGCACTTTGCCCGGCTCGAGTTTTGTTCGCCGCAAGCTACCTACTGGAGGTTTCACGCTTCAATACGACGAATCGCAGCCATCCAACCCGATGGCCACGATAATATCAGTACTTGGATCGGCGGGCCTGGAGATGTCCACCGCTAAGGATCAGATTGTCGAGCAGTATCGAGTTACTAAGCTCAACCCACCAGGATAGGGTGATGAAGCAGACATCTCAGTTCGGCCGCAGAACGAAATTGGCTCTCTCTTGAATCAGGCAGTCGAGCAACTGATAAACGAGTCATTCTTACTAGTGGCGACCTCCATGAGTGGCGCAAACGCGCTATATCTCGCTGCGCAGATACCAGACAGGGTCCTCGGCATCATCCTTGAAGGGACTATGACTCCCATCCGGCCCCAAGGTATAAAGCCGCCGAGTTACCAGGGACTTACCACTGAGCTACGGAAGAAAGCCATGGGCCACAGTGGCCTAAATCGCCCACTAAATGAAAACCCGTATGCGGATGATCTCGAATACTAAAGGTGACACACTGCGGGAACACCGAATACCCGTGCTGGGCCGGCCTGGCACTGATGACGAGATTATCAAGCCCTCACAGGAGGAGTCTTTCCGGGCAGTGCTCCCCGACGCGGACTTTCAGTTTATCCCTAATGGCGGGCATGACCTTCAGAACACTTCCCCCAACGAGTTTGTTCAGCATGTGCAATCCTTCATGGAAAAAAAGGTCGCCAGTGGCCAAAGGATTGCTAATACCTAGTGCCTTCCCTATTTTGTTCCTGTGGTGCTATGCTCATACCGTCAGCAGGTAAGATTGTTGATCGGAATCTAGACCTGTCTTTATAGCTACAGATAGTTCAATTTATTTCTTATTTCCGTCATCTGGGTGATGGTAAACTGGTAGCCGTTTCACAAATTAATTTGGATCATTGGAGCATTGATGCTCTTCCTTATCAATGGTTTTATATGATGACGTAGTGTACAATAACGTTAGTATCTTGGTGGCCAACCAGCAACAGGGATCAGTTTCAGCAGTCGCCAATGATCAACGGGCATAACCAAGCACCAAGCCATAAAGAGAAAAAAAGAAAAACATAGCAAAAACATAGCAAAAACATAGCAAAAACATAGCAAAAACATAGCAAAAACATACAACAGCCAAAAGTATGGCCGTGCTCACCTAGCGCCCATCGTTTGGTGCTGGGCGACCCGGTAGTTCACCTCCGTGAATATTCTTCACCCGAAAACTCACCAGGGTGAAGACCGAGCTAGCAAAAGGCGCTGTTTTATATTTTCACATAGGGAAAGATTTTGCGAGTAGCTATTATAGAGAGCAGCGGTAGATAAATTATAAGCACGCGCCAGGAGCGTCTAGTAGAGGTCCCTATTATGATATACCCTGTTATAAGGTTATTCATATGAGGAGTCTTTTCGCTCCTCAAGAAACAGTCTTTAAATCATCCAACTTAGTTCCTTTCTCAGGCCTAATTAACAGGCCTCTACCCTGATTCGTAGAGTATATCTTAACATATTTATATATACGAGAAATATAAGTTCCAGCTAACATTTTAATTTTAGTATAGCTCTCATATCCTACGATATTTTAGGAACCTCGTACGCCATCTTACTCTGCGAAGGAAACTATTCCTGTCAAAGGGACCCTAGTTATAGAAGACGTTAACTAGATAGATATACCTAAAACTAATATACCGCCACTGCTAACTTCAACACCGTTATCTTCTAATACAGAAGGTACACTAGCCGATGCTCTAGACACTCTTCCTCACCGATCAAAGACCGCTGCAACATCGAATATGAGCACTTAAATTGTCTACAGCTCTTTGGTTATCCTAGGATATCTTATTAAGTCATATTACTTCCATTTGGTTAACGATAGCCCTAATATCTTCCATACAGCCGAAGGGAGCACGTAGGCATATAATTTAGACCGAGATATTTGCAGAACATAAATGTATTTATCATCAGAAATATGCACTACCATTCCCAAAATCCGCTAGATAATCCTCTAGGCGACTAAAAGCGACATAATAAAGTAGACTACGAAGGCTATATTAGTTGGCGAATCCAGTTTGACGATACAGGAGTATAGTGAAAATGACCGTACCTCGTCCAAGGAAGTATTTTTATAATACTGTAACTATATGTCGAATCCACCAGGGCGGTTTTGTAGATCTATGGAGTAAATTACCCCACAGATGGAATTTTCTTCATTGACCTTTCTTTGGTGCTCTTCTTATCATTGCTCTCATAACCAAAGCTAGCTCGAGTATTCTAATCTGCCCCTGAGATTCAGTCGATTTCTAATCGATCAACCCTTTTGTGAAGATTGGTTCCTCTCTTGAGCCTATCTCCATCTCTTTCGCCTTCCAGGAATACATAAACTATATTGTTCTACCCTGTTCCGACAGGTAACTACAGTATTTGAATATATAAAAACGTTTTACGTGGCTCTCGAAGCCCCGCTTCGTCTGGTCTTCTTTTCTCTTGATCCTAATAAACCCATCGAGCTTTGGAGGTTGATCATCTCTTTCAAAATCTACATATCTACATATGCTCATCATAAATACAAGTTATAAGCCCGATCGGGATGAAAAATCAGTAACGTAATTCCCGCCCGACCTGGCCACCCGAAACGTATACAAATGCGATAAATTACAACTTCATTCAACAACCATATAAAGCTAAGACAAACTATAAAGGATACAGATACTTGAGTGTATAAATAGCTTACTCGTATATTAGGATAGATTTAAGTCATTAGAGGGAGAGTATATTTGAATCTGAAACTCCAAAATTACACTGCATTTTATGGTAAAACACTTAAATAATAGTATGAAAGACTCGAAATCTATTATAGTTCTTCCTTTACCTATTTAGATGTATATCTAATTATAACCGAAACAAGTTCGTGGTGGTTGAAATATAGAGGGCTCAATCTCCAACATCTTGTAGAGAGTTTTAGGGTGGCCAGGTCGGGCGGGAATGACATTACCGGGAAAATGGTGACGTAATGTAGGGTAGCCTAGACCGAACTAGTTCCGTTATATAGTTGGTACTCCACCGCAGAGTAGAAAACTCGATTTTGGTCATATCGCGGTCAAAAATGCGATTTGCTCCAATATGTCTACAACGTGAGGACTGGGATACGCCTATCGATCGGAGCGTGCAGACCTGGAATTATGTGTGCCAGTCATTATGCATCTTTGGGATGTCCGCCTTCTTTGGCATCCGCCTATATACCCGGCTTTTCATTTTCCATGGTTTTGGGAAGGAAGATTGGACATGCTCTATAGCATGGTTCCTTGGTGTCTGCTACTCTGTTACTGCTATCGTCATGGGATATTACGGGGGAGGTTTGCATTACTCCGACGTCCCTTTTGACGACCATGTTCCGTTTGAGAAGACTGTCTATGTGACAATGGTCATGTATGGACCAACCGTGTATGTGACTAAGGTGTGTCTATTGTGGGTTATGACTCGTGTCTTCAGTCCAGTCCGTGATATTGTTATTTTTATCTATATCTTTATAGGCATTATGCTTGCCTATTATATCTCAGTTCTTATCGTCAAGATCAGGATCTGCAGTCCGATTGCTAGATTCTGGAACACAGATATTGGCGGCACCTGTCTTGACCAGAAATCAATTATTCTTGCCGACGCCGCCGTCAGTGTGGCAAGCGACTTCGGTATTCTTATTCTACCGTTAATATTAACCAGGCACTTGCAAATGTCAACGAAGAAAAAGATCAGGGTCGCGGTTGTCCTTGGTGCAGGTGGATTTGCTGTTCTGGCTAGTATCATCCGCCTCGTGCTTATTATCCTCACCGGACAGTCAAAGGATATTACTCTTGCATTCATGAGGATCAATATGCTAGGAAATGCCGAAGTCTCCATCGGAGTTATCTGCACATGTCTACCGGCCCTTTTAACATTCGCCAGACACATCGACCACGAGTATCACAGCAGCAGAGCAACCCGTACTTCTGAGCATAGGATAAATGTTGAAACGCGGAATGCAGAGCCAGCTGAAGACACCTGGATACATATTCCGCAGGGGAACTCAACGATCCGAACAACTATCCAAGGGGACACCCGTGATCCGGAAGTTTTGGTTGGTTTACCACCAGATAGCACAAGCATTACAAGAACAGTTGATATTTTAACGCACGTGGAGACGCAATAATATTAAGAAGCGCTACGAGTACCGAAATAAGAAACTGTATCTTATCTTGATTTAGGATCTTCACTACATACAGCCTTAGAGAAGAGGTAATCAAGACCTCACTAATAGAAGGCTGGCTGGTGAACCACGGTCTAGGACTTGGCCTGGAACCTCAAGAGTCTTTGGTAGGCGACTCTACGGGCCAAATGCCTTTGACTTTTATCTTGTGAATGTCAGCATGACGCAGTCGACTTGAACATAACAGATTGGGTTGAAGACGAATGTCTTATTATATACGTTGTGCAAATGTCCAGCTGTAAATTATTCAAGTGAACTTCACTATTCTTTGAACTGGAATAAACTTCAAGATCAACTTCAGCAAGATGTTTTGGATCAAAGTGAGCCTAGTCCTTACCTTGGCCCTGGGAACTTGCTCCGCACAGAGCCTTCCATCCGACACTCACTGTCACTCAGACTGGATCCAAAACGATATTCTCACCAAATGCGATTGTGACCCAGGAAGCGCGACTTGTCAACCGTGTGATCTGGGGACCTGCAATACTACTGCTCTCATCTCGACAAGCCTGCTAAAGCAGTCCCACTGCAACGAAGGCTGTACTGAAGCCAATTGGGGCTGCGACTCGTGTTTCATCTGGTTCACGTCGGTGTGTAACTGCGTGAAACGGAATAATTGCCCCCCTAGCCCCAATGGGTTGTGGATAAGGTTGAATAATGAACTGCTGTCAACCACAAACCGGGTACCGGGGATTCTGGAGCTCACCTCTGAAGAGCCTTGGGATTGGGGACAGACACTCTACGATGGAGAGACACAGGCTCTAGTGATCAATTCGGTAAAATCACGAAAACAGGAGCAGATCCACTTCCATATTTGTGACGGGAAGCTTCAACCCGGGGACCCTAAGTTTGTTCTAGGGGCCTTAAACTATACAAAATATCAGAATCTTTCACCGGTCCCAGGACATCCTCATTGGCTGTGTCGAGTCCAGTCAACGAAGGATGCCCCTATCAGTGGTGTGACGGACGATATCAGGACCCAGACTGCGAAGGGTGGTCCCTGTAGTAGATTAGTTGGAGCTGCCGTCTTTATGGATTCCCACGACCGCACATGGGCTTGTCTCACTACAGGTCTTGAGTCTACCCAAGGAACGTTTTGCAAGTGATGATGCTAAACTTGGTACATTTCCACATAAAAGTTTCTTTCGCCTACCTTTCTGTACAATTTTAAGACAATTTGACGGTATCAATCTTATTACCTAGCCCGAGAGAAAGTAGTTGAGAGACAAACCTCTCGTAGTTCCTGGAGGATAGCAGACGTAACTCCCCTTGGCAGCCGTAGTTTTCAGCACGTGTAGTTTTGTTGAAAACGTGTAGGTAGACTGTGAAGTCAGTCTCATTGGTCACAAATGATCTCTTCTTTCAACCTATAATAATCCATTTAAACAAGTTTGGTTCTAGACTGAGTAATCGCAGAGACTGTTAAAAGAGAAAATCTCGAGATATGTGTGAATGTTGAACTTCGATGTCTTTCTAAAAGGCTACCATTTCATGTTCGAAAAGGATTCTGCTATCTGCTTGTTCCAACAAATTACTCAATCAACAGGCCTTTGAATTAGCATTTAGTCCGTAATTTAACTTTTCGTCCGCTAGACAGAGAGTTCTCTTCCTCCATATGAACCGTGGGTATAAATTGGGAAGTAGTTCATTTCTACGTAACGAAGTTTGATATCAATGGCCTTTCTAGTGTCTCTCGTTGGGGAAGAATATGTTGCCATCATACCGTTGCATGTGGTAACTCCTGTTGATTGCCAATGCATTCTTTCAAGAGACTCGGGTGAGATGGTCCGGTTATTGGACTCGAAGCTGGTTTTGGTGATATTTGACGCCTGAAAATGCAGCGATGTGCTCGCTGGATAACGGTTTGCCGTGTTTCGAAGCAGCCGCGAGAAATTCCCAGTCCCTTTAACGATACAGGATTGGATTGAATCAGCAACATTGCTGAGAAATGTAACAAATTAACCCCTTGATTTAATTTGGCCTGTAATCTAGCCCACGTCAAAAGTCCCTCCAAGCATGCCAGTTATGATGCCACAAGCTTTGTGGTGCCGAAGAATGCCAAGTCACTTGACACTGAAACACTCCTGCCAATCAACAAATGCCTACATGGTTGGACACGCATTCCTCAATTCATATTCCCCGCCAGATGCCAGAAAAAGAAGGCTTTCACAGATTTTGTTGAGCGGATGTTAGGGGTATCAATTCAAATACCACACATTTACAGCTAAAGGCTCAAAAATAATATGCCCACGTGAATGGAATGTTCCCCAGGAGCAAAGCCTAGGTGATTATAAAAGTAGAGCACCCGGTATGCCGCCCAGAGTAGGTACACAACTGCAGAAATAACAACGGGGTACTACACATCTATCCACAGATTCAAAATGTACTTGAAAGGTGTCACTCTTCTTTTGATTGGAGCCGTATCCCAAGCTCAGGCATGGCAGGCTTCTGCGGGAGGCAATGTAAAGGTACGGGATATGCAATAACCCAGTCACAGAGCGCTCGACTATTTGAGCACTGTTCTAAATTCGTACTTCTATTTTCTTTACCCTCTAGGAACCAGGATATCCTGAAAGATGCTACCCAGATCCTTGCAAGGGCATTGTCTTTACCAATGCATCATACGTCTGTGGCAATGATACCCTTGGCCCCGTTCAACTTCCGAAAAACTTCCCTTTATCAACCGAACTCGCCACATACGCTCGATTTGGCGATCTGTGCCCGTACGAATTCCTAGCAAAGTGGACCTGGCCTAACGGATCCTATCATTATCCGGACGCCGAGGGATTTGTGATCGCAGCCGATGGCCAACCCGTCGAGGCTGAGGTGACACTCCCCGTTGGCCGAAAAATTGATCGCTTTGGATCTCCAGGGGGAAACTTCTTCAGCCCATTGGGTGCGCCGTATATTGAGAGAGCGCTACCTCCTCGCAACCTGAACAATAGTGATGGCAACTATCCTTACAGCTATCATGTGTACGAAGTGATCAAGGAGCTAAATGTCACCCTCGGACCCGTTGCTCCTTGGTTTGAGCAGCCTGGGATGGGAACGCAATTCAAGACAAATGGTTCTGCTGCACAGCTTATCGCAGACAAGTTTATCAAAGAGCTTCCTAGGTCAGAGTATGATCAGCGTGAAGACTTTGCAGACAACTACACACCTGGTCCAAACTCATAATTTGGTTTGAATGGATTCGATTCACATTGGAGAAGAAGCAGATGATACTCTGGAAATGAAAGTGATGCCGAGAGATGTGGAAATACTCTAGTTACGGAAAAGTCTGGTAATTAGTATTGTGCTGCCGGAAACCTTCGCCTTCAAGTTTCCTGATTGTTTTAGATGTCTCAACCCAAACCCATTGACAAACAAAAGACATCTATGCTGTGCAACTATAATTAATGTGATAAAGCATGTCTTAATCCAGTCTAAGAGAAGCTAGGAAATATCTACTTAATTCATCACCGTTTTTACATAGGTCAGTAAGAGTACCCTGGTCAGTTAGGACCTTTACAAAGATACACGGAATCTACCCATTTATATCAATCAGCCGTCGCCAAAAATGCTATGGGGAGGGATAAGGTTAAAATATACCCTATAATATAGATATTCGTTAGTATAAATATAGGATAAGGGTTATAGCACGCGGATTTAGTGCACTACCCGCGGTCTTGCATAACACTAGTCCTAATTAGGAATCCTTTCCGCATCGCTCAAAATGATACATTCGATATCTACATAACCCTTACCAAGCCCTTATGTATGCATTTCCCTATACATAAGCGCTTCTCGCGAATACTCGAATGTCGTCAGCGACTATAGACGCCGATATGAAATCATCACGTGACACTACAAGGTTATTATTGTTAATATTTGCCCTTATATTCTAAGTACCTATAGTAACCTATACCCTTTCCTACCCCTTTACCCTTTCCTATATATAAGTCCTACTAATCTACCTTTCTCCTACTAATCTCTCTCTACTATAGGCCCTTTAAGCTTTATAAATCGCTTAAATCTATTAAATCTACTAAGATTCTAACCTCTCTTTAAGATAACCCCCCCCTAGCGCGCCCTCCTACCTCCCCGTAATAACTAGTTAATCTAGGTCGTAACTAGCGAGGAAGCCCGAGAGATCCTTAACGAATTCGCTACCTAGTAAGGATACGCCCTCGCTACTACTAATTCGAATACCTAGTCGGTTAACCTACACTACGATTATAGTAGTTAGTGTTAGCCAGAAAAGTGGGTCATTGTACCATTAGGCCAAAAACGTACTTAAGCACAGTATTCTGGCTTTATCTGGACACATAACCATAGGTCGTCGTTCAGGGGCCGCATACCCCCCACATACTCAGGCTGACAGTTAGCCTATACCTACTAATCACGAGGGTATACGTTAGTCGGTATCTTACCACTATAGCTACTACTTTACTACTAAACTAGCTAAGACTTCCGAGGGCTAGCTTTTTACTATATAGGAGGGCTCTTATAGGGGCTATATAGCCTCAGAGCTATCTATATACCCTATATACCGCCGCCGGTAGCTAAAAGACCTTAAGGAGAGGGTAGAGAAGCTATTTATACTAAGGTATTTAAACTAGGAGGTTATTAATATTCTTCGCTAAGAAGGAGCCTTTACTAAAGGTCTAGTTAATACCGAGGATCCTTACGACGCCCTAATTCGCCTTAACGGAGGAGACTTAAAGAACCTCTAGCGCCGCGCGAGAGCCCGGTTACTTAAGGGCTACTTACCTACCGTAGCCCTTCTCGTAGGGCTAGAGGGTTAGGATATCTTCTATAAAGAGGTAGATAGGGATACTTATCGGGCTTAGTATATCTTCTACGCCTCTTACTCTAGCCTTAATCTTCTTACCTAATTTCTCTCTATCCTCTAGATTAATACTATATATAAAACTTATTATTATAAGATACCTATAGTTAACGTTATAGGAAGATTAGTAACTAGTAAAACCTTCTATTTAGTATACGCTTTCGTCTCTAACGAGAAAGAGTGCTTATACTAATAGGTACTAGAGATCCTTCGAGATCTCCTATACTCTCGTTTAATCCCTCTTCCTATTACTATATTTTCGGACGATATAGAGAGTCTCTTAGCTATCCTAGTAACGGTATTTCCTACTATAATTATCCTTCTCTATATATAGTATATTTAGAAGAATATTAAGAAGAGATTAAGGCTAAAGATCGCCTAGTATATCTTAGTCTATCTTAAGAGGGAAGGGGATACACGAGATAAAATTAAGAGACGTTAGTAGAGCGTAAAGGAGCTTTTTAACCGAGTTATCTTTATACCTATAATAGCTAAGATAGAGATTACTATCGGACTTTAGGCGGTGACCATAAAGTCGTGGTTATATACACAAGACGATAGTGTGCATAAGGATTGGTAAATACTTAACGTAGTGTCTGAATACACGGTTATGAGTCTATCGGTCGTGCGCACTTCTATGAAGGAGAAGTACCACGATTATGGAAGAGCACCACCGATCTAGAAGAGAGATCACGAAGGATGATAAACTTGATTTAATTTAGCTAGGAAACAGGGCGGTATTTATATCATAGAAACATAGTAAAAGATCACATAAGAAAGCAAAGAGTATTGGAGTGTTAGATAGTCTCCTGCCTAAGTAGGTAATTCAATGCGAGTATGTAATTCAATGTAAGATCGTTGAGGATCAATCTAATAGATCTTATAGAGAAGATCTAGATATAGAGAGGGGTTATATGAGTGGGTCCTTCGTCATGTGACCCCATAACATCCACATATTGATAATTACTTAGGATAGCTTTAAGAAGTAATTCGAATATAAGGTTTTTGCTAAAGCTATATAATATATCTCTAACTAATAGATAAAGGATAGTATAAAGTAACGCTTTCTTCGGTACTATACTAATAATACCCTTCACTTCGGAGAGACCTCTTTCTCGCGAGTAGAAGGGGCCTATACCTATCTTAAGACCTATATTAAATACTCGATTAGAGATCTCCTAATAGTGATAACCCGGGTTTAAACCGCGGTTAGTACTCGCTATATTACTATTAATTAGGTAATTAGGGAGGACCGCTAGAAACTACTAGATAATCTCCTAATACCGTTATTTCGGTCGGTTCTTAGCTAGGTTACTATATCTACCCTTTAATAGGTTACTTAGTAGTTAACTACCTATTAGAAGAAAGAGTTATAGCTAGGGGGCTATACTTACTATTATCGGTAGGTACTAGGATTATCTGTCGGACTTTAGGCGGTGGCCATAAAGTCGTGGTTGACAGTGCGTACTAGTAAAAGCACCACGTTCGCGTAGGGTTGATCGTGCGTACTAACTTAAGTACCACGGTCGCGTAGGGTTGATCGTGCGTACTAACTTAAGTACCACGGTCGCGTGGATGAAGATTGACCGACCAAGACAGGGCGTAGTGGCAGAAGAAGTGCCGAGGATTTCTGTCCTTGATCAACAACGGTGTCAAACTTGATTCAATTTAGCTAGGAAACATAGCAGTATTTATATCTTAGGAACATGGTAAAAGATCACATGAGAAAGGATAGAGTATTAGAGTGTTAGATAGTCTCCTGCCTAGGTAGGCAATTCAATGCGAGTATGCAATTCAATGCAAGATCGTTGAAGATCAATCTGATAGATCTTATAGAGAAGTAATGAGGGGTAGTGGACCTTCCGTCACATGACCCCACAACATCCATATGTTGACATTATCTTATATCTACGAGATTATAGCTACGATCGAAGGTAACTAGGCTCTAAGAAGGGATTAATTCTATTAATAGTAGTAGCTTCTAACGTCGATTTAAGATAACTACTAGCTACTTAATATAGAGAGTATACTTCGAATCGAAGATCTAGGTACTACGAAGGTAGCTAGGCGCCCCCGTAGACGAGCTAATTACGCTCGAAAGGACCCTCGGGTAGAGGCTACGAAGAGCGCCGCGTAGGCTAATTAATTAACTATCAAGAAATTAACTATTAAGAAACCTCGCTAGTCCGCTCGATTAGCCAGTTCTACTAAGAGAAATCCCTCTAGATTTAAGATTGTGAGGAAGTAGACCGCCTATATAGGGCAGAAAGAGCGATAAGAAGGGCGTTTAGTAGGTAGAGAGTAATCTAGATGAATAGTATATTAGCTTCTTATTTAGGTAAATAAATCTTCTTTAGAATCTCTTTAAATCTAGGCGATTTGGAAAGCTATAAGGGTCCTTAGAAGATAGGTGGTAGTGGTAGAAGGGTAGGAAAGGGTATAGGTTACTATAGGTACTTAGAATGTAAGGGTAAATATCAATAATAATAACCTTGTAGTGTCACGTGATAATTTTATATCGGCGTCTATAGTCGCTGACGACATTCGAGTATTCGCGAGAAGCGCTTATGTATAGGGAAATGCATACATAAGGGCTTGGTAAGGGTTATGTAGATATCGAATGTATCATTTTGAGCGATGCGGAAAGGATTCCTAATTAGGACTAGTGTTATGCAAGACCGCGTGTGGTGCACCAAATCCGCGTGCCATAACCCTCATCCTAGTTATATCTTAACTATATAAAGGAATATACCTATCTATATAAGGTTATGTCGGACTCTAGGCGGTGACCATAAAGTCGTGATTATACACACAAGACGATAGTGTGTATAAGGATTGGTAAATACTCAATGTGGTATCTGAATACACGGTTATGAGTCTATCGGTCGTGCGTACTAGCAGAAGTACCACGATTGTGGAAGAGTACCACCGATCTAGAAGAGAGATCAAAAGGGATGATAAACTTGATTCAATTTAACTAAGTAACATAGCAGTATTTATATCACAAGAAACATAGCAAAAGGTCACATGATAAATCAACAGAATCAGAGTGTTGAGAGTCTCTTGCTTAGGTAGGCAATCATATGCGAGATCGTTGAGGATCAATCTGTTAGATCTTTATAGAAGAAGATCTATATGTAGAGAGGGGTTATATGAGTGGGTCCTTCGTCATGTGACCCCACAACATCCACATGTTGACAGATCTTATAGAGAAGATTTAGATATAGAGAGGGGTTATATAAGTGGGTCCTTCGTCATATGACCCCACAATATCTATATATTAATATACCCCCTCAGTTCTCGATATGTGATAAGAATAAGAGCAAAGTGAGAACTAAATGAGAGA